GCTCTGCCATTGTTGGTTTGGAGGAAGCCGATCAGTCCACGACTCGCAATAGTCGTGTCTCGCTCGACGCTAAACCTGGTCCCAACCGCCCCGATGAACCGTTACTACCGCCCACATCCAGCGACAAATCAGACGCCCGTATGAAGCAGACACAGTCCCCGAACACCAAACAATCGATGCACCCCGATATCACCGAGGCTCAAGCCACCCTCCGCCAAGCCTTCCCTCATGTCTATGCCACCGGCCGAGCCGCTTCCACACGCTCTTCGACGAGTTCTCTTCAGGCCTTGAATGAAGACACCGTGGTGGATGCCCGGTCGGATCAAGGAAGTGTTGGGCATAGCCCTCGACGAGGGTCCCGACACTCCGACACTAGACCTGAATACCCCGTCTACCCCGATCAATCCTATGCCTCGCTCCAGTCTCAAATACATCCGACCTATCATCATCGATCCCGGAGTTCATACCCAACACAGGCCGAGACAGCTGTTCGATTTGCTCATGTTCGTGCCGCCCGAACGGCGGGAAACACACCCGTTTCGAGCCCCGGCCTTTTCTCGATCAGGACCCCTCGCAACACACCGCCACTAGGTTCCGAGGACGAAGGATCGCTCGGCAGCCCATATCTCCACCCAAGTCACCTCCAACCTCCCAAAGAGACCCACACCGCCGAAGTAGACCGAGATTTAGTCACTGGCAACAAGGTTATTAATCAGTACGAGATTCTCGAGGAGCTCGGCCGAGGCGAGCATGGTAAAGTAAAGCTTGGTCAGCATGTCGCTACCAAGCAGAAGGTTGCCATCAAGATCGTCCAGCGGTACTCTAATCGCCGTCGGTTAGGGAAGTTGGGCAATCCGGAGGATAAAGTGAAGAAAGAGGTCGCCATCTTGAAAAAGGCCCGACATCCGAATGTTGTCAGTCTTCTCGAGGTCATCGACGACCCAAACCGACAAAAAGTCTATATTGTTTTAGAATATGTGGAAAACGGCGAGATCATCTGGCGCAAGAAAGGAGTCCGAGAAATTGTCCACGTTGACAAGTTGCGGCTGGATCGCGAAAAGGCAGGGATTCCCGACACTCCGGCTTTCTTGGAAGAAAGCCATCAATTCATCCGAACGGCACAATATCTCCGCCGACAACGGGACAAGGCACGACGCCGAGTCGAAGCGCAGGCCGCAGACGCACAGCAAGGTCCTATTCCTGCCTGGAGTTTGGAGCATGGTGTTGAATCTTCCGACGAGGAAGAGGAAGGCGAGGGTCTGGGGCTTTCCATGCGGCGGTCTTCCACCCGCTCAACGGTGCTCATGGATGAGAATTCCCCAAGCCAATACTCCGCAAATGATTCCCTAGCAGCCGTTGAAGGAAGCATGTATGGTGCTTATTCGGATTTTTCCTTCGAACGCCGTTTCAGCACCGCTTCCAGTAGCTTTGGCTACACCCCATCCGAGCCTGACTGGTCCGCCGATACTGATGACTTGTCATACGTCCCCTGCCTGACTGTTGCCGAAGCTCGCAGCGCATTTCGGGATTCCGTTCTTGGTCTGGAGTACCTCCACTTCCAAGGCATCATCCACCGCGACATCAAACCCGCCAATCTCCTTGTGACCAGCGGGCACCGAGTCAAAATCTCCGATTTTGGCGTTTCTTACCTCGGAAGGCCCATGCGGGATGAGGAGGAAGAACAGCTTGGGGAAACTGACGCAACCGAGCTGGATGATGCCCGTGAGTTGTCGAAGACGGTCGGAACCCCCGCATTCTACGCGCCCGAACTTTGTTACGTCGGTGATGATTTTGAAGAGACTATTGGGTCAGTTCCGAAAATCACAGGCGCCATTGATGTTTGGTCTTTGGGTGTCACATTGTACGGAATGGTTTTTGGTCGCCTCCCTTTTTTGTCGGATGACGAGTATAGCATGTTTCAGACTATTGTGAAGAAAGAGGTCTTCATTCCCCGCAAACGTCTCGTTCCTGTGATGGATGAGTCCCTTGGCCATCTACATCTACCCAGGGATGTTCGCGAGGACAATGTGCTTGAATACGAGGATATCGATGATGAGTTATACGATCTACTTCGTCGTCTTTTGACCAAGGATCCGATCAGGCGAATCACTCTGAAGGAGATCAAACACCACCCTTGGACCTTATACGGGTTGCCTAACCCACAGATGTGGGTGGAAGAGACAGATCCCGGTCACCAGAGTAAGGGCAAGAGGATCGAAGTTTCCAACGAAGAAGTTACCAGTGCCGTCAGCAAGGTCCCCTTCATCCAACGGGTACGATCCAACGTTGCCAAATGGTTTGGCGGTCGGTCCTCCAAGGAAAAGCGCAATGCGAACAATTCCTCAGATACACTCTCTTCCGCCTCGAGCACGAGCACCTTCGGGAAGGCCTCGCGTGGTGGCGACAGCCGCCGCTCAAGCTTGCGAGGCGATGAAGACGTTTTCCGTCTGTCCAAATTTGGTGGCCAGGGCGAGCATCCACTCGCTCAGAGTGTCACAGCAAGCCCGGTAGAGGAGGAGTCGTGGGCGTCCTACTTTGAAGCCCTTCCCGTCTTGTCTGAAAACAAGCATGTCGTTGCTCCAACAGTCACCCCTCGACCGGGCCCTCCCCGACGCGCCAAGTCCTCCATGTCCACTGCGGAATCGACCAAGACGGTGAAACAATCCAGAATGGACTCTACTCCAACTGGCCGACCACGGTCTGGTGTTACGCCATCCATTATTGAAGCCCTCGGAACGACCAGCATCGGCAGCATCTTTAGTGGTGCGACTCGACGGGCCTCTGGGGCGTTTGGTAGCCGTAGCCGCCGCTCGTCGCCAACTGGCGAGACAGCCCCCCCTTTGGATGACGACCCTCGATCCGAGCCTAGCCTTGCAGTGAGCAATGCTTCTGCCGTTGGCCACATGCGAGCCTCTGGCTTATGGCATGCCGATACTGCTTCATCTGGCACTAGGTTATCGATGCCAGTGGGCCACCGACGCAATCGGTCTCAACAGCTTGCAGGAAAATCCTCCGCCGAATCCTTTAATCTCACCAAGGAGGCGCTGCTCCGCCGCAGAAGGAGTGACATTGAGCCAAGCGCGGAGAATACCCTCGCCCCCAAGTTTGAAAGCGCTATGTATTCCACCGATTCGCTGCAGCTACCAGCATTGGCCCCAGCCCCGGACCATGGATTTGCTGCCGAGCCTGCACATGGCGATGCGCCTCAGAATGGTCTCAATGCATCAACGCCTTCTGCTGCAACGATCTCATCGTCCTCTGCCGACGATTTCACCAGCGGCATGTCGCAAAGTGCTTCTCATCCTAGCATTCCGTCTGTTGTCTCAGGTGCTTCATCTCTTTCTGGCGATGGCCTTTATTTCGGATTCAAGGACAGAGATTCGGATACTGCGTCCCAGGTACCTTCTATTCTTCGCACGGGTGAGACAGTCAAGGCCCGCCTCCCCGGGTCTCCACGCCCTTCAGAAGAAGACGAGTCACGGTACTACTGCGACGATGAGGAAGAAGAGTCCGACTCGGAGGAGGAAGTCCTGGTGATCGGCAAGAAGAAGCCGCCTCCGAAGTCCGAGAACAAACCTACCCTCAAATCGAATTGATCTATGCTCTGATCGCATAATACATTGATCAATACATACCCATCTTTACCATCACCTCGCGCCCTTGCTTTATCTATTCCTGTATACTGAGGAGTCGTTGCATATTATGTTGCTGTTTTTTCCTGTTTCGCCACGGGATCATATTGGAACTTGAACGTGGCATTCTAGAGTTTGTTTCATACATTCTACACGTCTTGTACATATACATATGCGGCGACATGGGCATGTTCCTACCATGTCGCGGGATTTTTCTTCTTTTGATTTCCCCTTCCTCCGATCACACAGCTTATGGAAAGATGAACTCGGCTCGGCTTCAGGAATTTGAAGCCCCTCTCCCTTACCCGCCATCCTCGCATGGCATCCAGCCGAAAGCTACCTGCTCACCTTCACCTCTTTCTTCTTCTTCTTTCTGGTCTTTGACTGCCCCACAACGCTCAGATCTTGGCCTTGATTTTTTCCCGCTTACCTGTATCTAATCCTTAAGGGTGATGATTGTTTGTTGGATCTCTATTGCAGGTGGTGGTATGATAAATGATGGGAGGCGTGGGACCGCCTGTTGCAATGATATGTCACGAAATGAATAATGGGGAAGATCCCCAGCAGATGTAATTGTTTACCACACTTCATCCATTTATCAATCTCGCGTACGTGTACAAATGCCCAAAGCACCCCAAGGCTGCAGTTGTAATGCTAGAATTGGCTGCTCTCCGGTGGGGTTCTTCACAACTCATTTTGGCTTCGCTTCCATCGAAGATCTACGTCAGCTCCTCTTCAGCAACAACAACATTCCACCAATAAGATCAACTCACCACCTTGAACCGAACCACTCTGTACTAGTATGATAAATACTCAATCTGAGCTTTTAATCTATATACCCCGTAATCGCCTCTCACGGAAATAAAAGTATCAACAATCAACTTCAAGCGACGCCCCCAACTTGAAGCCAAGCCTTTTATTTCTCCACTCGGTTAAGACACGGCATTACTGCCACTACTAACTAGTAGCGTGTTATGCCCAGGTGTAGACGCCCCCTCTTCTCCACCCTGATCTGATTAACCGTCACACCGGCGTTTCACGACGCAGCTAAGCCTAGACTGGGTGTCCTCCGGACAAATAATTCACCTTGAAGGCGTGGGAACTGGAGCTTAATCAATAAGGAGGAGCTTTCCGATCCCGAAGGGGAGAGTGCCGAAATGTGCTAGGGTTAGAAATATAGATCCATATTAGAGAAGCTAGGGTCGGGTGATTTTTGATAAATAGGGGAGATCTGCGTCTGGGAAGGACGAAAGGAATAAAAAATTTGAATGATCATACCTTGAACAACCCATCAACCATTGAAAAACAAAATATTGGACTCGACAGCTGGGAATACGATACATAGTACCAGTACAACCTACAGGCAAAATGCTGCCAACCCTCCTCCTAGCAGGAGCGTACCTCCTCGCGCCAGCAACAGCAGCCCTGACCTATCGCGGCGCGGACATTTCCTCATTGATCGTAGAGGAAAACGACGGAATCTCATACAAGAATTCAGCGGGGAAAACTCAGGTCTTGGAAAGTATTCTTTCCGCTGCTGGAATCAACTCGGTTCGCCAGCGTGTCTGGGTGAATCCTAGTGATGGCAGTTATGATCTCGACTATAATGTCAAATTGGCCAAGCGGGTGCAGAGTCAGGGCATGTCGACGTATCTTGATTTGCACTATAGTGATACTTGGGCCGATCCTAGTGCGCAGGTACGTTCAAGTTCTTAACAAGCTACTCCTCACCTTTTTTCTTTTTCTTTTTCTTTTCAAGTTCTTTTCGCACTTTATTTCTTTTTTTCGTGTTAAGACAAACGTTTCCTGAAAATAACCCAGACAACTCCATCCGGATGGTCTACCACCGATATCAGCACCCTAGCGTGGCAAGTGTACAACTACACGCTGGAAGTTTGCAACGAATTCGCCGCAAACGACCTGAGACGTCGAAATCGTCTCTATCGGCAACGAAATCCGCAACGGACTACTCTGGCCCCTCGGCAAAACCACCAGCTACAGCAACATCGCGCGAATCCTACACTCAGCAGCCTGGGGCGTCAAGGACTCTGATCTATCAACCACGCCGAAAATTTTGATCCACCTGGACAACGGCTGGTCGTGGGATCAACAGAAGTATTTCTACGACACGGTTCTGGCAGCGGGGACGCTGGTATCGACTGATTTCGATTATATCGGCGTGTCGTATTATCCGTTTTATAATAGTGCAGCGACGCTAGCGGCGCTCAAGACTAGTCTTACGAACTTGAAGTCGAATTATGGGAAGGATGTTGTTGTTGTCGAGACTGATTGGCCTTATTCGTGCCCGTCGCCGGCTTATGCTTTCCCCAGTGATTTGTCGAGTATTGCTTTCTCTGTTGCGGGACAGCAGAGCTTTTTGACGAAGCTTGCGGCTGTTGTTTCGGCTGTGGGTGGATTGGGGATTTATTATTGGGAGCCGGCTTGGGTGGATAATGCTGGGTTGGGGAGTAGTTGTGATGATAATTTGTTTTTTAGCTGGTCGAATGATCAGGTTAGGGCTAGTTTGAGTACGCTTGGTGGATTGTGAGTGTGAACTGCCAGTGCCAGTGCCAGCGATTAATGGGTGTTGTTGAATTTCCTTAGTTAGGGCAGTGGGAGTGGATTTTAGGGAACCGACATTTTGACTTGATTTCAATGCTCAATTGTACTCTGTAGTTGGACGAAGTGGGTCGTTGATTTTCATTTTTCAACCTTCATTTTATTATACTCGTATTGTAGATAATTCGATAGTTGGGTGCTGTAAAGCAAATGGTTATTGTTGAAACCGAACTAGTCATGCTTACTCCGTGATGGAATGCACTTTTTGATCTATTGAATTTCGCTGACATCATGTCGCTGAATTGAATTTTCTTTTTTAAGATGCTGTACTCCGTACCCCTAGATGCAATGTTCCTAATTTAAGCTTGTCGAGGCAGAAGAATTCTTTATAGAATTAGCAAAGCCAAATTTAAACTATCTTCAAGGCAGCCATCCCCTGCTGTTACTGTTCACATACATAGTTAACACGTCAGACAAGGCGCACTGCAGTCTGCCTTGCCCTAAAAGCAAACCCCTCGTGGCCCGAGCCCGCGCTTATGCCTGAAACGGTATAGATCAGACTGGAGACCGTGGGTGAAACTCAGCTGCGTGGCTGTGCAAGAACTAAAGTCCCATAGTGCCTCTCTCGCTCCACCGATGCTTGTATGTCTTTTGGACGACATCGAAATTCGGTAGATTGGCAATTGCCACAGGTACAGTGGCTCGTGGCTTTGTTAAATAAAAATAGGATTTGAATAGGGCTGGTTGGGAGGGTACTCGTAAGATCCCATGGTGTCTATCTACTCCGTAACTATCGCTGTTATCGACAAAAAAGAGTGGGACAGTGTGGGGAGACCCCATCACCAGTTCTTCATTGTTCAAGACGGTGTGAGACAAGATCCTCCAGGGGGCTCAGCTTAAACGAGTGGGCCTTTGACGTCCTTTCAAGTTTCCCTGTCGATTCAATCTCGTACTTCGTCCCCTCCATATTAGGGCCCAAATCAATCACACTTTTTGGCTGCAGACCGCCTTGCGCACGTGAAGCCGCCTTTATCGTATCCCACGCATGAGCATCTCTCTCTCTCTCTTCCCTCCCCCATGATGATGTCGATTCTATGCTGACAACACATTGCGCGAGTGTCGAGTCCTCCTTGCGAATGACACCCCCTTATAACCCTTCCTTTTTCCTTGCGTTCAACGCTGGACCTCACCCCGCTCCTTGATCTGATCTGATCCGATCTGATTACTCCCCGCCTACGCCTACAATTGGTCTCCGTTTCCTCTTGGCCATCATCACCTGATCGCTCGTCTCTCTGTCCAACTTGTTGCGACATCTCGTCTTTCCCTTACGCTAGTCCACCATGGCGTCCCACAACCAGAGCCAGGGATCGGGCGCCTCACCCGGCAATCCAGACCATCGCAGCGTGAGCCCATCACCCCACACTCAGCAGTATCACGACCCAACCTCCGGCTTGGGCCTGGATCCTTCCATGCCCGCCGCCTTTGCGACAAACCAACCCTTCAACAACCAGGACCCAGGAATCGGCGGCGCAGACGCGTATGGCTATTCTACGGGTTACTTGTCGGCCGCCCCGCCAGCGCAGAGCCTCGAGCAGTTCCCCCCCGCGATAAATACCAACAATATCTCCATGTCGCAGGCTTTCGACCCAAACCTCGTCAACCAAATGGACCAGGGACAATCGGGTCTACACTCCCGGCAGCCCGATGAGAACTTCTCCAATTTACTCAATAACCCCAACGACTTGGACTTCTCAGGCTATCATAACCACAGCCCCCATAGTACCACCCCGTCAGAATACGATTCGTCGCATCTCCTGGATCCCCAAATGCATCAACGACCAGCATCCATGCACCAGGCTATCAACCCGGCCGATCTAGTTAGCCCCATATCCAACCCCTCTGCGTCCTCCCACCCGTCCTCCCAAGACCAACAACAGTCGTCCCCGGGGCCCATGTCCCCTCCCGGATCAACTCCGGGCACGTATTACACTCCCCAGCATTCACGACACACCTCGTTGGATCCCTCTACGGCGGCTTATCTGAGTGCACAACCGAATGCAGACTGGGGGTCAGTTATGAACAATGTCGCATTCCAGGGCCACCGGAGAGCACCGTCTGAGGTTTCGGAGGTTTCCTCGGCCAATCACTCCCCATACCTATCCCAGCATGAGTATGATGGCATTGAGAACAATACGTCGCCTTCATTGGCTCCACAAAATGACCCTGCTCTGTACGACAATCAGCTAGGTATCGAGCAGTTTACCCTCTCGGAGCAACAGCAGGGTTTCAGCCCACTTCATAGCCCGTACATCTCACCTCGCCTCATGCCACAACAGGGAGGTGAGATTCCAAACAATGGCGCTTATCTCAATGCCAACACCACGTCCCAGTTCCCCCCTGCACCGACCGAAATGTACGGGATGCCGGGGGATGCACTCTTGAACCAGGGCTTCGACAATGGCATGACAGATATTGGCCAGGCATCCTCGATGGCCCCTCCTTCTATCAACGTGGAATTTGCCCCGCCATCACGAGTTCCAAGCTTTGGTCCGCCCAAACCGACTACAGATCTGGACTCGTTGAGCCCCCCCCGCAATGCGTGCGTTTCAATTACTCCAGCCTGGCTTTTGTTTCTAGCTACATATACTAACAACGCATTAGGATCTCGTATGCGCAGCAAGTCCGATCCATATACACACCCCGCGTCTCGTTCAAGATCGCCGGCGAACTCAGCCACGAGTCTTGAGCCTGTTGCCCCCAGCACTCCGCGCTCGCTATCCCCACACTCACGCAGCAGCCCTGGATCCCGCGATGCATCTCCCTCCCGTTCCAACCGACGTCTTTCAACGTCGTCGATCGAAAGCCGAAATTATATTCTGGATTTGGCCGATCCCCAACGCCCCGGTGCGGTACCGGGAGATTCCAAGCGTGTTCAGAAACACCCTGCCAATTTCCAGTGCACATTATGCCCAAAGAAGTTCACCCGGGCCTATAATTTGCGCTCCCATCTCCGAACCCACACCGACGAGCGACCTTTCGTTTGTACTGTCTGTGGCAAGGCATTCGCCCGTCAACACGACCGAAAACGACACGAAGGGTTGCATTCTGGCGAGAAGAAATTTGTTTGCCGAGGCGATCTGTCACGGAATGGGAACTGGGGTTGTGGTCGTCGATTCGCCCGTGCCGACGCTCTTGGCCGTCATTTCAGATCCGAAGCAGGTCGAGTCTGTATTAAGCCACTGTTGGATGAGGAATCCCAAGAGCGGGACCGTGTTCTCATGGAACAACAGCAACAGCCACAGCAAGCAGCCGGGCATCTGCAACCAGTTCCACAGCCCATGGTTATGCCCGGGGTCCCAGGAATGGATGGCCAGCCTGGTAGCAATTTCGTTCTCCCTGCTGCGCTTCTTGCACAATACCCCGCACTTCAAACTCTGCAATGGGATCAGATCCCTGCTGCAGGCGAAGATCCCGGCGAAATCGGCGGTCGGGGTAGTTTCGATGCCAGCTCTGGCGGCGAATTCGGCTATGATGAGGAAGATTCCGGCATGAGCGGTGGTTATGGAAATAGCCATGGCGGCATGTACGGTGGCCAGATGTTAGGCGGCGATCCTGGGTACCAGGATCAAAAGTGGACTGGATAACTGAGGTGCTAAACAAGTCACTGGATGGATATCATACCTTCGTTTATACCCCCATTCTTGCAGATTCTTTCTTGGGATTTTTGGTTTGCACTTTGGAAAAAAAAGGCCTCTCTCCGGTCGAATTTTCACGCTTGAGACACTTCCCGTCCCATTCTTTTCCTTTCCTTTGGCCTGTGCCCTTTATAGAAGCTTTTTGGCGTTCAGATACATTGGTCATTTTGGGGAGCTTTTTTTTTTCGTCACTGTGGTGGGCATTTGGGTTTTATGCTTCTTTTTTTTCACCCTTTTGGTGACACACTTTATACCAGCATTCGAGTGTGCTATACCTCCGATGTTTTGCCTTTCTTCGTTCAACCACTTTGCAGAGTCGAGGTGAATGAAACAAAATTTGCCTCGCTCTGCTTCTTCCTTTTCTCTTCCCTTTCGATCATCTTCGTTGCCGCGGAAGTTTTGCCATCGTGATGCATTTGATGATTCCCTTCTCTCATACCCGTCTTCTTTTCGACTCGTGATTTCTTTTGGATATACCTCTAGTTTTGGAGTAATATACCACAATTTTCAAACCATTGATTTGGCTGTCTTCGATACATCCTTCACTCTAGTCATTCTAAAATATTTGGTCTCACTGTCTTAGAGATCATTGCACGTAGGTACAGTGGCGCCGCAAAGGTTTCCAACCCTCTATATCCCCTATTATCTACCGCCTTCTGATGGAGCGCCGCTAGTTGGACCACCCTTTTTGCTAAATAGACTATCGTCCTTCTGAATTCAGATTCGTATGTAAACCCTATACAAATTTCGATATACAGTGACACAACTAAAGTTAGTAACCCTCCATTGCCTACTATAACAATTAACGACCTTTGAATGAATAGTAGACTAACGTGGATTACCCCCTACCCGCCATCCCGCCACCCCCCAAACACCATAGTTAAGAAATAAAATTATCTCAACAACACCTTTATTCGATTTTAATTTTAGCATAGCAGTTATTCTCAAGTGACATAATAATTAGATTTTTTCTGCGGTGACCAGCACGCCCGGGCGAAACCTCGATATATTTCTCTATTTTGCAATCTAATACATACGACCATAGGGTGTGGAGAACAGGGCTTCCCGTCCGCTCAGCCGTACTTAAGCCACATACTAAACGCGGTCAATAGCCAAAGAGCCCTAGAACTTAAAGTAGCATCAGTTTCTATCCTAGGGTGAGTGCGGGTGATTTGGGTGAGAATTCTGGAGAATAGGGTGAGAGAGGTGAGAACGGGGTAAGAGCGGGTGAGAGTAGGGTGAGAATACCCACTGTGGTGCGCTGCGTTCTTCTAATCTATATTATAAGTCATAAAAGCCTAAGGGCGCAAGTCCAGTCTGCCATTCCTGAATTTATTTTCACCTGGCTATTCGACCGAAGATGTTCTCACCAGAAGAGATATAAAAGAAGCTGGACGAGAGGAAGGCACGTGACGTGTCATGTGGCTTCACCTATGAGTATTAGACCGAGCGGGAACAAGATTTTATGTCAAATAGCTGACATATAAACTTATAGGAAGCCCACTGCAACCAAGTTTGGACTCAACGGAATGACCGCCAACCAGGCTCTCGCAACTGACAGGTTGCGGCTGCGGAATGACCCCAGTGAGCTGTTAGATACTAGGATACTTCTGATCCTAGATCTAACATCTTAATCTCTTAGACTACTGCCCGCGTGCGATACCTTTGGAACATTTAACGCAACATGCCCTGACGTCGGTGCCCCCCTGCCAGCCAAGCGAGAATTTACCTCAGCAACAAGACTCTCTGAGAGTCTATACTCAGTCACATCCTAAGCAAGCCTCTCTGAATACCTCGAATGTTCCTCGTAAGAAGGAAGACTCTCAGCAATTTATCCTGTCTGTAATACTGCATCCAGTTGCAGCGGGACATCAGCTCCCGACTCCACCTACAGCGCGTGCAGCGGGCACTTCCAGCGCCTCGAGCCAGAACGGAGTATTAAGGGAACTGGTTAGCATTGCTACAAATGCGAAAGCATTTGAACCAACGAAGTGGGGTTCTTATTTGAAGGATACTTTTGGAGCGTTTGTATGAGGTGTTTATATGGTCTCGGTCTTGGTTTCGGGCCTCTGTCATCGGAAAGGATCAGATTTTTGCATCCTTATTCTTTGTTGGGTCGGGATTGGTGTTCTGTTTTTTTCGGGCAAAGAAACTCTTGGGAATAAACTCATGTGCCTTGTCATCCAATCACCGCCTGTATTTTCTGCCCAATATATAGTATAGCCTCACCGTTTGCCTAGCATGAAAGACAACAACTCTCTTTTTCCAACTGACGTTACACGTACTAAAATCCCACCTAAATCGACTAATTCGCATCAACCTGAGCATTCGTCAGAAACCTCTGCTTCCCTGTTTTGGGATTATTGTAGAACTGTAGAACTGTAGAGCTATAGGATTATAGTGCGATAGTCTGGGTGGTAATGATCTCGGGTTGTGTTAGGGCTCTATGTATTAGTGTTGTTTATAGCTCTGTATTACTAGTATAGTGTTTAATGAATAGTATATTATGAGGTAGGACTACGCGGCACTTTTGGGTCTTGAAATTTTGGAAATGAACTGAGTTGATTGAATTTGGTGAAGAAATCAAGCGTACATCTTTTGGAACGATGGACTCTCCACATGCCACGAACTAAAACTGCAGTGCCCTTTGTCATCCTCAATAGTAACATCAAACCAGTCCAAATCCCAAGCTGGTTGGGTAGTTTCGCCCCACTTAAGTTTCCCTAGAATAGCAGATTCACAGTCCTCATGCTTCGGTGGGTGGCAGGCGGCGCTGATGACGGCACTGCAGGACCGAGTGATTGGGATCCCGGAGTTTAATCGCCGCATGGATAATACCAGCAGTATACAAACCATCAATCCCAAAACAAGGAGTGACACAAAGATAAAAAAGGGTGAATATACCAGGGAGGATGCATATGCTAGGTCAGAATGATAGGAAGAATAATAGTCTGTTTCGGTTATGAATTTCCTTCCATTGCTGTCCCCAGCTTGACCACCGGGACCATATGGAATGATCGAGATATAGTAGAGGCTCTTTGAGACCAGCCAGTGGAGTGCTATGCTGAGCAAGTTCATGGGTATACCATATCGATATGGCATATTGAGAAAGTATTCTGAAATCTGTTCACTGCTTTCCACTGGCGATGACACGCGTAATGGCATTTGTGTCGCACCGTAAGAGCTGTATTCAGCCGCAGCTAATATGGTGGTGGAGATACCGGAGTAGAAGTAGTAAGCAGTTGTGATTGCCAGTTGAGGGAGATTAGCCACAATCACTAAGCTTAGAACAGAAAGTTCGTCCTTTTCTTTCCATGATATTCGCCAAAGTTGCCCTATTCTTGTCTCTGTGTCCCACCACTCATGCAGCATTTGAGTGGTAAGCCAGTGACCGGGTTTAACATTGGGCTTCTCATAATCCCACGGACTGCTCATTGCACGCTCCAGAAACCAAGAAGCGAAGATAATACAAGCAAGGCATCTACAAAACGTTAGACGGATATTCGCTTTAGGTATCAGCAAATGCATAGAAAGGATTCACTTACAAACTCAAAGTTGCCAGCCATTGCATCAAGCTCGGGACTTTCATCCATCGTTGAGGTTTCTGCAAGTGACCAAACGTGATGATCTTATGATTCGGTTGCATGTCTGGGAAGCTGGGATTTGCAGTTGAGTCTTGCACCCAGCCTGGGGCTTTAGGTGTTTTCCATTTTCCCCGGCGAAAATCCGACCCCGAAGACCAGCAGAACCCCTCAGTTGTGGAATCGGGGCATTTCATGAATGATGATATGGCATCCCCAATAGTCAATAGAGGGGCTTTTCGAGAGCGCCCATCTCTCAGTGTCAGTGCAATAACCACTAACTTTGCCATCATTGAGAATATGATGATGATACAAATAGGTGGACTATACAGTAATTTGCATTTCTCGTCAGTTTTCACTGCAAGACAACCGTTGATTTTGTGTGCCGTGGCGTTATACACATCTCTAGGGTTTGGAGAATTAGGCACGCAATGCAGAGTCGTGTTGATTTGAATTTTGTTAATCCCATCTTCATCGCCATTGAGAACGTGTTGGTGAAGTCTCTTCTCGAGTTCCTGGCGAGTAGGAAATTGCCAAGGCTCTGTACCATAGAATTCACTTAAAGCTGATGGACCCGCCACGCATGCGGCCCTGTTTCCTCCTTTTAACCAACAATCACTCGTGGAACCATGATTCCATGCATTGTAGTAGAGCGTGCTAGTACCGTTCTCAGTGGGTATACCGAGACTGAAGGTCTTCCTTGAAAATACGTCACCCCGTACTTCGCCAGTGGTTTTATTGGGCTTTTCGCCATCGTCTGTCATGAATTTAGTATCTGGGCTGCCGCCATATAGATCAGTCATCAAAAATGCCGCGTTGCCTCCGTCAGCGGCGGAGATTTCGTCCACGAGCCCAACAAGAACGGCAACACCGGATGGGTTCAATTTTTCAAGAAAGGCAAAACATTTCTCGGTGCTGAGTCGATCAAAGTTCCCGGCGGCAATAGTAGAAGAAAACTCCTGCCACGTTGTTGGATCAAACGAGTATTTACTGATCGGAGGCCGGAAACATTGTTCAAGCTCGGGTGTTGTCAAGTTCTGGATATTGTCGGAACTTAGATCCCCTGGTCCTAAAACAAAGGCGAACTCATTGGTAGCCAATGACTCGAAAACGATGGAATTGTACCTAGCAAATTGTCAGTCGGATTTTAACCTTCCAAAGTTATGGTATGCTTCAGTTATCCTCCAGGGCTTTTTTAAATGCGTACATCAGATGGAATGGGGCGGCTGTCACTGCCAGGATTGCCAGCAGTGATAGACGATATTTATCCAACACCATAATATTCCGCCAGCTTAAGTATCCAATATCAAGCCATTTTTTCTGCGCGTGATGCTTGTCGATATCCTGTCGAGTAGGGGCAGCAAGTACTTGCATACAGTAAGTACTCATGACGAGCATACATGTACTGAGAATGTTGATAATCAGATGAAGTGCCGTCGACCATCGCTCAGTCAAGGTACAGCTACCTTCATAAATCACTGCTCCGTTCAGGAATCCCCGATCATCGTCATACTTTCTGGATAGACCGATAGCGACAACGATGAGAATCATATTTATCAGAGCGATGGCAGCGAACGCCTTCGCACGGAGCGAAAGTCCATCCGTCCAGTGACTCGAGTCATCCGCAGAAGATTGCGCATTCAAATTTTCGTCTTTGCGAAATAGTAGTTTTTTGGCCCTGGAGCTCAAGAACCCCCAGACTTTGAATACGCCTTGGCCTTGAAGATCATTACCTTCGGGTATGCTAATGACGTCTTCATCGTTCGACTTGGCCTTATGGCGTGGATAAATTGCAAAGTTCGGTAGCCTGCCCAGAAGTCTTACCCAAAGGACTTTTACCATGGTATCAGGATCTGTTTGGCAGCGAGAGAGGCATCGATGATTGTCCAATGTGAATCTGGGGCTTTTTTTCCCGAGGCAATAGGATTACCAGCAGGCTGAGTACTAGTAGTATAAATAGTAGGAATGTCCCTCCAGGGCTCTTTGGTACTATTTTGAGGGGTTCATGCATGCGCCCGGGTTGGCTGGGTCCCGATTCGCCCAAGTTTGTGAGATTGGGAACTTCGTATTGTACCTACATACAAACCACATGAGGCGTCCAATCAGAGACCCAATAGGGTTGGTAAACTGAGGCTGTGTTGTTTCTGCCACATCGCCCGGGCGGTTAGTCTAAGCCTCGTCCACTCACATCAATCGGCCAAGAACTTGAATGGACAAAAATGCACTGCCAGGTGAAACTTGAATGCGATATTTGGCGCTAACTGATTACTATGCCGAAAGTACAAGTGCCCGGTAAACCACGTGACTACGAATGGTAGAAACTTACTAGTAGAAAGGATAGATCATGCCAAGCACTACGCTCATTTACATAGAAGGTGGCTATGTGCAGGTGCCAAGGATACTAGTGCTTCAGATAGTAGTAGACCAGCCAATAACGTATGCTTAACTTCAGCTTAGAGGGTCAAAGCGCGATCCTTGCATGGCAGAGTATGATTCTCACCCCAGCTCAGCCTATTCTCACCCTGTCTATTGCGCACTCACCCTAATCACCCGGGTCGCGCGACGCTAAAGCGGCGCGCACCACATTCTCACCCGGGCGGCACCCACCGCACTACTGACTGTAGTTTAGCCACACGCCGGCAGGTTAGTAGTATGTTGGGTGACCACATGCGAATCCCTGCTGTTGTATGTTCTATTTTTTGATTCGCTGGGAAAGTGCCCTTGCCGCTTTACCCTTCAGTCCCTTCAGTCCCACCCCGCCCGCCCCCACCGCCCATCTGCTTGACTTGGCCACATGCTTTGCACTTTCTCTCCCTATCATCACTCTCCCCCCCCTCTCTCCGCTTTTTTTTCCTATTATTGCTTAGTATGTTATACGAGTTAAATCGCAAGATCCAAAGGCTTGGTGGAGAAAATGACCGCGCCTATGAATCTTATGAGGAGTTTCTAGAAGCTTGCCGACAGGGGGATGTTGCCCAAGTCCAGCAGCTCTTCACCTAACAAACTCAACGCGGCCGAGAATGGGTGTCCTCTGTCTGGTATTGAAAAAAAGCTACGTCAGAAAGAAAGGAAAGAATGGTGGTTGGTTTGTGGTCTTAAGGAAGCTGTAAAGAATGAAAATGTTACGTTATGGAATATTTACATTCAAAAGGGGCTTTTATTAGATACCAGACAGTAGAAGCAGCCAAATTAAGGGGTTCTTAGGAATTTCTACTAAAGCATGGCTTAGATGTAAATATCCTATTCCAGAAGCAAAGATACCGCTTTTATAAGTCTATACTTTAATTGTTCAAGTCATTACAGAAATAATTGGCTTTTAGCTAGGCATATCGTACGTTATAATGATCCAGAACTCCTGGTTTGGTTCCTCTCACTTGGCGCAGATCCTAATGACGGCCCAAACGAGGGTCGTTTATTATTCAAAGAAGGTACCATTCAACTATTTTCACAGCCCGAATACAACTCCGTAGATGTTGCACTTGCACATGAAACTAACTAGATCCTCAAGTGGACGTTAGGAGTGAACAACACATTTTGAGCCAGGTGTTTTGGAGGAGTAATATAGATTTATTAAATCACAACTCTCATTCAGGCACCACCCTGTGTTATAAAGACCGTCAAGACAGTTGTATATCTAGCGTCAATTGTTAGCATCACTTTTCGAAATTGAGTCAGCTTAAGGGTTATAAAATGTTACGTACGCAGCGCCTGCGGCAAATATCTCGACTGTCTTTGCCTGCGTTCCGCCGGAAAGCGATGCAATAAAGAAAGCTGTAGAGAGAGAGGTAACAATCAAACGTGAGAGTATACCCTGAAGCGAGATGCATATTTTAACTGGGGCAATAATCAAAAATATGACAAATGATCCTAGGAGCATTCGTGCAAGATTCATAGTCAAATTCCCATGGGGAAGATAAACCATGATATCCGTCGAAAGCTTTCTGCATTGTTTCTGTACACTTTGTCAGTGAGGTTATCTTTGAATATATATAATCTACAGTTAAGCAAACCTTATATATGTTGCCGGGCAATCTAATTAGCTTGTCTTCCACCCATTCAACTAAGAACGTCATAGTATCATCCTCGGGAGATGATAAAGCTATCAAATCGTCTTCGTGTTGCAGGTATTCGGTTTCATTACGAGCTATACATCGATTGCCTTGGATCCAGTTCTGAAGCGTTATAATTCAACGTGGTCTGGCTTGCTCTAAGTTGAGTATTTGCGCGTTTTTGGTCAAAGTTTCATCTAGGGATCATTAAATCCATAATACAGATATTTTGATCGTCACAGCCTAAAGTGATATACAAACCGTATTCAATTAAAGCCTTGTCAATATCGGATAAAACAGCCTGTCTTGCTGCATTGCAGCTGGTGGGAGGTATGGGTCGTGCCTGCCCTGCTTGGTTTCTTCCCTGCGAGTCACCAAGTCTAATGTAAAAAGGCTTAGTGGATTCTCCAGGACCTTGTGTTTTCTTCTTCAGCATCTCCTCAAGCTTCACAATGGAGAGCGTTATTATCACCACCCTCACCACCCTCATCACCATCACCATCACCACCACCACAACCACCACAACCACCGCCACCCTCACCGCCACCGCCTCCACCTCCTCCTCCTCCTCCTCCTCCTCCACAGGACTCGATGTCCTGAAGGCGTATGCCCCCGCCATCGCAGTTGTTGCGGTCGTGCTCTTGCTCCTGGTGGGAGCGGTGTGTCTCTCGATGTGGCACTTCCCTCGGAAGAGGTCCCCCCCCTGCCCCCCAAGCCCGGGATGGTGATGGGTTCCGGTAAGTTGAAAATAATGATTTCAGTCCAATCTCTGTTTGGGGTGCTTTGTGCAAAAGCTGACATTTTATGGCACAGGCTCGGCCCTATGGCCGACGGGGCACGCCCCCCCAATACAACCAACTCCGCCCCGGCCGACCCCCTGCTTGGGCCCGATGAGGCCCCTGTTGCTCCGTAAGTTGAAGATATCGATTTCTTTGAAAGCCACCCCTGAGGTTATTTGAAAGCTACCAATGAGGTTCTTTGAACACACTCTGAGATGTCGTGACACAGCCCTGCCCCTTTGTCGCCCTCTGTCGCCCCTTCGCGCCGCTCTTCCATCTTTTCGCGTGCCTCCCTCCCCTCTTCGGGCTCCTCCCTTCCCTCTTCGGGCTCCTCCCCCCTCGTTCGGCAGGCGCCAATAGGACAATGACCCCTCGTAAGATGATTTCCGTGAAGTTTCTCCAAGGGATTATTTGCACACCTTCTGACATATCGTGGTACAGCCCTCCCATCCACTACTGGTGGCACGTCTGGGATTTTTTGGATGTTGCCAAGCTGGCCTCGGTCAGCCAAGTCTTCCGAAACGTCGCCCACTGGATCGACCAGATGTTCTAGATGCCGTCGGGGCCACTGGCGTTCCTCTGTTGCTTTTTGACCGTTTTTGCTTCTCTCCGAGAACCTCAGCGAGGTGAGATGAAGGGAAAAACGTGTACTTTGTATCACAATCTCCCGGTGTTTGTTTGTTTTTTTGTTTTTGTTTGTATATTTAATTTTGTATATAATTATCCCGACTCGTTGGGCCTCTTCGGAGGCTACCATGTCTGAATGAACGCTGTTGGCCTCTTTCGAGGCACCTTGATTTTTCCTCTGGGTATGTAGTTCCCTGTCTGTAGCCTTGAGCCTAAGTTACGTATTGTAGTTAGTACCTTCAGGTCTACTATTGTGCTTAGTCCCGAAAAAGATTCCTGAATGGGGCTCACAACCCAGGTGAGCATTAGAATTTGAGACCCTGATACTGGAAAGGTTATTTATAGAGGGAGAAAAGTGTGTTTGGAAAGATAAGAATCAACACTTATTTCAAAAAGCTAGCGTACACATGGGGCATATTCCTCCTATATGCAGTGTTCTATCTCATATAAAGCAAGTTCAACTGCTAGTAGTATCTCAACTTGATCACATCAACTCAAGGACCCATCTATAATAGCGACATCCCATATTCCGGGGTAGTACTCGGTGTTATGAAGGGCGCCCTTTGTAAATATCCACGAGCTTCCTAGCTCTATAAGCCGCATCTATAAACTTCCGAGCGGCCAGTAGATGGAACTCCTCAAACGAATTGTGAGCGTATTTTTCGGTTAGGAGCTCATTTATGCCGATGAACGCCTGGTTCATTTTCTCCAACTCTTGTAACATCTTCTGGCGAAGAAACTCATTCTTCATGATATGTCTCGGAAATTTTAAATTTTGGCCCGGGTTGGATGGGTCATATGGTGGAGGGGGGTGGTCACCGCGGCGGCGAGCGGTCCTTGATTGTTTGCCTTCGCCGGATTTTTTAAACATTTTTGGAAAGGATTAGACGATTCTTGTATGGTAAGATTTGGCTCAAGGAAGAGATGGAAAGTGTTTGAAACGGGAAAAATCTGGGATTGCAAGGTTGGGTTTAAATGGCAAAAGAATTTTGACCATCTTAGCTTCGGCAGCCACATCAAGCACGCCGCCGCCTGATATGGCTCCCACCGAGAGCAGTAATGGCTATTCTGACGTGACATATCGCGGTATTTACTAGTAGTCCATACTACTACACCAAATCGAGCGATGCCAAGCTACCATAGGAGTGGAGCTCGATAACATTTTTCAGAGAGCCTGTAACGAACCTGGGTTGTTACCATTGTGGATGCCTGGCCTAGATGGCATCCACCTAGGCATCCACGCCTCCTGTGTCTAGCTTTAGTCCTTTCTCTCTCTTTCTCTCTCTCCTCAAGCTATTACTTTCGTCAAACCGCTACTACTTCATTGCATGATCCTCTACGTCGTTTTTTGATCTGTGAGTATCTGAGCATCCTCACACTTATACATCCGCCGCAGAGGTTAGTAGTATGGTGGGTGACCTTATGCGAATCCCTGCTGTTGTATGTTTTGTTTTTGAAATGTATTTTTGGCTCAGGTTGAGTTTAATATTGCGAATTGGCGATATGTATAGGCCCGATGGGATTATCATAGGCTCCCGTAAATTCGTTCCCTCTTCAGAGGTTGAACTTCATGCCCAATCCCAAATCCAGCCGTCGAAAGCACTGCCACCATTTCTGAATCGTTTATCGTCTCAACTAGCTCGCCGAATTGTATCTTTAGATCTTTCAGCGCCGTGGAAACATTCTCCTCCTCGTCCAAACATCCGCCCCGCGCAATTCTATCGGCAGCATCACTTGTCCGGACAGTGGTGAAAAATTGAAATCCGCCATCTGTGGCGGGGACACCGTTCGATCTTAAAGCGTTAAAGCCAAAACTCATGGCGCAGAGACTGCCCAGGAGCACTAAGCCGTATGGGAGATATAGGTTGAGTGGGCGCGAAAAGGTGTAGATATTGCGGATCTCATTGCGTGTTTGATTTACCCCCGTTGTCCAGTTATTTGGTTGATAGCTGATTATGGATAGAACGACGTCTTGGAGTATGGCGCTTATACTGGTTTTGTTTATTGTGAAGAGGCCGCCATTATTGGCTGATATATTGGAAAATGAGGGCGAGATCTGGCCGCCAGAAAAATGAAATTGATCACGATAAGAATTGCCCATCGACATGATACTTCGGTGGGTCTATCGGAGGTATTTGAGGGGGGGCATTTCGGTGAGGACGTCGACGTATGGATCTTTCAAGTCCTATCAGCTTTGCTTATGTATCTTAGCGACGGAGGAATCAAGGCGCATGATCTGCCACGTCAACCCAGGAACGTTGCCCCAATCCCTCCAGGTCCCCTATCAGCCTATCAGTAAGGTTCACTGGGACGAGTTTACTAAATAATGTAAGATGGGAATTCTCGCTGGCAGTCTACTGTGGCAGACGGGTCGATTGCAAGAGGACAAAACCACCACACTCGCAGAGTGCAGGAGAGTAGTAGACAAAGCGTGACGCTATCGAGATGCGACTAATAAGACATTCGAGTCTTCATGGACATGCGATATACCATACCGCAACCTCAGCCTCAGCAGCCTCAGCAGAAAGAAGATTTCATAAAGGGGAACATTCATGTTGTTATTGATACTATTCTTGTTTGTGGAGAAGGCAGAGTCTCTGCCTACTGCTCTACTAGTTATTTACGTAACTTGCGATTGCTGCTGCCTGATATTTGTGACAGAAACTACTGCCTTATATTTATGGCCTTTATGAACGCGGGGCTGGCTCAGATAAAATGTAACAATCCACGGTTTATACTCGGTCCTTTGCAATATTTTTGGGTTTCTGTTCGACCCTTTATTGCTAAACAACCCTTCTTTCTAACTGTATTCTTAGATGTCGAGCCGCTCCTTAACCGTCAGAAACCCTGTACCACCCTGTCTCCCACGACTTACTGGGAACAACAAGATACCTCGAGCATCATCTTCGTGATACTATTAAAATAATCCCGACGGAGGTACTAGGTTTAAGTCTATCCAGATCGAATCATTTTGCGTGGGCGTTGCGGAGTGGATTGTAGTATGTCCAAGGATATTGCGGATCCTGCCGCAGCCTAGTAGCAACAGTGCTGAAACCGTTGAATACCAAATAACTGTCGAATATTTTTCAATATCAGAGATCCAGATTCATAACTGTCTCACTCTAAACGGTGAATACGTATAATGCCAGTAGGGAACAGGGTGGTAGGCCATTCGTGTAATGAAAAGTCTGAATTGCTAGATATTCTAAAATACATGCTTTTGTGTGGTAGATTACTAGATAATCCGGGTACCCTTGAGTCTCCACCGACCTTAGCTAATCACACTGGGATCCGACACGCGTCGCAGATCTTCGATCGTCCCATTAATTGCTAAGAATAGCCAAAACAACACCCCTCTTCCTAATGAAATTTAGCCTGGTGAATATAGCCTCCCGCTCCAGTTTCATCCGAAAGCTCCATTTAAATTTTTTTTTTTTTAAAAAAACTTCCGATTCCAGCAACCTTCTATTCCAAGCCTCCCCTAGTCCACAGAGCGTTCTAGGATTCACGATGGACTTAAAACAATCTTCCGATCACGTCCAAGCATCAGTCCAAGAAACAATGACCGCGGAGGATGATCCTCTCCCTCCTCAAAACCCATGGCTGGAGCGCTGTTTGATGAAAACCGGGTTCTTTGAGTACAAGTACAATGCCATGTACGAGCCCCATTCCACTTCAGTTTTGCATTTTGGACCACTCATGTTGTATTGTCTAGGATCATGATCTGTGTTGCTTTGGGTCCCTTTCTATTCGAATATCTCATTTGCCGCCGATACTGCGGTATAGAGGATTGTCTTTTTTACCGCAAGACCGCGTCGCGCTGTACAGACATTGTGATAATTCTTTATTTTGTTCGGATTCGGTACTTAGCCTGGTCCCGGGGCAGGCAACAGACAGTCAGAAATACAAGCGCTATATCCAGCTAGTCAGATACCGCGATCTAGGGGAGCAAATATAATAGGAATGAATCCGGGAGAAAGGAGTACTTGGGGATGAATGTCTTTCCTTTTCTTTTCCTTTTCCTACAGGGTAGTATAGACCTTTTCCCATTCAATCCAAATCTTGGAGCATGTCATATTGGGGCTCTAATAGATACAATTACACATCCCCAGATGAGGTCAGTTTTTGTGATGCTAAATTGAGCAGAAGAAAGGCACTTGGCTAGTTGCGTCCTCCCGCGTTTCAACCCGAGATGCAGACTTTTTCTCTAGTAGCTTCGGTGACTCTGTACAACGAGAAGGTCATAGGAATGTACGGTGTGAACTACATAGTGCGAGCCGTGTAAGGCAACTAGTGCGAGCCGTGTAAGACAACTAGTGCGAGCCGTGTAAGGCAACTAGCGGTCGCCTGTGCCGATCATGGAGCTTAGCGAGCTTGATGTTTCATAGTTTGATTTAAGGTTCAGGACTGCGGGCGGCTGAACGATGGAGCTGAACTTGTATATCAAATGACATGGCGAGAAATTCAACTGTGGCACCAGGATATATTCGAATATATCCTTCACATAATCACACGCCTCTGTTTAGTGTGATAGAAGATACGCTAGTCCCAGTCTCCTCTCCACAAGATAGCGTGTATATCCGTAGCCTCTCCAACCGATGTAGCGAGGCAGTTTTCTCAAGGGCGTTCGGACCCACAAAAAGGATTCGGGGCTGAAGCTTGCTTTTCGCCATATTCCTTTGATCTCCCATTGTGCATGAAGAGCACTACACAGTACTAGTACACGCCAACGGACATCCAAGGGCGAATGTCTCTACAGACCCTTGAATCCGCACATCTTTACTCAACAGGGAGACTGACATATTGGGTGCATGAAAGGAAGACTTCTTTACATTGACCAGCCGAGTCCAACGCTTGAATGGCTGGAAACGCACCAAAGATGAGAGTTTGGCGAAGATGGAATCTCTACGCTTGGCCCCCAAAATAGTGGATAAGAAGGACCACTTAGGTAGTCGTTTGGTTTCCAACTCAACACTGCAGAAACCGACACTGCAGCATTTGAGTGAAGACGCAGAATTCCAAGTCACTATTGGTATATATGAACAGCCCCCAAAGTAGTGGATTGGGTAGCCATGTATCTACTGTAGCTACTCCCGTCGCCAAGGCCCCTGTGTGGTAGAGTGGACCTCTGACCAGGATTTTTAGACCTACATAACTAAACCTCAACAATCACATGTCTAGGCAGAGCCGCCCTCGGAGCAGCCCCCAAAGTAGTGGATACATGATCCGAATTTTCGCCGCTAAAATATAAGTCTGATAATCTCATAATTCACAAACAAAATTCTGTGAGTGATACTGGATATCATTTAGGCGCCGGGCTGTATCCGCTGAAAGTAATGGAACCTGCAGCTGGGTGAAATATGCGGCGGGAGCTATTAACATGCTGTCTTGGACCCCAAACGCTGAAAGCCATGGCAATGCTTAGCCTTCGGATATAATCCTTATCAGACAAGAGTGGTAATACATTTGTACTTGTAAACTACTCTTCATTTTGTCTTATATTTGATGAAATTTATCTTTATTGAACATTTCGTGTAACTTTTAAGGATAAAAATTATTCTATCAAAATCATCTTGAGTTCCCAGCCTACGCCCCAAGGCTTTGGCCCCCAATTTGAACTACAGTAATTCATCCGCTCTCAGCTGTTCTCCAAATCTTGGTTTCAGGGTTGCATTGCATTAGTCTTAGGAAAATATCGCAAAGTGGGTTTGATAATCGTGGAATGATCATCTCGGATCTAGGTACATAGTCATCTCAGATCACTGTCGAACAGAACGCCTTGAGGGTCTTGCATCAAGCTTCATCTCGACATCATTTCTGGGGGCATTGAATTATCTCGTTCTTTATTAAAGAAGTCATTCAAGGTCTCTGTACTTAGCTTCTGTCTTCTCGGTGCTTGATCATAAGTCTTGCAAAGAGACGAGAGCCACAAGTGCGCAATTTTGGGTAGAATTCCACAAAAATCATCGGTTGGATAGTCCCATACTGTTGGGGATCCTCGGTCGCATCAAACTGGGCCCTTTCGTGCCTAGGACAGTAACTCAAGATGATGATCATTCTAGTGACAAGTAGATAGGCTCCAGAAGACTCCGTACGGAGTCAAGGAATCTCAGTCCAAACGCCCCACAGCTAAAGATAGAGCAGATCGTGACCTTCATCTCTGCTCCGAACATGAAACGTCGTTGGGCCGACTTGACAAATATAAAAGTATGGCCACAGAACCTTGATTACTTTCATTTCTATTATTCCACTATCGATCTCTCTGTTTTTATCAGCTTATATTACCTATCCGCCTGAGATGAAGTTCTCCCGGGCTCTTCTTGCTCTGTCTGCTCTGAGCAATGTGGCATTTGCCGCTCCTTTCACCAATGGAGAGCTGCAAGCTACCAATCAGAGCCCCAATCCCGAAGAAGAAGTGAAAGCCCATCTTGAAAAGAGGTTGACTTGTCAAAGTGTTGCAAGAGCTATTTGGGTTGGTCATGGAGTACTCGAGGCAGCGTATGTTTTGATTCAATTAACGCCGGTTGTCACTTCAAGGAGATGGGGTCTAATTCATTTTTTGAATGATTAAATTTAGTAATGTTTTTGTTACCCCAGTCGAAAATTATGTCAGGGGAGTCTGTGAGAGGCAAGATAGCAAACAATGTGCTATTTGGACTACCGAAATCAGGGAAGCGTTCAATTTGATTTTGGAGCTTACTGGCAAAGTCAGTGCTGGTTCTGCATTGGTTGATGGTGCCTCTGCAGTCTTGAAGAGTACTCGCCGGTCAATCCCACCGATCTCTGAATATGACATGGAAGCCCTGACAGCGAACCGTTCCATCAATTCTCACGAAAAAGTTGTGAATCCACTCCTTGGAATCAAGGCCAATGACGGTACGCCAGCGTTGGCTCATCACTATCGTCTGAATGGGGTGAAAGGAAAGGAGGATAACAGAACGCGTGATTATGATATCCATCATTTCGAGGACGGCACTGCTCACCTTAGGGTGCCCTTCGTCGGATCCGGCAGCTCTGTCACCAAGCGACACGACGGAGCGGGGGTCAAGATTGCTTTCCAACACGCGTCTGTCGCCCTTGCTCCCAGTGAATATAGCGGGGCAGCCGGGACTATTGCCACTAGATGGCAAGAGTATGCGGAGCAGGGCCATGCCAACGTTTTCGGGTTCATGGAGAAGAACAACAAGGAGGTTTTTTACTATCGTTCTATTGTGGAGGGTCAAGGATTTGGCAACAACTATGAAGATGTTATGGCCTGTGGCGATATGAGCACACTTGTTGGGACGTTCTTGGGAAGTCCGTAAAGCCCTTGAATTTTCGCTTGAAACCTGGTAATTCTCGGGAGAGGGATCAGGAGACTCGCGACGTCCGTTTAGTAGATAGAGTGATAGTTAGTTAATGTACCCAGACATTCCTTTCTCGAGACCTACAGAGCATTACTTGAGCCTCGAGGCCCGTTCGAAAGAATAAATGATCAACCAGATTTCTTTATTCAGGTATGGACTACAGTTTGACTAGCTAATGTTCACTACGATCTGAACACCCTACTCGATTTTCTTTGTTGGTCATCATCTAACTATATAATTTATGCAGTCACTACAGTCATTCTCAAAATCGCCTTGACCAATACACTCTCCATAACTCTTTTCTGGCCCCATCGCCAGGGCCTAAGCACAGATGAATTATTGAGCGTGCTGCTTTAAATTGAGGGGAGCAGTAAATCGACTTGGTAAGTTACAGTATCAAGCTACGTAATATTACACCATACTTAAGAAAACCCCATGGAATACAGTCCTGTTTCAAACTTTTGGAACGGGACTGTATGCTCTTCTGTTTTAGCCGCACGATAGCTGCACCTTTGCTGGTCACACAATCGCGACCACTATTCAGATATATATTAGACCTACGCTAACCTCTTCCGAGACTTTCCTTTCAATAAAGACTAGAAAGTACAAAATTTAAATCAGTAGGCATACTTAAAGCATAATCAGACGGGGAATTGGTTATTGCCTTGGCCACGGCTGTAGGAAAATATGTACTGAACCCAGGGCTGTTGTAAGAATAAACAAGAGGAAAGTCTATACTTTCTATGGGAGGTTAAGACACTACTTTACATCTGCAATGCTTAAGGCATTTAACCTGTCTACAAGTCGCCGGGTTCTATTGTGATTTGGGCCAAGAACCCTCTCATGACCTGCCAGTGCTCGCTGGTACATCTCCTCAGTCTCTTTCAGCATTTCCTGATTAAAGTAGAGGATAGCAAGGTTGTTGAATGTATTAAGAGCGGACGTATGGTCATGACCGAGGGCCTTCTCGTAGCCTGCAAGTGCTCGCTGGTACATCTCCTCGGCCTGTTGCAGTGATCGACTCTCAGGTCATGAAGGAACCGAGGCACATGCAACCTTTCATTTCGAACATATTACTATTTCGCAATACTGTCTTCTTTATCTTCTAATTTTGAGTTATAAATATCTCTATGCTGCCAATGTGGGGATATTGATCTTCATTTACGAAATTTTTGCTCCATTTCCCGAGAGAAAATAACGAAGGATATACCAGATAATTGCGATTGCGACTTGAATACGCAGCGTCACCTAGCCAGATTATTTGAAGATATAAAACTATAGCAATTGTGACAAATCAATATCATTGTTACAGCTAACTATTCCCTTGTTGCCTTTGTGTCTTGATCGGATGGCATCCAGTGCGGCACCTACTCATCTGTACATGGTTCCTGATTCCTCTTCTTTCTTCCGCCCAAGCGTTTAATTTCTGCGAACTGCAACTACAAGTTGCCTAGTATTTCTGAATCTTGATCTGCGAGTATCTGAGCATCCTTATAGCAACCGTGGGAATTGGAATAGTGTTGCAAATAAAAGGAGCACGGTCTAGCCGATGGGTGAGGCTGTCAGTTAAAGGCTTCGAGTGAGAATACTGAATAACTGAAGAAAAGCAGCATGCCCAACAAGAAAGTTCCAAACGGAAAAAATACAACAGATACTGTGCGTTGGTGGTCACCTAGGGTTCATAAATCTTTCCAAGGGTCGTTACTAAAGATACATTGGGTTTACATAGCCAAACTATCTCCGACCCTATCAGGTATAGCGCAATCGGAGTGGGACGCTAGGAAAGAAAGCCTGTATGGCCACGGGGTAATATGTTTTCGAATTTTTCAACTTTTATTAATGTAATAGTTTCTCTAAGGCAAATTCCGATCTTACGTTAGTATTATATTAGCTCCGTAGGTAACGTAAGAGAGCTAGAATAAGAAGCAATCCAAGGTCGCTCATGCTAACCGGAGCCAAGCGAAATCGGCCAAGCTCTCCGGACCATCGCTTGAAGCCAGCCAAATTCGGACCCACCGAGTGCTTAAGGGAATACGATCTGTTCATCAGGGGGGTTTCTTTTTTATCCACCTCCCTGGCTCGCCAGGAAGGATGCCCGATCAAAGGTTTCCGTTAGACGTCAGGAATCCACCGGATCTCAGCAAATGTGTTTTCTATTTATCGCCAGTCCCGCGTGGGTGCGCCCCTCAGGCCGTGTGGGCCAAGAAGAGATTTGGCCCCATCCACAATAATACACTAACTACGCAGTGCACCCCTAAGGTCCGCGTATGTCGCTAGGTTCCACTCTTCGAAGCCACCAGTGTGCAGTTGCGATTCTCCTTTCCGTTTTTTGTTCGATGTCCCATCGCATTCTACCTTGACGCGCCTGTCATCAAGGACGCGTCGCGCACGCAGGCATTACGCCGATTGAGATGCAGTCAACTTCTCATTTTCTGAGATCTTCGCTTCTGCGCCCGATCCGGACACTGCACGCCGACGCTGTGACGATACTTGGAGCTATTGGCGCAGGAACATGGAGGGAACATCGATACGAACTCCTAGAAGGGGCCCGGCGGAGATCTAAGCCCTATTATGCGCACTCCACCAAGAAGACGTGGACCATTGCTGGACTAACATCTGTGTTCATTTTGGTGTTATGGTACCTCGTTGCGGGAAGTGTCCCGGGAAATGTCCCTGAGACTTCGAACCGACCCATGGATAAGCTCGAAGAACGCGCTTGCCATCATCCTGTAGCTCAACTTGTTTCTACTGCTAGAGAGGCTTTCAGTGAGACCGTACAACGCCAATCTAAGTCTTTGGCCGAAGCAGTGACAGAATATCAACGACGATATAAGATGCCTCCGCCTCCCCATTTCGATGAATGGTATCACTTTGCAACGTCGCGCAACACCGTTTTAATTGACGAATTCGATACGATATACCATACTCTGCTGCCCTTTTGGGGACTTACACCTAGCGTGATGCGCTCTCGTGTCCGAGAAGACCTTGGTCGGATAAACACCACCTATGTCATGGGAATCGCCATCCGCGAAGGCAGAATCCTTGATTTCGGCAAGGGCCAGGGAGGATTCCAGAGAGATGCGACAATAAAGATCCTCGAGAAGTTCTCTCAGTGGTTACCGGATTTGAACTTGCAATTCAACGCCCACGACGAGCCGCGTGTCGTAGTTCCTCATGAACAGTTACATAGATTCGTCCTTGAGGGCCAAGTGGCGCAATCCCGGTTGAAATCCCAGTCAGACATTTCAAACTTATTTTCACCGGGGGAAACGGATGACCCAGTGCCGCCAGTACCGGCTTCTACAAGCAGGTGGAACAACATCGAGTTCCAAGAGACATGGCTCTATTCGCGACTTTCATGCCCACCAGACACACCTGTTATGGCGCTAGATGGCAATGCACCGGATAATACAGCCGCTTACGCTATGGAGCCTCTGGGTTTCGTATTCAACCAATCTGCGGCAAGTGATATTTGCAATAGCCCGTCACTAAGACATCGCCTTGGGGTCTTTCAGCGCCCAAATTCTTTCAAGTTGACGAACGAACTTGTCCCAATGTTTTCCATGTCCCATCCGTCTTCATTCCAAGACATTGGTGTTCCTTCGCCCTTTTATTATGAAGATATGTCGAGTTTTGACCCAGAAAGCTCGGTGCCATGGGAAGAGAAGAAGCCCCAGATCTATTGGCGTGGGAGAACCACCGGGGGCCACAGTCAGAGTGGCAGCTGGCACAACCTGCAACGTCAACGTATCATTGGGAATATGACCCACCCGCAATCACCTCATTATGTCCTGCAGCAGAAGACTGAGTCGGCTTGTACTTCGAAAACCAATACAAATTGGGAGGTCTGGGAAGCGAACAAGTCCCAACTGGGGTACTTCAACGCCCATTTCACGGATATCATCGATTGCGACCAAGACTGCGATGAGGAAAGAAAATTCTTTGATGATGTTGTGGAACCAGAACCTCAGAGCAATGCCTGGAAATTCCGGTATCTGCTGGATATGGATGGCCATGCATACAGCGGTAGGTTTTACGCCTTGTTGCGTAGCAAGGGTGTTCCATTCAAGATGACTTTCTTCCGTGAATGGCATGAAAACGTATTGATCCCATGGGTTCACTATGTACCGGTCAACAAGGATGGCAATGAACTCGCTGAGTTAGTTCGTTTCTTCGAGGAAGATGCCACAGGTCAGGAGATCGCAAAATCCATCGGTGAAGAGGGCCAGTCTTGGGCAGCTCGGACCCTTAGAAATGATGATATAGAGGTTTACATGTTTCGACTTCTTTTGGAGTAAGTTCCCCTACCCGCATTCCTGTTATTAAGCATGCTGAATCAGATTTGCAGGTACGCTCGTGTACAAGATGATAACAGAGAGAGACTCGGCTTTCGATTATAGAGGACGGATTGTATAACATTTCGGGAGACAGGTTACATGATGGCGTGTTGGGATGCTTAACCCCATATATTAAAGATAAACTGACTGGATCAGGCGATTAACGGCTCGTTTACAACTATTTTCGAATTCTACTGTATTGTTTTGACTTTGATGTTAAATGCCTCATGTAACTACCCGTTAGAAAAACACAGACAGCCATCGAGTATTCCTATCGTGTGCGAGAATCCACAGCGGACACGTGAGTCTTCTGGATCCACGCCAGAAATGCAGCGCGGTTGGAACAGGGCTACCAGCAGATTGCCGCAGTGGCGGAGATTCCGGGACGGGGCAACCCCAAATTGAACCTCCTCCAGCTCGTATATCAGTGGTTGTGCGATCCACGCAATGGGCGCTGGTCCACCTTCGTCCACAGCCAGTCCTACCGAGTCGGCTGATTTATCGTGTAGTTGAGAAGCTAACAAATTTGATTCCCAAGAAATGAACCGAAATATTGGTTAACAGCCATATACCATTCCAAATACCGGGATGGCCTTGGAAAAATGAATTCTTTATTTTCGAGAATTGTATAGGTCATCCGTATCATTTCAGGTAGAGAAATTCTAGGATTGCTGCAAAGCTGTTGCGAGTTTAAGCCACCTGCCCCGACCGCCCCTCCTTCGCGAGCCTCCTGCGAAGGTAGCCCGTATAACAGATTAATATCATAAAAATAAGTGACCCATAAAATAACATTGTTAGAAATCTTCCGTCACAAACTTGTTCATCATTATTGCCAAGGTTGCATGTAATAAGTTGCTATTTTATGATCTTTTGGTAACATAGATTATAGTACAGTATTTTACTGCTCTGGTGGGATGGGAGGGGTTGTGGTCGCCGGCATGGGGGAGAGGGCCAATCTATTCCATCTCAGGTAGCAACTAGTTTCCCATTAGAAGGCAGTAAATTATGGTGGGCAATATGTGATTCAAACTTTTGCAACGCCACTGTAACTCCATGCTCAATCCCTTTTCAGGCAAGATGATTCATGGAGATATGACCTGGGAAACGTTCGTCATGCATCGCTTGTTGTAGACACAGCTTGCACCAGTAGTGATGTCCTTGCTATCTACTCCTCCGATGTGGATTATGCAGCAGGGATTTGGCAACGAATTGGGTCGTGGAAATGAATGGAAAGAAGTAACTTCATGCTCAAATATCCATGAATACTAGAGAGATGGTAGTGACATTTCTGGATAAATGAAATTCTCGTACTCCCCTCGATTGCAATGACACAGATTCCAAGGTTGTGGGCCACGGGGTGGTGATATAGTGTGTGTTCACACGAATCGCCCATGATACGGGGCGCTGCTTCAAGTTTTATCCGAGCAATTTACTAGTATGTCACCAGCAGCGGCGTATAATAAATCTCGGAGACCGTAGAATTAAACCTAGAAACGCCGAAACCAACGAGGCTCGAACAGGCTATTTACAGGACCGGTACTTATAATAAGCAACAGTAGATAACGAGCGATAAGCGTAGCCTAGGTATTTCTTCTAAAGGCAGTAAAAATGACAATCTCCAGCATCATTGACTAGCGTGTCGCCTTGACAAGCTTAGTGACCTGAGTAAGCCACTTCTGCGAAAACTCCTCTTCCGTAAACCGAAGTGCTGAGCGCCGAGCCCGTTGCCTCATAGCAACCTTCTCCGCCTCCGGAAGCGCGAGCGCCGCCTCAAAAGCAGCAGCGAACTGCTCTTCTGTCTCGGCGCGAAAACCCGTCGCTCCGTCGCCCAGGTCAATTACGATGTCCTCACGTGGACCACCGGAGTCGTGTGTGACGCAGATCAAACCAGCGGCTTGGTACTCGACAACACAGATGCCGAAGTGCTCGTTCCACATGCCATTCACACCAACGGAAGCGGTGCTAAGGTGTGAGAGTACGGCAGGCCAGCTCGCGTCACAGAGGAAAGTAGTCTGGTCGCGGATGCGGAGTTCGTGGGCTAAAAGGCGGAGGTTGTAGATGTGGGTTTCGTCGGGGCTGGCGTGGCGGACCGAGCCGATCAGAACCAGGCGTGGTGGGGGGGATATTTGCGTAAGCGGGGTTTTTCTTGCGCTCTTGAAGAAAGCTCGCAAACGAGCGCAGAACCAGCGGGTGATTTTTTTTCTGGCCGGAACTGTGCGATGTAGAGGAGTACGGGTTGGCGCGTTTTCTCACTTTCGGTGTCGACTTTGATTGTCGATTGTAGTTCCGTGACGGCAGTCGGGGGGAAGACAACTGCTGGTGATGAGGGGGTTCCCTCACCCGTGGTAGTGGCCTTGTCTTTTCCCCAGATGGTGCGGATATGGGCAGCTGTCCAGGAAGAGTTGCACATCACAACATCGATGTGTCGGCCAACCCAGCCGTAAAGCTGTGCAAACAGCTGCCAGTATCGGCGCTTGACGGCGCCCTTCAGACCCTTGCCGGCGCCGGAGTTGATACCCTGGACGCCCGTTTTGTCGTCTAGCGAGGCAAGCATGTCGGTCGAAATTGTAGGATAGTGCACGTAGGCGCCAGTGGGTACCCCGGGAAAGAGCCACTTGCACATCGCGAGGGTAAAAGCGTAGCCCATGGTATCGACGAACACATCGGGAACAAGGAGGGTAAACGCATCGTAGGCGACTACCAGGGAGCCCAGAGACTGACCCAGTAGTGTCATATATGGATATGAGCTGGCAACAACATACTTGCGTGTTGTCAAGTAGAGTAGCACAACCGTGGGGTTATGCAAGTGGATGTTAAATCGATTCTCAACCCGTTCCAACATAGTCGCCTTGTTCACCTCATGGTCTCCAGTGTAGATCGCGCAGATCGCCTTGGGCCAGCGCCTTTGTGTTGCGCGCACTGCCTCCCAAAGCACTCGTTCGCCGCCTCCTCCCGCATTACTACAAAGGTGGTAAGGTAAGCAAGGAGGTCAGGGAAAAAAAGGTTAAAAAACAGGCCGGCCGTACCAAAATGGATGAAAGAAACCGACAATACCATCCCACTCGTCATCCCCACTTGCTTCGCTATCGCTGCTGCTCGTAGTGTTAACCCCACCGGGGCCAGAGCTATCTACCTTCTCCCAGTCCTCGTCCTCGGCTTGGCTCCGAGCCAGAGAGTTAGACGAGGCCTTTGGGCGTGGTGCCCGTTGCTCTTCCTCCTCAGATCGCGCCCGCGCGATCACATATTCACGGCGAGAACGGGTTCGTCGACGAATCAGCCAGCCTATACCGCGGAAGACGAGGCCAAGCACACTCCCCGAGAGTCGCGGCAGGAAGATCGCAGTGACGCCTAAAACGAAAATAACGAGAATGGCGTTTGACAGGAAGGCCATGATCTCAGGTGTCACCAAGGAATGCGCATAGCACCATAGGAGAAGAGAAGTTGGAGAAGTCAACAAACGCCCTTGGGTCCCGCCGCATCAGTTGACGTGTTGCCTCCAGCGTAACTTACATACGCGATCATGTGATGAGACCCGCTTTGACTTCCGCGGAGCTTTGGCAGTCACTTCAACTTCAACTTGTCTTTATCCCACCTCACAATGAATTCCATTTGCTCACGGGCATTGCGGTCCTCGAAGTCCTCGAGGCCACAGACTTGGTCATCGCCATTGCCCTCGCAGATTCGACATTTCCATCCCTCCAAGCCCACCCGCAGTATCAACGATATCTCTAGACTGCTCCGCAAGCTTCCTCCATGGCGTTCACTCCCTCTCCCACCTTCCCTGGGTCGCATCAATTCCTCTCACAGCACTGATTGTAAGAACATGTGTTGGTCTACCACTTCATGTCTATACAAAAATCAATGCGCGCCGAGAAGCCGAAATTGCACCGCTAGCAAACAGCTGGGCGAAATATCAAACGGAGATAGGGAAAAAAGATGGCCTCAAAAAATCCCAGATCGCAATGTTGATCAAGCTCAGACACCAAGACTTACGAAAGAAATGGAGTGTTTCATCATTCTCTCGCTTTGCCAGTCTGATTCAGATCCCGGTCTGGATTAGCTTGATGGAAAGTGTGCGCGGGATGTGTGGGAACACAAATGGATTAGTCCCATGGCTGCTCTCGTTAACGTCCTCTGAAACCGATGGCGCTGAGCATTTGCATTTGGCTGTCGAACCGACATTCGCGACCGAAGGTGCCTTGTGGTTTCCGGACCTGTTGGCAGGTGACCCGACGGGCGCTTTACCTATGCTTCTCTCAGCTTCGATAATACTCAATATCCGCAACGGATGGCATTCAACATCACGCAAGGAGCTAGCAGATATGCCGAAATTACAGATGCTCCAAAATACTTTCTGGAGCGGGTTGCGCATATTCATGCAGGTCTTGGCGGTGAATGTCGGAGCTTCAACATTTTTCTATGAAATGCCGACCGCGCTCCTGATCTACTGGATCTCCAGTACTAATATTGCAACTTTGCAGACCTGGTTCATGAACAAGTATATGTTCGCCAAGCCACCACTACCGACTTGGTCTCCGAGATACACGCATTACGAATGCCCTCAGTCGTCTGACCCTTACAGGCAGAAATTGCTGTGATTTGAAGAGGCGTTTTCATCAAACACAAGCATCCAACCTCGAATTACCCGCAAAATTAGAGATGAGCCAGCCTGGAAATGCTCTATCTCAAAAACGGGTCTACCCACTACTATTATTGCGGCAAAAATCCTGCCCAATCGCGTCGAATTTTGGAACGACGCATCTTTCTGCAAGTTGACAATTCCCAGCCTCGCGAAGGAGAAAGACAATCGCAAATGGCAACCCCGGATATCCTGAATGTCCCATCAATAGGACATGAGGTACCTTGTACAAATATCACCAAACCTGTATCATATCCAAAGGACAAAGGCCTTGTCCGAATGGCGTTTTCTAAGAACACCGGTATTCTGAAAGCACATTCTATCTCAATCGTTCTCGCTTTTTTCTGAATTAGACTCGAAAAAAAGTTAAGCAAGGTTTGTTGTAGCGATTTTTGGATGCAGATATTTATTCGTTCGAAATAAGCATGAGGCGCTTCCAAATGATTAAATACGAGCTCTTTCCTCGTCCACACTTTCTATGACTCGGAACCGTTTGAACCCTTCCAATGCCTCAGGATTTTGCACCGTAGCACTGACCTTTACGTCTTGGCCACTGATGATTTGCTTCACGGCTATTTCCACTCGTTTCCCGTTGATAGTCATGGGTATATCAGGCACTGACATCACAAATTTGGGTACATGCCTTGGTGACAACCCATTTCGAATTGCGGTTTTAATTTCATCGCGGAAGGTTCGAGTTAAAAAGCGCCCAGGCTTCATGAGTAAAAATAGGAATACCTGTTCGTCCGTGTCATTTGATCTACGACGACCAACACAAAGGCAGTTGCTGAAATAGTCCGTGAATGGCGGTGCTTCAACAATGGCGTATATTTCACCGCTACCGAATCGTATTCCGGAAGGATCTATGACTATCAGCCCGTGGCTTTCAGAAAATCTGTGAAATCTTGACTTACTTAGAACAGCATCACTTCGTCCATGCATGACATAACCTCCAGTTGTTGGATTCCTCCTCAGCCAGTCATGCTGTGCCCAAACGTCGATACTCGAAAAGCGCTCAAAGTATGCCGCTTTGTATAATTTGCCACCGGCATCACCCCAGAAAAAGCATGGCATACTGGGAAACGGCTTTCTCATTATCATTTCTCCAGCCTCGCCTGTATCTGCGATGGAATGGCCACTCTCTGGGTCGACGATATCCACATCTGTTCCAAGACCGAGAACTTGCATTTCGCCCGCATGAAGGGGGCCCGATGGATCCATCGCGATGACATGTGTACCCGTCTCAGTGCCACCTGCAATATTGCATATCTGGACATCTGGAGGGAATGAGCTATAGAACCACTTGTACTGCTCATAAGATAGAGGTGCACCGGTGGTATGGGCAGTCTTGAGATTCGAGAGGTCGAAATCGCGTTTGGGGACCGCGCCAGAAGCTTCTATCTCCAAGAGCAAGCGAGGAGAAACCCCCATGAATGTGAGCTTAAATCTATCGCATATGCGAAGCATTTGTGTCGCATCCGGGAACAAGGGGCTTCCATTATAAACAACAAGTGTTGAACCGGCTGTCAAGTGGCCACACATGCCGTAGAAGGCAACCCACGACGTGCTAGTATACTGTATGACCGTATCGTTTGAAGTCAAGCAGTTGTGGAGGACCGAGATTTTCTTGGACTGCAGAACAATTCCGTGCTGGTGGACTATGCATTTCGGGGCTCCAGTTGTGCCAGAGGAATAGCATATCATCAAAGGATAGTTGAAAGGGACTCTTTCAAAAGTTAATTTGTCCGAGGGGCTTGATTTTTCGAAAAATGAACTCAGGCTTGCGAACTCTCCTTCATAGTCCACCGTTATTGGTACAATGTATACTTGAAGCTGAGGTTGAAGTTCAGCAACAACCCTCTGAATCTTCGGCACGGTAGAGACTGCTTTGCCTCGATAGATAGAGTGGCTATCGAAGAAGAGAATACTTGGTGTGATCTGTTTCAATCTCGTAATACATCCTTCAGCCCCAAGTTCGGGACTTATAGATGTGAAAATAGCCCCCATCGATGCAGCAGCATGAAACAAAACAATAGCCCATGGCGATGTCGCCACGATAGCCGCAACTCGATCTCCTCGATTGATACCACTATTCTTCAGTGCACTAACAGTCTTTCTAATCCTTTCACGGAAGTCTCTCCAAGTCACAAGGTCTGCCTCGCTTCCGTAAATATCCTGGCCTTCCCGAATTCCAATCAAGGCGAGAGCACCCGGGTTGGCATTTGAATAAATTGCATTCTCCGCGTAGTTGATCTCATGTCCTGCAAAAAACTCGGGGATGGAGCTTAAAGGCAGGTTTTCATCGTAGGCGATCTTGGTGGTTGAAGGAAGGGGAGGCGTAAGGTCCAAATAGGAATATATATCAATCCAGAAATTGTTCGGCTCCTCGATAGACCACTCATGGAGAGCTTTTGTATCCCTTATGTTTTTTCCGAATTTTTCATTGACATGATGACGGTATTCGTCCATGGCTATTTTGCCTTGGCGCTGCGATGGGCGCCATAGAACCTCGGGCTCAGAGGATTCGATCGCCATGTTGAAGACAGAGTAGATCGATTGGTAGGATATAAATGACTCTCAATAAGATTGGACAACCCCAGAAACTAGTAGATGAATGAGGATTTATATCCTTTAGATGACCGGCGTCTCCTGATCACTGATTTCTCGGCATCTCCTTGTTGATTTTGGGAAACAGCACGTCATGAAGTCTTTCGGTAAACTCGGCATTCTCGGTAGTATCGGTAGCATCACTAGAGTATGAACAGCTTAAGGTTCAAACTAGTTTGGAGTCATGAGGAGGGACCTAGCGAAATCTATCAAGAGAATGCGAAAACTTCCACTACTCCCTGGGCCAGACTCTAAGAAAGCATTTCGAAGGCAAAAGGGAATCATGGGCTTCAATGTGACATAAATCCTAGGAGACAAAATATTGAAAATCCTCAGAAGCGGACCACGGGACAGAATTTAGGAAATTCTTGGCTCTTAATTTGAATATATACTATCAATAGTGACTTGTTTGCTACCAGTAGTACCAGACAAAGATATTCAAAAGGGCTAGTACTAGTATACCACAGACATTTTCGAAATTGCCTTGACCAAAATATACTCCCAGTGCCAGTGAGACCTATCTCTTGTCTAAGCACGCTGCCAAGGCCTTAACTCAGATCATTCATTGAGCGGGCTCACGCTGAGTTGAAGATGATTATATAATAGTATATCTTGTATTACATCTTGAAGTATGGCATTTCATCTTTGGTATTGTGTCTCCCCAGAAACAAGCTTTACGCGTCCAGGACCGAGTTACCCGTCGGGCCAACACAGATAACATGCCCGAAAAGAGCGTCACTAGCCTCATGCAGATTCGAACAGTCCTCATTCACCCAACGGTTATACTCCCGAATCGCTGGGAGTACCAACCACGGTTCCAAGTCCAACTCCCTCTCAATCGAGTCGCACGTATCTCCTTCCTTCAGGGTATATGTCTTACATCTAAACGGGATACACACCCTCGTACCTTCAGGAATAGAGAAACAGTCGATAGGCTGCCAATTCATCCCTTTGACAAGTGCCGAGGCAACCTTGAACTGGGTCGCGATGCTGTTGCATGTATCGCCCGCTGAAGTAGTGTATGAAAGACTGCTCGCGCAGTGCGGGGTCCCGAAGTACGAGGTCCGCTCTACATGTGGGCTTTCAGAAACAATGAGCTTCGGCATGGCTGTTGGGTGGTTGAGGTTGCAGACGTAGTTGATGTGTTCAAGTTTCAATTTGTAATTTCTGTCGTAGAGGGAGTATGGGGACTTTTGCATCATTTGGTGCCGTTGCACGTTGCAGAAGGAGCAAATTTCTTCAACCAGCATTCCATGGGTGGGAGAGGTTGTGAAGTCGTCGATAACATCTGCAATCATAATGTAAGTGAGCACTACGCCTATACCAATCGAGGTGGATGAAGAAAAAAGATCCTACCACCACAATATTTCTCTGTCTTCTCATCTCTAAGACAGGTCTCGTTCCACCCTGCCCACAACTGCCCACCCCGCTTGGCCGGAATAAGGAGCCTTTCCTCTAACGTTGTGCAATCGCGCTCGACGCCCTCAAAATATGCGGCGATGGACTCCCCGCAGCCGCTGTCACAGACAAGATCGCCGAGTGTGTCATTCCTCAGACCCAGACCCCACTCTCGACGCCCAAATCGCCGCCCCAATGATCGCGTCTTCTTGTGACATTGAATCCTCTCTGTCATGGATGCCCTACATGCTGGGCTGAGTTTTGCTAGCGTTTTGGCGTCAAATTTGTGAGTTTCGCTCCATAGTTGGAAGCCACGGAAATCGGACTGGGAGCTTGTATCATCCGCGGAAGTTTCTAGTGTATGTCGGTGTTGATCAGGGTAATGAACGGCGGGCTCGGGTTGCCTTGCTAGTTGGGCGAACGTAGCACCGCACAGCAGGACTGAAGCAGATAGTATACCAGCGCCTCTCATCTTGAGGCGACAACTCTAAGCGAATACGATACTCGATCTGTGCTATCGATTAATATAGTGTCATTCTCTAGAACCGGGGTGGAGGGCTTTTTATCAGCCTCAACTCGAGTGCTCTACTCGTATGAATTGGAGGGGGTACGCCAGCGAGCTTAAGCGAGATGATATATGCCACATTTCCCAGGTCAATGCGCGGTGATTCGCCCTGAAGTAAGAATGGCTTGCCGCCAAGCTAATAGCTTCCTGAATCAAGGGTCCGCGCTAAGGGCCTAGGCGGTGGGGCCAGTAAAGAATTTCTCAGTGTGTGTGTATTGGTCAAGGCGATTTCGAGAATGACTGTAAGTGTTATTGGAATTTAATGCACTAAGATCGATACGAAAGAGTCGCATTATGTGGGGGCTAACAGCTATTTGATCCAATTCTCCCTATAGAGTATATTGGAATCCCGGTACTCCTTCGAGAGCCTTTTCTTCTTGAGAAGCTTTCTTATTTAGCCTCTTGAGTTGTACAGACAGCCCTCCCACTAGTAACATAGTAAAAACGCAACAACTGGGAATATTTTGTTAGCGAGAACAATCGGGGAAATGTTTGAAACTCACGTTAGACAAGCATATATACCAGGGAGGTATTTTGGAGCATCCTGAGATCTAAAGACCAATGCGCCAGTAATGCCGCCTGTGCCTCCAAATATCACCATACTGGCGCTTGAAAAAGATCGCTTCCACTGCCCACAGACATTGTTCGCCTGCCATGCCATCACACATGGGAGCGAACTTTGTGAAGCTGCAGTGACAAGAAAAACACCAAAATACTGGATCCCTGATGATTTAGTCCAGGCCATAAGACACAAGCCGCAAATGCTCTGTAGGCAGTTCCATATAATCAAAGGACCCCGGGAGCGATACTTATCACCCAACCAGCCCTCGAAAAACATGAATGCAGCAGCAAACAGGTAAGGCGGAGTGCTTAGCACTTGTGATATACCGACATCGAATCCCATTTCTCTATTCAAAATAATTGGCAAGAAAAAGGCGATCGCATACGCGATCACAGTGTTGGCACTTGGAGGCAGTTAGTACACATGGTTTTAATAACCCCCGATTCATAACTTACTAGAAAATGAAGCAATAGCCCCAAATCTTTAGATCCAGTGCTGGCGTCAAAAAGCTGCGCCAACTGAAGGGCTCTTCTTTGACGTCCGGTCGGTCGCTTTCGAGGATTCGAATGATGTGTTTAATTTCTTGGGGACTAAGAAACCTCCAACTATTCTGTGCCTTCTGGGGGAAGTCGACAATCAATAGCGCGCCAATTACCCCAATCAAACACGTTAGTACCCCCTCCCAGATAAAGATATACCTCCACCCCGACAGACCTCCGACACCATTCATCTGCATGAATCCGTAGGCAAGGACACCTGAAAAGGAAGATCCTGCCAAGCTAATCAAATAGAAAGATGCGTATCGTTTATGCACGTCATCTGCGATGTATCAGTAGTGATGCGAAGATTCAAATCAAAGAAGACTAACAACGGCGATACCACATTTGCAGGAGAAGAATTGTTCCAGGGAGCAATCCAGCCTCAAAAATGCCAACAAGGACCCGAAGAGCAACAAGCTGCTTCCAGTTCTTTACGAAGCCAAAGCAGAGCATTATGATTCCCCATAGGAGAACAGCACCCGGTAGAAAGATACGCGGACCTAACTTCTGCACAAGGATGGCACTGGGCCATTGACACATAACATGCGGAACAAAGAACATGATGATGCTCAGTGACTTTTTAACTTTAGCTTGCTTTTCAATTCCCATGTTATCGAATGGTCACCTACATAGCGAAACCCTTGATCCAGTTCGAGCTCCTTGGACATCCCAGCAATATTTGCAGAAGCAAGGTTAGTTCGGTCCATCAAAGACACCGCGAACATGAGACCAAGTGCTGTGATCAAACGACGATCAATTTTGCGAACAATATTCTTTTCCTCGGAAGGCGCAAGTTCATCTCCATCGGACTCGTGCGGTGCCAGAATGGCCTTCTCAAGGTGTTCGGTCATTGCTTTTTCGGTGTCGGGATTACTTGTCTTCATATTGCGGACTCTGAATTGCCTTTTGGGAATGATGTGAAGATCTTCCCTTGACTGGGGGCGGAAAGTGAACAAATATGTCATCCCCGGACTTTTTCATGTCGCATCTCGGCAAGCTCGGTTGTCGTACAAGAAGCGCCCCTACCGAAGCGGAAGCTTGCAAGACCTCCCCCGCATTTTCTACCCCATTATCAAAACTTAAACTGGATAGTTCTGGCTCGGTAGCTGTAAGCCTGCCGAAAATCTCGGCAAGGAAGATAGAAAGTACTCGGCGTTCACATAGCGATTGGCAGATGGCCAACGCAATATATAGTCTCTCATGGCATTAAATATTGCCTGGCAGTGGGTATCAGATTTCAAGGTTGCTGCCCAGGTGTATACTTCAAGCTTTTTCAAAGAAATTGATATTTTCCTCTTGAACAATTCCACGACTTAAGTCAAAGCAAAATGTCTGACTCTACAGTCTACGACCCCAAGGATAAGCAGTTGGCGCTGGATTTCGCCTACATGGTAAAGACATCCAAAAGTTAGACAAATATAAGGTGGTGTTGATGACTGACAATATTAAGTATGGCTATCCTCTCCTAGAGTACGGAAAGTTTGTAGCTCGAATGCCAAATCCCACTACAAACAAGCTGAACCATGGCCGACGGCTTTCAACATCTAAAGATCACCAAGTAATCCGACCTAATTCGGATACGCTTTATACAACTATCTTCATGGATCTCTCGTCGCATGATCTACAGATTGAAATACCTAGGATCGAAGAACGCTATTGGTGCTATTCATTCTATGACATGTTCGTATCTCTTAAATCTTGCAACGGCTCTAGCTTACTGATGACCCTTTACTAGGTACGGTAATAATATTGCCAATATTAGTAGCCTTCAGGGTCATCGCCCAGGAAAGTGGTTAATCCGCTTTTCTGATACAGACTTTGGTCTTCACATTGGTTCACCAACGGGAGGAGACTATGAGGGATGCGCCAATCTCCCCACCCCCTATGGCATATCCATCGCGCGCTTCGCGACGGATCAGTCAATCTCAGATCAAACCCTCGTGAATAGATATCAGAATCAGACGCAACTCGTTTGTATTCCACGAGCTGAGCCTATCGCGCCTCCCTTTCAGCTATCTATCTTCACAGCTCCTGAAAACAGTGCCTCTGAAAAAGTCTCTATCGCCGAAGCCGTCATGCGCTTGACTGCAAAGCTAGCACCGCATAATCTGTCTCCGATACTGGGGGATAGAAATTGGATTTCCCTCGCCCTGAAGCAAAGCGGCATGGAGAACGGTGTCTTTGATTGTGCCAACAGCGCCGATATCTCACATGTGTATGATACCGCTGAAAAGAAAGCCCAGGCTGATCTCGATGCAGCTGGCGGTAGCCTCGACCACGGAAATGGCTGGAGTTCAGCGTATCCTGAATACCTCGGGAACTTTGGTTCGCACTATGCGGCCAGGTATTCAATTGCCAAGCGGGGTTACTTGGCCCTGACAAGCGATCAGGCCATCTACCCCTCACTCTCACGCGCTTTGAAGCTCCAACCTGACGAGGCAGTCTTGCTACGATTTTCTCGTAAGCCGGTTCTAGTTAAGACGGGATTCTGGAGTTTGACCGCATATGATGCTGAGCAATATCTTGTTCCCAATACTATCAATCGGTATTGTCTTGGTGACCGAGACAACATGACATTCCCTGACGGAACTGCGCTGAGTGAGAACGACAAAGATGGCGAGTTCTGTATTTTGTTGCAGCCTGCAGATATTGCACCGCCAAAGGAATGGAGAAATAATTGGTTGCCGTCTCCGGCGGGAGGGGGGAAAATGTCGATCACGCTGAGATGGTATGGTGCCAAGGAGGAGATGATGACCAAGGCTTACGAGTACCCTCGCTTGAAGTTCATCAAAGCAATTCCTGAGCCAACGAAGTCGATGTTGTGAGTTTGATTCAGTTTTGCTATTTGCCTCTTTGAGTTGACGTTTGCACGCTTTTGGCTCGATAAGTTGTTTCAGAAGAGAATCGTAACTTAACCACTCATCCTTGACGAATTGAATAGTAGATAGGTTTTCGAGTATCAGCCCAGACTCTTCTTGTCTCTCAGAGACGTGAAATTGAATTCGAACGATTTGGTGGAATTTAGGGACAGGGGTTGAAATCGTCCAGATTAAAAAAGTTCTCAATGGACCAGTCGGTAAAATTCTCGAAAAGTCCGCTCGGAAACTCATCCGCTTCCATCGTGTAGAGTAAATCCATCCTCGGACTTATTTCCTTTTGAAATGGGAACAATTCGTGAATTCTTGGTATGGTCGCATAAGCTCTCTCATTTGACGACCAGGGATATTTGCTGGGCTCGTGTAGCCCAAATAAAGTATTGGAGGAGGCACCGTGAGATATGATCTCGGTTCTGAATCTTCTTATCTTTTCAAGAACAGCTCCTGCGCCGGGGAACTTTATTGTTCTCTCTGCCATGATCTCGAGAAGAATATCTAGTTCTTCGAGGGATAGAGGGTCAACGCCTGGATCGTGGTCTGCGATTGTGACTGTATTGCTTTCATGGCGTAGACTGCTCAATTGTGGAAGAGAGGCTACCATCATGGACCAATTGTTGATAGGCATGAGGTAATTGATGTCATCTCGGTAGTCCATTTCTTGGTATAGGCGAATAATACAAGAAGACGCCACGAGGGATATTGTGGATATGACCGAAGGGTGAAAGAATCTGCCATGCACATGAAAAAAGGATATAACGCAAGTAAAATACCAAGTGAGAATCTCATAGAGAGCACGGTCGTATATCAGTCTCCCTGAGTTATCAAAGATATGAAGGTGTAAGGTCATATCCCCAACCCAATCTTTGAGGTCCGAGAGAATGGCTAAGGCCTTTTCGAAATTTGCCGTCGGATCACGCTGTTGGAGAGGCAACATCTGTGCCAATATAGTCATCAACTTTGTGTAAAGAACAAACTGAAGAGCTTGTCCATCTTCGGGATTCTCGAAGTCGGTCACCGAAGGTGGGAGTAGATCAAAGTCTTGTGACTGAATCATTTGAGGTCGTCCGAAACAAATTGTATGCAGTTTGTCTTGTGCATATAGAAACCAGGCTATGCGGCGAGCACAGCCCGGTGAGGATCTCTGTGAGTATGTTGACTCTTTATGAAGTCCGATCTGAAACGCGAAACGAATGGCGAGTCCAAGCCAGCTCCAGCCAGAATCAATTGTCACAACAGCCGGGGGTGTGACAGTCCATAGAGTTAGTAGACATACGGATTTGAGTATGGTAAGTGGATCATGCTCATGATTCGAGTAGAAAAGAGCCTTGGCTCTTGCATAGAACCTTTCACTTTCCACAAGGCTTTTTGTTGATTTTGGGTGACGGAGGACAGAGCCAGCTAAGCAGAGAGATTGCTGCAGAAGAGTCGACGAGCAGACAGAAGCAACGTCTTGATGGTCCACCACCGGAATTCGATGATACAGATATTTGAAATACAAGGAGCTCAGAGCTTCCGTCATTGATTTGGGGGGTAATTGATCAGCTCCCGTCGATATTTGTATTTGTGCCTCGATCGATTTAGATAGAACCCCAACTACAGCTGGGGTTTCGCAAGAAAGGGGGCCTTGGGTAGATAGCACTGAGAACTCTCCTATATAACCTTGGTTGTCCGAAGTGGCCGGCGACGAATGAACTGGAGGGGCAGAGCCTGGAATCTGTTCGGGAAATCGGGAAACTTCCCCATCCTGGATTAAAGAGGGTGATGGCGAGGTTGTCCCCACACTGTCCTGCGACGAGAGGCCAGACGTCACAGGGACTTGGGATGGTCGGTGACGCCGGGGCTTTGATGGCTTCGGCTGTTCTCTTTTGCGGCAGATCTCGGCGCGCTTCTCGCAGTTTGTGCAGATTCCTCCATCGCGGAGGTGCAGAATCAGGTTACATTTGACTTTACGTGCATGGCATCGCTGACATACCACCCTTGAACGACTCCGGGGTATTTGCCGATTCCCAGGAGATGGTACTGCAGCCATTGCACTTTGAACGCGAAAACGATTTCGACGGTGTCGATCAAGGAGGTTGTTGAACGATCATTCTGAATATTTCCCGCGACCTCTCCGCCGAGGTTAGAAAGTGGCAGCCCCTCTCCTGCGGAGGTTTCCACTGTTTGCTGGTCAAGCCATCGCACTTACCCCTCACGGACCCACCAAGCCCAGCAGCTTGAGGCATCGGATGATATTTTCGACTCTTGAGTCTTAAATAGTTAGTTTAAACAGTCCAATATGAGTCAGAGCTTTCAGTAATTGGTGGATAGCTCATGACTACCACAGCATGATAACTATCAGTCTGAGTATGTACAAAGTATCGTGACATTAACCATCTAGTATGAATTCAGAGCTCGGCATTTGTCAAGACACTGTTCCCCTTTTAAGTCCCAGAGCTACGAAGAGTGAATAAATACTAAGCAGAAAGGGACATCCAACCCGTGCCAGTGCCGACTGAACAATATACTACTAGTACGTCCCAACAACGAACGCGTAGCAGTGGATACCATTCTAGATACAAATCAATTGTCGCCAGGCTGGGATCCAGAATAGTTCAAGTCCATTTCTTTTTTTAAAAAAGAACATACAGTAGCTATTACATGGAGGTGGACGATACCGGAAGTCTCTATCTTGGCGGGCCTAGTGAGATTCATGTTGTTGCCAAGGTCACCAGGTTCCAAGAGGGGTAGGTCCTATACCAAAGTACTCGCTAAGATACAATTCCTAGGAAAGGCATCTATCGCAAATCAACTTGGAGACATTTCAGATGCTACCTTGACAAGAGAACAGGAAGCTTCACTGTTGAAATGCCATGCTCGTTTGGGGTCGGAATGGGCGACATCCTCTCAAGTCATCCGAAGCAAAATCTACCTCTCAGTCATAGCAGTGGGTTGCACCAGATACGGAGGAAATAGTGGATTCTCTTACCGTCATTCAATCTATTCTCTGCGAGAACCTTGGAAGGAACCGCTCTCTCCATCAGTCTCTCTGTGCAACACCGGGCATGTTGACGATAAGCCGAAGCGACGCTGCCACCGTTTAATTTAAACTTGAACTTGAATTCATTGAAATCAACGTCAGTGCAGGGTTCTAACCGTAAGAGATATAGATCCTGTAACCAGACCCACCAGGGATCAATATCCAGATTGAAAATCTCATTCAAATGTCAACGCTTTGTCGGTCAGTCTGTGCGTCTTGATCATGTAACAGTGATATTCCCCGACTCCCTCCATCATCCAGCCCCCTTCTAGCCCCCTCGCAGTTTCTCGCAGTCCTGTGGGAGGGTGATTGCGTGGCGGCGCCACTGTTGTGAGGCGTTGCTGGGACAACCAGATGATCTCACCAACCATTTGGTGCTGAGATGCAGATCGGCCACTCGGCAATCTATTTTGTTCTCCCACATTTGTAGCCCGCTAGCCAATAATAAATTAAAGTAATATAATTTCCTTGGAAATAGGCAGCCAGCGCGGGTGATTGGTGACTCCACACGCCATCGAAGGTCGAGGCCTACAGTGTGAGCCTTAGTGTTAGTGTTAGTGTTTACATCCACCTCGGACTGCGGACTTCTGAACTTCGGCCGATCACACCTGGTCCTGCTTCTCGCCCTTTCCTTTCGGCTGCCTTCTACTCTTGAAGGGAAAAAGAAATCCCCTCGACTTGAGAGAGCTTCAAGCTATACCAACCCCGAGCTGCAATCCATCCCCTTTTTACCCTGTCAACCGCGTGGCACCATGATCGCCGATCCTGGAATGCATTCTTCCCCTTGATAGATTGTGTCTCAGATTCCCAGGCGTGATGGAACGTCGACGTGTCAAGTGCAGGCCACTGGCCACCGTTCTCTTACTAGCTCTCCTCGATTCCGCTACTGCTATCCCATATACTCCATCGTCGATATTCCTATCCCCGCAGCACAATGACTCGCTTGCCTATATCTTACGCCCCGACTCCGATGCGGGCAAGACGCAGTTCCTCTCCCTCAACATCTCGGATGTCGATACGACCAGTCCATCCTTCAGTACCTTGCTCGAACAGACCCCCTTCCAAAGCACGGAACAAAATTCGGCCTTTGTCCCCGCCATCGACGACCGGGGAACCATTACCGTCTATACTGGAGACTGTCATAGTTCAGATCAAAGATCATTATGGCGGTTCAAACCCGACACTGGCAGCTCCATTGGCAATGGAACCTGGGATCAGATATCCATAAGCCCGGACGACATAAAGACACAGCCGAACTACCTGGCCGCCGGATTTGCATTCGCGACGAGCAATAACAGCGACACTTCGATGTACTCATTTGGTGGGATGTGTCCATTCTCAAACAGTACGGATGAAACCTGGATATCGGCTGCAAACTACTCCCAAACGATGGTAACCCTGGCGCCAAAGTCTAAAGGAAGCAAGGAATATGAGGCCGCCATTACTGGAGATCGAGCTCCCCCCGTACCCGAAGCGGGCATGGCGGTTGTTCCGCTGGCGCCTTCGTTTTCGCCGACGGATGTTCAGCGAGACTTTCTGTTCATTGGTGGACATACTCGACAGGCCTTTCTCAACATGTCTCAACTGGCCATTTTCTCCGTTCCCCAGGAGAGCTGGAGTTTTGTGGACGTGAATACGGAAAATAAGCTACGAACCGAGCTCGCGATTCGCGATACTGCTATCGTGGAGCCGCGATCTGGTCATGCCGCTGTACTATCTGAAGATGAGAACAAGATTTACGTGATTGGAGGTTGGGTTGGAGATACATCTACACCAGCCGAGCCACAATTCGCCGTTCTCGAGCTTGGGGCGGGATATGGCGGCTCCAACGAATGGACTTGGAAGATCCCGTCTTCAACTACTACTTCCGAAGAGCTGGGCATTGCTGATGGAGCCGGGTTGTTTGGACACTCTGCAGCTTTACTTCCCGGCAATGTTCTTATGATCGCCGGAGGATACAGTATTCCAAAACAATCCTCCAAGCGTGCAACCTCATCGCAACACAACTCTCAAATCTACCTTTACAACGTTACTTCAAGCAGCTGGGTGAAATCCTACTCAAACCCCTCTACCTCCCAAACAGCTTCATCAGCTTCACCAGTGAGCTCGAAATCCCACGGCGGCGGTCTCTCCTCCGGCCAGAAAGCTGGCTTGGGGGTCGGGTTGGGAATAGGGATCCCCATAATTCTCCTGATCGCACTCTGTGCTTGGAAATATGACCGCAAACGTCGAGTCAAAGGGCAACGAGACTCGCAACTCCGCGAACTCGCCCTGGGAGCCGAAAGAGCTCATTTCTGGGGCCGCGATGATCCCAACCAAGCGAGCAGTATTCGCAGTTCCCAAATGAGCGAGAGACACGACAGTGGTGTTGCATACTCGTGGTCAGGAAATGAAAGCCTCAGATCAAAGCCTTCTTGGAAGCCGCGAGATCAAACCGACGCTACTGCAGAGCAGACTGGTTTGCTTATGGATTCCAGTCCAACAAAGAACAACCGCCCGATAGTCGGTCAACAGCGGCCTTATAGCAACAACAGAATGTCCGGGTGGGCACGCCGTCGAAGCGAAGCCGCCAGTGATATCCATCCCATCGACGAACGGGAAGAAGACGAGGCCATTTTCCGAGAACGATTGATGTCAACGATCCCTGCTCAGGAGAGGCCGAAGATACATGACCCCGACGACCCATTCTCCGATACACCCTTCGCTACTCCGCGCAGCACCATCTTCGGCGTCGGCTTAGGTCCGTTCTATACCCGACGCAAGGACGGCGCATCCGTCGACGATGCATCAAAGAGCGACCGGACCTCCACGAATCTATCAGACTCATCAAACTTCTCCTTCTCATCAGCCAAACCCACCGGCCAGGTGAACCAGGCAAGAGGAGTCGTCGTGGACCGCCCTCTAAGCTGGGCAAGCAGTGGCGGACACTCCATCACAGCAGCTTCAACGCACAGCAGGGAAACGACAAACAGCGACGCCGACGGAATGACCGCACAATCTGAAAAGTCCTACTCAGCAGACTCCTACTCAACAGCCCAAAGCACATTCTCCCACCGCCAAGCAGAAAACGAATCCCTCCTCAACGACACTCTCGACACCCCCATAACCCCCGTCGAATCATCTCCCTCCAAACTGGGCCCGGCATTCAAACCTCGCACTTCAGACTGGATGCTCCAAACAGTCCGTCGAGCGCTGACAATCACCCGCCGCGGAACAACCAGCCTAGAAGAAGACGAATCCGCACCCATAGCGTCTGGCGTCGACCGCCGAAGCACAGTCATAGTGTCAAATCCCCAGTCCGGCGGTGCTAACGGAACAAGTACCCCCCCGTCGCACCGTTAGTGCATCAGCAGAACTCTTCCGCCGCAAGCAGGGCGCTAGAGATTGGAATGCGAAGAAACGAATGTCGGATGGACACTTTGCTGGTCCGCGCTCCACTCGCGATGATCTCTACGTCGGTGCTCCGGGGTATCTCGGTAACGACGATACCTGTGACGAGGACTGGGATGTTGAAGGTGCGGCCGAGGATCGCAATGTTCAGATGACATATACCGTTCCGCGCGAGAAACTTCGCGTTGTGAATGGTAATGCTAGCGACAATATCTCCGAGCGCTCTGTTAGTCGGAGTGCTAGTGCTGGCACGCGGATTATTAGTCGGTAGATGAAGTGAATTGACCCGGAAGTATCTTATCCTCAGTTTGACTCGACTCGGCCTCTGCGGATTTATTCTTCAATCAAGTCAACTTCTTGGTGTTCGTCTTCGCTTGTCTCCGAGTTCTTCATTTCGTTTCTTTTCGTTCCGTTCCTCTTTTTTTTCACTTCTCTTGTATCTTTGACTTTGACTTTTCTCAGCGTGCGATGATTCCCTGATGACTGTTTCCTTTTCGGAATGATTGTACAAGATGCTCTTATGGTTATGGATGACGATCGTCTTTGTGTACAAATGGATTGGTACCTTGTGGTATGCTCTTTGTGCAGTGTTGTATGGCTACATAGCCTATGGTGTTTTGATTGGCCTGTTCATGCTCAGGCTTGCCTTTCGAGGGCTGCCGTTCCTGGGCCTGGGCTTGGGCCTGGGCTCCTGTGTGGAGTGCTGGGGTTGTTGGCGCTTTTCTAGATACGATTCGAGTATAAAATGAATTCTCTGGTTCTAAATTCACAATGCAGTAGAACGGTCTTATGTACTAGTTGTTTCTAGGGCTTCTTAGAAAGGATAAAGGGCGTCGTGCTGCTTCTCGAATAAAAAGGTATTCATTGATTCATTGCTCATGCATTCCCATTCAATAATTTTGTTTTCAGCCCAACTGGCGGCTATACAGGATATATCAAACTCCGAAATGAGAATACTTCAGGACCAAACATGTATCCGAAAGTGTGAAAATTGCGACAGTAGGAAAAGGCAAGGGGGTAGGGGAAACGAAACGAAACGAAAGCCGAAAACTCGTCAAAAATGATATCTATGTAACTTCTCATAGTCCATGACAGACTTCTGCTTTTATTTGGAAATCCAAACCATCACATCCCATCACATGCACATCTAAGCACCGTTGGGAGCAGTAGCCGGCTTGGTGGGCAGGGTAGAAGGCAGCGGGGGAAGGAGATTCTTGGCGCTCTCACGAGCATACTGAGCCATGAGGGCATCCATAATAACGAGCGAAGACATAGCCTCCACGATAGGGACGGCACGGGGAACGACGCAGGGGTCGTGACGACCCTTGGCCTCGAGGGTACCCTCACCAAAGTCGTAGGTGGCGGTAGTCTGGGCCTGGCCGATGGTGGCAGGAGGCTTGAAGGCGACGCGGAAGTAGATGGCGGCGCCGTTGGAGATACCGCCCTGGATACCGCCAGAGTTGTTGGTCTTGGTGGTCAGGCGCTGGGTGCCGTCGGCGGAGGTCTCGGTGGTGAAAGGGTCGTTGTGGATGGAGCCGGGAACCTCGCAGCCGCCGAAGCCGGAGCCGATTTCGAAACCCTTGGTGGCGGGGATGCTGAGCATGGCGTGGCCGAGCTTAGCCTCCAGCTTGTCGAAGCAGGGCTCGCCCAGGCCGACGGGGACGTTGCGGATCACGCAGGTCACGGTTCCGCCGATGCTGTCGTGGTTGTCGCGATACTGCTCGATCACCTTGGTCATGCGCTCGGAGGCAGCGGTATCGGGGCACCGGACGGGTGCGAACTCATCGACCTTTTCGCGTGTGATGGTGTCGAGGAGCTTGAGGTATTCGGGGTTGGTGGAGGCTGTGGGGTGTTCGGGGGTGGGAGGGTAAAGGTACTCGTTGCCGACGGAGGAGACGAAGCAGACGATCTCAACGCCGTGCGACAGCTTCAGGTACTTCTCGGCGATGGCGCCAGCGGCGACACGCCCTGTCGATGGTGTTAGTTCGATGTGGCTATCACTGGGTCGACATAATGATAAGTAGCTTACCAATGGTCTCACGGGCACTGCTACGGCCGCCACCGCTGCTGGCCTTGACACCATACTTCTCGAGGTAGGTGAAGTCGGCATGGCTGGGACGAGGGTAGAGGTCCATTGTGCTGCCACCGTAGTCCTTGGGGCGCTGGTCCTCATTACGGACCAGCATTCCAATGGGTGTACCCAATGTGACTCCAAACTCCGTACCGGATTGAATCTCGACTCGGTCCTTCTCATTCCGCGGGGTAGTCAGGGCACTCTGGCCGGGACGACGGCGGGTCATTTGAGGCTGGATATCATCCTCGGTTAGTTGCATGCCAGGAGGAACACCATCAACAATGCAGCCGACTGATCGGCAGTGCGATTCACCATAGCTGGGCGAGGGTCAGCGAACGAGGACGAGAGTCGATTGTGGAGGGGTAATCATACGTGGTGACTCGGAAGTGTTCACCCCACGACGACATAATGGCGGATGAATTGGATTGAAGGCGGATGGGAGATGAATGAGGGTGAGAAAATAGGGAGAGAAGAGGACCGGAGAGAGTCGAAATGCGAAATGCTCCAAAGCAATTGACTCAGAGCTGCAGGCCAAAAGCAAAAAATCGTCCCGGGTGATTGCTGCTGGCAAGAAAATCGACTCATGGTTGACTCTTTGGGACTAGCGCCCCCGAGTATCGGCTCCGCAGTTGCTTCCTTCCGCCTGCCCCAGGTTGACTTTGTTTGTTATTTGATATTGATAGACACTCCCACCCTTCCAGCTCCTCAAATGCTGGTCAGGTCCTGCGCTTTCGCCCGGCTCCACGCCAGATCCCAATGGGTCCGCTATAACTCGTCCTACCCCATCAATCGCTTCGCCGAGCTCGCTAGTCGCCCATCCTCGCGCCACCAGATCTATCAGTCACTATCGACAGACCCTTACGTCAATCTATCGATTGAGCACTTCCTACTAGAGAATGCCCCGGCCGACTCCAGTATCCTCTTCCTCTATATCAACCGACCATGTGTTGTGATCGGTCGCAATCAGAACCCCTGGCTGGAGACCGATCTCCGCGCCCTACACAATGATCGCCGGCCCGAAAATGAAAATATACCCCAGGACGATGCCGCCGTTTTTGTTCGTCGACGTTCCGGTGGCGGAGCCGTCTTTCATGATGAAGGGAATCTCAACTACAGCGTGATTTCACCTCGAACATCTTTTACCCGGGATAAGCATGCGGAGATGGTGGTTCGCGCGTTGCATCGCGTTGGAGCCGTCAACACCAGCGTCAATGTACGACACGATATCGTCATGACCCCAGGGGAAGAGCTACAAAAAGATCCTAATGAGCCACCTACGCGCAAAGTCTCCGGGTCTGCCTTCAAGCTCACCCGCCACCGAGCTTTACACCACGGTACATGTTTGTTGGATTCGCCCAATATCCACGATTTGGGTCGATTCTTGCGCTCCCCGGCTCGCGGACTCATTCAGGCGAGAGGCGTGGATAGTGTTCGGTCACCCGTCGGCAATGTCTCGCGCGATGTGGCCGACTCCTTTTTCTCAATACAGGCCGTGATGGATAATGTCATTGAGGAATTCGCGCGCCTTTATGGAGTTCACTCTGATGCTCTTCTGCGAGCGCGACGCGCTCGTGCTTTGGAGCCCGAGATTTTTGCTGGTGATGACTGGGTGTCGGGTACAGTGGGTGAAGCCCATGAGGAGCAGGAGCCGCAGATCAGGAAGGGTGCTGATGAGTTGCGGGTAAGTGGAAGAATTATCGTGCGGAAGGAGAGTCGACGGCTAAAATCGCAAACAGTCATTGGAGTGGAAATATACACAAACTCCGCAATTCACTTTCTCAACATATCCCATCGAGGACGACCCCCGGGAGCGTCCACCTCTTCCGTCCTCACTTCCCCCTTCGGTAAGCTTCGCCAAAAGAGACAAACCTCTTTCATACATATGCTCACCATTTACTCGCTAGACACGCGCTTTCCTTCGCCTGAAGCACGGAGCTGTCATCGAAAGCAACATCTCGCTTTCCTCAGACGAGACTGTTGCTTCTGAGCAAGCGGCCCGCGTGCACCAAGTCTTGAACGGTCAGAAATTGCACGAGATAACCTTTGAGCGTTGGGTTGAGCTTTTGCAACAAGGTCTTGCTGGTACAGATGAGGCAACCGATTCTGCCGTACAGGAGCTTTCCCGATACCTCGGAGATATGCTCGGAGGCCATTAATTTTGTGATACCCCAAAATCATGTACTATACTATATTTGAGCGTCGCACCTAGTGTATAAATAGATCTGTATCATATTCGCCGCTTCGATAATGTTTGACTACTAGTAGCACTTGCCGACTCGGATGCCCCCACGAAACTCCTCTTCACTACCATTAGCCCCCAGTCCAGGTTAATCTCAGACAGATCAGTATGCCACAGTCCATCATGCACGCTTCACAGATCGGCAACAGGATTAATGATGTCTTTCTCCGGTAACGATCGACATACCATTCTGGCTAAATTGGAGCCATTTAGCCACGACCGAGGCATCTGCTGTCTAGCTTCGTATCATAGCCTAGGAACATCGACTGATTGAATTAGTAGATACTACTTGTACTACTTGCACTTACTGGAGCTATAATTAGATCTGATGTATGCAGATAATCAGCCTTCTCATATTTTTCCATCAACCCATTTCTTGCTTGGGTGAGAGTGTGTACACTGATTCGCCTAGCATCCATGGATGTAACGCTCGATCCGCCAACAAGTAAGCAAAAAGACCCAATGCAAGTTCCAGTACTCCGTATAACTGTATCAAATCAAGCGAATAGATAGTTCCAACAAACTACTCGGCACTTGTATATCCACTGACACTCATCACAATGGTATAGTGGCTGATCCAGCCCAATCTCATCTCACCCGCCAAGCAAGCCCTAATCCCAGCTAAAAACCCCCGCAACATCAAACAAAGCAGGGATCGCCTATTGACCGGCTAATGCTAAAATCTAACCCAATTAGTCCCCATTCGCCTAGATCAGTCGTGAACTCCGTACCCCCATAGCCTGTTACGAATCGATCACACTCTGTAGAATACCTTGATGTCGCATTGAGTGATTCCCCACTATCCTCGCCAACCTTAAACCACCCCCACACACCCCCGCTCATCCAGAAAGCTGGGGAAACAAGGACATCCCCCCCCTTCTGTCCCTTTGTCTCCCTTGGCATAATGCATTTTTCCCGCGCTCTGGGCATGTGCTCAGTCAGTGGCTTTGCATGACTTTGACCTTGCAGAGCGATCCCGGATTCGTGGACCTATTTCCCCCGTCTTTGCTCGCCTTGTTTCGTATCGCTTTCCACCTCTCATGATGGCAATCTGCGCGGGCCAAGCTGCTTGGCCTTTCCACAGTGTGAACTCGGGTGACACCTTCTTATATGGCATGCTCGTCTCGCTCGAGCTCGAGCTCTTTTTTTTCTAACTCCCGCTTTGTCGCAACTCGCTAGATCGATCAGTCAGTACCCGTCGGCTATCCATTGCTCGCTCAGTCCTGCCTTTGGTTCTTTTTTGTCTATTGCCGTCGAGGGATTCAAATAGTCTGTGTTTGCGCGGGATAGTTCTGAGCTGAGCTCCTTCCCTGCCTTGCAGTGAATCTCATTCTTCTTCATCACTCTTGGGGTATCTTTTACTTTCTTTTTGACAAAACAACAGACCTCTGGGAGGTCTTTACTCACTCTCGCCATGTCGTGGATTCTTAAAAAGATCGTCCACAATGAGGCGATGAGAACTGATCCTAAAGAGATCTATGGGTGGAGAGTTTATGCCTTGGCGTGTTCGGTGAGTAGTAGCTAATACCCTTTTACCCATTGTACCTTGTCGTCGCTAATACCTTATGTAGGCATGCTGTGGAGGAATGCTTTTTGGAATGGACTCCGGTATTATCGGCGGTGTCCTAACGATGGATCCATTCAAAGCGTGAGTCACTCCTTCTGGCCCAGGCTATCGAAAACTCATCTAATATCTCTCCTCTTAGGACATATGGCCTGGAAGGTACGGACAAGGTTGCGCTAGCAAATCTCTCAGCCAACATCGTCTCCACCCTCCAAGCTGGATGCTTCTTTGGTGCCCTGATAGCCTCGCCCTGCGCCGATAAATGGGGCAGGAAGAAAGCCCTCATTGGATCTGCCGTGATTGGCATTATTGGAGTCGTTATGCAGACCGCCGCGGCCGGCCATTTGGAGGCCATGTACATTGGACGGTATGTCATTCGGTCCCTCTCAACTCGATATGGGCCAACTAACACCATATCCCTAGCCTTATCACCGGGTTTGGAGTCGGAGCCGCATCAATGATTAACCCTCTCTACGTCTCCGAAAACGCACCCCGAGCAATTCGAGGTGGTCTAACCGGTCTATACCAACTCTTCATAACAATGGGAATTATGCTCGCATTCTGGATCAACTACGGAGCCGTCCAACACATGACCGGAAACTCAACCTACATCGTCCCCCTAGCCATGCAAGCACTCCCCGCCGTCCTCCTGTTCTTCGGAATGCTTCTCTGCGACGAGTCGCCCCGTTGGCTCGCGAAACAAGATAGATGGGAAGAGGCCCGCGCAACGCTCTGCAAGGTCCGCAATCTGCCTCCAGATCATCCGTACCTGGAAGAGGAGTTCAATGCCATTGCGCTGCAGTTGGAGCAGGAGCGTGCTCTCATCGCGGGCTCGGGGTTCTGGGATCTTATGAAGGAGATGTGGCTTATTCCGGGGAATCGGAAGCGTGCGATTATTTCGATTGTTTTGATGATTTGCCAGCAGATGACTGGTACTAATGCGATCAATTACTACAGTCCGCAAATCTGTGAGTTCAACCCCCTCCCCTCCTTCTCAAGAAGTGCCCGCAACTGTTTTCTGAAGTTTGAATTTAACAATTTTCCACAGTCAAGAATGTAAGCTTCAAAGGGCCCATATAACTCGAAAACCAAAATCTAACCACAAGCCACAAACCAACAGCTAGGAATAAACGGCACAGCAACAAACCTCTTCGCAACAGGCGTCTACGGTATCGTAAAAATGGTCAGCTGCGGCGTATTCCTCATATTCGTCGCCGACTCCCTCGGCCGCCGCCGCTCTCTCCTCTGGACATCCATCGCGCAAGGCTTGGCAATGCTCTACATCGGTCTATACATTCGCATCGCACCACCCGTCGAGGGGGCCCCCGTGATTCCCGCCGGCTATGTCGCGCTCGTATGTATATTCCTTTTCGCGGCGTTTTTCCAATTCGGTTGGGGGCCCGTGTGCTGGATTTATGTTTCTGAGATCCCGACTGCGAGATTGAGGTCGTTGAATGTTGCGTTTGGTGCTGCGACGCAGTGGTTGTTTAATTTTGTTGTTGCGAGGGCTGTGCCTAATATGCTTGCTACTGTTGGTTCAAACGGATACGGGTAAGATTATCACCTTCAAGTTGTTTTGAAGTTTCCCTTGGCTTCCTGTGGCGGGCCATTTCACTGACCTCAATTACAGAACATACATTATTTTCTCCTGCTTCTGCTTTTCGATGTTTATCTTCGTCTGGTTCTTCATTCCGGAGACGAAGGGTAAGTTGAAGAAATTTCGCTTTTTCTTTGACAAGGGGATCTTTTACTAATTTCTGGTTTTAGGTTTGTCTCTTGAGAAAATGGATGAGCTCTTTGGCGTTACCCAGCTTGTCCAGCACAAGAGTGCTGATCCCGAACTCGCCGGAGAATACGGTGACAGGACGGTGAGTATTGATCAAGGAGACAAGGCTCTTGAGGCGAATGATCAGCCGACCCAGGCTCATCGTGAGCATGCGGTGTAGGAATTGATGCATGTACATGGAGATTATCCGAGTCTTTGATAGTAGTCTTGCAATACTACATAAATTGGGATTACACAGGCTTCGAGCCCTAGCCCCGTTCAATGAGTGAAAATATTAGTCCAGCGCTTCCTTCCAGTCCGTGTAGAGGTGGACCAAAACACTCATGAAAGATGCGACTGTTCTTGCCTCTGTCGGAACCGGGAATATACTAATAGCCTGCGAAAGACCACTTTTAATACTAGACGACATTGATGATGAGTTGAACTTATTAGCCATTCCATAGAATTGATCAGCTGCTCACCCAGCAGAGTCAGCACGAAGGAGCCAGTGATGTGTTCAAGTTACGATACTACTAGTACCTACATTCGTCTATACGGTCGTACCTACTCTGCTTAGTTCCTTCCCTACCAGTCACCAAGTCCATTGTAGATATAAACAGACTTAGTAGTTTCTCCAGTGCCTCATGTTTTCTTCTTCAGCATCTCCTCAAGCCCCATTGCCTCAAGATGGAGAGCATTCCCAAGAACCTGGTGGTTATCACCACCACCACCACCACCACCACCACCACTACCAGACTCACTCCCCAGGACTGGATGTCCTGAAGGCTTACGCAGCCCCCATCAACATTATGGTGGTCATAGTGCTGTTGCTCACGGCAGCAGTGTAGTTCTGTTCGAGGTCCCCTCTCCCTCCTCAGCCGAACAAGGCGCTTACTGAGCCCCAAGAGGGTAAAAACACCTCGTACGTTGAAAATAATGGTCTCCGTGAAACTAGAGCCTTTTGCGCACATTCTAACATATCGTGGCACAGCCCGCCCCCGACTCCCCCTGGCGCCGCGTCTCCCGTTTCTTCAATGCCGGGCAGTGGCCTCTGCCAGCACCCTCGCCCGCAACATCGCCCACGGCACAGGGCAGATCTAGACGCCGTCAGGGCCACTGGCGTTCCTCTGGTGATTTTTGACCGTTTTTGCTTCTTTCCGAGAACCTTAGCGAGGTAAAACGAGGAAAAAACGTGTACTTTGTATCACATTCCCCCATGGTTTTCTTCTTTTGTATATTCTATATTGTATATGATTATCCTAACCTGTTGGGCCTCTTCGGAGCTCACCATGTCTGAATGAATGCTGTTGGCCTTTCGAGGCACCTTGATTTTCCCTCTGGGCATGCAGTTCGCTGTTCACTGTAGCCTCGAGCCTGAGTTACATATTGTAGTTAGTATCTTCAAGTCTACACCAAATCGAGCGATGTCAAGCTACCATGGGAGTATAGCTCTATAACCCTTTTCAGACTCCAGAGAGCCGCAAACTGTGTTTTAGGTACAATACATTCCAGTGAGGCTGATTCTGCCAGAAATTGGCAAAGCCATGGATCATCCCACTTTTTACGGAAGTATGCCAAAATTGGCACTGGTGTAAGAACAGAAAGATAATTCTAGATTCAAAAATGCGGCATTTAAATCGCTTGAGTTCAAACTTTCAGTGAATTCCACCCAATTTTAGGCTTTTTATATCCTGAAACTCCTTAGTGTTATATTTGCTTCAAGTTGAGTCCTTCGCGACCGAATCCACTTTGCACATTACCAAATCCATCTATTTCAACGACCCACTGCTTTTGAGTCAAGACAATTGACAACCCGTGTCTATCAGCCCAGTCCAATCCAATGATAGAGGCCCTCGAGCGCCTGGCGCAGCTCATTTGATTAACTCGAGCAGCTCACCCGTACGGGCATCCCATCTCATGACAGTGTTGTTATCGAAGCCAGAACCGAACAGTTGACCGTCCGGTAGGAAGGTGGCATTATGAACCTCATTGAAATGGCCGTCGAGCGTATGGCGCAACTCGCCCGTACGCGGATCCCAGAGCTTAACCGTATCATCACAGGCGGCAGACGCCAGCATTTGACCGTCCGGTGAGAATTCAACTGAGGTAATCCAACTGGAATGGCCCTTGAGTGTTTGGCGCAGTTCGCCCGTCCGGGGATCCCAGAGCTCAATAGTGTTATCATCTGCGCCGGACGCCAGTAGTTGACCGTTCGGTGAGAAGGAGACTAAGTTAAGCCAACTGGAACGCCCATTCCATGTTCTTTTAACTGTAGATAGTTGATTCCAGGTTGATAATTCATTTTTGAAATTTCTCCTGATTATAGAATCTTCTGAAATAAACACCAGCCCTGCTGAGTAAAGCTGAAGGGGTGCAGTGTCAGCTATCTGCTGATTTCGAAGAATAAAATGCCAAGCGTCATGCAAGAAGCCCGATATTTCATGATCTCTTTCAGCCTATCTTCGTCAGTATGGGCTAATGCACTCTAGGAAGGACTCTAACTCTGCGTACCTGCATTGCTAAGCGTAGTCTCTGGATCATTTCAATGACTTCGGATATGATACCCAGAAGGCTCATCGCTTCAACCCAATGGAGAAAGTGTGATTCAAGAAATGAGAGAGCATGAGTACTAAGCTCATTGGCCGAGCTGTGGCTCTGTACCAAGTGATGTACCCAATATCGGCAGGCATATTGCAATTCCGATGGTAGGCAGCGATTGATAGTATCATTATCAACGTTGTCTCGCTGTGTGGTATCATTTTGCAAGTTGCAGATATTCTTTCGTAGTCCATAATGACCATCTTGCATGACCTTGAGGCATTGTACAGTCAGTTTCTCATGCACCAATCTCCCATCTACCCAGAATGGCTTTCCTTTCTGTTTGTTATCGAGAATAAAATCTCGAAATGAAATATGTAAGATCCGGACCGGCTCATCTGGCCTGGCAGGAACATCAAGGACCGAGTGGAACAGTTTGAATTGTTTCTGGATTTTGTCGGTTTCCATCTTCAGAAGCTTCGCAAGGGAATTTGCCGATAACGGAGTAGCAAGAAGAATGAGAATTCCGATTGTATTCTTAAACCCGTGTACCAGTTGTCGGGATTCCTCTTCATTCTCATTTGAGAGAAGTCGATTTAATATGGGAGTATATATACCCTCCATCTTTGCAACGTATTTAGTTTGGTCACTGAGGATAACTTCGAGGCGCTCTGTAGCGCTCCAGCGGTCGTCACTGATGAATCGAAAAAGCGTAGTGATGGAAGTGAAGGATGGGATAGCTCTCTCGACTAGTGTATTTATCGTCCTGACCCCTGGCCAGTTTGTCGGGAGGTCGCGCTCTTGCTGCAACCGCAAGAATTCATTTTCAAAATATAGTCTGATATCGTGTTCTATCACAGGACTCGAGATCTTGTGGATCATCAGATGTTGATGATGATCTATAGTACCTTGGAACCCCAGCCTGATGGGTAGATCCGGTCTGCTTGTTAGCAGAAATCGGAGTTGTACTGAGCGTGATTCCTGCACATATGGTAGAAGTTCGAGAATGTCTCGGACATGATCAACTTGGTCGCATTCATCTAGTGCATCAATCACGATCAGCATGATTGAAGTTGAGCCCGAGTTAAGGGAAATGAGTGGCTGCAGTATGAGCTTCTCAAATTGTTCTTTAGGCACTCTTCCTGAAATATCTGGATCGTCCTTAATTGCATTTTGGATGCTGGGAAGAAGCTGAGGTATAGTACCTCCTAATTGTTTCGCCAGCGTCGAAAAGAGCAGTTTTGCATTTCCTCGGTCTTGTTCGCCCTTTTTAAAGAAGAAGCTTGCCCCAAGGATACCCTGCTCCTTCAGACGACTGGAAATAGTCCGAGCAACAGTTGACTTTCCTGTTCCAGCCATGCCAGTTAGCCAGAATATGCATTTCCCTTTATGAGTCTCGATCCAGTGATCAATTTTGCGTAGTAGCTCCACCCGGGTTCCTGGGAGGCATTCGGTATGTTGATTTCCGTAGTCGTTAAAGGCCGCGCCTTTGGCGATGTGTAACCGGCTAAGGTCTATCTTCTGGTTGATCAGAAGATGGGTAGATTGCCTGAATTATGAGTTAGCTCCTTCACATCATGATGTCAAAGTGCCAAATTTACACATACGTTTGGTTCAGCAGTAACGATAACCAGAATGAGGTTTTGTATCTCTCGATTTCACGAATAATCTTTGTTACTTCGTCAACTTTCATTGGCCATTCCAAATACTGGAATCCCCATTTCATCATCAGTGTCTGCGTTGTTTCTGGGTCGATTTTGTCCTTTAAACTTTTGAGAATTGCAGAGCATTTGGCGATATTCTCGACCAGATTTTGGGCAGTACTGGCTTTTGTAGGGTTTTGCTTGTGAAGATGCCTTTCGAGTGGTTCAAGTGTCTCGGAGAGGGCGGCGATTTCCTCTTTCAGGCCGAGAATATATTCCCTTGGTTCTTGAATTTTATTGATACTGAGGTAACTCCGACATATTCGAGTGATGGCTCGGGTTAATTGGATGACTGCAATAAGGCTTGTTGCGCTAGAAAGCGATTCCATATTCAAAGTATGCGAGATCGTCAGCAATCTTCTATCAAGGTTGGGAAGCTGGAGAGAAAACGAAGACGGGTCACAGGTTGACGGAGGTGAGGGGTAAGCGCCAAGAGCGAGGCGAGAGATGGTAATGGGCTTTGCTATAAGGTAATTGGTGCACACAGCCAGGTACGGCGCTCCATAAGCGCAGGGTGATGAGTGCGCTAGAGATATGCCATGGTTCACTTCACATGCCACAGCAGAGCCCCGGTCAGGATATCTACTGGGCTACACTAACAATAAGAGATGCCAGAGGAGGGGAGAGTACAAGCACAACAAAACCGAACTGTGTTTCTATCAAATGAAAACCTGGGATTCTAAACTATACGCGGCAAGCCATGTACAAAAGGAAAGGAGCACTTCTTCTAGTTTCGAAAACAAACGAGTATTGGAACTCGGCTCTGTCACATGCGGTCGGAAATTCTGTAAACCTTAAGGAAACAACCCTTCAATTAGCCAAGGGCCAAGTAAGGAGCATATTACAACCGTCAACATGAACACCCTTCGGTCACACTCCTTGGTTTGTACAGGAACTGCCGAACTCTGCGCACCCCTTGGTTCGTGACAAGCACCACCAAGCTCTGCACACACTTCGGTTTGAACCGGTGTACCGCCAAGCTCTGTGACTCGAAGACGTGGTAAACACTCAAGTAAACCTTACCTGGAGAATTTTGCTGAAGCTGAATGAATCGAAAGACCTGTAGGAGAAACATCTTGGGTCAGCCCAATTGCTGGTGAGGCCTACTCCCTCTGTCCAATGCTGCAGCTAAATTCTCGTTCACCCAAAAATCTATATCTACGTGCCCCAGGGTTTCGAAGATGCCTCACCTAAGTTGTTTCACCGCAAAGGGTGAGCACCAAACAAGGCCGGCTGGCAGAACATGGAAGAAAGATGAACACAGATAACTGTTCGGTAAAGACGATTTATTAGTCTGAAGTCAGGACCATTGCAAGATAAGGAATTTAAGATGGATGATGTCCTACTTAGGTGGACAGCCAGAGAGTCTAACCACCGACTTGAAAGTAAACTCCCCTATCAGAGGGCTGACACCATTGACATCACGTTAGCCCAAGTTCTGCCGAAGCATAACGGTCTCTGCGACCACCAATGGTGAAAGGCAAGATCTGACCGGGGTCAGCTTACCTGGAGAGTATGGCCAGGAGGGAAGTGAAACTCTGGAAGTCTGCTAGAAGTTGGAGGAATCTGACACCATTGACAAGAAGTTAGTAAAGCTCTTGTCGATGCACAGGAGTTTATCCGACTGTGCAAAAGTGAAAGGTAAGATCTGGCCGGGACCAGCTTACCTAGAAGACACAACTTCGATCACCAGGCCCTCTGGTTGGAAGACGATTCCGGAACCTAGACAAGAAAGTCCCTTATCAGCATGACGCTGGTAAGGACTTACACCCGTGGCAGGTTGTGAAGTCGGAGTCAAGGGGAAAGGTGTCGAAAGGCCCCGGGGGAATGCGCTTGTGTATAATAAAGGGAAGGGTCGAGGGGGCCTTACCTGGAGGTGCCATTCAGCCGACGTGCCTGATGGATGAATGTTCGGAACCTAGAGACAACTTTTTTATCAGCAACGCCGGTGAGGACTTATACCCGTGGCAGGTTGTGGAAGTTGATGCTAACGTCAAAGTCGAAGGGAAGTGTGTCGGAAATCCCTGAGGGGGGATCGCTTGTGTAAAAACAAGGGAAGGGTCGAGGACGCCTCTTCTGGAAGATGCTGCCCAGGGCCAAAGACTTCGATGCAATGAATAACCCGAAGGATTGGAGAGATGAAACCTAGAGACAATTTTTTATCAGCAATGCCGGTGAGGGCTTACACCCGTAGCAGGTTGTTGAAGTTGGAGGTAGGTGTGTCAAGAGCCCTTGGAGGTGGGGATGGGCTTGTGTAGAACAGAGCAAAGGTCGAGGATGCCTCACCTGGAAATATTCCGAGCAGAGAATATGAATGAAGCCAATGGAAGAATTAACCAGCGAATGCGGGGAGAAAAACCTAGAGGAGACTTTTTATCAGCAATGCCGGTGAGGACTTATACCCGTAGCAGTTTCGAATGGCCGAGTCGAATGTTGTCAAAATTTCAATGCTCCCAAAGAGTCGGAGAGGAGAAGAAGGTCGAGGACGCCTCACCTGGAAGAGTAGAGAGTTGACAATAGTCAATGGAGTGATCAGGCTCGAGAGCTCCCAAGCGATGCGATGTCAGAGGCATCGGCGAGAATGGTGACCTGGAAGAAAAGGCCGGAGAAGAGTCTCCTATCAGCATGATGCTGGTGAGGTAGCTTACACCCGTGGCAGTGTCGTGAAAGTCGAAATCAAAGGGCAGTGTGTCGAAAGGCCCTGAGGGAAGGTCGAGGACGCCTCACCTGGAACAATCGGGGAACAGGCTGAAGTTGTGAATGGGGTGATCGGTGAAGGAACCTGGTGAGACTTTTTTATCAGCAATGCCGGTGAGGACTTATACCCGTGGCAGTGTCGCAAAAGTCGAAACGTCGAAGAGAAATATGTCGAAAGGCCCTGAGGGAAATGCGCCTGTGTAACACAGGGCAGAGGTCGAGGATGCCTCACCTGGAAAGATTCTGAAAGGCTAAAAGGCCAGTCGAGGCGACAGCAGGCTGTGGCCCGTGGAGTACCTAGAGAATGAGTCTCTTGTCAGCAAGAAGCTGGTAAGGACTTAAGTCGTCAAGTTGGGTCAAAGTGTATATCCTGCTAGCGGAAACTCTTGGGAAGGACAGGGGCAAGGTCGAGGATGCCTTACCTCCAAGATGGCAATAGTGACAGCGTTCAATGATCACCGGAGAAGGTAGTAGTGAAACCTGGAGAATAGTCTCCGTCAGCACGGAGCTGGCAAGTCAAGGGAGCAATAGCATGGAGGCAATCAATGTCGAAGAGCTTCGAGGGGAACCAATCGAGACATGATAAAGGAAAAAGGAACAAGGAAGTCTTGCCTTGAAAATGAGTCGAAGTAGCCCATCCCATGGAGCGAGGAGTCGGTGCGGCGCAAGCACCAAGTGGACCAAATGCGTGAAGCGTAGGAACGCCGAGGGACCTGAGAAGAAGACTGAAGGCGTCAGCTGGTTGTCAAGCTGGTAAGGTCTTAGACCTTGTACGCGCGCCATCGCGGTCAAAGTAGTTGCGGAGGTGAATAGCTTTCTGGATAGGGACCTCCTGCCCACCACCACCGGACGGCTCTGGAGAGGGACTTGCCGTGAGTCCACCAACACCACGTATTGGTCCGAAGGAGAGTCCCAAGAAAGCCGGACAACAAGGTGCAAGTGAGACAACGCGAATCGCGGCAATGGGAAGTGGAAAATGACAAATGGGAAGAGAGGGGGAAGGATGCCTTACCTGTGGATATGAGAAGCTCGAGTCTTGAGTGTCGGGAAACCTGGAAGTACTGGAGGCGTCAGCTGGTTTTAAATGCTGGTAAGGTCTGACACCTTGTTCACCGAGTCAAAAGTTGCGGAGATGAAAAGCGGGCAGGGAAGTCCAACAGCCGGACAGCTTTGGGGAGGGAAGTACGAGTGCAGATGCAAGTGCAAATCCACCAACCTCCAAGCATTGCTTGAAGGCGGTCCGTGGGAAGTCCCTGACAAGAAAGTGGGGGCAGACAGGCAAAATGCAAGTCGGGAAAAGTGATGAGTGGGAAAAAGAAGGGAAGGATGCCTTACCTGCGGCAATTCCGGGGAATCTCCCGGTTGAATGGTTGGAACCGAACCTGTAGAAAAGTAGGAGGAGACCGACAGCTTCCGTCAGCGATGGCCGGCAAGGACTTGAATTGGTCAAAAAAGAAAAAAGCCATGGCTCCGGAGAAGCTACCAGAGTGACTGGAGTGGGGGATGCCTTGCCTGTGTGGAGTGTGTAGAAGTGACTGGTGAGGAATGCATCCCGGGGGGGGTTGGATGCAAACATGGAATCAAAATGGAAGGATCGAGGAGACATGATGGAAGGGAGTCATGGAGGTGGATGCAGGAAGATGCCATGAGATGGAGGATAATGAAATGGAATGATGAAGAGAGGATGTGTTTGTGTGGACAGGATGAAGAGATATGTTGAAGAGATATGTTTAAGAAATATGGTAAAGGTAGATGGGGGAAGGTTATATAAGAAGAGGATGGATGGAGGATGATAAAGTGAGATGATAAGGAAGGGGAAGGGTGATGATATAAGAGGAGATGATGTAGAGAGAGGGAGGTGGAAAGCAAAAAGGTAAATATATGATGGAGGTGGATGAAGTAAGGTGCTGGATGAAGTAGGATGACAAAGAGCGAGAGGGGGTTTGGGATGAGATGGAGTGCTGGAGGGGGGATGAGAAGAAGAGAGGGGAGATGGAGGAGGAAAGAAAAGAAAAATCAGGAGGGAAAACGGGAAGGCCTTATATACTACAGGGCTGACAGAGCCGACAGTGAATGTGTCGATGGCGACAATGAATCTGGCGTCGACAGTGAATGTTGAGCGGATCTAGTTTGGGAAGCGCCGCGCGCTTATCCGGCATTAAGGTTTCGGGAACTGCCGTGCCGATCACCAAAATGCGCTCTCAATGCCCATCATTGGCCAACTCTGCCGCCCACCCCTGGTTAGACGCGAGGGTCACAACTACATTTAGCTGCGGCCAACTTCATTTGATTGCAGTCGTGCTGTGACTCACCTGCTAACTTTTTACAAGAAAAATCTGCACCGAAAAAAAATGGTCGTCGGAGGCTGGGTGAATTGGGGACTCGGTGTACGCGGTTATGCGCAGTACGCAGTATGCGGGGTTAGACTTCGGATGACTTGCTGTTAAAGATTCAACGAAACCCAAGCCTATCGATGCACTTCACGAGAAAAAGTGCCTCAAGATTATGGGCGTTCTAGTTAAATGGATTTGGCCTATAACGACCCAGGAACCATACCCACAGGCTTCCACGACTTGTCAACCTGGGTGTGAGATGTATTTTGGGAAGCCTGAGTAGTTTCAGGGACGGGACGGAAGTTAAGAGGACTCATTCCGATGTTGGTAGCTACCAATCGCGGTGGGAAGTCTTATGTTTGATAAGTTTCTAGAGTTCCTCTAAAATAGATCTGTACAGTGGCGCTACAAAGGTTTTCCAACCCCCTATTGCCCACGATTATTTCCCACCTTTTTATGGCAGCCTAGTAGCTACGTACGATAAAAATAAATTGGCCTATCTATTCTATCTTGGGTAACTACTAATTTGCCATAAGAAGGCGAAGACTAGGACAGTCAACAAGGGACCGGAGACTTTTGCGGCGCCACTGTAAAGCTTGAACGCCAGTTATGAGCATAAGTATCAGGGAAATCCCAGTATTCATTGCGCTCACCCTGGAGCAAAGGCGTTGATATTTAATCACAAAAAAGTACAGCCAAAGAGCACGACGATGTATGACGTAATTCGCGGCCAACCTCTAATCAACCCCATTGACCAGCGAGAGCACCACCAGGTAGGAATTCCCGTATTGCAAGGTTATCTTTGTGGTATTTCCGTAAATACGAGCAAATAGAAGGACATTCCACTCTAGCTCTGAGCTCAATCCACCATATACTGCGACCTGCTTTGCAGTACCATAGATAGAGCAGCAGGAGTGCTACCGGGTCCTTTGCTTGCAACAGACCTTCGAAATGCCCATGAATACTAAGCGTAAATATTTGAGTATTTCCCGTTGAGATGTCGCTCTCCGGGATATCCAGAATTCGGGACACTGCATGGGCGGCGTAAAAATAAGGATTATTCTTCGCAGTAGATGATTTTCCAAGGAGGCATATGTTAACCAAGGCACTTGGTATACCATCGATTCCACTTTCCGGTAACGGGGAAAACATCAGAGCAAAGGTCTCCGCCATGACGCTGAAAATACTGTCCGACCGTAGCGGGTCGACGATATGCCATAGCGAATTTTTGCCCTTGCTCATGCGCAACCAATCCAGGTCGGAGCGAGCGGAGGATTTCATAGGCCATGATTCTTTTGGCGTGCATGCATCGGGGGACGAGAATGATAGGATGGCAAGAGCAGCCGCTGTGCCCCAAATTGGATCTTTATCTTTTGCTTCTATAGGTTCTCTTAATCGCTTGTTGAGGAGAGTTGTGCTTTGAGACCAGTGGTAGCACTCTTCGAGGCTGCGGTGGCAGCTTATTGATTTATTTAGGTGGCGGTCATATGTAAGTGCCACTGCTAGAGAGGCGTGCATTAAAAAAGGGTGCTGTGAGCGTTGTATTAGTCGATTTCGGGGCCGTGGGTAACTTTTTACTTGTTTTATGCACTAAAAGGGGAGAACAGGTGTGATCAATACTCACGGTGAATGCTAGTTTCAAAAGCCTCCGGTTAACATGTATCATGTTGGGGTCATCTGGAGAGATGACTCTGATGAGACTTCGCCCAAGATAGCGTGTGATGAAGTCTTGGCACTTTGCATTTAACTGATAAGATGAAACTCCATCAGATGTCCAAATAGCACTAGTAACAGGGGGTTGGAGCTGTATCTTTCCTCGGACCACCAGTAAACTCCGAGTCTCTGAATCGGCAGCGATGGGATGTAAATCGGGGACGTTAGACATAAAGTTGCATGACACCCCATATGAGCGGCATTTATTGCAATGTGGCTTGCCTTCATCGCACTAACGGATAGAGGAAATGGGTTCAGCCAACCCTGCTGGTGATCAATCTTATCAAATCGCGAGTCACCCACCTTGAGTTTTCGGAGTTTGCAATTTCGGCAGCCATATCTCGATCTCTGTCGAGTTCTATGCCCCCCGATTCTTTAACTCGCCGGAAATATTCGGGGCCATTCTCAATCAGGTAGCCAGTCTACCTAGTCCCTCAAAAGGGTTGGGAAATTTTCATGATCCCCAAGACCTAGAAAGAGGAGGTGCAGGTGAAGATTCACCTAATAGCCCCCACACGCTAACGCCATTTGGAGATCTACGCTAACCGCTTCTCGGGAGCAAAGGATGATGATTGGCTGCGATTACTACATCTATAAAACTAGAGAAGTCGAACATGAAATGAAATGAGATGACAAGATTTGAAGTATTTAAGAAACCCAGATACCCCGACACATCCCATTGCATGTCAATCTACATTCAATCTCATACTAGAAATCCATTCCACCTTCCAAAATGACCACCACCACCACCCACCTCGCCGCCATAACCCCAGCAAAAGGCCAACCATTCACACTCCAACTCCGTCCAACCCCCAAACCAGGTCCGAACGACCTCCTAATCGCCGTCAAATCAGTCGCCCTCAACCCCGCAGACGCTATCATGCGAGACCAGGGCCTCTTCATACCCACCTCTACCTACCCAACGGTCATCGGCTTCGACATGGCCGGACTCGTCCTCGAAGTCGGTGTCAACGTCCCACCCTCCTTCAAACCCAATACACGCATCGCCGCCTACTCGGCCTCGGTCTGGAAAGCCTGTGATCCGGACTATGGTCCGTTCCAGGAATTTTGTCTCGTTCCTTGGCAACACGGCGTTGCTTTGCCTGATACCATGTCTTGGAACCGTGGGTCGACGCTGCCCGTGTCTGTCCAGGTACCTCTCTGCGCATGGGATATGATGGGGATTCCCCGGCTGGGCATGGGCATGGGTATGGGGGAACTATCTCAGACCGACGACTCAGCTCCGATTACCGCACAAAAAACAGAAGCCCTCCTCATCTGGGGCGCATCGTCTAGTGTCGGGACAATGGGTGTACAAACAGCCCGAATTCTACGAGATGATTCGACATCTTCGTTCGGGGCTGTGTATGCCACGGCTGGGGCGGTTAATCTGGACTACGTGAGTTCGCTGGGCGCGGACCGCGTATTTGATTACAAAGATGCGCAGGTTGTCGATGCGATTATTTCGGCGGCGGAAAGGGATGGGTTGGTTATTCGATTTTGTTTTCTTGCTACTGGACTACTTGGGCCTTGTCAGGCTGTGCTGAAAGCATTTCGGAGGGGAGGAGGGATCACCATGACGACATTGTCCAAGATCGCGTCGGCGCCTCCGGTTCCTCAAGATGCGGAGGTTGTAAATGGGGTTGAGACGATATTTTTGATGCCCTCTATGGTTGAAGAGGAGAGTTTGGAGCAGTTTCGGTACTGGATTGGGACGTGGTTGAGGGAAAATTTGGCCAAGGGGGGTGTTAAGCCGAGTCCGGAGCCCAGTGTTGTGGGTAAGGGTTTGGGGGCTATTAATGCTGGGTTGGATAAGCTACGCCAGGGTGTGAGTTGTACGAAGTTAGTTGTGGAGATTGCGGAGTAAGAGTGTGATATGTGCACATCGTTGTCGTCGTTTCCATATAATCGTTAAGGGTAGCCCAGGCTATGTACAAAAACCAGAAGAACACGCATCCCAATCCCGAAAAAGATAAACAAATTGAATCGCCGCCGCTATGTATGTGATGCTCGCTCAAACCAAGACTTTCATGAACGGTGTGGGGGCGTAGCCGGATAGTTCAATGACCAAAAGGCCGCCGGAGGCGCCAGAGGCGCCAGAAATAACGATGAAAAGACAATGAAAAGGGCCGCAGGTGTAAGAGTGGAAATGACAGCTAAGATAGAAATGCAAGATACCGAAAAACGAAAGTAGCAGGGGAAAGAAAAAAAAATAGTATCAGAAGACAACACGGCTAGGGAAACGTCGTCCTGGTGTCATCGGTTGCTGGGTCTGACTGCGGGTTATGCGACGAGGGGTTGGGCGATCTTCCAAACTCAACCCCCCAAGTCCAGGCCCAAGCTCACTACGCCTGGGCGAGAATGGGGGGTTGTGTTCATGGATCGGATTGCGCCCGTACCGGATATTGCGGTTCGTGGCATCCGTGCGGGTGGTAAATTCGGTAGCAACAGTTTCGGAATCAGAGTCTTGCTCGTAGTCGGAAACCGGCTCATTCGCCTTGAGCGAATCCATAGTAAAGCTATGTGGGTTATGGTTGTGATTGTAACCCGAGGAGAAAGACCCAAAGGTCTGCGAGGACGGAATTCCGTAGTTTGGAACAGTTGGCAGGGCGGATGATATACCTCCGGCTGCCGATGAGAAAGACAGAGGGGGGGCCGATTGTTGCGGAGAAAATTGTTGTGGTTGCGGAGAAAACTGTTGTGCTCGTGAAGCAAAGGACTGTTGTTGCAGTTGCGGGGAGAATGATTGGGGGATGGTAGGACTGTTGACTGGGGATCCGACAGGAGACCAACCGATGGCCCCTTGGGATGAAAGTTCTTGACGCGGAGAAGTCGAAGCAGCATTTTGCTGGTCTTCGGGTCGCGGAGCGGCCGATGCCGATCGATAGAATGCAAGCAGATTCAGTATTTCCTGTACTGCCATGAAACCAAGGAGTATTTTCCCGTATCGGTCGAAATACTCTCGTTCAAAGGCCTCTTGGGGCAAATGGGCACCTAAGTGAATCGCAGCGCCAAGTTCCGTGATATAGACCAAGATCTCCATCCCATTCCACTGCACCAACGGTTTCTTGACTGCTTCCAGAAGAGCGAAGCCTGAGATCAGACTTGCGCTGCCCAGAGCGCATGTCTCAATGTAGTTTCCAGGTATGGAGGTTTGGTGGTTTTGGGAATATGTCCATACGGTCATGGAGCCCAGCAACAAAAACAGCCGAAGATACTGCAGGACCAGCTGACGGGGTGTGTTGATAGCATATGAAATGGGACGACGCTTTGATTGATTCCATTGACTTCTCGGGGCCTCTTCGGTTCCAAGATCAAAGGCGCGGTTGAAGAGGGTCTCGAGGCCAGTGGCAGCATCGTGGTCGCTTGCCGGAAAGAACTTGGGGGGGTTGGAAAACAGGTTCTAGGCTTGTTGGTTTCTTTTGCCATTGGTTTTGGGTAGGTGATAGATTTCGGTGAAAAGGGTTAGGCTCGATGACTTGTTCGATCGGTTTCACGGGGGGTCTTGTTACGGAGAGTCCACGCTGGCGGTTGAGGAGCGGCTGGAAGATTGCCATGGAATGGAGAGGGTCCATCGAAAGCCGATGGTCGATTTCGCTGGTAGACACTCACTGTCGGCTGGATGTTTTGAGGGGCAGACGGAGTCCAGTCCATGTCTTCGGATTCGGGAGGTGGTGTGGGGGACATGACTTGCGGACTCTCCACGATTGGCCGGGCGGAACCGAGTTTATCAAACGGAAATCGCTGACGAATTTGACTGGTGCTCGCATTCGGTGTCGAATGAATTGGTCTAGGACGAGATTCAGGTACAGGCGACGTTTCGGTGCTCCGTAGAGGCGCACTCTCCCAAGAGTTGTCCGACCAATTTACCAGAGGCCGGGTGTCATAGTGGATGACGCGCCGAGAGATGACAACAGACTAAAAGGTTAGCTTGACTAGATAATGTGGGTAAAAAAAACATACCAAGAGGGTGAAGAGAATCATGAACATATGCAAAGCAGCAGGCAAAGTTGCTTCAATGCCACTGGCAGACGGGTCCTTCAGTAAAGACCAAAACACGCATCGGACGACCATGACAATAAGTTGTACTTGATAGTACTCGGCGAGGCCCTTGAATCGACCAGAGCGCCCTTCGATCTTCATGCGCAAGCGTGGGTTCCACCATAGCGACAGACTTCCTGCCACGAGCGCAAGACCAGCAGGTGGCGCCAGATCATAGGCACATTCGACTGGGATCCGCCCACCATCTAAAGTCTGACCCACGCAAGCCATTAAATGGACGGATGGGTCCATAGACACATCGGTATCTGCGGTGGGTGACGAGGGGGCCGTCAGAGCGCCCAACACATCCCATGCAAGTTGACCGCAGATACTCGCCCAGTAGCCAAGAGCTCCGGCGTAGACCAGCAAGCTCTGCCAGCTACGGTTCCTTGCCTGTCGTGCAGTTTTGCTGGCTCGGGTTTGGTCCATCATGCGCCTGAGGTGATCCGCCTTGGCCTCATAGCCGGCCTGCTTAATTCGCTGTCGCACGCGCGGCTCGCAATTGTCGCATACAGTCGGATATCGGTCTTCCATACTCCTGCGGTATTGGGCATAGTGATTTTCGTGGTCGAAAGATGGGTCGTCGGAGGGCGCTTGGTATGCTGCCAAGGAGTGGGTAAACAAATGTTGGTTACGAATGCATCGGGAACAAAACAGGTCGGACTCTTCAAAGCCAATCGATTCGAAGCGAGGGCTTTGCGCGTCAGAACTAGAGGCCTGGGGGTTTGTTGCTGCGGTCGGGGGGTCTGTGATGTCTCCGTTCTACATAATGTTGTTAGTTGTGGTTGATTGTGATGATCCGGGGGTATCTCCCTCGAGTCGAGGTGACGCACCTGGTCGAGGTAGTTATCCGCCTCACAATTCTCGCAGTGGAACTTTCGGACAGTGCTATTGAGCGACTGGACGGGCCGGTTAGAGCGCCGCCCGCAATAGAAGCAGGTTAGACGTTTTGAAAAGAGCGCCATGGTAAGGGCATCTCAAGCGCACAAGGTCGACCTGTTGCAGTTGTTGAATAGTTTCAAGTTTCCAAGGCGGAGAGAGCGGACAACGCAGAGAGGCAGAAAGGGAAGGAACACAACCCGCACAGACCGCCCACGGCACGTGTTGTGCGCGTCCGCGACGCACCACAACTACGGTGCTTTCTACAAAGATCAACAATGCCAATCTAGTAGGCCTGATGCTGCTGCTGCGATTTATTGAATCTATGCCGTGATGCTTTCTGGTTTGTGGGTCTATCGTCGCTGACCATTGCGCTTCAATACGCTCCGCTCCGCTCCGAACCTTGGACTATATACCCGTGACATCATGGCTTCCCTGGTGGAAGTCTTCTGGGAACTTTTTTGGAAGATCCTTGTCCCGATAGCTGCCTTGGGACTTCTCGCGATTTCTGTATGTTGTCTGCTAACTTCTCATTGCCAACTACCCTCACAATGCTAACCGGCATATTTCTAGATTATTGTGGCCTCGCTGTTTATTTCCCAAAATGCCACGCTTCCCAAAGTCGACCGCCGCGGTGCCCCGGTACACATCTTGATTGTTCTGGGTAGCGGGGGTCATACTGCAGAGATGCTCTATATGCTCAACAAAGCAGCCTTTGACCCTAGCGTCTGGACCTACCGAACATATGTTACGACGTCTGGCGATAACTTCAGTGCCAATAAAGCAGCTGAATTTGAGGCCAAACTCGGGGGAGGGCAACAGCATAACGCCGACCAGCGAGATCGTCCAGCCGACAATCTTTCAATCTTTGAGAGAAGCGCTGCAGAGAAACAAATTGTCAAGAGCTTAGCGGACAAGAAGGATTGTACCAGAGACAAACCTCCTACCTCCGGCAAGTCGTTTCGAATCCTCCAAGTACCCAGAGCTCGACGAGTCCATCAGTCATACTTGACAGCACCTTTCTCGACCCTCCACTGCCTTTGGGCTTGTCTCCTCATTCTTTCCGGGCGATTCCCCAGCCAGGAACCGCTTCCATCCAACCATGAGACCCCGTACCCTGATATAATCATCACGAATGGGCCAGCCGTTGCGGTCTGCATGATGCTAGCAGCTAAAATCCTCCGGTTCTTCATATTCGTCTCTCGCTGGCTAACTGGCCGCGCTTCTGCGCCGGAGATTGCCCGACTGCGAACCATTTATGTGGAATCATGGGCACGGGTTCGCAGTCTCAGCGTCTCGGGGAAGTTGTTGCTGCCAGTTGCAGACTCATTCATCGTGCAGTGGCGTCCTCTCGAGGGACGACGAGCATGGCCAGGCATGAAAAAGACGCAATACAAGGGCTGGTTGGTCATCTAAGTATTCATTGAAGTTAAATATACCCAAAGCAATCACATATCCGCTTTTACGGTGATTACTAGAAATAAAGCCATTCAAGAACTGTTGATAGAGACCCAGACCCAGATAGTAGCCTGCCGAACTCGGCCTCGTTCCGCGACAGCTTTTCCTCCACATACCGAAGTGGAGATTGCTGGCTACACCATTTGTGAGGAAAGTAGTAAATAATCACGTATATGACAGTCCTAAAATTTTTCTAATTCCCTATTTTTCGTGTATGCGAACGATACAACAGCGTGACATGGGACTGGCTGAGGTAGAAACATCAACCCGACGCAACCAATAAGAGCCAAGCCCAGCATGTACATACTCCTACGTAAACATCACCAGGGAAGACTCCCGAGTGGGGGGGACTATTCACTCTCGCTTGCCATCGGACTTGATTCCGTGGGGCGCGCTTCATCCGATAACGCCAGGCCCGAATTATGCCCCGTTCGCCCCGTCCGACAGGCACATTACAATCTTAGTCAATTTTAGTCCCCATCGTCGAGCCCCGCATCCCCTCATCCTCAGTACCTCGGTCACTTCGAATAAGCTTCTCTTCTACATACCCTGTTCCTTTCTGCTTCTACATCGAGTGAAATTGCCTTTTTGTTCTCGATAATACAATTTATCCTCATCTCGCTATTTTCAATATGCCATACTCCCTCAAAGGACGGAATGTCCTCATTACTGGCGGCTCAAGGTATGAAATTGTGGGGACGGATCCCCGCGTTTCAGGGCTTCAAATCGCTAATTGATATACCGTGACATAGGGGATTGGGCGCCCTCGTGGCTCAGAAGTTCGCTGCCGAGGGGAGTAACATTGCCATCAATTATATGTCAAACAAGGGATCCGCCGACAATACTGCCTCGGAGATCGCAAGCAAGTACAATGTGAAGACCATTGTTGTTCAAGGTGTACGTTTTAATTGTGCGACAGTACCAAAGGAGGGCTGAATGCTAACGTGTTGGTTTTAATTGAAGGATGCTGGGAGCCAGACCGACTGTATTAATGCTGTGAAGACGACGATCGAACAGCTTGGAGGCTTGGACGTCATCGTTTCCAATTCCGTATGACTATGCACTCCTCGAAACTTGGAGAAACAACCTCACTAAGTCTTTTGAAAGGGCTGGACGAAAATGACCAACTTCGGGGATCTGGACGCTATGGACGATGCAGACTGGGATAAGGTAAACGATTCACACTGCGAGCTCAAAGAGCACTGGGCTAAACATCGAACAGTGTTGGAGCATGAATGTCAAGAGCAGCTTTTACCTGTTCAAGGCAGCTCTTCCGACTTTCAACGCCAACCCTGAGGGCGGTGCCTTCATCATCACATCGTCGATTGCAGTAAGAGGATATCATTGACAATTTGTGCAAATCGACAAGACTAATACTAAATTCTCATCTAGGGAGTCTCCGCCACTGGCAGTAGTCTTCCTTACGCCGTGTCCAAAGCAGCTCGTGCGTACATTATTCTTCTGATTGAACGAATTCTCTCTAATAATTTCTAGTGATCCATCTTATGAAATGCCTCGCTCAAACCCAGGGCTCCAAAGTCCGCGTCAATGCAGTGCTTCCGGGTCTTCTTCTCACAGAATGGGTGCGTTTTTGACTATTTGAGGATTTAATAATGGGCAACGGCTAACATTTGAATAGGGTCAGCAATTCCCCCAGGAGAAAATTGAGGCTTGGACTCAGAAGACGTCCCTCAAGCACGTAGTAAGTCCATACTTGACCTCAGTGCCCCATTTGATCTCCTCTCTAATTATACTTCTAGCCCGAGGTCGAAGATACCGCAGACATGTATGTGACGATAGCAAAGAATTCGTCTATGACCGGGCAATCGGTCCAGATCGGTATGAAACATGTTCAAGTTCCTTGAGGCATGTATCTTCGGCTAAACCATTCTATCTAGATTCCGGATTCTCAATCTAAATGCTGGAATTCTTGATACAGGACGAAAGGAAGTACGAGCAATATGTTTCTCGATAGATCTGAAAACGTGGAGCGGGTATCAAATTGGTAGACAACCATATCTTACACATTCATCTACACCTACCTAGGTATCTAGTAGTTACTAGTACTATACAAGGGGATTCCGGAAGGGCGTAAACTCTGCCCCGCCCGACATAAGAGACCGATCACCAAACATGCGAGCTTTGATCGCAGCACGAAGACCCTCGGCAACAGCTTCTCCCTCCACCTTCATCTGGTCGATGCGCAATACCTTTCCATCATGAGTGAACACGTAAAGCGCTCTTCCCTTTTTGGGACCAACAGGGTGCGAAGCATTTGCAAAGGGCAGCCCCGGAACAAGAGCAAAAGAATCACATCCCTTTGGAGGCTCAACCTCCTCAACTTGAGTGAGAATAACGCGCTTTTGGTCAAAAGAAGGATTTGCGTCTCCGGCGTTCGTTGGGACGAGCGCTCTGCTCCACAAAGGTCCAATGACTCGGCTACGGCGAGTAATGTCCTGCATTGTCCAAGTGGCCCAGTCGACATGTCGATCTTCTTGTTGGATTTTGCCGGCGTGGATGAGGGTTTCGTTTCCTTCTGTGGGAACCCATCCTGCTGCCTTCAGGGGCGGTACGAATAACCCGTCCTTGATACCGTCAACTAGCATCTGCGCACCCTTTGGTGCAACAAGATTCTGCAGCTCGGGGACAGTGCAGGTATCGGGGTTTGGAATTTCAAGTCCAGGTTTTGGGGTCTGCGATAGGATAACTCCGTGGTCAAAGTTCTTGTGATGCAAAGTCTGAAGAGTAATTCCCGTAAGGCTCCGTCCAGCAAGAAGGGTATGATGTAGTGGTGCAGGGCCACGGAAACTAATGCATCCATGTGAGCTTCATTTCAACCATCAATTCGCAAGGGTCGTTCATACTCAGGGAGTAATGATGGGTGTACATTCAAACCACCATATTGAGCAGCATTCAAGATGCGCGGGGGTACAAAGAGGCCGAAGGATACGGCAATGATCAAATTGATGGGACCGTTCGGGGTCACCGGAGGCTGCTAAAATGAGCATTTGAATGAGAGTTATAGTTTGATAGACTTACTGTCCACTTTGTAAATGTATCTATTTCATGTATTGGTAGCGAAAGAGCTGATGCAGTCTCCTTAATAGGCACTAGGCAAGACGAATCAGAATGCTGAATACAACAAAAGTCCCTTGAATGCACGAACCTTCCCTGATTTTCTTCATTCCTCTTCCCACTTTTTTGCCTGGACGGCAGACCACGTCGATGGATGCAATGCGATCGGGTTGCTTCAGGTGATAGGCATGGAGCGCTTTCAAGGAGGCAATACTAAATTCGTCCGACCCGCAAAAGAGGATGCGAAGAGGATCATGGGCTTTGGTAGAATATAAACAAAATGCTGGTCTTCGAACCGCAGACGAATATCTGCAGAGCCCGAAGGCTCCTGTCCCTCGTATCACGAACATAATATCTAGGGCAATAAACAGTATGAGGTGAGGCCAACCATTGAGAAGCCGGCGACTTCCCCGTCCTCCGCTCCCGCAGCTTCTATCGATAAGACACGTGATGTCAACATCATAGCCCACTCGACGACCGGCGTGACTCCCAAACTCCGGATGATTCGCAGATCTACTCTCAGTCATTGTGCAGCTGCTTGCGATGCGATGCCTGAAAGCGACTCCGATTCGGTGATCCCCGCGCAGCTGTCTTTCCTCGCCATCTACAACCCAACCCTCGGCCCCACCGATGAGACACTTGAGGACCAGATCGTGTTCTACACCTCCAGGGCGGATCTCCAAAGAGAAGATGACTCTGCGATAGCCGAGAGTGGTGGGAAGTCGGTGGGAAATGATAAGAATGAACGGCTGCGCCAGATAGGTCTGGCGCAAGGCATGGTCAACTTCGCCAGGTGGGACATGTTCGCCTCCCCCGCAGATGCACAATGCTGATCCGGTTTGCGACGCAGTAACTTCTCGCCGGGAAAGCCTCTGGAATATGTTGAGACTGATAAGGCGAGGTTTATCCTTGTCCAGTTGGAGCAGGACTGGTGGGCTGTCGCAGTAAGTTCGCCCAGAACCTCACACTGTACCATGACGTGAACATCACCGCTCATTAATCTGCGCCAGTCTATCGACTTGACTCGTCTTCCCGCCGATCCAAACCAAACACTCTCGAGTGAAGATAATGGCACTTCTGTATATCAATATTCGGCCAGGGAAATGGGACCCCCGCAACTATACCTCCAACAACTACGCCGCGCACACTCCCTCTTTCTCCTCCACCATGACTTCTCTTTGGATGCGCTGTATGAGCGTGTTGGCCGGTCCAATTTCTGTCTTTTTCTCGAACGCTTTTGGGAGAAGTTTGCCTGGAATTGGGAACTTCTACTCACCGGAAATCCCATCGTCGAGATATACAATGGCATCAAACTCGCCGCTGGCGGAGAGTTGGGTGTAGGTGTTGGAGAGGAAGAGTGGGGTAGTGGTGAGAGAGAGGTCCTCGAAGACTTTGTTGCCAGGACAGATGGTCTGCTAGACCTAGTTGTGTCAAGATTTGGCGAACCGGCTCCCCAACCGAATGATTCTCCGCCGACAGTCGAGTCGAACGGCCAAAACGCTTGGCTGGGATCAGATCAGACTCCTCGACCAGCCGATGGTGTCGTCTTTTCAGGGCTTGGAGCTGTCTCCCGGCTTTCTTTGGCACGTGTTTCGCACTGGATGGAATGGATTTATAGATACGGAGATACGACATATGGAGTAGGACGGGACCCAGCCTCACTGCGTCGGCGCAAGCCACGGAGGCGAGACAAACAGAAATCCGAAAATGCCACGGCTAGCCCGCAAAATAGCGTACTGCCCTCGACTCCCGAGATGGATCGAAGTCATACGCCAGGAATACCACGTCCACTAGTCATAGCTGCGCTGCAACCGACCCCGGACCGTCAAAAAGAAACGAACGCTGCGGATGGAACATCAGACAGCACGTTGTCCACGAATGAACATGGATTTGGGACTGAAACGGTCATGAAATATCTGACTCTTGGATATGGCTCCGCGTGGAGTTTCTCCAAATCGAACTCCCCGTCTCCCGATAACTCGGCCGCGGCCGCGAATGAATCGACGCCGGACTCTCGGCAACAAAGCGGCAATCCATCAGCTGCCGCGGAATCTTTTGTATCAAATGAGCATCGAATTGAGCCAAGAAACAACACTTCAGGTCGTTTCATCCTCGGTCCGCGTGATGACTTGGATATACTAGATGATTTGGAAGAAGAGAGCCCAGCGCCTGAGGCGGAGGCTAGCAAGCCCAAGAGCCGTATAATCCATAGGTTCATTCATATCCACACCTCAGACGAAAGCTCGAAAAAGCTTCAAGCGGTCATCTACGTTGTGAGCCACCCCCCGTTATTACCTGCCACCTGCCACCTGCTAACCATTCCAACATCAGAATCAACCATTCGTGTTCACATTCCTCTTTGACCCAGCAACACCCTCACTCTCTTCACCAACGCTCTATACAAGCATTCATCACCAGCTCGGTCCTCTCCAAAGACCACTTCTAGCATCGACATCACCAGCAACAGCCGCAGCACGTATCCCCCATCCCGACGCCCCAGATGCCAGCAACCGCGCCACGCGATCCCAATCCCAATCACTCTACGACTTCGTCTACGACCCCTTCAATCTAACGATCCGCTCTTCAATCCCCAACATCCCAGCCCTCGGACCCTCATCCTCGCATCCCCGTGAAAACAATCCACGTACCCCATCCCCCTCCCAACCAAAACCAAGCACACCCTTATCCCGTATCGAAAGCCTCGCCATCCACCACCGCCTCTTAGCAACATACACCGACACCCGCTCCAGACCCCTGGAACTAGAACGCACCTGTAAGACCAGTCGCGGGTGGTGGATCATCTGGGTACGCATCCCACAAACGCAGGAGACAAACATAGACACGGGCACAGGCGCACATACGCCTTCGCCAGCGCCCCTCTCAACAGTATCCTCATCAGCAGCCCTCTCATCCATGGCCGAAGGCTCGATCCCAGTCTCGGCCTCGATCAAGGACTCAATTCCAGAATCACCACAGACCCAGCCACAAGAAGCATTCCTCGTCCGTAAGGCGGTCGACTACGTTTCTCCGGGCCACGCCCGCGTGAGCAGCGGCGCGCGCTTTTTCCGGGATTTGGGCGGTGCTTCTTCGTCGAAACTTGGATCTGGGTCTGGAAGGGTGGATACCACGCCGTCGAAGTTGGTGGAGGGTATTGGTATGGATGCGAGGAGGTATATTGAGGGGTTGTTACGGTTTAATCGGTGATTTCAAGTTCTGGTTGGGTTCGGTTGTGGTTGGATAAAGATTCTGTAAATGTATACTTCGACATGTGATAGACTTTTTTTTCGATCAGAGAACTGGGAGACGGGCTGCCCAGGTGGCAGAATACTAGTACGAGGAACATGAACGTTTAAGGAATCCTGGTGTCAGGAAACTAGTGTATTGGGCACTATATGCGCATTCAACCTTGAAACTCCAGTACTATAAACCGAGTTCAATCTACAAATTCAACTTGAAAACAGGCCTCGGGACCTAGAACTGACATTGATATATACTAGCCTAGTACTATGGCTCCCTAATACCACCAAAACTACGAGTAGTAATGCATACCTACATAAGAACAGTAAAAGCCAAACCGAGTTCTTCGCGAGATTGGGAATCATCTATCATCACGGGATGTGAACCGAAGTCCACGGCATTGTCCATCACATACTAGTATAAACCGAGCGACACTTCCTCCGAGTCCGTGCTTCTTACACCAAGACTTCCATTCCATACCTACTCTGGGACAATGCCTTTCCGTTGGGTTCCCATCCTGAAGAGGTCCATGTTCATAGAGGGAGGATTTAGAAAGATTTATACTGCCACTGAAGAGGCAATTTGTCATTTGAGATCCACGGAGTCGGATTTGTGGGAGAGGAAGATGAGAGTAACAAACAGAATATTGGCGAAGGTGGGGGGAAGAGTTAGGGTACGGTACGGTAGGGGAGGAGTTGGAAGGGAAGAGCGGATAGAAGAAAAAAGAAAAGGCCCACAGGGTTATGATGAAGACAACGCCTCCCTAGACAAATTCTGCAAAATAAAGGCAAAAAAAGGAGAAACACAAGGTCGACCAACTGCAGGGGTTGTGGGTAAAAAGAGAAAATAAAAAAGGAGGGGGATTGGGGGGAAGGGGCAACAAAGTAAAGCAGGCAGGGGGAATATCCACGACTCAGGCGCCCGACTTCGAAAGTATTATCCACAGATCCTCGTATGCAAGCCCAGCAGCTGTCCCCTTATTTGGGAATAGAAACATTCAAATTTGCCCGAGTCTCGACCACCGGATCTTTTCGCTCGAGCCGCACCATATCGGTTGGTGTAGTTTACAGAAGCAGGCACTTGCCGCTCTTCTTGCCGCCCTTCTTGCCGCCGCTGGCCTTGAGCAGAGCAGCGCGGGTGGCGGACTCGAAGACCTCGCGGACACCCTCGTTGGTACGGGCAGAGCACTCGAGGTACTTGTAGGCACCGATCTTCTTGCGGATCTCCTCACCCTGTTGAAAGATGCGTTAGTGATCTGTTGGTGGGGATGCATACGGCCATGGGGCACGGCGCGGGTTATAAAAGTAGATCGAGGGACATGTGACATACCTGCTCGGGGCTGACGGGCTTCTGGGAGGTCTTGTGAAGCTCCTCGATGGTCTTGGGGTCGTGGCGCAGATCCTTCTTACAGCCAACCAGGATGATGGGGAGACCCTGGCAGAAGTGCAGAACCTCGGAAATCCACTATCAAACAAGTTAGCAGGTATATTCCGGTTGCTTTGCTGCTACCGAGAGACTGGTTTTTTTTTCGTCTTCTTTTTCTTTGTCCCCGGAAGATGGATTCATGTGACACGCACCTTCTCCTGAACGTTATCGAGAGAGTCAGGGGAGTCGACGGCGAAACAGATCAGAATGACGTGGGAGTCAGGGTATGAGAGAGGACGGAGACGGTCGTAATCTTCCTGACCAGCCGTATCCCAAAGAGCAAGCTCGACGTGCTTGCCATCAACCTCAACGTCGGCGACGTAGTTCTCGAAGACGGTGGGGACGTAGACCTAGTATCGAAGATAGTCAGCACGTGCTTCTTGATGCAGATGCAGCTCGGTCGAGGCTGATGCCGAGATATGTTGAATTTGGATATGGTGGGTGCAGTCGGGGATCGGGAGATCCGGGGGATTTGGGGGGCCGATCAAGGGCCCCAATGACGGGGGGGAGGGGAGTCTCACCTCAGGGAAGGTTCCCTTGGAGAAAACACTGCGAGAAGAGGCTGGTTAGAGATCTGAATGGAAAAAAGAAGTGCAAGGGGAGGGAAAGGGGGATTTGATAACTCTGATGTCTCAAGGTACAGTTTACTTACATGAGCAGACAGGTCTTACCGCAGGCACCATCGCCAACGATAACGAGCTTGCGTCGGATCTCAGCCATCTTGAGTGGATGAAAGTTAGTTGGAGGAACCAAAGTAAAGAGCGAGCACTGTCCACAAAGCGAGACAGATATAGCGATGGAGAAAGCGGTGGGTGGGGAGGAGGGGGGTGGAGGAGAAGGGGAAGAAGAGAGATGAGAAAGGGACAGGTGCAGGTTTTGGGGGGCGGGTGAGTGGGAAAAAGGGGGAGGGGAAAGGGTCAGTCGTACTGTGATGAAAGGGGTGAGTGTGTGGAGGATGTGAAAGAAGAAAAGACCAGCTAGTGCTCTGCACAGAAGCTAGAAGATAGAAAGATGGTGAGAAGACTGGAGGATGGGAAGAATGATGTGGATGGGATAGAGGCCAGACTGCCCAGGCGCCGGGCGGTGGACTCTTTTGTTGTGTTGGTATTGGTATTATGGTATCATTGGTGTCGCTGGTATTGATGGGGTGTTTCCTGGTACCTGGTGTACACTTTAGGTACACTTCACCCGGGTTAAGGCACAGATAGGCATAATTTCCTGGTAATACCAATACGCAGCCCTAGGTTATGTGTGGCTGAGCGTGAATCCGCGTCACAGCCATTGGGAGAGCCCCACTCTTTCAACCCGTTTACAACTTTTTCTTTCGCTGGCCGCTGCGAGGTGGATTTTGCGCGCCCAAACACAGCCACCATCCGTGGCTGTGACGTTATGCAATGCTCGAGGAATCTGATATCATCGGAGCTGGGAGAGGAGTTGGAATTTAGAGAGAAACCTTGTTAGAACCAGAACCAAGAATTCTAGATACAGTGCTAGGTACGGAATACCTGCAGGTGGTCTACCTAGGTAGGTATAATAATAGGTATTGGGATAATGGTGCCTGTTTACCTATTGTATAGTAGTGGGCATCTTGAAAGTTTCAACCTTCCAACTTGAAGTTCATACCAAGGTATTTGTACTTTACTGAAAGCATGCTGGCCACTGCCCGGGTTATAGCTACTAGTACTACCTACTAGGTATGTCTGTAAAAGTACCTAGCATGATCCAACTTGAAACTCAGGTGAACACTGTGACACCCATCGACACAGGCACCCACTGGCAGCCACTGGCACACCTTGGACATATATACTGCCCAGGTGCCAGTGATCTCGAGATCAACTGGAATAGTATCTACTACTAGTAGTAGTCTCAGGATGTCCGCGGGAAACAGCACGACACTGGCATGTATAGAACATACCCTCGACAGAGTAGGTACGATAAAATCATCATACTAAACTTCAAATTGAATCCAGCTTCCAAGCTTATTTCTTAATCAGGTCGCAGATGGTTGCCTACCTAGGGTACCCAGATGGAAATGCTTGACGCCGTTGTCCCGTGACGATCGCTCCGATAACCTCCTTCCCCATTCCTTTGGCCTTTGCCTTTAGCCAAACGGAGTCGGTTGCACCGACCGACCATTTAGATTGCTTCACCAGTCGGCAATGACCAGATTCGAGGTCCCCAGGTTCAAGTTGGCACGGGTACTCCGTACTCCCTACTGGCAATGGCAATCCAGGGGCCCGGCTCCATCTGTGCACTGTCGCACATCTGCCGATATGCCCCTTGCCCAACACCAATCATCTCCCAACCTCGTATTGCTTCCGAGTCCCCACTCTCCAAACGTGCTCTGGAGCTGGGAGCTAGAAAATCCGTGGTGGAGATGGGTGATGGGCTCTGGTAGCCGCGTCTCCACGACTGAACTAAAAATAGGCAGAGATCCTGGGCGACTCGAGAAAACACTGTAGCAAAGGGGGGGAAGTAAAAGGGGGGAACGTCAGGTAAGACATGCACACGAGCTAAGTTAAGAGTACGGATAACGGATATAGCTGGGGCACTTGTCCTTCCGTTTATTTAATTTGGTTTATTTGATTTTCATTGCGTTGCTTTTTTATTTTTTATTATTTTCCCTTCCGGCCGAACCAATTTTTCTTCGGTTTTTGGTGGAGAGTGCGAACTAGCTACATACTAAGTAACAATGTATATACTTAGCACGTAGATGGCATAAGCCGTTTCCAATATTCCGACTCAACCAAGCCGACCGCACACAAAAGTACGAGCAATCTGTACTCGTACTCTGTACTCCCTACCCCGTCCCAGCGACCATTTCCCAATGGCCTAGGGAGTCTCCTCACACTAGCGAAAGCCACCGAGCTCGGGTCGACGAGCGTAGTTAGTGTCTCCGTCCCGTTCTCCAGGACCCATCACAAGCGCCTGATCGTGGAATTTGTCAGGGCATGCTCCTACTACTCCGTTTGTAGTCTTTCTTTGCGCTTTGCATTTGAATTTGCACGCGCGTACCGGGGACCAGGGTACCTACTCCTTATGAATGTACTATACTCCGTACAGGGGTATGGAGTACATGCAACTCCAACTATGACAACACGGCGGAGCAACAATGCCACTGCCACTGCCACCCCCACTGCTGAGCTGGACCGGCTTCCGCCTGGAACTGAACAAACCCGTCGGGTGCGATCAACGTGCGTATCATATCTTCGGTATCGATCGACCGGGTCCCGGTCTGTCTCCACAATTGTACTGGGTAAGCTTCTCGACGGGTCCGTTGACGCGTGAGTTGGTGGAGGAGACTTGTCCGCATGGGGTGCCGGGGATGTATGCGGTGGGCCCGCTGCTTGATGACGGTCGATGTCGATGTGATGCTTTGCTCATGATTTTGCTCTTGCATGTATTTAAATACGTATCAGATCCTACGTACATAGGGGCCTTCGGATCGGGCAGGAGGTTTTGGTATGGCCCATTCTGTTGGGCATTACGTTTGGATGCGACTGCGGTGCCGAGGTGCTGCTGAGCTCCTTAGTGCGTCGCTGGTTGGCTCGTTATATGTCGGTCGCTATGCGGGTAAGTCTGCTGCGTCTGGTCTAATAATGGCAGAGACAATATTTGGTCTAGACTTGGTTGTAAAACTTTGGATGTGCATGTACTTCTCACATAGTCAGATGAGATCATGTATGTTGGAACTTGCTATAGACTCGACAGACATGCTGTGAGGAGTCTTCTTCTGACTCCTGCGGCTTCCTTGAGTAAAATCTCGGCTGTAGCCCTGGAGGGGAGGTGCGCTGCATTGAAAGTGATCCAAAGCGTGGAATAAGACAAAATCTCCGTTTGTTCAAGTTGCATTAAAATATATATCTCAACTAGATGTCACAAGATTGAATGACACCCAGCTAGTAAGAGACTCGGAATGTTTGGCATGGAGTCCAAATATAGATATAATGGTTTTGATGGTTCTGTCGGAAATGGTGAGCGTTCTACTACTAGGCTTGGTGCTTAAAACAGCTTTCAGGACCACACGTACTCTCAATCCACTATTTGCTTGAGTTTTGCCAGTAACAGCTTCCAATTCTCTCGAATAGGGTAGATATACCTGGGTTCATCCCCGGCCGAGCCACAGATCTTTGAGCTCTTCGCGGTGGTTTTTCCACTCGTCTTCTTGACTGTGCGCCATGAGTCTGAGTCTTCTGGTCTGCCAGAAGGGCCTTAAGCGCTTGAGTCGGGGCGTGGCATACGATATTTATATGCGTGTGGGTATTGAAGCCCTTGAAGTTATGTCCATAAAGATGAATTCTTAACGTTCTATTGGGTCTTGCCAGAGTCCCCAAAATATTCTTCAACCCTTGTAAGTCTTCCCAGCACAGGCCATAATGGCTTCGGGCTGTTTCTGGCCGCGACGAATGAAAACATTAAGCATGATGCCTCGCTGGGTCGACAAGGACGTTTGTGATTGGTGGAGGCCCAAAGGTCGATTGGCGAGACGAAAAGAGCTGAGTTCTCAATCCCAGTCATTCTGGACTTTTTGCTTATTATGCCTGGGCGCAAATCTAGATATGGTGCTTACCCCTTTTCTTCTTCCCCTCCACTTTTTTTGTCTTGGTCTCTGAAGCTTTGATGTACTCCGTACATACATATTTGCCATAATTATCCTAGTTTTTCAAACGTGCCAGTCTCTACAGAGTACTAGTATGTATAATACGATCCTTTTTTAGTAGCAGCTCTTATCTCTCAACTCCTCGCATTAACCATACTATCATATTTATGTGACAGAAATGTTATGCTACAATATGGATGGCTCATTCTTGACTTTCGTGTCCTGAATCGCAAACGAGCGAGCGTGTGATGTTTTGGCAAGACCTTCTAACGACTCTTTCTCTACGCTCCACTAAAAGTTTCGGCTTTGACGTGTCCAATGCTGCCATTATGGGGTTTGGCGGCTCCACGATTTTAACCCGATACTTTGATATGACAGTTATCTCACCCACATGAGCCTCACAAAAGCACAAAATTCGCAGGTAATTTACACTATTCTGGATTTTTTTGTACAGCAGCCGCAATTCTTCATGCTAATGTGATCAAAGTCGATTTTCTCGAGCCGCATTAGAGACTGCGTCTAAGTTGCTTTGGGTCTAGTAAAATGATACGGAGTACGAATGAGTCCTTGGAAAAAGTCTTCCAAATCATCATTTGAATATGATTGGCCCCACAGAAGTTCACTTAAGTGCATATTCAAGTCAGCTTCAAGTAAGCCCTTGACGTGCCCCGCTTAGTTCGTTTTCGCGATTGTTGATCGGAAGCCTCAACCAACACCGATTCTCGAATTGGAGGACGCAAATCGCATAACAATGCATCCGATATCAGTGGTCAAAAGTAGAAATTTGAATATGAATGGGAAAAACGAGCAAAATTGAACAGAGAAAGGTCGAAAGTCCCTTGAAAAGACTATTTTGAACCAAGGATTTTGGCCCCCAACTAGACTAAGGCTGACCCTCTCACGCACCCAGTAGTCAGGATAAGCGTGGCTATGTATCTGTAAGCAGGGAATTGGTAACCGTCTTCAAATACGGAGTAGCATATCACAGACACTATTCAAGGCTCTCGCTCACCCAAACTCTGCACCGCTAGCCGATCAAGTCCCCTTTTGTGATTTGGCCCCATTTAAGGCTGAGGATATTTACGATTGAATCGTCAACAATAATGGGTTGATTTAATCTTCTTTCCCCAGGCGGGCTTCGAAAGAATTTTTTTTTTGACTTCTTCGACCTGCTATTTTCTTCACATTTGCTCACCATGCTCTCCATAGACGAACACAACCCTGAGTCTCAACATCTGAGTCCTCTACAAGATGAATCGGATGATGACTCTGAAGCTTCTAACTCTGACCGCCGCCGTTCAGGCACCCGATTCTATTCGAGCCATTTTACCGAAGCGCCTGATGTTCCACTCGCCGCGAGCCCAGCTCCACCAGAGGTATCTTTTCTTGGAGAAGTGCGACGCTATCCTAAAATCACGCTTTACAGCATTGGCCTCGCGATGGCATTTTTATTGGCCGGTTACGATTCTGTCATTGTCAACACAGTTCCATCAATTTCACAATTTAAAAAGGACTTTGGCGTGCAGTACGGCTCCGATAAGAACGAATATATTATACCATCAATGTGGCTGTCTCTTTGGAGTGCGCTTGGAGCTGTCGGACAGATATTGGGAGCACTTGCCTCGCCGTCCTGGCAAGATCGCTCAGGCCGGCGAACTCCAATGATTGTAGGAACTGTGGTTTCTGCTGCTGCTGTCGCCGTCATCTACACTTCCTACTTGCCCACTGACATTAATGCTCGACGAGCCGTTTTTCTCATCGGCGAGATCATTCAAGGTCTTGGTATCGGTATTTTGACGACGACCGCGCAAACCTACCTATCCGAAACGGTGCCTACAAGTCTGCGAGGGTCTGCGATGGCACTCTGTCCGACGTTTGTGTTACTGGGTCAACTTGTTGGTGCTTTGGTGGTATTTCTATCTTCGAGCGGAAATGCAAGCCGTGCATACCTTGTGACCTTCGTTTCCATGTGGCCGTTTTCCGCCATCACGCTCCTCATTGTCGTGCTGGTTCCGGAGAGTCCTGCATTTCTTGTGCGTAACGGCAGACTGGTTGACGCACATCGCTCGCTGCAGAAACTTCACTCTAGTACCCAGGACTGCGGACAGCTGGTCAAAGACCTACAGAGAACCAATGCGCAGGAGAAGGAAGAAAATGAGAAAATCCCTTGGCGTGACTGTTTCCGACGTACTGATCTACGACGAACTCTTATTGTGTCATTTGTATCGATGATGCCTTGCTTCTTTGGGTTTTCGCTACTATCAGATGCGAGTTATTTCCTGCAGATTGTTGGAATGGATGACCATAACAGTTTGATGATGTTTGTTTTGGGTATCAGCTTGGGGTTGGTAGCCAACGCTGTGGGTGTGTGGGTTGCTAACGTCGTCGGACGACGGACGCTCATGTTAAGTTCGCTGTCTGTAACTTCACTACTATGGCTTGGAATGGGTATTGCCGGCTGCTGGTCCGGTACTGTTTCGATCTGGTAAGGCTAGCTATCCGGTTTACTATCGCATCCTTGATAGCTAATATTGATGACAGGTATACCGCGGTGACGATGATGTTTATTGTTGTGATCTGCGGTGTGGGTGCATGGCCTGCTTCATTTGCAGTTGTTGGAGAGACATCATCCCTCCGCTTGCGAGCCAAGTCGCAGGGCATCAGTACTATCGCCTCCGACATTGCGAGTATAATCTTTAGTTTTGTTCTACCATACGTTTATAACAAAGATGCTGGGAATCTTGGTGCCAAGACAGGCTTCCTGTTCTTTGCAATTTGCACAATCACAACGGTTATTACTTGGTTGGCAGTTCCGGAGCTCAAAGGAAGAACCAATTCTGAAATCGATCATATGTTCAAACTGGGACTACCCACAAGGAAGTTTAAGGATTGGTCGGGAGCTGACAGAATGGAGGACTCGGAGGGATTGATGTGGAAATGAATCAGCTTCTAGTATATTTACGTCCTTAGTAGTTTTGCTGGCGATGTACAAAAAACTTAAACATACTAGTATATGGTCTCGACCCAGGGACCTAGTTGCTGTTACTAGTACAAGTAGTTGGTAGTACTGATCGTGTGACGATGTAGGTGGATATGGATATTCTTACCCCCCCAACTGCCCGGATGGTTTCAGTCACGGGCATGCTCCTTTGAAATTACATTTACCTAGTGCCTTTATTTCAAGTTAGATCATACGGTTCACGCACACGATATTGGCGAGTTGGTACTTGACGGTGTAGTAGTTACTATATGTATGGTTAGTAAGCACCATGGTTGGCGCCGTGTCACGTGCCCCGCGATGCGGCCGCAATTTTCCTTGGGCGGCATCGTGAATGTTGACGAGCAGCATCAGTCGAGCCATTGCTGGGCCACCACCACTACAATGCAGAAGGTCATCCTAAGGACGGCTACGGCCCGCAAGCAGGCCCAGAAGAAACTCTTCCGAGCCCAGAAGAAGGATGAATTGGCGAACCGCAAAGACAACATTCGGATGCGAAGGGACTACAACAAGGCGATACTCGATTCAATCAAGCTAGCACGCGCTTCTCGCTGGGAGGACTACAGGAAGGGAGATATTGCTCCCAAGCGAGACTCCGGACTGGAAGCTACGACCTTCGGTGCTATCGACGCCGCTCTGCTTCACCCCCCGACCATCCCTAAAAGCCAACGCCGCCAGCACATCCTTTTCGCCGCGGGAGACCGAGTTTGCGTAATTCGGGGCCGGGACCAAGGAAAGATCAATGAGATCACACAAGTAAACGAGGAGAGCGAGACTGTTACGATAAAGGACATCAACACGGTGAGCTTGCCAACTCCACGAGCCCCTTCTACCTAGGGTTCCATTGCGATCAGCATCACTAAACCGAGTCTCTTGAATAGGTCGATCTCAAAGTTCCCGACTGGGCCAAGGCCTCAATGGGTATCAAGTCCGACGTTCTCGCACAGTCATTGCCGGTACCTATGGATGACGTCCGACATGTCATCGCACTCGAGACTGGAGCCGAAGGCAGCTCGGTTACACGCGACCACATCGTTAAACACGCTTACGCCGGAGCGCCCTATTTAGAGCGTGCCGAATACAGCAAAATCCCTCGCTACACTCGTTACATCTCCGGGCTTGACATCGAGATCCCCTGGCCCGTTGAAGAGGACCCGAACTACAAGGACGGCGAATATGATACATTGCGATTCGAAGTCGATCAAGAGACTTGGGTTCCATCTTTGGATAACTCACCTTTCCCATCGAGCGTTCTCGACGAATTGCGAAACAAATACTCCCGATTCCGTAAGCGCCACGACCCAGAGTATGTGAGGGAGAAGGTTCTCGAGGAATACCGGAAGGAGTACCTGGCTAGCCAGTCTCTGTTTACTCCTGCCATTGAGCGCAAAGAGGCGGAGATTTTGAAGAGCAAGGCGGCCAAGCTGGCCAAGATGGATGCTGATGGCAATATGCTTCTTGATACCGAAACGAGCAACTTCATTGATCGCTTTATGCAGACAAGTATCAGTGAGCAGCCAAAGAAGCAATCCAAGAGGGCTAAGGCCAAGGCTCAGGCTCAGGCTCAAGCTCAGGCTCAGTCTCAGACTGCTTGAGTTGAAAGGGGTGATCTGTTTTAAAGATAGCGATGTGTATAAACTTCCCCAATGTATTCTAGTTTGCAAATTTACGTCCAATTCATTCCTTGGAAATGATCTATCGATCTATCAATTTAAGAATTATTTTTATTTCCCCAATCAGACACAACCTCAATGGTTGCTGCGTCGAAGTAGAGTTTCTCCTGCCAATCCTCGGGTCCGCCAGGGGACGTCAACGCCATTCTTGAATTTCCAGTTTTCAACTCACCCACCACACTCCCTTTCGCACTTGCTTCTACCTTTCCCAACGGGCAGTCGCATGAACCAAATTATGGCATTTGCCGCGATAAACAACGCCCCTTCGGCCGGTGCTCCGATCGCCGCTATTGAGGAGGCGTTTGCGACGGACCCATCCCTCAAGAAACGAGTTTACGATGCGATCGGTGCGTAGCCCACACGGCGCATCTACGCCCATCGACAACAAAACCACAAACTACCCGACCCAGCCACTGACTGTCGACCGATTCGATTTTCGTTTAGGAACTACACCCCAGCATACACCTCTGTTTGAGGATCTTGCTCGATATACCTCCAGCCTGCTGGCCAGGACTGTGACTGCGGCTGCGACGACAACCACCACCCTTCCGATCGTACCTCCGCCCAGCGACGCCCCAGCGGCGAAGAAACGCAAGATACAAAATGGGGATTCGGGACCCGCTGTGCAGGCGCCTGTGGATGTGAAGAGCAATGATGCTACTGTGCAATTCTATATTCAGGATGTCTCCTTTGCCATCCCTCAGCGCAAAAAGTTCACGCTGGAAGTAACAGCTGGGCAAAGCGTTCTCCGGGCGAGGAACCAAGCTACGAAGGAGATTGATTTTGGCGTGCCAATGGACCGGATCCGTGAGTACCCTTTCCTTTTCTTTTTTTGTTACTGATTGGTATATCTATTCCCTTTGGAAATGTGAAGAACTAATCAATTGGTTCGCTTCCAACCAGGTCACGCCCTTTGTCTCCCTGTGCCGGAGAAGAACCAAAAACAATTCAACTTTTGTATCATTCCCGAGTTCGCCGATGGCATTACCCCTCCCCCCGAGGGCACGACCGGCTTCGAAGCGATGGTGTTCACTGTAGCCGACGGACCGGCCAAGGCTGCTTTTACAGGAACTGGACAACAGGTTGGCAATGGAACCGGCGAGACCGCGGAGAGCTTCCTGCGAAAGATCTTAAATGATTATATGCCCAACACGAATGTCGTCCGACCTGACGAGCGACAATTCGCCAGTGCAATGCCCGAGGCGCACCGCAAGGGCGAGAAAGCATACCATATCAAAGCCTTCCGTGGCAGCAAAGAAGGTACGAAGAAACATGCCATATGAAAGCGCAATCTAGGGGTGACGGGAATTGAGATCGGCCCCTTCTTTCTCCCGTGGAATTATTGCGACTGACCTTGTTTATTGTTTGTTATAGGATATCTTTTCCTCCTTTCGACTGGAATTTTGTTTGCATTCAAGAAACCCCTTCTCTTCTTCTCATTCGACACTATTGATTCCGTCTCATATACTTCTGTTCTGCAACGGACCTTCAATCTTAATGTTTTAGCCCGCCCTCGTGGTGGTACCGAGGAGGATCAAATGGAATTGGAATTTTCCATGATCGATCAGGCTGATTACGATGGTATTGACGAGTATATCAAGCGACACGGCCTGCAGGACGCCAGCCTGGCCGATGCCCGCCGTGCCAAGGTGTACAATGTGAATAGCGGCAAGAAGGACCCCAACGCTGCTCCCGAGGTCGGTGTTGAAGACGAGGAGAGTGAGCTCCAAAAGGCTCAGCGAGAGCTTGAAGACCAAGAAGAGGAAGACGAAGAGGACTACGACCCTGGTAGCTCCGGGGATAGTGAGGGTAGTGGATCAGATGGGGATGATAGTGACGACGATGACGATGACGATGATGAGGACGACGAGGATGATGATGTTGGCATCGAGAATCTTATCAAAGACGAGCCTGGTAATGACGATGAAGAGCTCCCTGATGCCGAATAAAGGCCTGGGGGGGTTGTTTCGGAATGGAACTTTTGTATGATGGTGCCTAGGGTTGGGCTGTAGAATAATGGGTGACTTTGGATGGGAAATGACACCCAGAGTCAATTGAAACGAATCTACTCGTACTCTGTTTCTGTTCTCTGTTCTCCGTGCTTCTACACCGTATTCTCTGGGATTGAGTTAAACGATCGCCCGGTGGGTCGAAGACGTGTCAAATGCGAGATACGGTGAATCCCTCGGCCACAGCGATATTAAGCGACTGTCAAGCCAGGGTGCAGTGCAGCAGCATTTACAAAGCCACACTGAGTATGCACTCAGGCACGGGGTAGTGAGTATGTACATGGAAGTAGCTACAGCTATAGCTACAGCTATGTACCAGCAGCACTGGGGGGGTAGAAGTGCCAATGCCAAGCCCGTAATGTTACCGCTGAATTAAGCGCATTCCAGCCCCGAGTCCAGCCAACGGTTTCCCCTGAGGCGGTAAAGAAAATGGAGCAAAAGAGGGAAATTTCGGTAGTGCTGAACGGGTCCCTGGGACTCGCCTATCCCTTTGTGGCGGATGGGGAAACTGTGGTCCATTAGATTGGGTTGGGCTGGGCTGGGCTGGGGACTTTGCACTCCCTACGGAGTACAGAGTACAAAGTACAGTACAGATAGTTACTCGTACTCCATACAAATTGCAATCAAAAGAATGTCAAATCGAATCTCCTTGGTGCCTGCAGCAGTGAGATTGATCGGAGCCGAAAAAAGGGCCTGGGCACACTAGCTCTCTAGGTGCAGCAGGTAGGTACAAAGGCCATCCTCCGTACGGTCGGGTGTTTCACGGTCCAAGGGCCCCATCGAATGATCCGTTGACCAAGTAGCGTTGAGTTAGTGGTTCTAGTGACCTTAAGTTGGTTAAGTGCGAAGTGTAGAATCAAGTTAGGAGTAGGCTTGTGTTAAGGCGGTGTTATAGGCGCAGTCCGCACCGCTTGTGTATTATATACCATGATTACATATATTACATATATTACCAGTCCATATCCAGTACCAATACACCACTAATACCGACTCCCTGTATGCTTGAATCTCGCAACTTCGCCCTGGGCGTCTCTCTCCCTTAACCACTCCCCTTCTCCCTCCTCTTCGATCGGAACCCACTGCTCAGTGCGGCTCGTACTCCTTCGAGTACCCCGGGTGCTCTCTATCTCTCTATACTCCCCCTTTCCCCTTTTGCTCCTTTCTCACCGTTCGTGTTTGACCCCCCCGTTCGGCTTCAACCCCCGATCGCAGCTCTGCCTGAGACGTTTCGGCTAGACCTTCACCCTCGCCCGTGACTCCCCGACAGCATTTGAGCTCTTCAATTCCTATTCAGAACGCTCAATTCCTTCCGAATCGCCTTGCTAGCTCTCAACGCAGCCAAACCCGCCCGTCATCTCGTCACACCTCCCGCGTCACCCCCGATCGACTCTCCGATTCCCTTCCGGTACCGGTACATCGAGATTGTGCATTCATTGCCGCCCTGAGGGATCACTTTGGTTAAACATCAGGTGTCCCTGCGGTGTAGGTTGGCCCCTTTCATCCTTTCTTGTGTACCGTCGTCGACTTTGTGCTGACTTTGCCCGACTCAGACAGTGTCTTATCACGTGCCCTGCGTCCCTGAAGCCATTGCCCCGTGATCGAAACTTCTGTTCCTGGCTTCGCCACACCCTGTCGCCATGGCTTCCTCTTCGTCAAACGTGGTGGGCGTCCACTATCGAGTGGGTAAGAAGATCGGTGAAGGATCCTTTGGTGTTATTTTCGAGGGCACCAACCTTCTCAACAACCAGCAAGTGGCGATCAAATTCGTACGTCCTGCCCTATTCCGTCGGAAACCTCCTCCGTACTAACAACTGCAGGAACCCCGGAAGAGCGATGCTCCCCAACTGCGTGATGAGTACCGAACATACAAGATCCTGGTTGGATGCCGTGAGTACCCAAAACATGTGAAATTATGTCTGCTTGTTTTGCTGACTTTTGCCCCTTAGCTGGTATTCCCAATGTGTATTATTTTGGACAGGAGGGCCTGCACAATATCCTGGTCATCGACCTTCTCGGACCCAGTCTCGAAGACCTTTTCGACCACTGCAACCGTTGGTTCTCCACCAAGACCGTGGTGATGGTGGCTAAGCAGATGGTGAGTTTATCTCAGCTAGCTCCAATGTTCTGTGGCTAATCAATCCGACAGCTGTCGCGCGTCCAAACAATCCACGAGAAGAACCTCATCTATCGTGACATCAAACCCGACAACTTTCTTATCGGTCGTCCCGGCACCAAGGCAGCCAACGTCATCCATGTTGTTGATTTCGGCATGGCCAAGCAATACCGCGATCCCAAGACGAAGCAGCACATTCCCTACCGCGAACGCAAATCCCTGTCCGGCACTGCTCGTTATATGAGCATCAACACACATCTTGGCCGTGAGCAATCACGAAGAGACGATCTGGAGGCCCTAGGCCACGTCTTCATGTACTTCCTGCGCGGAGGTCTCCCTTGGCAGGGACTGAAGGCCGCGACCAACAAGCAAAAATACGAGAAGATCGGTGAGAAGAAGCAGACCACTGCGATCAAGGATCTCTGCGACGGATACCCAGGTACGTTATACCCCCCCATTGCCATTATACGGTCACCAATATCTCCCGCCATGAATACACTTCCCTAACCAGAATGTCACAGAAGAATTCAACAAATATCTGAGCTATGTGCGCAACCTTGGTTTCGAGGACACCCCTGACTACGATTACCTGCGTGATCTCTTGACGCAATCCCTCAAGAATGCCGGTGAGGTCGAAGATGGAGAGTACGATTGGATGAAGCTCAACAACGGCCGAGGCTGGGACTATAAGTCGTATACCTCTCAAGCTCATCTCCACAACCACCACCAGAGTTCATCCGGGCGCGATGTGAACCACGGACAGCAGCTTCGCAACAGCCAGAGGCCCGGTGTGACGGCAGATCGTTTAAACGCCGCGCAGCCCCCGCCCCCTTCTCCAGCCAAAGCCGGAGCTGGGAAGACGCGCGAGCGCCCAAGCGGCTCCGCCGGGATACCACCGAAGCGCCAGAGCGGGGGCCTGGAAGCAAACACTCCACCTACGTCCACCCAGGCACAGTTCCAGAACTCCAACGCACACCTTCCCGGTCGGATCGGGAGCCCCAGTAACCCTGGGCTCGGTAGCCAGCAATTGGGTGGTGCCGGCAACAATGATTCACAGCCTACTTTCGTCCAGAAGGTCATGAAGGCCCTGTGCTGCGGTAGGTGATATGACCGTGAATTCTCTCCAGATTACGCTGCAGTCCGCTCATCTCGAGATCCAGGTTGAACTCGAATTAATATGACGCGGCGGCACGTTCTGGATTGAACACGGCCTGATTTCCTTTGCTATGTCTGCCCGCAACGATCGAATCACGGCCGAAGAAACAGACAAAAAAGTCGGCATGGGATTGCCTTTTGTTATTTTCCATCTGGGTCATGTTTTCTTTTTCTTTATCGGGGGCATTTGTTTGTCGTTGTGCATCTCGCCAGTGACTTCAAATGCCTCCATCTGGCCCTCTCATCATTTTCATCATCCCTTCTCTTTCCCTCTTTCCCATTCGACACTTCCGCCTACATTCGACACTGGGTAGAATGACCTTCCTCTCATTGATGTTACGTCTCCATCACTCTTTCATTGGTGCCACGGCTCGGAACGGCAAGCTCGAGAGATTTTTGTCCTGTGTTTTCGATTCTTCTTTCTCGTGACTATACTCGGCATGTCCCGGTTAATACCAAAATCTCGTCCTTTCTCAGCGCAGGCAGATCTCGAGGCTTACTGTTTCGTTGACCTCCTTGCATTTTTGTCTTCAAATTCTGCTGTTTGGAAGAGTTGATCCCGATGGTGGTCTTCCCATTGGGTATCGTTGGATCGTGCTGGTGAACGTCAGTTGCTACACGATAGATGGGACTGTTCGCCGCGGGAGCAATGCGCGAAAATCTCCAACCGGACTTTGAACTCTTTTCTATACTGCCTTGGGCGCAGTCGTCTTTTTCGCGCACCTCCGCTGGTTGGGCGCTTTAATATCTTGATTCTGTGCGCCCTCCGAAACTCCCGTTCGGCCATCTCTCACGACTTCCTCATATGCGTTACTTCAGCCTTCTTTTGCACCGAGCTCAAAGAGTCCTTTTCAACAACTACATGGTCATGACCGATTGTCAGAGCCGGAGCAACGCATATTGCATATATTCTCCTGGTTCATCGATTCTCCTCCCCCTCCCCCTCCACCTCCACCTCTTGTCCGTGTCTTTGGTTGTTTTATCCCTTTTCGAATCTATTGCCCGTGTCTATAATCGTCCATTGTTTGTCCTTGCTCCGTTTCAGAAGCGAGTTTTTTTTGTGTTTCCGGTAGTGTTTGGCATAAGATAGCATTGTTTTGTTATGGTTTTTGTTCCTCTTTGTTCAAGTCCCTGTTCCAGTCATGTCTGCCCGTATAGCGTACATACTGCCTCTCGGAGTGGCGTGATAATACATTTGTGTGTCTATCCAATTCCTCTCGTAGATTTCTTGTAACACATGCCTGCAAGTGTGACTTGACTTCGCTCTCTTACCTCATATCCTACCCTGCCAGCCCTGGGTCTGGACCATCACCTTTAATCAATACCATACTAGCTAGTTTCATGACATCTCCGCACCTCAACCTTTTTTGCTCGAAGATCATGATATCACAGAATCCCATGTAACCAGCAAAACTCGCATCGCCCTACCATGCCATATCTGCAGAATGACAAATCCACACGTAGTATACACCCTATCCAAACATAATCTACCAACCCAACCCACCCCAGTACAGTACGTAGTATGTGACTAACTAACGCACCACACATCCCGCGTGGCAACTTCTTCACACTCACCATCTCCACCTTCAAAGTTTGATATCATCGTCACGCCTGCAGGTACCTACTATATCAAGCCAGCCACCGAAGGGTAAACGGTCCGCATTGCCCAATAACCACCCGACATCACACACAACCCAAATCCCAGACCCCTTCCCTTCCGTTCCCCTCTCCAGCCCAGCCCTGGAGGCGGACACAAGACACACAAACACAGACACACGACCGGGCTAATATTTTTCAAAATGCTCTTTCTAGCGCCCCTTCCCCGCGATACATGACATGAATACCAGCCGGTAAATCCGGCATCATGGCCCTTATTGGTAGATCTAAACTAAACTAAACTAGTCTCGACCCCTCCCCTTCCCTCTCTCCCCTCCTTTGCCGCTTTTGTCTGCTCCCAAGACCTAAGTTTGTTTGTGGTTGGTTACTCGTACATATGTACATACAGGGCTTACTGTACCCCCCACTTTCTCTCCTCCTTGCTTGACGTAGAGTCTTCGATGCTATTCCTCAAGTATGCACGATGCATGCACTTTGTCATAAGGGGCGTCCGATGAACCCCAGTCAGCATCCAGACTACGATACGTAGCTAGCTAGCTAGCTAGCTACAAGCTAGTACTAGCCAGCTACTATTTACATATGTATGCATCAAACTTGGTACGATCCCACCACTGATTGGTGCTTCCACCCACTCTTCAAAATAACCATCCATCATACCATTTAGTCGTACTCACACACTCCGCACCATGTAAACAGTGTACCCCATCTTAAATGCGCATCAGAAATTCTCGAGGCAGAGTAAAGGCAAGGCAGAAGCGCAAGGCTAGGCTAGGCTAGGCAATGTAATGCAGCGACCAACTGACTGACTGCCTGCATTCATTTCCATCTACTCGTTGTAGTTACTGTATGTAGATTCCTGTCGGTACCGACCTGCACGCACGCACGCACCAGGTGATAAAGTTTCCACTCAAACCACTCACGACTCGTGATGCATGGGGTTTCGCTGGCGTAAACGGCTAAACCGGACTCATGCACAGATGGCGATGAGACGAGTGTGCAGGCGAGGGCAAGGCGGGCACCTCGAATAGAACAGATTGGAACACCCCCGCTTTTTGGGGCCCGCATCATAGCGCATGGCATGGCATGGCGCGAGGTCTTGGCTGTTAGTTGGCGTTTCGTGGCTGTATTGCCTGGGCGATTGGGTGGGAGGGGAGAGGAGAGGGGGGGTGTGAAGGTCTGTGGGCTGATGTGTTTATGATCGGCGTGGCTGTGTTTTTTAGGAGGGTTGTTGGTGTTGCCCAAGTGGTTCTTTTTTTTCTTGGTGTGGCGTGTGTGAACTCTCTTTGTTGTCGGTACTAATGTATGTATTTCTTGTGTTGTACTAGTATGGAAGCCAAGTAAACATGGGCATGGGCATTTCTTTGTCTGGGATCCGATGGGAATGGCTTCTTTTCGGGCGTTGCTGCCTTTGCTTCTCTGAGGTATACCTCTTTAGTGCTAGTGTGTTTGTTCAAGTTTCCCCGAAGTTTCGTATGGTTTTTGATGGGGCCGTTCGATATCTTTCACAGGGGTGTGCTGACGGGTTTACGGACCGAGGTGGTGTCAGGCTGAATGTCCACGTTGGACCGATATGAGCGGGGCGGCGATGGTAGGGCTGATAGGCCTTCTGCTTGGTCTTTTCTTGGCTGGTTTGATGTCTTTACTTTGGAGGTTAAGGTGGTGATATCTTAAAATTATGCCCAGGTGTATTCAAATAAAAAACCTTGGATAAAGCGCAGACTCTATTAACTTGTAGCATTTTTGCAACGGAAATTTGAATCGAGTATGTTGAACATCGTTACAAGTAACGGGCCAGTTGAGAGGTCCACAAATATATAAAAATGACACGTGCTCCTGACGATTGTTTTTCCAATAAAGTAGCTTTTTGACCAGAATATTAGAGGTTGATCAATATCTTGAAACTTAGTAATAGCTACTCAAATATGTACGGAAGTAGTCGTCTGGTAAGAGCTGCCCGGTCTCAAGTGAGAAGAACATCAACCCGATGTCCGAGCAATGGAGACCCAGAGAGAAGGAGTAGAAGCTACAGGCAGATCTCAAGCCTTTTCGAGATAAAGAGAGATATTGATCAGGCCTCAATGAATTAGACGAAGCTGTCGGATATATGCATTCCGATCCAGAAAAGGAAAAAGAAATGTGTAGAAAGATCCGACCCAAACTCAAGAACCAAACACATCACTTCACCAAGAAGCCACAGCTCCAGCAGTGTAACCGCCCTGCAGAAATAAATGAACGAACGGACCGGCAGACCGGCAAATGCCAGCATAGACTGCCTCAACAGCTGACTCTTGGCTATGCAGTCTCGTTTCAAACCCATGCATTTAAGCCTTAAGAGGTCGCACAAGATACGATATGCAGCGAGTGTCTACATATACCATCTGCATTCGAGAAAACAGTAGAACGCCATCGAACATGATTCCGAAAACTAAATCTCCGCCCAAGAAAAAAGCTTCAGGTAATCCTGCACTCCGATAGCGTTACTTTTGCGATACTTGTAAGTAACTACTAATACAATAAGTAGTAGTAGATCTCTGACCAACAATCCCAACCTTGGAAGCTCTCTCCATTAATTGGGGTCCTCCTCGTCTGGTAACTATCTAGTATGCTGTATGTAGTATCCATATAGATATGACGTGTGGATCGATGCTGCGTTGGTTGCACGGGGCTAGAATACATATCGCATATCGCACTAGTACCAGTACGCAAGCGAGCAGGGGCCCAAGCCTTGCAACCCGGTCAGATTTGATATCCCGACCGACTCAGACTTCGCATTCTGCACTTAGCGGCAGGTCTCAAAATTCAGACTTGCGAATGTACAATGACACATGGGGTTGTGGCTTTGGTATGTGGGTGGCGGATCGGCAGAAGCGTTGCGAGTGATCGGCAGTGGCGATGTATCAAAGTTAGTTATACTTGGGAGAAAATAGAATCGATCTCGCAAAGCAGTTGGGAATAGCAAATTTGAACAATGTATCAAGCAAAGGTATGGACATAGGCACAGGAATGTACACAGGGCCAAAATGAATGGTTACAATGCCAATGCCAGTGTTACCTTCTTACCCTGGCTGTCACTTCACTTCAAGAAAGGCATGCTGAGCAAACCCTTATTGGCACTTCCAAATCGAATGGTTATATTGTATTTGTTTTTCCTTGCCGTTGAGCTAAGCAGGAAGAGATGGAGACTGGAACTCAAGGACCGAGTTGGAGTCTTTTGTATCTGTAAAAGTTTAAAGCTTGACATCACAATATAGGGCAATAAGCAATGCATGCCATAGCTTCACTACCTTCAGTTCTCACAATTATGCTAAAGGGCACAACAATGAGTTGGACAGGCGATCGTATTATAACCACTGGGCCATGAAGACAATATCATAATGATTGTGATCTCATGATTCGATGCTGAGTGGATCTTTCTGGATGCAGAGTTCTTCATTCAGCATGGAGAAGATAGAAGGACATCTCTGATGGAATCGGCAGTGTGGCCTTTATTGAAAGGGACTTACGGGGGCTCTGTATATCGGCTACAAGTTAGTTGCTAGTACTCTGGCCGGAAAGGCCAACGATCACCGAAATCGATGCATTTTATCAGAGAAATGTATAACACAGGCTTCCGAGGGCAACTTCGGAGTCCGAGTCGCTCAGGTATTATTGTATAAATTACAAAGGTGTAGGCATTAACGGTTCCGCCCATTGAAAGATATACATGCTGCCAATGGCTCGAAAGAATATTTAGTACAAAAGTTCCAGAGTTGTCCGAGTCTGAACCAAACAACTACCATATCAAGAGACAGAAGTATATCCTCTATTTCTCGCGTTCCCATTTGACCATAATTAATCATCTTTTAAGGCGTCCACTGGAACCCGACGGAATGGATAGCTATCACTTGATCACAGCCCGTCCTAAACATTCCAGATAGAGTATTATTACTTGAATACTTTCTCACGAACGGCCATTCACTCAATCAATGATCTCCACAGCAAAGTTTGGATAATTACAAATCCAGACCCTCATAACAGGATTCCTTGCCGGCTTGTCGGCTACTGTAGAGATCAAACCAATCAAAACAGACGGTGGCTTGGAAACTCAGCCATCCACCATGTGACAAGACAATTGCGGGGGGCTGCGCAGCCAAAAAGAAGAAAGGAAAATGTGGCCTTATGTAAGGTAACCAATCAAACACATTCAATGGCGCCCTGCTTCCAAGCGCCTTCCTCCGAGTCGATTCCAATCCCATCTCACAACGCTAGTAGTCTGCCACATCCATCCAACCCACCCACTGACAGCTCTGGTTGCTCCAAACCTTGAATATATCGCAATTCTTTTCTCTTTGGGATTTCACTTTCACCCCCCTCAGGCTTCCTACGAGAAGTTCTAGCTTGTTTGATTCATCCGGTTTTCCTGATTATGGCTGCCTTGAGTGCCATCACATCCGACGAGGGCGCCCGTCCATGGCATGCGGCTTACCCCACTCCATCATCCCAGGCAGCTGCCTTACCCCGCCAAGAACTTTTACAGTGGCTCGAGGGTGCGAAGGTGAATGGGAAGGACTTTGTTTTGGTGGATTTGCGTCGTGATGATTACAAGGTTTGCTGATCTAATCATTAAACCAAGAGTACTGTAGTGTTAATGTGTATGTGTATGTGTGCAGGGTGGTACGATTCGCGGGTCATTGAATCTCCCAGCTCAGAGTCTTTATCCGACTTTATCGGCTTTGTACGCTTTGGTTTCGAGTAGTGGTGTGAATAATGTTGTTTTCTACTGTGGTTAGTTCTGCTCCGACCCTAGTCCCCCTCGTACCTTATCTGTAAAAAGGTGCTGACTTCTTTTCTTTGGTAGGCTCTTGTGGAGGTCGGGGTACGAGGTCTGCGGGTTGGTTTGCCGATTACTTGCAGGAAGTCAACGACACATCTATCCAGAGTATGATACTCGAAGGAGGAATTAAGGGTTGGGCCGCGGCTGGGCCGGAGTATACTAAACTGATGGACGAGTTCGATGCAAGTGTATGGAAGAAGTAATTGCTCAGATGACCAGATCGAGTTGCACTGTACATACATAGAGACAGAGACAGCAGTGGAGGTTAGTATCATGATGAGCTACTAGTAGGTAGTAGCAAGTATAGTACCTCATATTTAGTACTATGTAGTATCACTCCTACATAGAATTTTCAAGACATACATATGACGTTGTCTGCATCCATGTAATCAACATCCCATAATAATTAAGTACGATACATATTAATTGGAGTATCTGCAGTACCAATTAGCGCCTCCACAACCGCCAAACTAAAAGTAAAGCCTCCATCCATATATGTACTTATGTATGAGGTATGTAGTAAAAATCCTCCTCATGTGAGCGACGATCAAAACAATGCCTAGACGATCGTCTCAACATGAAACCAGCCAGCGCTTAGAAGATTGGGGGCCAAGCCCACACAGAGCGCGTATTTACCCACTCAATCCTGAGCATCCAGCCGGGTATCCCTACCATCCCGGCAAGACGATCGGAGTCCGCCGTTGCAACGCAAACTCTGACCAATGGATGACCACAATGCCATCAGCAAGCGAGGCGAAAATAGAAGACAATGAAAAGCTCCGAACTATGGAGTACGGAGGACGGAGTACACTACGAGTACTCCGTCGTCCTCCGTCAAAGTCCACACGGTACCCGTTTCGGCGAGCTCGGCAAGAGCTCCACGCTCAAAGGTCCTTGACGTAAGAAGTCGAGATCAAAAGCGACCTTGACCTTGAACCTGAAATTGCAAAAAACTAACCTAACTAGCGCGCAGATCTTCCAGCCATACCCATGATTACATGTACACTTTTTCACACCCCCTACATACTGTGTACAGTAAGCACAACCCCCCCCCCCCTCGGTGTTACATGGGGTCTCCCCCCGCGCGAGAATTGAGACCGGTCGGCTCATCGCGCCCGGATAGTTTTGGCTAGAGTTTTGGTGGGGTGATGCTTTGCAGGGATCATGATTGTTGAGGAGTTGCGATGCGCTAGCGTCATTTGGGTAGATGAGTATGTAGTATGCAGGCAGATTTGTATTTGTATTTTGCATTGGCGCAGATATACGTAAATCTTCTGATACAAATATATTCCATAAAAGAAAGGAGATACGTACTCATGATGCTCGACCAAATGAATGAGAGTATGGGATGACGGGACCATGGGAGCTACTGCGCCCTATACTCCGTACCATAAGTAAACACGATAAGACTAAGACTAGACCCTTCGAATCGGGAATATAGCGGGATTACTACTGTAGTGTATATTGTACTTCTAGATAGAAGGCGCCCAAGGTGTTTCAAGTAGCCGCCCACTTTGGCTCGAACGGGCTGCCACTCTCCCGTGCTCCACACTCTTCTTCCCCTTCAAGTTTACTCTCCATGTCTTGCGTCCTCCCGAGTATGTTTATGTATGTACGGAGTACCGTATGCTCTCCGTACTAGCTACGCGGCGGAGCCTGGAGATAGTGGGGAAGATCCCGTGTCGGCTCAGTGTCTTGGCCAGACTACAGACAGGATATGAGCAAGGGAGGGATGGGTGTAGTGTGTTGTGGGATCCATATTTCACAGACATGTTTGTACATTATGGAGTCGTAGAAGAAAAGAAATCCCGATGGATGTTCTGCTCATTCTTTTCTCAAGAGAAGATCCATCCAAAATCAAGATTTTGGCCGATGTTTGTGGGGCTCATGACCTCATTTGCGGCTTCTGCCGTGCGCTCCGTTTGATCGACTGGAGTCGTTTGGGATTGGGCCGGTTTTACGGCTGGGTTGACTTTAGGCTGTGAAAGTGGGATCTTTATTTACAGTGGAGAATTTGGGAAATTGGTGCCAGTCTTTTTGCATTCTGTGCTCAGGTGGTGAGTGCGAAGTGTAGTCTAGAACTTTGGTTTTCGATCGGGGTGGGGGTGGGTGTATCCTCCGTACGCCGTACGCGGAGGAGAGGAGAATGGGACTAGGACAACTGTACGCGCAGATCATTGATCCCGCGATTCGCTTAACAAACCACGCAAGTACTCGGCTAGGGGATCCTATGGTTACAAATAGATACAGACCAGATTTTGGCGATGATAGCGTGGAAAGATTGACTGCGCTCAGGATCGCGGAATTGATTTATTCCCGCTGCACGTCATGGGTTGTCGTTCACTGGCCCTTTTTTTTTGGGGCTCAGGGGCTGATCTACACATACTCGTACATAGACTGTGGAACATGCTACGCAAGTATGCCTGGGGTCGAGAACGTCTCGCGTGCGCGCGCGTGCGTAGGGAGTACAAAGCACATACTCTGTATTTACCTGCAGAAGCAAAAATAAAAACCAAAGCATGAAATGGGATGGCATGGGATGGCAGGTCCAGCCCGGAGCAACGAGGAGAAGGACCCGAATCCATGCATCTAGCAGGGCTCGTTGGCAATTGGTGTAACGCGATCATCAATCAATTATTTTCAACTTGAACTCAACTCAACTCTGCCTGCACGTCCCTTATCCCTCCTTGTCCTGATCAAGCTGTCGAATCCCCCCCAGTCTGGCACACGGCATCGTCTGGAGTGCAGTACTGTAGTTAGTACATACGAGACGGCAGTCACCCCCCCCCTTCCCCTCATCAGGCCAGTGGACACGAGACACGATCTTTAGGTAAACCTTACTGCTCTCCAGGATGGCAGGGTGGGAAGATTACTCGTAGGCCGCACCGCACTGGTCACATTAAACCTTGAACCTTGCACTCCTTGTCCCCGCTGGCACCGTGGCTTGTGCCGGAGGGTATACTGTATGCACCCCAGGTGAAAGGAAAGAGGGGGGTGATTGGCTTGGGGGGGGGGGGGATGGGGGAACTACTCCCCCGTGAGATTGGCAAGCACCGAGCGATAGCCGTTCTAGATGTGTGGGCATGGTATGTGAGCGACCAAGGACAGACTTGGGAGGATGAGGGCATGGGACAGTGCGAGAGACGATGTGGGGAATCCTTGCTGGTTTGAGGTGCTCGGGGGAATTGTGGATCAGGATCTGGGGGTGGTGAATGCTGGATGGAGGGCTGAACGGGTGCTAGTGTGTTCTCTAGTGTTGCGCTAGAAAGGGTTTGCTGTTCAGGTAGCCCCGAGCTTTTTGACTAGCGGCGCAATTATGCACTAATCCGTGTAGCTGCAGCGTGTGTGTGGGGGTTGGATTGGCTGTAGAGCAGATGGCGTCTTCTCGGCGCTGCAAGAGCTGGACGGAGTACCTGGGCTGTATGTAAGCTGGCCTGAAGTTGGGGCTGGAGCTGGAGCTGGGAGAGTGTGGGATGGGTTAAGTAGCTAGTCACGAGTACTGCAAGGAGTGGGTGGTCTCCTAAACTGGTGAACCCTGCCGATATTGTTTTGATGGTTACATAGTATGTACGGAGGATGAGTACGAGTACGTTATGCGTTAGGTGGTAGGGAGTGGGGAGGACCCTGATTACTCCGGATAGCCTGAGATTCTTTACTGGCATGTTCAGTACGTTTGGCGCACTTACAAAGTATGTGGTGCCTACCAAGTATGTCCAAGTATTCCAAGACCAGTGCAGGAGCTTGATTATAGTTCCGCACCAAGCGGTTCATGCTGTTGCTTAAGCTTATCAACCTAAGCCAACGACGCGGGAATGCAGATCTGCCTAGCTCATCGATGAGCACCAGGATCCGAGTCAATCAATACGTATGTACTACGAGTATGTACTTAAACACTGCCTCTGGTAGGCTGAGAGATCACTCAGATAGGTAAGTACAACAATGTAGCACATGTGTTGTAAACCCAATGTTGCGACCGAGCACACCACCATACGATACGATAGCAACATACCCTGGCCCTGGCCTCGCCCTCGCCCTCCGCTCTCGGAGTCAAGCCTCAAGTGGAGTCCGTCTTGGCTCTCGGTTTCACTCGGCCAAGTCGTTCACCGAACGGGAAACAGGTGTCTAAGAGGATATGGACTCCGTTCTAGGAGAGGTACGGTCCGTACAGAGACATGATAGGGAAAAATGTGGGGTCGGGATAAATAGGAAGCAGGGCGACTGCGATATCCCTGCGACCAACCTGCTTGGCTGCATAACGAACGTGTGCGGCTAGCGGACGCTGTGTGGCGGACGGGTGTACTGTGCAAAGCAAGGGTGGCGAGAGGGGGGGGGAGGGGGGGGGTTCTCGAAGGGCCAAAGAAAGAAGCCCAAAGATAAAACTCTGACGTGTGTTCGTGTTCAAGTTCAGATTCAGGTACGAAAGGATCCAGGCAGGTACCTGTTTCCCGTTTTTGTCACGAAAGAAGAAATTTTCAATTTTCAATTTTTTCATTTTCCTTTTTGTCTCATTTCATTTGGGGGTCCCGGCGGGTGTGGCGATCTTTTGGTCGATCGGGTGGACACTCGGTCAACTCTGTAACTTGCAATCTCTGGGGTCGCGGATATCTTCGGCCTGATTTACGTGAGTGTAGTTCCTACTCGTCTGTACTCTGTCAAGTCGTAGTCAGGGATGGTGAACAGACCACCTACCCCTGGCTAGCATGTAGTATCTTCTAGTGGCATGCAAGAAAATTGGGTCGACAAATAAGCGCTACACAAGCTATACAGGGGCGAGGGACATTCTTGCAGACAGCCGTGTTATTCATTGACTCTGTTTACATAAAAGACCAAAATCCACGACTTCCGTGACGTGACTCACTTTACGAGGGGATGAGGTGGATGACTGTGAGTGGCTCGATAGGCGGCTTCATTGAGATAAGCCTAGTGACCAAACCGTGGTTGGGCAAATTTTTCTCATTTCCCTTTTTGAGAATTCATTTTTCTTTTTGATTTTTTTTAGTGGCGCCGGGTTCTAGCGGCATTCTAGAATTCTACAGATTCTAGAAGATGTCCGCGTCCGGCCAGGTCGTATCAGCGATGGCGGTGGCTTTCATTGGCGGCTTCTGGCTGGACAGATTTTGTCTGAATGCCGGTAGGATGGGAGTATGGGAGTAATAGACTACTGTTTACCAATTGCCTAGAGGAGTCTTTGGAGAGAAGTCTTTGGGTTGGTTCGTATTGAGTTGCCACTGCTAAAAAAATGTGTCGGCCGGGAGTGGGAGTAGCCATAGCGAGGGACAGAGTACGGAGTACGGAGTACTCTGTTCAATGTACCCATGGATTATAGCCCTCTCTTCTCAACTTTTACTATTTACTATTTACTATTTACTCATGATCATAACCATAATCAATATTGGACACAAAAGCTTGACTGGATTCCATGAAGATCGACAGGGTGAATCCATGACGCGAGCGCTACGCAAGGGGCCTGTGTCTCACACGGTGGGTCTTACGCAGTGGGTACTTAGTCTTAGGTGTACATCTCGTGGTAGTATAGTATAGAATTGTATAGGAAATAGCATCGCATAGTAGAGTAGAGTATATAGTATAATTATCCTATATACTTTAGAGTAGACACTATATCTACTGTATACTAGTAGACTATACTAGTACTCCTCTGCGCAGGTGTACTCCAAGTACTCAAAGTGAAAAAAACGCAATACCGTACATACCCGTACCCACTCGCCACATTCTGCGATCACCCCATTCACACCCCATCCCATTGCCTCGTACCCACCCACCTTATCGCTCCACTTGGGCGCAGATACATTACACAAATGACACCACTGTAAGACGGTGGTAATCTGGCGATCGGCCCAGAATGATTCCAGAACCACTCTTTTCCTTTATTTCCATTTCCATTTCCATTTCCATTTTCCCTCGAGGCTTTTTACTTTACTCTTAACTTAATCCACTTTACTTACTCTCCCTTCTTCCCACATTCCAACATCACCACTTTCTCTCACACTCACTCTCCCACTCTCACACACTCCCACCACTCCCACTCCCACCACCACCACACTCCCTCACATCTCAGCTTATGCTGCTCTTCCAATAACCATAACCAATCTGGACCATCGTCCAGCCAGGGGAGGCCCGGTGAGAAAACGACCCCGGTCTCAGGCACCCCGCCGCTCCCTATACGCCATGCTCAAGAAGAAGTCGCTTTCTCCCTCATTCTTCTGGAATTTCACTCCCAGTACAACGCCGGAACTGTCTCCCACCTCGTCCGACAGCGATTCAGACGAGGACATGGAATCCTCTGGCTCCCGACCGGTCAGCCTGGCCGTCTCGGCGGGAGCCTTCTGCCCCATGCGCCCCACGCTTAACGACGTGTTGGCCAACACCGCTCCACCCCCATACACCCTGAGCGCTTTCATGGCCTATCTCTCTCAGAATCACTGCCTCGAGACTTTGGAATTTACTCTCGAGGCTCAGCGCTACCGTGATACCTACCTCTCCCTCGCCGAGCGCCTTGACCAGTCCACCCTCACCACGGATACCCCGGAAAGTCAACATCTGCGCATGCTCTGGCAGCGTCTATTGACTGCCTACATCCTCCCCGGCGCTCCCAGGGAAATCAATCTGTCAAGTGAAGTCCGGGATGGACTGCTCCGCTACCGTGACGTTGCTCTTCCACCTGTGCCGGAAACACTCGACTCGGCTGTGAAACGCATCCACGATCTCATGGAGGAATCCATCTTCCTCCCCTTTCTCAACGCACACACCACCTCACCCTCCATGCCGCCAATGTCCGAACCCCCCCTTCAGCCCCGAGGACACAATGAATCTCCCCAGCCATAGCCTGGACGAGAACCCCATGAATCGAGTCCGGTCCCGCGCCAGACGGATATCCCCCCCCGTCCTCGACAAAGGATCTCCCTGCAACTGGCGGCCGTTCGAATCTGTCTCTCGGTGCAGTTCACGCCCTCGGCAAGCGGGCTTCTGGCGCTCTCCTTAGTACGAGTGGTGAATCAGTCTCGCTTGCTCTGACAGACGACTCAAGTCCGCAGTCAAGTCCCACTGCTGAGGAACCGATGACACCACCGACCACACCGCCCGCCAGCGAGCCTCATCTCCCAATGAACAGCCCCAGGCTACGCACCGAGAATCCCTGGAAGAAGATGGGTATGAAGCTGGGCTTCAAAAAGCGGTCCGGCGGTGCCAGTGGCTCTCGCGGTGATCCTAAAATCCTCGGTCTCGACGACTGATTTCTTTTTCACTTTACGAATATTCGAACCTCATCACCTACTCTCACCATGCTACACCTACACCTTTATGACCTCAACAACCCTGTCTCATCACATCACATCTCATCTCTCACAAAACTTCACCTCACCTCACTCATCTCATCGACGACCTCATCGAACATCAACTGCATGAATAGCATCAAACGACCCGCTTGATTTTTTAGCGTTTATTGGCGGTGTATGAGAGCATGATGGCATAACATCAGCATACGAACAACGGCGTTATACCTTGCCTTTTTTTCTTCTTCTTTTTCTTTTCAATATTATTCTCGCAAACTCTTGTCTCAACCCTTGTCAGCGACATGTTTTTTTTTTCTTTGTCCATTTTATGACCCGCGGAAAAGATGCACCAATACCACATAGACTGGAACATGGACCGGACCCATCCTGCACTGCATGCATGCAGTTTCATCGCTGCAAAAGAGTTGGTCGAGTTGGATGGATGGGATGGGTCTTGGGCGTTTCTTTGACTCTTTTCCTTTTTTTTCTCTCTTATCTTCTCTTCTCTTCATTGATTCCGTCTAGGACGGATCGTTGTGTTGATATTAGCTTGCTATATACGTCCTTATGGCGTTGGATCAATAGACTTGATACCCCCCTCTACTTCTACTTCTACTTCTACTCTACTCTATATACTCTATCTACTCATCTCAATTTCGCATACGTAGTTCGGGCGGCTGGGTTGGGACGGAGATGATGAAATTCAGACAGATGCACTGTGACCACCCTAGGTATCCAAGAGCCTTTGATGACGTTTGTGAGATATCGTGGTAGGGGTAGGTGAAACAGTACTATTTAGTTACCTAGTTAGTAGTTTATACATACTGTACTATGTAGGATTCCGTTTCCGGGCATGAGAAATCTCGCCACCACCGCCACCACCGCCAGGTCCTGCCCGAAACCTTGGAAACTTTAAGCTGACGAGTTAAGTTCATAATTTGTACACGTGCCCCCATAACTGAATCAAACCTGAACTAAAGTTGCATGTCGACCAATACTATTTATATTTAGTACTGGTATCCATTCCAAGACTTGTCTTTCAATTAGATTCAGGATTCAAGATTCAAGATTCTACGTAGACGTAGCCACCAGCGACAGTCCTTGATGACACTGTCCCTACCATCCATCCATCCATCCACAAAGACCACCGGACCCTCCATATTGAAGAAATCATGGGATCAATCGATTAATCAACTCAACTAACCTCAATCAAAACCCTCCGTCCAGCCCTAACTTCCAAAGCCGAAACATCCACATCCCAGCCCCTTCCCTGCAACGCAGAAAGATACCCCTCGAACCGACCGTCTTCATTTAATTTCATCAGTGTTTCCGAGATGTATTCGAAGACTGTGTCTGGGTTTGTATTGGGATTAAGATTCGTTGCGTTTTCGTGGTTCGTGGACTCTTTTATCTCTGTAGTTGGGTCTGGGCTTTGGGTTCGGGTCCGGGTTGGGGTTGGCTCTGGCTCGATGAGTGCGCGCGCGACGATTAGAGCGTGACACCATGCTTTTAGCTGGGTTTTTGTTGTTGCGGATGGTGTCAGGAGGATTGAAGCGTGCCATTTTGATGGCTGGGATTTGGATTGGGATTGGGGAGTTAGGTAGAGTAGGTACTCTTCTTTTTCGAAGAGAGTTTTCAGGGACTTGAGTGGGAGGGATGTGTGGAATGCTCGGGATGGATTGTTGTTGGTGGTGGTGGCGGTGATGGCGTTAGCTTTGTCTTTGTCACTGCCTGCGTTTGAGATGACAACTTCATGGCTTCGCGCGAAGAACTCCGCTAACGAGACGCCCATCTCGGCAGTACCGAGGGATTGTCGTTCTCGATGCTGTTGAGAGGACCAGAAGAATGGGGACCACTTTGCCAGGATTCGCTCATCTAGTGCGATTTGTGCTGGGGTTGGAATTGGGAGGTTGGTGACTTTCTTTTTTGTGCTGTAGTTGTCGCTTTCGATGATGCTTGAGAAGACCATGCTAGCGCGTTGCCTGTTCAGGCTGGTCATTTCGACGGAGCGGACGGCTGCATAGTTCAGACTTAGATGGCTGGCTAGTAAGAACAGGAGTGCTGCCCAGGTCATCATGAAGCCGGTGATATGTGAGATAATGACGGAGCCGACCTGTATTTTGTGAGACATTGATTTGATCGGGGTGATGGATGGTGGGAGTGAGTATGGAAGACGTACCAACATGCCAACGAGGGAAATGATTGTTTCCTGCGACGAATCTTTCTGCAGGCAGACGAGACATTAGAATACACTGGACGAAACATAGCATAGTACTAGTAACTAGGGAAAGTATCTTACCGCATTGAGTTCAGCCAGATTCCCCCATTTCGCAAAGTGAGCGCTGAGACTAGCTTTCGAGCTTCCAGCAGCGACGCCACACAGAGCTCGCAAGACACCCGCTGTACTGAGAACGCTTACGCGCATCGTACCGGCTGGAACCATTGGCGAGAGACAGTCCATGATCATGGCGATGTCATTGAAGACATCCGCGGCCAGACGGTAGGTCTTGCATTCTGGTTCGAGGGCTGTGCCGACCCGGTGGGCGAAGAGGATCGTGGCAATACGGCCGGATATGTCTTGGAGGATGTGCAAGAGGAGAGCATTTGTTGGAGAGGCGTCTACATTTCCGACACCGATGCCTTGGTTGTGTTAGGTTGTAGGGTTTTGTGGAGTGGAATGGGTGGCTGCTCGCATAGGTACCTTGGAGGACTGCTCGTGATGAGAGGAGGCCAGCAATTGAGCTGCAGAATGCTTGGAGAGAATCCTGGAAAGACACTGTTAGTCTTGATACAGCCGGGATATGCGGAAGGGCAATAGTGAAGACGGTGGTTGAGCTTAGGGTCCGAGCGACTCACGTATATTTGGTAACTGATATAGAGGGTCAGCACGGGAAAATAGAAGATCGAGGAGAACATACGGCAGATAGTCAGTAGTCACGCTATCCGGGAATCCAGAAGGAAGAAAGACATCGCAAAGCAGAGCAATCAGACCATCCTTCGACCATGAAGACGGCGGCTTGAATGTAGGCTATATTCAAGTTGTTCCATAGTCAGCATTCAGTCCATACTAGCAGTATCCCTTGACCCAAACGCGGCAGAGACAGTGGGAGTAGTAGGGCAGCAGTCTGTCCAGATCGCAATTTCGTAGCATTGCATCATATCAGAGCCAAGGGTCCTAGTAAAGTGAACATTGGATGCAAGCGACTCAAGGCCACGGGACAGATCCGACGATGCACTCGAGCACCCGACGAGATCAGATGGATTGGACCCATAGAGTAACCCCTTGGGGAATGAATGCCGTCTACTACCATCTATAGCATCCCCGCTCGGCGTTATATCCGTGGGGCATTGCATGTTGGACAATCGGAAGACGAAAGCCGAGGACTGCTGACGTACCGAGATATCCACCCTTGCGGAGGATGGTTTGGACGAATCTGAGGGTTCGGAGTAAATGAACACTGCAGTGTGATTATCTGCTTCGTCTGTTTCGTGCAGAACCAAATGGTCTGCCCGAGGGGCCATGGTCGGAGCGGAGTGGTGAGGAGTGGAGTTTGGAAGTGCTCTAAATGCAGGTACGTACTTCACCTCTGATAGTTAGCTGGCCTTGGGGTCGGGCCTCGAGGCTGGGCACGTGCGGGGACGCGTTGTTGAGTTGGAACTAGAGCTAGAGCTGGAGAACGATTACTGCTACAATTAGAACTACAGTTGCAGCTACGTGGTAATCAGAGTTGATGTTTAGTGAATGTTTCTTCATTGTTCGGTACTTCATAGCCGAATATTCACAGTGCCAAAGATAGTCTCCAATCCAATCCCACCGAGTCCAAACCAGAACCCGGCGTCTATAAAAAAAGGTTGCGCTTTTAACGAGCAGCTTGCGCTTTGAAAAAGGTAACGGTGATGAAAAACCCAAAATCAACCCCCAGCGCCTGGTTCGAGAAAAGAAGAAAAAAGTTGATCCCAATGGAGAGTGACAAGAAGTGGAAGTGTCCCATAGATCAATAGTATGGGGCGGCGGCTTCTTGCATCCGGCGGACCATTGGCACCCTCAAGAAGAATGGATGATCGGGGGGGTATCTCGATTGCGACGCGATGCCTGCATCTCGCGTGTCGCGTTCGCGTCCGAGTCTCCACGGCATTGCCATTCCCATCGGTGTGCCACGGTCGCCGGCGTCAACGTGCATAATGAAAGGGTAAAAAAAGAGACTTGGCACCAGCAGGGTATCGTCGTTCCATTCAACGCAACTTCCGAGAGAAGTGTGGTAGTCCGTCGCTCATGAACATGGTATTATCTGTGCCGGCAGATTTTCGAGGCGGACCCGAGTCGAGCCGAGCCGAGCTCCAGCTCCACGACGGGTTCCGTGAATCTTTTCAGGTTTTTTTTACGCGTACTGGCTAGCACCGCCAGTCTCAATGGCCTCCATCTCAGCCTCGCTGAAGGTCAGACGGCCGAAACGGGCAGGCAGCTCGGCGCGGTCGAAGAACTGGCCGCTCTGGGGGCGGATGGGGCCCAGGGCGTGGCCGGACTGGCCACCAATGCCGCTGTTGAAGGAAGAGCGACCGAGAGGACCGTGCTGTTGAGCCTTAGCGCGGTAGGCGGCGAAGGAGTCGGGAAGAGCTCCGACAGGAGAGGCGGGGTGGACGCGAGGAGTGTGGTCGACGGACTCTGTAGAATTGGAGGTTAGCTGGGTGGTTACGGGTAATGGGGGTGGATGAGGCTCCGGGTAGGTCCGGTGGGAAGGAGTTGTTGAGACGTACTAGGGACAGAGCGCTTGCCGATGAAGCGAATCAGAGGGGTGCGGGCAGCACTGCAGAGAGAGAAGGTGGCACGCATTGTGATGGTGTGGTGTGTGTGTGTGTGTGGAGGTGTTGTGTGTAGAGGAGAGAAGGTCAATTTCACGGGGGGGGCTTGTGCGAAATTCAACGGGTCCGGTAGTATCCGAACCGACCGAGACGCGACCGAGGGTGAAGTGGTGGAATTGGAGAGGTAAAATTGGGAAGGTGAGTATCGATGGATTGAATGGAAGGAGGAGGTTGAGTAGTGAGTAGTGAGAGTAGTGTAGAGAGAGAGAGAAAGTGTGAAAGAGGGGAGGAGGAGGAAGATAAGAAGAAGAGTTCGCCGGGAGGTTACCGCATTGGGGTTTCCGCACACCCACCGGAGCCGACACGGAGTACTTTGCAGCTGCACCACTGGTAGTCACACAATCTTAACTGTGACTAACTCTACCGCGCGGTGCTCCTCCCTCCTCCATTGGTAGACGGCGCCGCGGCCAACTCCTCCGTACTCCTCCCCCGCACGCCATCGAAACCCATTTTCCGATGCATCTGACAGCCATTCCTTCCTCCTCCCCCTCTGATCTTAACCCTTCTGGCAACTCCGGTGAAGCTTCTCCATTTTTGAACCTCAAAGGATCGTCCTTCCTTTCTGGGTCCCTCCACATTGCCGAATGATCTTCCCACTACTGATGATTTAGTGATTTAGTGATTCCTATAATTACGATTATATGGTAGGGCAGACCCCGCTGAGATGCCCTCTACGTTAGTGTCTACGGAGTATGGCAGCTTAAATCTACAATCGATGGAGTACTTGATACACTGTGTGGGAAATTGAAAATTCATCCGAAATGACCTAAATATGCTCAGCATGTGAAACCCAAATACTCAGACTATTGACTTATGTGTCAAGGTATTCCCAGTGGTGTGGTGCCAGTGCTGAGAACTATGCTCAGTACTGAGTACTAAGTGTTAGCAATTCCCCTTGCTCATAGTTTCCCCCGATAAGGCGCCACCGGAAGCTTGGACCCTGACTAACCAACACCCGGATTCTCCCGCTCTTCTGTCAACCCACTCAACCCCAAGCTTGAAGGACCATGCATGAGCTGTTGCTGTTCGCCTCGGTCCCGACACACCAACATGCTGAGCTCCTTCAGCAGCTGGCCGGCCTTACGGCCATGCAACCTCGCCACTGCTTCGAACGTCGTCTGATCTTCAAAGCTTATCGCAAACCCGGCGTGGCTAATGCCCGCGTCGGCGCCAGTCAGGATCTGCAGTCGGGGGACCTACAGCGCGTGAACAAGATGCTGAACGGTGGCATGTTCTACACTCAGGTCGTGGGCCCCATCCAGTCCGCCGACTTTGCAGATGCTGGTGTCACAGACACAGCCGCCAATGCGAATTCCAACCCGGTCAACCCCGACCCCGATACCGATACCAAGATGGATGGCATGGACTCGGAGTCCACGATCCCCCGGTCTGCATATGACTTCGATCAGCAGTCCTGGCAGCTGGAGTTCAGAGATATCCCCGAAGCAGGAACCCGGTCCGCCGTCACGTCCCGAGTCATGGCGACCGCCGCCCTACCGCGCGGAGACATCGTGCCATCCATGAATGCGTGGGGCTATAGGTTAGTGGCGTGATCTACCCGGAGATGATATCGATTTGACGGTCTGGTCTGGTCTGGTTGATTATCGATCCATCGATCACCTGATTGCGACTAAGCTAACTCGGAATTTCTACAGCTTCGTAACCGAGTATCTCGTTGAAGGCGACATGTTCATCCATAACGATATCGTCATCAATCTTCACCGCGTGCTTCATTACCCGACCACCCCCGGCGAAGAAAACCAGCCCCGTCACCAGATGCCAACCCTCCAGCAGATGGCTCCACTGGAAAAGAGCGGGAGTTATGTCCTACAGGCATCGATGATGGTCCAGGACGGTAGTAACCAGGAAACCATGAAGACGGCGTCGCAGCACTTGTTTGGGCTGCGCGAACAGCTCAAGTCGGCTGTTCGGCTGGAAATGGCCGATCGTTTGTCACTGGATACGAGAGTTAAATAGTGGCATTTTGTGCAAGGTATGCCTTGCTTTGCATCTGTGTCGGCTGTCATGAATTTGATACCCGGAGAGGCAGCCTCCGACCTCGCTCGATGAAATTGAGGAGAGTAGAAATAAAATCAATTAGAAGAAATGAATCATTTCGAATCTACTATGCTCGTATATGTCAAACCGTATACTCTCAACCAAGCCTTTTTGTCTCTTTAATTGTGTGATGGGCCTCCCATTCTCCCACTATGGTCAATTATGCCATTTTGGGCGGGGAACCATGTGACTTCGTGAACCAGCGCGTTCAGGCGCGTCGGAAGATCCTCTCGGAACTCCACACATCTTTCAATCCACCCTCATCTAATCCAACATCGAGACGCCACTTATTTTGAGGAAACCGTCACAACGTCTTCAATCAAGCAAGCATTCAAGATGGCCCCCGGGGCAATGAAGCGGACGGCTTCCCCCACTCGGGCTATTTCCCCGCCTCCGCTTCGCCGCAAGGTTGAATCAAGTGTCAACAGTAAGAGAATGGCAGGCCCATGACAGCGAAGAAGAAGCAGCGTGCTAACATATCCCAGAAAAAACAGTGAATTCCTTCTTTGCCCCAACTTCACAAAAAAAGCCTGGGCCAATTACATGGCGGGTCTTGGAAAAGGGTCTGGTTATCGGGAAACACTCGCCAGAATCCAAGAGCACGACGCTTCCGTCGAAAGATCGAAAAGTGGCCGCATTTGATCTTGTGAGTTCATTCTCTCAGAGAGAAAGAAGAATCTTGCTAATCTATCTTCCCGTGTGAAAAAGGATGGCACATTGATCAAAACGAAGTCTGGAAATAAATTTGCTAAAGGCCCAGAAGACTGGAAATGGTGGGACACCGGCGTTCCACGAAAAGTCAGAGAACTGAGTTCTGAAGGGTGAGTCTATTTTCCCAGTGTCAATGTCAATGTCCGGAATGAAGTCGTTGGCGAATTCTAGTTAACCAATAAGGTACTCTACAGTTTCCAGATCGTTCTCTTCTCGAACCAGTCAAAAATCAGCCTGAAGAAAGAAAAAGGCGCCGACTCTAAGAGTCTTTCCAACTTCAAAGAGAAATTGACGGCTATCATGACACAGCTGGATCTTCCCATGAGTGTGTATGCTTCTACAGAAGCTACAGAGTATCGCAAACCTCGCCCGGGAATGTGGGCCGAGTTTAGGGATGACCATGACCTTGACGTCGTCGGTGTTGATATGTCGAATTCGGTCTATGTGGGTGATGCCGCTGGACGGCCTGGTGATTTCGCCGCGACAGATCAGTAAGTGTTCCCGGCGGATCCAAGTCCGAATAATTGATGCCTTTGTCTGGTTTGACTCGACCTAACTCTGTCAGTGGTTTCGCCGCCAACGTCGGCATTTCGTTCAAGACGCCCGAGGAGTTCTTCCTTGGTCAGGATCCGGTGGAGGCATCGGGACTCTTTGATCCTAAGGAGTATATTGAAACACAGCCCGAAACAGGTATGTTCTGCTTTCCATGATAGAAATGCCGGATCATGGGTACATATGGGGAATCGACTAATACCGATAGAATTCAAACGCAAACATCCACTCGAACTTGTTCTCTTCTGTGGTAGCCCTGGGTCTGGAAAGTCCACCTATCATTGGAACAATCTTGAGCCCCTTGGCTACGAACGTGTTAATCAAGATATCTTGAAAACTGTATGACAGTCTCTCATATTTTAAGGGTTCTCGCTAACTGTTCAACAGCGTCAGAAATGCCTCAAGGTTGCACGTGAATTTCTTGAAGCGAAGAAATCCGTCGTCGTTGGTGAGTCACCCTCATGCCTCTGGTTCTATATTTGCTCCTCGGCGGACTGCCTCATTGCCATTCTTCGGCCGATAAGATCGACCCGAGTGCAATTCCGCTGGACCGTGTCGCAAAACATCCCATTGCACACGCTTACACTCTCAATCCAGACAACACCAACGCAAACCAGGAAACAAGAGAACACTGGACAACCCTGGCAAAAGAGCTCTCTGTGCCCGTACGCGTCATTCACTTCCTCGCCCCGCCAGAACTATGCAAGCATAACGCCACCGTGCGCGCTGCCAACAAAATCCTCGTACGTTCCCCTGGACTAACCCCCCAACCCCAACAAGCTTAAAAGCTTAACTAGCAAGCGCCAACCCGGCATAAGTTCATTCCAAGTGAAACACTTACTAACTTCTTCCAGAACCCCGAGTCCAGAGCCTCGCTGCCGGGTATCGCTTTCGCAGACTATAAGCGTCGGTACCAGGAGCCTACGCTCGACGAGGGCTTTGAAGATATCCACCCTGTTCCGTTCCGGTTTGTTGGAGATGAGGAGGCGAAGAGGATTTGGGGTCAATACTGGGTTTAGTTAGATCTGATGGATGTGGGTGGCTGTATACTGACTGACTCGGACTGGGTTGGTCGAGCCTTTCCATTTCCCTGGTTGGTTTATTTAGCATTTTCGGCTGGCTCTATGGATCATTTACAGCTTCATGGAGACTGGTTATGTATTTATATGGGTATTATGATATCTACCTACCTCAAATAACTCGTCTACAATAGACTCACCCAGCTATAATACTTGAACAGTCTATTATGGCTAAATACCGGAATCGATAAGGTGCAATCGCTAGGCAGGGGTAGATCCATCGCTCTCAAATCCGAGTGATCTAAATCACCAGATATTCTGCGTGGTGAAATTTCCAAGTTCCCTTCAGAGTGGGCCTCCCCACTGACAGGTAGAGTATCTCGGCTCAAACGGATTGGATGGAAATGATTATTTCCTCCGCTCCCGTCGGTCGAATTGAAGCTCCGAGGCGAGGCAAATAGAGTTTCACCTATTAAACTGACGATCTCGACTTCAACCTCACTTGATTCGACTGTCGGATCACCCCGGATTAACAAAAAACAAGATGCTTTCAATCAATATCCCAAAACATACCACGCCCAATGAATACGAACTGAGCGAAGTCCCCTCCCTATCCATCGAACGCCCTACCGACATCTTAATTAAAGTTCACGCCGCGAGCATCAACCCGATTGACGTGAAAAAGGCCTCGGGTATAACCAAGGCCGTTCTCAAGGATACGTACGTATGCTAGAATCTTTATTCTCCGCTTTTCACCTTTCTCTCAATCTGACTTGGATGTAACACAGCTTCCCGTATAAAATCGGCTATGACTGCGCAGGAGCGGTTCTAGAGACTGGTTCCGAAGTAACCCGTTTCAAGACCGGTGATGAGGTTTTTGTTCGGTTACCGGAATGTCACCGCGGCTCATGGAGTGAGATCGCAAGGTCAAGTGAAGAATTCGTCGCGTTGAAGCCAGTGGGTCTTTCTATGGAGGACGCTGCTTCGATCCCACTTGCGGCTATGACGGCTTTGCAGTCGCTCAGGGGGTATGAGGGGGATCTTGAAGGGAAGACTGTTTTCATTCCTGCTGGGTGTATGCTTGTTCCAATCCTAATCCTAATCCCAATCCCAATCCCAACCCCACTGATTCTTACCTCATACAACAACCTTGAGAATATTGGGTACTAATCCCCGAGTCTTCTAGTGGGTGGCACTGGTCTGTTCGCTTGCCAACTAGCTAAGAACATTTTCAAAGCCGGCAAGGTGATTACCACAGTTTCCACGGCCAAAGTCCCCAAGGTAAAAGAACTTTTAGGCGAGGGAGTTGTGGACGAAAGTGAGTACCCAGACTCAATATATACACCAGGACACACTGCACTGGACTGGATTTTCAAGAACTCACATCTTCCCCGCTGGCAGTCATCGACTACAGAAAATCAGATCCCAAAGAAGTCATTCCTACACAATCGGTCGACTTCATCTTCGACACTACCGGCAGCGCGATGGAGTATCTATCATTAATGCGTCCAAAAGGAGCCATAATTACAGTATCAATCCTAACCTCTGGAGACGTTCTGCAAAATTCTAGCGTTATGCGCCGATCACCAGACAAGGCGGATAAAGCTACGGTGCCATTTCCTATTCGTATCGCCTTGAATTTCATGGATAGAATTCGAGTGATGCGTGCGTCTAGGTACGGGGTCAAGTACGCGTCTATCTTTCTGGAACCCAATGCGGGCGATCTGGATTCGATTCGGGGTTGGGTGGAGGAGGGGAAGTTGAAGACTATTGTTGGGACGAGGGCGAATGCTAAGGATATTAATGCGGTTAGGGAGGCTTGTCAGGTTGTTTTTGATGGGAAAGGTGGTGTTGGGAAGTCTGTTATTGTGTTTTGAGATGGATGGTTGCGTGATGAGGAGCAATTGTAATACTGGGTGTTTGGGGTGTTTTGTTTTTATATTGGAGATGGAAAAATAATCTGTGATGTTAGGTAGTCTAATCTTTGTATCTATCGAATCTGAGTGACAAAAATATCTACTATACTAGGTACTGCGGATTGGACATTCTATTGAATTTAAGTTGTTATGCAAGGCCCAGCGACAATGTCAATACAGTTAGCCCTGAGCCTTTTTCCATGACGAATAATGATCTGCCAATGTTTCTTCCAAAGGCCGGTAAACGATGCTTAATTGATCCAAGCTGGGACGATTGTCGATATCAAATGGGATACCAAGGTTCAGTTTTAGCCATTTTTGACTTAAGCCGAGAAGCGGACCAGACATGCGCACCACGGCATTTGGGATCTTATTTCTTGGAATTCGAGAAGATTGAGTGATTGATCGGAGAATACGAGCAAGTTCAACGAAGCCATGTGTCGTGTTGTCTGCCAGAATGAAGCGACCGTGGGAGTCCGGATTTTCAGCAGCGCGGAGATGGGCGGTTGCGACTTCTCGCACATCAACGATTGGGAACCACATATCGGGTACTCCCAAAAATAACTGTCCACGTAGGAGCTGGTCAAGTAAAGATAGACTGCCAGATTCAGAAGTTGGTGATAAAGATGGCCCCAGGACAAGACCAGGGTTAATCGTCACTAACTTCCAACGTTTGGTAGACAGCTGCGCATCGTGTAACTTCCAAGCCTCTTTCTCGGCGACGACTTTGGAATATGCATAGGCGTTATGATTTACCGAGCTGGTGGTATTGAAGTACTCATTGGAGAGGGTTTTGTTCTTCATTTCCAATACGTCGGCATTGTCGCCGCAGATGGCTACCATGGACGAGGTCAAGACGACAAGCTTGACTGTCTCGCATTTCTGAACAGCGTCCAGAACGTGCTGTGTTCCCTTAAGGGCTGGCTCGACTACTTCCTTTTGGCCATCGCGAATTCTGTTTTCGATGAAAAAGGGCGAGGCAATGTGATACACAACTGAACAACCCTTCATGGAAGCTTCAAACGAGCCGGCCACAAGTAAATCCGCTTCGAACAAAGTAAGCTTGCCGGGCCATCGGTTTTGCATGTCGAGGAGATGCTTGATCTTCTTTTGGTTTTTGGCGCTGCGGACCGTGGCGTGGACCTCGTGGCCCTTTTCGAGAAGCTGCTGAACGACATGGCTGGCGATAAAGCCGCTCGCGCCCGTTACAAGGGATATTTCGTACTCTGCCATTGTTGAAGTTGATCGACCAAGAGTCCAATGGATTTGATGAAGCAAAGGGATAGATGTATAAATGCGTTTTGTAAATTGATGGTTTGCCGAATGAGTGAGTAGTTGCGAGGATATGAATGGCCGGTTTGTCAATTGCCCCTAGAGGTTTTTATATCAAAAATACTCTAATAAATATGTACTAGTAGTAGTTATTTTGGCTAATTGACGCTCCAAATCCGACGGACGGTATTCGGTTCAATCGCAAACCCTGGGCATCTGAGTGGGTCAGCCCCGCTATCGGCCCGGGTGGGAGGTGGGAAGAAGTGGTTGAAGATATTGCTCCTTTTTTCCCCAGACGGATAAAATACCGGTCAAGAGGCCAGTTCAGTAGGGATCGAGCCACTCATCTTATTTGGGTTACTTCATTGCCATTTCTGCAACACAAAAACTTTAAACCTGCGAGGCTGCCAAGTTCATCATGTGAATGGAACAGGGATTAGTTATCTCAGTGGCGATTGAATGCCATGGTACACACCCCAGCGAGCCGGTCCGATTATCTGCCCGTCTTTCTGCTTGTTGAGAATGCGCAATTTGTTGTTGTCGCAAACATGACCTGCCAATATGGACCAAAGTTTCGCCAGTATGGACCAACATTATGTCAGTTAGTAAGCAAAACACATGCCGAGGTTGCAATTGACTCGGGATGTTTTGGGGCTGGGGGCTGGGCCTTACTCACCTGTTATGATTCCCCTGATGGTCCTCACCTTTCTCATTCGGATCTAATAGTAACTAGTTCAAGATTGAGAGCCAGTCAAGAATCTTTTTCTTGTTTAGAGCAAGAATGCCCGACCCTACTCTCCTCAAAGTTGCCGGATATGGCTCCCTCGTTGTTGCTTTCACACATGCGGTCAGTCTTGAAATGAATGCCATTGAAGAAGCAATATTGTGAGAAGATTAGGTCTGACTTGCTTTCTTCAGGCTGCCGCGAAAGAATTTCAGAACCTCCGGGCCTTCCAGGAACTGCCAAACATCGCATTCACACGCAGCACTGTCGGATGGTACCAAGGAAGCGGGTTTTTGATTTTGACTGGTATGTCTTGCCCTTTGGTGAAACAGTATTCAGATAATTTATGCTTCATCCTAACAAATACACTCTCAGCTTTGCTAAACCTCAGCTGGGCGCAAAATCCAAAATCTTTGGATGAGCCACTTCAACGTTCCATGGCTGCTCTGCTCGTTCTCATTTCTTGGGCGAGCTCTGCTTGGTATATTCGGAGAGGAGTAAAGGCTAGTGGATTTCTCACGGCATTTGCCGGTGTACTTCAGGCATGGGCAGCTCTTCAGTGATCTTTATTTAAAGCAAGCTTTACATATCCCCAAATCTACAAACTCATGGACAAGAGAAAATGCCTGGCATATTCAAACTTGGCTGAACAAACTACTTGGATAAATTGTTAAAGATCTTAATTCTTTCCCAGCGTAACTTTCGTAGAGATGATATAGGTTATTCGCTTAGACCGAATTGAAACAGTAGTGTAGTAACTTTTTTGTATCGAATTATCTTCAAAATCTAGAAATCCTATACACTAAACCTGGATATTCCAAGATGCAGAGGGCATTACAAAAGGAAAGATGGTGAATGCAAAACTTTCAAGATTTTTGATGATAATCATAGTTGGTGTCGCCCCTGCGAATTTAAGATGAGAAATCACCGACCAGATGGGGAGAAGCCTCGGTTAGAAACTCAGTAGGAACCGGTGAACCTCGGGGTCTCTTGACACAATAGAAGTGATTGATTGGCTTTTCTCAATCAATCACAAATTTGAATTGATTTCGGGACAAGATTTGGCCCGTCCTTTACCACCCTCTAATGTTGATACCAATGGAATCTATCTCTTGAAAATGGGCCTTGTCGGTAGACGAGGAACATGAAGATTGCTAGTAGTGGTGAATAGTGATCAGTCCGAAATTTCTTCTTCTTTCTCATACAACTTCCACAATGACAAGTCAACGGCCAAGGGACATGGCCCCATATCCTTTCCAGTCCCGTCAAAGAATCATAAAAAGATCACACAAAGCTTGCGACCGGTGTCGGTCCAGAAAGTGCAAATTACGCAACCAATGGACCCGCATATGTTACAATATACTAATTCCCTTTCAGTGCTATGGCATACATCCGTGTTATCGTTGCAAAGAGGATAATGTTGCTTGCATTTTTGGTGATCGCAAGAAACAGAACACAAATCATTATTCCAAGTGAGTGTCCACTATTCTCATTTCTTTTTAGAAATGATACTGATACATCAAAATGCTTGGAAGGCAAAGTTCGTGGTTCACGGAAGGTCGTGGGCAGTTATACGCGCGAGTTGATAAAGAGGAAGAAAGTGACACCCTGGGTCAGCCTCTGACTCCTGATATCCCAGAATATCCCGAACCCAATATCCAGGCCTCCATTAACAGCTCGTCTGAAGACAATGAAATTACAAATCGTTTATTGAGGACCTCCGAGAAGATTGTGCAGCACCAGAAGCCAGATGAAGAATCTCCCGAAAACTCTTGTTCTTATCAAAGTGGTGGCTCTGAGTACTTGGATCATGATGGATACCACAGAAGCGATGGGGATTTACTGGCTGTAGAAGATGATAATTTCGCGCAGACCTCCCCTGCTGTTGTCAGAGAAAATGACTCTTGGATCTTAATGACGGAGCATGAAATTGAACGCAATAATGCTGTGAAGAAAGATGGACTTTGGGTGAGGAATAACTCAATGTGGCGCGGTATAGATCTCAGCATTTTTGATGACATGAACTTGGTATAATTAGAAAAGAATTTTACCTAGCCCTCCGGTGGCGTGGACTTTTTAAACTGTTTAGATATACAAATATTTGGAGGAGGGACTGTGCTAACCGAGGCCGATTTTACGCTACAACGGGTGTTATTATGTGATTCATTTCCTAACCTACCAATAGTCATTAATACTGAATAAAAGCTTTGATATACCTATTTTCCTAACCTCCGACCGTTTAAATATCCCCGAATTTAAAGCACCATCAGGGTTTCGCCAGGGACTTGCAAATCAAGCTTTGGACCCCAGCGGTAACTACCCTCTCAGTGGGGTTTTTTGAAGGGCGCAGGGCTAGACCGTTATAGGAAACCACCAGTCGATCCCTTTTGGTCTTAAAGACTCTCGCAAACCATTCAACAAATATTGGACTATATCTCCTCATTTTCTACTTTTCTTCTCGCTTTATAGCTTCGCGAGTTCTCTCAAAAACCACACTCTACAATCATGGCCTCTCCTCAACCGCCTTTCACCGTGCGCTTTGCGCTGGAATCTGACGCCGCCACGATCGCCGAGATAGGCGTCCATGTTTTCACCATCAGTTTTGGCCATGCAGTGGAACCACAGTCACTTGCAACATACCTAAACAATGAATACTCAATCGAAGCAATTCTGAAGGACTTGAACGATCAGACTAGAACGCTTCTCGTCTCAGCGGATCAGAACGGTCAAGTTGTGGGCTTCGGCTATTTGACGCGGGGAAGCGATGACCCCTGTCTTGGCCATGTGAGCCAGAAAGCCGAATTGCAGCGAATATATGTCCATACTTCGGTGCAGGGAAAGGGTGTTGGCAGATTATTGGCAAACAGCCTTGAGAGTCTCGCGCAGGAGCAGGGATTCACCAATTTGTGGCTCGGTGTCTGGGAGCAGAATGAAGGCGCCATTCGTGCATATGAACGGTGGGGGTATCAAACCGTGGGTGAACATGATTTCGAGATAGGCTCGGATATTCACAGAGATCTGATCATGCTGAAGAGCTTATGATTGACAATTTGGAGACACGCATCATTTAAAGCTGTGTGATGACGGAGGAGGAGTGTGTGTGTGAAAGTGAGATGATGATCTAGACAAAGGAAGCAGGATAATAGTATAGGCCGTGACGGAAATATAGCATTTAGGACTTTCTCGATTCTCGATCTATCAAATCTAGTAGTAGACCAGGTCTCCGCCGGTCTGTCAACCCAATCCCCTGCCAGTGACATCTATAATAATGAGATGTTAGACATGCTTTCCAAATCACCCTTTCTAACCAATCTCCATCAGACAACCCTCACATTCTAATATATCACGCAACTCTATTAATCGTATTCCCAACACACCACTGTTCAACCGTCTTCTTAACCCCAGCCTGAAGATTCTCCAACGTCCTCTCCGCAAACCAAGCAAGATGAGGACTAAGCACAAGATTCAACCCATCAGCCTCACTCTCCAGCAACGGCGAATCCCCCCTCCCAATCGGCTCATTAGCAAAAACATCCAAACCGGCCCCCGAAATCTCACCCTCCCTCAAAGCCTCAACCAACGCCTTTTCATCCACAATCCCACCCCTCGCAACATTAATCAGCACAGCCTGCTTTGACATCATCCGGAACTCATTCGTCGAAATCATATTTTCTGTCTCCGGCGTCCGCGGCAAACAAAGCACCAAAACAGTCGATCTCTTCAAAGCATCCTCAAACAAGACCCGATCGCCCCGCGCTTGCGTAACACCCCTCCTCTCAGCAATAAGAACATCCATTCCCAGTCCACGGGCAAGAGCACTGATCCTCGACCCCAATGCCCCAAAACCCACAATGCCAATCGTCTCCTGAGAACACAGTAAAGGCGCGCCCCCATCCGCCATCTTCATCTGTCCTTTTAACGAACCCTTACTCTTCCACTCCGTATCACTGCCCCCCCACCTCAGAAGACACCGGCACATCACGCACAACACCACTCAAATGAACAAGTTTTCTCCTCAGCGCAAAGTAAAGACCAATAGCATGCTCGCTAACGCTGTCGATATTCGTGCTGGGACAATTGCACACGGGGATTCCGCGCGCGCGTGCGGCTGCTAGGTCGACGCAGTCTGTGCCCGAGGCTAGGATCACGATTAGTCGTAACAGCGGCGTTTTGGATGGATGCAGGATGTCCGCGTTCAGGCGTGTTGTTGTTGTTATTATTATTGTTGCGTCTTTGACGCGGGATTCGAGTTCGTGCGGGTATGTCCAGTTGTGGACGGACTTTTTGTGCGGGGTGGGTAGGGTGAAGTCTGGGATTGGGCAGTGGATTGCTTCTATTGCGACGATGTGGTGGCTTGAGTTCTCGGCCATTTTTGTTTTTGGGTGGTGGAATTGGAATTGGGGATGGGAGGGTGAGTTTGAAAGGGACTCGGAGTTGAATCGATTGAATGAATTCAGTGCGAGGTAAGGGGTTGTTCTTGGAGGATTTGTTCTCTTTGAGAAACTTGAATTTATGGACTGGGATGTCGATCGTGAAATTCCGCGGATAGCCGATAAGAGCATTTATCTCAGAGAGCCAGCCACCTTGGATCTAATTGAGTTTCTGGAGGCCTGGGGGTGTTGGTTCGTGCGTGTGTGAGAGTTCACTATGTCTCGGTGATGGATATCTTTTTGGCCCCCCGCACGCCCTGTCGGTGACAATCAAGCCGAGTGGGGAAAGTGGGGGGGCGGGCCGAGAGAATGCAGAGAGAGAATCTTAGGAATGTGACGGATGAAATAGCTAGAAATAAGACTGCGTTTATTTTTTAAATAGAATGTAAACGATATTTTCTGCCATTAAGATCATGGTGTCAAAACTTATGGCATTTCAGTTGAAAGATGGATGCTGTCATTGGCCAGAATGATACAGTACGTCCCGAAAGTGGTGCAACCGCGTACACTCTTCGAGTGATTCTCCGGCCATCCATATAAATCCATTCTCGCTTCCTCATGCTCGTCTTGAAACTAGATGCTCTTTTGGCCTTGTGATAAGCCGAACTATATTAAATGTGCATTCAATGACCTTGTGTGAGGGGATCAATCAATCTCAACTGGGACAAGTGGAAGATGGTCGATTAGTGGAGGTTCGAGAAACCTAGTATGAGAAGCCTACTTGTCTCGGTCTGTAACTATTATGATGTCTCCTTTATCAACGGATAAGTCTGCCGAAGCTCATTTTGGCCGCTAGGGATGAGCAAAGGTCACAGTATAACAGTAGTAGGCAATGCATGAGCAGAAAAAAGTGGCCTGTGTGAGAAGAAAATGAGAGAGAGAGGGATCTAAATAAGAGATAGTTATAGGTACTAGGGCTAAACTAGATTGGATTGGCTTAATCTCTCTATGGCTTTGGAATATACATTACTTATGCCAAGCACGAATAGATGTTCTATGGTTGCTTAGTGGAAGCTCAGTGGGTAAATGGGGGAATTGGGAAGCATTATAAAGCTGCTGAGCTTAGCATCAAAACGGGAATAAAAATGCCATCGGGCACCCGGCCTTATAATCAGATGTATATGCCTGAGTTCGTAAGCCTCAAAGACAGCAGCGCCGAGCCTCTAATATATATATGCCATTCCAGTGGCCACCACTAATGACAGTGCGAGCAGCAATCGCGGTGATGCCCAGGCTACCGCATCGCTGGTTGCCTTCTCGAAGCTCACTAGCGATTCATCGCTCGCTCCAATGTGGAGAACCTGCGATGAGTTGGCCGAGTCGTAGGTGCCCGTAAAGGCGATACTGAAAGTCACGTTCACCTGTTCGTCATGGGGTCCATTTAGATCACCGAAGCCAGCGATCGTCGTCCCCGAGATGGACAATGTGAGCGTGTTGTTGGTCATTGTCCCCTTGATCATAGCCCCTGACGGCCATCCGATCAATACATCACCCATCATACTGCAGGTTTCCGCAGGGATATGGATCTGATCTTTATGCATGCCGTCACTCGCGAAGATTGTCTGGGTTGGCCTCATCCCCGATACGTCGTAGACCCCTTCGAATTGGACCTCATGGCTATCATTGCCGGCCTGGGTGACATTAAGGACCACGGCGTCGATGGCCCCCTCGATATCCCTATTCGTCTCGTGGACGTACTCGTGCCAGTCAACGGTTGTCTTGAGATGCAAGAGATCCACATCCGTATCGCAGGAGCTGTAGGAATAGGTGATGTTGGCGATGGAATTGTCAGATTGCCAGGCCTGGAAGCCCAATGTAAAGGAGTTGTGAAGGTCTGGCGGAGTAGGAGTTCTCGGCCCGACCCATGCGATGCCCAACATGCGAATCGAGCGATGGTCCTTGGGACAATTGGTTCCATGGTAGGTGTTGTTGGTCGGCAGATCGCGAATCATGTAGTCGAAGGAAGCTTCGCCTTGAAAGTACAGTCCGTTCCAGTCAGTATACGCACCAGGGTCGCCAGCGACCGTTGTGTAATTGAGGTAATAGCTCGGCTGGAGGCCGGTGGTTGTGAGTTTGTGATCATCCGAGCAGACATAAGTGCCGCCGCTGGATGAGGAGTCGTCGCTGTCGGTGCTGGTCCCGCTATCGCTGCTGGAATCGCCGTTGCCTCTGCGGGATAGAACCCTAGCGGGAATCGACAAGAAAGCAAAAATCAAAACTACAGGCTGGCAGAGCAACATAGTGGCTAGCTTTTTCTATGGGTCCTAGTGCATGAAATCTATAACGTTGTAGACTGATCGACAAACGTATCCAGCTGTCCAGCCAACCTCTGAGCAGTTGAAGCACAGAAACACTTGAGGGGCGTCGCAACTTTAAGCACTGGCACCATTTGATCCTTGGCCTGTCTATGCCTGGGAGGACTAAGGTGCCAAGGACCTAGACGGGATGGACCTCGTATTCCCCGCCATCGCGGGTTGCGATAAAGGATTACTGGTTCAGTTCGGAGAAAGGACCGCCACCCTGTGGTTTGGTTAGCACGAGCACAAGTAGCCTAGGCGCGCGTGTGGGAGAGTCGTTGGTTTCTTGCGAGCCACAATCTATCCCACTTCTGGGCTAGCTCTCCAGCACCACGATTCTTTCCAATTGTTTCTATTGTCTCGCTTCCCAGCCTGTCAAGATCATCTAAGCATCTACGGCCCCAGGGCCAAGATTTAAACACCCTTTTCTCCCTTTGGGGGGGGTAAAACTGGTCTTTCTTTGGGAATATCTTAAATATCCGCTTGCTGGTCACTCCCTATAACGCTTGATCTTGGGGTCAAATGCCGGTGCTCTGTAAAAACATGAACATCGCAGTCATCGTGAATTGGCATAGGATACGCGTCACTTAAGGCATCTAACATTTCTCACTACTAAAACCCCTTGCTAGGCAATGCTCAACGGGCGGCTGGAGGTGGACGCCAGTACAGTTGCGAGACAAAATATCGTATTTTAAAAAGTAAAACGTGGTATTGGGACAATCCAGGAATATTGATATTCTGGAGTTATCCCTAAGATGGTTTGGCCTTTTTTGGCAGTGAGGCCAGCAAATCACTCAAAGAGTGTACGCGGTTGCACCAGTTTCGGGACGTACTGTAGTATACTGTTGACAGGCCCGGGAATATAATTCGAGTATCTGATTCAATCCAATTGATCTCCTACCACAAGGTGGCATTGAAAAGAGTATTTAATCGTGAAGAACGATCTGGTTGGTGACAAAAAGTTCTTCAAGCAGAATATACCTGCTTTAGACCCTGCAGGTCCGATCCACCTGAAGCCTTTGCTCACTCGAAGTAGTAGGCTATGAAGTACCAAAGGCCACGCGCACTAAAGATAGCTAGAATGGTGAAAAAAATAAATGGACATGAACAATTACTCAGCAGCATTCAGGCCATGAACTCCGGTCGGACTCACCTCCAGCATTCACTCAGACTCAGAGCCATGGGCTGTGAAAAATGCAAAGCCATGCGGAATAAAGATGTCTAGAACGGCAAAAAAATAAATTGAAGCCAGTTGGGTGTACTACCCACCTGTCGAATCGCTTTCGGTGTCAGTAGAGCTGCCGAATTCGTGCTGTGTGGCATTGAGAAATACGAGTAGTTGTACCGGCCTTCAAGTACACGCTGAGAAAAATGAATATACTAATGTTGGGTACGAGGTACAGGGCCGCTCGAAATCAGCTTCATCTCTTGTTTCCTTTTCGTTTTTGTTCTTGAATTCTATTCTGAAGCACGCTATCCCTTATTGGATCTAGCTTGGTGTTGGTCCTTGAATACGAAGGTGCCATGGCATATTTTTAAACTGGTCGGTACTCTTCAAGTGTAGAATGTGGGTTTTCCGAATAAAGCGACTAAGACCGTATGTGAATTATCCTAGGTATATCTTAAAAAGACAGTCGTAGGCAGCCTAGGCAGCCTAATCAGCGTAGGCAGCGATGGCTAGGTTAGGCAACATGTTCATTTTGGACCCGTTGTGAGGTTGATCTTACGCTTATTATGGTTATTCCGGGTAGGATATAGGGTTTGTTACATAATTGAACACTCGGATGGAGAGTATTAATTTTCGAACAACGTGACGATCCCCGTATTAAAGTTCTTTGAGATCTTTATATATAGTGCGGGCTATGGGACATATATAACAACGAGGGAGTATCCCTGCCTCTGTCCAGTGCAAGGAGTAATATTTCGCTCCAGCTTGACCACCTCATACACAGTGCCTATACACTGTCCGTTCCCAACTCCCCTCCTCTCCTCATTATTACCCTTTACCTATCTTCAACTTTCTCTCGTCAACCATCGTTTTCCATCAACTTAAACTTCCTTCATCCCTACCTCGGCTCTACCAACTTCTTTCATCTCCACTACCCTTCGTCATAAACCATGGTGATCGACCACATGTCTCTACATGTCCCCGAGGATAAATTCAGAGAATGTCTGGACTTCTACCTCGCAGCACTGAAGCCACTCGGATATACCATCTGGCACCAATTCGGTGAAACCGTCGTCGGTCTAGGAGCACCGCGTGAGGATCTAAAAGATCACAAGCGTCCCGACTTGTGGCTCTGTGGAATCAAGACACCAAATGAATATCCATCCCATATCGCTTTTGCTTCAAGTGGTAAGTCAATATCTACTTCAAGTTGAACTTAGAGAACACCTTTTCTAACCTCAGACTGAATATTTGAAAGATCGGGCGACTGTCGATGCCTTTTACGCTGAAGGTATTAAGGCCGGGGCTGAGGACAATGGTGCACCTGGATTGCGAGAGGCGTACCATTCCAACTATTATGGCGCATTCCTACTGGATCCAGTTGGCAATAATATCGAGGCTGTTCACCATGGCACTGTTTAAACCTTGAACGTTGACTGCGTGGATTGTTTGAGGAAGTGACTTTCTGGCATTTGTTTTTGCTTTCCAGGTGAAGTTGATATACTTGCTTTTTACGGGCTAAAAACGTATGCGTTAGTGTCGTTGTCACCAAGTTTGTGGTTTAAGATATGGTGATCTGAAAATATCGAAATAGCACAGCACTTGATGTCAAGATAGCTCGCTAGATAGACCCTGCGGGGCTACAGTTATAGTCAACGCCCATTTCTATTAACGAAGTGGAGAAAAGTCCTGGGTGAGATCAGGAGTTCTATGACTATTTTTGGAGTTAGACAAAATTAATCTGCTTCCTACGAGCTGCAAGCACTGATTGATACAATAGAAGTTCCATACAACAGAATACATTGCCTATTTTCATTCGTATAATTACAACTGTGCTGGAATTCCGTTAAATACGACATCAGGGGTAGTCTAACTCTAGTAGGTATAGTGTTATCCTAGTACAAGGTAAAGTTCAAAGAATATTATGAAGAGAACAACTCGGTGAAGCTGATTTTGAGCGGCTCGACTAAGATCTCACGAGGTGGTTGAATCCATCATGCATATTATTTCCCAACAAGCCGGGTAAAGACTCGGAGGCCCTCGAGACGATGGTGCAATTGGTAATTTTTCCCAACGCCATCCAACCATCCACCCGCATGGCAATTCGGGGCGAGCCGAAATGAGACCAGCTTGGCGAGGGGTAAATCTAGTAGCTCGATGTGATATTGATTACAATGCATCTTCCATGTTGTGGCCATGCCATGCCGTGTTGTATACATACTGTAGTAATCTGTTGTCCAACCGGCGAAGAGTGGGGGTTACATTTACATTTAGGGATCTCATTTGGTAGGGCAGTATGTACATATGTACATACTGTACTCCGTACTCGTACTAGCTCGGATGAAGGGAAGGGATTTTGGTCCGGTCGGGTAATATCTGAGGTGAGCGAGATCTTGCATGTATATGCACATGTAGATGTACTGTACGGGCATGACTATTGAATCATGGGAAGTGATGGTATTGATAATGTGATAGATTTTGATGTATAATGTGAATATTATGGCGAAGGTGGTGAAAAAATGAATAATAAAAGTAATAATAATAATCACGATCGTCTATTAGTGTTAAGGCCTACCGAATTAGGGCCGATGGGTTGCCGATCGCGGAGAGGCTGTGATTGGCCGAGGAAGCGATCTCCCGTCAGTTCAGGTCTGTTCAGTCAGATTTTGTCGTGTGAGCCGAGTCCAACTTTGATTTTTGACCTGCAGGGTCGAGTGATCTTATGGAAGAAAAAATAAAAATAATTCAGCTGACGAGGCCGGAGCCACCAGAACCAGAGAAATGGCTGTCACCCATCGCTGTGATTACAAATTATTTTCAGCCAAGCGAATAGGTCCTGCGGTCAACAGCCGAAAATACGAAATTTTGCTGGATAGCGGCGGCGATAACCAGGGAACAACTCGGCAGCCCCTTTGCCTCACCCGGGTCGGCCAATGAAGAGATCTGAAATGGTATTCCTGCTCCCCGAGTTCCCGACCATGTGGATCTGACGTAGGTGCAGAATGATAGCATAGGAGAGCGAGGCAGTATTCATACTCCGTACCAGTATACATACTCCCTATACTATACTCCGTACGTCCGTACTTTGTACTCCGATGGTCGGCAGAGTACAGTTGGTACGGTCCACCACTCTAAATGGTAGGCCAATGGTAAACCTAGTACTTTTGCAGTACACAATGCCACAATGGCAGCACTGCTGTCTAGCTGAGACAGTACACAGGTCCGATCCAGTCGGAGACTGAGAGTGCGGTGCGACCGGGCAACTCCCTCTAAGGTTCTCACCGAGTGCTGCGCAGCCGTGCGACCTGTCATGGGGTGTAGAAGGGAAGATATGGGAATCGATTCGGACCGACGATGCATCAACAATCGGATTGCTGGGCTAGTGCTAGGATGGGCTAGTAGAACCGTCGAAGTGGGTTGGTGGAGCGGCGACATCATTCCTAAGAGAGCAGGTGTCCACTGAAGTCTAGACCCTGCCGATCGGCGAAGGTATCATAAAATAGTCGATAGTATAGTTGAATGAGATGAAAGAATAAATGAAAGGATGAAAGGATAGAAGTGTAAAAGAGTGAAATGACGACAGTGGGCTATTCTACCAAGTGTTCACCACCACCACCATCACCACCACCAAAGTATCACTGTGTGTAGCCGTTGGGAGAGGGGAAGCCTTCCAGAGTGTTCTTTTTTGCCTCTGGTGTTGGGCTAGTCTGGATGTGGTAACCACTAGCCCAGATGTGGTTAGCACATAGTATACAACCATGGACAACAACCCTGTCAACCACCGGAACCCATCGGAGTTCCAATTTTTCCAAACAAAAAGAATCCACTAACGCTTTACGCTTTAGCCTTTCTTTCGGTTCAGATCTTTGGGGCACTGACACACTTTGGTACACTTGGTACACTTTGGTACACTTCTAGCACTGAGTCCTGTGATCTTAACCTTCCTTCTTCCCCCTCATCATCTCTCACCACCTCCCTTCACCTCCCTTCACCATCACCGCCACCTCCTCCCCCCCGTCGCACAACGGGGATCCCCTTGTCAGGCATCGGCCCGTTTTCCGATTGCGCACGAACGGCTCTTTTCTGCCCAGCCAGCGTGTCTACCTCGTCCCAGCCTGCCCAGTCTGTGTTTGGCCCACCTATTCGTGCGCTGGCCTTGCTTCTTTTCTTTTCTTTCCCATCCCATCACACCGCCACCCCGTGGCGACTCAAGATTTGATAAGAGTGCCGCTGCCTGCTCCCCATGCTCGCCGTCACGACGCATCTTCTCCATCCCCAATCCCCGCGACGCCCTGCGGCCTCGCTCCTTGCGCCATGCGTAAACCAATCCATATCGACCCGCGAGACTCACTCGACACGCCCGAGTCACCAAAGCTCCCAAGCCCGCTTTCTCCGTTAAGCCTCAATACCTCCGCTCCCGCCTCGCCCGCTATTTCCCTCTTCTCCGCCGCCGGCCACGGCCATAACCGCGTGTCCAGCTCCGTTTCCTCTCTCGTATCCTCCACCGGCCTGGGAAACTCCATGGACAGCCCTAGTCGGAGTCACCTTACTGGCGTCAAAGAGGAAGAGTGCTCGCGCGACTCGCTGGAAGATGGCTATTTCCGTATGTCCCTCCCCACCTACCTCTGTCATATATGACTCAAATCAACTAACTCCACTCCCCATCTAGAACACTTTGACTGCAACATGTCAACCCCCGCCGACGAAACCTATTTCCCTATGGATCCCTCGGACAGCTATGATCTTACCGATAGTGGCGTGGGCATGGACCTGCAGTTGCGAGAAACGCGTGGCTCGGATACCCCATCGATGAAGGGCGTCTCGCGCATCGGCTCGCATATTTCGACCATGTCGACCCGTTGGAAATCCAAGCGAGCCTCTGGAAGCCCAGAGCGCGATGCTTTCCCGGACGATCTCCGTTCGCGCGCCAATTCAGCCGCGTCATCCGCCTTTGCCAGCCCAGTCGTCCGTCCCATCAGCCGAATCGACTCCATCCCACCTTCGCCTGCGCGGACGATCTTCGAGGAGCGCCTCAGCGAATCAGGCGCTCAACCAATCGAAATCGTCCACGCCAATAGTAAGGGCCTTAGCCAAGACGACAACGACACGCAGCAAGCCACGACTCCACTACTTCCCCCATTCATGGGCGACGATCCTACAAGTATTGTCGCCTCGCGCGTCCAATCCCCGCTCCAATCCCCATCCGTCGCAGACGTGAGCGACTGCGGCCTTCGTTGCAGCGTGACCTCCAGCTTCCGGATCGCAGGAATGGGAGTCCCATCGCCCCCACTCTCCTCGAAACCGTCTGTTGCCTCAATTAGCCGGCCCCGCGCTAGCACATTGCGCACTGTCTCCGGCGACGCAAGTCCGGCCCCTTTCACCCTTTCTTCACCATCAGATGAATGGGCCAACAAACTGGGCCACGCGAATTTCACCATCGTCCCGGAACCATATGTCCCGGAGACCCGTGACATTGAATCTTTCCACCAACTACGCGCAGATTGGGACATGGCCCGCTGCAATCTCGCAAAACATCTCGTTCGTACGGGCGAGCATTACGGTGTCACATCAAATATCTACAAACTCACCATCTCGAAATGGGATTCCATCAATCTGGCCTGGAAATCCGAGCACGAGGCCCTCCTCGCCGATCTCGGCGCTGAAGACCGTGTCGCGCTCACTCTGACCCAGAATCCCAGCCCTGCTGAATCAGTCCGCATCCCCCGACTCCACGATAACGACAAGTTTCCCTACATGGGCGACGAGGATATCGTGGGTCCGATGACTGTTGCCCCGGCTGGAGAGGGTGGACTGGGTCCTTGTGGGTCCAAGTCCATTAAGAAGAACTTCTTTCGCTTTTTCCAGGACCTTGTCTCGAGGACTTGATCTTGATGCTTAGCATCGATTCGATGGGATCTCCTCCATTTTTCTCTCGCCTTATATCAATACCCCGCCCGCATTACCACGACTATAATAATGACCACATAGACACGGCGCAAAAAACAACCCAAGAACCAGAAAAAAAAAAAGAAAACCGCCAACTTACGATTAATGAATGCCTCATGATACGACTCACGACTCACGATTCGGGTTTCACACATATAGCGACTACTTACTCGCGCCCGATCATGCCTTTCCTTAAGATGTCCCGAGTCTCCTTTACATTTACCTTTACCCTTTACCCTTTATATGTTCATCTTCATTTTCCATTCCTTCATTTCCCCCACCATTGGTTTCATTCTCATTCCAATTTTCTATATTGCAGGACTATTGTCCGTCCATTCCCTTTTTCTACATTATACCCCCACACCCCACATCCATGTATCCCATAGAACATAGCTGCAGCTGGAGGATGAAGCTGAGCCTCATTATCGATTAATTGTTCCTGTTCCGATTGAGCGGAACGCCTGTCGTTGTATATATTACTTGCATTATTCAAACTACTCATACCATTGTTGTATGGATTAGATATTCATTGTTTTTCAATTTTCAATCTTCCATTAGAGACACTAGGACCTGTAATTCTCGATGTCCTTAGCTACTACTGTTCAATTTAGTACTAGTAGTATACTTCTAAAGTGCAAATCGACTCATCAATGCCAGTGGACTCCGAATCGGAGAAGGGCCGCGGTGGAAATAGTACCTAGTGCTTGGGCACGTATACATCAAGCTAAACCCAACTAGTCCAGAACAGGCAAGAATTTGCACACAAAAAAGCATACAGAGCTATCACAAACACCATGCATAGCCAATGAACTTAAGTACCTTGTCATCGACCTCGGCAGGGGAATTAAGCTTGGAAACCCGAGCCTTCCACCCGTACCGAACCACGTGGACCACCGCCAACTCACTGACCCCTTCGTCCCTTACAGACCTTCCACGAACTTCCCAGGCACATCTTCACGATTGGATCCAGCACATCACTGTACCCACAACACCCAAGTAGCGGTAAAATAGACGTCAGCAGTGATTTGGTGGGGTGAGTACATTGGTGAATGCTGTTCCCATCGGAATAAGTGAGTTTAGTCCCGCGTGAGACTTATCAATGCTATTGCATGTACTTCGTGTCTGTCTGCATGTTTGTGTGTTTGTGTATTTGAGGGTGTTCAAGGTTGGTCCTTCTGTATGTGCCTTGCACTGATGCTGCAGAAGTGCCAAGTTTAGGCCCCATAGATATAGCTGCCTGAGCTTTGAGATTTTCTAGATAGCATTGTGCCTGGGTCGCCATTACCTTTAGCTTTTAGTCATGGTTGGGCTTGGGATGGGCTGGCGAAAAGATACTCGTATTGGGGGATACCTTTCACACCGCACCGACTCTGACGGACGAGTCCGAGGTGGCTTCAGAGTTCTTTGGATGATGTGTCATTTCCATGGATCATTAGGCACGTATCTTTTGACGACAGGATTCTGCAGGGCACCTGAGACTCAGGTCATGAGCAGAGCTCGAATAGCTAGAAAGTACTCGTTTGTTGAGCATCACCTTCGACCTAAACTCGTCCCAGGTAGAAATTTAGAACGCCTAATGCCATATCATACGAGATGTCTCACTTCCTTAAGAACCCAGGGAGGGACTCGAAGGAATCTACAGGATGAAGATTACATGCAGAAAAATGAAGTGTGGTATAGCTATATTCAGCAACAACTATAGCAAGTAGCAAGTAATACTAGCAGGACCTATAAGCACCACTCGAAACACCCATTATTGCTGTTTGCTAAGAGCAGGCATCAAAGCCCCCACTGGAGGCTCATTCTTCTTCTTGAACTCATCACACATTTGTTCCATTGTCACCCACTCGACACCCTCATGCTTGTTGATGTACTCGATGATCCTGCACGGTGTCAGTCAGCAAATAATATGACGATGTTTTAGCCAGTATTTCTCTCGGCAAGGCCCGAGCCGGCTGTCTCTGTCTGTCTCACCTTTCATGCATAAGGAGCACATGAGGTCTCCCCGAAACATCCGGGTGAATCGTCATAGGAAAGACAAACTCATCATACTCGCGATAAAAATAGTCAAAGTGATCCTGTTCCCATCTAATCAGCCGACAAGTAAATTGCAAGAAGTGTGTAGCAGAGACGAGATTGTAATCAGGACTGCCCAGGCGAGACACAATGACAACCCCCACCTAACTAATTTGAATTGAAACTTGAACTCACCTTCCAAATATCCTCAACATCACGCGGATTCACCCAGCCATGACTATTCGCCGAATTCTTAATAAACATCATCGGCGGCAAGTCATCAATATACCAACTACCAGGGATCTCCACCAAACCCGTCATCTGGCCCCGAACCAGTGGCTTCATCCACGTCTCAGCCTTCTGGCTATAATCAATCTTAGTCCACGAGTCGCCGGTTCGTAACCAGTACATCTGACAATCCTCATGAGACATCGAGTGATCATACTCGATACCATACTCGAGTAACTGCTCCACCATCTCGGCGCTAGCCTCCCACCACGGCGCCACGACGCCGCGCGGTGGCTTGCCGCAGAATTCGGTCAGCATGTTGTAGGTTTTGTCTAAAATATCGCGCTGCTGTTCCTCGCTCATAGCAGCTGGGTTCTCGTGCGAGTACCCATGAAGTCCGATCTCATGGCCTGCGTCACGAACAGCGGCGCATTCTTCGGGAAATGTCTCGAGTGAGTGGCCTGGTATGAACCAGGTTGCTTTAATGTTGTGTTTTTCGAACATCTTGAGTAGGCGCGGGGTGCCAATGTGTCCGGCCCATAGTCCTGTATTTTGATTAACACGAAAATTAGTTGGTTGATCTGAGCGAAAACAAAAAAAAACATGCCTGGGTAAAGGCTGTTGTGTGTTTTGGAGTTGCTTTTATTTACCTCGACTAATGTCGCTGACACTATCCTCGCCTCCGTATGAGCCAAGCCAGCCGGCAACTGCGTCGATGTCGACGCCATAGCTAACTAGAACGCGCTTTTTGCCCATTTTCGCTATTTGTATGGTGGAATGTAAGGTCGTGGAGGGTTGAGGTGCGGAGATTTACTAGGTTGTATGAGAGAGGAATGAAGAGCCCGGATCGAATTGGATTATGGGACTTTTCGGGAATTCCGGATGACTAGTTTTATTAAAGCATCCCATCCAGAGATAGTGTGAGGGGAATTGAATGAGGGGAAGCTGCCACCTTAGTGATGTTATCGAGAGTATCCCCCATCATTGTAGTACAGCAAGAGTGGGGGTTGTTCCACTCTGGCAAATCCCACTACGCCAGGAGAGGGCATCTATTCGGTGTCGCGGATCCAAAGAGGAAAAATGGCGGTCTTTGGTCGGCACAGAAAGTCTGATATTTTCAAGTGAAAGAAATCCCAAATAGCAAGGTTTTTTTTTTGTTTACAAATTGTTCCAAGCTGTAGATGCCACCATCTAAATTTTCGAGGATAGCTGTGGTTTAGATCATGGCAGATGCACAGGTCCTTGGAGAAAGACTGGACCATTACCTACTTAGCCCACTACCTGATATTCATCCCTAGATTTCGAGAGTACTCGACCCAAGCCTTGATGAACCTCTACTTGAAAGGCTTCGAATGGATACCTTTCACCATCAACACTGATATCTCCATCAGGTTTCCAGGGCGTCAACCGATAGGCCGAAACCTTTCTCATTTCGACATCTCGGAGATGATTGCATTTGCCCTGCGGAAGCTTTATGATTGCTTCGAGGGAGGCAGCCCATCCAATTGTATCGTCTATCATCATGATATCCAAGAAGCCGTCATTTGGCTGCGCGTCAGGGAAGAAATTCGTATCCTTGGCGACGATCTTCATGTTGCCGGTGTAGAAGCTGGCTAATCTCTCCCGGGGCATAATCTCCCAATCTTCGGGAATATCGTCCAAGACGGTGCCATATTGGAGAGGAAGACTGGTGGGAAAGTTCTGAGATTTCGTAGGATCCTTCTTCTCGGTTTTCTCCTTCTCCTTCTCCTTCTTGTCCCCTCCACTCGTTGTAGGCTTAAAAGCAAGTTGGCAAGAATACTTCGTATTCTTGGCGATCGTAGCAAGAACACCATAAATGAAACGAGTATCTCCCATCCACCGTAGATGCTCAGTTTTCAAATCACAATCGGCCAGCACACCCAGCGCTTGAGAGAGAAATGAAACCGTATGCTGCGTCCCCTGCGTAATGGAAACCAGATCCAGCGGCATCTCCACCCCTTTCACGATTCCCAGAGCAGTCAGTGAAGGATCATCCGTGCCGTAGAGGTTCCAAGCCATCGCATTTCCCGAGCCGCAAGGTATCATGGCCACCGCCATATTCGACAGTGCCTCGACAGCATCAGATCGTCTTGCCAGTCCATTGAACACCTCATATGGCAGACCGTCTCCGGAACAACATACGATGGCATCATATGCATCGAGAGCGATATTCTCGGCTATCTCGCCAGCATGACCCCTGTACCGCGTCTCCTCGACGTCAATTTCGCAATGGGCGGCGCCGAATATCGGCGCGGCGAATTTGCGGACTTTTTCCAATGCTGAGCCACAGAATGGATTGACGAGAACTTTGAGCCTCTTGCTTCGCTGCGCTTGACCGTATGCGTGTGACAGGAGATTTTCTTTCCAGGCTGTGGCTTGCTCTTTTTGCTCTGCGCTGACTGGATATTGAAGCGCGTTTATTGGTGCTGTTGAATTTGAAGTACCGTTTTCTCCGTCCAGGTAGGTTATCGTGAGACCATCTGCAGAGATATAGGCGTTCAAGATAGAGTATAAATCTATATTCCTGGGCCCAGGCACTACGAGAGAGAGAAAGTGTGTAAATAAACAGGGCTGTATAGGGCTGTGGAGCATGAGGGGATATGATTGAAGCAATAACAGAATGGAATGGGTTTGAGTGAGTTTGTGAATACCTTTTTTCGAAAGCAATCCGCAGCAATATCGGGTTGTCCTCTCCTTATCGGTGTTGTCATCTGCGATCGCAACCATGTTAACTCCGGGATTACAGATATCCACTATGAACGAATAGACACATCGGGAAAGACCTACCGGTTATTTTGAGCGATGTCTTGTGGAGTGTGAGGGATATAGATTCATCAACGCGAAATGTTTTGGAAGGGTGAAGCGGGTCCATGTCCAAGGGATTGAGGACTGGTGCCTCTGCGACAAGCTACTGCGAGCTGGGTTGATGGAGGAGAGCCAAGTCGCAGCTCGTGTGTCAATATATCAATACTCCTATCCAAGCCGTTGGAATCAAGGCAATTAACCCACCGCGGAACGTGATGCAGTCAGGAGAGCGAAGAAGCCGGGGAAGCATGGAGCCGGTTCCTATTGGACACGCAATCATTCGACGTTGTGGCCTCAGGCCTCAATATAGGATCACGTGATTATAGGCTGACTTGTCAATGGTGAAAACATCAGGAAAGGAACGGAAAATGGGGGGAAAGAAGAGAAAAGAATATAGATTCAATTTCATGGCTTTCGAAGACTTTACTCAATTTAATTGGGTCTCAAGCCTTGGAATTTGTTGCAAAAAGGTGTGACCCATTCCGTCAAGCGTGTGACGTTATACTTCGGGAACACGTTATTGTCTCCGCGCCCGATTCCTTCTTAATTTCGTTTAATTTTAAGAAAATATTCAAGAGCAGCTTATTTGTAGGTTCAGGTGACTGGTACTAGAATTTACTTAACATGAGTCAATCCACAAGGTGAATCCATTGACATGAAAATGGATTCTACCTAGTCTTCATTGCTCTCATTTCCTCGATTCCAAGTATAATATCATAAATTGATACTCCGCTACCACATGTTTCCATATACATACTATCTCCCAGAGCCTCCGTAGAACCCGGTACACGTTTAGCCATGCAGCCATTCACAGCGCACCATGTCCATGCGTTTCAAAAGGCAAACCAATACTCAATCCGCCGACGGCCACCCAAAGAGCGGCACTCACATAGATCGGAGCACTACTGAAGCCAGTCTGCGATGAGATAAGGCTTGCTACTAGTCCGCCCAGTCGAAGAAGTGCCGCTGCTGTACCATAACCAGTACCACGATGGGGGGGCAGGGAATGATTCCGGAGTAAACGCATACATCACAGCATACTCTGTTTTGTATTAGTCTCGGGCCAAACCTTTATTGGAAGAGTTTCACTTACCAAAATTTGCTAGTAGACTGGTGACGCAGGAGAAGGCCAAGCTGGAGGTAGGGGTGTTAACACCTACATAGGCGAACAGAAATACACCCGTGACTGCGGCCGAGATTCCCATCATCCATCGACGACCGAGCCTTGTGTTCACACCAACAGCGGCGGACAGCGGACCCACAATCCCCACAGCTGAGACGATACAATAGTTGCGGTAGGTGAGACTGAGGGAAGAGTCCTGAGTAAACTTGGTGGCGAGGTATGAGGGAAGGAAATTGAAGTAAAGTGGATAGGCAATACCTGATTGGCTTTTATTAGAATTTTTCAAAGCCCACTACTTCAATTTTGCTTACCAACTGTGAGCCAGATTGCCCAGATAATGAGAGTCTGCTGAGAAAGTTTTCGAGTTGCGAAGAGTGCCCGGAAGTGTTCGCCTTTAAAGGCTTGCATAGTCTCTGCGAGTATCTCTTTTTTCGATAGTTTCGCCGCTTGATCGCCATTTTCAGATAAATTGCCTAGCCGGGCATCGATTTCGCGCATCATTCCAATCGTCAGAGGCTCAGGCTTTCCGTTTTGTCTGGCGACGTAATTAACTGCTTCCACTGCTTCTTCGTCTCTTCCTTGGGATAGCAAGTATCTTGGGGTTTCGGGGAGCTTGAAGACGAAGAGGCGAATGAAGGTAAAGCAAAGTGCCAGACCGCCAAGCACAATAAGTGTATATCGCCTTCAAGATACTTTGTTAGATATGAAGATTCATCTCGGGGATTCCACATACCATCCCATATTGTCTTGACGGCGACATGTCTCAGGGGTTGCGTCGGTCGGGCAGCTAAAATTAGCAAGGAACACCCAGGCTATCAATGATACCACTAGCTGGCTCATATTCCACCAGGCCGAAAGAGCTGTAAGAAGATATTGATGACTAAATAAGTCAGAGGGGAATATCATTTCGCGGGTCACAAGGACTGACCTTCCAGGGACGAATTCCAAGAAAATCATACAATCCACAGGCACATTGCCCCCTGCAGCTGTACCAATAACGGCCCAAAGACCACTGAATGCAATGAAGTTCATGGACCCCGCAGCAGCGCAAAGAAATGTTCCCGCAATGAGCAGCGTGAAATTAAAAGCAGGTCGCCGACCGATAAGATCACTGGATGTGCCCCAGAATGTTGCACCCAGGATAAGACCGACATAATATGCAACAGAACTATAGCTCACTTGGACGATGCCGGAAAATTCTTGCCGAATTGGAGGCTGAACACTGCCGATTCCTTGGGATGCGAACTGAGATAGAATGTAATCATTAGCACTTGAAATAACCAAGAAGTCCTGAGAACCAACATTGTCAACTACCCATCCAAAGCCAGTTACGACCCAAAGCTTCCACTGAAACCTTCAATAAGTTAGTACGGTGTGAGTCAAGGTTGAATATACAATATCTACCTTCCCATCCCAATCTCTTCCATACACTGCCCAACCAACTCAGACTTGAGCCTGTAGGCCTGGGTAGTAGAAGAGCCATAGAACTGCTCAACTTCCCCATCGCTAAGAGGCATGGCCTTCCCAGAACCCTCATCTGCAGAGGAGCCATTTAGCTGAGCATCTTTCTCTGTTGATCGAATATCATCCATGTTGTTAAAACTGATGGTGAGCTTCGAAATACTACTCTACACGCTGATCATCCCATCGTCTCATATACTCCTCTCTAGGGCTTGGATTTCTGCTTACGGATGACACCAGCCAATAATCGCTAAGCAGTTAGAGTATCCTTAGCCGATAGCAAAGGTGGGTTGACTTTGATACGAATCTAACGCCGGCCGAAACCCCCCCACTTTTGAATATTACAGCAGTAGAGAGTTCAATGACGTTGACACTTTTGTGCCTCGTAAGGGGGATGAGCTTGAAATATACAGAGGAACGAAGGGTATTCGAAATCAAAGCTATTTGATAGTTTCAATTTGTACAAATGTACGAGATAACGTGACGTCGACAAAAAAATGCAAATTGTTAAACAGGGCGTGGCATCATTCCATTCATCGGCCTCATGCATTCCAGTAGATATCATGCGCCAACCGCAGTTAAAGCTGGACCCACATCCACTTTCTTCGCTTCAAGCTCCTTCTTGTACTTCTCGGCGCGACCGTAGCTATCCTTGTAGGCAGAAGTTACCATGTCTTGAACCGTGATAGGGGGGGTATTTCGCGGATTCGCCCGGCTCGCGGCAATTCGGTAGGCACTCGCAGAGATAGTCTGGATTTCCACTGAAAAAGAATGGAATGGAATATCTCTCCTTGCCAGATTTGTTGATGACGCGGTGCGTGTTTGACTTGTATTTGTCGTTGGCCATGCGCATGAATAGGTCACCGAGATTAATCACGTATGCTCCGGGGGTAGGTTTAACCTATTTTATTATCCACAAGTTAGACCAAGCACCAAAATCATGATAGATGAAATACAAACATCGAGCCATTTTCCAGATGGAGCATCCAAGACCTGCAGACCATCAATTTCGTCCTGCAGTAGGAGAGTAACACAGCCGAAGTCTGTATGCGCTCCGATTCCACGGTTCAGCTTCTCATCTTCGTCTTTGGGCTGTGCAGGATAATGCAGATATCGCATAGTTGCGACAGCACCTTCGGTGAGTGGCTCAAAGAAGCTCGACTCCACACCCAGGGTGAGAGCCACGACACCGAGTACATCCTTCGCCAGTTCAAACACCGCGTGATAGTATTCCATGGTCGTTTTCTGGAATTCCTCCTTGTCGGAAATATTTTGCGGCCATTGATTCGGACCACTGTTTAGCTTCTTTTGCAGAAAGTATGGGTGGTCTTCGGGAATCTCCTCTCCAATGTAGAGGCCTTCCTTCAGTTCGGGGCCGGTGCCCGCTTCGAGCATCTGTGATCGGAGGAGTTCGTAGCCGCGGTTGAAAGAATTGTGATCTGCAAAGTCAGCACTATGCTCACCGAAGGAAAATCTCCCAGGTGATTCTCACTTTTGTCGATTTGTAGTTTCTCCTCCAGAGGCAGGTTGAAGAAGCGTTTGGAGCATTCCATCACGCGTTTCTGCAGCTCCAATGGCACTCGGTGACCAGTAATTTGGAAGAATCCATTGTAGTGGCAGCACTTTCGCACTTCCTCCACTAGCTTTGCCTTGGCCTCGCTGTCATTGCCATAGAAAGGAGAAAAGTCCAGGATTGGGGGTGCAGTTGGGGTAGTCATCTTGTTCGTTTCCAGGCGATGTTATTCCGTGTGAATTGGATGTGAGCTGCTCAAGTTTGCATCGTACCGAATATATCATCGAAAATCGCAAAAGAAATGTCATCATCTCCAATTCTGATCGGACAGAATGCCGAAGAGCTGCCTAGGCGCGACATGATCAAATGGTCTAAAGTTGTCGTCGCAAACGAGGGTGGGGGTCCCGTCAAAGATGGGGTGATATTCAATCCAGCCCATTTTCCGATAAGACGATCTGCGGGGAAGATTGTGGCGCGACAGGGGTTGTTATCTAGTCTGTAATAAAAGAGGCCATTGCTCTAGAGAAATACCAGTCTCAAACAGAATAGCGTATCTTTGAAGTATGTAGATATCCATGAATGGGGGGTGAGAGTCGGGTTGTACACACTGCGAGGTCCATGCAAGGGGGCTTTATAAGCATCCAAACGGTCCACGGATGGGTGCATTTTGTGCCCCTGTCCAACAAACATCGTATTCTACCCCGAAAAATGTCCACGGAAATGAAACAGACGTTGGCGAGTAAGCTAACAGACGACGAAGCCGGAGTAGGGCAAATCTCTGTATATGCAGACGTTGAAGCCGACAGAACATATCGTAAGAAAGTGGATTTCTGGGTTCTGCCGTTGTTGTGCTTGGTAATGCAGCTCTACCATTTTTGCTGTAAGAGACTGACGTATGGCAGATGTACTTTTTTGATTGCATGGATCGGGTACGTTGCCACTTGTTCAACCGTGATGCTATACTTACAAAATTAGAGCAATCTAGCAAATGCAAAAACGGACGGCATCGATGATGACTTGAACTTCAAAGGAAACGATTACTCTCTCATTATTCTGATATTCTATATTCCATTTGGTCTTTTCAATCTACCATGGAATTTATTAATCAAACGATATTCTGGGCGATGGACGCTTTCCACCAGTGGGTCCATTCCATAATCCAACTCCACGGAAACGAAACTAATTGTTACTCGAAAAGTGTCCGTGGTATGGGGAATTCTTGCATTATGTCAATGTGCAGCTAAAGACTTCGGGTCTCTCCTCGCGATTAGAGTCATCCTAGGCGTGTTTGAAGCGGGATTTTTTGCTGGAGCAACGTATTATTTGACGACATTCTATACACGTGGGGAGATGGGATTTCGTCTGGCTATCATACAGTCATTTGCCGTACTTGCCTCTGCATTTAGTGGTCTAATATCGTTTGGTGTATTCCAAATCAACAGTCCTACCGTCCACGGCTGGCAATGGCTTTTCATCATTGAGGGCGCAATGACCTTGCTCACTGGGCTCGTGGGATTCGCCATCCTGCCAGACTCGCCACATACTGCCTGGTTCTTGAATGACCGCGAAAAGGAGGCAGCGAGAGCTCGGCTACTACGTGACTCCTCGTCAGAGGTAGACACAGGATTTAATCTCAAAGATTGCTTTCGATCCTGGAATGATTGGAAATTTCCGATTTGGTGCATTATTACATTCACATATCCAGTTGCCTATGCTACCGCGATGAACTTCTTCCCACTGGTAAGTCGCACTTATTTAACTGTTCTCGGCTTCCCTAATCTGTTTAGATCGTTCAACGCCTCGGATTCTCTGTCATAAAGACCAACCTATGGACTGTAGCGCCTAACCTTGTCGGTACAGTAGTTTTACTATGTGTTGCGAAATCTTCGGATTATTTTCGCGAACGAACGTTCCATATTGTCTTCTCTCTGTCCTTGTCCCTGGTCGGAATGGTCATGCTTGCTGCTATCGATGTTCTGGAAAATAAAGGGGTCGCTTATTTTGCTTGCTTCCTCATGGCAGCGGGTGCATATATTCCATCCTCTTTGGTTCATGCGTGGCACAACAACAACAATGTCCACGAAAACTCTCGCGCAGCTAATACAGGGTTCTTCGTGGGCTTGGGTAACCTGGCGGGTATTTTGAGCGCAGCCACTTTTCGAACTGAATATGCCCCAAAGTGAGACCTTCGACTTTGTTTTCAGGCAAATAGTTGCTAACTATATGGCAGGTACATTCCTACTCTGGTCGCCACTTGCTGTTGTAATGCCGTGTGTATCGTTTTTGTGATAGGGCTTGGCCTATGGATGCGCATTCAAAATCGACGACGAGATCGGGAGCAGGGATCAAGATTAAGGGAGGGCTATTTGAACACCAGTCAGTTCAAGGAAGGCGAAGAAAGCCCCGAATGGCGATATTTCCTTTAGTCAGTTCATACAATGGTATGCCAGTTGGTATCTGGTTCTAGGCATTAGTAATAGCTGAACTTTCACTCCGCACCCCAATCTTGTCTCATCATTGAATCATCACTATTGGTCGCTTGAGCTGCAACGACCCGATAAACAGGATGCACTAAGTTCAGAATCCTTGTAAGAAGCACCAATCATGAGGTCGCCTAACATACGTTCCCCCGCATTCTTATCAGTGAAGTCGGTCTTTACTCCGGCCCCTGCATTTATTGCGAAGCTCCCCAAATATCTGAAGGTTCGAGTATAATTTTTTTGTTGAAGCGCTTGTGTATACTAATTATGAAGAACCATGCTTGCGACTACCCCGGGTGTAGCAAAAGCTTCACCCGCGCCGAACATCTTCGTCGCCATGCTCTTAATCATGACCAACCACGCAATGGGTTTACATGTGAGCGCTGCACCGTTCATTTCCAACGCCCTGATCTTCTAGGTATGCTTGACCTGAGAATGTCGTGAAGACTTTTGGTATTGACAAATCTAGCTCGACACATGGAGCGCCACACAAAACGAGACGCCGAAGCTGGTGGGCCTGGACTTGGGGTATTGAAGACTCGGAAAAGAACTCGCAGGGCTGGGGACGGAACGATAATTGTACGACCATCACAGCGAGAAATGCGATCGGTAGGACGCTCTACGATCTCTACTACAAGTTCCTCCGACCGGGGACTGATAGAAGATGATGATCCTTTTCTGGATGAGGCACCTCTATCACCACCGGGCTCAGGTACAGATCCAACCTCCCTGGATATCGATGATTCGGATCCTTTCCTCGCCCCGATGATGCCCGGAAGGCCATTTGAGCCATATGTGGAACCGATTCCAGGGCAGTTCGACGCTGCGGATGGATCATTCAATATTGGGCTCAACGAAATGGGTTCCTTTTTCGGCATGGACACCGGTATTTATTCCTATGGTAGTTTCTTATCTGGTTTCTACTAATATACCTAGCAACTGACTTCAACTTGCCCTTCGCTGCGACGGACAATTATAATTGGTTATTTGATGTCGCTTCTCTCGACGACGCATTTCATCATTTTGACTTTCCACTCGGGTTTGACGCTGGGCCATTCCCGGACACTATGGATACTGAATATAGTCAGGTCATTGACAAATATGATGGCCCCTCGGCATTGCTTGAGGTTGCTTCTATGATGAACAAGACGCAGACATCACCACAGCGCCCAATTTCCCCCGATAGCCCAGAAATTATTGGCATGGACTGGATGTCTGGTTCATCGTATTTAGGCCCAAATCCCTCTCCGCGGCTACCACAGCTATCGGAGAATGCTTGCCAACGAGTTCTTGCCCTGGTGCAGCAGACGCGCCCTATAGGTCTTGATAGTCAACCAATGGCTCTTGACTCGCACCTACTTTCTCTCCCTGCGTTGCAGAGCTACAGTGACTTTTTCTTTTCTCGTTTCAATGTGACATATCCACTTGTGCATCAGTCAACTTTTAATCCCGACCTTGTTGATCCAGTATTTCTCGCGGCTGTATTGTTCATGGGTGCTACATACAGTACGCGAGAAGCTCATCAGCTAGCCGTTGGAATCCATGACAATCTGCGAAATCAACTCCTTTGCCATCAAGACTTTTCTCCGCAACCAGACCTCTGGGTCCTGCAGACAATGCTTCTTATCGACTGCTTCGGAAAAATGAGAGCAGGGCCAAAGCAAAGAGAACGTGCTCAGCTATTCCACTGCGTGTTGATCAAATTGATTCGTCGAAGCACCTGCTGCAATATTCACGACTCCCCAACTTTACCACGATCGGATGATTTAGACTATGCGTGGCGATATGCAATGGTTGAGGAGCAGCGGAAACGCCTGGCAATGCTTTGCTTTATGTGGGATACGCAGCACGCCGTACTCTTTTCTCAGTCTCTCTGCATGTCCGCATTCGAGATACGGTCTTCATTACCATGCAGTGCCGCTATTTGGGAAGCAACAACGGCTCAAGAATGGGCGCATTTGGCCTCTCGTGAGACAAATCGCCCTTTCCTAGCAGTTCTCAAGGGATATATTACTCCCAGCGCAGTCTCCAGACCCCGCGATTTGAATGTTTTCGCCCGCACGGTCATCCTCCATGGATTAATGTCAGTTTCCGCTGATCTCAAACGTCGTGATCAAACAACCCTCCGGTCGGAAACGCCCGAAAAGGTTGGGGCCTGGACCCCACGTATGAGCCGGTCCTACGACTTATGGAAAGTGGACTTTGATGCAGATTGCTTAAGTATGAAGCTAGCTCAAACAGCAGATCCGCAGAGGTTTACTGGCTTGAAAATGGCTGCCCATGCTTTATATCATGCCTCTTGTCTTGCGTTGAACGTTGAAATTCTCGACTTGCAAATTGTCGCCGGCGCCAAACAGATTCTAGGGAGGAATATTACACCAGCAGATCAGTCACGGTCCCAGCGAAAGATCTTCCAGTGGCTGCATGAAGATTCCAGCGCGGCGTCTATCGCTGCACGGCATGCATCATTTCTCCTACAAGATGCAGTTTTAAGTCTACATGACTGGGACCATACAGATGCGTTCCATTTCCCATGGTGTTTGTATCTTGCTACACTGGCCTGTTGGGTCTTCCATCGCGGAATGGATATTTCTTCGTCGGAGAGCCGAATTCACACAGACCTCTCGTCTCTGATTGTGATGATGACGAACTGCCCAAGTGCTACTGAGCTAACAGCTTTGTCCGGAAAGTATGACCCCAAGCCCCTAGCATCGGCAATGGCCCAGCAACTAGCTACTGTTCGGTGGGCTGTAGTACATGATGCTATGAAAGTCTTAGTTGGATTGTCTTGATGAACCGAAATTGGATTTTGCATTTTTTTCCTGTTAGATTGTTGAATTGCAGTTTGGCCATACTGGTCCTATGGTCAAATGGCACAATACACAGATAATTATGCATGATAACCATGAGATCCTAGCCTTTAATGATTGTGTACTATGATGAGTCCTCTTCAATTCCCCTTATTTACTGTAGAAAGAATAGTCTGTGTATCCCTTTGCCGCCGGATCAGCCCCATAGAAGGTTGTTCTATCGTAGGGATTCAGGGGCAGCCCCTCCTTGAGACGTCGCGGTAGATCCGGATTGGCAATGAACCAGCGACCAAACACAACTGCGTCTGCACCATCAGTCACAAGCTTAGGGCCAGAATTCTCGGCGTTGAAGTTTCCAGCCGCCAGGAATGCGATACCCCCTTTCTTCAAAGTCGGCCGGAACACATCCAATGAGGGCTTGTCACTCGCCAGGGATCCGATCTTTGCCTCCTCGTCAAGGACTTCATCGAAGCGAGGTTCAACCATGTGCACATAGGATGGTCGGGACTCATTCGGCAGACTGGCGATCAGCGAGCAGAGTGCAAGCCAATGAGCATTGGGGTTGGAGTCCTTTGTATCTTGGAAATAATTATAAGGCGACAAGCGGATTCCCGTGCGATCGGCACCAATAGCACCAGCAACTGACTTGAGGACCTCGAGAACAATGCGAGATCGCTTCTCGATAGAGCCGCCGTAGTCGTCTGTTCGCTTGTTGACGTTGTCATGGAGGAATTGGTCTAGGAGGTATCCATTGGCCCCTGTTTTTATGCATTTAGTGTCTTCCCTCCCCTTGGTCAATTCGGAAAATTCACTACTAACCGTGAACTTCAACTCCGTCAAAACCGGCCTCAATGGCTCGCTTCGCCGCCGCAGCATATTCTTTAACCAACTCCTGGATCTCATCCACGGAGATTGGTCGCGGTGGCAGAGCTGCGTACTCTGTGCCATCCAAGCCATTTCCACTGATCGGTATATCGCTGGAACTGACAGCTTGCTTTCCATCGATGAAAGAAGGAACGGTTGCACGACCAACATGCCATAGCTGACAGTAGATGTAGGCACCCTTTGCGTGTACTGCGTCGGTAACCTTCTTCCAGCCAGCGATCTGCGATTTAGTGAAAATTCCGGGGACTCCTGGATATCCAGCCGCCTAAAAGATCAGCACGAATTTTCTTTGAGGACGTAAGTGAACTTACATATCTGCTAATAGGTGTCGCCTCTGTCAGCATAAAGCCTCCAGCCGAAGCACGCTGAGAGTAATATTCGACGTTGAGATCGTTTGGGACAAAGACGCCCTCCGATTCTTTGGTCGATCGCATACGCGTACATGGTGCCTGAACCACTCGATGACTGAGTGACAGAGCGCCTAGGCGCAGAGGCTGGAAAAGAGGTCCGACGATGTCAACTGAGCCCATTGTGTATGTAATCGGCTATTTGGGTTATTTACTCATGTTTCTTCGAGCATTGGCCCAACTCTTAAATAGCCGCTCACGTTACGGAGCTCCCCTCATCGACCAACACGAAAGTGGGATAATGGTGGGATGAGCTCATTTTGATTGCACTTTGGGTCTACTTTTTGGAACGCGGTACCTAACCCCCACTGTAGTTAAGAATCAGCTGCAGGCCTTGTACTGGCAGTCCACCCCCCACCCTCGCACAATGACCGACCGCTGTATGTAGCGAGGGGCAGGGTACATGCCCATTCCCGTGATTAAATTACTTACATTCATTGTCGTCAAACGGGTAGTATGTAGCAGGTATGACTTGATTTTAAAGAAGTAATTCAGAAATCATAGGTTCAAAGCATACAGTGAAATTGCCAGTTCATTCGTGTAAATCTATAGCTATAGAGACCAAAAAACTACGACATGAATGTGAAATATTCCTCCAGCCATTTGCCAGCCCCTACGCCCGCAGCTAAGTCCCATGTCTCAATCCCCCCCCGATGTATCCGTCTGGTCGCACAATTGTAACCCCAACTGTCTGCCGGCTCAAATCTCCAAACCATTTTTTAGTGCAACCGATGGGGTCTTCATCGTCAAGGTATAGCGTCCATCTGCTATCTTGTAGTATTTGGGGCAAATCCGCAATTTCAAACTCAGATTTAGCAGACTGAGTGACCATCGCATATGTAAATGCAGTTGACACGGCTGTATATCTCTGGGGCTGGACAAACTCGTCTGATGGGGCGTATCCCCGGACCTGTTTCCCATACGACTGATTTGCTTTCTCTGAAATATTTCTCAGGGATGAATTAAACAACTCATTGCCCAGTACGTGCAAGAATTCCAAGGATCTGGGAACATCCGGAACGAAGAGGTAGATGCGAAACTGGCTCAGTAGTGGAATGTCTAGTTGGATATCCACAGGATTGGCATCAATGTACCGCGTCACCTTTGCTGGCATCTGGAGCTTTCCAGCTTGGAGTTTAGCTGAGGTGATGTTCTTCCCGTGGCTGAGTATGCCGCCCTGGTATTCAGCACCAACACCTGAGATGAATCGGATGTTTTCAGTGAAGTTTTTTGAAAGAGCTGCTTCACCTTGTGAGAATGCTTTGCAATGCTCAACATCGAAGTTGATGAGATCATTGGCAATCTTCCGACGTTCCTCCTCGTATGTGGATAAAAGTGATGGCTTGGAGAGTCCACGAATAACAAGATTGAGCTTCCACGCGAGGTTGAAACTGTCATGCATACTGGTATTGGCTCCTTGTGCTGCAAGTGCCGAGTGACAGTGCCCAGCCTATGAATTATTAGTACTCATAATTCGAAATGAGGAGGTAAATACATACATCTCCAGCAATGAAAATTCTCGCATCTGAATCCATAAAATGTTTTGCCACGCGCTGGCCTACCACGTAATTCCCAAACCATTCTCGAGACTTCCACTCGAGACGATATGGATGCATGGCCTCCCGCGCTTTGTTGATAACATATTCGGGTGTTGCTTTGGCTCGATCCACACGTTCGCCATCCGTCGCGCTCAATTCAACATACAGTCGAGTCATGTTGCGCTCACGTGGAATCCAAAGGATTGTTCCGGCGGCATGCGATCGCACCGCCACCTTGCTCCATAGATCAGGAAAGTCGGTATCGATGACCCCTGCTGTCCATTAGGATTTTTGTTCCATAGTTTGTGTTTTCCAGTCAAACTCACCATCCAGAACACCCCAAGACGCGTTTGTGATTTCCCCCTCGAGCTCTGCATCCGGTATGAAGTCTCTAACTTTCGACCTTGCGCCATCACATCCAACCAAATAATCTGTTCGGATTGTTTTGATTGTATTTGTTGACATGTCTTCATATGAAACATCCAATTGCATCGTCCCTGGGATACGAGAGCAGGTTGTAAACCGGCTATTCCGAGTCACAAAGAGACCCCTCGATTCCATATCGTCAATGAGCACTTCTTCGACCATTCCTTGGTGTGCGAGGAGGATATAGGGATCGGATGCGCCAACGAGGTGTTCAGGGTAGTGGGTTTGACGACCGGTTCGATGGAGTTCCTTGTCTGCTGTCGATTGCTGGACGCTGTTAGAATAAACAATAGTTGAAGTAATGGAAGAACTTACCCAGAAGGAAATATCATGCACCCGAGCTGCATTCTTGAGAAGAGGCTCCGCAAGTCTCATCTGCTTGAACGTCTCAATGGTCTTTGGTTGCATGCCATCTGCCTTGCCAGTTGACGTCTTGTCGGGGCGATCGTCAAGGATCACAACATCAATTCCGTAGCGAGCCAGATTGCACCTGAGTCCGAGTTAGTAGCGACTTCAACCATTTTATGAACATAGCTCACGCAAGCATCAATCCTGACGGACCTGCCCCTACCACAACAACTGTGGTGGTAGCGTCATGGCCACCAACACTGTACCCTTCGTTGTTTGCACTGGGAGCCATTGTTTGCACTTCGATGTGTGATTGAATACTCTATAGTCTTTCTTTTACCGAGAGCGACAGGCAACACGTTATAAAAAGTGATATTCTTGGTGGTGCGGAGAAGCAACCCCCACCCTTGATTTATCTCCACTAACTACCATTTGGTCACTCCCCCATCCACGATCACATCCTGCCCCGTCATGTACGAACTGGCATCACTAGCTAGAAAGACGCAAGCCCCCATTATGTCCTCTGGCTCGGCAATTCGACCGTTCATGGCTTCCGACTTCCAGCTTTCAAGAAGATGGGGGAACTGACAATTAGCGCTGTCCTCTGCAGACCAAGGGGCTGTAACACTCACTGCTGCGGTCATCTCCGTTCGGACATATCCAGGTGAGATAGAGTTGACTCGAATCCCCTGTGTATCGTTAACCTTTTTCATTGATTGCGATGTTTCTCCAGATGCTCACATATTCGGCCATCTCCTTCGCGATTGCAGGGCACATCGATCGAACCGCGCCTTTTGAGCCACAGTATGCGCTACATAGCTGACTTCGCACTGCGACATGACTGGCCATACTAGCAACCAAAACAATACTTCCGTGCTGGGTACCATTTGCGATCATTTGCTTTGCTGCTAGCTGGGCAGTGAAATAAAGACCGAGTACATTGATCGCAAGCAGATCGCTGTGGTCTTTGTAGGTAAACTCGAGGAAAGGGAGGTGTCGGTTTATCCCAGCACATGGGACACAAATATCAAGCGCATTGTCGAAATCCTTTTGGAACTGAGAGAATCCGCTTTGTAGAGACTCCTCCGATGAAACATCCACTCTGTCCAAGTCAAAATCCGATCGCTAAATTACGATAGACCACTTACTTATAATATGCCGTTCGGACTCCCTGACTTTTCTCGATCGTATAGAAATCTGGCTCCGGATCAACTACATCAAAGATAGCTATGTTTGCCCCTGCTTCCGCCAGACCACGCGCAAATGCTAAACCGCATCCCCGAGCGCCTCCCGTCACTAGTGCAGTTCGACCTTGGAGAGAGAACTGATGGATTAGCCCGGTCAAGAGATGAGAAAAGGACCGCCTACTTTGGACATGATTGTAAAGTTCGAAAGGAATTGGGTGTAGTGGTTTTCAAAATCTCATTACATTCACACCCCCTCGAGATTCTCAAGCCCCAAATATAGCCAGTTTAAAGATACCGGGATTCGGCATTTTCAACGTAGGTGGAGGAGGGGGTAACCCCCATCTTTGGAGATGTCAATCCTCGCACAGAGCGAAGCCATGATAAATACCCCGAATGCCATTGACTTATCCACTGGCATCATAAAATTGATACACACAATTACGAAATTAATTTGTCTGCGTTTATTCGAAATGGCACCTCGCATCCACATCAAGCAGCAGCAGACTCGCAACAAGTCTTGCCAGCTAGATATACTGGTGATTGGCGCAGGCCTCGCCGGCCTTGGGAGTGCAATCAGCTGTGCTCTTGCCGGTCATCAAGTCAGCATCCTCGAAGCGGCTCCTGAGATAAAGGAAGTGGGTGCCGGTATCCAGGTCCTGCCAAACAGCTCCCGCGTCTTGCAACACTGGGGCCTTGAGAAGAAGTTGACACCCCACATGACAAACCCAAGTGTGTGCAACTTTATCGGTTGGAAAGGAAACAAGATCTCTCACCTTGATTTCCACGATTCCGAAAAACGATACCCTGGCACTTGGTATCGAGATTTCCACCGCGCTGATCTCCAACGGTGCCTGGTCGAAAGGGCTTTTGAGCTAGGAGTGCGCGTGATCTGCAATGCTCGGATTGATGATGTGCGTGTATGTACAAATGGAACAACAGCGAAGGCCTTTGCTGCAGATGGAAGGGAATGGGAAGGCGATCTCGTTATCGGAGCTGACGGGGTGTTCGGAAAATTGACCGAGGGCTTGCTGGGTCGCAGTGATCCACCAGTCAAGACAGGGGATCTCGCATATCGTCTACTTTTATCAACTGAAGAAATGCGCAAGGATCCTGAGCTGGCGCCATTCGTGAATGAGCCTCAAGTGAATTATTGGCTGGGGCCGGATGCTCACGCCGGTATGTCTATTTGCCTATTCGATACTATAATTGTCAGCTAACTCAACTAGTCAACTACGTTCTTAGAGGAGGGGATCTGTTTAATATGGTTCTTCTTGTCCCAGATGACATTCCCGAAGATTCACTTGCGTCCACAATGGAAGGGAATGTGGAAGAGATGTGTGCCTTATTTGAGGGCTGGGATCCACGGTAATAAGCTTTTTATCCCATTGTTCTGATACCAACCTAACAAATCCAGCATTCAAAAACTTCTCAAATTATGTCAGTCAGTGCAGAAATGGCGATTGTGCATCCGCTTCGGGGACTTTGATTGGACTCATCCATCAGGAGCCTGGGTTATGGTCGGGGATGCTGTCCATGCAACCTTGCCGTATTTAGCTTCAGGGTATGTATAGCTTCTGATTTCAGATCCCCATTTACTGACATTGTCTGTAGAGCTGGTATGGCCTTTGAAGATGGTGCAGTTCTCGGCGAATGTCTATCCCGTCTCCCCGACAATCCCGAAATCTCCAAGAACTCGCCCTCATTTGCAGAGGCTAAGAAACATGCCCTTTCTGTTTTCCAGGAATGCAGAAAGCAGCGTACTAAGATGGTTGTCGAGAGAGGAAATGTACAGCAGTATCTATACCATCTCCATGACGGGCCAGTGCAACAGGAAAGAGATCGCAAGATGCAGATGGTGCCTACTCCAGAAGGGGAAGCTTTGGCTTGGAGAGATCCAGGATTGGCTCCAAAACTACTTGGATATGATCACATTGCTGATGTACGTTTCCTTCTCTTTTTTAATGGGCTATGGCTAACTTTTCATCACCAGGTAAACCGACGCTGGGGAAACTCATGTGGAAGTGAGATTATGGAGTCTAGTAGGCTGTGACTAATTTACTGAATGATATTATGCTGTAGCCATTAGAGAGTACTCAGCCTTAGCTACAAGTCTGCGCAAATACAAATCCATATTTAGTCTATCACCGAATGCCCCCATTCTTGATACCTCGGGCCCATAACCTCGGGTTCGATGCGATATCTAAAACAGATAATGCTTATCGAGTTGGAGAAATTTCCCCGCCCAGCGGGGTTCTTCGGCCGCTCATCGCGCGACCCCATTCTTGGTATTTTGTCGCTATGGGATTTTCCGCTTGGGCTATCGGTTATATAGGTCCAGCAGTGGCCTACGCAGAGCGATCTGATAACTACTAGTAAGATATCAAGAACAAAAAACAGTGAATCGTCATCTCATCTTCTCCAGAATGTGGCGCCTATTCGGACGGTCTTCTAACTCCACCGAGAAAGAACACCCACGAGGTATTCCGGCATCATGGTACCGCTCCGAAGCTATGTATCAGCTTGAGCGACGAGCCATTTTCTCTAAACGCTGGTTACTCCTCACCCACTCCTCTCGATTCGCCTCAAACGGCGACTACCTTTCCTTCACCATCGCGAACCTATCCTTCTTCCTAATTCGAGACCGTGACGGAAACATTAACGGCTTCCATAATATCTGTCGACACCGCGCATTCCCAGTTGTGCAATCCCGCTCGGGATCAGCTTCGATTCTCACCTGCAAATACCATGGCTGGTCATATGGCCTGAAAGGAAATCTTTCGAAGGCCCCTCGATTTGAGACCGTTCCCGATTTTGACAAAACGGAACAAGAACTCCTTCCCATACATGTCCACGTTGATAAAGCTGGATTTGTTTGGGTAAATCTTCAATCAGGTGATCCTGAAGTCAAGTGGGATGAGGAATATCAGAAGATTGATCAGCAGCCGAGGATGCAAGATTTCGATTTTACCGGGGAATATACGTTTGATCACTACTGGGAGATGGACGTCGATGCCAATTGGAAGGGGCTGATTGAGAACTACAATGAATGCTACCATTGCGCCACCTCTCATCCCCTTATCAATGGAGTATCTGATCTTCCTAGATATAGGGTGGAGCCAAATGCTGCATATATGGAACATCATATCTTCAACAAAGAACAAGCCGACAGCCAGTTCCGTCGGGCTATTACCTATTTCTTCCCGACGACATCAGTAACCGTCACGTATGTTCTCATTCTGTTGATAAGAATTTGGGACAAGTACTGACAAATCAGTGATAAAATTTTCTACATTCAACGCATGATTCCTGTCACAGCAACAACAAGCAAGGTTGAAAATGAAGTATACCGACATAAAGACGCGACTGACAAGGAGTTCGAAGATATCAATGCTTTCTACCGACAGGTCCTTGACGAGGATAGAGAGCTTTGTGTTGGAGCCCAACAAAACTTGAGTGCGGGTGTCTTTGTCAATGGCGAGCTTCACCCGAACAAGGAAAAGGTATGTTTGAATCCTTCATCCTTCGCTCCGTTTCGATACATGCTTACTGCTGCCTAGGGACCTATTTATTTCCAAGAAAGCGTGAAGAGAATACTTATAGAGCACAGGAAGAAGGAAGATCAGCAAGGTGGAAAGGAAATTTGGCCAGCTCTCCCCAAGCTGCCTAGCTCTGCTTCTGAAAAGCTACTTGAAGAAGAGAGTTTCTGCTCACAGATCGAAGCAGCAAGTTGTATGAACAAGCCAGAACTGGCATGGTGAATTGATGTATAAGAGCTCTCTAGTCCTGTTACAATTAGCCCTGTTACAATAATTCATATTGCATTGAATCTCTAGTGTATAATCTCAAGTGTATTTCTTCTTTTGTTAGAATTGCCACTGATCCAACCAGTTCTGCATCAGAGGGGCGGAAATCGGCCCCAGCGCTTCCATCGTCCGACTTGCCTGTCTTGCCTCTTTTACATCAAGCGGAACTGACATAGTACCATGCTCCTCATCAACAAGACCACGGTAGAAGCTGAGTAATTTAAGAGCAGGCTTATCGGCAATTTCAGCGCTTGTAGGGTTTTGAATACTTTCCAAGTCCGCAACCCATTCCTTAAATTCAACTGCTTTCACGTCGTACTTCTGTTGAATAACAGGGAGCAGTGTCGACCACTCTGTCGTTTCAGCATTGGTTAAATGGAAGACCGCCGAAGTTGACGGGCTTGCGTGTCGGCAATGGACAATTTCAGACATAATCGAAGAGAGCGTATCCTAGTAATCTATTAGCAAGCCATTTCACAAATGTGAATCAAATACAAAAGCTTACCACAGGCACCCAATCCACTGCCATTGATCCTATCTGATTGGGAATTTTCCCCATTGCTTTGGACGTCGAGATAATAGTAGGAAGCCATTCATGTGGATTCCATTCTCCACTCGACGTAGTCGGGCCAGCGATTTGCCCCACGCGGTACACTGTTGTCGGCACATGACTCTCTGTGGATGCCTCCCAGCAAATCCTCTCCGAAATATGCTTTGACTCGCCATAGCCCTGTTCAAGAACGACAGAACTATCTTTCATCGGTAATTCTGGCACTAAGGGTCCCATTTGAGGGCTCCATCCACCAACCGTGCTAATCGATGAAACGAAATGAATGTGAGCATTGTATCGACTTGCGAGGCTAAAGTCCACGAATCGGCGCATGCCTCTGATATGAGTTTCTTCGAAGGACTCGACAGAGTGGTTGAAGTCAACTTTCCAAGCATTGTGGATAATTGTGTCAACTGACTGAAGCATCTCTTGATACTTAGCTTCCTCCAGGCCAAATCTTGGCTCTCCAAAGGATGCTTGGAGAAATTCAACTTTATTTTTCCACGCGTCGTCATCGAACAATAGGCCCTTTTCTTCAAGGCTTTTCTTCTGACGGCTCTCTGCGTCCGATCGGTTGAGACAATAGATCTTGGAGATAGCTGGCTTGTTTAGAAGGTCATATAGTAGATAGGTACCCAGCGAGCCGGTGGAACCAGTCAATATCAAAATTGAAGGCGAAACTGAGCGGTCCGAGGGAATGACCCGATCGGAGGGAAGATCATGTGTGTACTTCTCCACTAGATTTTGAATCTTCTCACTCCTTGGAATAACATCAACGGACTTCCCTTCAAGGGTTTTGATAATCACTTCAACCAGCTGCTTCACTGTGGGGTTGGCATAAAGTGTTTGCGGGGTGATTGTCCCATTCTTTATTTTGGGCTGACGTTCCTGGATACCCTTTTGCAAAGCCTTCGCAATCTGGATCGTCATCAAAGAATCCAGTCCGAGGCTATACAGATCCTGGTCGAAAGGGATATCGGGTTTTTCGAGGACACGACCGATGATGCGGCTAACATAATCTGAGACACTGACAGTATCAAGGGTCTCTGGGAGACAGCCCTGGAGATCATCATCCAAAGCAGCTTCATATATTTGATCAATCTCTTTTTCGTAGTCTCGAACCACGGCGCGTCTCTGTGTGGTTCCTTTCGGTGTTTTCTTGAATGGCTTAGCCTTGGATGCAAAGCCAATGTTGCCTTTCATGACTCTTCCATGGGCCGCGATTGTCTGATTTGCGGCTTGAACAGTCGGCCAGATTTTGTCGATAAAAAGCTTTGAATCCATTTCCGGTGCGGTGGGATTGGGCTCTATCAATAAACCGGCCTGGAATCTAGACTGACCAATGACGAGAGCCCTTGATACCAACGGATGAGTTCCAATAATGAGCTCCATGGAGACAGGATTGAACTTTTCACCATTGCTCAACACGATAACGTCGTCCTTTCGGCCACTATATTTCCACAGGTTTGGTTTCGTTGGATGTTGTGTGTAAAGGTCGTTGGTATGGTAGACATCAAGATCAGGGAAAGTGTGGAAGACGCCCTGAAAATTGCGATGGCCCTTGTGGCGCATGATGACCATTTCGTAGACCTCATCTCCATTATCTTGCATCTCGATGCCATATGCCGGATTCCATTCGAAATAAGGCCAATCATTCTCGTCTTCGGGAATTACTGCCAATATCCAGCCTATTTCACTGGTTCCAATGACGGGAACGATTCTGGTGTACTTGCGCAGCTTTTCGCCGCTTTCGTGAGCTAGTGGTGCGCCTCCAAAGTAAACAGACTTCAGCCCTCGCAGGCTTTCAAGCGCTTTGTCAGAGTAGCACATGTCCTCTAAAACCGATGGAGGTAAAAGTGCGCCTGTAGGTCGTTCCGTTTCAAAGAGTTCGACGAGGTAGTCCATCGAGAGTGGCTTGTCGGGGCCGATCAATACTGGAACAGAATGATAGATAGAAATTGCAAAGGAAAGGAAGCCCATGAGGTGGAAAAATGGTGTCGTGGCCAAGACCAGCTCCTGGGAGGACATATGCCAAAATGAAGCCGATTCGCGCCCCTCAGGCCATGCTATCTGGTCCACCATGTCCAAGGTCGCCAGAAATCCGTTCGTGAGATAGACTGGTTTAGGCATCCCTAGAGGGGCGTAATTAGTTTTCCGTTCTCGAGAGGTATGAGAAGGTGTATGCTTACCCGTAGTTCCTGAGCTGTGGATGATGAAAGCTGTGTTGTCCTCAACTTCAGCATAGGCCTTTGTGAAAGGATAATGGCGAGTCTCAGTTTTCTCGGAGAGTAGTGTCTTCAAGCTGGGGATATTGAAGGTTTCAAGAGCAGGATGGACAGCTTGGATTTCGGAGACTCGAGCGCTTCTTTCTTCGCTGAGGAAGAACTTAGAGCATTCTGTCACTTTGAGAAGATAATTGAATGCCTCATCTGAGTTTCTCGTAGACGGAAAGAAGGCCTGTTTACATTGTCAATGTTGGCGACAAAACGCGAGACAGATGTAATATCATTACCTGATGGCCTGTCTTTTGACATGCGAGAAGAAAAATGCAGTAGCGGACATCATTGCTAGCCATATAAGCCAGCGTCTCGCGAGGCTTCCCTTCCCCGATAACACTTTCAATCCACCAGGCCATGCAATTCACGGCTTTGGCCAACTCCTTCATGGTCAGATTCATGAATCCATCCGACAACTCTGAACCTTTCGGAATCACCGCAAAGCGTCTATCAGGTTCCTTCTCGGCGGCATCGTCTACCGATGTCAACAATAACCGTTTGGTCTTTCCACCCATATTGTCTTATTTTCGATCGACTCTGAGTGGTGCTAAATCAAACACTCTGTAAATTCAGATCGCAGGCTTGGATGAAAAGGTCTAATAGATAGAATTTTAGGAAGGGGACCTGAGCCCAATTTATGTGATCTGACCCATAATAGCATAAAATTATCCGGATCAGGTTTCAATCCGCGCCTGGTTCCTCGTGGGGCTTTTCAGCCCACCATGATAAACCCGCCGATCGTTCCTCGTTCAGTCGCCCTTTTTCCAGGCGGGTCCCGGAAAGCGGGCATCGTTGTCTTCGATTTGTTGTCGAACAATCTGCACTAGCACTTTCTGACGAACTAGAAGCTTATTCCGTTTTATGTAGTCGTCTTCCTGGTAGACGATCCGTCGTTGGTACTCTGAACGTTGTACGAAGCAGGTATTCTGTTGACGAGGCTGCGCGGCCAGTTCATGGCTAACCGCACTAGTAAGATGCTTAGCCAAAACGGTAGCCTTTTCCAAACATGAAGAAGTAAATTCCATGTGACTGCGATATTGTGATCGCCGCTGTAACGATTAAACACTGCGCACAGAACTACTCGTAGTTGTGAGTGCTGGCGATGGTAAGAATTGGCTCCACTTGATATCGGTAGTTATGCGCTGTTGATATCCGATGACGCTGCATAGTAATTTGGAATTGCGAAATCTACAGGATATTCGGTTAGGACGGAAGGCGCACGGGTACCCAATGCTTAATTATTGTTTTGTGTGTGTTATAATACATAGTGAACTTGAAGATGCCGGCGCATGCAGATCTCCACTACACCGCGCTGCTCCTCAAATCATACGCTAATGTCCGCTCATATCCCGCTCCGGCTCCACTTCATCCAATGTCCGGGGTTCTCAGGACCGGGATACAGCTTCCAGGGTACAGATCGTGAATTATTTCTACTTTCTTCGAAGAACTAGTAGTAGTAGTAGATAGTCAGGTACTAACGCTTATCTTAATCTTTCCGAGTTTGTCTGACTACTTAGCTACTCTAGTAGTAGTAGTAGTAGTAGTACTTTCGTGCTTTGCCACCTGGGGTGAGCCTTCAAGTTGGATTCGGAGTTCATCCACCTGGGCGTGGATATATAGTTAGTAGACCTTGCCCAACTGAAAGAACTACTCCGCCAATGCCAGTGATAACCACATCCCCGCTATATTTTGATTCAGTAAACCTTTGGAACAAACATCAAATAGCTCAAGTAACACAGCCTTTCCGATTCAAAACTTGCCCGGTTGTATTCAAGTTTCCCGATTGCCCGCGCGATGGTGACATCGTGTTCACGTGACTCATCGGATCGACAGCCGACAACCCGATGGAGATTGGACATGCACCAACCCAGCTTCTACCTCGCTGCAAGTCAACACAAGACAGGGACACGCCGGTGGGAAATTGTCCTAAATTACCAACTTCAGCTTCCCGTGTTTCAATTCAACCGCAATGAAGCCCACCTGGTATCTAGCAGCCGTCGCGGCCATCACCGCAGCCACTGCTTCTCCGCACCCCGCATATCAGCAACAACCGCTCGGCAATTCACCCTCGTTCGCCGAGGAAGTCAGCCAGAGCCATGGGCAATCCAGTGTAGACTCTATTATTTCCAATGACCCGCTTCTATCGTTCCACCGTGACTTGGTCGAGATCGAGTCTATCTCCGGCAACGAGCACAACATCGGCATCTTCGTTGCGGAGTATCTCGAATCGAAGAACTTCACCGTCATCAAGCAAGAGGTCGAACCCGTGAAGAAAGATGACGACAATGACGACGATAACGAACGCCCGAAGACTAGATACAACATCTACGCCTACCCCTCAGGCTACTCATCACCACCCTCAATCCTCGTCACCAGCCACATCGACACCGTCCCACCCTTCATCCCATACTCAGTTCACAAGGACCCCTCCTCCTCCTCAATCTCAAACCTCAAAATCGCCGGCCGCGGCTCCGTAGACGCAAAAGGCTCCGTCGCAGCCCAAGTCTTCGCCGTCCTAGAAACCCTCTCCGAAACCCCAACCGCAAACATCGCCCTCCTCTTCGTCGTCGGCGAAGAAATCGGCGGCGACGGCATGAAGACTTTCTCAGACTCATCCCTGAACACAAAAAACGCCTACAACACCGTCATCTTCGGCGAACCAACCGAATCCTCCCTCGTCTCGGGCCACAAGGGCATGCTAGGCTTCAAAGTCTTCGCGCACGGCAAAGCCGCTCACTCGGGCTATCCCTGGCTAGGCGAAAGCGCCGTCTCATCGATTCTCCCCGCACTGCTGCGCGTCGATAAACTAGGCAAAATCCCCGTCAGCGAAGGCGGTCTCCCCGCTTCACCGAAGTATGGGCCCACAACGCTGAATGTTGGCGTTGTTCGTGCTGGTGTCGCGACGAATGTCGTGCCTGCTGAGGCGATGGCTGATGTCTCTGTTCGTTTGGCGGCTGGTACGCCTGAACAAGCGCGGGAAATTATCAAGAAGGCTGTGGCTGATGCTACCTCTGATGCTGAGGCGGAGGTTGTTGTTGACTTTGATAGTCATCGGGAGTCGTACTCACCTCAGGATCTCGATACGGATGTCGATGGGTTTAAGGTTATTCCGGTCAACTATGGGACTGATGTTCCTAATCTAAAGGTTCGGGATGGCGTTAAGCGGTACCTTTATGGGCCTGGTAGTATCTTTGTTGCGCATGGTGATAATGAGGCTCTTACTGTGCGTGATATTAAGGATGCTGTTACTGGGTTCAAGGTTTTGATTCGCGCTGCCTTGGATAGAGAGTGAGGCTCTGGGGTTGGGCCTGGATGACGTATAATGATTGAAGAATACTGTCTCGTTGGAATTCCCATACATAGACTCTACATACATTTCGGGCTTTTATTGCATTTCGGATGGAAATTTTTGGAAGACTCCTATGGTTTCGGGTACTACTACTAGTATGATACACTTCATAGAGAAATGTTTGAAGAAATTTTGTAACTTTACAATATATAGCGAGATGCTAATCACGCCTTCCATGGCCGAACTAGTATCACAAGAAAAACCCCCAACGCCAGCCGATTCCAGTTGAACGAAAAGAAAACAAAACAAAAAGTAAAAAGAAAAGGACGCTTGGATGCTAGTTCTCAGCCTTGCGAGAAGTCTTTCTCTGCCACCCGGTCTTTAGATCGCCACTAGGCTTGAATCGTGGGAACGGGTGCGCCTCAGTGTTAAAGACGTGCTCCTCAAGAGAGATGAAATCGCGATCTGAGAACAAAAGATAGAAATACTTGAGAGTCTCGGCCATCCAGAAACTCTCCATGTTATCACGAGTAGTCGGGGGGATAATATTCGCATTGGAAAGAGAGGTAAATCCCTTAATGCGCCACGAAGTGCCAGCGCTTCCGGGGACGGGAATTGCTGGCGGTTTCTCCTCAAGCACGGCGGTGTGCTTGATGAAAGATTTAAACATTTCCCAGCCCCATTCGCGGTACATGTCGTCTCCGGTGATACGATACATGTAGAAAAGGGATTCGACTGTCTCGGGTCGTTGGAGGTTATGACGGTCATTGCTCTTGATAGTGACATCCTTGCGCCAGGGCTCTGAGCCATCCGGCAAAGAAGCCAGCGGTTGAGAGATACTGCTCATCTCGAATGTCGATCCTGACTTGGATGGCTCTGGGTATTTGTCTTCCATCATGACTGGTTCATCGCCTAGGACAAAGTGGGTAATTTCCGGGGCTAGCCCGGTCTTTGTGTTCAAATAAGTCGCCCAGCAGGTCTTCATCAGCTCGCGCGAAATGAAAATTTCTTCCTCGCGCTGTTGGTTCCAGGTAGCAGACTTTCTTGCCACGGACAGGGGTAAGCCACTAGTAGCGCCAAGAGCAATGGTTCCTGGCATAAAGCAGACAAGGTGATCCATCTTAGGAGAGAGACGCTTTTTCAGACCTGCTGGCCGTTCACCAATAACCATCAGTTTTGCATCTTTAGAGAAGGCAATCAGATGCTTGCGAATGCCTCGCAAAGATTCATCCCACATTGCTTTGTACACGGGCTCTTCCTGCGATGTTTGGAGGTATTGTTTGATGAGGTATTCTAAGATGAAGAACGTGATTAGCCTTGCCGTGTTTGCAAGCGCAATAATGAGGCTCGAATAGAACAAACCATAATAAGAGTCACCGCGACTGCCGAGGCGAATGTTGTCCCCCTTAAATTCACCATTGTCAGGATGGATATAGATGGGAACAAGGCCATCTTCAGCCTCTTGTTGGTCAACGACCTCCATTACTCGCTCTGCGGCCTTCCAATACTCGGCTTCGCCAGTGAGTTTGGCCATATACTTAAACTCAAGCTGTACAGACGTTGCCTCCGCAGTGGAAGATGCACCGCCATCACTATGCGATTTGATACCCTGAGATGTATTCAGGTTCACACTCGCATATGGGATTCCCGAGTGTGTCTCGAATGCTCCCATGAGTCGGTCTGCCAGATCCGTTGCTTTCTCAATGTACAAATCCTCCCCAGAAGCACCGACATCATCTTCCTTGATTGCCGCTAGATTTGGATATTGTGTTGAAAGATAATGTGCGGACAATAGTCCGCCAAGCATGCGAATCGTTGTCTCAAAGGTACTGACATCGTGGTCTTGATCATACTGCAGCGAAGTAGAGATCCATTGCCGCGCATGTCGAACTTCAGAAGTGAGATTCATGATGATCATAGTGTCCAAGGAATCGACAATAATCCAGCCCATGCCGCCTTCAACCATGTTTTTGTTCCTGCCCGACACGGGGTTGTATTGGTCGAAGCCTATCCACCAGGTTAGTGATTTAAAGAAACAAATGTCTTTCTCGAAAATGCGCCTTACCCCATGCTTCTTTCTCATAGCCTTCCCAACTAACCTGGAACGCCTCGCGTACCTTTTCCCGGCGCGCATTCCAGTCAACAAGTTTCTCGGGTACAGATGAATCGTCAAGCGTCTGCATCCAATTCCACAGCGCGGCGCCTTTATCATATCCACCCGACATCTGCCATTTGGGAATATTGGGCTGGTTATAGAAGAAGTAGGCGAGTATAGACAGCCCTAGTAGAGCTAACAACGGTCTCCACCTCTTCCTCGGAGCCGTCCGCCGCGGGGCGAAATGCGGCTTATCTTTGTACATGGGTAGAGGGCGATCTTGCTCAAAGAAAGTTCCCAGCTTGTTGGGGAGTCCTGCCGTAGTCGAGGAAAGGCCGAGGCCGGCCAAACCACTCCTGGAGCTGTAACCGGCAGGGGAGAGCCGACCGGGGGTTTGTGGCGAGGGGCTGAGGGAGGGAGGAGGGTAGGGCGCCTGGAACGACATGGCAATTCGGTTTGTCCCCCTCTGGAATATGTATTTCCAAGATAATTATGCCGGACCTGTTATAGCAGCATGAGGTCGCTTAAGTGGTGGTTGATCGGTCTTGTTGAGAAGTTTGAGCTCCGAGGCTGATGCTGCGGTCGAGTGCGACGGGATGGGGAGAGGAAAGGTGTTGCGCAGGGTCCAATGTGGTGTCGTGTGGTGTCGCGTTCGGCTAAGTGTTGGTATATTGTATTCGAAATTTTGGTCGCAGGAGCGAGGTGCGCTGTCAGGTTGTCCCTTGCTCGCAAAATGTAGATTACGCGGTATCACGCGAGGTGAAATAGCTGAGGACCAATCCGAAACATGCCAGCGTGTGCTTAGCACAATTTCTCCGATGGCGCGTCACCGGCGAATCTTGAGTCCGAAAGATATAAGTACAATTTCGATCACTCAGGGGTCGATGAGCTTTCCAACGAAATGAATGAAGGCAGAGAAACAAGTGAATCAAGTCTTTGTTGATCTGTTTTTGGAGGACCCTCAGGGCTGTTAGAAGCTGGGGAAGTGGAGAAGTTGGGGAGTTTGAACCGCACGTCACATGGCCCGCACCATTGAGTATAAAGAGTAGAAACATATTGGTCACCATTTGAGAAACTGGTAGTTCACAGGTCTTCAAAAAGAAGTGTAAAACATACTTGTTATTATATCGGGGACAGTTTCGCATATGGCTAGACAGAAGAAAAAACGGGGGCTGTTGGCCCCGGGGGCCAAGAGGGGCCAGGATCTTGCCTAGGTAGGTTAAGCTTTAACACATTATCTTGACGACAGCGTTTCTACGTATCTTGACTCGGAGTGAGACCCATAAGAGAGTAAACTTGAAGATTCCAAGAAGCGTAATGGTTCTGATACATTGTTATATTTATCGGAAAACCTTCTGCAAGAAGAAGCTGCAGAAATTCGATTGTTTCAGAACCCTGTCCAAGAACCTGGAAACAGACTTGTCCTTAAACATTGTTTCCGTGTTGTAACAATAGTCTACTAATGCTGAGATTGATGCGTTCTTGACGACGTAAGAAAAAGGACTCGCAGTAAGATCAATTTGGCATCCCTGGCTCGGATTTGTTTCGTATTCCAGTAGTCAAATGATCATATCCTCGTCTTGCATAGCGAAACTAGGCTCTAGCCCTGGAGATATACTATTTGGACCCTCCTCTAATGCGAATTTTCTATGTGGGTTTGGATTCACCAACCTGAGTACCTACCTAGGTAGGAACTGGGCAGTTTCTGTTCCCGTATTTCTCAAAATACATTTTGAGAACATCCTTTGCGTTCGATTAGGCGGCTTCCAAAGCATAGTCCGGCATCAGGGAGCATCCTGTCATCTTGCCGTTGAAGACCAGCGGTACAACTCGGCGCGTTTTCGAGTCTGTTTCTGTATTTTCTTTCTTTCCTTTTTGTATCATTAGTACGGAGAGCCTGGGATCTTGAATTTCCTCCTGAGCTTTGCTTTTATGTACTATTAGCGATGAGAAGGTCAACTTTGTGAAGGGGCGTCAGGTGACTCTTTTTTCTAAGTCTGGAATGCTGCCCACAGCACCACCTCTAGTATGTCGCTGTCAGCATCGAGGGCTTATCTACAAATAAAATGGCTTCAGCAACCCTCGCAATAAAGTCTTCCAGCCCAGATCAAGTTGAGGCGTTTGCACAGCCCCCGAAAATCAGGGCTACCTTACAAAACCAAAGTCGACTTCCATATTTCAATGCCTCAATTACGAAGTGAGTCTGAAAAGCCTAGTCGGCGTGGTGTTCTACAATTCGATTAAGCGTCCATCGGTCTCCTGTGTTTCCGGCCACCGTCACTCTTTTCAATTGATACTCGGCGACTCATAAGAGCGAGATGCACGGCTATGGCAGATTCGCTGCGCTCTCCGATTGGAAGGATGAAGAAGAAGAGGAAAGGGAAGAAAGCAGAGAGGTTGTTTCTTCTTGGGGACAATACGAAGCATCCTCATCATCTGTCGACAGTTGGGACGTGAGATCTGAGCTTAGCATCGACATCAGGCACCGCGAAACGACTATGAAGCCCACTCTGCCAGGCTCGGAAGATCCTGATGACGAAGCCGCTTTTGTCAGTACAGCTCGAGCCATCCGAGCCATATCCTGAACCTCTGCTGACATTTTTAGGAGCCTGACGTGATATGCGAAAATTGTATTGTCAACTTCGAAGTTGTTTACTCGCCAATTAGTGAACTACACCTCGATCTAGTCTGCTATAATAACGCAATATTCGTAACCGAAGTTCAGTCGGCATGTAGGATTCTAACGGACGACCTGCCCATAGGTAGTTACAATTACAGCTTCTGGTATTCAAGCTTGCCCTCGAGCTTCTTCGACTCAGCAACCTTCCGCACCGCCTTGTTGAAGTCGTCCTGGTTAACGGCATCACGGTAATCCTTGATGGTGAATAGACCCCTGTTGATCAATCATTAGTAAAAGTACACCCGGATGCTAAAAGCATTGATAAAATTCGAGTGAAGAACTTACGCTTCAGTCACCACGTTACGCAGATCAGCACCATTCAGTCCATCACTCATCTTAACCACGCTCTCAAAATCGATATCACCCTCTATGACGACCGAGCTTGTGTGAATCTTCAAAATCTCCAGACGGCCAACCTCGTTAGGCAGAGGAATCTCAATCTTGCGGTCCAGACGACCGGCACGCAGTAGAGCCGGGTCCAGGGTATCGGGTCGGTTGGTGGCCATGATGATCTTTGTTTTACCGAGGTAGTCGAAACCATCCAGCTGGTTGAGCAGTTCCATCAGTGTTCGCTGAATTTCACGATCTGCTGATGTACCTTCGGAGAAACGTCGACCTCCGATAGCATCGATTTCGTCCATGAAGATAATACAGGGTTCGTGTTCCTTGGCGTAGCCGAACATTTCTCGGATCAGACGTGCGGATTCACCAATGTACTTGTCGACAATCGCGGATGAAACAACTGGAGGAGAGAGCAGGAATTAGCACGGATGGTAATCGCAGAATGGTTAGAACAAGGGATAACTCGTGCACACCTTTCAGGAAGTTGGTTTCTATGGAGCTAGCCACGGCTCGAGCAAGCAGTGTTTTACCGGTACCCGGAGGACCGTAGAGAAGGACACCCTTGGGGGGGCTTGATTCCTACTCGCAGGAACAGCTCCGGGTTCTTCAAGGGCAACTCAATGACCTCTCGCAGCTCTCGGATCTGGTCATTCAAACCACCAATTCCAGCAAAGTTGATTGACCCTGGATCCTCCAAAGACATGTTGTAGACCAGAGGATCGACCTCGCGCGGCAGCATTCGCATAATGGTAAGCGTCGTCATATCCAGGGCTACACGGGTGCCCTGCTTCATCTTGGCCTTGTCGACCTTTGAACGGCAGCCGACAACGTAACGAGGGCCCGAGGAGGCCTTGACAATAACTGTGCGAGCGGGTTAGTATCATTATCGCGATATTCGATTGGAGACAACTGATAGAATGCAGTGGGGACATACATCGCTCTTCATCGAGCTGTTTCAACACCTCGCCGATGATCTGACCAACACTCTGTAGCGCCTTGATGTTCTCCTCGGAGACATCAAACTCTCGTTGGAGATCCTTGATGCCCATCCGCAGTGATTTGAGCTTCGCTTCCCATTCTCGTAGCTCCAACAAGCTCCTTTTATAATCATCGAGTGCCTGGTCCCGCTCGGGGTCGTTGGCGCCGCTCATGATGGACGGCGAACGGGAATCGAAGGGGGAAAATGCGTAAGGAAGGTGATGAGGGTCGTGTTTGTTGATGCGGGTATTGATAAATGCAATGTCCCCGCAGATAGATGATCGGATGGACGGATTGATAGGAAGGCAGCGAACTTCAACCTGGAGAGCTTCCAGCACCGCCCGTCGAGGAGCTTCCAGCGGCGTCGGTCACCTGACGGCGCGTACACACACGTGACTTGCATCATCTTAGTCAGCGATTCACAACGGTAAGGCAGTAAGGCATACAGATATTAAGGCCACAAGGCTGTAAGGCGGTAAGGCAATAAGGTGTCAAAGTCCGAAGGCTCCAAGGCTCCAAGGCCAACGTCCTCTTTCGTCATGCACCCAACCTGCAACCTGTGCCCATCCCAGTCTTCGCCAATACGACGTCAGATGAATGGACCAATGGTCCTCCAATGCCAGTTCTTTAGTGGAAGATTTGCGCAATCTCGCCAAAAAAAACTCTGCAACGGTCTATGTAGTACTACGCAAGACTCCTCCCTCATACTAAAGCTACAGCTACAGCTACAGCTACACGACTTCGGATAGCTGCTACCAATAGCTAATTAGCAATAAGCAAACACATCCGCCACCGTACGTAAGAATCGGGGAATCAACAGGACAAGCAGGACCCGAGCCGAGAATGACCCATCTCCTCCCGAGGGACGGGAGATCTCGCAGGTCAAAAAGTCCGCAGACGGTCGGATCAGCCAGCAAGCGCTGGAGAAGAGCGTGGAGGCCCCACCACCGCATTGGAAAGAATCGGAGGACCAGCAGTGACCTTTTCCGGGGTCGATGGTATTTAAAGAATCGGGTGTTTCCGTAGCTGCTATTCTTTTTCTTTGAATTGTAATTGTTTATTCGCTTTTGCTCTCCCCATATATTCCCCAAGGTGAGTTGTTGCATCACATCAGATACCCCGCGATAGCTGCCCCTCCTTCCTACTCGTATACACACATCATCACCACCACATCACACCTTCACACACCTGAAACCAAGAAGGGATAGCACAGTCTACTATCCTCTACACTTTCAGACCTTCGGTGACCACTGCCCCAACCAATTGCCCCAATCAACCCTTCCAAGCAAATCACATCCCCTCCCCCCCCTATCCTCCCACTCTCCGGACCTGTCATTTTGGGTCATCGGTGAACCTCTTCCCCCCGCCGCCCTGAGTCACGAGTTACGCTCATTAACCCCTCCTCATCCCCGTTTTTCTTCTTCTTTTTCCTTTCTTGCAACTGACAGATTTTCCCCCATCTTTCAGACACAGTTCAAAATGCCTATCGCTAAGGTTCACGCTCGTTCCGTGTACGACTCTCGCGGCAACCCCACCGTTGAGGTGGACGTTGTCACTGAGACCGGTCTGCACCGCGCCATTGTCCCCTCCGGTGCTTCCACTGGTATGTCATTGTTGATCCAATTACCCAGAGCTAGTCGAGAGAACCATTCGACTAACAGATTCTAGGCCAGCACGAGGCTGTTGAGCTCCGTGATGGTGACAAGACCAAGTGGGCCGGCAAGGGTAAGTGCTATTCCACTTCATTGTGATCGACGTCTCTCCCGGGTCAGTTTCTAACCTTTCCTCGCTTCTAGGTGTCCTCAAGGCCGTCCAGAACGTCAACGAGATCATTGGCCCCGCTCTCATCAAGGAGAACATTGATGTCAAGGACCAGGCTAAGGTCGATGACTTCCTGAACAAGCTCGACGGCACTGCCAACAAGGGCAAGCTCGGTGCCAACGCCATCCTCGGTGTCTCCCTGGCCATTGCCAAGGCTGCCGCCGCTGAGAAGGGTGTCCCTCTTTACGTCCACATCTCCGACCTTGCCGGTACCAAGAAGCCCTACGTCCTCCCCGTTCCCTTCCAGAACGTCCTGAACGGTGGCTCCCACGCCGGTGGCCGTCTGGCCTTCCAGGAGTTCATGATCGTCCCTGAGTAAGATCCCGCCCAATTGAAAGTCCAATTGATGAGATAGAGGTGGCTAACTCACTATTTTAGCACTGCTTCCTCTTTCTCCGAGGGTCTCCGCCAGGGTGCTGAGGTCTACCACAAGCTCAAGGCTCTTGCCAAGAAGAAGTACGGCCAGTCCGCTGGTAACGTCGGTGACGAGGGTGGTGTCGCTCCCGATATTCAGACCCCCGAGGAGGCTCTTGACCTGATCACCGAGTCTATCGAGCAGGCCGGCTACACCGGCAAGATCTCCATCGCCATGGACGTTGCCTCCAGCGAGTTCTACAAGGAGGACGCCAAGAAGTACGACCTGGACTTCAAGAACCCCGACTCCGACCCCACCAAGTGGCTCACCTACGAGCAGCTGGCCGACCTCTACAAGTCCCTGGCTGCCAAGTACCCCATTGTCTCCATCGAGGACCCCTTCGCTGAGGACGACTGGGAGGCCTGGAGCTACTTCTACAAGACCTCCGACTTCCAGATTGTCGGTGATGACCTGACTGTCACCAACCCCCTCCGCATCAAGAAGGCCATCGAGCTCAAGTCTTGCAACGCCCTTCTGCTGAAGGTCAACCAGATCGGTACCCTGACCGAGTCTATCCAGGCTGCCAAGGACTCCTACGCCGACGGCTGGGGTGTCATGGTCTCCCACCGTTCCGGTGAGACCGAGGACGTCACCATTGCCGACATCGCTGTCGGTCTCCGTTCCGGCCAGATCAAGACCGGTGCCCCTGCCCGTTCCGAGCGTCTGGCTAAGCTGAACCAGATCCTCCGTATCGAGGAGGAGCTCGGCGAGAACGCTGTCTACGCTGGCAAGAACTTCCGTACCTCGGTTAACCTGTAAATGCAGTTTACCTTGATGTGAGCTTGCACCTTTGAACAGGCTGGAAACCAGCGAGAAAAAAAGCGATGACTCGCCATATTTTATGATTATGAATTTAATAAGATCTCTTGAATGAAAGACAATTCAACTATATTGAGCAGTCCCGGTAGTGGAGTAAAACTGGTCAGTTTGTATAGATCGTAGGATTCTAAGCTCATTGTACACTACGATTATGTGTGAGTCTAGCCGAGCAGCTCAAGTCTTAAGTATCTATTACTCCCTACTCATCGATATCATCTCACTTTCCCTCCAACTATTCATGCTGTACTGCAGTCTATAGATCACGCTGGTCGGGCACCAAGTGCCCCGAGATCACGTGCCAACCCACCTGTGCGATAAGTGGCCCACATAAAATTTGTCTTGCCCCTCCAACCTTTTGTTGGTGCAGGTTCCTATCGCGGACTCGTTCTTTGTCCTCCGTTACGTCTTGCGGACAGCGCATTCTTTCCCTCCCTCTTTTTCTTCTTTTTCATTTCGTTCTCCGAACGTCTCTCATTTGCCAAAATGCCGCCTTCGAAGTGGGGTAAGTTCTTATCCTGCGACTATCGCCCGCCCTCGTTAGGGTTGCCGCAGAAGTGGCTGCCGCCGTGGCAACTTGATGCGACTTGCAACTGTGGCTTACGTTATATCATATTTTGACTGTGTGCTAATTCTATATTCTATTTTATAGATGAGGAGGAGGACAGTGATTCCCCCCCCCCGTTGTTGCCGCTCCCCGCCGCCGATTCGATGATGAGGAGGAAGACGATGTAAGGCCATTTCTAGCGAGTGTCTCGCCCCATGGGACCTGCTGTTCTCTTACACTTGTGGACACGGCGCTGATATATACCACTTTTTCGAAATAACAGGTTCTCGACTCTTGGGACGCCGCCGAAGACTCCGAGGTAGAGCGTGAGAAGGCCAAGAAGGCCGAGGAAGCCGAGGCCGCGAGAAAGGCCGCCGCTCTCGCCAACAAGAAGACCAAGGCCCAGCGGATAGAAGAGCACCGCGAGCAGCGCCGTGCGGATGAAGCCAACTCCGAAGACTTCGATGCGGACGAGACCGAGGCCGACCGCCGCGAGCGTGTGCGCCAACAGGAGCAGGACTCTGACCTTCAGCACGCGGCCGATCTCTTCTCGGGCATCGATGTGAACCGCAACCGTGGTGCTCCCAAGGCTGTCGTCGTCACTGACTCTGCCGACCCTACCAACTCCATTGATCTCTCCGCGATGCCCCTCTTCAAGCCCACGACCAAGGACCAGTTCGCCCGTCTGTCTGATACTCTGATCCCGCTGGTCACCCCACACTCCAAGAAGCCGCAGTACTCTCTCTGGGCGCAGGAGTTCACCCGCCGACTCGTGAAGGAGCTTCCCAGTGCGGAGATCAAGAAGATCGCCAGTGCGCTTACTACTGCTGGTAACGAGAAGCAGCGCGAGGAGCGCGCTGCTGATAAGGGAAACAAGAAGAGCAAGGCTGCTAAGACTAAGGTCTCCCTTGTTTCGAACCGGGATAACCAAATCGATAACAATCCCTATGGTGGTGATGATGGTCTTGCTGATGATGACTTCATGTAATGGATGGACAAACGTTTTCTTTTTCTCTCTCTCTCCCTCTTTTAATCAGCACACCCCCGAATATCAATGTGTATATCCATCCCCCGCCATCTCCGAACCATCACCTAGCATACGCAAATAGAATCATTCAAATCTGCCTTTTGCCTACTTACTTAAAGTCATACTCCCATTCTTCATATACATTAATACCAATTTAAACATGGCCTGCCCTCCCCACAAGCATACAGAAAACCATTCAAGAAACACAAGCCCGACTCCTCATAACACCCCTCTCACATTTACTCTTCTGAATCATAGCAAGATACTGCGCCTCATCGCAAATCCCCCCTAATACCAGTAGTACTAGTAGTCCCTGCCCCGCCTCCACTTCCACCTCCACCACCACTAAGATCAACATACCCCTCCTCATCCAACACAAAAAGTGCCTCAAGCACCCAAGACCGACAAGTAAAAACTCAATTCATACGCATAGCTCCCCAACACAACGGCACAAGCACCAATCGTTCCGACAACGCTTGATGTAGCACCGGTTCCAGCGAGCCGAGTTTCAGGTCTAAAATCAGCCATCGTAGTTGAGGCATTTCTTTCGTGGTGGCGGTTTCGTATTTCCATGATGTTGGGCCGGCGTCGTTGGTTATGTGGTATGTTGTTCCTGTTGTGCTTGTTTGCATTAGGAAGAGGGTCCAGTGGAAATTGCAGCTGTCTCCCCGGTCTAGGAGGAGGATGTATATTGGGTTGGGCCGAAGTGAGGGAAGTTGCTGGGTTGGATAAGGTGGTGGTGGTGGTCGTCGTCGTGGTATCGACTGCCATTCTTTTGGGAGGATGGAGTGGAGGTCAGGTTCAAGATCAATAAGATTAAACAACCTTAAAATGAGATTTTTTTTTTCGAGATGATCGTTCTGGATAGTTTTCTGCTTGATTGACTCGGAGTTTTGAGAAATGAGGGGAGAGTCACCTGTTTACTACTCTATCATCTTTGATACAAGACTTTAATAATACTATGATCACTGTCTCTATACAAAGTATGTTGTATATACTTCTGAAGAGAGAGATTCAAGCAACAATGCCTTGGCTATCGCTATCAATTTCAGCGAAGCCCGAGGAAGCCTTTACCATATAACGCCGACGAACTCTGTAAAAGTAAAAGTAAAACAAGCTAACGAATAAACGAGTAAAAACAAAAACATACAACAGCAGGGATTCGCATGTGGTCACCCACCATACTACTAACCTGCCGGCGTGTGGCTTAAGTACGGCTGAGCGGACGGGAAGCCCTGTTCTCCACACCCTATGGTCGTATGTGCTAGACACAACTGGAAAGGGGCAAATATTATCACTTTCTATATAGACTACATTCTGTATAAAGAATAATCACGCCAACTCGAAGGATTTATATTACAATTCTATGAAATTTAACTCGTTCCAACAGTGCTACCGTTCCAGATAACTGCCCCTTTATATTTGCTTTCTTGGTGATATCAAGTAAGAGAATTAGGACTAGTGAATATGGCCCTCTTTAAGTACCTTTGAAACAACGCCAGCTCTATCAGCCATCGGCATCAGAAGGCCCGCTGCTTATTGTACTTGAAACAAATTAGCTTCTGTCTTTCGAACGTACACTTCAGTTATATTTCTAGAATAACCAGATAAATTGCATCAGTAGCCATGTAACTTACACTTGCGTTCTCCGGAATGTTGTTTAATGACCCAAAAAAACCACAAATAAATCCTGATTGTTTGACTTAGCCCACAAGTATTGGGCACAGAAGTAATATATCGGAAGCGAAAACAATATCTGCCAAATTCCATCGTTTGAAAAATTTGACTGCAGCTTGCAAACTGCAAGCTCTTGTTTCAGATCATTTGCCGGGAGCTTTCCATCATTGGTGATGAACATGACCGGGTAACTTTGTTGTTTGATGGCCAGAAGCATGCAAATATCAGGCGTGAAAGAAGATAGTATTATTTTTCGCCCCCGAGCGGGTGAAGGGGACTTTGCTTTAATGTATGTGTGTTTGCTCTCTAGACGGTTCTTGCAAGTTGATAGCCTTGCCTTACTTTGCATAGTAGCAACTAGTAGTAGCCAGTAAGGGTAGAAGTGACAACGTGTTAAAAAGAGCTATATGCAAAGCGTCATCATTTTCATTCTTTATTGAATGAAGTTCTTCTCCTAAATCCATGACTCCTTTCTGTCAGCTTCCTAGTCTGAACCGAAATCGGACTGCAACTAGGCGTCCCTGCCCGATGTAGCTATGTGTTGCCCTGCTTTGCTGTTACTTTCGTACATGATATGCACTGAATGCTATATCCCGTTCTGATATGAAAGACAAGGGTTTTTTGTTTGATGGGGATATGTAGTGGAATACCAGTGAGCTCTATCATGCATGCAGCATGCTTGTCCTCCAATGGGGGAGAAGGGTACAGTCATTCTCGAAATCGCCTTGACCAATATACTCTCCATAACTCTTTCCCTGCCCCACCGCCTAGGCCTTAGCGCAGATAATCTATTAAGCGGCCTGTATATTACAGTATTATTGGACGTAAGATTACACTACGGAATCCCATAGAATTCCATGGTGGATCTCTGGAAATTATGTGGGGGAGGCCACCTGGCGCCAAGTAAACTGATGATCTGCTGGAAGGCCTCTTTCCTCTTCTCCTCCTTCTTTTGCGCGCTGTGCTAGTCATCCACTTGCGAGGTGTCTCTTTGGCCCAGAGAACCCCAGTAAGTGAGATTAGCGGCCAACGACCGTCTTGACAAGTTGGCAGTTTTTTCAGGCGAACAACACTCTCAACGGCAAATGATGGTGTAAGCCTCCTCAAATAATAGTAATCACTCACCCTTAGTCCGTCTTTACAGTACCGTATCTCCAAGAAAATAACTTCCAGTTCTCTCGTTGACCATGATGATTATGGCGTTGAACAAAGCATGGCACTTGAAACGTAGGTCGACACATCACAATATGCACCAACACTTGGCAACTTCCGTGGGTCACCCGCCTCCCCGTCCGACATAAGCTGCATCGACGTCGATCCCATCTTTCATGTCGATTGCTCGTCTCCACAACAAATTGCTTCGCAAAGAAACAGTCTTCCTTTACTCCAGTTCAGTGACTGGGAGGAAGCATATCACGAGAATCCACCACTTGTATCCATTACTTGATCGAGTGGAAGGTCACTCTCAATACCAGGACGGTGGCGAAAGATACAGAACAAGATCTGGTTCTAGCCCCTCGATTCCACTGGAGGCTTTTCTCGCAACCAAAGCTCGAAGAGCTGCTTGTCGAAAACTTGAATCGGATGACACTTCTGTTGACGTATCAGCCACTCGACAGGAAAGCTTCACTTTCAGGTTTGATGGAATCGACATTGATTGGACCCCTATAGAAAAATAGCTTCTGGATTGGGAATAAATATTACTTGCTGGCAAGAATCTGTAACTGGTTGTCTCATTCAATTACATGGAGAACACTTGGAGCTCAAACGCAAGTGGCAGGACGACTGATAAACGAGGCACTTCGTCTGCTACCCAGCGGATGCTTCAAGGGCGAGATCGACAGATCTATACTGAGGAAGCAGCTTCCGGAGAGCCGTCACACCTAGAGGTGAAAAACCAGTCCGTCGAAACCCGGCGCGTTTGTCACAACCTGACTCGTCCCGACAATCGGTATGAGTCGAAAGAAGATATATTGTGGAGGAAGAAGCCCCGTAAATCTGCATTTCGTTCCTTCGCAATCTGGCGACCTGCTTTCTTCAACCATCCGACCGAAGCAAGCGCCCTGCCAATGCTTTGAACTGTCACAGGCTTTCCAAATTCGTCCCCACAGAAAGAGGGCCATCTCGTCTTGGTACACGTAGATTGGAAATTGGCTTCCATGGAATTTACCCTGACTTGTGCTCTGGAACCCTCTGCCAAGACAGATTATCCAATCACAGCAAAGAAAACCAAAGGTCAGGCTCCATATTAACGCTCAAAAGGGTATAGCCGCCTCTAGTATCGGCGTAGTCTTAGGGTCCGAGATAGTTTCTCTGTACAATATGGAAGCCGATTTCGAATTTTGTATGAGCAGATCAGTAGACGGTAAAGGCTGACCGAGCCGGCTTGCATTAACCTATTCTCGAAGTTTGATGCCAGCAGAACAATGCGCCACAGGCGGGCGGGATGGAAGTTACTCTTGGCTCTTCCATAATATAATTATAAGGGCACTGGCCAGGTGTGTAGGTAGCCTTAGCTCAACCCCGCCTTCTCCTGGCCAACTCCCGATCTCATTCCCACCAAATTCGCTTTATAATAGTATTCATTCTCCCATGTTCCACACAGACTGACACGTCAGAAATCATTAGGTACAATCCGATCGTAGGGGAGTCAATTCCACTATGGATGCCAGGGCCCGATCCCATGACGAGTATACGGTCGGATGGATATGTGCCTTGCCGGTGGAGACCGCGGCCGCGAAGCTGATGTTGGATAAACTACACCCGCCCTTGCCTCGCCCGCCGATGGACCAAAATACTTACATTTTTGGAAGCATCGGGGAACACAACATCGTTATTGCTGGCTTACCGACTGGCGCTTATGGAAATGTATCAGCTGCAACGGTTGGAATGCAATTGCTGTCTAGCTTTCATGCCATCCGTTTCAGTTTTATGGTTGGTATCGGTGGCGGAGTACCAAGCAGCAATGGAGATATTCGACTCGGGGATATTGTAGTGAGCCAGCCGACGGACACTTCTGGTGGCGTGATCCATTATGATTCAGGTAAAGCACTGAGCGACGGCCAGTTTAAGCGCACCGGAATGCTTAATCGACCTCCCAAGGTTCTGTTAACCGCTCTTGCGACTCTCCAAGCACATCACCTTACGGAAGATAGCCGGATCGTTGAATTTGTGTCCAACCTACAAGCCAAAATGGCGCCTCACAAAGCCGCTCGATTCACGCGACCGACGCAAGAGGATTGTCTGTACCAAGCAGAATATAAACATGTCGATTGCGATACGTGTGGGGCTTGCGATCGATCTAAACTAGTTCTACGGCCTCAACGCGAGCGCCAAGAACCAGTAATTCACTATGGACTCATCGGATCTGCAAGCCAGGTTGTGAAGGATAGCAGGCGGCGAGATCAGCTGGCTCGGGACTTAGGGATATATTGCGTGGAGATGGAAGCGGCGGGACTTATGAATGACTTTCCGTGTCTGGTCATTCGGGGCATCTGCGACTACGCCGACTCACACAAGAATAAAGACTGGCAAGGGTATGCGGCTACTGTGGCGGCGGCCTATACGAAAGAGCTTCTCTTGGTGGTCGCGATCGATCAGATCAACAGTACACCAACTGTACGAGATACACTTACAGACTCAGGTGAGAGGATATCAATAGTATTCCTTAAGTGATTCGAATCGATTGCTCAGTATTGTTTCATATATATAGCTCACCGCTTTGATGCCCCATTGGACCTGAAGACTGTGCCAGTCATTGAAAATTTCGTGGGACGGCAAGGCGAGCTAGACCAACTGTGGCAGTATCTACGGCCCACTGATTCCCAGTCACGAAAGGTTGCAATTATTCATGGGCTTGGAGGCATGGGAAAGACACAACTAGCAATTCGCTTCGCACGAGATCACAAAGATGATTTCACTGCCATCTTCTGGCTAAGTGGCAAGGACCGAAGTACGCTACTACAATCTTTAAGCTCTATCTTACCCCGATTGTCAGGACATACTGATGAGTCAATGAATGACGAGGAGGTGGAGCGACGAGCTAGAGATGTCTTAAAGTGGCTAGCAATAGAGGGAAACTCACGCTGGCTGATTATTTTTGACAATATCGACCAATACACCTCTTCCAGTGGCCCTAATGGTGATGTATATGACGTTGCTGAATTCTTCCCTGGAGCTGACCACGGCTCTATTCTCATTACCTCTCGGCTGCAAGAGTTGACGGAGCTGGGAAAGTCATTCCCTATCCATAAACTTGACTCGAAGGATACGATTCAACTGCTCTTACAAAGCAGCCGCCAATCAATGAAGAGTACAGCCGAAAAGCTTGAGCGCAATCCAGGTATTAAGAGACCCAATACTCAAATTATATGAATGATGCTTATGTATTTAGATACTGTTGCTCTTGCGAGCCGTCTGGATGGACTTCCATTGGCAATCGTCATCGCCGGGGCGTTTATACATCGAACTGGGGCTAGCATTACTGAATACTTACAGTTTTACACAGCATCATGGTCAGACCTACAGCTGCAATCAAAACCTGAACGCCAGTACCAGCAAGGCAATATGCTGGAAACATGGATGATCTCTTTTCGTGAAATACAGAAACGGGACGCAAAAGCAGCAGAACTGCTACTCTTTCTTGCTCGTTTCGATAGTCGAGATATCTGGTTTGAACTGATTAAAAGCAGCTGTCATAGCTCGAATCTCCCAACTTGGCTCGAAAAAATTACATCAAGCAAAGTCTCGTTCAAAGTCGGTGTCAAGGATCTCATTGACTTCTCTCTACTCGAGGTTAAAAAACAAGAAGGGGGTTACGCTATGCACCCGGTGGTGCAAGACTGGTGTATTCACCTTGCCAGTGCAGACAAAACTGTAAATTCAATCCAGCTCAATGAACTAGCACTAGTATCTGTTGGGTATACTGTCCCTCAGTCAAGTGTCAGAAATTATTCCGAGCTTCAGCGACGACTTCTTCCACATGCGAACTATGTACGTTATATAGATTGTTCAGGCCATAATTTTGCGGTGTGGGGGGGCATTCTATGGACTGGGTGGCCTGTACTATGATCAGGGAAGGCTGCAAGAGGCAGAGGAGATGTACCAGCGAGCACTGGCAGGCTACGAGAAGTTTTTTAGTCCTGATCATACGTCTACTCTTGATACAGCCAACAACATTGGGATTCTCTACTATCATCAGGGGAAGCTGAAAGAGGCAGAGCAGATGTACCGGCGCGCACTAGTGGGCTACGATAAGGCCCTGGGTCCTTATCATACGTCCACTCTCAACACAGTCCATAATCTTGGGAATCTCTACTCTGATCAGGGAAAGCTGCAAGAAGCGGAGGAGATGTACCAAAGAGCACTGGCAGGCTATGAGAAGGCCCTCGGCCCCGATAATCAAACACACCCACCGACTCTCAATACAGTCAACAACCTTGGGGTTCTCTACTATGATCAGGGTAGGCTGAAGGAGGCAGAGGAGATGTACCAGCGAGCACTGGCAGGCAAGAGAAACGCCCTCGGTCTAGATCATACGTCCACTCTTGATACAATTCACAGTCTTGGGATTCTCTACCGTCATCAGGGTAAGCTAAAAGAAGCAGAGGGAATGTACCAGCGCGCACTAGCAGGCTACGATAAGGCCTTGGGTCCTCATCATACGTCCACCCTTAATACACTCCACAACTTTGGGAATCTCTACTCTAATCAGGGGAAACTGAAAGAGGCGGAGGAGATGTACCAGAGAGCACTGTCAGGCAAGAGAAACGTCCTCGGTCTTGATCATACATCCACGCTTGATACAATTCACAGCCTTGGGATTCTCTACCGTCATCAGGGTAGGCTAAAAGAGGCAGAGGGGATGTACCAGCGCGCACTAGCAGGCTACGATAAGGCCTTGGGTCCTCATCATACGTCCACCCTCCAGACTGTCAACAACCTTGGGAATCTCTTCTCTGATCGGGGGAAGCTTAAAGAGGCGGAGATAATGCTCCAGAGAGCACTAGCAGGTTTCGAGAAGGCCCTCGGTCCTAATCATACGTCTACTCTTGGCACAGTGGACAGCTTTGGAAGTCTCTACAAAGATCAGGGGAAGCTGAAGGAGGCAGAGAAGATGTACCAGCGAGCACTGTCAGGCTACGAGAAGGCCCTCGGTCCTAATCATACGTGCGCTCTTGATACAGCCCACAACCTTGGGAATCTCTACTCTGATCAGGGAAAACTACAAGAAGCATCGAAGATGTACCAGCGAGCACTGTCAGGCTACGAGAAGGCCCTCGGTCCTGATCATACATCAACTCTCCGTGCAGTTAACAGCTTTGGCCTTCTCTACAAAGATTAGTGGAGGCTGAAAGAGGCAGAGGGGATGTACCAGCGAGCACCGGCAGACAGTGAGAAGGCCGCACATGTTCATGTTAATAGGGCCCGGGAACTTGCAGAGAGATTGACTAGATGAGTTACACATCGCAGATAGAATATAGTGGCTAGCCTGCCTCGTAGCCTGCAGAAAATTACCACGTTACTGTCTTATTTTCCATACAGTGAAGTACTCCGTAGTGAGTTCAATAAAGAATAAAGTATTTTTGGCGGCTACATGGCACTTGGGGTGTTCTATGGAATTGTACACTTTTTGTATGCCGCGTAATTTACACCGCTGGATACTGTAATAAACGACCTGCATTTTACTACGCCCCTCAATTTAACGCGGACTGCCCAATAATAAATATGCGCTAAGGTCTTGGCGGTGGGACCAGGAAAGACTTTCTCAGTGTGTGTCGGTCAAGCCGATTTCGAGAACGACTGTAAGCACCGCACCAACTTGCAGTTTGTATCCGTTAGACCATCTCATTTTCCATTTCTGATTTTGCATTTAGGGATTGTTTTCCTTCTTTCGCTTCATCCAGTGATTGTCTTTCCTTCGATCTGCAGTCCCCTATTTCTCCTGCAACATGTCGACGTTGGCCAACGGTTGTTTCGTCAATGATCACCCAGGCCAACTCCTTTAGCTGTTGAACAAACTCTATTCGAACTTCTCTCCGCGCCATATTGTCAAAGATCCATGTCTGATCCCAGTCATTGCACTCTGTAGGGGGCCAGATAGCTTCAGGTTCCGTAGGGTCTGCCTTGTAAGGCATAATGTTATGGGTCATCTTAATATATAGACCAGTGCGGCTTGGCTTCTTCCATTGCCACTAGAAGGGGCCACAACATCCCCAATCCGGGAAATTTTCTTCCCTCTTTCTGGCTTCGCCAGACTCGATCCCACAACCCTCCAGTAACAACTGCAAAGAATATGGTTCATATAAGTCGTAAACCAGGGGCCTACGTGACACTCAATGAAGAGAAGCGGGTCTGCGGGCACACGATGGGAATGTGGCTTGCCCTTGGTTTTGCCCTTTGTCTCCAGACCCTATTGGAACTGCTGCCCCCCAATCTCATCGAAGCCAATTAATAGTGCGACCAGTAGCCATGGGTCTGTTGCGCTCCTCCATTTTCTATCAGAACTCGGTCCACATAGCGCCACCGCTCCATCGTCAGGGCAAGCCATCGAACAGCGATTTCGTGTATGTCGACCAGTATGACCTTAATTCGTAAGGTATTGTTGTATGGGTCTAAAGTTTGTCTGGAAGAATCAGTAAGAGACGAGATTTCATACCAGGCCCATATCTGATAGGGCCCTCGGAGCATGTCGCCAAAGGCGTCCGCGGCTTATTCATTTTCTTGCGATCAGGACCCCTGGCCCATCCGGAGATAACAGTACTGTCCCAGGGCCGTAATAAGGCTGTCTTGAAGGCATGCTCTGGTGCGAGAGGAACTGCCCAGTAGCCGTTGCCAGCGTCGGCCTTAAAGAATACCTTCTAACCCGGCTAAGGTTTATTTCGTGGGTTGTAGATAAATGAGCGTGAATGCTGGGGTCTGTCTGAAGGAAGTTGTTTTCAAAAATATGATTGTAAATAAGGAAATAACGTCTTGAGTGTGGCATCACATGTCATCTGCGATATTCCAACTGTGGCAGGCACGACTGCCAGTAGTATTTCCATAGGACATTGGTGGAACCACCATCACCATCACCATCTACCCTCTCATCCTGTGCCTTGTCCCATTTACAATGTACTAGAGAGTCATAAAGAAGAGTGATATGATACCGTACAATATGGAAAAAGTTATCCACGCCCTGGCAGTTGTAGGCCTTGACCGATAACATAATATAACCTTCAAGTTGCTGTATACTTTTGACCCTGGAAAGGAGAAGAATAGGCAACGGGAATTATTTCTACCGAAATCTTTAAGGTACTAAAGATACCGGTACTAATCATACTAGAGAAAGAACCGAAAAGAATATGAAGCAAACGGATGAGAAGCGGGAAATACTAGTAGTACCTAGCCTTCCTTCACCTGGGCATACGTGCTTTACATCCAAGATCCCGGATCACATCAATTCAAGTTTTGAATACTACATTCCCTACAATACAAAACACACGATAGCCAAAAATAAAACGCAATACTAGTAACTAACTCCAGACTGAGAGTGAGCACTTGATCTCCCGAGACAATTTCATCGGACCCCGCCCATTAACGACTCGGAGGTGGAGATCAAACGGGGACGGCCAGACTGGGCGGAAAGGTGGACTTCAAGTTATTAATGGCCTGAGGCCTTGAACTTGGATGATCGATCCCTAAATATAACCCGCTGGGGGACCCCTGATCCCTGACCGACTCGCGTGTCGTTTGGCGAGTGCACTAGTCACGCACACAGATGATGTCCTGCAGGTGAAGAAGTAAAATGACTAATGGGGTTTTTATTCAAGGGCATTTTTGTGCTCGGAGGGATCGAGAACTGAACATTCGTAATTTGGGGGTGTTTGTTGTTTCTTTTAACCATAACGATCCATTGTAGTTAGTAATATCAACTTGACAGCAAGTACTAGTACTATCCAGTCACCAACAAGTCAATAGGTAGGCCTACATCGTAGTAATGTAATTACTAGACTACTATGGACCAAGTCCATCAAATTACTCTCTACTTTGTACTTGTACTTTGCACATCTACACAGGCAATAAACAATAAAAATCCGGGCGAGGGACCAGAGGGTAAATTGGAAAATAAACACATTGAATCGTGCTGGAGTGGGAATAGAGACAATAAAAGAGAGAGAAATTTCCACTCAGCCCCTTTTCTTTCGCTCGCGTCAAAGCCGAATATCAAACTCCGCCGACCGACCCACGCGGTTCCGAACACGAAACGCGTGCAAACAGATAGTAGGTGCCGGTCCCCAACCCAGCTACACGCTGCGGATGAAAAACAAACAAGCAAGCGGAACTTGTAGAAATCCACGATCACGATCACGATCACGACCCAGGACACAGAAATGCGAGAAAAAACGCCCCCCTTACCAAGTATCGGTGTACGGTACGGTTTCAATCGCAAACCCCCCCCCCTCACACACCTACCTACCTATCCTACCACGGGCAGACATTCAGTCAGTCCGCTTAGGACTCCTCAGCAGGCTTGGTCTCCTCGGCGGGCTTTTCCTCGGCCGCGGGAGCCTCCTCGGAAGCAGCGGGGGCAGCTGACTCGTCCTTAGAACCCTCAGCGTCCTGGCTGTCGGATGAGGTCCAGAGGGTCAGGTTGTCCCGCAGGAGTTGCATGATCAGAGTGCTGTCGCGGTAGCTCTCCTCAGAGAGGGAGTCGAGCTCGGCAATGGCATCGTCGAAGGCCTGCTTGGCGAGGTGGCATGCACGGTCGGGGGAGTTGAGGATCTCGTAGTAGAAGACGGAGAAGTTCAGGGCGAGACCGAGGCGGATGGGGTGAGTGGGGGTGAGGTCAGTCTGGGCAACTTCGGTAGCGTTCTAGACGGGGGTGATCAGCAGATGGTACAGAATGCGGTGTAGGGAAGGAAAAAAAAGAAAGAAAGAAAGAAAGAGAAGATCATACCTTGTAGGCATCGTGGGCGGCAGTGGCGGCAACCTTGCGCTTCTCGCCGGAGGCGAACTCAGCGAGGTAACGGTGGTAGTCACCCTTCCTGTAAATCGTGGATATTAATATTAGTTATTGCATCATAGAGGGATTCAAGAGAAACATCGGAGAAAGCAGACGGGGTGAAATAGAGACGGTGAGAAGCTTTTCCTTTCGGTGGATAACGCACATCTTGTAGTAGAAGACCTTGGACTCGCCAGTCTCGGCCTTGGGGATCAAAGAGTCATCGAGAACATTCAGGACATCCTGGCAGACATCCTCAAGCTCCTTCTCGATCTTATCACGGTACTCCTTGATGATACCAACGTGCTGGTCGGATCCCTTGGACTCCTCCTTCTGCTCGATGGAGGAGATGATGCGCCAGGAGGCACGGCGGGTACCAACAACGTTCTTGTAGGCAACGGAGAGGAGGTTGCGCTCATCGACAGTAAGCTCGCCGCCAATCTAGAGAGTTGTCAGTTCTGTCTGCGTGGTAGAGAGGAGAGAATGGCGGAATTCGTGGAGTTGTCGTACCTTGGCGACTTCCTGTTCAACTGGTTAGCCCGGGCGCTCAGATAATAAACAACAGGCGAGACGGATGCGACTTACCTTCATGAACTTGACCATTTCTAAAGGGAAGGACCCTTGCGTCAGCATGCACCACCTTAGTAGAATCCGGCACAGTCAATCTTACCATCGTAGCGTTCGGCCTGCTCGCAGAGCCGCGCGAGGAACGTCTTGCTGATGAGGGGGTCAGTGGTGTCACGGGGGTGGGGGGGAAAGGTCGCCGAGAGAGCATGGTTTGATGCTTACTTCTCACGCTGCATTGCGACGACAAAGGTTAGCGATGGATTAAATCTCAGTGAGAAATGACAGGATGCAGGGACTAGGATGAGAAGATGGGAATGATGATGGAGATGTGTGAGAGGGGGTTGAATGCGATGGCGGTGACGGAACAGATGAGGGATGGAGGGGTTGAGGGTGTTGAGAGAGCAATACATACTTCAGAACCCATAGTGGATGTGTATGGTAGAGGGAGATGGTTAAGAGTGGTGGGGTTTCGAGGAAAGGGAAGATGCAGAGGAGGAAGTTGGTTCAGAGGATCAAGTGGGGGGGGCGAAGACAGGACAAGGAGGGAAGATGGGAGAGAGAGCGAGCACTTCAGCGAGAGCAGAGCAGTCGGCTGAGTTGAGCTGTGTATCATTGGTATTGCTTGCGTATTGCTTGAGGGGGAAAATCATAACAATACCGGGGGTACCAGGTACTTCTATTTTGCCTGTTTTCTCCGCTTTATTCCAGGTGTCTGCTACCTTCTGTGTACTTTCTGCCGGACGTGGATGGCCGCCCAACTGGCCCGTCGGTAACCCGAATACACACATACGAGAATATATTACACCTCTCCTGCCTTGGGCTGCGCGGCTCTGTTAACGCCCAAAAGATAACTCAGAACTATAGGCTGAGAAGCGAAGAGATTTGACTATTGCAAGGCCATCGGAGAATACTGCTGTTGTACTTGTCAGAGTCACCGGCACCACCACTGACACTGCCTCAAGTCCCCGTAGGTCCGGCGATCAGCATAACTCGGTGGGCCTCAGGCTTCATTTCGGCGAGACACTACGAGTACATGTACTATGGGACTGTACATTGATTTCCAATAAATATTAACATATTGTTATACTCCAGGGCTCTAGGAAACTTGAATCACGTTTATCCATAGTACAGAGTAAACCCAAGTCTCGCGATGACGATGATGAAACAGCATCGAACCTTCCAGCATTCACAGCGCCTGACAATCTCAGGCCGTCAGGCTTCGGGTATGATGTAGTGGCCAGCCCACTCGCCAATCTCATCACATGCCATGCCATACATACACAGCCCGGAGAGGAGGGGACTACAGCACTTAGGAAGTTCAACTACACCAAAGTACTACTCCGTCTGCAATAATATTTCCAATTGTTCCGTCCCATATCTGATTTGCCATTTCCACAATGATATGTTGATATGTTGATTTTTGATTTGTTGATTTGTTGACTTTCCCGTATAGCGCATCACCTGACATGGATGATCTAGCCCCTGGGACAGGCACATGATAAATCTCCGGGAAAATAAATGCACTCTGGACAAACTACTCTAGCTGATCTGGCATGATAGATCGATCAACTGCGCTCTCAAAATTAACAATGCAGAGATGCTTTTTACTTTTTCTGTACTGTACTTTACCAGAGGGCTACAAATTGGGTACTAGGCCCGATCCCGAAACTCCAATGCAGCCCCAAAGGAAATCTTCTCCGCATTGTAGTCATGGCCTACACCGACCACCATGAGTGTCAAAGCATCCGCCAATTCCAATCGGACGATCCTCATTGACGAAACCACACATACGAGTACACACATCACAGCAAAACATAGCCAGCCCACAACTTGAAAGGGAGTGGTCCCTTGGCCCGTGCTGTCCATGTCCATGTCCACTTCAATGAGGACGAGCGGACTGGGGCTCTCCAACCCATGATGCAAGTCGTCACCAAGCTAGGTTCAGCCCTACAGATGAGTGGGAACTAGCGTGCTTATATACATGTACCACTGACACTGGTCCGGTCCACTCGGGTGATTCTACATGCAGCTCGCCACTGGGGAAAACCACCGGCAGTCATTGGGGAAATTGTGTACGGAATATGTAGACTAGTGGAAGATGACGTTGCGCGTACATCTGTAGATCCAGGGTCCCAGAGGTCAAGTTTTTGAAACCAAGACCAGGATCAGTATCAGAATCAGGATGAGGCCAACGGACAAGTTAGTGAAATGCGGGTAAGGGGTGACCCGTTCAACTTTCCGACTCCTCTATCTGTGTGACTGGAACGAGAATGGCTACTCGTAGGGTCGTCCTCTCTCTTCTCAGCCCTGTGTAATCCAGACAGAACTGGGGCCAATCTCGCGAACCAGTCATGAGGCGACAGCGATAGGGCTGCTCCGCTAGATGGAGCAGTGTTGGTGCGCGTTGCGTCAGGGATCTCCGGTATCGATGCCGAGAGCTGGGATTTATTACGGGGCTCGGTGGCTCTAGGCTGCATCGTTCTCCTCTTACCTATCGGAGGACCACAAGTGGAGATTATCGTCTCCCTCGCCAAGTCAAATTGTCTTCCCAAGACACCGCATTCTGCAATGAGACCAGTCGATCTGGTGATGAATGCCCCAGTGTTGGACTTAGGCGGAACTCCACAGGAGGGTTGTAAGCATCGCTGCATCGGCTGAAAAGGAATAGGATTGACCTGTTATCTAGAAAAATCTTGAGACAGCGGTAGGGAATATATTCATTGTAGATGGAAGCCAGTAGAAGGGTAGAGATGCACCGTATGTATGGAGAATATACAGTTTGCTAAACTGGAGAAACTTCAGCCCTGTTTGTGATGAGTCAGCAATCGGGGAACTGGATGAGAACACGTTGTGCCTCCGCGCTCCACTTTGTTGCTGGGCCCTGCGATCGTGAAGGGAAAAAGGAAAAAGATAAAAGAAAAAAAGAGAATAAGAGAGAGAAATCTCATATATCCTTGCGCTCGTCCCTCCTTTGGCCCCTTCGATTTCCGACTTTTGGCTGTCCCTGGGGCATGTATCATTTCTAATCTACTAGTACTAGCACTTCCTTCCCGTTTCCTTTTGTTTCTTCCCCAGCTCTCCACTCTTTCTCTTCCCCTCCCCAACCCTCCCTCTTCAATTGTCCTCTCTTTATCACAGGGTGACTAGAGAGTGTGAGAGATATACCTCATGGAGAATTCCTTCCTGCACTCTCCATCGGAGGTGCTGAAACACTTCGATGTCTCGGAGCGCGACGGATTGACCAGCAATGCGGTCGTCCAGGCTCGCAAGCAGTATGGTCCCAATGGTCAGTGTGCACCCCCTCGGAGTATTCGCCTTTGCGCGGTTGGCGAATGCCCGAATTTATGCTAACCACCCTCTAGCTCTCGCTGAAGAACCCCCAACTCCTATGTGGGAACTGATTCTGGAGCAATTCAAGGACCAGCTGGTGCTTATCTTGCTGGGTTCGGCTGCTGTGTCCTTTGTGCTGGCCCTGTTCGAAGGAGGTGACGACTGGACTGCATTTGTGGACCCTGCCGTGGTACGTTTCTACTCAAACTGAGATTATATGCGAATGGCTACTAATCGTTCCTGCTGTTTACAGATTTTGACCATTCTGATCCTCAACGCGGTGGTGGGCGTCACCCAAGAAAGCAGCGCGGAAAAGGCAATTGCGGCTCTCCAGGAATACTCGGCCAACGAGGCCAAGGTTGTGCGTGATGGCAAGATGGTCAAGGTCAAGGCCGAGGATTTGGTGCCCGGCGATGTTATTGAAATCGCTGTTGGAGATCGCATTCCCGCCGATTGCCGACTCATCTCGGTTCACAGCAACAGCTTCCGCGTTGACCAGGCCATTCTGACTGGTGAGAGCGAGAGTGTTGGCAAGGACACCAAAGCCATCAAGGACAACCAGGCTGTCAAGCAGGACCAGGTCAACATGCTCTTCTCCGGAACCACAGTCGTCAACGGACACGCCACTGCCCTTGTTGTTCTGACCGGCGGTTCGACTGCCATCGGTGATATCCACGACAGTATTACCTCTCAAATCTCCGCGCCGACCCCGCTGAAGCAAAAGATCAATGACTTTGGTGATATGCTGGCCAAGGTCATCTCCCTTATCTGTATCCTCGTCTGGCTGATCAACATCGAGCACTTCAATGATCCTTCCTTTGGTGGCTGGACCAAGGGTGCTATCTACTACCTGAAGATCGCAGTCTCTCTCGGTGTGGCCGCTATCCCCGAAGGTCTTGCTGTTGTTATCACTACTTGCCTTGCTTTGGGAACTCGCAAGATGGCCCAGAAGAACGCTGTTGTGCGCTCTCTGCCTTCGGTTGAAACATTGGGCAGCTGCAGCGTGATTTGCTCTGATAAGACTGGAACCCTCACCACGAACCAGATGAGCGTGGCAAAGATCATTACTGTGTCCAGCACCGGCACCTCGATTGAAGAGATTGATGTCGAGGGTACTACTTTCGCACCCGTTGGAAAGTTTTCTCGCGGAGGCAAGGCCGTCGATGGCCTGGCCACTTCCTCCTCCACTGTGAAGCAAATTGCCGAGGTCACTGCTCGTTGCAATGCCTCCAAACTCTCCCACGACCCCAAGACCGGCCAATTCGCTAGCATCGGAGAACCCACCGAGGGAGCTCTGCGCGCCCTGGTCGAGAAGATCGGTACCGAGGACGCTTCCGTCAACAAGAAGATCTACTCCCTAGCTGCCCACGAGAGACTGCACAAGGTTAGCGAACACTACGAGAACCGTCTTGCTCTGGAGGCCACCTACGAATTTTCTCGCGATCGCAAGAGCATGTCCGTCCTGGTCCGCGAGGGTAACGAACAGAAGCTGCTTGTCAAGGGTGCTCCCGAGAGTATCCTGGATCGCTGCACTCACGTCCTGCAAGGCCCCGACGCATCCAAGGTTTCCCTGACCGCTGCCCACAAGAAGTTGCTCTCCAACGAGGTCGTCGAGTGTGGTAACCGCGGTCTCCGTGTGATGGCCCTTGCCAGCCGCAGTGACCTCTCTACCAAGGACAACTTGCACAACGCTACCTCTACCGACGACTATCTCAAGCTGGAGCAGAAGCTCACTCTCATCGGACTTGTTGCTATGCTGGACCCCCCTCGCCCCGAGGTTGCCGGCTCCATTAAGACGTGCCACGATGCTGGTATTCGCGTTATTGTTATCACCGGTGACAACCAGAACACTGCCGAGTCGATCTGCCGCTCCATTGGTGTCTTTGGTGCCGATGAGGACCTTACTGGGAAGAGTTTCACTGGTCGCCAATTCGACGATCTCAGCGATGCTCAGAAGCTCGAGGCTGTCCAGACTGCTTCCCTGTTCTCCCGTACCGAGCCCAGCCACAAGTCCAAGCTGGTCGATCTGCTCCAGTCTCTGAACCACGTCGTCGCCATGACCGGTGACGGTGTCAACGATGCCCCCGCCCTGAAGAAGTCCGATATTGGTGTCGCCATGGGTACCGGTACCGACGTCGCCAAGCTGGCGGCCGATATGGTTCTGGCCGATGACAACTTCGCTACCATCACCGTCGCTGTTGAGGAGGGTCGCTCCATCTACAGCAACACCCAACAGTTCATCCGTTACCTGATCTCTTCCAACATTGGTGAGGTCGTCTCGATTTTCCTGACTGCCGCCCTGGGCATGCCCGAGGCTCTGATCCCTGTTCAGCTGTTGTGGGTGAACCTTGTCACCGATGGTCTCCCTGCTACTGCACTGTCCTTCAACCCCCCCTGACCACGATGTGATGAAACGCCCCCCCTCGCCGTCGTGACGAGGCGCTCGTTGGTGGTTGGTTGTTGTTCCGCTACATGGTCATTGGTATTTACGTCGGTGCTGCCACCGTCTTCGGCTACGTTTGGTGGTTCATGTATTACCCGGAAGGTCCCCAGATCACCTTCTGGCAGCTGGTAAGCTTACCTCTAGTGCTCTCTTGGCTGTAACTCTTTCTAACCATATCTTCTAGTCTCACTGGCACCACTGCTCTGCCCAGTTCCCGGAAATTGGCTGCCAGATGTTCAGCAACGACATGGCCAAGTCCGCATCGACCGTCTCTCTTTCCATTCTTGTAGTGATTGAGATGCTGAACGCTATGAACGCGCTGTCTTCCAGCGAATCTCTCTTCACCTTCTTCCTCCACAACAACCCCATGCTGATCTATGCCATCACCCTCTCGATGGCTCTGCACTTTGCTATCCTCTACATCCCCTTCTTGCAGACCCTGTTCTCCATCCTGCCCCTGGGCTGGACTGAATGGCAGGCCGTGCTGGTGATTAGTGCCCCCGTGATGTGAGTTTCCCTTTTCGCCTTATCGCTGTGTGACTAGCATATACTAACAACCGCCTAGTTTGATCGACGAGGTCCTCAAGTTCATGGAGCGCCAACTGTACGACTCGAAGGTGGCTACTGTCGCCCCGATTCAGAACGGTGCCGCTAGCAAGCCCAAGCGGGCTTAAATGAACGATGAGATGGGATGAGATGATCCGATGCATCGGCATACAGGAAAGAGGAAGACTCAATTTTGAAATAGAAATAGACCTGTGAAGCTGTGCCATCTATCCTCCATACCAGAGGCGGAGGATGTATCATGCCATTGAATAGAAGAAATGAATCTGACTTTGCTCTGACTTTGAATGAGTTGCTGTTACAAGTCCCTCCCCCCCTCTAATCGGGCCTCAATACCCCGAACCTAAACTCTGAATTCTTCAAAGCTGTGAACTTTGACCTTTCGCGTGCCACCTTCCACCGCCACACCCTCGTAGAATAAATAACCTTGGAAACTTGAACTAACGGACCAAAGAAAGCAACCAACACCGATGCAACAATGGTAAACAGGCTAAAAACCAAAATCTAATCCCCCACAGACGTATTCCAACCGCCCCAAACACTCCAGATTCTCCACTTCCACAGCCCGTGTCCTCTAAACCCCGCGCTGCAACATCCCCAAGCGCCCCGGCTCACGACAAACAGAGTTAGACCGCTCCTCGGGGTAACTCCGGTGCTGGATGCTGACTGGTGCAGTTTCGTGCGTCAAGACGGGAGGGCAGGGATCGACGTGCCACCCCGGATTCTTCTTGTGTGGGGGTTGGGGTTGGACATGAGAGAGCGAGGAGAGAGGAACAAGAAGGCCCCCCTCGTTTAAGTCGAGGGTGATGTGACATTCTGCAGTGTTACCCTGCGATTCCTGGTGGATGTCAAATGAAATAACTGCTCTCATTTAGCCGTGCAGCTTCTTCTTCTTCTTTTCTTCTTTCCATCTTCTCTCTGCAATATTCTCCTTTTTCTAAAATACAAAGATCCATCTATCCATCACCCCTGGCAAAACCCTGGACCGGACTGGACTTGCGTCTGGCTCTCTACTTCTTCCCCCTATCCTGGATAAATTACTTCCCATCTAAACAAACCAAACCCGCCAATTCAGAACTTCGTGCAAGTAATCCCCGCTCATCATGGGCGTTAAGGGATTTTTCCGGAATCGCTCCGGCATGCGTGTTGATAATAGCAAGACGACTAGTGCTGCTACTCTCACGCTGCGACAGAGTCTGTATCCTCTTGGGTTGGTTACTATTTTGTTCTTTCTTTGGGTATGTATACTCTTTATTCTTTCCCGCCTTGTCTTGCCTTGCTGAGCTAGTCATCTTCTAGGGCTTTGCGTACGGCCTGCTCGATACTCTCAACAAGCATTTCCAGAATACACTGCACATCACGCGTGGTCGTTCGGCGGGTCTTCAGGCTGCTTATTTTGGGTACGTACTATACATCTGTCGAGTACCTACGTCAGTAGGGGATGATAGCATCATATATACTACTCCTTTAGTTAGCATTGGGAACTTGAACCTTCTAAGGTTCAAGTTGTTTTAGAAATACCCAACTAACGCATCCAATCATGTAGCGCATATCCCCTCGCCTCACTAGGTTATGCCAATTGGATCCTGCGCCACTACGGCTACAAAACGGTCTTCATCTTCGGGCTCGTCCTCTACGGCATTGGCGCTTTGTGCATGTGGCCCGCCGGACTGAATCAGTCTTTCGGTGGATTCTGCGGAGCTACCTTTGTTATTGGATCCGGACTGGGTTCTTTGGAGACGGCGGCGAATCCTTATCTTACTGGTACGAGGCAAAGCATTGCATTGAATCCCATTCCCTGCATGGAATTTATTCCTTCATCCCCTCCGAGTCCCCCCGCCGAGGTCCATCATGATCTACACGATCAAACCCAAAAAGAATATTCAGCCAAACCACAAACTAACATCCCCCAGTCTGCGGACCCCCCCCGCTACTCCGAAATCCGCATAAACTTTGCCCAAGCCTTCAACGCAATCGGCACAGTCGTCGGGCCCGTCCTAGGTTCCTACGTATTCTTCACCGAAACAGCCGACGACGTCTCAGCCCTACAACGCGTACAATGGGTCTACCTAGCAATCGGAATATTCGTCTTCTGCCTCGCATTCGTATTCTTTATTTCGAATATTCCCGAAGTCACGGATGAGGATATGGCTTTCCAGGTTTCCTCTACGCATGTTGATGAGCAGAATAAGCCGTTTTGGAAACAGTATAAGCTTTTCCATGCTACGCTTGCTCAGTTTACTTATACTGGTGCTCAGGGTATGTTTATAACAAGCCACCCAGCCACCGACTAGTGCCTAACTAACTGATTTAATCTTCTTTTCACTTTCAGTCGCTATCGCGGGTTACTTCATAAACTACATAACAGACACCTGGCCACCCAGCGACAGCGCCAAAGGCGCCAAACTTCTCGCAGGCGCACAGGGCGCGTTCGCCGTCGGCCGCTTCCTGGGATCAGGACTAATGAGATTCACCAAGGCTCGATGGATATTCCTCGTCTATTTATCGTGCACGGTAGCGTTTCTAGCCGCGTCCGTGACGCAGCGGAAGGAGAAGGGTGTGGCTATGTTATTCATGACATTATTCTTTGAATCGGTTTGTTTCCCGACTATTGTTGCGCTGGGAATTAGGGGGGCTTGGAAGACATTATAAGCGTGGTTCGGGGTTTATTGTTGGTGGTGTTTGTGGTGGGGCGGTTGTTCCGCCTATTCTTGGGCATGTGGCTGATATGAAGAATGATACGGGGTTTGCTATGATTGTTCCTACTATGGTGAGTTTTTGGATTCTGACCTTTCGAGGGTTGTTTCTGCGGTTGGTGCGGGTTAAGGCTTTTTGCTAATGGTGCTTTCTTGTAGTTTATGGTTGTCGCGTGGACGTATGCTGTTGCGGTGAATTTTTCGCCGAGTTATCGGGATACGGTTGATAAGGTGGGTGAGAGTACGGTTGGGTTGCAGGATGAAAGGATTGATGAGGAAAAGGTTGTTGAGGCGGAGCATGAGAAGGAGGTGGTTGTTCATCGGGATTAGCTGTAGACATCATGATACTAGTATCATTGAGTTCTAGTAGGTAGTAGCAAGGATACTACTGGTACTAGTATATTCGGATCTTTCGATTGAGAATGAAGTAGCTTCAAGTTCAAGTTCAAGTACTTATATACACCAAGCCAACTGGGCAGTCGTTTCGTTTATATCATGTACTAGTACCCTGGCCTAGATTCTGTATGACCAGGCTGTTAAAACACTACAATGAGGATACTCGAAACTGTAAAAGATGCACTGGTATCATTATGCAGGCGTTGGCCAAAGATTCAAAGCAAGTCTATAGGGCTGAGATAAAAATGCAAGTCAAGCAAAGCAATGTGGTGACCTGTGAGGTATGAGATCCGGGGTAGTAGATGTAAAGAAAAAAAAAAAGGAAAAGCTCGAATGAGTACAGATGGGCTTCATTCAGTGAGAAAGAAGCAGGTGAGACACGGAAAAGAAATATAAGAGAGGGTGAATGCTGAGAGTTGCGTTGCGCATATAAAGTTGGAGGCCGGGGGTGGGGAACAAAAAAAAATCGCAAAATGCGGGCAAAAATAAAGGCTGTGTATAAAACTTGCAAGCATCGAGGGGGGTATAAAGTAAGCATAAGCACAAGCACATAAACAGCTCTATCGTTCTAACCAAGTGTGGAAATGAGATGGGGAGGGATATAACGCCGGTATCCAACAACAGCAAAGCAGCAAAGCAAGGTATACCGTTAACCAGAGGAAGTAACAGGCTTACTAGTAGCAGCCGCGTCATCAGTTGCATTTACCTCGGCACTTTGGCTGGCAGATGCTTCAGCGTCGTCGTTGGCGGTTTCGTTGGCGATGACTGCTGCGACTGCTGCGGCTGTTTCAGGCGGGGGAGAGCGCAGTGACGAGGAGCGCGGGGGCCGTGGCGGACTAGTTTCTACTTCGGCCGCGGGCTCGACGACGTTCTTGTGGGTTGACGCAGGGGAACTGGGCTCTGTGGCTTCGGCAGTCTCTTTGATAGACTGGCTACTCTCCTGGAGAGTATCGCCGTGTTCAGCCCGACCTTCTTCCTCCTCCTCTTCTTCTCCTTCGAACTCCTCGACCTCTTCAATTTCATCCTCGAAGCCATCATCTTCCTCCTCTTCGATAATTTGGCTCTTTCGTGCTGCCGGTCGTCCAATAGGAGGGATAGATTCACTGCCTTCGACTGGCTGGCCAGGAACAGGTGAATGAACCATGCCGGAGGACACCATGAGGTTGGATGTGTGAATCATCGGTCCCTTGAAAGCGGATCGCTTGCGCCGGGCGAAGACCAAGCTTGAAGAAGGCGAGTACAGTAGCGTAGAAGGCGCAGCCTCATTGAACGCAGACGACATTTCGCCAGTATTGACAACTTCTCTAGGAGCGCCCCCAGTTCCACGAACAAGCCGAATGTTGCTGGGGAAGCGGGCCGATGAGCCTGGCGTGGTGGGAAGAACCTTGATGGAACTGTGGGGAGACTTGGAAATTCTGGCGGTTGGTGTTGCGACGGTATCCATGCTGTTCGATGAGATCGAGGACGCTTTGGAATGAGCTCGGGTGTGATGAATGCTGCGTATCGAGGATACAGAGGAAGATGTAGACTTCCGTCCACGCAGTCCAGCCGAAGATCGCCGGTACGAGCCGCGAGGAGTAATTGGCGAAGGTGACAGCGAGTTGCGATTGCTGCGATTGCTGCGAATGCTGGAGTGGCCGGTATTTAAGGGACGTGGCTGACGAGGATATGAGTGCCGATTCTGACGATAAGACGCACTGCTAGGAGCCAAGCTACTCCCCGCAGAGATTCGTTTGTTTTGTGTAGGCGTTACAATTTCTTCGGGTTGTATATTAGTCGCGGACAAAGGGGAGGAGGCTTTCTTTCCAGTATCTTGACTTTTCGCAGGACTGAATTTCTCTGACAGGAATTTGCGGGATCCGGACGATTTGGAACCGGGAGAGCGAGCGCGTTTGGCGGTTTCGGCAAACCAATGTTTCAACTGTGCGAGCTGGCTGATGATCGGATGATGGCGCCTATTGGTACGGCGTCGGAAGATACCATGGTGCTGCGTCAATTCCGGCTGCGATGCACTGACATGTAGCATGCTGGGTCGGGAGGATCGTCTCTTGTCCTTTGGCGGGGGAATAGGACGACGGCGCATTGTTGAGTTGGAACGTATCGATTCCTTGTCGACCGACCGCGGAGTTGTCACTTCTGGCGCGCGTACAGGTAGAGGCTCCGGTAGCGAGGGTAGCTCGGGGACTGCAAGTTGAGATGGAAGGCTTCGCCTGTCTCGGCGTCCACGCTCGTGGAGCTGGCTATCTGAGTTGGCATGCCCCTCCTCATCTACCTCAACCAGAGCGGCTGACAGCTTTTCTAGGCGACTGCTTGCGGCGCTAAGACGGCGCAAGTTTTTCGCTTCCACCTCTCGTTGCTGTCTTTTTTTCTCCCGCTTTTTCTCTTTCCGTTGCTCTTTCTCAATCAGCAGGGCCCACCACCCAGCCAAGGGGTCACATCGCTGCGCCAGGACGTTCTCAATAACCTCGTCAATGTTGACTCCTGCGCTCTTCATTCGCTGTAGGGTCGTTTTCTCCAGAGGTGTGGTAAATGGAGAAGGCTGAGGGATTTTGAGAATAGCGAGCTGCTCGGGGGCGTGTTCAGAGAGGAAAGGATGCGAGAGGATGTCTTCTAAGCTCGGTCGGATCAACGGCCGCTTCGAAAGGAGAAGGTTGACCAAGGCCTTTGCCTCATCCGTGAACTTGTCGTTGTAGATGGGATCCTCCGTGAGAATGCGTTTCTTAGTGACTTGATCGTCGTCGTCGTCGTATGGTAGTTCGCCCGCCAATAGCGCATAAAGGATGATGCCCAAGCTCCATACGTCGACCTTTTCACCAGCATATTTCTCTCCTTTCAGCATCTCCGGAGCACTGTAACAGACGGTCCCGCAGAAAGTCTGCAGGTAGCTGGCCTTTCCTTCATACTCGCGTGTGAATCCAAAATCACACAGTTTGACGTTCTCGTGCTTATCCAGCAGAATATTCTCCAGTTTGAGATCCCGATGAACACACGACTTGCTATGGACATACGCCACTGCGCCAACCAGCTGGGTAAAGATCCGTTTTACTTTGTCGACGGGCAGCGGGCCATGGCGGAGAAGGTAATTATAGAGTTCGTCGCCTATCCGGAGGAAAAAAGAAAACCGCAGGTTAGCTCTGTGTGTCATGCCGTGTTGCAGCCACCCAATTAAACATACCAGGACAGAATTCCAACACAAGCCAGACTAACTCTTCTGTGACGACAACCTCGTAGAGACGGGCAATGTGAGGGTGGAGGAATTGGCGGTGGTGGTGAATCTCACGCGCGAGGTTGGTATCCTCCTTGCTAGAGGACTTGAGAACAACCTAGTAAGTGAAGATGGTGTCAGTTGCCTCTGTCTCTCGTTTTGACATCATCACCCTCGTCCACTCCCCGTATATGCGTACCTTGGAGCCATTGGTGAGCTTGTGAGTCGCGAGATACACTTTTCCAAAAGAGCCCTTGCCAATTAATCTCCCCAGAGAGTAGTTTCCTACGCTGCGAAGGTCCTTGGACGAAAATTCCCTGGGAGGCCTCGCGCATTAGCCAAATGGACCACACGGTTTCGAGATTTCGGGGAGCTGGGAACCGGGAGTCATTACTCAAGTAATTCATTGTAGGAGTTGGCAAGCTGTGACCGCACGCGACTCAAGTTAGCTAGCGGTTCTGATGTGATGTTCCCGTTCCTGCGCAAAGCGATATCGGCCCCAGCGAGGCCAAGCGCACACCCAGCACACACGCACCTTTTCCTTTTGTTTCTGGCTTTGCACCCCCGCTCTCGTCCTGGGCGGCATGTGTTATGATCGATCTCCGGGATTGCCGTCGGCCGCGGAGGTCTCTGCGCGTGTCGAATAGGGAGGCGTGGAGAAGTGGGCTGTTCGGTATTGCCATTCAAGAGAAGACGAAGAGACCGGGAAATGAAGATCGGCAGAATGGGTTGGCGGAGGTAGGGAGGTAGGGGAGCGAGAGGTCGAACTCGAACTCGAACTGGAGGTATGGTGAGGTATGGTGAAGTGAGGTATAGGATATGCCCTGGTAGGGAGGAGGTTGACAAGGGAGAAATTCGGGGAATGCGGTACAAAGCAAAAGCAAACCAAACCAGACGTCAACGGGAACGTGGACCGTGGACCAAGTGGAGACCACACTATTCTATTTTATTGTACTATTTTTTCCCTCGAACGGCCTTGACTAAGACTAGCGTTGACTCGATTATATCATACGCGGCTTGAGCCCCTGAGTGATGGGAAAGTTGGAAGTGGAAAAGTGGGAAGTGGAAATTACTTTGCCCGTTTCATACTCTAATTAATTTTAGTTGTTGCTAAATGGTGATGTGATGTGATGCTAGCAAGTTTGGGGCCACTCGGGGTCACTTTACTCTTTACTCTCTAGGCTTCTGGTGGCTTCTGGTGACTTTCCTCTTGCAACTCGCCAGGGTTCCCCGGTTCCCCTCCCCCAATTACTATTAATACGGAGTACATAATGCGACTCAATTTATGCGCGTCTACTCATTGGTGCCCACGGCGGTGCGTTGGACCAATGGCTTACGGAGGCAAAACCTGCAGGGTTGATCATGATCATACAATGGGCTGGGGTTGACTCGGCTGTTGCTTTTCGTGGGGAATAGTACTCTATCTACTTATGCCACGGCAATGATTCTAGGTGCCGTACGACACGCTCGGTAGTGACCAGTGCAGGATCGACGCGCGAGCGACCAGCCTCGCCCTGGAAGGCGAGCGAGGCCAGGCCAAAACATGAGTGGAGGAGATCTGGCTTGGGTCAGCATGTCAATTTGCCTCCGGAGGGACCTCTTGTGTTTCGCCTTACCAGGGGTATCGCCCGGGACCTTTCCAAAGCCACCCACGAGATGTTGCGTCTTCTCTAGAAGATATCGCCGATTGCGAACGTCATCGATCACCGAGGATCGGTTTAGCATCTGTGATATGTTGTGAGCGGAGATCTTGGAGATAAAAACAAGGTTTCCCGAAACACTTACCGCCAGTGTTGCCCCGTTCCAGAACGAATAACAAGTATCCGCCACCTTGTTGCATCGGCCATTGAAACCGGCACAGGGTATTGTGTCGCTGGGTATCGATGCGATCTTGGGAAGTGAAAGGATCTCATCAGTTGATAGACGGAGGGGCCCGATATCTCTGTCTACCGTTGGCTGGTGGGCTGCAGCATCGTTATTAGTTTCCACGCTTTCCTCGTCATCGTCCTTATCCTCATCCTCATCCTCATCTTCGTCATTTTCTTCCCCCAGTTCGTTCGTCTGTCGCGATGCCAACCACGCAACCAGAGTCTCAAACTGATGAGACCCAGGCGACAACAACTGCACCGGTCGGGTGTCAATTGATGAGCGACGTAGAAACTCTAGAGATCCAACTGCGCAATATGTATGACCACCTATATCACCTTGTCAAAAAGGTCGGCCGGAGGGGAGACGTCGAGGGGTAGTACGTACTGTGGGCTTCACGATATGGAGACTCGGCCATGCCACCATCGTAACTCTGAGACAAACCATCGTCAGTAAACCAGACTCGACTCGGAGCTGTAATAAGAATAATCTCACCTGGCAAGCCTGAATAAACGAGATAAACCGGGGCACATCGATATCCTCAACCTCCTCCACCCCCATCGCACTCCTTCCACGCAGTATAAACCGAATCCCCGCCGCACAACAACAATACCTCAAATCACTATTTCCCTCAATCTCCTCCCCCGGTCCAAGAACCTCCCCAAAGCTCCCATCACCACGCTGTAACTTCGGAAGCCACCGTAAACACTCCACCCGCTTCACGCGCGACAAATCATCACCGAGAACAAGCAAATTGACCAACGCAAAGAAGGTCGCTGGCACATTCGCCGGATCCCAAGATTCATTCTCCGGCGTGCGATTCCGTTCGCCAAAATCTGTGCCTGAGAATCCCCGGAATCCTCCAGATGGTACTTGGCAGTGGTACACCCAGTCGATGTAGGTTTGTCGTTCTTCGGGCGTGGTTTTGCTTGCCAGGGCGTTGAGGACGTCTAGGCCTGTCAATGTGAGGAAGGCGAGGAGCATGCGGTTGGAGTCATTGGATATATACGCCGAGGGGAGGAAGGTCTTTAGGCATCGTAGGTAGTATTTGATATGGCGCTCAGTGTTGAGGACGGGTTCGGGTTCGGCCGAGGCCTTGAGTTGGGCCATTGTGTCGGGTGTAAGGTGGAATAGATTGCGAAATAAGCCGACAGAACCGATACTTTTCTCCGTTTGTATCTTCCCGTCTCCAACCAGCACTGAATTGGAATGCGACAGCGATTTAACGTGGGTGGTGGGGTGTGGAATCTCTCGATGTTTTCCCCACATACTGCCGCGTCGGCGTCAGCGCCAGCGGCCAGAGACACTCGGACCACCACCGGCCCAACTGCCCGCCAGCTCCGCCAGCTTCAGAAGGCCACCGCTGCCACTTTTTCTCCCTTCCAGAACCCAGTCTCGATTTCCATATCATATACGCACAAACCATCCGCGCCAAAATGGTCCTCCTCTCATCTAAAACCATGATCCAGGGGCACGCCGTGCTCCTAATCGTCATTGCCGGATACCTGATCAAGAATCCAGCCTTGATCACGAACTGCGATCTCGTATTTATGATGGGCGAGGCATTGAACATTGTACGAAACAAGTCCCCCTTCCCTCCAACCAATCCAATTACTCTCTCTCAGCAAAACCAAATCGACTTGTCTTGTCTAGTCTAACCATACTAATCAAAATCCAGGATTTCCCAATAACCACAACCGCCGTCGAAAATCCGTTCGTCTTCTGCTCAATCCCACTAGCCGCAATCGCCATCTTCGACCTAATCCTCCTCTCAACCCTCCCCTACAAAAACGCCCTAGACGAAGCCCTGCGCTACGTCCGCCCTCTGCGCAATGGAAACCTCCCCGCAGAAGATTTACAGGTCCTCGCCAGTCTGCCGGAATATATCACCAAGTCCCTGACGATGTACTGGAATGTGTGGGTGAGTGTTGCGGCGAGTCGGTTTAGTCTTTATGGGGGTATTTCGTTCTTTATTTATCAGGGTCGGGATTCGATGATTTCGTCCATGTATAGTGGTTCGGATGCGGTGGAGGGGTTGGGGAGAATTAAGTCGAGGGCTGTTTTTACTTTTTGCTTTATGGAGATGATGACTTGGTTTTGGGTATGTTTCCTCCTTCTCTGGTGTCCCTCTGATGATTTTGAGGATGGGGGTTATGGTGAGGAGAGACTGACATTTATTTTCTTAGATCTTCGCTACTCTCCGCCAGGAACGACAGGAGCGATTGACCAAGTTACTCGAAGATGCTCGTGAGGAGGCTTCCGATTAAAATGGCTAGCAGTTGATTACCCATGGCGCACAAATTGTATCAAAAGAATAGAGTGTTTGTTTCTCTTCGATTGTTCGATACATCATACTACATGGTATCCCATTTAGTACATACACTCGGCTCGTTAAGATGATAAAACCCCTCTCCGCAGAGGGGTTAAAGATAAAAATGAATTGAAAATGGAAATGGAAAATAAAAGGGAAACGAAATTTAAAACGAAAATGAAAAACAGAATCATCCACGTCGAAAGCGAAGCGAAAGAGATTTACAGAACATGGGGTTGTATCGATCATTCAGTCGTAAAATGCGGGCATCCATCCCATCCCATGATAACATTATCCTGCCACAGATCGATACCCTGCACATCCACATCCAGCTCAGCACACTGGGCAAAGGTAAGGTACTTTCTAAACGAAGAAAGCAACAGCAGCAACGGCGCCAGCAGCAGCCATCAACGAGGTATCCTTGACCTGGCCGAAGACAGCAGCATTGGTGGTGTGAGCAGCAGAGGTCGATGCAGCGGTGGAGGAGCCAGAGCCAGAAGCATTGGTACCGGTAGCAGTGGTCATGGTGCCAGTCATGGTGGAGTCCTTGGTGGTATCAGCAGTCGCGGCGGTTCCAGTACCGGTAGTGGTTCCAGTCTTGGTTTCAGTCGAGGTACCAGTCGAGGCACCAGTTGAACAGACGACGGAGCTGGGGACATCGGTCACGCCGCCGCGGGCACAGATCGATTTGGCGACCTTGAGAGTGGCTGTACAGAATGATGTCAGTATTTTACATTATTCTTGTGGAATGCGTCAGTGGGACTCGTTTGCTGTCGATTACTTACTCTCCTGATCATCCTTGGAGCACTTGTCAGCCACACAGCAGGAAATGTCGTTCAGGAAGGACTTGGTAGTGCAGATGCACTTGACGTCAATTCCACAGCTGGAGGGGATGGCGTCGGTTGCACAAGAGCGCTTTGACTTTGTTAGTGCTTATTCACTAGTTGTATGGTGGTAGATCGCGGACACAGGGTTCTGCGATTAAATGGATAGAAACGTACCGCACAATCGGGCAGGTCACCGAGGCCTTGGGCAGCGGCGGTGGACAGCAGAGCTGCCAGAGCGAGAGTGAGTTGAGACAGCTTCATGATGAGTAGAGCACAGTGGAGTACAGTGGAGCGCAGTGGATTGTGTGAAAGAGAGTGGGAGTGTATGAGGAAGAGAGGTGCGAGGTGGGGGGGTAGAGGGAAGAGGGAAGAGGGAGAAGAGGAGGAGGAAAGAAGTCCTCAAGGCAGCCACGCTTTTTATTCTCAGAGCTTCAACTTTCTGGTTTTGGTTTTGGCTAGGGGTGATTGGACTGATCCAATCCAATACAGCTGTTAATTCCCAGTAAACTACCTATTGGATCTATGCTTCGACCCTGCAGATGTATGTATGGAACTAATACAAGGAATACGGGGTTGTGGGGTTTGGCTGCAGATCCGCGTGGCATTTTCGGTGATTGATTGGACTAGTATACTTCAAGTATGCAGATGCAAGATTATCTTTAGAGTGATGCTATCCAGGGTGATTCTCTTATTATTCACTATGAAAGTGCTTATTGAGAGGGCCGGGGGAGTAGTGAGTGGTGTTGCCTTCCACGAAGGTACTCGCGTAGCTAGTACTCACGCAGGCATTCCCATCACTCTGAAGGTCCTCACACATCACATCTCCCCTCCCTGCCAGACCATCTCTCAACCTCTCTTTTCACTTTGCACTTTGTACTTTGCACTGCTACTCTCAACTTGCTTTCGAATCCAGGACAGCTGTTTTAACCTCATCGCTGGCCTCGAACCAAACAATAAGGAACAATGGTAAGGCATCTCTCCACCTGTCTCATCAGCATTGGACTGAACTCGATTGCAGGCAACTTCGAGACTTTTCCTTGGGAGCCTCCCAGAGGAGCTTCTCATGCAAATTATCGACTACAGCACCCTGGATGAGTACGATTACATCCCTCGTGGCGACCTATACCGGATCAGGCGCGTATACACTGACCTCACTTCACTGTCTCTTGTATGCCACCGTTTTCACCGGCTGGCAACGCCTTTCCTATTCGAGAGGATCAGCTTGCACGATGGATATCCGCATTCTTCGGATAACAAGGAATACAGCATTGTACCTCCATGTCCCCGGGCGCTAGCCTTGCATCGGCTACTGCGAGATAATCCACCCCTGCGATCAATGTGCCTTGATTTTGAAATGATTTTCGACGATGAGGCGGAAACCACAGATGAAGACTTTCGGGTCGCCAATGACCTTGTATCATGGCTGGGACGTACTCAATCTCTTCGGCTCTATGGTGGATTCCCTTACGATGGATCGGACACGGGGTACCGAGCAAAAACCCTGGCATTGATCTCCAATGCGAACCGGAGCATGATCAACCTAAAAGAGTTCTTGCTTGACATGGGAAACGATACCAACGAGGGATTGTCTCTTGCAGAAGCGATGGAATACATCAACTTCCCCTCACTAGAGATTCTATCCATGACCGGTAATGGACACTCCAACGATTGGCATCCAATGCCCAGTTCAAACTCAAAGGTACGTGCGAAGAAACACCGGGATGAACAGGAAGAGAGAATGTATGGCTGACGAATTGCAGGAACCTCGCACGGCGCCATTCACCTCGTTGACATTGACCTATTGCAAAGATAGCGTCGAGGCAATCGAGAAATGTATCTCCTGGCCCAAAGATCTTGTCGATTTTACCATCAACACCTCAGGGAATGAGGAGGTCGCCCATCTGAGCCTAATGGACGCACAAAACTGGCTATTAAACCACAAAGAAACTCTGAAATATGCCTACATTGATCTCCTTGGACATAACCAAGGGATTCAGGAATTTGATGCCTCCATTTTCCCCCGACTGGAAAGTCTCACGCTTTCTCGCACCCAGCTCAATGATGATGTTGGCGACGGCGTACAAAACAATCTCTGCTGGGAATCTTCTCACCCTGGCCGCCTATTACCACCAAACCTCAAGACCTTCGGGATGTCGTTCGGAATCCTGGGATGCTGTCTGATCAATAACTTTGGCGACAAGGAGGTGAGCTGGCTTCGACAACTTGGTCAGGCTGCCGCGAGTCGACACTCCTCGTTGGAGACAATTGACATTCTGTTCCAACCGTGGAGTGAGTATCCGCACAAATACGGCAACTATCCAGACGATCATGGGTATCCATGGGATCGAATGCGTGGGCTGCGTGATGAGTTGGCCGAATACGGAATCTCCCTGATCTATACCCCCGCTCCCTGGACAAAGGAAGAATGGGAGGCGAGGATTGCCAGGTGGCTAAAACGAAGTGCAAGGGCTCCTTTCGATCACCAAAGTGGTCACCAGCAGGGTTACTACTAGTAGATGGTCTATGGCTATGGTAATTACGATGATGACTATGATTATGACTATGACTATGTATCTTTAAATGTAGGAATGAATGTGAATGCAATTTCCACATCCCCTCAGAACTGACCTGGTAATACGAGTACTGTATACTACCAAATCTTACCAGCCAAACCTTCCTCTCCATAAAAAAGTGGAGATTTCCCCGGACCCTCGTACAACTCGTTTTTCTCTTCCTGTGATAGTTCATGCTAAATGCCTCGGCCCAATACGCCCTTTTTCCTTTTTTACTTTTCCCCTCCAATCTTGATTTCATCCAATCAAATATCCCCGGAGTGGTAGATCTGCCTGTGATTTTAGTCCGGGGACTCCACTTCATTGGTTGCCAATCCCACCGTGCAGACGAATTGCAGGGTACTTGCAGGAGGTGACCACTAGTCTACCTCATTGACGGAGTCAGCCCTCGACCCTCGTTCCTCGTTCCTCGTTTCTTGCCCCTGGCTGCTTTTCAACCTGCAGCTTCTTGAAACTCCGAAAGAGATTTCCCGACTCTACTTTCCCTTCCATCTGTCGATATTTCAACTCTACTGGTTCTACTTGTACTGCGCTGCATTCGATGAAGTTGAATCGCCAGTAGCTCCTTCTGTACCTGTCGAAAACAAGAGCGATGTCCGCTGGTGCCAGCTGAACTTTCTTTTGAATGTGCTTGAGTGGAGCTCCAGACCCCCCTCATACTCCAACTATTCCTCACCAACTTCCCTCCACGAGCTTCACACCCGCGACCTTCCACCTCAGGCACGCAGCTTCGCCTAATCTACCACAGTCATGGGCTTGGGAGTCTTAGACGTGGCGCAAAATGTCGAGGTCCCCGGTAAGCTTGGACAATCATGCGGTCCTCTCAAGCCACAGCGGCGAAACCTAACCTTCTGCGTGAACTCCAGGCACCTCCAACATTTACGACGACACCCGGGATACGACCGATGGTCCCTCTGGAGCCAGCCTGAAATACGACTGGACCACCAAAGAGCCCACGGTTCTTGTACCACAACCCAGCGATGACCCAAATGACCCGTTGGTACGCTGTCCCCGATGATGCATAAGTCCCTCCACGACGACGAGTCAAGAACTAACGATAGCATTGATGCACTTAATAGAACTGGCCACTATGGCGTCGCGATGTCATCCTTGGCATTCTATCCTTCGTCACTATTCTCTGCACAACGCTCAGCTCCATCATGGCCGCTAACACCGTCACGATCGCCGACTACGAGCAAATCACCTTTGTGGACGCAGCCCTTCTCACGGGATACCATCTTTGTGGCGTCGGGGTAGCGGGAATTCTGATTGTTCCTACCGCACGCGTCTGGGGCAAGCGCCATCTATTTCTGCTGGGTCACGTCTTGATGATTGTGAGCTGCGCCTGGGCCGGTGGGAGTGGAACAAATACCAAAAGTCTTCTATGGGCACGCATCTTCCAAGGCGTTGCTTTGGCCCCCTTCGAGGCACTGGTCAATGCCTGTGTAGGTGATCTTTACTTTGTGCATGTGAGTTGCCGAGACATTCCCATGACAAAACAAGTTTCTTTTTGTAGCTGACAGCACGTCTGAAGGAACGAGGAAAACGAATGGCCGTGTCCAACGTCTCGCTCTTCGGAGCAGCCTTCCTGACCCCAGTTTTCGTCGGCAAAATCACCAAGACCATGGGCTGGCAATGGTCCTTCTATTTCGTGGCCATTTTCCTTGCTGCAGCCCTCCCGTTCATGATCGTCTTTGTTCCGGAGACTGCGTATCGTCGGCCCGATTATCTCAACACTGACTTCAAACACAAGGCTGGGCGGAACGAGTCGACGGAATCCCACTTCCCACTCGATGATACCAGTGATGAACCTAAACCGTTTGTGCCGGGGGAGTCAGGGAGACGTGGAATGTCCAGGACAGAAGTCTCTGCAGCACCCGTCCCCGAAAAGGATTCTCTTCTGAAATCGATGAGATTGTTCAATGGACGAAAGACAGATGAGAACTTTTTCAAGCTGCTCTTGCGTCCCTTTCCCCTGTTCTTGCACCCGGGGATCCTTTACGTGAGTCATTCCCTGTATACAATTCTCTTTTCTTCCTTTGGCGATAACTAATGGCCACAGGCGTGTCTTATACAAGGCGTTGTTATCGGCTGGGCCGTATTCATTGGTGTCGTTCTAGCGATTGTTTTCCTTGGCCCACCCCTCTGGTTCGAAGAAGATAAAACAGGGTACCTCTACACCGGCGCATTCATTGGATCAATAATCGGTCTTATCCTATCCGGCCTCCTCACCGACTCCATGAACAAGATGATGATCCGACTCAACGGCGGCAAATACGAGCCCGAGTTCCGACTTCTGCTGGTCTTCTTCCAACTAATCTTTGCTTGTATGGGTCTTTATGGATTTGGATGGACCGCCAACGATGTGGCGAAGTACAAATGGCTACTGCCGGATGTATTCTTTGCCTTTCTGATCATTGGGATGGTCATGGGCGCTGTTGCTGCTTCACTATACATCGTCGATGCACACCGTAAGTTCTAACTAGCCTCTTCGATGGATCGGATCCAAAGTGACTGACTGACGTTGACAGGTGAAATTGCTGTCGAGGCATTTACATGTCTGCTCGTGTTCAAAAACATGTTCAGCTTCGTCCTTACCTTCTTCGCCTATAACTGGTTCGCGCGCGGTGGGATCAAGCATACCATGATCGTCATCGGCAGTATCCAAGTCGGAATATGTCTCTTGACTCTTCCAATGTGTACGAACTCCTCTTTCCCTAATTTTCTTTCCTTTTAATTCAAGTTGGCTAATCTTTTAATACGATGCAGACGTTTTCGGGAAATGGAATCGGGCATTTTGCGCGCGGTATGATATTCTTGAGATTCTGCATCTGCGATAATGGTAATGGTAATCGACACTGTGCCTTCATGAATTCTACGGTTGATTGTTGAATAAATCGGACCTTTGCGGGGCTTGAGCTTGAACTTGAGCTTGAGTTATGGGATACTCACCCCCTGATATAACATTTATGAGATATGATTTTGCTTTGTAGATTTTCGGGTTATGACAATTGAAATGCAAACATCACACCCTTTTCCGGTTTACGGAAACTTGATGTCGAATGGGCACCGGTGAGGCACGGAGCCAACGTAATCCGAGTTCATAAGAACTTGGGAGCACGATTCAAACCGCGGGAATGCTTTTTATGACTACTGAGATTTGAAGCTCTAGGTAGCTACTCTGTGACTAGGATAGTACGTGTATCAAATTCCATAAATCACTGTCGGGCTTACAGAACAAATATCAATGAGGTAAGAAGCCGTATCACGAGTTCAATCGATCTTCTGTCCTCATCGCATACCGCACGGGCTTGAACGAGAACCTAGAATGCGTCATAAATTAGAGAATTGAAATCAATTCGCAATATATACATCGGTGAAGAAGACAGCCCCAAGTAACAATAGTGGTGAAAATAGCTTCATTATTTTGCCGAAATTTCAAACGGGCTGGCAACTTGGGGCCAAAACCTGCTGATATCCTCCGCCGATGACTGGTGCAGCATCTCACATACCAAAAGCAGACTAGTTCAGACGACGAAGGCGCGCGCCAAGACACTCTAATTGGATATATTGTGCAAATTATCGGCGGTTATTGACGATGTCAGACCGATTTCGCGTAGTTTTGCCAAGTTCTTGGGCACCGGCTTGCCGATACGAGGGGGGTTCAGGGACTTTGAGGTGCAAGGTGCATAGAGCTGCTCTTTTCGAGCACGATATAAAGAGGGGTTATGAGGAGCCCACAATTTTACTTTAGACCCCCGGATACCCTTGGAAAAAATTCTTCAAGTTGTTCAATCTTAGACTAGATATCTGGCCACTTGTGCGCTATGAAACTTCTGTCTCGGAGATTTCTCTCCGCTCTACAATATTGGATACACCACTAACTTCCATCCCTTTGCTTCTGCACCATGATCCAGTCATGGCTGAGAAAGCTAGATGGGCTAGCAGCTCACAAGGGGTCATGCTTGATGCCCCTCGTCGATTCGATGCAATGGTTCCAGCTTGACCTCACTTTCCAGTTATCTCTATCTTGGTCAGATCCTCAGCAAGCTGCAAGGCCATATCAATACCTGCACTCTCACTAATACCCTTTAGTCGCTCGATGATCCATCTTCGATCACCATCACCAATAACAGGCGATTTCCCAACCGTATAAAGATGCCAGACCAGCATATACCCTCCGGAGACATTGGCCTGCGGGGGCTCTTCGAAATATTGATGCTGTCCCGGTGCAAACACCAGCCCTAAACCCTGTGGAATGCTGGATAGGATATCCTCCCCCCCGTTCCGCTATGACATGGGCCGCATAGTGCAGTTTTGATTTAAGCTCCGTGCCGTCCTGTCCAGAGACATGCCCAGACCCATCGAGATCAGAGGTAATGATCTTGTTTATAAGCCAGCATATAATCTCGCAAACAATGATCTCGACCATGCGTGAGTTGTTCCAGAGCCTTATTGAAAAAGCTGTCTGATATAGATCATATCGACCCCTAAAAGAAATGAACGCCGAGCTGCCCTTGGACACCTGAATGGATGTGTATGGCTCATGCACGGCGAGGATCTCAACGGCCGTCTTGAACCCCGCTTGAAGCGCAATCGACTCTTCTAAAAAGTCAGACCAAGAAATGGGCAGACTAGCGCCATTATTCTTCGCCACGACACCCGCGAACAGCGTTGCGCATCGCGAGCTCAGGATTCCAAGTATCCAGAACGCATCGGTCGGCTCTGTATACTTGGTTGCTTCGTCCTGTAGTTCGCACATATCATCCGGAAATGGCTGGATGCTTTGGATACAGGCAGCACACATGTCCGCGCGCACCTGGTTGAACATCAGGATCGATACCCTACTAGAAAATTGAGATTTACCCCGTGCAATCACCAAGGAGGCAGCACCCTTGACGTGTCGAACCCACGATTCGAAATTCGACACGTGCTCGAAGACACCGAGCGAGATTACCGACATCAAAGTACTATCCTTGATGGATTCGGTCGGTGAAGCGATGGCATTGTTCACGTAGCGGATTGCCTCGGAGTATTTGGCGCGCGCGTGGGCGGCGAGTTCGGGCTGTCGAGTTGCTAGCGCGATGAGGCCTACGGCTGCCATACTGGTGATGAGAGTTGGATGCTCGGAATCGGGGCTGTATACCGTCGGGATATAGTTGAGATAACCGCGTGACGGGACACGGCCGCCCGCCACAAAATCCTGGAGGAAATAGTTCACGCCTATTTCGTCCAGATTGGGGTCCGGGCCACGGGCAGGTGGAGGTGAACGAGGTGAGTGGGAGTGGGTCGTAGTCGGAGGAGTAGTAAGCTCGCTCGAGATTGTATTATTTCCTGCTGGACTCTTCTTGGACCGCTTGATGGTATGGCTTGTCTGGTCTCGGAAGACTAGGTCCCACTCATCTCGATATCCCTGGCATGTTTCCCGGGTGCGAATGCATTGGCCGCATTGCGGGGACTGTTTATCGCACTTAATGTCCCCACGGAACAAGGTCAGTGTGTGTCGTTTGTATTAGATTGTCGCTGGAACGGAAAGGATCTACCTACACGTCGTTTGACGGCTCGACAGTTACCGCAGCTTCGAGATGCTCGGGCTCGAGGCGGTGATGACATACCAATGCGCGCGGGCATTCATGCGGTGAAGAGAGTCAAGTTGTGACCAGGGCAGAGTTGAGTTGGGCTCGAAGAAGAGTGTAGAAGTACAAAAAGGGGTTGCTATATTTTAAGATTACCGTTGCTCAGCCCAGCTGAACTAGCCTCGGAGGCAAGCTACTGTCATCAGCCTTTGAGAGTGCTTAATCGACTTTAACGGATGTTTTATTCCCTTGGCAACTCTGGAAGCGAACGTGGGGTCGAAGTGAAGAAGTTCTCCAGCGCCAAATAGTCAAATGGCCCCCAACGCATCGCCCCCAAACGGCCCCCAACGACCCCGCCGAGCTGACTCGGGGCATAAGTGCGAGAGAATTCCGAGAGAAAACGCCTTTGACACACAGTGATCTGCAGCTGTTTACCAAGACCGGTATGCTAGATGTGATCTGTTTGGCCACAGCCACTTAGGGCTGAAGATTCAACATGATGATTGGCCGATATGTGTGTTGCTTTTAAAGGTACCTCTTTTCTGTGCTAATCTGTTTTGGGTATCTCAATTGCTCGGCCAATCAACACAGGGAATTCTCGACATTCGAGATTAGAGGCTGCCAACAACCCTCGTAAAAGCTTGAGCAAGATGCAGCTGAGCGTCATGGTGCAATGCACTCAAAATAGAAAGGTTTTGCATCAAGAGACACATAAAAGGGCCTCAGTTTTCCGCCTGTCGAAAAAAGAGCACACAACAAGCAGTTCTCTTCATCCATCCATCTACTCCGAACACTTCTATCTATACCTCGCTTCATCCGCCTTAATATCAACATTTCCCTGCTATACTGTTCCATATCGGCTGCATAATGGGGAAAATAAACTACGCCACCGGCATTGCTATCCTCCAATTTATTGTTTATCCATTTATCTTCGCCGCCTCCATATTCGTCTGGAAACGATCAGGATGGAGAGTTGGCAGCAAGATCTGGCGTTATCCCGCCGTGCTCTCCTTACTTCGAATCGCTGGTAGCATTTCTACTTTCATTGCAATGGATCATAACTCTCAGCAAGTCCAAATTGCTATTGCAGTATGCCAACTGATTGGTATTGCTCCTTTGGTGCTTACTTACGTCGGTATTTTGCGACAAATGTGAGTTGAAAGACTGTGGATCTCTGCGATTTGGTAGTACCCGGAGACTAACAGTCATCAATTTTAGTGATTATGAACAAAAGATCCCTCCCAGACGTCTCGCAATCGTCACTCTGGTCGCTATCATCGGCTTGATTCTCGCTATCGCTGGTGTTTCCACTGCCAAAACCTCCCCCGGGGAGACCTACAAGCCCGGAACAATAGTTAAGGTAGCGATGGGTATTTTCCTCGTTGTCTTCGCTATTACCATGCTTCTGAGTGCCTGGCTCTTCTATGCGCTCTCTTTCTCTCTACTGCGATATCAGAAGAAGCTATTCCTCGCCATCGCTCTGTCTGCTCCGTTTGTGGTGGTTCGAATGATCTACTCTGCGCTCTCCGACTATACTACCATTGAGAAATTTGCATTCGACGCTAACGAAACTGTCTACCTCTGCATGTGTGTGTTGGAAGAAATCGTTGCCAACACTATTGTCCTGGGTCTTGGCATATCAGCTGTTCTACAGCCAGACTTTGTGAAGCTTGATCCAGCGCAAATGAAGGAGCGGGATCAACAGCACCCGGACGAGGGAAAGCCTCTTAGTGCGCAGGATTATAACACGGCTTACAATGGAGCCAACATGGCTTACGACCCTGCCTACCACGGATCCCAGAGCACTGCTTATAATGATCCTACCTACCCTGGAGTTCAGCAGACCACTGCGCACAACCCAATTTATAACAGAGCTCCGGCCCCTGCTTATCATGGAGCTCAGAATGTTTAGTCGTTTGGGGAGATCGGGAAATGTCTTTAAAATAGCGAGGTACTACCAGTGGCAGTAGTATGATGTTTGATTTTCTGTTTCGGGGGTTTTGCAGAGTCATATGAAGCGTCACGGTTTTTTCTAATGTTACATGGCGTGTACTAGTTAATTATACAACAATCTTGACAACTTGAGTACCAGTGACCCACCGTCTGTTTGTGGTCTGGTTTGAAGTAGGGAGTCAAGTGCTTGCACGAACACACACATAAAACATGCATTGTTACATTGATAGAACAGGGACGGCCATATCATCACTGCTTGAGCTCGATAGTTTATACGCAGCACTTCCAGCGATTACTGGAGAATATTATAATCTTCACTCTCCTTCGTCGGTCAGAAATTGCTGAAAAGATATCGTTTCGTGCTGAGGAAGGCATACTCGCACTGTGGATCCTTCAAATGTTTTGCTTCTTGACCTATCGATTGCCGAAAAGGCCCCTCATCCTCGTCGATCATTTGCACTCTTGCTGAGATGTTGTGCTGGCCAACCCAAGGAGCCTTGAGCTCCCCAACCACAGTGATTTTTGGCCTCGGTGATGATTGTATTGGAGTCAGTCCAACGATGTCCGGAATACCTCTGTACCCGTACTCGCTTCCTGTGCCTGAATTAGTACTTTCAATATGCAAAAAATAGTGGCCAGTGGCCATCGCACGATCGATTTTCTGCATTCAATATAACTGTATATAGTACTTACTAGCCATCACCTAATCGCCTTTTTGCATTCAAAAAGTAGTTGCCATTGCCATTGCCATGAACAAGATTCTGCTTGTGATCAAAACTTACTAATAGTAATTGGACCTATTCAGAATACTACTATTATTACAGTGGAAATTTATCATGTGGAGTTTTCGGGGCACATTCTTACAAAATACCGACGAAACTTTCAGACGCATGCTGATTCGCTGAATTTACTTCTGAATACGTTTATATCCATGGATGGTGAGTCTGTTGTCGTGGAGTCCGTGCGGCCCCGCAAAATGGATCTCCCCCGAAGCTTGGCCTCTTCTTCTCTTCCACTCGAGCAACAATGAGTCGAAATTCACAATTTCGACCGGATCGTGAGCCCTTACAAGATCACCCGGCTCTAGCGCTTCGTCGAAGTCATGTCTCTGGTCCTTTCTCATTCCTGAATCCCACATGGGCCTGGTACGCACCTACCACTGACCACCGGGCCGGTGAGACGTCAGAGCCCAGACCCAGCCCCTCTCCGCCAGCACACGTCCAACATCTCTGGCGATCTCGCGATAATCGCAAGGGGCGTCATGCATTACGTGTCGACTATCGTGTATCTCCGGAGGAATCGGAGTTCGTGTGCCCGCAGCCAACTTCCACTTGGCAGACGGTTGCAAGGGGTATTCTCCGCATGGCGACCCACGTGCCTTATTGGGATGTATCTTACTTGGTCGCGGTAACGTTCACTCTCGGATCGGTGGTATGGATCATCAATGCTTTTTTCGTGTGGTTACCTCTTGTAGACCCGAAGACCGAGTTTTCCGGTGAGTCTCTAGACGGCGGCGGCATCAGTGCGTTGATCGGTGCGACTATTTTTGAGATCGGAAGCGTGCTGCTGCTCCTGGAGGCGGTCAATGCAAATCAAACGGGCTGTTTTGGCTGGGCGCTTGAAACGGAGTTGAAGAAGGCTGAGAATAATAAGTCGCGTTCCGTTGCTGTCACTCAACTCAAACCCACCCTGCATGAATGTCGCCACCACCATGCGAACAAGAAAAATCTCGTCGGAGCAGGAAGACATTTACATCATCACATCTCTCACGATGATACTGCTGGATATACGACCTCATCTCCGACCAGCGACGAGTCATTCCGCTGGTTACCATCGTGGTCGGAACTGAAGTCGCATTACATACATGAGCTGGGGTTCCTCGCATCTCTCGTGCAATTTCTTGCGGCGACGATATTCTGGATCGCGGGATTCACAGGAATGCCTGGTATAAACAATCATTTAAGTCAAGGCCTAGCGGATGGAGTGTACTGGGTACCTCAAATAGTTGGTGGGATCGGGTTCGTCGCAAGTGGCCTGCTGTTCACATTGGAAACTCAGGAAAGATGGTACAAGCCAGCATTCCATGTTCTAGGATGGCATATTGGTGCTTGGAATTTTATAGGGGGTATTGGATTCACTCTTTGTGGTGCGCTGGGTCCAGCGATTGGTCACTCTGGTATTGAGTACCAGGCTACGCTGGCTACATTCTGGGGCTCATGGGCGTTCATGATTGGGTCTACGATTCAATGGTTTGAAAGTTTACAGAAACATCCTGTTGAGACGAAAGGGAATCCCAAATTGGCAGCTTCTTGATGAGAATGGTCAATAGGAATGTGGTCAATAGGAATCTGAATATCTCTTCAAGCAATCTCGATTTTTTCCAGTCGATGATTCCAAGGTTCACAAAATATTTCGAGTTATGTTTCTGCCAGCGTCCCGAAATTACCAGTGTTCCAGTTTCCGAGAAAGCTCTGTCAGCCCCTCGTGAAGCCACTCTAGCTACACGATTTGCTTGATCCTAATATTCCGGGGTACTGACTTCGGGAGTATATAAATGGGTATGATACCGAATAGTTTAATGTTCATCTAGTCGGCGAGCGACCATGCCACGCAAGATTTTCTAATAGATGGAATCCCCTAGACTCCCCGCTCAAGATTTTCCTATCAAGCCGTGATACAATCTGTGAGATTTAGTAACTTACTACGTGTCGGATGGCCGAATCCGCTGTCAAAATATTCTCTGGTCTTGTTTCTGTCTACCTCATTAAACTGTCTCCAGCTTTACTGGATCTCACGGACGGACTAATGCACATGAAATCTAACTGCCAATCATCTATTGAAATATGTAGCCGTTGATGTGTCTGATAATCTTGCCAATTAATCAGCCATATTATCTATTCGTCACTATTTCTGTATCTTTCTACGCAATAGTGTTTAGTTGATCGAAGTTATAGAAATTAGGGTTGGATGTTTCCTATATTCCCGCTAGAGGTAGCAAGCGTGGAGGAAGGGGGTCATAATTGTCGCGTCCAACAGGATCAAGTATATTCAGGTTCATTGTCTCGAGGGTGGGTAATAATCGTGTAATAGTGGTGTTTCCGGTTCTATAAATGTACAAGATGAAATTATGCGTGCTGGCATTCACAAGGGTCGGCACCTATTGCCAATGATGCTTGGACACGTGCTAGGATTGTATATGATAGTTAGCTTGCGGGGTATCCATGCATAAGAACCACCAGTCCTTTTTTTTTGACGGAGACTGCGGCAGCAGAATAATTGGTTTTCGATCCGACCAATCCAGGAAATCTTTGGAAAACCCGCCATAAAGCCTACGAATGGCCAATACCCCAGTATTTGCAGGTACGCCAAGAATCAGCTCATTGCAAGTACCTGCAATGGTGCCCAATCCGAAGTAAGTCAATCGATCAACTCGAAAATGCTATCTCACCGAACTACTTGGATAAAAGCCCAGCTCTCCCCATTCGTATTTCTGTTGTCCATTTCCAATGCTTGTTCTTCTCAGGTGAGACCCCACCTCGGAATCCCATCGACACAATCTTCATTTAAATTATATAATGGTCTGTTTGCCCACTTCACACCACCTTTTTGGATATGAAGGCTGAGAAATTCTAGAGCGAATATGCTGAAGTTGGACCATGCCACGTCCATAAAGCAATGCGATTGAGAAAACCACATCTTCAAGACGCCTTCCCAAACAAGCAATGCATTTTATGCAATCGGCCCTATTGCGCCGAACATAAGGGGACGAGGGATGGTATCTGTGAGATAAATCATTTGACGTACTATTATAAGCATCCAAATGTCACAAACATATTTCGAACATATGAGGATTGGAGGAAAGAGTATGCAGACCAGATTTTGGAGAACAAGGGGGAAAGTGTTGACACAAAGAAGCATGAGTTTCTCGACGGACATAGTTGAGGCTCGGAACTCTTAGCTTAGATGAGCCACTTGATCCATGAAAATATTGCCCTATACATGCAGTGTTCCACAGCGCATACGGAAATGCTTACCAAGTAACTATTGTCTTTATAAACGTCAATTTTACACAGTGATCACTCCAGTGGAGGCTGGGTAGCTTAGTTGAAGGAGGGTGGGAAGTCGAATTCCGGCCAGATTACCAAATTCATAATGCAGATTCCCCTCTTGTTTGCATTATTTGCGGGACCAATCAATATTCTAAAGGCCCCTGAGACCATAAAAGCTTATTACGAAAGCTAATTCTACGCTACTATTTGCGGCCCTACTGAATTACTGCCAAGATAGGGGATTAGTTACGATCAATCGTAATAGACATTGCGTAGTTTCCAAAGAGCGTTCGAGAAAGGAGGTTTTGTGTAGAGGTAGTAATGAGTCTGATTTCGACCTTCCCTCTACTTAAAAGCTAAACTGTAGATGAATGGTATTTTCCCATTACCATCTGCCCCCCCTATACATCATAGTAACAGGTGTTAGTAGGAGCGGGCTCGGCAAGTCCCCATACGGCATACCAGAGATCATGAAAAGGCTTAGGCTCAGGGTCATTCATCCGTTAGATTTGACGGAAGCCGCAGATATGGCTAAAGAGGGATTAGTACGTATTGAACCCGAGATATTTTAAGATCATTTCATACAATGATTTTGTTTCCTCGTCAGAAATAAGTTTCCCAGTATGATGGGACATCATGGATTATCTGTTGGTATTGATTTCTCTAAATAAAGTGACTCGATTAGCAAAGTATGAAGAAGGATATCAGTACCCTAACACAAGAACATACTCACGGGCCTGGCGAAACCTTTCTCGCACCATATCTCAATACTCCCTGTCTCTTGCCCAAAACCCTCCCTCATCGATTGGCTTTCCACTAACCATAGTCCAAACAAGATGGTTGATATAGCCACCGGGAATACAACCTTCCTGAGAGTCCTGATTCGATTGTTTGAAGTTGAGAAGCTTTGGGACGAACTGGCATCCCTTTCTATCGAGTTCTCTCATGAAAGTCTTTCTTGGTGTTCTCTCCGAGCAACGGTTTGTTGTCCTCTGACACTTGGACCCTGCGCAATAGTTCCGTCGATGGGGATATGAATGTAAATTCTCATCGGAGCTTTCTTTTGAGGATCGGCAGTATTGTGACAACTAAATTCCAGGGCGGCGTAAGGGATACGCTCATCGTTATTTGCATAGCATACCCAGCCTGAGTACTTATGAATATGCTTTTCCCTGGGGCTGACTGTATAGTAGTACTCGCTGAGTAGCTCTTCCAAAAGCCAACTGCGAGGGACGGGATCGTCGAATCTCACAGTGGTACCGCACAAATAATCTAAATCACCGGGTTTTGACACCTTGACGATGAATAAGTTCAAGGAAAAGCGAAAAATGAAGGGAGTTGCGACAAGAAATTACCGAAACAGGATTAGGTAGTTAGTACATCTGAAGGTTGGCTTACATAATCGAAATGTGGTGGTGATGATGATGTTCCTGGATGACGATGTTTCTATTATAGTAAAATACTACATTATTGCGCTATATATTCCCACAGTATGGTAGTCAGGGCCAAGAAGCAGTAAGCTGGCGCTTGTATGCCAGGAACATAGAGGACCAGTATTGAAGATAAACATTACACTACTAGCTATCCTACCCAGTTATCTGCTCCATACCCTGAATCATTGGGAACAGGTTACTAGCAGAAACACTGGGTCGATTGCGGCTATGGAATGCCTTCGGGTTAGCATGACGCAACTACCGAAATCTACTAGAACGAAGATAATTTAGGAAAAATGTTCTCCCAAGCCCAGAATCCAAGTTTCGGCTAACAACAGCTCAATCGCACCGGAGCTTAACTTCAAGATGCAGTATCCGTAACCTATAACGTCAAGATCACTTTCCGAGCTTGGTGCTTCTCAAATATCTCATATGCGATCGGTGCATCTGCCAACGGCATGCGGTGGGTGATAAACTCTGAAAATTTATCCTGGTTCTCAGCGAATAGCTTCAATGATTCGCCAAAGACCGGTCTGGCTGCTGCGCGCCCCATATTAATACTAAATAGACGAAAGTCAGTACTTTTCTCAATGGTCTTGAAGCAGAGAACCTACTCCAGATTCTTATAATAAGCTTCAAAAGCGGTAAAAGGTAGCTCTCCTTGGTGGAAACCGATAGAGGAAATGACACCACAAGCTCGAACTAAATCAACGGCAAGTCTCATTGCCGATGTATTGCCCACGCTTTCAACCACAGCATCTGCTCCTCGACCTTCTGTGGCAGCTTTGACAATTTCTGGGATGTCATCCGTTCCAAGCTTCAACGGTTGGGCGCCCATCTTCCGAGCCTCCTCTAGACGATCATCGACTGAATCGACAGCATACACGGTGCCTGCGCCAAGGGCCTTTGCTGAGAGAACTGCGCAGAGTCCGACGGGTCCACATCCTGAGACATACAACCACTACCTGATCAAGTGTGATCTTCAGAAAATTTGGACGAAGGGCAGACGGCGCGTGTAGCGTACCTCCGGCGATCGAGTCAGCTGTATCATTATTGCGCATCAGCTTTGTGATGGCCTTCATTGCTCCGTAGTAACCCGTCGGGAAGATATCACACATGATGATCATCATTTCATCGCTAACTTCCTGGGGTATGAATTCAAGAGTACTGTCTGCAAATGGGACGCGAACGTATTCGGATTGTCCGCCATCCAAGGACATGCTTCCGAAAGAAGGACCATTGACGCATCGATTTGTGTGTCCGTGCTGGCAGAACCAGCATTGCATACTACCAAATTTGCAAATTAGTTTTTGAAATCGGCATCGCAATTGGCACATGGGATTTCCAATCTTACCACATGGGAGAGAAGATAGACATGACCTTCTGACCAGCCTTGAACCTGGACACATCAGACCCAACGCTCTCAACAGTGCCGATGAACTCGTGTCCCTAGAGGAAGTGTTAAGAAATACTCATCTTCCAGGGATGCCTTTTTCCTACCATGGTATGTCCCGTGGTCGTCTTTTGGTGTCCTCGATACATGTGCAAGTCACTCCCACATACACCCGCGATGTGCACTTTGAGGATGGCATCCGTTTCATCAATCAATACAGGCTTAGGCTTCTCCTTCACAACAATATTGAACGGGCCTTCGTAGACCACTGCTTGCATGGTTTCTATGCTCATGGTAGTATATTGTAGAGTCGATTCTATACGCCCGGATAGGGGCGAGAAAGATAGAAGATCTGGAGGAAACCCCCTCTCGAATACCCGGAGATAAGGGAGATTTTAATCAACTCGGATCACAACGGCCCATGACACGCCATCAAGTCCGATGAATGTCACTCGAAATGCGGGGAATCGGCCAACCACCCCCGTTCGCTGAGGGGGGTAGGACCGAGATAGCCAAGGCTGAAAAGTGAGGGGAAACTACAGGAATTCGGCTACCTGTTTGGCCTTCCAAGGTTGTATTTATGTCTTTCAGCTTTCCGCTTTAGTTTCTACCTTGGAAAAAGCCTCGACTATCCAGCATGTCTTCAACCAGCTACACGATCCCATCAGTCTCAGATATCACGAAGTTATATATCAACGGCGAATACGTCGAACCCAAGGCAGGAAAAACATATACTCTCTACAACCCAACCGACGACTCAGTTCTTTCCGACAGGATTCCCATCGCCGACGAGGCCGATGTCGATGCTGCCGTCGATGCCGCCGAAAATGCGTTCAATGGACCCTGGGGCCAATTCACCGGTGCTCAGCGATCGGCGTGTTTGCGAAAACTAGCGGATCTTCTTGAAGAAGATGATCGATTGATCAAGTTACTGACCCTTGATGCGCAAAGCACCGGAAATCCCGTCTCGATTATCCCGACGCGAGAAAAGACTTATATTTTGGGACATCTGTTATACTATGGTGCGTACCAAATCAACTTCGGAATCAGAAGCTGATCAAGAATAGCTGGATGGACTGATAAGTTGCGCGGCGACTATTACCCGGCTGATGATGGTTTCGTCAAACTTGTTCGCCAGGAACCTTTGGGGTATGTCCCTTTCTCCCCTTTTGTTTACACAGAATAATAGTGGCAAGGGCTAGAGTTGACCGAGGTTAATAGTGTCTGCGCCGGCATCAATCCGTTCAACGCCCCGATCGCGACTCTTTTCATGAAAGCCGCGCCTTGTCTCAGCAACAGGAAACGTGTTGATCCTTAAACCATCGGAGCAAAGTCCCCTTGGATCACTGGCCATTGCACCCCTTTTTGAAGCCGCGGGTATTCCGAAGGGCGTGTTCCAGGTTCTTACTGGGGCCGGTGACACGGGCGCATTGCTAGCCAAGCATATGAGAGTTCGCAAGGTAAGAGTTTACTTCCATCTGCCATTATTTTAGAGACACGCTAATTCTGAAATTGACTTTTACAGATAAGCTTCACTGGAAGTATACCCACCGGAAAAAAGATCCAAATTGCAGCCGCGCAGAGTAACCTCAAACGCGTCACTCTGGAGCTGGGTGGTAAAAGTCCAGCATTGGTATTTGAGGATGCAGATCTCGAAAATGCGCTTACATGGTAAGTAGAGAAAAAGGATCCGAGACTTTGATTGTAATGTACTAATTTTTCCAGGACCGTAAATGCTATCCTCGCACGGTCCGGACAGGTTTGCGTTGCAGCATCCCGAGTCTACGTCCAACGATCCATCGCGAATGAATTTATCGAAAAATACACGGAGCGCATGCGAACAGCTGTTGAAAAAATCGGCGATCCCCTAGACAAAGCAACCATGATGGGACCACTGGTAAACAAGACCGCACTCGAGAGGGTGAGCAAGATGATCGAGAGGGGAAAGAATGAAGCAGAGCTTGTTGTTGGTGGTCTGCGCCATGGAGAACAAGGCTGCTTTGTCGAGCCGACTGTATTTCTGAACCCACAGAAGGGAGCCCAGATATACAGCGATGAGATATTCGGCCCGGTTGCTGTTGTTAAGACGTTTGACACGGAAGAAGAAGTTTTGAAGATGGCGAATGATACCGAGTACGGATTGATGTCGGGAGTTTTTACGAAGGATATTAATCGTGCCATGAGGGTTTCTGCTAAGCTGGAATCTGGCGTTGTAGGAGTCAATTGTGTTAGCTATGTGAGTAACCTGGAAGTTCAAGTTTTATCCTTGTCAGTGTTGATCCATGCTAATACCTATCCTTTCAAAGATGAATGTTCAGGTTCCATTCGGTGGAAAGAAGCAATCTGGCCTCGGAAGGGAATATGGGGAATATGTAAGAGCTACCATGCTGGGTTTATAAACTTACCTAACGGAGCAATTAGGCCTTGCGAGCATTTACAGAACCGAAGACAGTACTTATCAAGTGAGTTTACTCTCTTCTGGTCTTCAGTGGAGACTAGGGCTAACGATATGTAAAGTATGAATTAAGGAGGGAGATTTAGGATTATTTTTGGACGGAAATAGCTTCGGCAGAGATATTTTATTCAAGTTTTTAAATAAATCTTATGTTTTCCGAACTTGATGTTGTGATCAGGAGACATAGATGGGGCAAAGTCGTGATAGTGGTGAGGGGGGGGTAGAACCACGCTTCGCGAGTGGTAAATTCGCCATTTCTCGTATGTGAGCTTGTGTAGGGGCTGCCACTCGTCGATCTAGCGATAGTATCCGCTGCTGAAGTAGTTCCTCCTCGATAGATGTCAATTTATGGCTATTTGCGAGAGATTCAGCGCGATTTGTAGTCCGCGTAGCCGACGCGTGAGCGTATTACGGGGGACTTGAAATTGGGTTGCAGTCTGCCAAGTAGTGGTGATTTCTTTGTACTGTATAGCCTAAATAGCGAGGAGCATACGTCCGGCCTTCTCGCTGGATTGAATCCTGGCTTGATCTAACACGATTTGGAGGCATTGTGGTTGATAAAAGATAGATAGACGTGATAGACATGCAAAAAAGTGGTTGGGTGGTTCACTCGTTTACATGGCCCACTCGCTTACCGACCACGTTAGTGCCAAGCAAGCACTCATGTTGGTTACATGCTGATCCAGCGTCAGCTGATCATCCCGCGTTGCCCGGCCAGCCTGACCGGCAATATAAGGCGGTGAACAGCGGTCAACCTCCGTTGTCATGCACGATAATGACGTCACCGATATATCGCATTAGGTAATATCTCGTGATTTTGCGAACTCTGGACATCCGAAATCGTACCCTCTTACTGTACGTCTATCGTTCGCTCCAATTCCTAACGACATCATACACATGTGATTCAAATAGGAGGGTTAGACAATCACACAGTATGATTTCAATAGCCTGGCAATGAAGCCCCGAAGCCTATAAGAAGAAAAAGCTGAATTTTTCGGTTTGCGCAGAGCAAAATGAGCCACGATTTTAACCCAACTGCATCTGCGCAACAGCTAGCGGACATCATTCCACATGGCTTAGCAATTCTCAATCATAAATGCGAACTGGTTTCCCAGAACCCCAGGTTCCGGGCGCTGATTAAGTGTTCAAATGCAAACTTTTCGGATTGCTGGTTGCACTCAATCCATCCGGACGACATCGACCGCGTGACTACTTGCTTCGATGAGGCTCTGTCATCAAAGAAAGTGTTGCGCGTCGAATACCGCGACCGGAACCAGGACGCATGGTGTGTGCTTACTCTGAATCCTCTTGTTGCAAATTGGCATGCTTTTGGCCTTGATGCCCGTGGGGGGGTTTATTGTCACAATTGCGGATATTACACCAGAAAAGAGGGCCGAATTTTCTCAAAGACAGATTGCCGAAGATGCGCAAGAACACAAACAATTACGAGAGCGATTTATCGACATGATTAGCCATGAGATACGAAATCCCCTTTCTGCGATATTACATTGCACCGAGGATATCATTGAGGCATTACGCGACAAAGAAACCCACAAAATACCGCTTTCGTGTGTGGCCGAATCAGCGGAAACTATCAGTCTCTGCGTTGCGCACCAGAAGAAAATCCTCGACGATGTCCTTACTTTCTCGAAAATCGACGCATCGATGCTGCTGTTATCACCGCGGAGAGTGCAACCGAAAGTACATTTTGCGGATCCGATTTCTCTATTTCGGCCACAGCTGCAAAGGGAAGGCATTCAATTCAGTTACCAAGCTGACTTTTCTTATGCCGATTGTGAAATTGAATGGGTTATGGCCGACCTTAATCGAATGGGCCAGGTTCTTATCAACCTTCTCTCCAATGCAATAAAATTCACAGCCAGATCGGAGAACGAGCGAAATATTCGAGTCTCAATTGGTGCTTCAAAAGAGCGGCCTTCTTCATACCCTCCAAATGTTGTCTTCTTTCGGTCGGGCGAGAATGCGCTAGGCCTTGATACGACCTCCCAGCCTGAGTGGGGCTCCGGACAATTTGCATATATCATGCTTGCTATCAAGGACACTGGCATTGGCATCAATGATCATGCGCAGATGCGGCTGTTTGAAAGATTCAATCAAGCCACCCCAAGGACGGAGGGGATTTATGGCGGCTCTGGTCTAGGTCTCAATGTCAGCAGAAAACTGTGTCATCTTCATGGTGGAGAGATTGGCGTCAGTTCGAAAGAAGGAGAAGGAAGTACTTTTGGTTTCTTCTTTCGAGTGCGCAAGAGCGATGGTCTAAGTGGTGAGGGGTTTAGCGAGGATAATATCTCGGAACTGGACAAGTTGTCTCATGACATCCAAGCGTTAGGCAGAGAGCTGGCAGTTGATGAAGGATCAACACAAGAAATTCGGATACCAGAAAACCCCCCGTTGACTCATATTGAAGAGTTAAACCCGGAAGCCCCTCTGGATGAAAAGACGAGGCATACATACGAGATTGCGCGGCAAGCAACCATTCAGGATATTGAAAGTCATCAAAGCCAGAACGAGGAAAGGGCCACTAAACGCATACTCGTGGTTGAAGATAATGTGATTAATAGGAAAATCCTGTCTCGGAAACTGGTAGCATTGGGGTTTCAAATCATGGAGGCCAACAATGGCCGAGAGGCTTTGGATGCCTTCCAGAACAGTACGGTTGATTGCATTCTCATGGACCAGGAAATGCCTGTGATGGATGGTAATTCAGCAACCAAGCTTATTCGACAGCTCGAGAAGGGAAGTGATGCACATATTCCCATTTTAGGAGTGACAGCAAACGTCAGAGTGGCGCAACAGTCAGAAATGCTCGAGGCTGGGATGGATGACATTATCCACAAGCCCTTCCGTACTGAGGAACTCGTTGCGAAAATCAGTCAATTTGTCCCTTCAACGGTTGAAATGACAGATGAAAAGCACCCTGAGACCTTTGTCACGTCGGACAAGGGATAAAAGCGGCATCGCGACCAAATTTGTAATGGTATTTAACGTTTCAAAAGCCATGTTCAAGGCATAAATCGTCCACATTCTCGCAAGTCATGCTGAGTTGGGTGTGAATCCGCAAGAACCATGATGGCTGCGGGCCGCTGGCATGGGCGGTGATCAAGACGAGACCACTGCGCAGTTGTGGAAGTGCTGATGGAGCACAATGAGATTGATACAGAGTCGATGCACTGTACAAGGATGGGTGGACGTTACGCATGGACATGTCAAAGCCATTCTCGAGTCGTGGTAGTGGAGCAGGCTTATGTAAATATTCTGTCCTTGGGGACTTAAATACTCTGACTTCCAGGCAAGCTCTTCAGCCTTTGAATAGATGAAGGGTGATTTGAAAATCGGAAATTTAGTATGAAAGGACGTCGGTATGTGTTTCCGAATATCTTAGACAGTCTATATCCTTGCTTTCCGTTATTGCGAATGAAGATAAATATTGCTTCACAAATGGCCAATGTGGCAGGAATATAAGATGAGTGTGCTCGGGTTCCATGGAGATTGAAAGATGATTTACCTAATTTTGAGCCGACTCTTCAATGTCTGGTTTTCTAACGCAGCCTTAGTGAAGTTCATCATTCAGCCTTGAGAGTTATCCATATTCCGGATGAGTCCACAAGATCAATGACCTGAAATTGTTGAATTGTTCAGAAGGTTTAAATGACCTCTTGATAACCAATGGCGACCAGCGTGAGGATGTCGCTCCCTGTTAAGATTGATTCACTATACTGTAGAGGCGTGGACCTCACCGAAGTTTATATGTGACACCCATAGTAACCTTCAGGAGTCTACCATAGTCGCGTACTGCGGTCAAACTCTGAAAAGGGCACCAAGAAGGCCTATCTAATCTCCTTATATCTTGTAGCAGGCTCTAAAATTATCACCAAAAAATACTTAACTGGCCTAAAGATTACGGAGATCTACATATTTTGCGTTTCCGTACGTGGTTGAACTTGCGCATAGCTCATCAAAGGGATTGGAGGCACACAAGGATAGCATTTAAATCAGCATAAGTTTTACTTGTCACTCATATCATGTTCCGGTGGCATTTCTTGGCCCCATGATTGCCATGACATCAGGTATTGCATAACTGAACCACTCCCCTAGTGGACAACACGCTGTGCAATGGCCTTGATTGGTACATTTACTCTCACCAAAGAACCTTGCTAGTCTGCTCACAGATGGTCGCCTTGCGGTTTTGATGTGATCACCATGGGCGCCACCGTAAGATCACAATACCCTACTGGTCCCTAGATATAGTCGCTTGATTGAAATAATATATTAAAAACATAGAACGATGCGATGCTTCTCTACGCGAAGCATTCCAATGCTAGATCACTGTCTCTCGTTCATACCTACGATTACCCCTTCAGTTTAAGTTTGTCCCTGGCTATTGCATTCATCTTTTTTCAATTGCTCTACGGCAGCCTGGAGACTTGCAAATTGCGTTTCCACCTCTCTTTTGCTGTGCGGCCCTTCCGGAAGAAGAGAGTTGGTTCATAGATTTGTCATCCATTTACATAGCCGGACTTGCTTCTTCGACTTTGCTATGATAATTTAAATCTAATGCATGACCCGCCATCTAGAGGCAACACGTTACGTCTTTCATTTGAAATTTGTGGGATTGAAGAAGGCCTTGACAAAGTCTTACCACGGGTAGGGCTCCGAAAGGAATATGATTATTCGTGATCAATCATGAATATTTGCCAATATGAATAGTATGAATTGAATAATATGGATATGAATCAGCCCTTTATTTATGTTGAGTATCACGGTGGTCAAAGCATGTAGTGGGGATCATCAAGAGACAGATAAATAGATGAGGAGCCCCACCTCCAACAAGATAGTTCAACTTAACCTACTGGGAGATGTCCCCTTCGACAGCGAACTCAGAAATTACCTTCTCAGGGCCACCATCTCGATGTCAGAGAAGGCCAGCTCAACTTCCGAAGAGAAATTCAGAACAACAGAGTATACACTCTTGAACATATGGAGAGCTAAATCTTTTTTCGCATTTTGGATGCATTCGTAGCTGGCGCTTCAAACAAATCCAGAAGTAATATTTTCCAACACTTTCACCTAATGCACTCTTTGGAGCCTACTGACACTTATCCACTGAAGACGCATCAAGGGCCACTGTCCCAATTACGACCCCTCACAGGACTACAAGACCCTCGAAGTACCCCCAAAGCTCAATCTACACGTCCCAGCCTTGAGAAAGGACCAAGTCACTGTAATACTCCTACTGCTGGCACTTTCTCCCAGTCAGGAAACGTTGTTGGGGCCTCGACTCTGACCTCGCCAGATCCTGCGATTGGAGACGAATTATTAATATCTATTAACAATAATACGAATCACTAGAAACTTCGGCCTAACAGACCTTCAACCTTCTCGCAAAAGGAGCCACGATATCTAGTTAACTGGCGTCATTTCCCCGACTTCTCCAAATCGTATAGACGCTCCCTGAACCTGTGCGGGTTTCCAGACAGAGACTATACTCCACCATCTCGAACGCCTACGCCAAACTCAGCAGACCGTAGCCTTTTCATCGTCTCATGCCGCCTATGGAGTTACAGCCTGAATCGGTCCTGGCATTGTAATAATCTGACGTTACATCCCATCCCTCCGTGTCAAGCTTCCGACAGAATGGAACTAAGCGGGCTGATATTGTAGGATCGCAGCTCTCCACGGATTGTCTTTGGCTTGGCCCCCTTATAGTTTTGTTCAAAATCAGCTTTAACTCCACACTCTCTCGCACTGTTTCCTAGAGCCCCACCAAAATCCAGCCATACCGGATTTGGTCAAGGATGACCCACTTGATTTCTACCGTAACACTCATTTCCAAAGATAAGCACTCTGACAAAAGATCTTCAACCTATAGGCTACTTGGCTTACCACTACACAACATCCTTGATTACTTCTCGAGCCCTAGCACTAGGATTCATTTATCTCCGGAATAGCAATATTCCTGTCTCGTAATAACGACTTGATCTGTACAGCTTTCCAATTGCCCAGCCAATCTCGCTGACTAATCACATTGGATCACGCGACAGGACAAATAACGTCATGAGTCCTAACTATTCAGTTCGAGAAACTTGAGTATCCCTGTTCAGATACAGTCCCCATCGCAGGCTTGGAAAATCATCTGAAAATACAGGACTAATCTCGCAGAATGCAGTCAGGAGGACCAGATCCCGAAGTAGGTCCTACCTATCCTAGAACCAACAACGCTAATATTCCTCTCAGCCATTGTCTAAATCCGAGAGCCGTCTCCTCGAAAAGTACGGAAAGCTACCGCGTGGAGGCTTACTGGCTCAAAAGTCCAAGGTACTTATAATACAGTTTCTTATAGCGCGCGCTAACTGATAATCGGTAGGAACGGACATACTTTGACTCTGGCGATTTCGCTCTTTCTACCGCTAATCGCGAGACTGACAACGGCGCTATTCAAACGGGTAGAGCCCATCCATATCGAGAAAGCATTTCGCATCCTTATGCCTCTATCCCAGCCTCTAGTAACGTTGACGAAAATGCCAACGAAGATATGTATAGAAAAAGTCCGAGTATTAAAAAGAGTCCTCTCCTTCACCAAACAGATATTAAAGATGAACCGACAAACAAGGAGGGACAGGACGATCATATGTATCACGAGAATTAAGGCCAAATTGTCGTATTAAAATGGAAAATAAATTGTATATCATTCAACACGATAGCACGAGCAGCACAATAGACAAAGAGGCATAATCTAATATCTTTTCTATTTGTGAGGTTACGGAATACTTTTTAATCATACGACCGCTATATCTTTGAAAAAGTGGTGCTTTTGTACGCTGCCTAAAGAGTATTATCCCTCCTTGGCATTAGGGTTCGAGGAATCATCAAAGAACGTATGTGGTAACACCGGACTCCTGAATCTTTATATAGGTGTGTACATTAGGAGCAAGGTATAATGGGAACACAAACCAGAGTCTGTCTGCTCAGCGACGGAGCATGATAAATATCATATAAGATTGGACCTAAAGTGTCTGTATCTCCGATGGTTTGTGAATCTGTGGAGGGAATGAACATCATGTCAAAGTAAGTGTTCTTTATTTTTAGAAGGCTAAAAGACTTTATACGACGTATAGCATAATTGGACGGTTGGACGATGATTTGTGTGCGAGGGTTTCCAGGTGGCAGGCTATATTCTACTTACAAAACCGGACGATAGGTTCTATAGGGGGACACAGCATAGAACATCTGTGTTGAACATGCTACTTAAATTCCTATTACCCTTTTTTCTTCCAAAAACTATTGCAGGTGCTATCCACTGGTGATTAGTTAACGTAGTTCACGGCCGGTCGGGACACACGGTCGGTCGGGACACCCTAAAACACCATACTCAATGCGATTTTTCAGGTCACAGTATATCAACAACGAGAAGTTGGTTCTGGTTGATTTTTAGTAAGATATGATTTCTTAGCATTTGAAATAAACAAGCTTAGCTGACATATTCAGAAAGTAATTATTTACTAGCATTACCAAAAATACGCTCCGATTGAGCGATATAGATATATATATCTACAATATTACGCTCTTATATAACTTTCAAAGCTATAAACATACTCAGTATGATATATTGAACTCTAAGATAGCCTAAGACTATATAATTAGCCTTAAGCGTTGAAATATGAAGTTAAGAAAAATCGCATTTAGTATGGTGTTTTGGGGTGTCCCGACCGACCGTGTGTCCCGACCGGCCGTGAACTACGTTACCGTAATTTACTATGACTCATCAAGAATACATTGGCAGATGCGATGTGGATCCAAGTCTAGCCTAACCTGGAATAATGTGCTTCAGGTGGAGCTCTAGGAAACAGTGTGAGAGAGAGCGGAGGTAAAGCTGATTTCCAATATTACTGTATTATATTGTACAAACATTCTTTAATAATGTAAATTCCGCCAACATGAGAAAGCTACAACCAAGTCTTACAACCATTTCATCCTCCTCCACTTCCAATCCCTCGTCATTAGGACCAGTGGTATGATTAATTCAGCGACTGATGTTTTAGAATTATACTACAACCCAGCTTGATTCAAAGGATGTATATAGAACCCTTCATTGCACATCACACAACGGACTGATTGTACGTTGCTGACATAGTACAAAACGATGAGCTGGATCTGAATTGTGTCAGCTTTCCTATCACGAAGGCTCAAATTGTGGAAAAATGCCTCAAGTGCAATGGCCCATTTCCTTGAAATTATGCCAAGAATAGCGGCTCCTAGCAATAGAAGACCCATATTTAGTAAATGAGCTAAGATAATATACAACATTTTCCGGCCCTGCGTAGCACCCATTACTAACCACAGGTACTATACTGTTTTACTGAGATAATCTAGAAAGGCAGGAAGGGATAATGCAATAAATGTTATATAGCAGAAATTCCCCTATAAATGTCACTGATATCTTTGAGATCGTAGAGGCCAAAGCATAAACTTAGAATACAATACGTACTGATTATTTTATAAATGGATTATTGAGCTACTGAAAACCAATGCAAAGAAACTGGGCCAGCATTGGCATAAAATTAGCCTTTTTCTCGAGCTATAACGAACGGTTTATATATCAGGAATTATTAAAAGAATTCCAAGAAGTATTTCGATCTATATCGATAGCTTCTTCCTCTAAAACAGCCCTGTTAATATAATAGACAGAAGAAAAGATAAAGCGTATACCGCCAAGTCTATCTTATAAAATGGCCAATCACCTTCGAAAACCCACTGAAAACGTAATCTGGTAATCAAGGTAAATAGAAATATTGTGATGAGAAGTGCTTAGATAGATAGTTCGGAAGCTATAATAAAGACTGCCCAGTGAGGAATGAGTCGGGCGTATCGCCGTTATCTCTGCCCCCAGCACTGGGGTAGTTCATTTTGGAAACTGTTGTCATGTATGCCGTATTTTTGCGTCGCCTTCGCGACTTCTGGACGTGTAATCGGGAGCTTGGATCCCATGAGCATTTGATTTTGGCTTTAACACATTGCTGAGATGTGGGGTGTCGTTCATCACAGTTGATCTTTCGAAGAAGACAGCTAGTGCAGCCTGTACTGGGTTAAAACCCTTATCTCGTACAGGTCAAGGCGGCATACCTGTCTTGGAGCGTTCCTTGTGACTTGTCATGATAGATAGCGCGAGACTGTTCTGCAAAGGCGAGATTGGAAGTTCGACAGTTACTCAACTCGGGCAACTGATACGAATCGCTATAGGCTACTTAACAGGAAAAGAGGACGAAAAGCAGTCATTTTCCTTCGTGACGTGATAAAATGGAGGGGGATAGGAAGGAGCAAACAGATACCTGATGCCAAGGCCTAATACCAGCAGTAGGTAACTCAAGTATTCATGGCAGGAATTGAGAAGATACACTTTCTCTATCCCAATACGGCTACTTTCATATTTGAGTATCTGTTCCGTGTTTGAATGGTAATAAGGCGAAACGTATAGAGATGGGTACCTTATCCGACAGCCTGAGGCTTCTCCTTAACAGCTGTCTGCTGTCTAAAAGAGCATAGTCATGTGATATTTTCATTCATTGAACCTTCTAACGACCTTCAAGACATGTTTGAACAATGCAAAGCAACTCAGGAATCAATTCCTTCGGAGATGCATCCATCCTCGTCTCCAATACCGCTGGCCTCCCGATGAGAACCCCCCCCCACATGTATACGAAGCCACCATCTTCGTATTACCTCTACAGTTCGACCACCAGCTTCGTGGCACTGATACCCGTCTTGGACTTTTCTAATGCAGATTGGATATGCTCCAACCCTTTGCCGACGATGAATGGGGGTGGGAGGCACTGGAGCTTCCCGGATTGCAACGCAGGCGTAACATAGTCTTTCCAGACAGGCGTCACAACATCGTTGACAGCAAATATCATACCAGCGTTGACATTTGCAGGGAGATCAGTAGTGGGGGAGGAGGGGATGCACGCAAGCGAGGTGTCCTCCGTCCAGCTGCTCAAGAATAGTGATGTCGTTGGCGTAAGTCTCAGGGGTAGCTATGGCATCGAAGATGCCAATGAACTCGCTGCCTTTCTCTCGAACTGCTTCGATAACCTTCCCTGCAAGCGAAGTATCCTTGTGATCGAAGACTCGAGCTGCTCCGCATCGCTTGCTGAATTCAAAATTGTGCGCACCGGAAATAGCGATAACGTGGATTCCGGCGGCCGTGGCAATCTGGATCGTCATCGAGCCGACAGAAGATGAGCCACCGTAAACGACAAGTGTCTTGCCTGAGGATGGCACGTCATGCAGCGAGGGGTACGGAAGGCCCAGGGCTGGTGTAGCAAAACCGGGCATGGCGACCCCAGGCTCCTCGACGGAAAGCGCGCAAACAGCCGCCTCCAATGCGAACGGCACGACGACACCATCCGTGAATGAGATCTCATCAGGAAGTATAGCCGCTTTATCAGCAGGAATTACAGTATACAGAGCGAATGCGCCATCCTGAGGGCGGCCACTAGTCAGATTGATGGCATGCCTGTTGAACAGAGGTAACATTAGATTGGAATAATTTAATCTCGAGAGATCAATTCTTAAGCAACATACCCAATAACACGGTCTCCTCCCTTGAATCTTTCCACATCTTTTCCTACTTCATACACTTCACCGGCGATATCGCAGCCGAAAATAGCAGGCCATTGCTGAACAAAGACACCGGAGTCTTGCATATGGCAGTCGAGAGGGTTGATGGCGATGGCGGCATTTCTAATGACTAGTTCACCCGGGCCAGCTGTGGGGAACGGGGCATCTCCCAACTCTAGGGGAGAACCGGCTTTGACGAGCCATGCAGCTTGGTTTTTAGGCACTGGCATTCTGATAGGAAGAATAAGCGGAGAAATCTTTGCCTGAAGCTGGAGGTGACAAGAAGAATGCGATGCCGACCAAAACGGTTAATTGATTCCTTTGGTTGATGCTAAGTAGGGAGAAATGTCATTTTGAGCAGAACCTGCCGAGTTATAAGTGCTTTCGCATATCTGATCACAGCCAAGGAGGAATGGTAATTAGCAGTCAAAATAAGCATTTGATTTCAAATCGATATCATTATTTCAAAGCAGCTCGGTAGTAAATAATTATTACACAACGACGCATGCAAATGTTAGGGTACGTTGGGATTATCTTAGGCCCGAGACCTGAGCCTTTGAGAACCGCATGTGCCGTTCCCATTTGGAACCACATAAGCCGTTGTACGATTAAATCCGAGTTAATTCCGCACTAAATAACCAACTGGATCAAGGCCTCAAGAGTGAAGATGTTTCCATTTATTGTACTAACACGTATGGCGTGTGCGTGGAGGGAGGAAAATCCAGAGGAACGTAGTCGCATAGGTGAGAGAGTCAAGCTCTCTCCCTGACTATCTAATTAGTTACATGTAGTTAGTTCATGACTGCCTGAAACCTAAGGCGGTAAAGTTGGTGCTTGAGGCACCCACACTCGCTAGTTATTAACTAGTTAACAAATTAGTTGACACAAACGAGAAGGCCGAAGATGGAATACCCTGGCAACGGCAGTACATGGCCTTTAGGTCCCCGCATTATCTACACGTGATCACGTCATCGTTCGCAATCTCCCCAACGTCTAGCCCTTCTTCCAACTTGAGCGATAAACGGTTGTCAGCTACTATGCGACTGGGTCCACACGATCTGCTCGAGTACAATGCAATATACAAAGTGCTAATCTGCCGAGATTGCCACTACGCTATTCAGAAAAATGCGCTGGGAAGCCACTTGCTCCGCCACAAAATTTACCGTGAAGAAAGACAACGCTTACTGTCCACCATTAACGGCCTTGACATCGTTGAACCGGATGATCTTCCCCTGCCCAACGCAAATACACTACCGGTTGATACTCTACCTGTGGTATCTGGGCATTGCTGTACTGTGGCTGGATGTGGACATCTCTGTGCCAGCTCTAAACGCATGAGACGCCACTGGAGCGATGCCCATGGCGTCAATGGATCAAATAATTTTTCCTCTCTTGCACGCGCAGTAAAGCTTCAGACATTCTTCCGCGGTACGAAACTTAAGTATTTCGAGGTCTCGGCGACAAGCAGCAATGCCGAGTCACAGCTTTCCGATGATAAGATTGGATATGGTAGAGAGGGCTCTACGCTGAACGCAGCGCCATCACCAGCACAGTCTACGCCAAACTCCGAGCCTTGTCCTGCGGTGGACCTAGAAACATTGATATATTTTCATCATTTCATCACTGCAACGAAACTGTCACTTCCTGGGGCCGTGGACTCTCTACCGTCGTCACAATACTGGGAGAAAGACATCATTCCACTGGCTCTACAGCGACGGTGGCTAATGTGCGGATTACTGGCCATTTCCGCGTACCATTTAGCCACGTTCGAGGATGAGACAACAGCACAAAAAATTCACCGTGAGCGGGCGGCAAAGTTTAATTCCGAATTCTTTGCCGGGTTCAACATGATAACCAACGATGATACGAATACAATGGCCACCGAGGCTTTCCAGAAAGCAAACAAGGCAGGAATACAAATCAGAAGCATCCTGAACTGCATACAATGGACTTTAAATGGATTCACTATGAGCCAAGAGACTACCCCAGGTCCTGCAACCTTTTCTCAGCTAGAGTCCATACTACAAGGCATTCGAAGTTCTGTTTCTTCTGAATCGGTGACGTCTTTATGCAAAGATCAGAGCAGGGATGAGGGCTCTCAGAGAGCCTTAGATAAGAATGGCTCCTTAGAAAACGACAATGCACGGACTATGCTACTCAACCATATTCATATGCTTCCGTACCGCATGGCAGAGATTTTCGGAAAACCAGATCATGATCAAGATGCTCCAGCCATTCTGCTCGCCATTGAAGCCTTGTTCAAATGCTGTATTAGCAGTTTTGAATCTGATGATTTGTTAGGAGTGTGGCAGTGTATGGCCGCATGGCTGATTAAGACACCGGATCATTTCAACCGTATGGTATCGCTCCAAAACTCAGCCGCGCTTGTTGTTCTAGCCTACTGGGCCGCCATTCTGGTTGAACGAGCCGAAAGTCGTGGGGTTTGGTTTATACATGGCCTCCCCAGGAGAATATTGTTACAGATTCGGGAGCATCTTTCTACAGATGATGCGGCTTGGGCTTTAGTTCAAGAAATGATGGTATGAGCTGGAAACTACGACCCTCAGATAATTATTTGAATAGCACTTTCAGACTTGAGCCATATTTTGGCCATCTATATCCTTATGTAAATTATTAGACCCTTCCTTGGAAATGCCACTTGGTTTGAAATACTTCACTCAATATGTCAGCTCGTATGTGTGCCCATTCAAGGAGCCCGAAAGCAGCCCTACGAACTAGACTATAGTTCGATAAAGAAAATGGCCCTTTTCCTTTCGTAAATTTCCGACAGTCAACCTATGCACGGTACGTATTTAATAGGACAGGGTATTATTACCGAGGACGTACAAAACTCGAAATTCACACTAATCTATATTGGGTTTAGTTCGCCTGTGATTAGGGCTGGGAAGAGTATCTCTCTGTTTCCAAGCAGGGAAGGCAATAACGGTCGCCACTGTAGAGTGTATGTATCCTTGTCTTCCCTCCGGTCGCTCTTCTATGTGACATTCTCTCGGTTCGAGCTACGTCGCGTCCTCTTCGGCGATATTCTGTGTCGGGGGTAATCTCGTCATATGTATGCTGAACCGATACCTGCAATATATATATCCCCAGACCTGCACTATCGTATACGTATGGATGGATGGATGATTTCATTTACCCTGACCCCTCACAATTGAAAGCGATATGCAGGCTACAACTACTTTCGAGATACATCTTGATTATTCCATTGATTGTTTCAAACTGCCTGAATGGTGGACTTTGAGTCTCACCTGGTAAAGCATGTCGTGGCCTTGTTGCCATTGGTGGTATTTGGCTGCCTTTATGGCGTGACTATGGTGAGATTGCGAGTAAGACGGACTGAGAGCGTCCGATTTTGGCTGCATTTCTGTTAGGAAACGCGAGAACGCGGGCAAAGCTGAAGCTAAGAATCTGGACAGTGATTGCGTTGCAGATGTAGTTTTGTTTCGAATTTGTTTATTTGCACGTTGGTTTGGCCTATCTTTGAGCTGGAACGGTGACGATTTATTGTGAAAACGGTGGCGAAGATCTTTAATTGTGAGCACGGATTTAGTGGGTATGATAGGTTCTTGAGTGGGAAGAGGAATTGATTCTGATTTGGATGCGGTAGATTGCTGAAGGATAGAAGTATAGGTTGTTTATAGGTTTTGGGGCGAGGAGATAATGGGCGGTATCAGATAAGGAGGTTGGGAAGAGTAGGTTGGTAGGGCTATGAGTGGTTCTAGGTCGGTTGTGATTGCTGGTGGTTGAGAGTAAGGGTCGAGGTCAATCTTCGAAGATTTCTGTACTGTAGTGGGTGCTTATGGTGTTATTTGGGGTAGTATCTGCGTGCTGGCGTTGGTGGTTGTCTTCTTAGATGGTTTATGTCCTGCGGAAGTACGGTGGCTGGACGTTGGCTGTCTAGGTGGAGGGGATACGTTGGTTTGAGGACGAGGTGTATCCGTAGCTTCGAGAGTTTGTTTTAGCTCGTCGTATATGACTTGCTATACACAGTCGTTAATATGTAGTTGCTGTCCTTCTTGGAAAGCTTTGCTTTGGAGCCGCCCAGGCGTACGAATGCTTGACAAGCAAGGCAGCAGGCCATGTCACCGAAGGGTGCGTTTGGTTCATAGAAGAAACCGGCTCGGGCCATTTGGAGCGGAGTAACGCCATCGAGCACTTGTCCCTGGAATGACCGAGCTCGCGCCTCGACGGTGGAAAGGCGGTTGCGATGAAGTGTTTTTCTCGAGGGACATGGGGAGAGGTGGTTTTTTGAATGGAGCGGCGGGTTTTGCGGGTTTGGAGGTAGAGGAAAGGTGGCGGGGAGTTGGCAGTGGGTTTTCGCTGCTCATTCTGGAGTGGTCCTTCTGGAGTGCTCTCCTCTCTTCTTGTAGATATCGCAAGGTACTGTAGTTCAGCATTTCTTTCTTTTTTACTTTCTTTTTTTTTCCCTTTTTCCCTTTTTTTCCTTTTTTCTGTAATTGGTGGATCTTGTAATTGCGTAGATAGTTTCAAGGTTGCACACAGCCACGATGCCAAAAGCTCCCCGTATCTTGGCATCTTGGCATTTGGCATTATCACTATAAATGTGTCTTGGTACTGGCTACATGAAACAATGAAGCACCAATGCGGAAAATACGACGTTAGAAAATATCTTATATTCCCGTGAAAGGTAGAGATGGAATGCCCCAGGCTGAACGGTGACCTGGGCCCTGCATGACTTCTAGGGAGCCGTGGGGTAATTCCATCCAGTCAGATATCGTAGAGTTTCTTCATGGACATTAAGAAGCCCTGCAGCCGGACGGAGTGTATGTGGCTGAGACAATATAGGGTAAGCCCTGTCCTTTTGTGAGCTCCAAAGTTATAAAGTCTCCCTTTTGACCCACGATTTGATCAAGCATCAAGCGTTCAACTATCAACTAAGGAAAATGCATTCTAGCGCTATCATTCTCGGTCTCATTGGCATTGCCAGTACCCAGACTCTCAACATCCCCTCTCGTGTGGGTGGTATTATCTCTCTGCCTTCTCATAGTGAGATCTCGGGCAGTGTTGATCTGGGCAACCGGGAGTACGATCGTGGTCAATCCTGCGACAACGACGATGACTTTGGTATGTCTATATTAAAAGAACGAGCCCAAAGAACAGAGCTAATTGAATATAGGCGACCACAACGCCGTCTTCATCTTGAAGGATGGAGCTTCACTGAGCAATGTGATCATTGGAAAGAACCAACTTGAAGGCATCCACCGCAAGGGATCTTGCACCCTGACCAACGTCTGGTTCCGTGATGTCTGCGAGGTGAGTAGTCCCATTATCTATCTGGCCTACTGGTACTAACGTGGCCCCTAGAGGATGCCATCTTCATCCTTGGGCCCGGAGATGCCCAAGAAACAAATCAAATCAAAGCGGGGTTTCGCCAGATTCTATGGGCGAGTTACATGCCTGTGGGCGGGTAAGGAAATGAAAACCCGCCCCAAACCCGCGTTTGGCGAGCTCTACCCTTGAGTCCTTGACCATTCCACCACGTGATATCTTCAAGCCTTACGTCATCGACTTGTATGCAGTTCCTAGAAAGGGGAGCTATCCAAGTATCTAATGCAGCCAAATGCACCGAATATGAAAATGGTCTGGGTGCAATCTTCTACCAGAATCACTGCACGCTATGGATCAGACGATCCACGACCACCTGGATCTCGCGACCATGGGCTACAAGCAAGCATTCTCGCGCAAGTTTAATCAATGGAGTATGCTTGCTTTAGCTTTCAATATCTTGGGTACTTGGGCAACACTGGCATATGACCTGGGTAGTGGTTTGGCTAATGGCGGGCCTGTTTGTATCCTCTGGGGTCTGTGCTCCGTCACTCTCTGCAACATTTGCGTCGCCATATCACTTGGCGAACTATGCAGCAGTATGCCCACTACCCTGGGGCAGGCTTACTGGATATTCCGCCTCTGGGAACATCCTGTGGGGCGTTTTGTCTCGTATATTTGTGCCTGGATAAATACATTTGGCTGGTGGGCTGCCACGGCATCACAAGCTGCCTTCATGACTAATTTCATGTTCTCAATCAAGTCCATGATCAATCCTAGGTGGCAAGGCGCCAGTGGCTGGTTGCTATTTGTTGTTTACCTTGGTATCACACTGCTTTTTACCATCGTCAACGCAATAGCATGCCGCAAGGATGGTATTCTGCCATGGTTCAATAATATCGTCGCTGTCCAATTTGGCATCCTTTTTGTCGCATTTACACTGGCCATACTCATCTCGGTCGGTATCCGACCGAATTTGCGATACCAAACGGCACCATTTGTTTTTGGTCAATGGCTGAACCTAACTGGCTGGCCTGATGGCATTGTGTGGTTTATTGGTCTCCGCGAGGCTGCTTATAGTCTGTCCGCATTTGATTGTGTTATTCATATGGCAGAGGAGATCCCAGCTCCAAGGACCAATATCCCTCGAGTACTTTATCTCGTCGTGATCATAGGCGCCTTAACAGGATTTCTCTTCATGATCGCCTGCCTGTTTTCCATCCAGGATTTATATGGGATCCTACAGTCTCCAACCGGACTTCCATTTACGGAACTAGCAACTACCACGGTCGGACTGAATGGCGCAGTTGCGCTGATGATTCTGTTCGAAATTAACGGCTTGGGACAAGGTGTCAGCGTAATGACGGCCACATCGCGTCTCACATGGGGCTTTTGTCGTGATGGCGGCTTGCCATGGGGCGATTACTTGACTCATATTGACTCGTATTGGAATTCGCCTCTGCGAGTGCTGTGTGCTGATACTCTTGTCATCTCATTGATCGGGCTGCTATACCTCTTTAGCAAAACAGCGCTTCAGGCAGTAGTCAGTGCCAGCACGATTGCCCTGACTGTCTCATATGGATTGCCAATTCTCACATTGGTTCTTGTTGGTCGTGACAAACTACCGTCACGGAGATTCGATCTTGGCCGCTGGGGCTATTTGGTAAACTGGATCAGTGTTGTTTACTGCTGCATCATTACAGTCTTTTTCTTCTTTCCAGAAACGCCAAACCCGTCCTCCAATGAAATGAACTATGCTATTGCCGCTTTCGGGATCATGTTGGTGGTTTCAGTGGTACTGTGGTTCATACAGGGCAAAAGGTTTTATTTGAAAGAAGACAGAATGATGCAGGAGACGATTCGCGCAGAAAATTTACTACCTGCGACTCAACACATTCGTTCCGACCAGATTCGCTTTTACCTCGAGACCGACCGAACCAGGCTAGCGGCATCCCGCTTACTGGCGCTGTGGAGCATGGACCCTATGAGGCAGTTGTAAAACTTCCTGCCCAATGCACCCTTTGCTCCTGCTCTCATTATAAACCCAGTACGGCTGGGAACAGTCTTGTCATCCCAGCAAAGAAGCTGGTAACCTTGAATCTTGCCAGAGCGCTGCCGTCACAAACTCTAAGTCTGTTCCGATATCATCATCTCAAACAGCTGCGTCTGACTTGAAACCAGACCAGCCTTGCTCTGACTGTCCAAGGAATGAAATCAATCGTTATCTGGCTCGAAAAGAGGCGGAGTAGAGGGAACTGACAGCGAAACTGACGACCGAAGCCGCCTGAGCTTTAGCGTCAGACATCTTTGCTTTGCCATGGAAACTTTGGTTACCTCCAATGACCACCAAACTAGTGGCGAGACATGGCCTTTTAATATTTAGAGGTACATAAATGGCAATCTTCCGCAGCTTTTCATATCCTATGCTGGTTGATCTGGGGATTAAATTGTGGGAATCGATCGAAGAATGTAAACAGCAACACCAGATTCGAGACTTTCTGTACGTTTATATAAGGCGCGCCGCTTCTTAATATCGGATGTAGTCTCTTCACGACTTGTTGTGGCTTAATTGGCGTTCATTGGCGATATCTTTCATTGCCTTCACTCGCTGCTTTGTCCAATGTCTCCTGCAGTCTGATGTTCATCATCTTCGCAGATTATAGTTTTCCAGTGAAACTCAGACTGAAAAAGTTCAGATCATGGAGTTCCATCATAGCCCTAGTGATCTCCTGAGGTTGCGCTGACGGAATAAGCCGTGGGTTTATTGTCGAAAGAAAATGGGGAATTTCCAGCGAATCTGTAATCGGCTTAGTCAAGGACGACGAGGTCAACACAGACACCTGCCTCAAAATATCAGTCTGTGCCTAGAAGAGAATTCATGCCTTCTGTAATAAATGACCCTTAGGGTTAACATTCACCAAGAAATATTCCCCCAGTTGATCTTCTTTCGAGATACCCACAACTTTCTCAGAAACGTGTATCGCCAGGATGGGTCATTTGTATCGAAGCAGAGAGCAATCGTATACCGCACCATCAATTAACAGATGGAAAAGGGATTGTGGTACAATACAATGGTGTCTATTATGATGGACTTTGATCTCTCGATCTAGAAATTCGCAAGTACTGCGATCTCGTTGTGAAAGGACCCATGACCGGCAGTCCCTGGAGGGGAAAGTCGGTCGAAGTATTAGGCCTCTATGGTTCGAAAGCTGTTCCCTGAGGTACGGATTGATAGTATTCGAGCAAGGGCTCCAATACTCTGAATACTGTTTTCTCAGTAGGGCACCGCTTTGTCTACTACTCTCCTGCACTCTTCGAGTGTGGTGGTTTTGTCCTCTTGCAATCGACCCATCTGCCACAGCAGACTGCCGGCGAGCATTCCCATCTTACACTAACTAATTACTTTGTTAATTAGCATACCTGAACCAGCTCCTCGTTTACAAACCCACCTAACGTGGCCTATCTCTTCGTTCTCATCTAGTCAGTCAAAACGTTGAATTTTCTTCCAGAATTCGAGCAATCCACATATGGCAAAACGTTCGCCGAAAAGGTCTAGTAAAGGGGCCTTTGAAGAGATGCAGACTGCTTTTATCAGTGCCATTGCAGGAAGTACCGTTCTTCTACAGGACCTGTTCCTCGCGAATTTGTCTTAATTTTACGCAACGCAATTCAACAGCTCCAACCGTGTTCACAATTCGAAAACTCTCTATGTTGATTATGATGGTGGTGTAGTCGGTCAGTCGGTGATGGAGGCATACCAGGGATTGAAGGGCAATGGTTTTCCGACTTTGTACGCAAAGACCGCCAGTCAATATTCCACACCAGAAGATGTTAGGGGGGGCAGTCTGCAGTGGTGACTTCTGGGCCGCTATCTATACTTCCACGAATGCCCCAGAAAGTCTCAAAGCAAAGCTGGCTAATGGAATAAACTCCTCGGAGACGGCCCTGACCTATGTCTGGAATGGCGCACGATATCCTACCTTAGCTCAAAGTGACATCTAATCAAAAATATTGGTCTTGGGTGAGGCTTCTCGCTCGGTCTACTATGCCAGCAGCGCTTCAGGCGTACTTGCTTCTACCAATCTATCAAATCCTGTGGCACTCGAAGCTTTCCTGGACCCCGTACCAGTCTCTGATATCAACATCCAATCAACGGTTCAAGGCACACGAGTTCTTTACAACACGGTATCAATGGTCATGCCAATTCTACAACAATTCCTCTTCGCAATGGCACTTAATAGATTATCAGTCAAGTTTCGCATCTACTCCAAGTTGGGAGTCATGACGAACAGCCTCATTCGAATGGTGACCTCTGTCATCTTTACCTTCGTTGGAGCTTTTTGCATGACTGGGTACATTTGGGGATTCAAGGAGGTATGGGCTGTGACTGGTAATCATTTCATCCCTACCTGAGTGGTTGTATGGCTTTTCATGCATATCAACTTCATGATTTTCGATGTTATCATAGCTTTCGTACCTATACAGTTCATGCCTTTCTGCGTCCTCGCCTGGATCATCACGAATGTTTCCAGCTGCATCAGTCCGTTTGGATTAAATCCTGGCTTTTTTCGATGGGGCTACGCACTTCCTGCCCATGAGGTTTACCAAATGCTCGTTCAGATTTGGAGTAATGGATGCCAAGACCAGTCCTATCGCGCGCTTCCAATTTTGTTTGCATGGTGGATCGTGGGACTGTCGACTGCTTTTTATTCTACTATTCACCGGTGCCGAGTGACTCTGGAGGCAATGAGCGAAAGATAGTCCGGAAATGTCAGGAAAGCAACTTGAGGCAAATTAGCTTCACTCGCAACAGATGTCATACGGTGGAATCTTTCTATCACAAGCACATTACCTGTGGACCTAGTTATCCTAGGACTATGTACACAGTGAAAGAATGGCGGACTTGCGACACAAATGAATTTGATAGACCATTATACTGCAGCTCTGTCATATGAGAAGAGAAATGGGATCAATGTTAACACCGATATAGGAGCATGAATTGATTGGCCACGGCTGATGAGAACTTTTATTCAAGGGTCTTCGTAATGGCTAAGTAAGCGACCATGGATTGCGGCACAAAGTACTGGGCCTTATTTGTGCTTGCACTTGGCCTTAAAATCCTTGAGATCCTTCTTTTGGCTGCCATCCTCCTTGAAATTCCCCTCATCAAGCCACTGCTCCATTACACCTTTTAAACCCTTGTCCCACTCATCCCGCAGCATAGCAAACCAAGCGGTATCTCTACTCCGCCCCTTAATAACCATATGATGTTTGAAAATGCCTTCAAACGTGAATCCCAGTCGCGAAGCCGCATTCCGCGACGGCGCATTGAGCGAGTCACACTTCCACTCGAGCCGCCGAAATTTCAAATCTTCAAAAGCATGGCGCGCCAACAGAAAGATAGCCTCAGTGGCACCAGTGGTGCGTTGAAGTGACGACGAGAACATCACATGGCCGATTTCCACAGTGAAATGCTCTGGAGTGATGCGCATCAGAGTCAGATATCCAATTGGCTTTCTGAAGGTCGGCTTTGAGTTGCGCTTATCAATGACGGCGAAGAAAAACATATCCGGGGATGCTGATGCCGCAGTGATTTTTTGCTCGAACTCATCCAGTTTTGTGTAGGGTCCATCGGGCATGTAGTCCCAAAACGAAGTCTTCATGGCATCAGTTGCTCCTACTAGATTGAACAGGTCTTTTGCATGTTTCAACTCGAGTTTCTCAAGGTCAATGGTTCGGCCAGTTAGGACCTTTTGACTTGGCAATAATGCCGGTGTGAGGTTGACAATTGGACCCCGAGGTCGTGCTACTGTCATCATGAAGATTGAATGGTCTTTGAATGAGGCAATGGAGAACTAAAGGGCTTGAAGGGCTATTTAATATGCCCTTGTTTGGTGTTGCGGCAACTCCCCACAATAACCCAGAAGATAGGACTCTGATTCGATACTAACGCCGAGAGCTTACCATATTAATGGTTTTGATTGGTTCGATTCCCGAGGTCCTAACGTTTGGACCCCTCTCCTTTTCTTGCATAATGAGCGTGACACTGCTAATGGAGTTTGACCTGCAAAAGCTCTTAGCGATTTCCCACTGTTGCTTGATTTCACAACCCAATATGTGGCGCGGCGATATGAGCCTAGTCCATGGCACACTTAATAAATGGTATCATAGCGTTGGGTGCGACCTATCTGCTTCCTGCTTCACAAAAATCGAATACTACGTCAGGTCGCATCTCAAGCAATTGGTGAGATTTATTGACAGCATTTTATGGATTTAGGAGATGAAATACTTTATATGGTCTTATCGTGGTACCTGAGTGGAATGTGATAAAGGAATGTGTTAATAGGCTTTGGAAAGCATTCTTCCAATGGTTTGTTCCGCTTCCAATGTCGAATTGTTGTCTCGCCAACCATCATCCGACGGAAGGCTGGGCCGATGGACACGCTGGCTAGCATGTGGCCAGCACTCATGTGGCTAGCCTCGTTATATCTATCCTCGGTCGCTTCACCATTAACCAGTCGCGCTTGACGTCGTTTTTGTTGACGTAACTAGGTAGTCTCTTGGCTCATAGTGAATTCATTTCAAGTCCATTGTGTGCAGTTCAGGATGCTTCTGATTTGTATTCCTGCCTTGTTTGCTTTCTGGAAAGCATCGGTGGCCATTGTATTCGTATCATCGTTGGTTATCATGTTGAACCCGGCAAAGAATTCGGAATTGAACTTTGTCGCCCGCTCACGGTGAATCTTTCGTGTTGTTGTCTCATCCTCGAATGTGGCTGAATGGTACGCGTAAATGGCCAGTAATCCGCACATTAGCAACCGTCGTTGTAGAGCCAGTGGAATGATATCTTTCTCCCAGTATTGTGACGCCGGTAGAGATTCCTCGGCCCCAGGAAGTTTCATGCAAAACATTCCTTTTAAAGTTTCACGGTCTTCGTTCGCAGGAGAAGTGGATTGAATCGGAGCCAACATTTCAGCTTCTGCTACCAATATATGTACTGCACATGATTTTGAGATTCTTCCAGCAGGTTACTGCTCTTTTGAATGCACTGCAGTCACGGCTTTGATCCCCTTCATTACCAGCCAGCCAGCCATGACAGAGTGCAGCCAGCTGCCAGGGCCTGACTCCAGCAGCGTAGGCTTTCCGTTCTTGCATCTCCAGAGCCACGTCTCATTCACGAATACAACCATATTCTCATTTGAGCTGTTCCATGAAGATTCTGCGCCATTGGGGCCGCATGGCTCGATGGCGGATAATATCAAACCTGTCTCTGAATGCCCTCTGTATGATGGAGGGGCAGCGAGACCTAGCTCAATGCGCTCACATCCGGCCATACCACCGTCTCCAACGTAGTCAACGCGATATACACCATTCACAATGTCACCATGTTTAAATAGGAGATCATGAACCCAGTCTGTGTCGAATGTGCGCTTGAGCCCGGGATCGCCTATCAGCTGGCGCATGATGAAAGCCTGGGGCGTCCAACCAAAAGCCTCCTGCGCCGCCCGGACATAAGCTTTTAGCAGGTTTGATGGTTCATTTTCAGCGGCATTAACATTTGATAACGTAGCGGCTAACCTGTCCGCAATTGGGCTGATGAGAGTCGAAACTGGGATGGGACGGGAGACGAGTCGTTCGAATGTGATGACCCACTCATCAGTGTCCGACGCAATGTCTCCCGGTATGCTGGATGGCTCTAAAGGCGCTGCGTCTAACGATGAAGGGGAGTTAGATGCTGCTTTATGCGATCGGTAACGGCCGCTCTGAGAGGTGGTGTTATTAGAAACTTGGTGGTTTAAGTACAGCAGATACGCCGTTGGTATCGCGATTGGTACAAGCGAGCCTAGCGCGATGAAAACCACTGCTGGAGTGCGCATTAATCCGAAGGCCATGATGTCAGTCTGCGTGCGACGCTTCTGATGGATTTCGCTATTCAGCAGACCAGGGTGGTGGCGTGGACAGTGACAAAAGAGGAACTTCCGTCCGCGGTTGAATAACGAAATGCACAAGCGAGCCGTCACACCGCCTGACGTTGTCTAATGGGACGAGAACAGTTTGAGCCCGTAATTTATCCACTCTCCAATATATTGAGTTTAGATAAGACTCACTCAGCGTTGATTAGAACTAGGCCTGCGGTAGCGAAGCTCGATTAAATAGTAGTTGTTTTGAATGTATCCTGGCGAGCCTGAGAATATATTTCTAGGTAATCACGCTTGCTGATATAATCTTGTCCTAGACATGCTTGTAATTTGATTGCTATAAACTATTCACGGTTTCCAGGTTATAAAAGAGGTTTCCGACCGTAGAAATCCCTTTGTGTAATAACACGAGCAGTAGTCAGATAATAGGCCTATTACAAAGCCAGTCTTATCAAAGTTATAGATATCATTATCTAGGACACCGTTTTCTTCGATAACAGATTAAACTAATCTGAACCATTTACGTAGGCTTGCTAGGTCTTTGTTTTGGGCACGCTAATAGTCGTATCGCTTTGAAAATCGTAAATAAAGCTTAGATCGACGTTAAATATATCTTGTACCTATTTAACACCGATAGTAGAGGGTAGGAAAGGCGGATAGTGATTTTCGCGTGCTACTAGAAAAAGATTCGTCATATTAGCGATCGTACTGGGCCTAGGAGAAGCACAACGTAAATCTAGCGATAAGATCCACTTAGAAAGCGAATCTTCTTCTTCCAGTGTTAATTTATAGTTATTTACATGCGTTTCCTGTCGATACGTTTTGCCATTGATGCGATCGCGTAGTGTAGTATGCGGCATGTTATAAACCGCTGCTGCTTGGCGAAGGCATCTCGCTGATTGATTCTTTATAGCTTTGATAACTAGTAGGATTCGGCCTTCCCTACCTGGCAATTTTGAAGGTTTTTCTGGGCGTTTTGGTGGCATGGTATGTGGTGGAAGATGGTAGGTGACGCGTGGGACACGTTTTTTGATGGGGTGTACGACTGTGTGTACGACTCGCTAGTCCAATTCAAACCGCCTCTGTATCTGCCGTAGCTAGCAAAGACGACGTCGAGTGTCGGATCGCTGCATCTATTGCGGAATGCCATCTCTCAGCCTCATCAGTACTTTGAGCTCTGAAAATGAACTTAGTAGTAGTGTGAAACGGGTTCACGGAATTTCTGCTGGAGACATTCACGCCTTGAACACTGAAATTGAGATCATTCACAGGACCGATGGAGCAGTTCGCTAAGTACAAGGACATCTCCGGAACTGGTTGTTGGTAAAGTTCTTTGTTACGACCGAAACCATGCAAGTAGCCTGCTCGCGTAACCACATAATGGCATTCCTTAGTTATACCATGGCAATGGCATTCTAGGTCGCCTTCAATGATTGGTTTCGTTGCTCGATGGTCCTTGTTCGGAAACGTTGAATATACTGACAACCTCCGCAAAGGTTCGGGATCCAGAAGTGCCGCGTTCTTTCGCTCCACGAAACTAAACCATTCCAAATCCGGGTGGATAAGCTGTGCTGTACCCAGGATATCACCGTACATTGCACGCTGATGATCGAGCTGGCCACCCATAAATTGGAAGAACTTGGCTATAACACACTGAACTGTTTGCAAAATATGCATTTCGAACCACAGGAAAGATTCCTGAATCTCTTGGTTTTCTTGTCGATCGTCCTTTTCTTTCGTTGCTTGCTCAATTAATTTGCTGTGGACGCCCTGGCGGAGGAGGTAGGGATCATGGGACTGTTCAACCTTGTTGCCGGTGCTGGCATCATAGGACCTAGTGCTCTTAGCCAGGAGAATGATATGTTTCTGTGTTGCGCGCCATGCTTTCGCGATTAGATTTGCCCCGTTGGATTTGTCAACCTTTAATTGTTTCGCTTCGGATTTGATTTCTTTGAGGAGACGTTCCAGCATAAGCAGCACGCTGTCGTTCAGATTTCGCTCAGCCAGGGCATACACTTTTACCATTTCCTAGAGAATAGCGTTGGCTCATACAAGATTCAGGCCACTATACACTTAGAAACCGCACCTTTGTATTAGTGTATATGTTTTCGAAAAGTCCAGCCACCCCATCTGTGCTTGGTTTAAAATGATGACCTTCCTCGAGTGGATAGCTCACGCTCTAAGTCCGGGGAATCAATTCGATCCTTCTTAAGTCTGTTGACGAGTAAGTACCCACCTTCAGAATCGTTTCATATTCTCTTGACTGGGATTTCTGCGCTTTCGCAGTTGCAGAAATATAAGAGTAGAGATATTCGCATACGTGCTTCCACGCACTGAGGCGTTCGAGCAGAATATCAATAGTCTGGACGCAGTAAACACTGGTTACCGCCTTGTTTCTTATGCGGGTGGTAACAGCCAAATATCTCACTTACCTCACCACTATCGTAACCCAAAATAGTCTCTTCGTCCGTTGAGCAACGGCTTACGCTGTCGTCGCCTAGTGCTGCTAGTTGCTGACTGTACTCATCTGGGGCTATAATAGCCGACATGGCGCAACGAAAAGGGGGCTGATAAAGTCGGGGGAAGATTTATGTGCCGTGAGATTATCGAGTTCGTCCCGCCGTGCGGATTCTCTTGGGTTCTGAGTGTTGTAAATCGAGTGTGGACTGTTGTGATATGAGGCTGGTGCAGATCAGGAACCAAGCCGAACCATCGGAATTAATCCCGAGGTATCTATACGAACAACCAAGTTGATTGGAAATCAACTTGTTCTTCTCGTTGTATATATAGCATCATGTTCTCTCTAAATAGCATAAGACAATTCATACCTCTGAATTACAACAGGTTATGAGCCCGGGAGCAACTCTCGGGTGCCGTCTCTACTCATCTGAGAATCATATTGATTACTTTAAATACATATATATCTACCCCGCTTTACATCAACCAACATGTCTGCTCTGGTTCACGACTCGCCCGACCGAGCCGTTACGGCCATCGAGCCTCTGACAGGAAGCGACAACTTCGCGACCTGGAAACGTCTCATGACCTCCTACCTCAAAGCGAGGCAGGTCTGGGATGTCGTGTCGGGCGACCTTGAGCGTTCTGATTGCTCATTCAAGTACGCCAAACCCATTACGGCGGACATCCACCCGTTGGTGGAACCGCATCTCAACGGGGCGGTGAGGCAACGCGCGATTGAGGCGCGCCTCGAAGTGGAGGTCCAGGCATTCGAGCGCCATCGTGAATGGTCGCGCTGCGAGGCCGAAGCCTACCACACTATCTTCCGGTATCTCTCCCCCCATATCAGTATCTATGTTGCGGGGCTGGAGACATCCCGCGACCTCTGGAATGATCTCGAAGAACGGTACCGGCGGATGGAACTCGCTACGTTCTGTGAGCTGTTCGCTCAGCTGCGCGAGACCACCGGCGAGCGCTGCGGTAGTGCACGTGAATTCGTCGATCGTATACGGATGCTAGTCCATCGATTGAATGCGATCGCCCCTGGATCCATCGGCGACAAAGCGCATATTGTAATTCTACTGACACAAATCGGACCGGAATACATCCTGATCGTGGATGCGATCCAGAATGATAAGGATCCTGTGAACCCGGCCAATATCGGCAACCGTCTGGCGAATGCCGAGCAGACGGTGCAGCGAAAGGACGCTGTGACGTTTCCGCCGAGAGTGCCTGGCGGAACGAGCAACCCTTCTATCAATACGGTGCAGAAGAACACCAAGAAATGCAACTACTGCAAGAAGCGCGGCTATGTAGTTGCGGAATGCTGGAAGAAACAGCGCGAACAACAACCGCCCAGGGACCATGCCCTGAAGGCTGAAAGGAGTGTTTCTGGCTCACCAAGAAACAATTTGCTAAACATACCATTAAGCCAGATGGAAGATCGGCAGGGCCCGCCGACTTCCAAGAGACTGCGGATCAATATCGTGAGGGCGAGGGTGACGATCCTTTATACCCACGCACCGTCACCCCGGTGGATCCTGGACTCGGCTGCCACCAGCCACATCTGCTGGGATCGGAACTGCTTCAGTAGCCTGCGGCCCCATTGCGAGATGTTGGATACGGCGGACGACCCAGTGGAAGCCGAGGGGATTGGGACGGTGAAGCTCACGCTCCGGGGGAAATTCAACCAACCCCTGGTGTTGAAGAACGTGTACTTCGCGCCGTGTATCGGGATGAACCTGATCAGCGTGCCGAAGCTACTACGAGACTGCTACTCGGTGGTGGCATACCTGCAGAACGTCTTTGTGCAATGCCAAGGACGGACGGTGGGGACCGCCTACCATACGGAGGAGGATCTACTGATCCTGCGGTGCCATGTGAGCAAAAGATCCCGAGAGCGAGTCCAACTGGCGAGGGCGCCGGCGACCTATGACCATACAGATTCCCTGGAACCGCCGGCGGTGGCCATGGACGTCGACGACCCTCAGGAGTCAAGTGACGTAGAATGTACAGCGTTAACCTCTGAACTCGGTGGTGAAGCTCAGATACTCGAAGCAGATACGGGCACAGGAGTGGACCAGGCCCCCGAAGCGCTGTGGCACGCTCGGATGGGACATCTGAACCGGGGTGACTTAAGGGTGGTCCTCCGGCAGACTGGCACTCCGTACCGACCGCAGATACAGGCGCAGCTGTAGGCAACGCCGCAGTGCCCAGCGTGTATGTCGGGTAAGCAGTATCAGAAGAGGAACTCCCGTGCACAACGGCCACGTCTGTATTCAACGAGAATTTTCGAATTGATTCATTCGGACATCATGGAGATGCCGGTCGCCAAAGATGGTTCTAGGTACGTAATCACCTTTACTGACGACTATTCTCGAGGCTCGTGGGCCTATGCTATGAGATGGAAGCATAAAGCGCTCCAGAAGTTCCAGAACTTCGAGGCCTGGGTGCACCGACAGTTCGGCGCCCAGATCAAAAGGTTCCTCACCGACAACGGGAGAGAATATTTGCCCATTGGAACACATCTCGAATCCCAGGGAGTTGAGTTTGACACCTCGCCGCCCTACTGCAAAGGACAGAATGGACTGGCCGAACGCACCAACCGCACTATCTGGGAGCGGATCAACACGCTCTTGTCCGATGCGAACCTACCTCCTTCCTGGTGGTTTGAGTTAGTGGACACTGTGGTCTATCTGAAGCTGCGCGCGCCAGCTTCAATCCTCCGGAAAAAGACCCCGTACGAAATTATCTACGGGAAGCCGCCATCGCTGTTACATCTATGACGGATTGGCTCCCGGGCATGGGTCTTAATCCCAAAAGAGCATCGAGCAAAACTCGGAGCGAGATCGTCTGAGTGCCGACTGCTAGGTTATTGCGAGCCGAATCAGTACAAGCTCTATAAAATCCATTCGGGAAAGACGGTCTTTTCCCGTGATGTCGAGTTCGACGAGAGGACCCCGGTGGCGCCACTCGTCGAGGGGGAAACAGGCAACGACCTCCCGGACAACGCTCCTCCATCGCCCGTCTTTCCATCAATGCCAAACTCAGTCAGTGGGCTGCCTACACCACCTCTATTGCCATTACCTCTGTCAGGTGATAAAGATAAAACGCCATCGGAGCGTGATGAACAGACACCTCTAGTGGTCAATCCAAGCCAACAGGGAACCGACTTAACATCGGATCTTGGGTATTCAATCTATGGTCGCAGACGAAGACCGTCACGGCGCCTCCTGGAATCACTCGGCAAGGTATACTCGGCAGACACATTAAACACCGCATCGGACAGACAGGTCGACCCGACGACCTTTCGTAAAGCGGTGTCTGGATCAAACCAGCTAGAATAGTAGGCTGCCATCCAGAAAGAATATGCGTCACTTCTCGAACACGGAACATGGGAAAAGGTCCCGCGAAAGGACGTTCCTGCCACAGATCATGTAATTGGGTACAAATGGATCTTCAAGACCAAAGCCAACGGAACACACAAAGCGCGATTGGTCATTAAAGGCTACTGGCAGAAATATGGTATCGACTATCACGAAACATTCGCTGCGGTGTCCCGGATGGACTCCGTTCGCTGCATTGTTGCCAGTGCCGTACTGCGCGGATGGAAACTCCACCAATTCGATGCGATCACCGTATTCCTTCATAGTGATGTCGATTCGCCTATCTATATGGAGCTACCCGAAGGCTTCGAAGAGTCAGGATACGTATGCCAACTGCGCCGCTCACTCTATGGGCTGAAGCAGGCCCCGCAGATTTGGTACCAATGCGTCCACCGCGTCCTGGCTTCTCATGGGTTCACCATAGCTCAATCGGACAACTGTATATTCTACAAATCCAATTACATAGTCTGTGTTTACGTCGATAACTTTCTCATTGCTGCTGCAAACTTGCATGAGATAGAACAAGTACAACGAGCATTGCAAGCAGAATTCTAATTGAATGACCTGGGGACGCCACGCTCGTTCCTCGGGATCCAGTTCGACTATCACGTCGATGGGTCCGTGTTCATTCACCAACACCAGTATATCCAGAAGGTGCTCTCCGACTTTGGTATGGAAACTTGTCAGCCGAAGTCTACGCCGATGAATCCCAAGCAAACCCTGAATCATCGTCCAGACGAGGCACTTCTGGACGAGGAAGCAAAAGCTCGTTATGCGACTGCTATCGGTTTGTTGATGTATCTGATGGTTGGTATGCGACCGGATATTGTGTTTGCACTGGGCATGTTGAGTCGCTTTACGTCTCAGCCGCAATCTCACCATCAAGTTGCTCTGCAGCGATTGCTTCGCTATATCCAAGCCACACAGTCTCATCGTATCACCTACCGCAGTGGATAGCTTATCGGGTATACAGACGCCGACTTCGGGGGCTCTGTCGTCACTGACGGTGCATACTCGACGTCTGGCTATGTATTCTAGCTTGCAGGCGCGCCAGTTTCCTGGTTGTCCAAGAGAAGGGGAAGTGGCCACGTCTACGATACATGCTGAATACATCGGACAATACAATGCCATTCTGCATCTGCAGTGGCTCCGCACCTTTCTAGCCGAAACACAACTGTATCGGTCTCCGGTCACTAACATCATGGCTGACAACCAGTCCGCGATTGCGCTTTCTCGCAATCCCGAGTTTCACAAACGGACGAAGCACTTCAATGTGAAATTTCACTATCAGCGAGCCGTGCTGGATGCAGGCGAGATTGAGCTTTAATATATTCCAACTGGGGAACAGGCCGCGGATGGTCTCACCAAGCCATTGGGACCTACGGCCTTTGCTAAGTTTTGTAGTCTCTTAGGCGTCGATGCTTCAGAGACCTCGAGACACACCGCGTGACAGCACAGGCGCTCTTTCCACTTTATTTTCCCAACGTGGGTTTTTGAGTGGTTTTACTGAGGCCTGAATGCTCTGCGCGAGTCCAGTATCGCCCTGCTAGCAAAGCGATCCTGAGGGGGAATGTTGTGATATGAGGCTGGTGCAGATCAGGAACCAAGCCGAACCATCGGAATTAATCCCGAGGTATCTATACGAACAACCAAGTTGATTGGAAATCAACTTGTTCTTCTCGTTGTATATATAGCATCATGTTCTCTCTAAATAGCATAAGACAATTCATACCTCTGAATTACAACATGGACGTTCGGGCTTAGGTATATTCAGCCGACAATTTCCTAATACTAGAGAGTACGTCTGTAGGAGCCGTAGTGCTAATGTATGCCATAGCCAAGAATTCGGAATTGGACATTAAAGCGACGCTTGCGTCATGACTCTGGAGCTTGCTGACATTTCTCTGGTCCGACGGTATATTTCAATGGCACGTGAGTTTTAATAACCCAAACCACGGATTCGGCTTAGCGCAAAATGTGGCTAGGCCTATAAGGCCAACTCGCGTTCACAATTGTTTAGGCGTAGTGAATATTTTAACCAGTCAAAACCACAATGGGCTGGATTACTAGACGGTCCCTATCTGGCAATTTGTAATTAGTTAACTAACTTAATTTATAAGCGAGCCGTACACGCCACTCAAGGGATGTCACAGGTTGTTTCTGACCGACTCGGTTTAAGAGGCGTAAATGCTTCCAGATTGTCGAAGGTCTCTGCCGATGTTGATGATGGCTGACCTGTTGCATTCAGCCTGTTCTTCGCTCTCTCTATCATATCATGGATAAGAACAAGCTTTAATGGCGAGAAACTTGGAGCCGCGTCTTCTGGACGAGTAAAGATTAGCAGGAAGTCGGTAGGACGTTGCTGATTGTAAGGAAAGGGGTGAAGCGTATGTACGCTAGCTTCGCGTAAAATATATAATCCAATGGTACCGAGGTCGTATTGTAAAATACGCTGAACCATTATAGCATATCGGTGGGTAAAATGAAATAGAATTAGAACTAGCATATTTAGGATTTATTTTCCGGGAACCGAGTCTAAAGAGTGTGAGGTCAAGCTGAATTTGAAAACTACTGTATGAAGAGATTTCCACTGTCGGCTACTCATGCTAATGTATTCTGTCTTGAGTTTATACCACACCATCTTCTCACCATCCTCAACCCCAGGAACCTCAGTCCAGCTCCTGGCTTTGGGGCTATGTACATCGTGTCTGTGCAACTAAAGGGCTACATCTTCCCCATATGTAATAGTCTGTGGGCTAGCAAGTCATACAGTAGGTGAATGAGAAGCGAATGTGTGTTTGTCTAGAGGTATGTACATAATCATCAACACTGTTCGGATCTACAATTTCGGTAGAAAAGCTTCCATGTACGCTAAACATCGTGGCAGTGGTATATACTGAGAATAATGCTGGAGGGAAAGTATGCATGGTGTCCCAGAATTTAATCCCCAGCGTTAGATAGTAATAATGGAATACTGTCTCTTCTTGTCAACGAGGATTTGTCAATCATCGATTCTCAAGGTTTGATCTAACGTGATATTCGGGAGTTTCAGACACGGTAGCTGTGACGGGGTTATAGGAAATCCCTCTATGGAATTGCCGGAGATCCCCTCCTAAGTTAACGCTCCGTAGGCGGAGCCTCTACGAAAGCTACATGACTTCTTTTATCCAGTTGTTAGTGGGAAACTGCAGCTTTCAAGATTCATCTTCTACTTCTTAGCCTCTTGTCAGACTGATTTAATCCCAGGACCGGGATAGATCGGTATGCTATAAAATTCGCCAGCATTTGTCAGCAAAAAGAAGTCACTGGGTCAAGTTCGAGCCTTGTTGTATTTTCAGAATAATTTTTCACTATCCCTTTCGGCCTCGGGGAGCTTTGAAACGCGGAGAAATAGATTTAGCCTTGATTCTGCCGTCGAGATAAGACCGGCAAGACAATTCCTCATTTACAGAGGTGATTTGGGGCGAGAGAAATTCGGCGGTCAATGGACGAGGGGTGGAAAGCTACTTTACATGGGCTGGAATATTACGTTAGGCTTCAAGCCCGGTGCACGCATGATTTAAGAGGCGGGAGTAATTATCGATACAGTCGGTAGCTAGTACAAGTTACTGGACAGTAATGGCAGTGACTGCATTAAACTTTATTAACTTGCTTGAGCTCTTTAGCGGGAACTCTCCTCAAACAAAACTTGTTTTCTTTTACGGTGCTCGGCCAAAAGTAGTTGAAGTGAAGTAACTGCCTTTTTCATATCCACTACCTCCCTCCTGAGGCTTTCAATTTCAGAAGCAAATTGCCTTTCGAGTAGACGCTTGGGGGCCTTGCTTTCCAATTGTCTGTATGTTTCTGTCAGTTTTCACTGGGCTCCAGAGACGTCTGCGATGCACTTACTTCATTCGATCGGCAGTGCTAACATGTTTATCAGTAAAGAACAATAATGGCGGGATTTAGAGTTGGAAATATGAACTCACTGCCAGATGGCAGGACTCGCACTTCTATGCGGCCCAGACGATGGATTGTCAACTGCCTTCGTCCCTTTCCATGGCCTAGGTAAAGTATCGCTTCCATCTCTACTCGCAGATTTATTGTCACTGTCAGCTCATTTAAAGTATTTCCGGAAATCGGTGTCACCCCCTGCACTCTTTCGTTGTTCCCCGAACCCTAAATGCCAAGATACACTGGACCTTCTTAAGCAAGAAATGAAAATTGTACGATATGCTCCCCTGCGCGGAGGAAGTTAGAATCATGAAGACATTGCGAGCTTTGGCAAGACCAGTGACTGATCTTCATATCCTATCCCAAATCGCCCGGTTATTGCCTAGCTTTCGATCGGTTAACTTTATCATACTGCCACCGCCAGATCCCGTCCGACTTCAAACGCGCCAGGGGATAACGTTGGCCAAGACTTGGAAAAAGGTTCAACTTCCTGCCATAGATGGGAAGCTACCCGATAATGTAGCTAAAAAGAGCATTCAGTTCAAAAGTGACTGTTCTGACACCCCTCCAGTTCACTGCGAAATACAGCTCCTGGCGCGCTACGAGGAGAAACCCTCACTGACCCCACACTTTTGTATCTTGGATGTAGCAAAAAGGCATACTTTCTCTGTATGCAATTTTTAGATCGGTCATCTTTGAAAGTCAGGGTCCGTGGTTGTCATGGTCAATGTCACCCTTTGTGGGGTATCCCGTTGCTTAACTTAAATGTTATGCAGCCCCGAATACAGCTACTGTGTGAAGCTATAGAGGAGAGGCTACGACAGCTTATGGAGCCAGGATAATTTCTGAAAACAGTTGCTGTGCATCAATCGTCAGCGGTTTCTGAGTTGAAGTCTATGGACGTGCTTGTGATCGGGCAGCAGCGTGCACATAGAGAGGAAGCCGACAAGAGAGGCCAGGAATACCAGGAAAATAAGCGACTACTGTATGGACATGAGCTTCGCTTTAAATTTTATAGCTAACAGGCTTGCAGCTTAAACCCAAGATCTGTCGGACCACCAGAAATATTCTATCGCGACTTGATGAGTCTTTGCGTTATCTGCCAAATGCCCCGCCCCATGGATGGTTGGTGCCAACACTGCTTTTCCACCTGGTACTGTTCCGAAAGATGTCGGCGATTGGACCAGCCAGCGCATGTGATTTTATGCTCACACTACGTTTCATTTTGAAAACTTCGCCTATCAGACACGCGCAAGGTAGGCATTTGGTTTCCGAGAGACAGGAAAGAGCCAAACCTTGTATGGGTACCCATAGCTTCAAAAATGGGCGAGTACTATGCAGATTTTGATGCGTTTCTTGGTTCAAATCATGCTGTCTTATTCACCATCCCGCTTATCGAGAATAAGAGGCGGGGGTTGTTGACGCTAGATCACCATATCACGATATACTATCAAGACTGGGACGAAAGACCACCCAAGACTAACCAATCGGTTCAGCACGCTGTAGAAGCCTGCAACGGTATGCGAGTGCCTTGCAATATATATGGAGACTATGTTGCCATGAGTGGCAGGCGCGGAGATCCACCATTTCGATACCTTGATATAGACTGCGCCGGTTTTCGACATATCCTGGGCTACTTCAGCACATGTTCTAGTGGCGGCTCTGTTATAGCAGTTCAATTTAAATGTCTCCTCGAACAGAAGCCCAAGAGCTGTGAAAAGTTTCAATCTGTGGATGTCGATCGTGATTTCCCAAGAAATAGGATGGTTTCGGGCCTGTCCAAGGCTCTTGGAGATCCGATGTGGATATGCAATATCAATAATGATGAACTGAAGGATGGAGTCACGCAACTAGATCAGCTACCAGAGAACGCTTGGCAAAACCTTCATGCTGAAATTCTCTCCATTGATATCGATGCAAAATCAAACAGTTGGGGTATGTCTAATATCACCCCTTGGCACGTCGATGGGAGCATCAGAGTCATGCGAGAAAATGGGATGGATCTGGACGTCGAATGGGTACAGCACATATGCTCGTACTATCTCAAGGTTCTTCAGCCACTCTTTGAAAGGGCTCTGTCTGGAGATATATCACGAGAAGATGTCCTGTCAGAGGTTACACGGGAAAAGATAATGTCGTGGATATCGGTAGTTACGCCAGGGAATTTTATGAGCCTCGGGCCACAACGTGGGTTTGTTGAGAGATTTTGATTTGAGAAAGGGGGAAAAGAGAGAACTTCAATAGTTCCCATTGATAGACTAATGGCTTATTCTAAATGGTAATTGGACTGTTACAAAAGTAGTGAAATAAAAGAGCCTAAATAACGACTACTTAATGATTCATAAACCGCTTTTGGGAAGTGCTATTTATCACAATCATTACCACGTTCGTCGAACCCCCCTTCCATCAGTAGCCCTGTAGATAGTAGCTCCCCCTCGTCATCTTTCTGTTTCCGTAGGGTTTCATTGATGACTCAACAGCAGAGCTTCTAGTTATGTGCAACGCCATAGGAATATTGACTCCTTGTGGTTCATGATTGCACGGTCGTGTGGCCTAGAACAAATTTCGGTTAGACCATTAATACATAATTTTCGTAAGAGGCTAGGATAATCTAGAACATCAATCTAGAACGTCCAGTTGTACGTACACAGGAAGCAAAATGGCTGCGTCAGCAATTTCAGAGCTCATTCTGACGTCATATACTAGGGTTAGACAGTACATACAACTATCCCCACTTCTCCCTTTCTAAATTGCTTTTAAGTCGCTATCGACTAGCCTACGAACAACTCACTAGTACTACATCAGTATGAAGGGAACTGTATTGGTCATCGGTGGAACAGGTGCCCAGGGGGTGCCCGTTGTCAAATGTGAGCTGAACATGCCATCTCACAACAGCTACTAACTTATTTGCAAGCTCTGGCTACTGACTCCAAATATAACATCCGCGTCCTTACGAGAAGCGCCTCCTCAAAAGAGGCCAAGTACCTAGCAACACTACCAAGCGTATCTATTTTTGAAGGAAACACATACGACGAAGCTACTCTCCGCCAAGCGTTTAAAGACACAACGCACGTGTTCGTCAACACTAATGGATTCGCCATCGGTGAAAAAGCGGAGATCTACTGGGGCATCAGGCTCTATGAGCTAGCCCGAGAATTTCAACTCGAGCACTTCGTCTACGCTGGTCTGGAATACGGTTCTAAGCTTGGCAACTTCAATCCCAAGTACAGATGTGGTCATCTAGATGGGAAGGGCAAAGTCGTGGACTTCATCTCTGCGCAGCCGACATGGCCTATGGCCTGGTCTGTTTTGACATCTTGCATGTATATGGAAGCTCTGTCGGAATTTCTGCGCCCGTTCCCTGATCCTACAGATCCGGACACCTTGATTTTCGCGGCTCCTCTTGGGGAAGGAAGGTGTCCTCTTATCTATCTGGAGGATTATGGAGCATATGCAAGATGGATTTTCGATAACCAGGCTAAGAGCAATGGGGTCGAGTTGCATGTTGCGACTGAAGATATCCGTTGGGAAGATCTCGCATCTACGTTTTCGGAAATCACGGGCCAAAAGGCAGCGTATAAGGACGTGAGTTTGGAGGAGTATTTCAAGCTTAGCATCCTTGATCCGGATGCGCTAGTCGGTCATTCTAGTGATCAAAATGACTCGACTTTACTCACTTATCGGGAGAACTTTTCGGGTTTTTGGAATACTTGGAAGGACAATTTGACTAAGAGGGACTATCAACTCTTAGATACAATTCTACCGGAAAGGGTAAAGTCTGTAAAAGAATGGATGGAAAAGACAGGTTATAGTGGAAAGTATGCATCGCTGCTGAAGGATCGGCGGGACGAAGCTCGGAAGTAGTCAGAAAGCGACTGGGGTGGGAATTTGCACCTCTGTGGTATTATGCCGTTTCGTCGGCCCACACAAGTAAGGATGGGGTGTTTTAACAATCCAAGAATCTAAACTGGACGGTATTATACAATGTGACGGTCTTTGAGTTTGGCAAACACTCTTCCGCGTTTTTCTGCTGCAAATGAAGATGAAAGCTGTCGTTTTGCTATATGTTTACAGCCAACGCTGTTCTTTTAATATTGTTATCTCACATTCCCACGCCCTTCGAGCTCCCTTTCCATCAGAAATTTCCCTATCTCCGAGAGACTGAAATAGTCATTCTCTGGCATTGCATAAATCGCACCCTCCATCTCCCAACCAACCGTACCCCTCTTGAGACCCAATTTCTCCCCCTCCTTCTTACACGAGTCAAAATCAATAATCACACACCTTTCTCCATCAATCATAATATTCGATGGATTGAGATCATTGTGAACAAGTCACAGAGAATGCATATGTCGCACGCCATCCTCAATCCCCTGCAGACAAAGAGCTTTATCAAATATCGCCACCCCTCTCATCCTCTGCAATAAAGTCATGGGATACCTATCAAAGCAAACCCCTTTGACTCTTCCATTCTCAGTAATACAACCAATATATCGAGCGACGTTGGGATGTGGATGTCTCCGAAGCACTTCGCAAGCTTCCATCTCGACCAATATATGGCGGCCGGGCTCGAGGGATGCAGGGCTGTCGCCGTAGTGTAGGAGACTTGGCTGCTTGATGTATGTGTTCTGAGGAACAAGGTCAACAGCCAAAGTGAAAGACGATTCCATTGTCGGCCAGATATCTTCGATGGGGATTTTGGTGGTTTCCAGTTGACTGATCTCATCCGCGGAGGGCGCAGAGCGACAACGCCATTTTGCCCTGGCGAAAAGGTATTCGGTTCCTCTTCGCAGGATTAGCTTCGTGTGGTCGAAGACGAGATTTTCGCCCTTTTATATGAATGCTTCGCTCTGCTTGTGTATTTCCATAGTGCACATATGAGCCCCGAGTTTGAAATCTGCTGTTATTTCTGTGATGCGGAGCCTTTGACAAGAGGGGCTTTAAAGGGCAGAGTCTGGAGTTTATTGAGGCCGGCAGTCTTTGCTGCTGAAGGTTGAAAGCATTGGGGCACATTTCAATCAATATTTTCGCAAATATTACCGCCAGGCCCGTGGCCGCCTATAACGCTAGCGGGTTTATTGTTCTTAAAACCTGGTAAAAATGTGAGACTGATCTCCGCCATCGGAAATGCCTTTTGACCAAATTTTTTGCACAGCAGATGGGTGAAAAACTATGCGTTGACGTAGTTGTTCATTCGACGGATGACTCGTCCTATGAGGAGGGCTATTTGAACAATTTTATGAAGTGTAGGTCTCCGATTCGCTTGCGGAGGGCCGCGTGGAGCCGGCGGGTTCTTATATCGTAAATTCTAAAGTAGGCTAGGAAGACAGTACAGGATGCAGGACGGGTCCGATGATGTTGGACACTTCAGGCGAACAGAGTTACAAAAAAACTCCATGGCGGGGCCCATCTTCACTTCTTGAGAAAGACGCTGTGGCACCAATCCGCCCAAGTTTTGATCTGCTCGACCAGTTTTTGAGACCATAGTTTCTCACTCGCCAAGTCCACTTTCAAACTTGCGATAGTTTTGGACTGCGCGGTTGCGAGTTTTGCGGCCACTTTTTCAGTTTTCCACTTCTCAACCTGAGCTGTGGCAACCATGAGGGCGGCTGTTTCTTTCTTTCCTAACGGCCGTTTCTTGCCCTCTCGAGGATCATGTTCGCCCAAGACCATCATAGTCATTTCCATCTTCTCAGACTTTGACTTCTTTTTCGGCGCAGTAACAGCATCCTTCTTGACCAATTTCCCACTGTTCCTTTCATCCAGTGGGTCCCGGACATCTTGGACACTCTTTCGTGCGCGCTTGCGAAGAAATCCCTTGGAGTTGTAAATATCGGAGGACTGCTACCTACGTAGGAAATCTGATAGTGAGATGCTTGATTGATCATATCTACACGTAGCTCGTGATAGTAAGACTACAGCCTGGTCATATGACCGGCGCCGTCCATCTAACAAGGAGTTGGTGAATTCGCGGCGTTAGACATAATTTTTGATATTCGAAGTCCGAACATCGAGCCTGAATGTGAATGACCCGCCGTCGGACTGTTCATCGGCAATTTCCTCAAGGGTAGATCGAATGGTTCCCTCCTTTGGATCAATTGGGTAGAGGCAAATTTCCATCTCGATAGCCAGCTAGATTATAGCAGCATGATTCCGCTTCCCTGATCCCACCTTCCATGACCATTTACCATCTCTGGTCCTTTGAATCCAGCTGGATCTCGGGTTTGGAACAGGCTTGCGAAGACCCCATATGGCATACCGTCCATTATCGAAGGACGCAGACTTGCTATCTGATGGACGACACGGAAACCGGAGATGCGGCTATAGATAGATCAGTACTTGTTAACTCTTCTCACTCAAGATGGATTTCGTACAGTTAACATGAGTCCTTATCAAAATGAGCTTGCCGATCTGAGGGAACAATGGCAATTATTTGCCGTGATTGAAACTACTAGATAAAGGGACTAGATTAGAAAGGGATCAGAAATAGTGAGACTGAAGCATGAACATACTTGTATGCAGCCCGGAACTTGGCTCAGATCTCATCATGGTATTGTCTATCTTGAGTGACTTCCCGGGCACTGCAGCCCGGACAAGATGATTGATGTATCCATTCCATTAGGCACACATTCGTCCTTGATCTGGGGTACTTGCTTGGTATTGTGAAGTTTTGTATATCCTTTTGCATAGATGGCGGTGGCACCCTGGGTATGCTGAGAAACGGCTCGTTGGAGTCTGATGCGTGGATCACGCGCAATTGTTCAATTGATGGGAATTTGGGCATACATCCCCGTTACTCCGTTTTTCTTGAGTTTTGAGGATTGTGACTCGCGAAATTGAATGCAGCGTACGGATCCCGATGTCATTCTGTAATTCGCGTTGATCAGGTTTCCCGTCCTATTCGCTGAACTTGTCCAAGAACCAACTCCGTGGGACAGGGTGTCGAAGCTCACAGTCGTTCAGCACATATGGTGAAATCACCGGGCCTGAATATTTGGGGAAGAAGAAGTTCACTAGAGGGGAGGATGAGAAGGGAGAGAGACACGATAATAAGTGGCTATCTACTGTAGATGGGGAAGGCACGGTATACTAGTATCCCTACCTAGGTAAGGTAGGAAGGAGCTCTGCATTCTGCCCAGGTGGACGTGGCCACTACGCCTTAAAAAGTGCAAAGTTGAGGCAGGTGCGAACAGGAGAGTACTACCCTAACCCCGGGGCCCAAACTTGGTCTATATATATAATTGTAATATCATGATGGTGATGTGCAGATGGGGCTAGATGATGATGATGGTATTGATGGGTGGTGGTAGGTAGTAGGTAAAGATATAAAAAAGACAAAGAAGGTATTAGTACTAGTATTTCAACAAAAGACATGGAATCCTGCATGCCTGAGGCATAATGGCCTCGACATCCACCTAGACATCTACAACCAGGCATCCCAGTATCCACCCAGTACCTAGGCACTCTTCGCTAGAAGGCACCCTTGCAAAACCCCTGATTAAATTGCGCCTAGGGAGTGTGGTAGGCTGTCATGCTGTAAATTGCATAGTGAACCGGAGTGACAGCGGAGAACAGGTCCGACCATGTTGGACACTCCACTCTCCTGATGATCCCGATCCCCACTGTTCGACCCTACAGGACCCGATTTTAGGATCAGCTCAAGTGGGTCCCTCCATCACCTAGTTTGACTAGTTTATGAGTGAGCTACGAGTCGACGAGAGGAACTCGCACCCCGGTTGTAACCCTACCCGATTCGGCCTCGGGTATCGGGCGTCATCAGTCACGACTCAGTTCAACACTGAGAGCCGACCGACACTGCTAGTCATCTCAGGGGGATGGGGAAATCTCTGCTGGCCAAGATCGATCTGACCCCAGCTGCCAAAACCCCAGATAAAGTTCTCGCGAGATCGTCCCCTCCCCAAGTCACCAGGTTCGCAGATGTAAATCCTGGGCGATCACAGCTGTGTCTCCACCACGAGGAACCGATCGAATGCGGATGGGATGGGATGGGATTAACTGAAGGTTAAACTCAGCTAAACCCAGCCTAGCGAAGCCCCTAATCCATAGTAGCTCCGCTAGAAGACCGCTCATTGATTCATCGATTGAGTTTTGGGGGGGAAATGATGCAATGGATCCTCTTCAGCAGCCGACGACGTCACGGGGCCCAAGAAGCTTCCGGGCTTCCATTCCACCACGACTTGCACTTTTGCACTTTTCATCTTGATTTAACTTGACTTAAGCCCAAGTTAAATGGCACCGACACTGGTTATGTCTTAAACCTTGATCCCCCCCGCGATTTTCTCTTCATCTACTGCTGCTGCTACTGCTACTCCGCCTCCACTCCATCCCTTTGCAGTTCCCGGCATGGCTACTGCACAAATGCCAGGTCCAAGGTCCGCCAGGCTGGCTGATGATGGTAAGACCCTCTGATCGTCAATACTGTGCACTGTGCACTGTTCGCTAACTCCCATGCGTTGCTGAAACAGCCGCCACTGCTGCTCTCTATGCGACACATCCTCGACGCAAGGCATCCCTAACTGTGCCCACCCCGGAAACCCAATATCTAAGTGAGCATTTATCCCCCTCTCCTTGCCCCGCGCATCGCCAATAACCCCCCCTCCCCTGGGACCGTATGATGATAAGATTAGGCCAAGCTAATAATGAATATCGCAACAGATCCTCAAACTACTACTGGTGCCGCAAACCTAAGCGCAGCATCCGCCGGCGCAGCCCTCGCCCACGCAAACCAAAAACCAATCGAAGTATGGACACCCCCCAGTCGCTTCACGGACGCGGAAAAGGCCGCTTGGTCCGTGAGGGATTTCGTTCAGCCCGAGTTCCCTCAACCCAGTACCGGATACAGCGCAGCAGGACTGGGCGCTGCGATCATCGCTGTGCGCGAACAGCGCGCTTCATCATCAAACCTCTCCCCAACCCGGGCGGCCTCTACAAGCAAACCCGACATTTCCACCATCGATCACACCCGCGCTGCTGTGGGCGGCAATGCTCAGGATAAGGCGCTCCTTGCAGCAACTGGAGCCTACGCCAACCGGAAACGGGCGGACTCAGCTCCAAGTGAACCGGTCTTACCAGCCGATACTCCTTATGCCCTCCGCGCTGCTGGCGTATCACATCGCGGGAAGGCCGAAGACGAGGGACCTCTGGATCGCAGCGATGCTGCGATGGAGTCTCAGTCGAATCCAGCACGCGCATGCCAATGCTCGGATGTACACTTCGTCCCCTCCCGTCGCGAGCGAAGTCGAGGCGCGCAACCGTCGCAACTCATTGCACGCTGCGGCTCTAGTCATGGCGAAGAATATGTACGATGCCTCGGGTCCGAAGGGTGATACAGCAACCGTCGACCCAGCCATCTACGCTGCGCAGGAAGGTCAAAACCGCCTGCAATATCGCAATACCGTCAGTGGGGCCATGGGGACAACAGCTCACAAAGCCCTGGCCCTGCAGGAGGCGGCTCAAAAGCGGGCGGCGGAGAAAATAGCCCTTATGAGGGATGATCATGCGGAAATGCAACAGTATTACGGAACTGCGCCTCAGCCTCAGCGATCGCGTCTGACAACTCGTCGAAAGCGGACGGCTAGTGATGCCGATCCGTCCCAAGCGGATGCGGAGCAGTCAAGGCAGATTCGCAATCAGATGACAAGTCTACGATCGAAGGTTGATCGTGTTGATGTGCAGAGGCAGAGAGATCGTGATCTTCTTATGGAAGCTGCTCAGCGGAATGTGGATGCGACTATCCAAGACATGGAAATGAAGTTGTACAGTAATACTGGTCGTGCCCCGCCGTCCGTTCAGAAGCAGTGGGAGGACGCTGCTCGGGAACGAGCTCGTCAGGAGGCCCAAGTCGCCGAGGCGAGTCGTTCCCCAGAGGGCCGAGTGAATATTGGCGGTCAACACTTTATGAACATGGCTGATGTCGAAGCTGTTGCTCGATCCCGTGTTCAGCCGGCATTGGACGAGATCACGGATCAGGCCGAACAACGCCGAGCGGAGGAGCTTGAAGCTCGTCTTGATGCTGAGGAGAACCAGAGACAGGCTGCGATTGAGAAGGAGCGCGAGGCTTCTTTGCGTGCTCTTGGTGGAGAAAAGGGTGAGTAAAATGTACTCCTGAAACCGCGAGGTATTCTAATCCATCATGCAGGAGACAAGACGCGATCTGAAAAACGCCAACTCAAGGGCTTGAGCTTGTTGTTGTTCAGAAAGAAGAGTAAACGGACTCGTGGTGAGAAGACCGAAGAACCGGCTGAGGAGGCTGTCCAGCAACCAATTCCTACCGCTGAAGCACCAGCTGTCGAGGAGGCGCCGGCTGTCGCAGAAGCACCGGTTGTCAAGGAAGCACCGGCTGTCGCAGAAGCACCGGCTGTCGAGGAAGCACCGGCTGTTGCAACGGCCGCTGAGCCAGCTACCGCTGAGCCCGCTGCCGATGACGAACCTGAGGCCAGAGCGGAGGATCGATCCGAAGATATAACCACTGCTTCAGACCATGCTGCCGCATCCAAGATATCCACCGCTGAAGAGCATGGCCCCTCAACCGTTTTTGCAGCAGGCCCAGCAGCCCCAATTGCAGCACCAGTCCGACTAGTCACCACCAGACCCTCTGAGGCATCCGAAGCGTACGCAGGCATCCCACAACGAGACGCAGCAGCCACCGCGGGAATAAGCGACATGCACATGGTGCAACCCATCACAAGTCCTCGGGCCGATTCAAAACTAAAGAACTGGTTCAGAGATCGACTGGTTCGTCGAAGCAGCGGCCCGGTACCCGTTTACCCGCACCAGCCAGGACCCGACTTCAGAAGCGGCAGCGAGATTGGCTTTACCGGGGGTGCAGCACTGACCGGCCAAGGCCGAGATGAATCTCGTGGGGCGGCTCTAAGCTCTCATCCCATTAATTCTAGCAATGATGGGAATGCGGATGAGCTGGACCAAAGCCCGCCAAGTCACAACGGAGGCACGTTTCTCGAAATGACAAAATCCACTACGGGTGGTACGGGTGGCGATTCGATTTCCAGCTCGACTCAGCAAAATGGTCATGGCAATGACAACGGCAATGCCAATGCCAATGCCAATGCCAATGGTACTGGAAAGAGACAGCGTCTTCGCAAAAGTTTCATGAAATTGTCCCGTAACTCGCAAGACTCGAAGACGAATCGCTTAACCAATGGCGGCGGCCATTCCCGGCAAAACTCCTCCTTGTCCGAGACAAAGGTTTCCGGGACTGGGGAGGGTCTTCAGAATCTGCGACACAGCGCTACTGAGCAGGGTCTCCCTGCCCCACCCATTCTAGGACAAACGTCCAGTACGGGTCGGGAATCCAGGTTCTCTGAAGACTTGTGATTTGATTTGATTTGATTTGATTTGATCTGATCTGATCTCGATTTGAATTTTCTTGTATTCTATGTTTGTTTTCCTTTCCCTCCCTTTCTTTCCCAACCATGCATGGGATCCTATCCGCTCGCTTCTTTCTGCTCAATACCTTCCTTTCTTCTTGTTTTTATTTATTTTTATTTTTATTTTCGGAATTTACGCCGGTGTTTCAGTGCAGTGCACTATGATCGGACAGGGACAGGGACTACAATCTGAAGGAATTTACGCAAAGGCGCTGGACTAAACTAACAACTACTACATAAACGACTGTTATGCTTATGCTTCATGCTTCATGCTTCATGCTTCATGCTTCATGCTTCATGCTTCATGCTTCATGCTGTGCCGCAAATACTAGTACATGATTGATTATTCGACCAATTTGAGATTTTGCTCTTATCAGCTTCGTGCCAAATGAATTCAAGATGTATTTTTATTTCAAGTTTCTCTTTTACTTTCGAGTCCTGTGATATGGTAGAACTAGTAGTTTAGCTGTCAAGCTCGGCAAATTATTTTAAATTCAAGTCCCTCGGCAGGTTCCAACAGTTCAAGTTTGTATAGCCCTTCGCCCGTGGCGTTCAAAGTATAGCTCGCTCGCTCGTTCCCTCGCTTGCAGATGGCGCCACCGCATCAATTAAGATAGTAGCTTCAACATCTAATTTCCGCAATACTACTCCGTACTACTGCGGAACCTGTGCATTAACCCCACACCTGCCAAAACCCCCGCATTTCCCTGGAAAATTGCCGAAAGCGCAATCGCTCGCGAGAAAACATCCACCAATCCGGATGTTCTCCGGGGTATCGCTACCGCGAAGACCGAGGCAGGGAGCATGGACCCCATGCGGTATGAATATGCTATATGCTATAATAGCAATGCGAAGGCAGGAGACTGGCCAGGCACCTGAAGAAAGAGTCACTCCAAGTGACTATTTTTCTCAGATTCAGTTTCAAGTTAATTGTGCGAGCGAGAGCAGAGCCCGAATATGCGTCTATTCGCATTATTCTCGGTCCTCCTTCTGGGGTTGAGCAACCTCGTCTCAGCAACCGATAATGGAAAGACAACCGATGTCACCTGGGATAAATATAGTCTCTCAGTGAAGGGGGAGAGAGTATTTATCTATTCTGGCGAATTTCATTATCAGCGTCTTCCGGTGCCGGAATTGTGGTTGGATGTTTTTCAGAAACTTCGTTCGAATGGGTTTAATGCTGTTTCGAGTAAGTCCAGTAGCTTTCCATTTAGTACAAGAGGTGTACCATGCTGACCAGCATCAGTCTACTTTTTCTGGAGTTTCCACTCCGCCTCAGAAGATGTATTCGACTTTGAAAATGGCGCCCACGATATCCAGCGCGTCTTCGACTACGCCAAACAAGCTGGTCTATATGTCATAGCCCGAGCAGGACCATACGTGAACGCAGAAACATCAGCCGGCGGCTTCGCATTATGGGCAGCAAATGGACAAATGGGCAGTGAACGAACCAGCGCGGAATCATACTATTCAAAATGGTATCCGTGGATCATCAAGGTGGGCGAAATAATTGCCAAAAATCAGATCACGAATGGCGGACCGGTTATCCTAAACCAGCACGAGAATGAACTGCAAGAGACGACGCACAGCGCAGACAATACTCTGGTCAAATACATGGAGCAAATCGCTGACGCATTTACCGAGGCCGGTATCGTTGTGCCGAGCTCGCATAATGAGAAGGGCATGCGCTCGATGAGTTGGTCAACTGATTACGAAGATGTCGGTGGTGCGGTCAATGTCTACGGATTGGATAGTTACCCCGGTGGATTATCGTGCACGAATCCAGACTCCGGGTTCAATCTCGTTCGAACTTACTACCAATGGTTCCAGAACTACTCCTACACCCAACCCGAGTATCTGCCGGAATTCGAGGGAGGCTGGTTTCAGCCTTGGGGTGGGTATTTCTATGATACATGTGCCGCGGAACAATCGCCCGAATTCGCGGACGTTTATTACAAGAATAATATCGGGTCTCGTGTTACGCTGCAGAATCTTTATATGGTTTTTGGCGGGACGAATTGGGGACATAGTGCCACGCCGGTGGTTTATACTTCTTACGATTATGCGGCGCCGTTGAGGGAGACGAGGGAGGTTAGGGATAAACTTAAGCAGACGAAGCTTCTTGGTTTGTTTACGCGGGTTTCGGGTGATTTGTTGAAGACGGATATGGAAGGAAATGGGACGGGGTATACTAGCGATGCGAGTATTTTCACTTGGGCTCTGAGGAATCCTTCGACGAAGGCTGGATTCTATGTTCTTGCGCATTCTAAGAGTTCGTCGAGGGATGTGACGAGTACATCTTTGAATGTCAATACTACGGCTGGTATGCGCACACTGGCTGTGAAGGAGAGAAGTCTTCAAATGGATGACAACTGACGATCGAATCAATCAGGCGCTATTATCATCCCAGACATCGAGCTGGCTGGTCGACAGAGCAAGATCATAGTCACAGACTACACAATCGGCAAAGCATCCAGCCTCCTCTACTCATCCGCCGAGGTTCTGACCTACGCGACTCTCGACGTCGACGTGATCGTGTTCTACTTGAACATCGGCCAGCAAGGAACATTTGTGTTCAAGGACGCTACTAAAGGGTTGACATTCCACGCATACGGTAACTCGAATGTGACCTCGTCATCATCAGAGCATGGCACGAAGTATACCTACACGCAAGGCGATGGGTCGACAGTGGTCAAATTCTCTAATGGAAACCTGGTCTACCTGCTTGACAAGGAAACAGCGTGGAACTTCTTCGCTATCCCGACGAGTTCCAATCCGAATGTTTCGCCAAGTAGGCAGATTTTGGCTCTGGGCCCGTACTTGGTTCGGTCTGCTTCTATCGAGAAGGATACTGTTAGTCTGATCGGTGATAATGCGAACACTACATCCCTAGAGTAAGTATCGTGTTCTCCTCGACTCCAAAGTTATTTGCTATACCCTCTACAATCAAGCTAACCTCAAACAGAGTCTACCCCGGAAATTCAAAAGTCACAAAGATAAAATGGAACGGAAAATCTGTCTCGACAAAGAAAACCGCATACGGCAGCTTAATCGCTTCAGCATCCGGAGCCGAGAAGGCAAAAGTCTCACTGCCAGTTCTCAAATCCTGGCGCTCACAGGATACACTCCCCGAAATCAAGCGCACCTACGACGACTCCCGCTGGACAATCTGCAACAAGTCGACGACCGTGAATGCGGTCGCACCACTCTCCCTCCCGGTTCTTTACTCCGGCGACTACGGCTACCACTCTGGAACGAAGGTCTACCGCGGCCGATTCAACGGACGCACCGCAACAGGCGCGAACATCACTGTCCAGAATGGCGTGGCAGCCGGCTGGGCGGCTTGGTTGAACGGGGAATATGTTGGTGGTGCATTGGGAAGTCCGAGTCTCGCGACAACATTTGCAGAACTGGAATTCGATACTTCCTCGCTTGTTGAGAAGGACAATGTCCTCACTATCGTGACGGATTATACTGGTCACGACGAGAATAACGTCAAGCCGGCCGGAACGCAGAATCCGCGCGGGATATTGGGAGCCATACTCACCGGCAGCGACAACGATAATTTCACATCCTGGCGCATCCAAGGAAATGCGGGTGGAGAGTCGAATATCGACCCCGTCCGCGGATCCCAGAATGAAGGAGGCTTATACGGCGAACGTCTTGGCTGGCATTTACCCGGATATACCGCCCCCAAGAGTGCGGGCAAGGAAACCCCACTGGACGGGGTATCCAATGCGGCGGGTCGCTTCTACACAACGACCTTCAAGCTGAATCTGGATAAAGATCTAGACGTGCCGATTGGACTGCAACTGGGTGCGGCAGCGAATACATCGGCGGTGGTGCAGATCTTCATGAATGGGTACCAATTTGGACACTACCTCCCGCATATTGGGCCGCAGACACTATTCCCGTTCCCGCCGGGGATCATCAATAACCGTGGGGAGAATAGTTTGGCAATTAGTCTTTGGGCATTGTCGGATGTGGGGGCTCAGTTGGATCGGGTTGAATTGGTGGCGTATGAGAAGTATCGGAGTGGGTTTGACTTTGATCGGGATTGGAGTTATTTGCAGCCGAAGTGGAGGAATAATCGGGGGAAGTACGTGTAGACAGGACACAGTAGACAGAGTAGGCAGGGTAGATCAATGCAATGCAACGAATGCAGAGGTGATTAAGTCATAGCTCCTGTGCCTGGGTGGATCTGGGGAAAACCTTGGAAGTTGGAGCTCAGGCCCAGAATCCGCCAGAATCAAGGCGGGTCTCGTCTGTGCTTCTGCCCAACGTGGAAACGTGACTGTCACAACTTCCCCCCCCCCCCACCGCCATTTTGCATTTGCCAACGCGCGCTGTTTGACCGCGTCTTTCGCTTTTGTTTTGTTTTGTTCATACACTTGTTCATATTCATATTCACCCTCACTCTCACCCTGCCTACCATGGCCCGCCAGTCCAGTATTGACCTCGACTCGCCCGATCGACCCTTTGATAACATCATCAACTTCCGTGACGTCGGCAGAACCATAAACCAGTTCTGCGGTTCCTCGTACGTGGACATGAGCCCATTGAACCCCTGGGGCTCAGAGCTCAAAGCTGACCCAGGACTACAGTATCTTAAAAGAGGGCGTCTTATTCCGAAGTGCAAGAGTGAGTCCGGTCCCTACTTAGCTCTGCTCTGCTTAGACTGACAGCTGATCGGCGTTGACCATAGCTCGACGATGCCTCCGAACGAGATAAGCGCCGACTGGCCGAGGAACTACACATCAAAACAGTGATTGATCTACGATCCCAGTATGACCACCCAGATTACAAGATACACTGCTTCGCCGAACTAATCCTCATGTGCTTTCCCCACAGAACAGAACACCAAATGGCAACCCGCAAACGACGCGCTGAAAACGCCGCCTCCACGGAAGACACACACGATGGCCCCAATAACAACGACTTCGCACATTCATCTGTCCCGCTCGATGCGGAAGAACACCTCCTCCAAATCCCAGACTCACACCGCGCCCTGATCAGTCTAACCGGCAAGGGATTTGAGCGGGCATTATTATCCAAACTGGATTGGATGACATATATGTACGTCCCATCTTCCCCGCACTGCAATGCACTGTGATGCACGGCAGTTCAGGCCACTCCACTCCACCCACCAGCATCACATCCCTCAAAGCCATCCGGCATAAATACAATTACAACTACAATTACTTCGGAGACGCAATATTCCAATACTAACCCACTCACAGAAAAGTCCTCGGCCTCGCCGTATCAGGCTACCGCCCCGACGCTGTCCGTCTAATCGGCGAACAAGTAATGCAACCCCGCGGTCTAACCGGTCTAGCCCAAGACACCCTCTCATCCAGCTCAGCCGAGATCCGCACCGTCTTCGAGCTTCTTGCCCGCGAAGACACCTACCCCGTCCTAGTACACTGTACGCAGGGGAAAGACCGGACGGGTCTGATAATTCTTCTCACATTACTGCTCGCGGGCGAGCCAGGGTCAGAATCAGCGGTTCCAGTACCCGCTCTCACGGACGACTATGTTCGTTCCGAACTGGAGCTAGTGCCCGAATTCGAGGAACGCATGAAGGAAATTCGGGCGCTGGGTCTTGGGGAAGATTATACGCGATGTCCGCCAGGTTTTGTCGATGCTACGATGAAATATTTACAGGATAAATATGGGGGTGTAAGGGGGTATTTGGCTGGTGTGGGGATTAATGATGATATGCAGGGACTTATTCGACAGAAGATTTTGGCTTAGGTTTGGCCTGGCTCTTGGAACAAACACAGACACAGACACAGAGCGAGAGAGAGACGTGGTATCCTATGTTCCAGTTGGATGGAATTGGAATTGGAGACCACCGCTACCAGTGATTGATGGCGGTGGAAATTCTGTAATTTGATATTTGACTTGACTTGTACATATGAGATGAGATAATGATGGGATGCCCAGGGATCTTACAGTACCTAGGCCCTTAATGATTAATGGCCTGGCAGAGAGAGATATGAATTGGAACAGACTCGTTTTACTTATTTTCCCCCTTTATTTCGTTCTCCTTCGTTTCAATTAGCTCATTCCAATCATCCCAGCACATCCGCCTCTCCAAACTTGAAACGCAAAAATCTCGCCGAATCCCGCCCACTCTGAAACCACGAACTAAGATACATTCGCACCCGAGCAAGTAAAGGAAACTTCTCCGTACCCGGCGCCAACAATAACGAAACATTCTCAACCAATTTAAGTCCAGGATGAAGATCTTCCAACGCGATCGGATGATCAATAGAAGACTTAAACACAGCTCCAGTATTACTAACAGCCTTCATCGATTCGGGACGATTAAGCCAACTAACAACCGGAGAACTAACACACTCGAAAATAATCTCTCCCTCGGGGAAAGTCTCGCAGATTCGTGTTAGAAGTGCCCGCACTTCTTTCTCGGGTAGGTACGAGAGTAGCCCTTCCATTATAACTAGTACGGGTCCATCACCGATATGGATATCGTGCATCCAGGTCTCGTGAGTGACATCGATACCGAGTAACGAATAGTCTTGCTCATTTCCTGTGGGAAAAGATAAGGGTAAGACTTCTCTCCTCAACTCAATAACCTCAGGAAGATCAACATCAATCCACCTCGTCCGTTCACCCCATTTAACCCGCCGCGCACGACTATCAAAACCGCACGCTAAATGCAACACTGTAGTTGCGGGGTTTGTTCTCAGAAACGAGGACGTCCATTTATCGAAATGCTTTGTTCGAAGGGATATTCCTGCATTTTGAAAGGGTGTTGTTGGCATTTCGTCCATGTCGAAGGAGAGTTTTGATAGGACTTCTTGTGCGTAGGGGTCGCCTAGGATCGGGGAGGTGAGGGTGTTGTCGTATGCTCGGGCGATTAAGGGGATTAGGAGGGTTTTTGCGACGCCGGTTAGGGTGATTGGTATTTTGGGTTTGGTTTTGGTTTTGGGGGAGGTTGTGGTGGTTGAGGTGGGTGGAGAGGTATTGGGGATGGGAGTCATGGTTGTTGGCATTTTGAGGATAGTCCTGCCAGGTCAAGTAAGTTAATTTCAACAGGATGCTAGTATGGTGGGTGGTTTCTATTAAATATTAAATACCTTTACAGCAGTCCTCGCATCGCTAACTTGGAACTTGAATTATGTAGTTACACTGGAGCGCCACTGGAGCGCCGCGTCCGACCAATACCGGTTAGTGCATATCAACCGTTCATCTGATGGGATCCAGCCAGCCAGGTAGTGAGTTAGTACCAAGCGGAACTTGAAGTGGTTAGTAGTGGAGAACTCATTTTATTTATGTGTAGTCTGGGCTTGAAGGCATTTCAAAATTCCTATATATTCCAATTGATGAGGCATGTGCAAAGAAAGAAAAAAGAAACGCCGATCCAATGATTCCAAATAACGACCACGCTGACTATTGACATCAGCACCAGCGTTGTAGCAGCTCCACTACCTCGGTGTGTTCATGTTTAATAGCGGCGTCAAGGGCACTGCCATATTCACCACCTTGAGCATTGATTTCGGCGCCAGAATTGAGTAGCAGCTGTATTACCTCGATATTTTCTCCACGAGTTGCGGCTGCTTGGAGGGCATTACCATATTCGCCTTCTTGGGCATTGATGTCGGCACCAGAATTGAGTAATAGATGTACTACTGCCTCAGTGTTTTTTTCAAGTACAGCAGCCAGTAGAGCATTGCCATATTTCCCTCCTTGGGTATTTATATCGGCACCGAAATTGATTAATAGCTGTACAGTCTCGGTTTTTTTTTCCACATACAGCGGCCGGGAGAGCATTGCCATATTCACCTCCTTGGGCATTGATACTGACACCAGAATCAAGTAGAAACTGTACCGTCCAGCTACAGGGCATTCACATAATCACCACCCTGGGCATTCGCGTCAGCTCCAGCTGCAGGGAGTATCTTGACAATAGCATCATGGCCTCCCAATGAGGCCATCTGTAATGCACTTTTATCTCCGTTCGTTGGTTCAATGCTGGCTCCCATTCGTAGGAGCCATTCGACAAACTCCAGATTTCCATAGAAGGCTGCCACGACCAATGGTGTTACTCCATCTGCGTCTGCTGCCTTACTATCTGCGCCCTTTTCCAACATAACTTGGCCCATCTCAATGTTGCCCTGTTGGACTGCTGCTCATAAATGGAACGGGGTTTTCCCATGAAAGTTTCTCGTCGCGATATCTTTATTGCTCAAAGACTTGACGAGATCAGAAAGACCTGCAGCTGCAGCTGCAGCCACATGCACAAGTCTGGTGCCAGGTGGCGGGCATAATTGCCTTCTTGAACCTAGCATTTTGTAGAATCGGACCCATCGTTCAACAACATCTTCATTCAGTGACGCGCCCAGCCATGATGCAGGTGTCTTCTCTGCATGAACAAACAAATTGATAGTAGCATAAAGAATCATTGAGTAGTTCTGAAGCAAGCTCCTCCTCATATCCTTAAACTTAAACAATGTCTTTTGAGGAATGGGTACTCCGGCTAGATATGCCAAACACGATTGATAAACAATTCCGTGAGATTGTTCTAGGATATTCTTCAAGTCCCCATTCATATGCAGCTTGCCGAAATCGGTCAGATCAAACAAAAGGCCTACTCCTTTTGTTCGCAGGAAATCAGTGACCGACTGGTGTACTACCTGTATGGTCTGTGGGGTCCAACCACCATGTTCCGTTGAAACCACTTCGACGAGTCCTCCGGAGAGTGCCTTGATTCTTCGTTCAATTCTTCCATTGCTTTCGATATAACCGTTGGCCATCTTCTATAGCTTTGGCTTATTAGAAGTCATCACTTGTTCATTACCAAGAGCCAGAATAGAGTGCATTGCTGTGGCTGATGGTGGTTTCTTGGCCAGCCAGACCCACACAAACAATAGAAGCGGTGGCTCCCGATTTCCCGCCTCTATCATATTGCAGAGGATATATGTATAGGTTTCTTCCAGGTCATCTGGGACCTCTTGTAACCAGCGGTCGATCTCGCCAAACGATGAATTTTAACCTGCAGGATCCTATATGGAAATAGCCTCTATATAAATTATTCCTCTAGCTCTAGCTAATTTTGTCTATCTAAGAAGATCCTAGGTCCTCTGCAAGGTTTAATCTTGACGCTGCTATATATACCTCTAGAGAAAGTTTCGATGAAAATAGATGTTCCTTTATACATTTTAATTCCAATTCTAAAGCTACCTTAGTGGCTACCTTAATAGCTAGCCTAGAAGATATAGAGATGCTAAAATATATCTTACCAGACGATAATATAACCAAGCCTTAAAATGTAGAGGGTAAGAGGGCTATTAATTATTTGTAGCATCTGTGAGGAACTCGGATGAATGAAACAATTATGTAGCATTGGACGAAAGTAATAAAACTAGAGAAGAAAGAAAAGAGAGGAAGCTATCTATATGGTGTATGGGAAATAGGCAGGTGGTGGGTTACGTGGTATAGGCAAGTGGTATCATAGGAGCGAGGAGAGAATAGGTATATCGTTACAGCTTCTACCAGAAGGGACTAAAAGGAGGAGAAGAACTTTGTATTACTTTCATTAAGCTTCTGAGGATGATCAACCTGTGAGAAAGAGATAAAGGAATATTTTATTAGAACTGGAGTAGTCAGTCAGTACAGAGCTGACCGAAAATATACCTCGATATCTTAAAATAATTATAAGCTATATCTATTCTTTAGCGCAAGAAAACTTATCTGAGATAATACTACCCATGTTGAAGGCAGTATTGCAACTCACTACCCAGTTGCTATAGGAGAAATACAAAAATAAGATAAGAGAAGCCAAAATAGAAATATTTATTGTAGGACATAGATTCTCAACAAGTCAAAAATGAATTTATCTGTAAAAAATGTGCTGACGAGAATGTCGAGCGTTATGGCTGAAAGGTCAAATAAGGATTTCAGTATGCCGCTCAGTGAAACTTCCCTGAGAACAACCGAATACGGCCCAGACGACAGGAACATACTTGATTTATATGTATGGGGTAATCAAGAGTCATTGAGGGTTGGGTGAGTGTGGCCAAACAATTCAAATTAGTTCTCAAGGATAGCCTGAGTCGGAGCTACTGTTCATCTTATTTGCTATTGGGCTGCCTTGCATATGCACTAGTTTGGCTTTTTACCTTGCATGTAAGGTGATTGACACAGCCACAATAAATTACTTCAAGTCACATTGTTAGAAATACAGTACGTACCAATATGTCCAAAAACATATGTATTTGTGTCAGTACGACTGCCTTTGAAACATGAAAGACGCGGCTGGCTAGCACGAAATGATATTCTTCATATTTTACTCACAATCTACTTGATTGCCTTACTCTTCAATGCCATGGAACAATTTCAGCATTCCATAAGCAGCGTGCTCTCCGAGGGCATCAAGACTGCCCATCCCCATCATTTCGAGCACACTGATATCGAACCCAAAAGTCGTCTTCCACCATTGTCTCACCTCAATGGCCACCAGTGAATCTATTCCCAGATCAGTTAGGGAGCACGACGTCTGCAGGTCTTCTTCTGGCTTTAACAAGTAGCTTAACACCCTCTTTCCGATCTCGACTGCGAGAAAGTGAGTAGAGTCGGGCTGACTAAGCAAAGCGGGATCGCCCTTGGCTTTGGCTAGGAAGGATTGCAAGCCTTCACTAGAAGTAGAGCCTGACGTAATATCGGCCTCTGCATAATTTTGGAAGACGGCCGCTCGGATATCTTTCTTCCAGAGCGCACGGTTTCCGGAAGTTCCCAGGGACACCCCTGAGCGAAGCCCAAGGCAGAAGTTGTTTGAGGCACAGAGTTGTGATTTATTCAAGGAAGGTTGTACGGCCGCCTCTATTGCCTCGAGGATCTCTCGCTCCGATACTGTGCCACCCAAGACATCGGAAACCTTAAGCCTGTGCATGAGCGACTCGTGCTCAGAGAGGTATCCAACTTCATCAACGGCACCGATCTGGATGGCGCAAGCCGGCAAACCCAGACCCAAGCGATACTGAGAGAAGGCGTCTAGAAAACTGTTTGCACCAGCATAGTTTGTTTGACCAGGCTGCCCGAAGAGACCGGAAACAGAACTGAACAGAATGAAGAAGTCAAGCTCGGCATGCATGGATAGGGAAGCATTGTGGAGGTTCCAGGTTCCTTTGATCTTAGGATCAACGGCGGTGTTCCAGTCCTTAATTGTCATGCGGGGGAAGCTCTGATCACGAAGTATCATGGACATTTGAAAGATACCCCTGAGCTGACCTTGAGCCAGTGCGATAGCCTTGGTCACATCGTCAAGCTCAGAAACGCTGCCGTGAACTAAATCGACGCGGCAACCCATGCTGGTAAGTTCTTCGGCAAACTCCACGTGCTCCTTTTTTAAACCCGCACTTCGGGAAAGATAGATGAGATGACGAGCCCCGTGTTCTACCATCCATGTGGAGATAGAGCGACCCAAGCCTCCGAGGCCACCTACAAGCAGATACGAACCGGATATATCAAAGCGGGTGGGCTTCTTCCGCCGCTGAACCTTCAATCCCATAGAGATTTGGCCGGCATAATTGCGCATTGACACGACGATTTTGCCTAGATGAACGCCTTGCTGCATGTACCGAAAAGCGTCGAGGATAGCATCAGACGTGAAGACCTTAATGGGTCGAATAGGATTTATGTGGCGCTCCTTTAAAAGATTCACAATGTTCTTGAGCAGTCTTCATGACATGTCAGCCGCTGCATGCCATATGGCCGTTCCATCAGTGACTCTTACCCTTTTGCAATGGTCGGCCTCGTGAAGCAAATTTGATCCAAGTCAAGGCAGCAGTAGCTGCGATTGGCCAAGAAAGCACTCATGTCGAGCTTTCCAGAACCTTCCAAGTCTCGCTTGCCAATCTCGACCATCTTGCCAAAAGCTGCAACGCACTTCCATGTCGCATGCAACAACTCGCCAGACAAAGAATTTAGTGCCAAATCAACACCTTCGCCGTTGGTCTCTCGCATGATGTCTGCAACGAAAGAGATGTTACGAGAGTTGAAGATCCGGTTTCTGGGAAGTCCAAAAGTCCCCATAAGATACTTGACCTTCTCTTCACTACCGACGCTAGTATATATCTCGGCGCCAACCATCTGGGCAAGTTGGATAGCAGAAAGACCAACCCCACCGCACGCACTATGAATAAGAACGGACTAAAGAAATTGTCAAAATCCAATCAAAGAGCGCAGAAAGGAAGAGATAACAAACCTGTCCTTTCTTTAGATTTCCAATATTGAAGAGAGAGTAGATCGACGTAGCGAACACGCAAGGCATGGCAGCTGCGTCCTCAAAGCTCAAGCCACTGGGAATGGGTTCACAAAGATCCTCAGATACGACCACCTGCGTCCCGAAGGCAGCACGCGTAATGAACATAACGCGGTCGCCGACCTTGATATCTTTAACCTTTGGCCCAGTGCAGCGGACAATCCCGGCGGCTTCATAGCCGAATTTATTTTTTGGAGCTTCAACGATGCCCATGGCACACAAAACATCCTAAATTAGAGTCAGATTCTGACAACCTTTTCTTCGGTGGTGTTTTGACCCACTCTGAAGTTCAAGCCAGCGGCATATGTTTCTATCTCGACATTATCGCCATTCAGCGATCCGGTCTCTTGCCGAGCCCAGTGTAAAGCATCAAGACGGCCAGGCTTGCTAGTGCAAAGCGTAATTTTGTCAGTCAGAGCGGATGTCAGAAGCTCATCTTGCACCGAGAATGGATTCAGACGTCCAACGTGGACAATGTTTTTGACAATTGCGTATTCAAACTCAGGCTCGAGGATTCGGTCTTCTTGGCGACTCTGGAACTTCTCAAATACTTCAATGATGTTGTCTAGAGAGGAAGCCACATGGTCGACCTCGCAGGTAGCAAAATCGACTACCATTTCGCAACGAATGGTCCTGGCAATACCATTGATCTGGCCAAATTTAGGGTCATGGCATTGGATCTGTGAAAGGCCAGTCACCCAGAGAATACCACATTCCTTCAAGTTTTGCACCAAATTTTTGAAAAGTTCGAAGCGCTGGTCATCCATATTCTCAAAAAAGGGGCCTTCATCGTCAAGCAAGGCGATGACATCCTGGCCAGTAGGCAATGGCATATCCTGCAACTCGCAATGATGAATGGTATACCCCCTGCTCTCCAGGACCTGAAGCATTGGGCTGACAGAATCTGACTCAGCGAGTGTCAGGAGCGTGACTCGTTTTTTAGGAACCTCCTTCATTGCTGTTGGCCTGGCCACAATCATGGTGTTCAGCTGATTTGGCTCTGCTGAATCATGAACCACAGCATCAGGAGTGCGGAACCCTGCTGCCTTCAACTCTCTTACCCAACGTTCGGCATCGACGTAAGGTTCATCAGGCCGACCATCGGGCTCACCATACCACCAGCCCGGTAGAGTTCCCCAAACGTAGTTGGGCCATTTGGAAGTTGGTGTCATGTCGTGAAGCAGGAGCCGACCGTTGGGCGCGAGAAGTTTACGGACATTGCTCAAACTCTCACAGAGAGACCTTGTTGTATGAATAACATTAGCTGCGAGAATCAGATCGTATTCATGACCATCAAAACCCTGCTCTGCGGGATCCTTGCTGATGTCAAGAGTAGTGTATTCCATGTTTGGGTGCGCACTGAAGCGTTCCTTGGCAGCAACGAAGAATCCAGGTGAAATATCAGTAAATGTGTACTGCGAGTATAGGATTTCCTTTCCAGGTGCCAACATCTTCAGAATGTTAGCAGTAGAACCGCCTGTTCCGGCACCAATCTCTAAAACACGGAGGTTAGGCTTGCTGTGAGTCAGATGCTTGAAGAAGAGCGATTCATCGCACAATTCCATGGAAACATATAATTTGGTCAATGTATCATCCGACATGAGAACCTCCAGCGCATCCACTTCGCCAGTAAATATCTTTTCGGCATTGCTGAAAACTTTCTGAATAGCGACAGCGCTATCACAGCTCTGAGTAAGGGACAATTTGCGGACAATGCACTTCACTCGCTGCTCAATAGCGGCATTGTCAAGGTGATGAAGTCTTTGGAGAATAGGAGACTGGAGGTGGCGATCGATCCATGCTCGGTATTTGTGCATATGGCTGATTGAAGTGTTCAATCCTGCAATAACACGCTGAGTGTGAATCATGCATAAGTTAGACAGCTCTGTTAGGATGGGCATATGGTCGCTGCGGTCTATCAAAGGTTTGATAAGAGTGCTGGCATCCAGGAAATCTATATGAGGACCCCATTTTGTGCGCGCAGTGGCGTCCTGAGATTTGCCGGAGTCCTGATCATCCAAGACAGAGAGCCTGATTCCAGAGCTGTACAAGACCAGCTTCCCGTCAGCAGATACACACTCCCCACGACCAACGATGGAGCCATTTGGTGTGTGATGGGCGGAGGCTCGGACTTGGACATCACTATAGCAGCGGTATATACAAATCTCTTCAATATGGGTGGGGACCATCATTTTTGTCGTGAGATCAACATACCCCTTTGACGCAGCAACACTGAGCAGCTGCAGTGAGGCATCAATGACCGTCGGGTGCAGATGGTAGTCCTTGCCATCAGTCTCCTTAACAGCAACTTCAGACGTCGCCTTCTGCGTAGTAGTGTCGGACCGGACATCACCCAGACGCTGGAATGAGGGGCCGAAGTTGAGGCCAGACCTGGCCATGGATTTATAGCAACGGCGGGTATTGACCTTACGCAAGAGAGGGTTCTTCTTCTTAGCATCTCCAAAGGCTTCACTATATGATCTAGCCTGGCCGACACAGTGCTTCGTCCAAACAGTTCCATTGTGGGATGCGACAGTGAATTCCCACCATTCGCTGTCGAGGGAGTCCGTCAAGCGATTACGATGCAACGTGGTCATTAATTCAACTGGCTGACCTTCGTTCAGGACAAGGCAGTGCTGATGACGATAGAGCGCAATTTGAAAGCTTCATCGACCCCGGTGACCTGTCGTACAGCCTCGCCAACCATCGCAGCGTAGCCGGCAAAAGGGAAGACAATATCGTCGCCGACCTTATGGTCACGCATCCAGGGGGCGTTGGTCAAATGGAAGACATTCCGGAACGTAACGTTAAAATCGTGACTCTCCGCAACCCGAATACCTAGAAGATCGTGATACTTATGCTCGCGATGTCGCCACTCCTTGCTCAGCCTAGACTCGTACCAGAATTTGTTCGAGTGGTCCCATGGGTATCTTGGGAGGTCCGGCAGAGTAGAGCCCTGGCTAATAACTTTTTGTAGCTCTAGAGTGGCATTCAGAACATGTAGGCCCCCGATGGCCGTTAGGAATGATTCAACATCATTCTGGTTGCGGATAAGTGCAGAAAGATATGGGGAAGAGCTGGAAAACTGGGTCTGGATTTGCCGTATGGGACCCGCAAGTGCTGAGTGAGGGCCTACCTCTAGGAAGACCATATTCTTTGCAATTTCGTGCTGGAGAATGGATGAGACGGTTGAGCTGAAAAGTACCGGAGACTCCAAATTTTTCTGCCAGTATTTGGGACTGAAGCTCGAATCTTTGGTGAGGAGTTTGCTCTCAACACTGCTGAAGAACAACCTTTTCGGGCTTTTGGCAGACACTTCATGTTCAATGAGGGCATGGTAGTCGGCACCTATTTCAACCATGTGGTGAGAGTGGTACGCTTTGTTGACATGCAACTTTCTTGCTAGGATATTAGGGCTGGCCTCTTTGATCCTGGAAATCACAGCCTCAACTGCTTCTGCGTCACCAGCGAGAGTTATACTTTTGGGTGAATTTTCGCAAGCAACAATTACCCCGGGTTGTAGATATCTCTTGACATCATCAGAGCCCATGCCAATAGCTGCCATAGCCCCAGGCTTGGCTTGCGTATTGGTAACCAGGCCACGGTAAAACGCAATCGTGATGGCTTCATTAGCCGTGATGGCCCCAGCAGCATATGCAGCAGCTATTTCGCCACTAGAGTGACCCACGACAGCTGTGGGCTGAACACCAACAGAGGCAAAAGTGTCGACTAGGGCAACTTGGATTGCCGTGCAGAGAGGCTGAGACAGCTCAGCTGAGTTGAGTCTGCTAGTATCAGCGGCCTTAAGTAGCTCTTCTTCAATGTTCCATTCCGGAGCATGCTTGAGGGTTTGCAGATGTGCATCGAGGGATTGGATGCTCTTCTTGAACAGAGGATAGAAAGAGCTTCGGATCAAATGGCCACCCATTTGGGGCCATTGAGCACCTTGACCTGTGAATACCATAACGATGCTCGGTGTTGCGCCGGATTTCAAGGGAGACGAAGTCGTGAGTGTACCAAGTAGGCCTTTTACAGCAAATGCCCGATAAGGTAAGTGTTCTCTTCTATTACCAAGGGTGAATGCCAGGTCACAGACCCTGGCAGGGTTTTTCTGGATGTAAGATTTATAGCCTGCAATCATCGCCTCTAGTGATTTGGCAGTATTGGCCGAATAAACAAGCAGTTGGGGTGACGTCGTAGGCCGCTCGGGAACTGGTGATACGCTGAAGCTTTGAGCGGAGTCGAGGATAACATGGGCATTGGTACCCCCAATACCGAAGGAGTTCACACTGATGCGCTCTCTCCGACTCTTGGGCCAGGGCATCGGTTCTGTGGGAACAGAAAGTCCATAGGAGTCCCACGGGATGTCGGGGTTGGGGTTGGTGAACTTGATGTTTGGAGGAATGATCCGATTTTCAAGGGCCAATACTGACTTGATCAGCGATGTGAGGCCTGAAGCTCCTTCGGAGTGTCCAAGATTGGGTTTGACGGACCCAATTTGGACGCCACCATAAGGGCCAAAGACACGACCGACTGCTCTGGCTTCGATTGGATCTCCGACCGCTGTGCCTGTACCATGGCACTCGACGAACGCGGTTTCAGAGTAATCCGTAATTCCTGCTAGTTTATAGGCATGCCTTATCATGGTCTCTTGGGAAACGTCATTTGGAACTTGAATACCAGCAGCAGTCCCTTTTCCGTCGTTGTTAGATGCCGTTGCCCGGATAACAGCACGGACGGGGTTGCCATCACGAACGGCATCGATTAGGGGTTTGATGAAGACAGCGGAAACCGCCTCTCCTCGAGCATAGCCATTGGCAGCAGCAGAGAAGGTCTTGCAGCAGCCATCAGGTGCAAGAACACCTTGATCTGTCATAGCGACTGTCATGCCTGGAGCCATTATCAAGTTGGCACCGCCCACAATAGCGCCTTCACAGTCACCCCTGGAGACTGCCAGGCATGCTTCGTGTAGTGCCACAAGGGCAGCCGAGCAGCCAGTACGAACGATCATACTTTATGTTTCAAGTTAGTAAATCGCATTTTCGAAGGAAAGAATTGACAGACTAACCTAGGCCCAGACAGGTCCATCTCATAAGAGACCCGGTTAGGCAGCATGAAATCTCCGTATCCAGTTACACGGTACGAACCTTGATGCTGGTTTTCTTTGGCAAACATCTCCACCCAGTCTTCACCGAAGCTGCCCATATAGCAGCCGATCGGTTTTCCTTTCCAGTTGGTTTCACCAGCATCTTCCATGCACTCTCTGGCAACCTCCAGCATTTGCCGTTGTTGTGGATCCGTGCGTTCAACCTCCGATTTTCCCATTGCGAAGAACGATGTGTCGACAGTAGCAAGATCAATGCTTTCGTCAAGGAAGTATCCATACTCAGTTTTGATACTGTTAGGCTTCGACGTTTCGGAGTAGTAGGCGGAAGCATTGTATCTAGACTTTGGGACTGGGCCGCGGGCATCGCTCTTGGATATCAAGAAATTCCACATTTGTTGTGGACAGTGCAGGCCTCCAGGGAGACGCACTGACATACCACATATGGCGATAGGCTCCTGGGAAGCAAATTCTGGGAGGTGAACCCCACCGCCAGAAGCTTCTTTGTCATTGATTTGATGTGAGCCATCAAGCGATGGTCCGTTTTCATAAACATGGCCATAGGTGTGGTCATTCATCTTGTTGTTGGGGGTTTCAGAACCATTCGCATCTTCGATGGATGTGGGCATTTTCTTGCTTTTGACGGAAGGCTTCTGAGAAGATTTATTAGACAGGTATTGAACCAGAAAAGAGATTTGTGGACAACAGGAGCTTGTAAATAAGCTCGTGTTCTTGATGTGATTGTCTCAAGCCTCACCCAAGCCTGCAGTACTAATGTACCCCTCTCATTGTTGACAACCTATATCGTGCAGTGCCAAGCAATATCGTGCAACACCACTAGATATCATATGCATGTACACGCTATGTTAGTCTGTTACAAAACTTTGGCGCTGTTATACTGCCCAGCCAGTTCTGTGGATGTTCCATTAGGCGAGATCAGCGTAATATTGGAAATATGTACCATCTCGAGAAGTTTTCATGAATATGGGATCTATGGGCGATTAATATTCATCGTCTTGGATCGGCGATTCATATAAGTGGCAGCGGTGACCCATTTATGGCTGGCTGATTGATACCTGGAATGAATTTCAGGAGAATCAAGCAGCCACCTTATTTCGCTTGGTTATTCAGGTATGGTCAGCTGGCAGGCCCCCACACACTGTACAAGGTTTGCATCCACTAATGTAAGCCCCTTGCGATGGGCAAAAACATTGCACTCAAGAGATCTCATCTTGCCATCTTCTCCACCTTCACGCAGAATGTTATACAGTACTAGAGGGCCGCATTTACACTTTTGGGAAAAAACTAAAGGTTAATGATGACATTACTGAGGTCATTGAGGTTGTACTCAAGAAGCGTAACATTTAAAACAATGATTGAGAAGAACTCGACGCCGCTTTGATCCTCATTAGTTGATAGAGAGACAGAGTTCTTGGTAGCTGCCCAGCTAGCATCGATGGGGCGTTCAACTAAGCATTGAAATGGCAATATGCAGCCTAATTTCAGACGTAGGTGAGAATAGCCCATGAGAGGGTCCGAGAACTTCACATGATTACAATTCCAGAATATTGGAACTATTCTTTCTATCTGTTGATTTGTTTGTGTACTTCACGAATTTTTCACCGCCAAGCTTTTAATCAGTTTGCGAGGGCATTCTCAACAACTAGGTTTATATAAAGTTTCACGGCCACGTTAGGCCGTTAGTTGTCATTTTGGTAATGGTATTGCAGCTTGCATGAAAGTCTGGTCCATTCCATAATAAGAGCAGATGCTATTTAACAAAGGTTACTGCGTTGGTAAGTAGGCTAATGACTAATTGCCAAGTAATAACGTAATTCCCGGCCGTCTCGAACACCCAGCCGTCCCGAACACCCCAGACACCATACTAATTACGATATTTCAGATTATGATATTTCAACCCACAAGGGTTTATATAAGTTAATGGGATATTCAAGTATTAAATATGTCATATTACGTATATTTATCAGGTCAAAAACTATTTTCAGGTTCTGTAATATTAATATATAAATATGCATCACCTTGTCGGCGTGTATTTCAGTAATATATGTAAATAACAATGTAATCTATTGATTGATGAATCCATACTAGTTAATGTATTACCAGTAACTATCCTACCAAAAATCAAGCAATATTGTATTCTTGTTGTTGATATATAGCGACCTGAAATATCGCGTTTACTATGGTGTTTAGGGGTGTTCGGGACGGCTGGGTGTTCGAGACGGCCGGGAATTACGTTAGGTAACTAATGTATCCGACTAGTAACAGTGACTTTGTCACGACATAAAGAGATTGGTATCTCACCGCCCCGATGTCCTATAGGTCAAACATTCCTTGGCTGAGATTTTGGTATTTGCTTCCTCACATACCGCACACCTGCCCACAGCACATAAAACTTTTTATACGAATAAGTAAGAACTTAATAATAATTTAAATATAATAATTTAATTTTTAATTTTTCATATATTCGGTTGGAAAGCCGCGCAATGTAGAGAAATGATCTGCCTTTGTGCATAATAGAGGCTGGGATGCGGGGTCCATTACCGATCTCTTTCCTAGCGAGGACGACATGGATCTACTGCATTGCAGGTATCAATCTATGTAAGTAGTGGAGCCCCTTGCAAAATCCATCTCGTCGGTTCACATAATATATGCAGACAGTGGCAACATATTGCAGTTGTTGGTACACCGACATTTTATCTGCGGGTGGCTTTGCATAAATAGCCATCATATACCTTGTCCACCCATCTGAAGTCTGTAGTTCTTTCTATCTGGTGTTAAAATAAGTGGCTATTTTCCACGCCTTTCTCCAATCCCATACCGCTCATGGCCGCAGACGATCCCAACTTGCCCATCAGATGGGACGGTGCATTGCATGGGCTTTATCCGTATCTTGGTACCGCAGGGTAAGGGAAGTCCCAAGGTATGTCAATCAGAGAATCAAACTTACTAATTGCCAACCATTGTCAGTCTCGGTGTGGCGCTCTTCCTTACTGGTATCGAGGCAACCATTGTGAGCACGTCACTAGTTACCATTACGAATGATCTTCAGAACTCGAGTCAAAGCAGTTGGGTGATCACCTCCTATTTGCTAACATATACCGGTTCTCTTCTCCACTCCCACTGTTTTCAATTCAGCGCGCCTCTGACTGACAGTATCGTCCTAGGATTTCTCATCATTTGGTCGAATGGCGGTAACTTATTCGGGGTTAAACGAGCTCTCCTCACTTCCCTGTTTATTTTCACGGTGTTCTCCGGTGGCTGTGCTGGTGCACAAAGTCTCAGCGCACTGTGCGTTGCCAAATCACTCGTCTTCTTCCTAAGCAAGCAGAAAATAACTCGTCTAAATTATAGAATCATCTGTCGGGCATTCCAAGGCCTTGGTGGCGCTGGTGTCTACACCTTGACGCTCTTCTCTCTTCTTCGCATCTATCCTTACGAACGATTTGGCATGGTCAGTTCGATTGCTGGTGGAATTATATCCCTAGGGCTTGTACTAGGCCCTTTATTTGGAGGTGCTATTTCAAATAGTGGAGCCTGGCGCTGGGTATTTTTGTATAAGTATGGAAACTTTGCTCCTCAATTATTCAATCTAACTGTGATCGCAGTGTTCCAGCAGGTGCTCTAGCTTGGCTTGTTATTTTAACGATCCTTCCGGACCAATTTCCAGATGCACCCCAAATGCCGACTGGAGAGTCAACATCAGAACGAATGTGGGTAGACACAAGGGCTTTTTTCTACCAGTTGGACGTTCTGGGCGCATTTCTGGTGCTGACTACATGCTCATTTCTCATTGCTGCCCTCCAGGAGGGGAATTTTGAGTATCTATGGTCCTCAGGCCTGGTCATTAGCTTTCTTGTTATCTCTGGGGTTGCGGGTGTTACATTTGTCTGGTGGGAGTGGTTTGTTGATCAATCTGGTCTGAAAATTGTGGCGGTGTTTCCGTGGCGGCTGACCCGCAACCGAATCTTTATGGGTGTTGCTCTGTGTGTATTCCTTCTCCTAGAGCCCACTGACTCAACTGACCAGTCTCCATACAGCGGATTCTTTACAACTGGTCTTCCTATGACCGTCTGTATCATCGAGATTCCGCAGCGATTTCAAATCGTCAACCAAAGTTCTCCGCTCGGTGCAGGCGTGAAATTGCTGTCATTCGCGCTGAGCTGTCCACTCGGCATCATAGGCTGCTCTATATTGGCAGGGCGGCTTATGATTCCCTTTTGTTACATTGCGTTAATTGGCATAGCCTGCGAAGTCACTGGCATATTCCTCTTCTCGGAAATACCTTCAACGACACACCTTTGGCCAGGGCAATTCGGATACCTTGTTTTAGCTGGGCTAGGAGTCGGCCTCGCTGTCTCTGCTTTCTATATGGCGGTTTCACTTGTGGTAGATCTGGAGGACCAATCGACTGCTATGGGTATTGGGATCCAACTTCGAATGCTAGGTGGAGTTCTGGGGGTCGCAGCTTCGACCACTATTCTGAATCATTATCTCAAGAGCCGATTGTCGCACTCGATGCGACCTGAGGAACTGAGTGCTCTTTTGAAAACGACCGAATCCATCAAGAATTTTTCACCGGAGATTCAACTTCGTGCTCGCGAGGTATACGCACTGGCCTACAGCATGCAGATGAAGCTGGCGGGTGCATTTTCAGTAGCCCAGTTGTTGGCCGTGGCGATGATTTGGAAGAGACAAAATGTGCGGTATTCAAAACATTAGTCAACCTTCAATCCGCAGTCTGGAATGATCTTCGCTTATACCCATTTCTGCTATCTTCTTATATACTCCAGTTTTTGATGACTTATCTTGCCTTCAATCTTGGGCTCACTGGTTTCAGTCTCTATGCCCCTTTCCAGCAACATCTGCAGCCTTTCATGCTTCCAGAGTGGTTTTCTTCTGTTCTAATATCAAGAGTATTAGCGATGGCAGTTTCGCAAAATTGTTTTTGCACAAGAGATCAGTTATCATGGTTTTTCACCCCTTGTAACGCAAAATAACCAAGATCACAACCAGTATTGGTACCACTACCACAAGCAAAATGTTCCATTTTCATTTTTTAGCTTAACCAACTATATGTACATTGAGAAGTCTATATGAGAAGTCCCTAAACAGACAAATAATTCAGACATGTACCAAGTTCCAAGGGTTCGGCCTCAACAGGGTCAGCTGAGAATCAGACTGATAAGCTATGTCAAATTTCAGTACCACAATAAGAGACAGCTGGTGCCTCCCAGTTCAATCATGTCATCGGGAACAGGGTTCTTTGCTAATTACCGTTATGGGAGCGAGAGATAAGGCAGAGTAAAACAACAAGCAAAAAATACACTTATGACAGCCTTGCACCATTCATCCGAGGCTGGACCTCCAGGCGCGAGAAGAGGCAGCGTGGCGAGTGCAGCCCAACACACCATTTCGCCTTCTTGATCGCTGATGCAACTATTTATCTCAAGCTAATCGAGTTGAAACGGATGCGACCCTCACGACCCAGGGTGACGCGACTTACCTGCCAACTGGCTCTACCCAAGCGCATTGTTTCTTGGCTTGACTTCCCCCGACTCCAAGAGCATGTCTGGAAGAAACTCGACCGCACGGCCGCCTTTACCTCGCGTCTGCTCTTCTCTTTCGACACCCAGTTAGACAATGTTGCTGCAAATCTCCATAACAAGCCAATTTATTCAGATGCCTTTCTAGGGAACTTTCAGCGCGTCTCATGTAGGCATATATTGCGCCGATCTCTTCTCTGTCGGAGTCGTTTCGTATCCACCTCGGAGGTTTTAGAGTGTCCGCGGGAGCTTCTGGTCATTAATGAATGACCTGAAGGAAATGAATGAATGTAGGTTTTATGGCTGTTTCAATGCCATAAATTTGTAGCCAGTAGCTTCCAGAAATAAGCACGAAATAATTGCCTGAGGCGCTTTTAAGAAGCACCCTCTTGCTCCAAGGGTCACGGTTTCTCTGAAACACAACGGTATTTGCAAGGCATGGTTTGTTTTTCCTAAACGGGGCTCACTCTTTTGACTACGCAAAGCCCTTGGTGCCCGGGTCCCGTTTTGATCTCCGGCCAGCAGAAAATGAAGTCCTGGGTGAGCCGTGGGTGAGAATGAAACGAGACGAAAAGAGCGTATGCGGGCTTCGACCACCGTCCACTGTTTTGCTCACGCTTACAGCAGTAGGCTCGACCATATGGCAGACTCCTTACTGGCTAACCGCAAAATGTCTGTCGATCTCAGTAAAAAAACCGACAGTGGATATGTGAGACCAAGGTTGCTGGTCCGGGCACTATCCTCTGGGAACGGTGGAAGACCAATGCTATAGCAAGCAAGGCGTCGGGATTCTTTTGGCTTGTCCATCTATGGCGTCACTGTGAAATTTCTTTGAAAAGTAAGTTTTGATCTATAAATTTTACAGTTGATACTATTGGTAATACTTTCTTTGTACCGGTTGTGACCAATTGAACTCAGTTTTTAGTTAAGAGACAATGTTTGACTCTATACATGAACTTGGAGGATCAAGATGGAATAAAATCATTATCCCAAGAACTTTGAACCGTGGAGATTGAAGTAGAATGTGCATTATGTCCCTAGACTAGCAATTAACCCTGCATCAGACTCGCTCTCACCTTGTGGTAAATAATCGTTTCGCTGCTAGTGTGATCGTACCGTGTAACCAGATTCCGTAATAGTTTTGTCACTGCCGCAATCGCATTTTGATTGTAAAGATTTGTTTTTGTTTCATAGTGGAAAAAGACTTTTTCTTTCAGGGCCTACGCTCTTTCTATCCAAACTTCTTGGCACCATAGTCAACGGTGCTATTGATGGGGACTGGCGCGACGGGATGCGAGATACTATCACAACTTGAATACTCGCAGCCAGACTCAATGATGCCAGTCTCGATTGCTTGCTGACCTGCAGCAAAAGTGAAATCACCGTAGTCAAATTACATTAGCTCACTATAGTTCCTGGGAATTCAAGAAGTTTGATAGACCTATTACCGCAAGAATGAGTGGTTTACGCTACACAGCGCCCAGGGACATCACTTTGAGCATACTCATGGCCCAAAACAGACTTGAGAATTCCACACAGAAATTGGCTCCTCAAGGAACATGAATGCAGATATTGAGGGTAAGTCACTAGTAATGACTTGCCAATCTTCATGACTGGCCGATATATTGGATCAGGAAACATTACCGTTAGTCAAGGTACACTGGATGTTGTCAGGATGAGGAATTGAGGTTGTGGCTAGTACTGTATATGTCCAATAGAATCAGACGATTGATTATAGGTGTTGAGATCGGTTGAACGATCTCAAGGGTCTCTATCCTCGAACCATGTTGGATTTCATCGATACGCTCCGCTCTCAAGGAATCAGCCATTACGTCTCTCTCCCGCAAAAAATCGTATGCGGAGACCAATCTTCTGGAAAGAGCTCCGTTCTCGAGGCAATTTCAGCGCATGAGAGTCCTAAGACGCTACCCTAGCCTATAGAAATCCTTTAATACTATTCACTAGTGAGCCAATGATCCCCAATTAAATAGTCTCCTATTAGCTAGCTCTATGGGCATGCCCATCTACCTTAGAAATTCGGGCAGGGGCATCCCCGATTGCCTCGGTCAGTTTTTTTCCAGCTTTAGTAGGTACAAATCAGTCTATTTAACTCACCTCCTCTACCTAAATTATGAATTAACATTAATAACAAGATAGATTAGATTAGTATGTATTAGATAATACCAGAAAAAAAGACAAGAAAAGTCATTTTAGTCAATTTTTTTCAAAAAAAAGCCCTAATAATAGAAAGATGCACCAACTTGCCTTAACACAATATATATATCTAAGTTGTGGGATAAATTGTAATGAGCAATCTATTTGGTATTCTACCACAGTGAAGAGGGAGAAATTAAAACGTAGATAAAATACACTAGTAATTTAGATTTTCTGCATAATAATAATCCAAATCTGGGGGCCAAAAGGCAGTTTTGGGCATGCCCAGATCTAGGCCATAGCGCGCCAGAGTTGGATTATAGAGGCTCCTGGATTCGTGCAATCGATCTTAACACCCTCAATCAATCAACTGATTCTATTGGAGATTTTCAGTACTAGCCAGTACATAAACTCCTCATCCTGTCATTTATCTACGTGACCTAAGTCCGTGTAATCAAGCCGGGCCCATTAACTGACGTGGCTGGCCTTAATGTGTTGGTGGCTGTTGGCGAAACCCGTATCGAGATTAATGGCCGTACCCCGCAGTGGCCTTTTAAAAATGAGATAATTCCGACCCAGTTTCATTCACTTGGACCCCATCCTGGAGGTTAGCGAAGTCTATTGTCACAATGGCTGTTTCTACAGACCAGTTCTCCGCCATTTACGACAAGGCGATCCAAAAGTACTACGAAATCACGGGGAGACGCTCGCAGTTGACTTTATCGCCAAAATTCGCAGTGTTGACGATCTTACGAAAGAAATCGACGAGAGAAAACAGCACCTTTCGCGAATTCCGCGAAAGGCGAGGCGCCATCTTCGATGTTCTGGAAACCGCCCTAATCCCAGTGCAATTGTTCGGCGACCTCGCGGCGGGGGGAGCGTCGATGGCATGCCCCCCCCAGCAGCCTGGTCTTTGGAGCCGTGATTCATTTGATGGGTGCTGCGAAGGGTGTATCGGCGTCCTACGACGCGATTCAGGACCTGATGCAAACGCTACAAGTATGGTCTAGCAAAATGTCGATGAGGACGTGAGAGAGGAAATACTGAACGAAATAGGATTTCACCGCCCGACTAAAAGCATACACGCAAGAAGCTATCTCTGAGGCCTTATCCGACAAGTTGAGCGATATCATTGTGACTCTTATCGAGATTTTATGCTTGTCATCCAAGGCCATCCGACGTGGCCGACTGCTTAAGTTCACTCGCAATATTTTACTCGGTAATGACGGCGCCATTCAAACCGCGATGGTCAGACTTGGCAGGCTCACTGGAGTCGAAGCAAACCTAGTTGGGGCAGAGACCTTGACCGAGTCGAAGAGAGCCGGTCGTGTAGTTGATGGTATATCTGTGACTGTCAACGCCACCAACGCGACTGTCCTGGAGACCGGAACGACGGTCAATCAAATGAGCGCACAGGTACATGGGATGCAGGAGATGTTAGAAGAGCTGATTGTTACTGCAAAAGAGGAAAATCAGGTTCTCCATGAGGATCAAGAAGCCCTGCAGAGATTCGTCAACCAGGTGGTTAGGCCGTCCAAAGTTGATTCGGTGCAGGAATGGTTCCACAAGATACATAAAGCCCGTGTGGCAGGCACAGGAGACTGGATTCACAAGGAGGATGTTTTCCAATCCTGGATCAATAAGGAAACACCGGTCATGTTTCTGTCTGGAAATCCGGGGGCAGGGAAGTCATTTCTGGTGGAAAATATGATTAGTTATCTTCTCGAGCAATTTTGCACGGGTCTTCACCGTGACCCGCTGGTTTCGATTGGATACTTCTTCTTTAAGGGTGACAACCCCCAGACTAGGTCTTTTCACCAGGCGTTGCGAGACCTAGCCTTTCAACTCAGCAAGAGTGACCCAGAGTATCAGAAGTATCTCGCAACCATTGAGGGATATGAACAGATTAGCACTCTTGAGAGTGCCTGGCGCCTCCTCTTCGGGGAATACTTCCTAAAGAGATCTGATAATGAGAGCACCACTTACATCCTGTTGGATGGAGTGGATGAAACTCTGGACGGGGAGCGGAGAATCTTCATCGATCTAGCAAGGGAGCTGTATGATAACCAGTCGTGTTTGCAGCTAGCCATCGTTGGCCAACCTTCTCTTAGCGATCAGCTTCTTGAAGGCCTCGGGGTTAAGGTGCCAACCATTCACGTCACCAAGCAGAAGAACTCTGGCGATATTACCCAGTACATCCATGTCAGCATCAGAAAGTCATTGGTTCTGCGAAAGGTGTCGGCAAAGCTACGGAATGAAATTATTGACACACTCTCGGCGGGAGCAGAGGGCATGTTCCTTTGGGTGAACTTAATGCTCCAGGAGTTGATTAAGAAGCGAAATGAAACTAGTATTCGAAAAGCACTGGCGCAGGCTCCTCGGGGACTCAATGAGATGCTTCGACATGTGCTGGCCACTTTCTCCCGAAGCTCCAACGAGGAGGAGCTCGAGTACCTCAATGAAACTTTGCTCTGGGTCACATGCGCCAACCAACCCTGGAGACTATCCGACATAGAAACGATCCTCAGACTGAAATCACCGGAAGGTGATGGCATGATTGACCTTGAAGGTGCCCTACGTCGCCAATGGGCGTCATTCTTCACCCTGCACCGAGAAGATGGCCTTACAACGGCCGACCTGGAGAATGGATCAGCCCATCTGGACGCTTTTGGCTGGCTGGCCGATGAGGAGAAAGAGGATGAACATGAGAGTTGCGAGGAGGACTACTTCACGGCCTTCAACTCAAAACCGAATACTACTACTGTAACCTTTTGCCATTCATCCATTGGCGACTTCCTCCGCGATGAATCGGAGGGCAAGGTGTCGGCTACTGGGGGTCACACAGCTGTCGGGGTGAATTACCATGAAGCCAGACCACATATCCTCAAGACTTACTTAAGGCTGATCACCGATCCTGAGTTTACAAGAAAGGCCAACGACTCAGGGCATATGCTCCAACATGCAGCGCGACATTGGGGTGACCATCTACTCTCCACTTTGCCAGCCCAATGCTCATTAGACGACAGGCGAGATATTGCAAAGATGCTATTGACGGTCTTTCGATCGGAAGAATCAATGTTGAACTGGCTTGGTGGAAACATTTGGGTGCTTCGTAGCGCAACCATCGAAGCTCTCCGACCATGGTGGGAAGGGCAAAACGTCCACGAGGTTCTATCTCCGGAAGAGAAAGAGTTTATGTCCACGATGGAGGATGATCCATCCAATATATTCAAACCAATGGTAATGTTCTGCATCAAGAGGTGGCTGTTGGAAGACTTGGATAATCCTGACCCAATGGTCTCCATGGTCTGGCGCTACCAAATGTTAGTTAAAGGTGAGGAGGCCCACGATTACGATAGAAACATAACAGCGGAAGAAATAGTCGAAGCCGCTGAGTTCGGTGGCTTCGAGAAGACCAGTCGATGGTTTCGACAATGTGCGACCGCTCTGCGTCAATCGTGGTACCATGAAGAAGCCCTCGAGTATTTCATACAGGCGATGGAACTTAATCCAGATGATTGGCGAACCATGCGTGAGTTAGCACATACATACCAGGACCAAGACGACTGGCAGACATCTATTGAGTTCTGGGAACGGACTCGACTAAGCTTGTTGACCACAATTAAGGAGTCACCAAAAGACACGACACTGAAAGAACATCTTCATGGGTGCTTGGAGCAGATGGGTCAGATATATCGGGATAAGGAGAACCGGCAGAAGCGATTCGAGGCAGCTCAAGAGGCATATAAATATGCGCCCTCCTGTTGGACCTGTATTGCTGCCCTTCTGGAATGTCATAACGACAACCACGATCACAAAGCAACCATGGACGTGCTGAAGAAGTTAGCGGAAACTCCAGCCCCGGAAGAGGATTGCTCACAGTTAACTCAATTCTTACTGGCCAACGTATTTGATGTTGATTTGAAATCAAGGCTTGCTGCAGATGCCGCATTGGCTACCAATGATCTGGACTTCGTGTTGGAGAACTTGCAAACGGCAGCCAGGGTGGCTCGAACAGCTTCGAGGACGTTGATTGCTGTAGAGGTGGATATGGCAATTGCTAGGATTTACAGTGATATCCTTCTTGACCACCTGAAGGCAATCATGTGCTGGGAGAAGGTCATGGATACATACTCTTTCTCCTCGGATGGGACACTTATCGGAATTATTAGACATCTCGCCTCCACGAACCTGGCTCAGGCGTTTCTCTGCAACGCAATCGAGGCTGGAATTGACACTCCAGAGGCGGTAGAATCATTGGCCAAACTTGAGAAGGTCGTTGACCGAAGCCAATCTTATTCCTTTGGAAGTTACGCATCCGTGCCAGCCGTCTACTTGGGCATCTTCTGCCACCTCCGAGGTCAGAAAGACAGGGCTCGAGCTCTCTTCCGATCCTCACTACAACGAAGCGTCTTAAGCCTCCGCGACAATCACCCCACAAATGACGAGCTTACTGACCTGCAATATACTCTGATTAGGGCGGGAGACTTGAAGAATGTCGTTGCAATAGCCCACAGAGCAGACGAACACAATAGTGACCCCTGGTATATATGTCGCGGTTTATGCCGGCGAAAAATACCTACACGGAATGGTTTTTCTATCTGTTCCATCTGTTTGGAAGAACAATGGTGTCCGGAGTGCGTCAAACTCATGGAGTTGGTGATGCCAAAGAAGAGGTGTCATTCACAGCACGTGGTGTACTGGATCTCCATTCCCCCCCAATCAAAGAGCATTTCCAGCGGTATGATGCTGGTCGATGGCGAAGAAATCGAGTTCGAGGCGTGGTTGAAACAGTTGAAGAAGGAGTGGGCTCTTGATGCTTCCAATCCTTCAAATTCGACTGCAGGTCAGTTTGGTTTAGGTGACTTTTTACTAGGCATTGTGGCGTAAGTTGGAATGAAAGGATGTAATTTTAATGATTGATGCAATTTGTATCTATGGTATGGTGGGAAGAATAAGATTCTAAGCAGACCAAGACATTGAAATCGAATTGGAGATAAGATGCTATTTTATTGGCGACCTCACCCTGTTAAGGGAGATCAGGAATATGTATAGTTTGACCGTAACCGGCCACCTGCAGCTGCGCTTGCAGCAATGCTAGCGGCTTCCACGGGAAGCTCTCTAAGCTGGCGCACTGTAAGGTCCCTTGAAGTCTGAAGGGCCATGTCAATTTAGCTTCCCATGACGGAGTGCTTGGCATAAATTTCGAGGCACTTGCTAGGACCATACACTTTAAATATAGTCTCTCAGCGTCCTAATACCACCTCAATCCCAAATTTTATGGGGGAAGTTGTCCATCGGCACGCTTTTCTGGTTCGTCCTATTGATTTGACAGTGGTGGAAGCGGTGTGTATTCGGGTCGATGAATTTTGTGTTGCCAAAAGATATTGACATCAAGCTTAGTGTACGGCATATATTAAGGTGTTATGTTGTGGTAGGCAAGCTGAAGGCCCACCCAACCTAATCTAAGAAAAGCGTGAGGCCACGATCAGATGATTACAAGGCGCCAGATATAGCCTAATTATCAGCTCGATATTTCTTTCAAATTCTGGAGAATCCGGAAGTCCTTACGATTCTAGAGCAGTAAATGTTAACTCAGAGGCCGATTTAGTACGGCTAGCAGACTAATATTGGTAAATCATCAACAAATGTGTCCAGGGCGGGGTTAGGATTGGGATCATTGCGGGGTAAAAAATCGGTTTCTGACAGGTCACAAGCAGAGTCAAATATCATTAAATAATTCGATCGTTTTTTATTAAAGTTGGGTTATACAAATATTATATTATCTAAGATCAAGAAATCATTCACCACCAATATTTTGTTTTCGTTTTTTGCACCTCTACCTAGATTGAGGACCCTCAAGTTGAAGCGGTCCAATGAAGTGTGAGTGATGACGTTGAATTGCCGCCGAGACCCACAGTGGAGTGCTGCGCCGGCTCCTCTGGGCATGAACACAGCCCACCTCGAGAGGGGATAACAGGACCTCCACCCCAGTTTTGAAACGGGGTTCCTGACCAGAGGATGTCATCTTTAAATTAATTCCATTTCCACCACCCCATCAGTGCAATCCGAACCTCATTGCTTCATCATCAAGCTACTATACCTCATTCAAGTTCTTCTATTACTCTAAGTTATCCCATCCAGCTCTAAATATTCTCTATCTTTCAAGACTGCGCTTTTGCGGATCTCAATTTTATTTTCCTCTGTATTTATAACTTTTCCAAATTAGACGACGAGTCTCTAACCCTCGAGGATAGCTTCACCTTTACGGGCGAACGTGTCTTATATCCACGCACCCTAACTTTGTTGTGGAGAGATCTGCCAAGGGGATTCGCCGCAGGGCTACTTCAATATTCTGCTTCTAATTGGGTGAGTAAGATCCATCGTTGGATGATTGTGGCTGTGTCAGCGCGAATGATTGAATTCCCCCAACTCTTAACTTTCTCGTCCTGCAGTCCTCCAAGACTCCGACTCCCCTTGAGTAGTCGTTAGATTTACTATAACATACAGATCACCATACATACGCAACAATTCTACAATATGTCTCTAGGTATCTCCGTCGGAGATATAATTCTCTGCGCCCAGATAGCGCATCGTTTGTTTATATCCATTACCAGAGGACGCAAACAGGCCCCACAAGACCTTAAAGAGCTCCAAGGCGCATTGTTTGGTCTCTATTGTACCTTGAATATTTTGAAAAGAGAATTCGATACCGTCATGGTTAGGGCACCTTTCGAGCACGGCGCTGCTTTGGAATGTATGATTCAATCCTGCCAAGAAACACTACACGAACTCGATAATGCCACGGCCCAATATCGTGAGGCTGCCAGCGATCCAAATGCAGCAATTGGACCTATCAGAACATATCTTCGGGTACAATGGAAACGAATAATGTGGGGCTTCCGCGGTGATACTCTTTCAAAATATCGACAAAAGCTTCAGATGCATACTGATTCGCTGAATCTGCTTCTGAATACTTTTCTATGGTCAGTCTCTCGGGCTGTCACATCCCGACCTATCACACGTCTGTGGAACGAAACTAAAAATTCTTATTTTTTGCAGGTCTGCTACGGGTCGCATCGAGGACGGGAGCCGCTCCCAGGAACAGAGGCTAAACGAGCTTCTGCAACAAGCATCCCGGTTCAACGATGAATTCCAACAATCTATGCGGACTCTTCAAGCCACCATGCAGCCTACACAACGACATCATATTCTTGGCTCGCGAGTTTCTATGTGTTTGACAGGTTGAAAATCGAAAAGGGTTATTGGCGTTGACAGGGGACTATGTATGAATGAGAATGTCGATCTACATAAGCGTGGCACCTGGGCATATATTGTGAGCCCCATTGGACAACGGGGCGTTGGAAATATTTCATTATTGGATTGGCGTTGACGGGATCCAAATTTTAACAAGCATTTGGATTTACATAAGCGTGGCATACATTAACTAAGACCTCCATTGGGCAGCTTAAGCGGGGCGAGGCGTTGGGACTCGGAGCCCTGGAAGATTTCAAAATTAGATTTGAATTTCTTTTGTTTCTTTAGGCATGACCTCATGGATCGGAATGTATAAACACTTTAAAAGCCTGGAATTCATATGGATAGAGTTACTTCACCCACCCTTTTGAGTTTAGTTCAAGTTGGTAGGCAGAAGTGGACATAGTGCAAAGTAATTCAGAATACGTAGTATGCATGCTAAGCTCTGCTTAGATGGTGATATATCCCCAGGCTCACCCTCACGAGTGCAGGAAACTCTTATTGTCTATCTTAAACCACTGTGACTAGTTTCTATTAAATACTACGGAGTCAACCATGAGCTTAGCTAGATTATGGTATAGGATACCCTCTGTCACACATATATTGCACTCATCCAATGTCTGTTTCAGCTCTCTGCAATCGGGATCATACGAAACAAGTATACCAATGCATGGCAAGAGATAGAAGCAAAAACAGCAAAGCTCCTCCGAGTCCCATTCCATTAAAGATTCCCGCAAGACAAGTTCCAATGTGTCCCCTTCACTGACGTCTGGATTATATCAACAGCTTCATTTCTGTCAGCAAATCCTTCAGTCTTGCCATCTCATTGTCTATAGAGCGAGTCATATAGTAATTCCACATGGCAGCAAGACAAGAAGCTAGCTGCACGCAGTTTTGAACCACTTCACGGTAAGACCGACAAGTAGCAAAGTCAAAGCCCATGAGCTGACGACAGATAATGTACTCGACTAGAAATGAAAATACAATAAATTTACCCAATGCCATATTCGTCATGAAGAAAGCGAATGTTGCTTAAGAGCCGGTCTCGTTTTGAGAGACTGGAATTATCGGAAGACTGTGTGTGTTGAGTTGATAGTGGGGAGGGGAGATTGGAGTAGTCTTTTGAGGCCATTAGAAAGTCCTGACAAAGATTGTCGACGAGAAAAAGTCTTGGGATTGAAGTTTTGGAGTGAGTCTTGTGAAAATCGAACCCAATCGAGGTGTCTTCCACGGACAAGGAAAGGTTTGAAGAGTTCGAGAGGTGTCTAGCGTGATGAGGGCAACGTTTTGGCTTTGCTAAACAAAACTCAGCCTCGTCTTAGCGGCTGCACCGCAAGAGAAAGAACCTAACGCGCTGTGTAAATCCAAAAGGCTACTACTACTAGTACTAGTACTAAAATCTTTCTTGATCTGTGAACAATTACATGATGGGAATTTTTGAGATGCTTCATGTCACACAGGCTTAGTCAGTCCACACCGCTATAACTAACTAGTTCTTTGATATTCCCAGCTAGCCAACCATCCTACATACACTTACCAGTATCGTCACGGTTGTCTCTCTGATCCTCAGACAGTAAGAATGATAAATATATGGCTTGCTCCATTCAATGTCCGAGATCTGTGCTCTAGCATCATACCTCAGAACATGCCAATAATCCAACTCAATCCAGTTCTACTGAAGATGCTGCTGACCTGATGAAGGAGCGACCCCAAGAGGCGCGCACATCCCAAAAGTCACACATTGACCTCTTCTTCTATTCTTCTCTTCCTCTCTTCTCTCTTTTTCTTGTCTTCTCTTCAAAATGTGAGAATGCTTCATTTGAAGGGGAAGGACCTCGCTCACTTCGAAGGTGGGGGGGGGGACTCTTCTCTTTCACTTGATGAGGGGCGCGGACTCGTCTCCTCTATCCAGTGGGGGGAATTCTTCCCTTCATGCTGATGGGATGACGCCGGCCACCTCTAGTTCAATGTGGGGGGAAACTATTCCCTCTATTTCTATATGGTACTTTGAACCTATCTCTTGAAATTTGATCTGACACAAGCCCCCATTGTTGGAATTGAACAAAATGACTAACCCTATGTGTCCGCAGTCCCCTGTTGCCGAGGCTGTTAATATCAGTCAGAACCCTCCTTGTCACGGTTCCGAGAAGCGCTCCTCTGGCCTTTCCGTTACAGACCGGTTCGCGATTTGCTGGTCATTCCGTGGCCCGGACGATGCGCCAACGATGCGCCTTCACTCAAAAAAGCTGCTGAGTATTTGTAGGAAACCACAGGTACCTTTCGGCTGAGCAAACACTAACTATACTACCAGGGCCAGAGAAAAGTAAATTCAACTTCATCAACTGTGCCTTTCTCGGTACGCTCAGCTATCGGGGCTGGTTTGGTCACACACAAGATCTGGAACTGCACTTGGGAACACAAGCGCAAAGAAAAAACGAACACAGATTATTGTGACGAGTACCATTTCGATATTTCCCTGTCGGAGAACTAGTGACTGTTGGAAAAAAGCTTGACATCAAAACACTCGCAGGTACGGCCATTGCGTGCTGGTGGGGAGCAGGCTCGGAGCTTCGCCGGTGCTCAACACCTCTCTCCTTCCTACATATTCTCCCTTTGTCTGGGGTCAACCCAAGGCTACACCCTGCCTGTCTGTGCCATTTATCTCTTACCACCCGCCGCAAAATCAACAGTCGTTAGCGCGTGGCCGTCGTCTAGCGACACTTAGCTGCGTTCGCGTCCCGGCCCGAGAAACCAGCAAACACGCCCTGCTCGCCCATTGCGCCCTCCAGCTGGAACCAAAAAAAGATCCACAATATTGTGACTAGGCTCAATAACTTCAATACTGAAGCACATTCACACGGCGCATCTTCTTTGGGGGCACTCGAGCAAGACCATGATTGCTACCATAATTCACGAGTGGAGAAGCACCAATGTTCAGAGTACCGAGAAGGGAGTAGAATATGATCGACTCAGAAGATGTTCAAGAGAACATTGAAAACTTTGGAAGATGCATACATATGCACACAAGGAGCATCAACCAGCCCTTGGATATCGGTGATGGGGTTGATCCATGGATACAAGTCCCAAAATGCAGCGGCATCGCGACACTAGTTCTCGAAGCCGCCAGTCCTCTCTGACGATATGCCCACAGTCCGAACACCTCTGGAAATTGTTTTAAAGCTCTGACAGTATAGTCCGTGACTAAGGCTTGGGGATGCGGCAAATTTAAGCGATATTTGCCAAGCGAAGATCTGGGAAATTGGTTTATTCCAAGGTTCATGAAGCATACCTAGTGTTTGACTCTGGGGGGCTACCAAAACAGGGAATCCAATAGATGAACCATATATACCTGATGTTCAAGTCAATTAATATATTTTAATGGATAATTTATCCTTTGTAGTTTGTTGTAGAAACTGTAGATGCTATTCATTGCGTGAACAGCTTCACATAGATCGTGGCAAATCACGGAGCCCTCTTCTGCCTCAATAATGAGGTGTCGAACCCACCCCTGAGACAACTTTACGTCTCATAATTGCAGGGGGGGACAACCCAAATCCCCAGCCACCAACATTATCCCCGTCCGCCCCAATTACTCTGTTTCGTTTTGTACTCCGTAGTTTCGTCGCAAGCTTGTTCCATCTCCCCATCCCCTCCAGATTGCCTGTCATTCTTGCAGCTGCATTCTCCCAACATCCCACCCCCGCTCTGCAAAGCAAATCGGTGGAGTAAACAGCACGTACACCACGGCCTAGACCACACACATTGTGCATGCCATCTGCACCTCCGAGCGGCTGACCTGCATCTGTCTCTTTTCGCCCATTGCCACACAGGGGCGATTCCGAAATCTCTGAAGACTGAAGACTTCGATAAGAACATCTCATCAGTTCTCATCTCTGTCAATCTAATCCAATCCTCGATCTTCAATTTCCAATCTACACTACGCAGCTCTAAAGCTCAGCTCATACCAGCGATCAGCTTTCCCCACCGCTCTTCCTGCGCACCACACAAGTCAAGTCCGATCTAGTCCAAACCACTAGAACAGAACAGAACACAAAACCAAACCAAACCAAACCAAAAGAAAACAGAAACCCCATCGCAGCAATGGGCTGGTTCGACGGACGCTCCTCCTCCTCCACCCACTCCCACAATCACTCCCACAACCACACCTCAAAGGGCGATGGCTACTATGTCCGCCGCCGAGCCGGCTCACCAGCCCGCAGCAAATCAGGCTACACATCAACCCACCACACCCGCAACTCAGCACCCTCCTTCTTCAACCTGGGCCGCACAACCAGCGGGCGCTCAAGCGGGCGCTCAAGTCCCACCCACTCCGTCTTCTCAGCATTCAGTTCCTCGTCTCGACGGGCCAGACCGCGAGAGGGCTTCGTCCAGCGAATGATCCGTGATGTGAAGCGGCTGTTTCGCGATATCATTCGCTTTGCGAAGAAGAATCCTTTCAAGGTTCTTATGCTTGTTATTGTTCCGCTGTTGACGAGTGGTGTGTTGCCGAAGTTGCTGGCTATGATTGGGTTGCGGTTGCCTCATGGGGTTATGAGTGCTCTTGGTGGTGCGGGTGCGAGTGGTGCGAGAGGTGGAATGGGTGGTATGGGTGGAATGGGTGGTGGTGGTGGTGGAATGTCGGAGAATTTGACTAGTCTGATGAATATTGCGAAGATGTTTGCTTGAGTGGGAGGTGGATTTGTTGATATTCCATGACCTGGTTCCTCCTGTTTGTCACAGGTGGTCCCAGCTCTTACCTCCCTCTCGACCTCCAATCGCTCGAACTGGTTTTCTAAACGATTGGAGACGAACGAAACACACTCATAACGACTGATGAACCAACTCCCCGAACTCCGAACTCATGTTTTTTTTTCCTCCCTCTCCCTCTCCCTCGTCTTGTTTTGTCATTTGTCCCATTCTTGTCTTTTTCTGCTTTGCCCTGTTTTGTTTTGTTACCCTGTTTTGTCCCATCTTTCCCCTTTGATTTTCCAATCCTGCTATATCCTGTTTCTGTTCCTGTTCATGTTCCTTGGCACTGGGAGGTAACGTCGGATTTAGATTAGATCACTGCACAGCAATCCTCAATCAGAAAAGCCACCATTTTCATGCAGCACAATCGAAACTTTCGGACCTCGAACTGAGACAGAGTAGAGAAAAGTACCGCCGAAATGTGAACTCGCGGGGTTAGGTCTCGCTCTTTAAGTAGTTGAACCAAGCCGAGTCGGTGAAGTGTTGATGCGTCGGTACCCAACTTGGTGGATATGTGCCCCATTTTGGACCCCCTACGTCGGACCTACTATATTAGTGCTCCGTATGGAGTAGAGTGCTGTTGTGTTCGCCTTTTACTGGTAGCAGGACCCGCAGGATTAGGGGAGGTGGCTGGGTAGTTGTTACAGATGGTCAATAGTCAATACTCGTAGTCAATGCCTCCGAGTCCGGCGTAATCAAATACTAGTACGAGGAGGCATGGCGTGTTGATATAGTAGAGTGGCTGGGCTAGGTTAAGGTAGGTTGAGTACATCATATCACAGCGATTCAATTCTATCGAAATTTCTTTTTTTATAGAGAAAAAAAATAATAATCTAATACAGACAAGAAAACCGGTCAATTCATCCAGAAATTCCGGTTCCGAGAAGCAAGATGCAAGCAAAGCCAGCCAATAAGCAAAGGAACAACCTATGACCGCTGCGAGCGCTTCCCACGTCTCCTGGACCGAGTATTCGACGTAGCAGTAGTCTCCGCCAAAGTCTCAGCATCCTCATCAACCTCCTCCTCCTCCTCTCCTTCCAGAGTGGAATCCGCCGAACCCAGAATACGACCGACAGTCTTATTAAAGCACCAAACAGGCAACTTAAAGACCATCGTCTCCGTAATAGCCGGCCGATGAATCTCATCAATATCAAGCAAGAACTCCTTCCGCTCACCCTCCTCATTCTCCTCTTCTAGGAAAACATTCCCAATAGAGTCGACGATGAGAACCTTTCCGTTCTCCGCAACGACGCGCTTTCGCTCGCCCGTAGACGTAGCAGGACCACCCTCCGTGGGAGTCGAAGTTCCCGACGCAGAAGCAGAAGCAGGCGCAGGACGAGCTCGGGGAGCTTTCTTCTCCTTGGTACGATTCTCCTTATCCATCATGCGCTTCTGACGACGGTTCATAGCGACAGCGCCCTGTTGCTCGGAGCCAGATTCAGGGGCAGAAGTAGGCGCCGGAGCAGTGGCACCGCCAATCGAGTCAAGACCACCGCCCAACCCACGCACGCCAAGTTCATCGCCCCAAGCAGCCCTCCGTGCTTGACGAATATACCGATCAACGAATTCACGCTGCCGTTTCCAACCCAGAATCAGCGCACCGTAATGCCCAGCGCCACCGAAAACGAAGAATAATCCCACCAACACAGATCCCAGACCTGGGCGAAAACGGTTGTAGTAGTATCCCGTTCCCTTCCAGAGGGGGAAGCCATGGGTTAGGAAATGGTCGTAGCGTTCGCGGCCGGGACCCTTGAGGACATTGGCGACTAGGTTTAGGCGGGCGGAGCGGATATTTGCTTCTTTTACGGCGGATTCGATTTCGCGCTTGCTGGGGCCTTTGTTCACGTTCACGCCGGGTTGGGAGCCCTTGGTTGATTTGGACTTGTCTTTTGAGTAGTTTGCGATGAAGGCGCGCTTCACCTTGTCTGGGTGGAGGGTTCGGGATTTTTTGCGGTGGGCTTTGATGATTGTGTCTTGGTTTGCGTTGGGGGGGATTTCGAGGAAATCTGGACGAGATGGTTAGAGATAGGAGGCATTGGGAGGAGGCATTGGGAGAAAAGGAGGTAATGGACGTACCGTAGAAGGTCACATTAGCACCTTCGGAAGTTGAGACGTCGTCTCTCAGGGAGAAGATCTCGTAGTCTGTGGAATAAGTCAGTATGGGTGGTCGACAGGGGTGGACACGGTAAACAGTTAACGGTTAACAGCAGTGCTGTCAAGAGTGCCGTTAACAGTGTTAAAAAGACGAACCATCTTTAGACCAAGCAGCGGCCACGCCCACAAAGACAAGAAGCAAAAAAGAAAGAATGGGCTTCATGGTGAAGGAATGATGGAGCGGTCAACCCTACAAGCACGGGGAACGAATGGGGGAAGACTTGTTTGCCAATACGGAGAAGACTCGGTGGACAAAAAGCGGTCGGGTCTCTCCACCAACGCATCTCGACGTGGCCAAGTGAGGGGGAAAATTCATGGCTGGACTCGTCTATTTAAGAGAGGATCATTCTGGAAGATCAGATCGGATCTGTTATATTATGTTATAACTGGACTTCCTCCTGTCACCTGTGTACCCTTCTTCATCACCACCACCACGGATACTACTATGGCCACTCCATTCCGGTGAGGTGGCCGCAAACGAAAACATGTCAATTTCTATTCTTAGCGGTTTTTCGTAACTCTTTTCAGAAGGCCATCTGGCATCAATTGTCTTAGCCTAAGACTCTGTCATTCTGGGAGCCTGGTGGAAACGGCCGTGCCTGTTGACTGTTGACTAGTCGAAAGGGGGAAAGCCCAAAAAAAAGTGACACCCTTTGTGATTAGCCACTTTCCACCTTCACATCTACCCTTCTCTCTCCTACTTTCTTACTCTCCCACTCCCACTCCCACTTTTCCACTCCCACGCCCACTCCCATCTACCATCACCAATCGCCATGGCCATCTCCATCCCCATCGACGCGATCACCTCGCGTTTCGGCGATCGTTTCAACAACATCCGCGCCCAATCCCTGAGCACGCGATTTGCCAACCTGCGCCCCGTCTCCGAATTCCTCGACATCAAGCGCATCTCCAAGCCCGCCAACTTCAGTGAGGTCCAGAGTCGTGTCAACTACAACCTCTCCTACTTCTCCAGCAACTATGCCGTCGTCTTCGTCATGCTCAGCATCTACAGCTTGTTGACGAACCCGGTCCTCCTGTTTGTCATCATCTTCGTGACCGCCAGTCTGTACGGAATCGGCAAGCTTGAGGGTCGCGACCTGGACCTCGGTTTCCGTCGCTTCAACACCTCGCAACTTTACACCGCGCTGTTGTGCATTGGTTTCCCTCTGGGTCTCTGGGCCTCCCCCATCGCCACAGTCCTCTGGCTGATCGGCGCCACTGGCGTGACCGTCTTCGGCCACGCTGCTTTTATGGATAAACCAATCGAGAATGCTTTTTCCGAGGAGGCGGTCTAGGTGGTCGGCCGCGAGCTCCTAATAACATGCCCCGATGGGGAAGACCACCGGCGGCACGAACAGGGAGACACAATAGAGGAGGAGGAACCTTTTGGGGGGGGAGGATACACGGGTGGAGGAAATCGAAAGCGAAGAAGAGGAGGATCATTATGTGGAGGATCACTACGGACGGCAGCCTATGCGCGATGGCCGTGGCTACATGCGACAAATAGAGTACGGAGGACGAGGCCCTCGCAGGCGAACCATCAACAACTACGACTTGATCGAGGAGGACGAGACCGCATCGGTTGATGGAGGTGATTACGATTTATACGGTCATGGAGACAGCACGGTGGCATATGCGGTTCAGCTTGCCATGCGGGACAAGGAGGATCAACTGGTGGAAACTGCACTGGAGCGCATTCGTCGCGCGCAAGTGTTGGGCAAGAAGAATGTTCGTTTATCCCAGCCCGAGCTGGATGCCCTGGAGCGCAAGCGTCAACAAACAGAGGACCCGAGCGGCGCTCGGCGTGTCAGACAAGCCGGTGCTTCAATGACGATCAAGCCGCCATCGAAGCGCAAAAATAAGAAGCCCCAGGGGCCGCCCGAGCAGGCAATGGCACCTTATCCATACACGCCGATCGAACCGGGGTGGGGTCAAGGGTTCGGTGCAGCTCCCGGTCGACCATCGAGCTCGTCTTCTGCTCATCGTCCTCGAACACCAACTACCCAGTCCTTGCGCCCACAACAATCGAACTCGCCTCTTCGGCCGACGTATCCCCCTTTCACGGAACGATTCACTCCGAACGGTCGTCCGCTGTCGATGCCGGTGCATCAGCAGCCGCAGCATCAGCAGCAGCCGCCGCCCCCACTCCCGCCGCAGCAGCCTGCCTACTCACGGCCTCTTCCTGATGATCCCTCGTGGGCGCCGCCATATTATCACCCCACGCAGATGAATCCCTACGCATCGGAACAGCCGCCGTACCAACCGCAGCTACCTAGCGATCTTCGAGTCGGGCCACAGGGTCGGATGAGCTACCCAGCGGGGATGTCGCCGATCCAAGCTCAGTACCGACAGTCTCCGGATAATGCGCGTCAATCCATGGGTGCGCCGCACCCACGGGGCGGTCGGCCTGATCCGGATTCGGATTCGGAGATCTCTAGTGATGAAGAGGAAGAGACAGAAAGCAGTAGCAGCGAGGAAGAGGAGGATGAAGTCCAAGTGGTGAAAGTTGTGGAACGTCCCAACCCAGCCGGTTTCCAGCGACGCAAAGTTTCCGGAGGCAGCAGTCGGGCTGGACACAGTAGTCGACCTTCATCGCGGAGGAGTCGGTGATAGTGACGGTGGCAACAAAAGGAAAAGGAAAAGTTTGTGTGTCTCTCTTAAAGGCCCCCGTCTAATGTGTTCTTTGGATTTGATGGGCTCTTGTTTTATTTGGTTTTTTTTTTTTTTCTCTTTTCGCTCTGGCTAGCAGCAACATGCTACGAAACGGCGTTCGGTAGACTTTCCCTTTCCCATTCCCGTGAATAGATCAGATCCAGCATACATACGATAATCTCTGCATCGAGCATCAGATCAGATCAGCAGGCCCCAACCCAGCCACAGTCTACGAGTCCTCTATACTATAGATAGTAAATGGCCCCTCATCATGGCAGCGCAATAGACAGCAGCATTTCCTCACAAATCAATGTAATCACAGTGGGGCCCATTACGCTGTTCCCAGTATCACAACTCACTAGTAAAAAATCATGCCTTGGCAGAGAATGACGTCGCCCCGGGTTTCCTTCCTCCTTTCCTTTTATCCTTTTTATACTCCCATCTCCCATCTCCCATCTCCTCCTTGCAGACTTATTCCCAGTCTCTGCCCCCTCGCAATCCCCTCGAGAATCCCTCGAATCTCCCCTCAACTCGGAGACCTCTTCCACCCCCAACTCAACCCACCCCCAATCCACCCAAGTCTCCATTCCGACGCCTCCCGCGTACCTGACCAAGCCGAAAGATTGATCTGCGCCCTTACCGGATTCCTCAAGCGCCACGCCACAACAAACCACATCGCGCCCAAATCTTATTTTCTAAGAGGAAAAAGAAAAAGTTTGCGCCCTTTCGCCACAGGCCTTCCATCCCGTCGATCTTGGAATGCTATTAGAGACATTTTGGTCAACAGTTGTATAAACATTTCCCCTCGATTCGGTTTCGGTACGTTGTTGCGCTCGCCCTGCCTTGCCCTGCCTTGCCCTTTTTCACGGTCAACGGGTTTGTAATCCGTCCCCTGCCATCTATTGATCAATTCCGATCGTTCGGGTGTCTGGAAAGGTTGACTCCGTTAAGTCCGTATGAGTACTAATCAACGCCATAGTTTTTACAACACAGCCGCCACGCCGAGCCTGCCGAGACTGCCGTACCATATACCGACTCCGTGGATCTACCTTGATTACCTTAGGTCCCATTTCTTCACACCACATATCTTCTCGTTCTCGCGACGCGCAGCAAAAAAAGTCCTTTAAGACATCACATATACCACACTCGCAAAGATGTGGATCGTTTCATTTTGGGTGTTTCCGTTGATATCGGCATGCATGTGGGTTGGTAAGTGAACTTCCTTCCCTTCCCTACACCTTTTACCCTTTGTCGCGATCGCGATGCGACTCCGACTTGAAGAAACCAGAACTGAACACCGAGCTAATTTTCGATAGCGATGTTAATTGCCATGTTGGTCACTTGGGTTGTTCAGGGTGAACCGCACTATGCTAGTATGGATCAGAGTATTGCGTATGTGACCCTGGGACTGGACTCTTGGCTCTTGACTTGACTCTGAGGACTTCAACTGACAAAACTTGACTTGCATAGGTATATCTCCGACGTCGGTGCCCAAGGCCTAAAACCACTATTCGTCGCCGGAAGTGTCGTCACAGTCGTCTTCTTGGATCTGGCCTTCCTCTCTGAGCGCTGGTTGCGTCATGCTGGTCAACTCGCTCCGAATAAAGGCAAATTCGACAAGGCGTGCGCTATTGCCTCGCTTTTCTTCGCGGTTGCGGGTGCGGCGGGGTTGATTCTTTTGTCTATTTTCGACACGCTTCGTCATCCGAAGCTTCATGATGGATTTCTGGCTCTGTTCCTGTGAGTTTTCCAGGGATCGCACACCGGTGTCGAAGAACTTTTTAAAAAGAGAGACTAACACCACTCCCCCTCCCAGCGTCGGCTACATTATAAGCGCAATCCTAATCTGCGCCGAATACCTCTGGATCGGAATCTTCTACCGCTCGCAACACCGCATCCTACTAGCCAGTTTCATCATCAAACTAGCCTTCATCATCATCGAAGTCGGTCTCGCAATCGGATTCGGCATTTGCATGAATTCGAAAAGCATCCATAAGAAGAATGTCGGCGCCATCCTGGAATGGGTTATTGCGTTTGTCTTCACGGGTTATGTGCTTTCTTTCGTGATTGATTTGTTGCCATCTGTGAGGACGCGCAGACATTTGCCTCAGGGTGAGAAGTATCGTCATGGTAGTGGCAGTGAGTCGGGAGGCGAGTCTGCGCCTGCGACGGCTTCTATTGAGGAGCCCTTGACGACGGACTCGGTTGGTCCTCATCCGAATTTTTATCGGGGGCAGAGGGTTTGAGTTGAGATCTTAACTTGAATTTGAAATAATGTTTGGGGTGGTTTGATATATTGATCTTGATCGAGTGAGATCTTCGATTGTTATACTTTGCCTTTGGCTTCGTTTCAACGTCATGATGGGATTCATTTTCACGCGAGAGGTTATTTGATGATTTTTCTTTCCTTTTCTTCACTTCTTTTGATATCTTCACTTTTTGATACCTGGCTCTACTGCCTTTATTTTGCCATTTCCTCTCGATCATTTCTGGTGTTTCTTGTCTATATACACTACTACTACTTATTTTATTACTCCATGTGGCTTGTTGGCTTGGCTTGTACATTATGAGATGAAGAATAGCTTCTGATAATAATACGATGAAGAGGTACAAAACGAAACGAAACCGTGTCGGTGTTGAGTCTGATCCTAATTAATTAGTAGCCTTGCCGGTCAGGATTTCTAGTTAACTCCGAGTCGTGATCAGGAAGACTCGTAGTAGTTCAGCGACAACTATATTCCAGGGCGTGCGTGAATCCTGGTATGTGCTTAGAGATTAGTACTACAAGGGCCCCGTTGAGCGTACAGGTCAAGTAGGGTAATCTTAATCAGATCTTAGGCCACGGAGCGCAAAGGGGGCCTTATTGACCTGTAATCTGACAATTATGTTGCTTTGTGGCCTTGTTGCCTGAGCCGTGAGGTGTATATTTATACCTTGTGGCCTTAACGCCTTAACACCTTAACGCCTTGTTTTCACATGTCTGGGTCCCATCGACGTCACTGGCTTGGTGGATGATTTACATATACCGGGCCTTGACTAGATCTGGATTTCAACCCTTTCCCTCCACTCTTCTCAACATCACCATGCCTAGTAAGTCCCCCCAGCTTCCTTGGAGATATCATTCTATCACATACAAGGCTCCAGGCTAACCATGTCCGTTCTTCAGATCAACCTGACTACTGTATGATTGCTTCCATTCCATTCGATTCGCACATGCCCGCCCAACGAGCCGAACCGCTCCTAACTTAACCGCAGACAAGACCCTCGGCGTAGCCCAGGATGCGACCCAGCAACAGATTCGCACTGCGTATAAGAGGTTAGTTATTGTGAACGAAACTGCCAGCGGTTATTCGCTTCATTCACCTGCTACCCTTGGCCGAAGTCGCATGGTAGTAGTAATACTACTACTACTATTACTCACCATGCGACAATTCATACGATCCAAAAACAGAAACTAACCACCCCATCTCTCTCTACTCACAGAGAATCTCTAAAAAACCACCCAGACCGCGTCCCCTCCGACTCCCCCGAACGAAACCAACGCACGAAAAAGTTCCAAGAAATCAACGAAGCATACTACACCCTCTCAGACCCAACCCGCCGTCGAGACTACGACACAACCCGCGCCTACGAATCCGCCGACGAAGAAGTCGACGACGAAACCCCTCCGCCCCGCGGTCCACCGGGTAGTTTCCCATGGTCGAGCTTCGGATTCGGCGAGCGCGAAACACGCTCAGCCGATCAATTCGGGTCCGTATTTGAAGAAATGATGCGCGAGGAAGGAATGGGTGAAGAAGAAGACAACAATGGGCGACGCACCACTCGACCGACGTCTAAATTCTGGGCTGTCGTTGGAGGCGTTAGTGGTGGTGCGATCGGATTTATTGTGGGGAATCTCCCGGGAGCGTTGGCCGGGGCTGTTGCGGGGAATCGACTCGGTGCTGTGCGTGATGCGAAGGGGAAGAGTGTTTATGAGGTTTTTTTGGAATTGCCGAGTTCTGATCGGGGTCGGTTGTTGAGTGAGCTTGCTGCGAAGGTTTTTCAGTCTAGTATGGGGGCATAGGGGGGTTTTGGTATATTGGATGTGATGTTCTTTTGGCGTTATTTGTTGGTTCGGGGACTGGTATTTTGCGGATATAGTAGTTAGTTAGTAGCTAGTCCGAATATGTAGATATGAGATATATGAAATGCAACGGATACTCCGAGTCCTTTTACAACTAGAATCCGAGGACCTGTAAAATCGACGCCGAAAAACTTGAAATGACGGCTTTCCAATTGAGACCAGAGATGGCTGCCCTTTGACCCTGTAACTTGAATAACCAGCGGCACACCCACCGCTTGGTACCCTAAATCAGTACTAGTATCTTTCAAGTTAACGTAATGCATTGATTCAAGTTGGCTACATTGGCGTTGCAAAAATTTGAAAGCCCTTGTTGACTTGTACTCCCCCACCTTCTAATCGCGGACTAGTAACTACCTAAGATGGAATGAATTGGCCTATCTATTTCATCTTAGATAGCTACTAGTTTCCTATTAGAAGCTGGTCGATAATGGTGGGCAATATGGGGTCTCAAACATTTGCAACGCCAAGTATTTCTTGACGGTATCTTAAGTGTTTAAAGTGTTGGTACTCGTATCTTATTACTAGTAGTACTCGGCAGGAAGCTTGAAGAGTGGAGAAGAGAAAGGAGAAGAAGAAAAGGGAAAAGAAGGCAACCACGCAGCGACCAGATGGTTCATCACAACCACCTTAGTTTCCTTTCGCCAGAATCTCAGCCACATGATCTACCACATTGTATTCCACAACCGATCGTAACTTCGTTGTCATTAGACTGGGGAAGAATCCTATATCAAAGTCAGCCTCCAATAAAATAAATCCATCTAAAAGAAATTACATACCCACGAGCTTCAAGAAGCCATACATCATGTATTCCTGAATGATGCCCATCTCCCGTTTCTTATTTTGGTTTTCTTGAGCGGCTTGTAGAATTTTGCTCACATGTGGCTGACGAATAGCCATATACTGTCCCGCCGCTGCTTTGGATATCATCTTGTAAGCTCCCGACGATGTTGAACCCCCGGTTTTGAGTCCGTTGCACAGGTGATGTGCTAGAATAAGTGCGAGAGCCTCCACATCCTCAAGCGCCTGCGACGAGCCCTGGCCCGAGCTCGGAGGCAGAGCGTGAGCTGCATCACCTACTAGAATGACGCCATCTTGTTCCCAGGTTGGGATGGGAGGACTGGTCCACGTGGGATACATTCTCTCGACTTCAAGGGAGGCCAGGATCTTCTGAATAGCTGGATCTTTCCACTGCGCGTGTCTCTTTTGTAGCTGCCTTGTCACATCCGCTTTATCGATATTCTTGTGATCGGGGCATTCTTCGATTTCATAGGTCGACCACCATGAAAGCAGGTCTCCTGGCTCACAAACATGGTACGGCGAGTCGCGATTTGGGGAATCTTCGGCGCTGTTTGAGAAGAAGTAGCCGAAAAATCCATTACCGCCAAATATAAAATTGACGGATCCCTTTTCGACAACATCTTTAACTTCTGAGGCAGGAATAAATCCTCCAACGCCGACAAGGCCCCTTCTGATAGTTAGAACGATACCCAAAAGTTATTTGACAAACAGGAGGGGGGACGGTGTAGTCACTTACTCATAGTGAGGCGGATAAGGATCTTCATTGGCATCCGCGAATAGCGCTCGTTTTGCAGTACTTCGGACACCATCTGCACCGATCACTAGATCTGCTTCGATGGAGGGACTGGTATCCACGAAAAAAATCTGATTTCTCCCATCTGGCCGGGCAACAACCTTGTCGATCCGTTTGTTGATGATATGATCGTCAGGAACCCGTGCACGCAGACAACTCCAAAACGAATCCCGACTCGACATCACCATATTCATTGGTGGCGAATCAGCGGTATCGGACACACTAGGCTTGAGGCTCATGAGAAGCGATCCGTTTTTGCTCTTCAAGTTAGATGAAGACACGGCGTAGCCTCCGCGTACAACATCCCGGAGAAGACTATCATCCAGTCGTTGGAGGACACGCAGGCCATTCGCCGCAATTCCCAAGCCGCCTCCGACTAGTAGTGTGGCTGAATGCGTGGGTCCCTCTGGCCGTTGCTCTGCTGTTGTGTCCGCTTCTGTATTATATGCTTCGTAGATGACGATTTCATGGCTTTCTGATCCTTCGGGCTTTGGAAGGTGCTTCTGCAGTTCCAGATACATCGCGCATCCGGAGATGCCCGCGCCGATAATGACGATCTTCATAGTTGCGGGTGTGTTTGAGGTTTGTTGAAATCACCATGGAAAACCTTGGAATAGACATGAAGTAGTGATGAGCGGGACTTGGAGGGCACAGTCTAGCGAATATATATGTTTAAGAGGGGCCTAGCCAACACTGCATACCTTGAGTCGGTGGACTGCAGCGATGGATTCTAGCCAATGATAGGCCGGGATATCCATCCTCCCGCAAAGCTAGCCCAATATAGATTAGCGCATGACATGCTTATTCGTCGGACTAACATTATCCCGACTATCCAGACATAATAGGATGCGAAACTTCGAATCACATTGTGACTTTGGCAAGGGATCCGGGAAGTCTTCATTTCCGGTAATCATGAATATAGGCAGCAACATGTGCGAAAAATTCTGCAGGCGCCGCGGGAAATGTCAAATCCTGGGCCCACTTATCCGCTAGCGGGCTTGCGGTATCATCCCCTAGTTCTCTGCCGTTGCACGGAGCCCATATTCGTATAATTCGCAAAGGGAGGGCTACCATGATAAATCCACGCTGAGATACAGCGGGTGGCATATTGGTGACAAATTCCAAGGCTGCAAATATCGATTGGACGTGCTGTTGCACACGATATTCGTATAGATGGGCCGACGATGAGACCAGCGAAAGAAGTCGGAAGACAATGACGTTCGCCGCATCGAAAAGGGCACTCAAAGCAGTACTTGGCATGTCTCTATGTGGTAAGAGGGGGACATCATAAGGATCGCCGGGCGTGTGGATATGTTTTTCCTTGCTGGCGGCAATGTTTGGCTCTGGGTTTGCTTGGCTGAGATCCGTCCGAGAAAAGCATTGAGACCACCACATGTGTAGGTGCGTTATAATTTCATTTACCATAGTGCTTAACTGAGTTCTGAAGGAATGAAAGTCCTCGCCCTTGGAGGCGATCATCCTGTCTGCAATTGCCAGACAAGGCAGGAGAGAGAAATAAACGTCCACAAGTTCGTCGAAGGGACCCTTTGGAAGCTTCTCGAAAGGTACAGTCATCCATTTAACCGTGGAAAAAGGGTGTTGCTCGTTTCTGAAAAGAGATGAAATTGCCTGTGATTTTGGACAAAAGTAAGCAAATTGTTCCTGCGAATGGCGGGTTTCTCCCAAACAAGACAGGTCAACGCACCGTCAATAGTCTCAAGTGACGAAATATATTATGTAGAAACCCCTGACAACAACTCTCAGGGCCTCCCCTCGCAATCATCATCGATGCACCCCGTACATGCTGAAACCAAGCTCCCGGAGCCGTGCCAGCCAGGCTCTCGAAGTGAGTGAGCATTACAGCAGTACAAATCATGTCTCCGCTGAAAGATGATGGAAGCTGCTGCGATAGATGATACTGAAGGCCCTGCAGAGCTTTCAAATACCACCTCGAAGCTTCTGTCTGTATTGCAATGTCTTGTGCCAAGAAGCCGTAGAAAAACGCCGAAGACGCACGGATGGAGTGTTTGACTACGTCGTGGGAAGGTGAGACGATGAGCTCAGCTATCTTATCGAGCCAAGTGGGAAATTTCTTCCCTGAAGAGGGTTCTTTGAAGGCAAATGACTCGATGAAATGGGACACGAACAGTTGGTCGAACATTTCAGCGCGGCTGGGCTGGTAAGTGGATGGTAGCAATGAGTGCACAAGTCTGTCATCGACACTCTGGTAGGGTATAGTCATAGCTTTCTGGCAAGAAGCGTTTCCTGGTATGCCACTCATCGAGTAGACTGCTTGCCGTTGGCTCGGTAAAGCGTGAATGAAAATAGCCCCCGTACGAGGACCAGGACACCGAAGTCTCTTTTTCACACATTGGAGACATTCTGGCATAGACTCATCACACTGTCGAACATTATCAGCCAGGAGCATAGAAATGTGGGCTTAGTATCTCACTTTCAGCCTGCGTTGGCGGCAAGTCGAGCATCCCTTGCTACGGCCCGGAACGTTGACCATGGCTTCATTCCAGGCATTCAAAAATTTGTGACACCGGAAGCCTATATTTTATTGAAAGCCCATTCTCCCGTCATACTCACTAGGACGTGAAGTGTTTAGTGATAAAGTTCACGGGTCCTCCTGTGCTCGGTCACCGCCACATGACATAATCTGCGTGAAAGACTGCTAGGCAGTTGCCTGGAAAATGAGGATCAACATTGTACTCGGACTAAAACTATTATGTTTTCTATTAAAAGAAAAGTTGATTTAAGTCTAGGTGACTTCGGGTTCAGACCAAAACAAAAGCGTACTAAGGGGGGATTTTTATAACTAGAATCTGAGGACCTAATAATAAGGCCAGCCAATACATAAACATCCAAGTACTCAAAGAGACTGGCAAGTTCCACCCTAGGCCTCCTATACCCGGATCCACGCCAACACCTTTAATATCTCAACTTGAAGCACTTGATCCATTGACCGATTGGACATTTACGTTAATCTTTCTGAAGGGATTGCCCCCTCTTCTTCAATTTGATTTTCTTATTCGGCCGTTTTCCTAGCTGCCATGACTAAGATCTGATACATCAACCTGCTAGGCTCTCGTTATAGTAGATATCCATGAGAGTCGACAAGTGAAAAGCAGAATTGACAGTATTGAACTTGTTCTCATCGTAGCTCCTGACTGGACGAGAAAGACATTTGGTTTTGATAGCCTGTTGCATCTTCGGACGATTCTTCGTCACAATGCCCATCGTCGCCTTCCTCGACCTCCTTGAAATGGCATTGCATCCACCCGAACGCTTTGACCATTCCCGGAAATAAAGCAGTTGTATGGTCTTTACCATCCAGAGGCCAATCCGAGACCTTTTCCACTTTACCTTCTGTTTTCCACCTGGCGATCAGCTTTTGGGTATCTTCAAGCGGGTAAGTAACCTCATCTTCTGTTCCATAAAAGAAAGCAAGAGGGTATCCCGGATTATTTTGCTCGGTAATATTTTGTCCCATGACGCCGATCGTATCCAGAATTCCGCTGAACTCGGTCAAAAAGTGGTCACCATGTTTGAACATTGCGGAGATATTTGCGAATTGCAGGCCTTGAGCAAGCGCCGGGCTGCCATAGGAGCACGATGTCAGCTCTAAGAGAAATCTTTTATCTTGATAGGAATCTGTTCGTAGATCTTCGCGCATCCATTCATTCATATTGGGATAAGCATTCATTATTCCCAGCATGGCCCAGACATTGAGCCCAGCCAGCGTTTCACCGTTGACATTGTGGTAGGTGCTGGTGATGTTCGTAGGCGCACCGCCAATCACGGCACCAATGATAGGCAGGCTCTCTGCGTACCATGCTTTCATTTCAGTGGCCCACTCGGTCGCTAGGGCGCCGCCGGAATATCCAACCATGATGACCTTTGCTTCTTCTTCGATTCCAGTATACTCCCTCGACTCCAAAGACAAAGCCGCCTTGATAGAATCCAAAGTCTGATAACCACTTTGCGGGCCAACAGCAAAGGCCGCATTGGAACCCTCATAGTCCGGAATGTTCAAAATCGGGCCAGCTATCAAATATGGTGTCAAGAATGCAAGATTGAGCCGATTCATAGTTTTACCCCAGCCTTCAGCCTGGTGTTGAAGCCCATACGAGGGGGCGCAATTGGTGTCCGGGGAATCATATGCACTCTGAAGCGAGATGACCCGCTTTTTATTTGGTCTAACCGGGACAATGACGGTGGTGACTGAAGCGTCTGGGTTTCCGTCCATATCTTTGGTAGAATATAGTAGTTGATACGCCTTAGCGTTGCTCTTTGTCCCGGTAATCACGTTGGCGACGATGACCTCACGTTTTCTTAGAACCTCTCCAGTTGAATTTTTCCAGGAATCATCATCAGGTGGTAGATAGAAAGGATCCTCAATGGGAACAAGAGGGGGATCTTTCTTAGCGGCGAATACCTGTTCGAACGCAAATGTTGAAATAAGAAGTGCGTGCAAGAGAAACTGCATTTTGTCTGAAGCAAAGCCTCTCGTGAAAACGTGATATCTGAAAAAAATTGCTGTGCTTTTCCAAATGAGATGTTAAGATAGAGCGTCGAGCCTAATGGTGTGTATTTATATTCCACGTCAAATTTTGCTTATTCCAAACTGGATGTCATGCTCTTTCCATTCCCAACCAGGTACAGCGATGTGAGGGGTGAAAGGTCACACATCTGCATGATCTGTGTGACATTGGCGAAGCTAAAAGCGAACTATCAGCTACGTGGCATTCAGAAGTAGTCAATGATGAGCTACTGGATGCATGTTTCATGGGGCAGTGTAACAAGTTCGCAGGGAAAATGATCTTGGTGCATAAGCTTGACCAACCTGGGGCGCATCAAATTCCAGCCCCACATGCAGCAATGGAGATCATTTATGCCATTATTAATCTTCGAGGTCGTACAGCATGCAGCACAGGGTGATAAATTATTTCACAATTTCTTCGAATGGGCTCTGATGAGGTGGAAAGGTAATAACCCCCAAAATCAAAATAGCCCTCGTGGGTATTCATGAGGTACTAAGCCAAGAAATGAAATTTGGTTTCAAGTTATTTTGGAAGAGCAAGTCAGTACCGAAGCTCAAGAATCAAGATGTGATTGAAGCACGGCTACAAGGTACCTCGCGCGAATCAGGGGGGTGAAGGACCAACATCCACGGACCACTGTGAGTGCATAAATTTGAGAAACCCCCCCCCTAACCTCGCAGACCTCACGCAGCCTACAATTGGATATCGGTATGTTTGAGAGCCTTGCTGTGGCAATTCCTAACCGTGTCAAAGCATCTACTGAAGCTGATGGCTGATATCCAGACTGCTAGGTCTATTAGGCAGTGCAATGCGGGGCTTTATGATGTATTGGATGAGGTTCGGGAAGGCTTATCGGCATGTTCAAAATTTGGGACGAAGGTCTGTCGACGACTTGGTTATTTTGACGGAAGATGAGTTTCCCCAATTATAATGCGTTAAATTTCGCAGCATACGGGCGCTGTATCCCCACTTGTCGGTTTCCATTGTCATTTTTGTTTAAGCTCCTAGCATACTTCTTTCCGGTAAGTAGATCGGATCCTGATGTATTCTCTAATATAGTGATTAACTATTATCTGCGAAAGATCGATCGTACTATTGCTGTCTGAATTATTATGTATGATCTACGACTACGTTGAAACTACCTAGGTAATCTGTATTGCAAAATATAGCGTTGCTTGAGTGATGGTGGGCGCACCATGCGCTCCTTTCCGGCAAAACCGCGGCTTGCTTCTGCTGGGATCCTCGAGGCAATTTTTGCTGAGGCGTCATAGTTCCGTCTTTCCCATATGCGAGCCACAGAGTGATAAAATGGCTACCTGAGTAGTCTTGTTCCAAATGAATCAACAGTACTATATCATCATTCCAATCGGATCCGGATAAATGGTAGTACTCACAAACTATTAGCAAAATCAGCTAACATCAGCTTTACTAGTCAAGAAACACCAGGGTAAGTTAATATTTAATATTCTCAGCAGATTCCTGCTATCACCTTGCTGGCTGGCTTGGTTATAGAGTTGGGGCTCTTCTGTGCACCATATTGTAGTAACTAGAACCTAGTGGGGGACTCACGATCAACGACATGTACCAACCAGAATTTCCATGTGAGATCTGTTCAATTAGTAGATCTCATTTCGTAAAGGGGTCCGCAAATATAAACATCCAGTCTAGTCAGTTTGATCCGACCAGGTGGCATTGTCTGGACCGCGGATAGTAGACTAGGAGAGTCCACTCAGTCCACTCAGTACCTTGCGAATCCCCCCCACTCCTTCACCGCTTGCGGCCAAATGCCCCTCATCGAGGTCTATATTTATCCCCGCTGTTCCTCTTGACTTTTTCCTTCTTTGATCTCAATTCACTTATTTCACCGTCGTACTATTCAACATGACTACCGCCGCTGGTGTTTATCCTCCATTGGAGAGCCGTCCCCTCAAGGACACCATCGTCCTGTTCGATGTCGACGAGACACTCACCAAGGCTCGGCGCGTATGTGTCTTCAAGCTCCCTATTCAAGCTTAAGGTCACTAATTTCTCCCTCGAATACAGACCGTCAAGCCTGAGATGCTCGAGCTCCTTTCCCGTCTTCGTCACAAGTGCGCCATTGGTTATGTTCGTCATTCCACCTCCTTCTCCACCTCCGCCTCCACTTTCCCCTCATCCTCTCACCTTTTCTAACACCCGAAACAGGTCGGCGGCTCCAACTTCGTCAAGCAACAGGAGCAATTGGGCTCTGCAACAACCGATGTCACCACCCTGTTCGACTTCTGCTTCCCCGAGAACGGCCTGGTCGCCTACCGCCTGGGCAAGCCGCTCGCTAGCAACAGCTTCATCCAATGGCTCGGAGAGGAGAAGTACCAGGAGCTGGCAGACTTCTGCCTCCGGTATATCTCCAACCTGAAGCTTCCCAAGAAGCGCGGTACCTTTGTTGAGTTCCGTAACGGCATGATCAACGTCAGCCCCATCGGCCGTAACGCTAGTGTGGAGGAGCGGAACGAGTACGAGGCGTATGTTGATCTCTCCAGATTGATTCATGAGAAGTGAGATACTGACTTATGACGTGAACCAGCTATGATTTAAAAAACAACATTCGCAAGGACTTTGTGGCTGCTCTCAAGAAAGAGTTCCCCGACTATGGTCTCACGTAAGTCTTAAGTCCGCGGCGAAATGTTGGCATTGATTGTGAATATGGACACAAAATTCTAACCCACCCTGATCATAACAGTTTCTCTATCGGCGGCCAAATCTCGTTCGATGTCTTCCCTGCCGGCTGGGACAAGACTTATTCCCTGCAGCACGTTGAGGCCGAGAAGGAGATCTCCGGCGCCGATTACAAGAACATCCACTTCTTCGGCGACAAGTGTTTCGTCGGAGGTAACGATCACGAGATTTATGAGGACCCCCGAACAATCGGCCACTCTGTTGCGGATCCCGACGACACTATGAAGCAGCTTAAGGAGATCTTCGATCTTTAGACAGATGCGGAGAACTAGGACTAAGATACACGAAAAGCGTGCAGTTGCAATAGCGTATGCATTGTGAGGGCCCGGCCCATTCGGGACGATATCTGCTCAGATTTTAATGGCGAATACTTGACACGAATCTAATTCTATGAATACGAACCATCCATGGACAGTCCAGTGTTAGTGTTTACGTATCTGTAGATGAGAGTTTCCCGGGAGTTTGCGGGGCCGCATCGGGCAACGTCGATCTTCCCGCATTTTAGTCATCCGATTTCTCTCTTCCTTGAATCTTGATCACATCCTTGGGGAATCTCATACAAGTTTCTTCCAATACACACATCGGCCATATGGCGCATCAGAAACACGTCGCGGAGGTGCCACGGAGCATCCTCCCTCGTCTTACCTGGAACAGTTCATCATCCCGGCCCTCAGTCACCTCCTCCCACCATGCCGTCCTAGCAACAAGACAACGGCAACAATATCTCCAAGGCTGGAGCCCTCTCAACCGTCAAATACACTCTCTAAGCACACCCTACCGATCCTCTCGGACCATCTCCACCTCCGTCCGCGGCCCTCACTCTTCCTCCACCGTTTCCCGATATACCTCCAGACTTCTTGCGAAACGCTCGTCCTCATCCGCAGAACCCCTCGGCAATCCCATCCGTCACAATGGCGTCTACGTCGCAACGTACCGACCTGCTCAGCGCGCTTTCCATGCGACCCCTGCCCGGCAGCGCGAACACCACTTCGATACTCTGAAATTTGTGAAGAGGCTGCAGGCCGAGGGATTCAGTGAGGAACAGGCAGTTGCCATGATGCGGGTGTTGAATGATATCATCCAAGAATCAATTCAAAATTTGACACGCACTATGGTTCTCCGGGAAGGTTAGTCGAAGCCGTTACAAATCCAACTTCCTATCCTTCTTTTTGTTACTGACGTCGTCACTCTTCGACTCTATACAGACTCAGAAAGATCAACCTATACCCAGAAAGTCGACTTCGCGAAACTGCGCTCCGAACTACTAAATGCCGATTCAACCGAGGCACAGCTCACACGCTCATCGCATGAGAAAATCGCCGCTGATCTGGCTAAGTTGAATTCCCGCCTGCGGGACGAGATCGGTCGAACACAGGCTTCGGTTCGGTTGGATTTGAATCTCGAAAAGGGTCGGATTCGCGAGGAAGCGAATGGTCAGGAGATGCGGATTAAGGAGACTGAAACTCGAATTGAGCAGGAGGTTGCTGGTTTGAGAGAGCGGGTTGAGGCTGTTAAGTTCTCTACTCTGCAATGGCTCATGTATGGATATCCTATTATCCTTGTTTCCTTCCCCAACAGTTGTATTCGCGGACTGATGCTGACTTGATTTCTTTAGGGGTGTCTGCACTGGTACTGCTGCTGTCATGCTTGGTGCCTGGCGCCTGTTTATGTAAAAACAAGAGAAGGGGAATTTGAATTCGCAGCGCATGGGTTTGGAGTGTTCTCTTTTATTGTCTATCATTGTCTATATACGAAGACGTTGGTCTCTCTGGTCTCATCTCTTTCTTTTCTATCTCTTTTGTACAAATAATCGCAGCTCATCTTGCTCCAAAGAGCGATGTGGAATAGACAATGCAAGTTCAAGATTTCTTGATGAAAGCAATATTCGAATATTTGATCTGTTCAAGTTGATCTCTGATCATCAGGTGGTCACTCGGGTCCCACTGAGGTCTCACTGACTTGTTTTTTTCAACACGCTCGCACCTGCAGCAGCGGCACATCACACTTTAGCCTCCGCACTAGCCCGACGACGGCGCCCCCAACATCACTTCACATCACCTTCACAATGCATCGGACTCCGCTAGCGTGGCCGCCCCTCCACTCTAATCTCGCTTGGCTCAAGGCTCTCGTCCCCATGGCGGATTATCGGATCCTATGGCTCATCGCCATTCTTCTCGTCTTTACCGCGGCCAGCATACTCCTCGTGTTTAGGGCAAGAAGGCGACCCAGAATCAGCAAGCCTCTGATCACAAACACTGTCGCAACGAGTCGATCGGATCTTCAAGAGGCTTATCCCTTATCTATAGAGAGTCCGACCGTGCCTGACAAGCAAACTACCGGACAAATTGATCAGGGACAACGCAAATCGGTTGAACCAGATTCCAAGCGTTACTCCAAGTTCGCCATGGGTGTCTTCTTGTTTTTACCATGCACTCTGCTGGTCCTCATTCATTTCCGACTTGTGACGGCCATTCAAGATCACTATCGATCACTCGAGAATCCTTTGCTGCAGTCAAAGGGCTCGTCGGGCCTACAGGAGGTCTTCCAAGTATACCAGCCGGTGTCACTCTCCCCCAAAGATGCCGGTGGAGAAGCCGGTAGCTGTGATTTGGAAGTCTTGCTTATGGACCATGTTTTCGGGTCCAGTTACGGGAAGCCTTTCGTCGGTGGGTAGATGCTACATGCCCAGTGTTCACTCCCATTGACCACTCCCGGCCCTATCTCTGATCTGATTGCTGGCTTTCTAGGCAATTACACGCCACCAGACTGTGATTTCGACACCGTCCGCATCAATTTCACGGTCACTTCTCGAGGAAAGCAGTACGACCGCCTAGCTCTCATGTACATCGGCGATGTGGAGGTGTTCCGGACTTCAACCGCCGAACCAACGACCGCCGGCATAGTGTGGACGTATATCAAAGAGATGTCGCAATACAACACCCTCTGGAAACAACCGCAAACGCTGATTTTCGATCTCGGAAACATCATGAATGATGTCTATACGGGATCGTTCAACGCTACCCTGACAGCTCATTTTTCCCTCCAAAATAACGAAAACAATGCGCGAGCTGCGGACCTTATCCTCCCCATTTCAGCCAGGAAATCCGCATCGAACTCAGCGAGCGCTTTTTCAGTCCCGGCTGATAATACAACAGTCAATCACAAGATTCCATCCAGCGCATCGCGAGCCGTCGTGTCGATATCCGCCTGCGGTCAATCCGAAGAAGAATTCTGGTGGTCTAATGTGTTCTCCGATGATACGACGAGTTTTGAAAACACCGTGGGCAAGCTTTATGGATACTCGCCTTTTCGGGAAGTTCAGCTCTATATTGATGGAGTACTAGCTGGTGTTGTTTGGCCCTTTCCTATTATTTTTACGGGAGGTGTGGCGCCGGGATTTTGGAGGCCGATTGTGGGTGCGGATGCCTTTGATCTGAGACAGAGTGAGATTGATATCTCGCCCTTTTTGCCTTTGCTCCGTGACGATCAGGGTCATTCTTTTGAAATTAGAGTGTCTGGTCTAAATGTTCTGTCGAATGGGACTGCTGTTCTTTCGGACATTGTGGGATCTTACTGGGTTGTTACGGGGAACATCTTTCTATACATGGACGGAGCAGATGAGTCCTCGTCCCCGAATCGAGCCTCTGAGTCTGAGGAGGTTGAAATTGAGGCGGTGCAGATTACAGCACCAGATCCAATCTTCACCATCACCCGAATATTAACAAAGAACGAAACCGGGGCCAACGATACATTGGAATATTCCGTCCTCGCGGAGAGAACATTTACAACCCGCTCATCGAAGTTTTCCTGGTCCCAGAAACTCACTTTCTCGAACAATGGCTTCTTCAACCAACAAGGCCGCAGCCAGGTCAACAAGCAACTCACGTCAGGAAAATCCACAATTACCGACCTCCAAAACGAGCAGTCAAACAAAACTACCTTCCGGTATCCAGTCCTAGTGAACACAACCTACGCAAACACAGACGACTCCATAACAATTGACGCATGGATGAAACGAGGCCTGGAAATCGATTCTTCCGGAAGTGCAGCACTATCAACGTACACACTTGCCTCGGGGTCTGGCCCATACCACCTCTACACCTCACAATCCGGAAAAGCGCGATACAAATCCACCAGCACCGGTTCCTCATCACTAGGAAATACAGCGGACGAATATCAAAGCACCGCCAATGGCGAGTCGTACTCCCGTTCCGTCAGAGCTGTTAATGGCGAAGTGGTTTATGATACTCACCCGGTCAACAAGGCTTCGTCGGTCCCGTTTCAGAGTCTGGGGTCGAGTTCTTTTGGGAGGGATAGTGTTAGGAGTATCCTTGGTCGAGGTCCGGGTGAGATCCGGAATTGAGTTTCAAATTAATAATGGTATGATGTTAGTATCCTAGACACTGCAAATGCAAGTGGGGGGTTGGGGTTGGAGTGCTTGTTTGTCATTTGATCGGTGAGAGGACGGTACAAAGGTGTAATGTACATGGAAGGCAAGAATCGCATGATAACTAGTTTCTTTGCGCTTGCTCTGTGAATTATCTCTTTTGAAAACCTCTTGGGAGGGTTCTTCTTTGTGAAACGCTTTTCTTTGCTTTACTTCATAAGGACTCTTATTTTTGTTCTCGTAGCCATGAGGCTTTTTCCTTGTGGCCTCGCTCAATGATTTCTGTATAAATACCCGGGGCTGACTTTGCGCACATAATGTTTTTTCTCTACAAATGAATATCGTTTTTATAAATATGGACACTAGAGATTGCCGAAGTGCAGTATTTGATACCTCAGCAAATCAGTGTATAAACGCAGAAAGATCCATTAATACTCCAGGGCTGTCCTGTAGCAGATGCCCCAGGGGCGCGGCATTACCACTACCTAGTTGCGAGTCCAATGTTCAAATTGAACTTTTGTCTGAGCTTGCAACTCTTTTTGTCCGTGACGCCAGGGCTTCAGGTCCTTTGTGCCTCTCTTCTTCATAATTACTATTCTTTCCTCAATTCTCTCTCACACACACCCTCACAGGCTACCTCTCTTCCTTTCTACCTCGCTCACATCGCAAGCTTCGTGAAAATGTCGTCTTCCGTCACCCCTCTCGATTATCCTTATCCTTTGGATCTCAGACAGTGAATATTCCATGACCTCCGAACCCCCAGAATATCAGATCAGTACTAATAATCAAAAGTCTTTTCCGCTGTGGTTGGCTTTCGGGCGTGACTGTGGAGTCCGCAGACCAAGAGTTCCGGGTTCACAGCCTACTCCTCTCGCTGCTCTCCGAAGTCTTTGCTGTAAGTTACAGAGAGCCAAAAATGGCCAGTGAATTTTTTCCGAATTTCTTAAAATCATCAAATGAGTTTACAAGTTGAGATTGGTATCGTACTGACTCGAGATATCCAATAGGAATCGGATGAGGATAATTTTCAACTCAAGGAAGATCACCCTCGAATTGTCGAAGTCGTGATGCGATTCATCTACCAAATGAACTATGATGATGTCGTTGAGAAAAGTGGCTTTTCGAAGGTCAAGTTCCACATAAAGCTCTATCTCATCGCAACCAAATATTGTATCGAGAAGTTGTGGATCTTTGTGGAGGATAACCTGAAAAGTATTATCCAAGAGGGCGTTCTGAAAGATGGCTTCTCGGATGCCATTGATGAGTATTACAATCGTGGATGTGACGATGACGGAGCTCATCGGCACTTGTTCGTGGAAGCTTCCGACTTGAATTTTCAAGGGCTGAAGGACAGAGATGATTTCCTAGATGTGGTACAAAGGACTCCAGATTTCGTTTTCGACCTCATCCTTGAGTTCCGAAAGCGTCTTCCTTGGGGTTGATGAGGAGGAGTACCGGTATGGGTATGGGTACAGCGCGGGGTTCGATGATGGCGCGTGATTGAAAAAGAAAGAAGAGAAAACATCCTAAAGTGTGTGGAGGAAGCACCGGGCCTTGTCTTTCAAATTTTCCTTTTTTACACTAGCAAACTAGGATGGGGACGTTCTCCAGCGAACGAGAGCGTGGGGGTGATCTCTTAAATATTCTTTATAGAATATTTCTCATTGCATCAATGCAAAGGCCATCTTCGTACATAGTCAAGTTACAAGTCATGGCAGGTGATAGATTCATCTTTTATGTTCCCCAGCAGCGTCTTCTCATATAAACCGGCGGGCCTCCCCGAAGAGCGGTACTATATGACCGGAGTAAAAATCACAGCGTAAATACTACTAGCGTTTCTGTTTATAATAGACAGGCAGTTATGCTTCCAGTTCACCCTTGTCGCATAGTTCAGATACTTATATTAGTACAAGTAAAATACTAGTGTGAGGATCTATTCGACTAGAGAAGAGGCCAACGAGATTTTCTAATTAATATTTCGTGATGCAACTGCCCTCAATGGAAACGTTATGATAGACCACGGCAAAAATTTGAAAGAAACCAAGATTTGAGAGAATCAATTCATTCAATATGACTAGCTTTCGTCCTCCGAGTCTTTTATTTCGAAGGATGTCATACGCCTTATAGGACGTGAGAGCTTCACCCAAAGTTCATTATCCGAGTCATCATCATCAATATACAAGTAGCCAGTATCCGCGCTGCCATGGTAGACTCCGCTGTATTCACGGCATTCATCTTTAATCTTCTGCGCAGTTTCAGTTGGCAGCCACATGTATCTCTCCACAATACCCGCTTGGACCGGCAGGCCCCCATATATACCAGGAGCGTCCCATTCGCCCCTGGGATGCTCTCCCCACGGGACACACATATCAGAGAAGTTGATAGAAGAATGAGCTTGAGTATCTCTGGGCTCCAAATCAGGCTGTAAACTTGCTTCCACGGTGGTATCATAAGGACCGAACTCTGAGATTTCTCTGCTTCCAATGGAACGCTCCCTGACAAATTCCTCTAGATATTTGAGGTAGAATGGGTTTCTGCTCTGTTTAGCAGCCTCAAAGTAGGACTCGCGTGGAGGGGGGGTTCAACGACCTGAAAAGCGAGCGGTAGTCACAAAGTATGGAGGTGATCGCAATTTGGTGTCTCATGGACGGACACTTGCCAGCCAGCTCACGCAGAGTGTTCTCATCAGGCCTTACCGGCCACCAGATAAGCCAAGGGAGGCAGTCAGAGCCATCTTCAATGTCAGAGATATCATTATTCATTATTTTGCGAGCATTTATCGCGGTGCGAATCTCTCGACATTCGCGCTCATTGCCTTCGCTGAGCAATTTACCCGGGAGAAAAATTCTCCCGGGATTAGAGTCCAACTGATAGGCCCACCATCTGGCAAAACTTGTATGGTGATAAATCCCACGAAGAATACAATTGTATTCAGTTTCTGTTCTGAGCCTACGTGGGTGCATCAGACGAGCGTATCTATCCACATTACCCTCCCATGCAGCCATTTGCGTTGGAAGGCGCTTGTCAATAAGTGGAAGATCGGGCAAAAGAGGCATCCATAAATGCTCGGACTCTCCTGGGCCTAGTTTTGCACCTGGGCCTAGTTTTGCACCTGGGCCGAGTATAGCATCGTGATCTACTATGCTGATTTTTTCTTTCAGCCCAATAAATCCATCTTCCTCAATGTCAATATCATCTGCAGTCGTATCTGGCAAATTTTTCGGAGGAAGAACACGCTGGCGCAAAGCCCGTCGGGGCTTCATGTTGCCATTCAGAAACGCGGGTGTTTGTGGACTTTCAAGATTAACAGATCGAGTGAAGTCATCCATGACGGCCCATCTTTGAGGAGTAGACATAATGATTTTATAGATATCGGCATCTTCGTCAACATTGCGGGCTTCTTCGGCTATAGATACATCCGGCAGAAGATCCAATTCTTTATAAAGATCCGTATAATAAGCAGCAGCACATGCTCGGCCGACTTGATACCGCATGGACGGATATTGACGGGCAACCTCACGGTAGGTTTCTTCCGATGCAGGTTCTGGATACCAAATGCAGTACGGCTGGGAGGCAGGATTTTGCATATCGGGGATAATATCACTCATTATCAGGCGAGCATTACGGGCGCGCGAAAATTGATGAGCCTGGCTATCGTCGCCGGAGCATAGCTCGCTGATTTCCGGGCTTGTTGCAAATTGGAGTGAAACACGGATCCCGCGGATGACTGCTCTGCGATGCCAAAATGAGCTTAAATCGGATGGGACCTTTTCCCCCTTTATTGCCGCGATGCATTGATCGAGGTCGTATTTAGCGGGTTGTTTCTTGCCCTTGTCTGACCTATTAGATTTGCCGGAAGTGTCGGCTGGTAGCTCCGTGGGAGAAATTACAGAGCCTTCCCCTGTAACCTCGGGAGCTGCCATGAGGATAATAGCGCAGGGGCGTGGTGCTGACAATTGCCGGAAGGAGGTTGAAAGAAGGATGGGAAGAAGACAGATTCTCAAAAGGCGGGACGTGCTTGTTCCCAGCTTCTGAGAAACTTATAGATTTTTTTCGGCCCCCAATTCCCTGCACGCGCTGTACCTTAAACTTACAAACTAGCACCAAGTGGGCTGTATGTAGTATTCAAGGATTATTCTAGCGTGTCGCGCTAATTCTCATTCGATATCACTAAGATAGCCTCGAAGTTTCCACTGAGGTACTTCTTGCCTCCTACCAATGAAAAAGGGAAGTACCCATTAGGTTCAGATGATGAAAAATTCACAGCGCTAGATGAAAAGTGGCTTTAAGTCTTCGCTGATGTTGATTCTGTCGTAGAATTCTATTTTACATCTTTCGTGCGAAGGGGAAGTATGAGTTTTTACTTGTTGGCATCTTGGATCTGGCTATATCGAAGCGTTTGAAAGTTAGCCATGAACAGCCCGAAGGTGGCTTGGATATGATGATGATGGCGAAATTTCCTCAGTGATAATGTACACTCCGAGACTTCCGAGGGGCAAGGGACAAACGAGGCCCCCTGGGTCTGGAATGAACTGGTGATAACCACCTTCTCTGTACTTTTCCCACATGAGACGCAGACAAAGGAAATTGGCAACTGCAGGCAAAGGGTCTATTAGGCAGACGCGATGGATACTAGTATTTAGATAGTATTGTAGCCATTTAATCCAATAGTATTCTAAAGCTACAAGCATTAGATAGTAGTATAATCACTACTAGTAGTACTTGAAGAATTCTAATACGGTTGTGACAATGGTATTCTAGTGTCATGTATCCTTCGCCGCAGAGGCTCTCTCAAATATCCTTCATGAAACATTTCTCATTGCCTATCTTATTACAAAGTCGATTTACAAGTCATATCAGGTCGTAAATTCATTCATCCCTTCTGTGTTCAGCAGCCTCTCCCCGCAAAAACCGGCCAACCTCCCTCTCAGCATCAGTCGAGCGGTCATTCCCATCCTTCTGATCCGAATTTCCGAAAAGACACTGCCACAGATCGTCCTTCTTGACCATTTCTCCACCCGAAGCACCACTAGTCATTAGATTCGTCAAAGTCGCGTCTTGCAATTCCATCGAGTTCGCAGAATCAATAGCCGTCTCGGTCAAATCTTCAATCAATGCTTCTTCGCCGTTACCGTTGGTCAAAGCGCGTGCGTTTTTCTCCTGTTTTTCTTTCTCGAGGATGTGGGCTAGTCGACGAGTTACTGAGAGCTCGTAGATCGATTCTTCGACAGTGCCGGAAACGAGATACATCCACACGGTTGTTGGGCGGTGTTGGCCGATTCGATGGACTCGGGCGATGGCTTGGAGCTCGATGGCGGTGTTAATTAGCGGTTCACAGAGAAACACGTGGGTTGCGTTGATTAGGGTCAGTCCTGAGGATTGTGCTTTGCCGTGAAGCAGGAAGCATTCAACCTAGAGAGTCGTTAGATAAATTATTCATAGGAAAGTATTGGCCAGAATACTTACAGCGGGGTCTTGCTTGAACTTCTCAATGCCATTGGGGGCATCGACACTACTATTGAGAATCCCAAATCGATGAAACGCTCTTTGTAAAACAGCCAAGAAATTCTTGTACTGGGAAAAGATGATCGACTTGGCGCCGGGATCATGTTCGCGCAGCCATAAAACATGTCTCGCGAGGGTGTCAATCTTTGTTCCGAAAGATCCATCGAGATCGATGTTTTTGATTTCCTTCAGAAGGCCCGAGCTTATGTCGCTGTAGATTGCATTCTTCGAGTGTCGTTCATGGTCAAACTTGACAGGCGCTTCCTCCTCCTGAACAACCAGGTCCTGCGGCTTGTAGGTGATCTGGTGAAAGTCATTCACTTTGAGAGGCTTCTTGCACATTGGGCAAGTTCGGTGCTGGCGCCACCATAGTCGTAGACAGTCAGTGCAGTACTTGTGACCGCATACCGTCAAAACGCCTAGTGTTTTGTGTTAGCATTTGTATTCTGCGGTGTTCCGGACAACATAATACGTACCGACTTCAAAGCTTGACTGGCAGATAATACAGATCCTCGAACTATCCTCCGATCCTGACTCGTCCCGCAGGTGGAGAAGATACCGGCGTTTGGACTTCAGAGATGAGATTTTGCTTTCAAGGGTCTCCTCTTGCTCCAACTTGGATGCGAAGAGTGCTTCGTCCATGGGTTTCCCAGCATTTTCTTCATCATAGGGCGCAACTGTATCTGAAATCTGTTGCAGATGACGGTAGTACTCTAACCGGTTGTTCATCGTATCACGGAACATCTCCACTTCTCGTTCCAAGTTTGATGACACCTTCAACTGTTCGGCAATCATCTGGCCAGCGTTTTTCAAAACCATGCCGACCATGTCCAACTCAGCACTCGCGCGCGAGCTTCCTCCACTAGCTTGCCACTCTAGCGAAGTCACCAAGCTGCGAAGTTCACTGACGATGCCACGAAGGGAGCCAAATTCGGGATTAGGCATAAGTTCACTGCGAGTATTCATGATAGACAGGAATAGCTTTGGGGATGGACCTTCGTCCCTTTGCGCTTGGATGATGCCTGCTTTGACCTCATGGGAGATGAGGATGTTCTTTTGGCCGGTGAGAGCGTCGTGACGATCGGCGTACATCGACCGCAAAGCTTCCATATAGACATACATCTCATCCTGATGCTTGGTCGATCGCTCGTATTCGTCACCCTCAAGCTCGGTGTCTTCTTCTTGATCGATTAGCGATTGGGAAACCAATTTTGTCATCACTTCACGCCAAGCTTTGTATTGTTTCGCATGTTCGTTCAGGGCAGCGCACAAGTCTTCAAACTTGTTCAGCAGGCGGTACGATTCCAGTCCCCTGCTGTAGAGGAACGGCTTCATTTCAGGAATGGCCACAAATTCCTTTTTCCGAGTCTTTTCCTTAATGATTCGCATGTATCGTTCCACTTTCTTCGAGATATCGATCAACATCTCCTTACGAATCACTTTGGCAGCCTCGTATCCTTCAACTTCCTTTTTCTCAAGGGCCTGGAATTCATCGGAGTCGGGCTGGGTGAGATTCGCGTCGGTTTTTATCTGGTAATATGCATTCGCAGTGAAGAATACGGCGATATGCTGAACCTCAAGAGCCGCGCGCAACTTGAGTCGACATTGGCCGATGCGGCTGTTCTTATCCGCTTCTTCCGCCTCGTCATCACTAATGTCCGGGGTTTCTGAGTTGATCACCGCATCTCCATTTGTTTCATTCTCTTTGTTTTTCAGTCGCTGTAGCCGTAGTTGCTCTCGACTATCCTTGACAAGCTCTGTGGAATATTCAAGAGTTGTCTGCCACAATGCCAGAGCCTCTTTCCCACGTCTTGCGGTCTCAAGGAGCTGGCCACGCCGCAGCTGCGATAAAAGAAGCGACCGTTCTTCTGTACGAATGGAAGTATCAGTTGTTTCGATCATGACTTCGAGGACCTCGTCGACGGTACGCAACGGCCCGTTTCCGGCACCGAGGGCTCTTCGATTACTCCCGCTGACTTCGGGATGTAGACAGGTTTGTCGGAGTCTAGTTAACCAGGTTCGCATCTTTTCAATTATGGACGGATCGTCCGGATTCCAGTCACCCCGAAGAGGTGCACCGAAGGCATCAAGGCCACAATAGTCGCACATCTCCTCAAACAATTGACCATAGTGTTGTTCTTCAATGGCAGTGAATGGAGTGGTGATAACAACACGCTTCTGGTGCGGAAGGCGGAGCTCATCCCGAACTCGGTCCTTGCTATGTCGAAGGGCAATGGTGTTGATTATTTTGACCAAAACAGGTCCAAAACGGGAGTATAGTCGTTTCCACAACTGACTGGAGTATGAAAATGGATGGTAGTGCAAGAAGAGCAGAAGGCCAGACAGATCGTCAATGTCTTTGCGAAGTGGCGTACCGGTCACAGCCCATGCGTTCTGACGGGGAATCAGCCGCGCCACTTTCGCCGCGTTGCTCACTCCACTCTCAATCATTTGTGCCTCATCGAGACAAACGCGCCACCATGATATGCGGACTAGGGGCGTTTTCCGAGGCTCGAATCGCTTCTGGTGCCGCAGACTGCGGGTTGGAGCAGCGCCTGCATAATGGATCTCTCGGGAGATAACGTTGTAAGTTGTCAGTACAACATCAAAATCGGCGATTTCCTCTATGATTAAATCATCCGACTGGTCTTGGTTGCGCTTGATTCCGGTATAATGGTGAACGCGAAGGTTTGGGGCATGCTGCTCAATTTCTTGCTTCCATTGCTCCAGGATGGCAGGTGGCGTGATAATTAGGGTAGCACCCGACGCTCTCAACCCATCTGGGTCTGGTTTGACTTGCTCCGGGCGTCGGTTCAAGCTCATCAAGGCGATCATCTCAACCGTCTTCCCTAGTCCCATTTCTTCCGCGAGAATACCGCCACGTAGAGTGTCCGCAGCGTCAGCCCAGTGAGAGATATCGCGGGTGATGATCATGAAGAGATGACTAAAGTAACAGTCTTGCCCATCCGCATCTTTCATATGGCTGAAGGATGCGGGGAGTTTGCCATTAGGTGATTTGTCGATGGGCACAAGCTTCCCATCCTTCTCCAACCCCATTCCTTCACGTTTCAAGAGCCATCTGACAGCCCGTCTCTGGAAAGGGAAAAGTTCACACACAAGATCAGGACAGTTTATGTTCGCCGATGCGTCTATTGTGTCTTGCGGGACGTGCACACTTTGGTAGAATTCGCGTGGAGACCAATTCCGAATGGATCCGAGGAGCCATTCCCGGTGTCTTCGTCTTGCATCATATCCGACTGGTCTATCAAATGGCTCCTTCAGGGCATATTGGGCAAATGCCTCCAACGCCCCATCTTGAAGGTGGGTGAAGTCGGGAACATCAACCGAATCTTTCCAAAGTGTATGCACCTCCAAATTCAATAGCTGATCACTCGGAGAGTATTGGATGGAGGCTTGGTAGCTTGCTAGTGGCGTGCGATTCCAGTAACGGTCCGCGGCACTGAGAAGGCTGGCTTGGTGAAGCTGCTCGAGGAAACCGAAGAGTCGCGAATCATCGAATTCATGCTTGAACAATAATTCACGCTTGTCATTGGTATCGGTATTGTATAGCGAAACGGTGTATGATTCGGGATTAAGCTCGCTGTGCGCCACTTCATCGGCCATCTCATCCTGAAGTATAAGACAGTTTCGAATTTCCAAGATAACGGGTATTTTATGAGACGATTCAACCGATGCATGTGAGTTGTGGCCATTTGAGTTGGAGGTTGGTGTAAAGTTCTGATCGGATGGGAAGCAAATTGTCAGCATGCGACTTCGACTCCGGCCAAGAGGACCTATCTATACTTACCATGCGCAAAACTAGCCGAGCCAATGGAATATAGCCCAATGGAATCCCTGTTGAAGAAGTACCATTTTCCTGAGAGAGACTATATGGGCCCGACTTAGCAACCTTGCGTCGTTTGATGGGACGCTCGTCGGCAATCAGATTATCACTTTGCGAGAGAACGGAAAGAAGTGACGGGGGTACCGCAGCTGTTGGTACAGAGATAGGTTAGTTTTTGATGGTTTATCTGCATTGGGAGGGGTTGAGCAAGATACCTGATATTCTGACATCCTCTGCGACCACGGCCATTTTGAAAATAATGACTGACTGTCATCTCATGCCTCCATGCCTCGGGGAAAGTCGAGGTCGAGAGCGTGGCGCATTGCGACAGCTGGGGCAATCTTCTAATCACGTGGTGATAGGCACATATTTAATCCGGCCACCTGTGGGCAGTCGCGAGGCGGCAGCTACCTCTTGGCGCCAAGACAAGGTATACTCAGATGCATAGAAGATCAACTATTATCATTACATGCACTCGTATAACAGAAACGAGTGCCCTTAGATGAGAGAAAAAATGGAAAGTGAACAAGAATCCTCAATTTCGTACGTTAAATCAGAAGTTTTTATCATACTACACTCTCCACAACCGATTGTATATATCGGTACTAGTAAGTCATCGTTTAAGTTGTCAAGTGTTTACATGAGCAAGTTGAAAGTCAAAAGTCCGAGCCTACCGTATGGCTAGTAGTGCTAGTGTCTGGAAGGTTAAGAATACCTAGAAAATTGGGAGTTAAGTGGCTACGTAGTAACAGAGGATATAATAAGCCATCATGATGGGGATAATAATTACTTCTGGTCCCTGACCGAATTTGGTTCCGGCCTGAAGCCCCTGGCGTCAACCGCGGATCAGATTAGTCACCCACTCTGACTAATCCTCACCCCCCCACGCCATACAGCGACGTGTGAACGGCCAACCAACCACGACGGTGACGTGTGTGTGGTTGCCTATCTACTTGAAAGAAGCTTTATTTTGCAACCGATCGACATATTCTTCCGAGTCAATGCCGGCCTGGAATCACCATCTCTCCACACAATCTTCTCAACATGGCGTCCGACTCGCAGAGCCCCGAGGCTCGCGAGCTGACCTTGATAGGCAAGGTGGAATTTAGAATTGCCATGGCTGACTCCGATGAGAAGCTCCAATCACTTCTTGGGACATATCTGACCCCTCTCCTTTTGAAGCTGAGCTCTGAGAGCGTCGCCGTGCGCAATAAGGTCATATCCGTTTGCCAACATGTCAACACTCGGGTCAAAGCTCCCTCAATCCAGCTACCCGTCGCCGCATTGCTGAAGCAATTCAAAGAGCAAAAATCTCAACTTGTCAGACACTTTGACCTCATCTACGCTCAGCAAGGAATCGATCGTCTCGGCTCCGATGCTCGCGTGGAAATCCTCCTGCCCCTGCTTCAGGGTATCTCGGAGATCGGAACCTCCGCTAGTCAGGGTGCTATCGTTTTCAACTTGGTTCTGCGTCTATTGCCACTGTTCAAATTACCCGTCAAAGGCAGCGACGAAGATCTGAAATTGAAAGAACGTCTGAAAATGTCGGATGAAGACGCTCGCTTTTTGTCCCTTTGGCTGAGCAAGCTCCTGCTATTATATCTCCTGGCCCCGCGGAAGCTTCTAGCTGCGCCGGTTTATCACCAGACGAGTATAAGTTTTTAAACAAAGATGAAAAACCCGCCGAAACATGGAATCCAGCTTCGCCAGGAGGATTGAATTTGACCGAAACCAAAGTTATTGCTCTTCGATTCCTTGGCAGTGGTGCCTTCCCCGATACTCAAAAATTCCTGCCTTCATTGATAGCCTCTGCCGATGCTAACTCCCGTCTGGCCGATCTGGGCGATGAAACCCTCAAGCGATTTGCCGTGGACCTTGAAGACTCGCAGACAGTCGAACAGTTATATGATCTTTACTTTGGTGCAAATGGTGCTCCTTCCGTTCGTCCTCTAGTTCAGGTGAAGATTCTGGTTTTTCTAGGAAAATCCATCAAAGCTACAGGAAATACCGATCGGATATTTAAGCTCATAGAGGAGGGCCTTCTATCAGATGCAGCAAGATCCGCACAAGGGTTGCAGGCTGCGAAATTAAGAACCCAAATATTCACATTTACGACATGGGTTGTCCGAATGGGCTCCCCATCGGACCTAAAGCAGATAGCCCCGAAGTTGATCGCTGGATTACGGGACTTTATTCAGTCCCAGGGATGGCCTAGCCCCGGTGCCAGCGGACAGAGATTGCCTGCAACTGACCTCAGTCTCCGAGGCCTGGCATATGAAAGCATCGGTATATTGGTGCCCAAGGTTGACTTTCGACTGCGAGATGAAGAAGTGGAGAATTTTGAATTTGATCTAGTTCGTTGGCTGTTCATCTCCTTGAGTGCAGACGATTCTAGCCCCCAGATTTTCGTTAGTATCGATCAAGCACTGGGAAGTATCCTCAATTCATCATTAGACAGCCACGACAAAGAGTTCCAAAGTCAACTACGCCCATTTCTTGTTCGCCAAATGGCTTTGCAGGCTGGAGAGACCGACCCAGAGACCGGATTCACCGTTGCTAGGGGTGTCCAGTATGCTGCTGTGCGATTTGCAAACCGATTCCTGCCGTATAACGATATCGTGGCCCGCTGGATCGATCTCATGGCTATTGCAAGAGGACCCGGAAGGCAACAGGAAATCGTGGAGGAAGGCAAAAAGGGTCTCCATCCCTACTGGTTCCGACTTCTAAACCCGGCCAAAGATCAGAAATGGGCAACCGCTTCAGAGGCAGAGAAAAAGCGAGACGAAAGCTGGTTCGAATTCCCCCAATTCGCTGAGGCAACTCGCTTTCTGCTTGGCCCAGAGGATGAGGACTCTACAATGGACGACTCCTTGCCTAAGTCGCGACTCTTGTCGGGCTCTTACAAGGATTCTTTTGCGCCTGCTGTCGCTTTCCTCCGGAATACACTGCTCTGGGAGGCATTCTCGGCAGCGGGTATTGTCACTGATATGGAGCAAGACTGGGACTTCAAACTCGAAGTGCACCTTTCAACGAGTGCGGAGGCGCGCGCTGCCGTGAGACAATATATTCGGAGCTCAGCAAAGGAGTCCGTCTTTGCTTATCTTTCAGGATTGCTAGACGGTCTAGAAACAGAAAATCTCCCCGGCCTTCGTCAATGTGGCGTCCATTTCGTGGAGATTTGCTCTCTATCGCCTGATGATGTTGTCGAGGGTCTTACCTCGCGCGCACAAGCTCTCAACAAGCCTATCCTGAGCAACAATGAAGAAATCCAAGCTCTTGCCGCAAGAGCTTTTGGTATCTTGGTGTCTCATCCTGCCACTTCTGACGATGCCTTGAACAAATTCGTCGCCGAGTTGGCGGGTACCCTCCAAACATGGAATACCGCGATCGGAGAGGCTGCCCTTCGGGTTCGCGGGTCAATTCTTGCACTTTCGTACCTCTTCAGTAGGCTGGCGTACCGCAATCGGCTGGATAGAGTCCCCGAAGCACAGATCCAGCAATACATTGAGACAGTACTGGATATCGTTGATGCTTCTCGTGACCAACTCCTCCAAAGGACCGCGGAAATTGCGATCGGGCAACTTAGTCTCTCTGGCACTCTCTCGCTGAAGACCCTGCCGGAAGATGGCTGGAAGAAGGTTCAGCAGAAGCTGGCTGGCGATGCCAAAAAGTCTGAACATGAGACACCTATCTTGTCTTTGGGTCTCTTGACAGTTACATTCTCTCGCGATGAGTCGACTGCATCCACATTCAGTGAATTCTTAAACTCACTCTATAGTCTACACGAAGTCCGCAGCCCAGAGGTCCAGTTTACCATCGGTGAGGCATTGAGTAACGTTGCCGTGGGATGGGACTCTCGAGCCCTTATTCAAGACTTCGATGTCGATGCGCAATTCCCTTCGTCGGGTGTCCCGCGAAAAGTTTTTGTTGAGGTGTATGACAAGATCATCGCCGATTGTATTGCACCAAAACCTTCTCTGCGCAAGGCCTCTGCTATTTGGCTACTCTCGCTCGTGAAGAACTGCGGCCACCTTCCCGAGATGCAGGAACGACTACGCAAGTGCCAGGCTACGTTCTCCAGTCTACTTGGCAATCGGGATGAGGTGGTGCAGGAGACGGGAGCGCACGGCCTCAGCCTCGTTTACGAAATCGGTGACCAGGAATTGAAAGACTACTTGGTCCGAGATCTGGTAGATTCCTTCACAAATACAGGTGCAAACCTCGGAGGTGGAAATGTCAGCGGAGATACTCAACTCTTCGAGCCTGGCGCGCTTCCAACAGGTGACAACACCTCCGTCAACACATACAAAGACATCATGAACCTGGCCGCCGAAGCAGGCGATCCCACCTTAGTCTATCGATTCATGTCTATGGCGTCCAACAATGCCCTTTGGAGCAACCGCGCCGCCTTTGGGAGATTCGGCATCAGCAGTATCCTCTCCAATTCCAGCGTCGATGGCTATCTAGCTCAGAACCCAAAGATTTACCCCAAGCTCTTCCGCTACCGATTTGATCCGAATCCGAATGTGCAGCGCTCGATGAATACCATCTGGCAAGCTCTCGTGAAGGATCCCACTGTGGTGGTCGATGCCCATTTCGAGCCGATCATGGAAGATCTCCTGAAAAGCATGCTTTCGGGCCGTGAGTGGCGTGCGCGGCAGGCAAGCTGTGCCGCCGTGGCGGATTTAGTCTCGGGACGACGCCCGGAGAAGTATGCGCAGTACCTGGATGAGATTTTCGAGAAAGCGTTCAAGCTGCTTGATGATATTAAGGATTCCGTTCGGACTGCGGCGCTGAAGCTCTGCCAGACGCTCACCAATTCTGTCATCCGCACTCTCGAGACTAATGGGTCGGAGAAGAGAGCTGGGATCCTACTTGGGAGTGCCGTGCCGTTCCTCCTCAGTGACAAGGGGCTTGACTCAAGCGTTGAAGAAGTGCGGGGATACGCCATTGGCGCTCTAGTGCAGATCATCAAGAAGAGCTCCGGGACAACCCTGCAGCCCTTTGTGCCCACTATCCTGGAGAAATTCTTGACCTCGCTGAGCTCGCTCGAGCCCCAGGCTGTCAACTACGTTCATCTCAATGCTGACAAGTACGGGCTGACGGGTCAGGATATTGACAAGATGCGCTTGTCTAGTATCCGCACTTCGCCTATGATGGAGGTCATCGAGCGTTATCTCATCGATCACCTGGACGAGACGAACATAAAGGAACTTACGCCCAAACTGGAAGACGTGCTCCGCTCCGCGGTGGGTCTGCCATCCAAAGTGGGCTGCAGTCGCGTACTGGTGCTGCTAAGCATGAAGACGCTTCTGTTCCGTCCATACGCAGACCGATTCATTCAGCTACTGAGCAAGTACGTTGTGGATCGCAATGAAACGGTCAGCGCATCCTATTGCACATCGATGGGCTACCTACTCCGTTTGGCATCGGACGATCGGGTTTTGAAAACGATCGAGTATGCGCAAACCTTGTATCTAAACTCCGACGACGCCACCACGCGCTCCATCTCCGCCGAAATTCTACAAGCGAGTTCCAAACTCTCCAATGACCGGTTCATGGCGTTTGCGACCAGCGCCCTGCCCTTTGTCTTTGTCTGCAAGCATGACGGCGACGAGCACGTCCGCGACGCGTTCGAAAAGACCTGGCAGGATAATGTGGGGGGTAGCCGGGCGGTAGCTCTGTACATTCGGGAGATCGTCAGCCTTGTATCCGACAATTTGGATTCGGCACGGTGGGCCATCAAGCACACTGCGGCACGTGCGATCGCGCAGGCGGTGCTGGCATTAGATGCGGAAATCGACCTTCCTACTGCGCTATTGGTGTGGCCTGTGCTGGAAAAAGCATTGGCCGGTAAGACGTGGGATGGGAAAGAAGTCCTGCTGACGGCGCTAGTCAAGTTTGCGCGAGCTGCCCAAGCACTTTGGACGGCGCGCCCGGAGCTAGGGGCCTTACTGAAGGTGAGTTACTTTTTTTACTTTTTTTTTCCCTTGTTTTTTTCCCCTTGGGCTCTATTCTATCTCTACGCGGACTTTTTTTTTATACTTTCCCTTTTCTATCCGGAGGTGTCTCTCGCCTAGTCCCGCAACCCACGAGGATGGAACTCGTACTAACCTACCCCTCCCCGCATTAGACTATTACCGTTCGCGAAGCGAAGCGAACTAATGCCGCCTACCGACCACATGGTCTGATGGCACTTGGAGAAATCGCCCAAATCCGACCCGACGATTTCCTCCGGGATGCACTGAAATTTGTTCCAGGAGTCATTGAGGAGGAAGTTGAGGAGGACAAGGACAAAGATGCAGACAAGATGGAGATTGATAACAAAGGAGGTAAAAAACGAGATGCAGTCGACACATTGGCAGCATGTGTACAATGTCTAGTACAATGTCTTAATCCCGAAACGGCCAGATCGGGTCAAGGTGAGTGCCAGCACAAAGTTGCTTCTTCCCTTTTTTTTTTGGCTTTCTTTTACGAACGCCTCAACCCTAGCGTCCGTTCGCCTGCTAAGCCTAACCACAGTGCTGGGAGATGATGTGCGACAGGTGACGGGTCCGTTGGACGAGGCCCTGAGCCACGGTGGACGACAGGTGGTCAGCACGGCCTTCCGGGAGTTCCAAGCGTTTTTTGGACGAGTGGATCGTTGGTCCGGACCCGGTGAAGAGGATATGGTGGAGCCGATGTGTGGGCTCGCTAGATTGCTCATGCGTGACGGGGATGCAGTTGAGAGTGTCCGTAAGGGTCGGGCGGAGGCTGTGTTGGCGTTCCTGAGGCTGCGGAAGGGTGTTCGAGGGGTGCCCGATGGGTTGGGTGAGGCGTTGCGAGGGTGGAGGGCTGGAGAGCGGGCGGGGGGGAGTTCAGGGTGTGCTGGATGAGTGTTTGGGGTTGGTGTGATGGTGGTCAGTGGGATGTCAGTGGGATGGTATGGGTACGGAGATCCATGGGTATATCCATGGGTACGGTATACTACAATGTATGGAGTAGAGTACAAAGTACCAAGTACCAAGGACCAACCTTGGAAGCACCCTACTCTATCTATTACCGATGGAGTGGTTCAAGTTCCTAATAAATTATAGTTACTTCGTATACGGATACTGCCAGAGTATGTAGAGTAGGCTGGTTTCCACGTGGTTGCCTCTGTCGACTTTATTTTATTTTATTTTATCTTAAATTTTTATTTTTTTTGAATTATTTGATTATTTGATTATTTCCTCATTTTATTATTTGCGAGTACGAAGTGCATATTCCAAATATTTGCTCTTTGGCACACTGTCTACCAGTATTCCCGAATATGCTCTTCCATTCCATCCCTCCTAAGCCAACGAGTGCGAGCGCCACTCGCTTAACCCTCGGCCAAGTCCGGACAGTCTCGCCAGTAGTCATAGTCAAGACTAGACCAGTCTTGACTAGTCTTGACTAGTCTATCCAATGCTGCCAACTGCTGTCAGGCTGGCTAGACCGGCCTAGCCGGGCCGATCCAGGTCTGCCAGGTCTTCCCCGGACGCGCATTCTTCGGCCGATCCCTTTCATCCTTTCACTATCCTTTCGATCCTTTCGATCCTCTCGATCCTTTCCCTTGGAAACCTATCGAATCTCTTTGTCTTAGTTTACTCGTACTCCCTAGCCTGTCGAGTTGTTCCTCCTGCTGGATCCCCCACCCCCACTAAGCCTAATTATCTCTAATTCCTGCTGGCACTAGTGACCCTGTTTGACGTGTTCCTCCGTTCTCAGCCAGCCCTAGCGTGGCTAGTGCATGATTCATGTTCGTCTATGCGTACTCATAGTGCCCATGCGAGTTTTCTCCGTGTTCCCTCCCCTCTAGTCCCGGGCTGCCTCCCCCAATTGGGCAAGAGGGAAAAGTGCCAGAATAGCAACACACTCAATCCCACATGGTTGGCAGCTGCATGCCATTCATCCTTTTTTGACTTTTTCCCTCTTTTTCATTTTCCTTTTTTTTTCCTGCTGGTTTTTTCACGGCATCTGACCTGTTCCTAAGCCTCAACCCTCTCAACCCTCAATCCTTGGGATCCTTTCTGTGGCCCCGTCCCCATTCCACTCATTCCACGTCTTTTCTCCCTTGGGTCTCCTCGTTTCTCGTTTCTTGTTTCTCGCAGCCGAGATTCCCCCCCTTCCCACCTTCCCACCCGATCTGAACCTATTCCCAATTCCTAATTCCCATCCTAAATTCCCGCCACTTCGTCAAGCCAGGAACAGGGCGCCCTCCGCCCGTGAACCATGCAGCCCTCTTGAACCATCTTGTCCTGCAGCTGCATCTTCCTGCTCGTGATGTGATTCTACATAACTTCCCTCCCTTCCCTCTTTTTGATTTTCTTTTTGCCTCTCTCTATCCACTCGACCTCATCAACACCTCCACACTCACACTCACACTCACACTCACACTAAACTCTGAGCTATATTACTACTACTATCCCCACCTTAACCTCCACTTTACTATCTCTCCCCATCTCTTGCCACCTGTGATCTCATCTGATCTCATCTAATCGTCTGACACCCATTTACCCTCTCTCATCCTCTCCCCTCCCTCCTCTTCCCCCACCACCGGTATATAGCATCAACCTACCAACCCCTTGTACCTGGTACGTCTTCCAATCCCATCCAACTGTACAGCACTGATTGTGTGACCTTGCTCTCCAGGCACCCTGTCAGCCTTATGACTGTCACTAGCACGGTGATGCAGAACCGCCGGGCTCATGCCTCCGGAAAGCGCCCGCTGCGACTGCCCATCATCGCCCCCAAGGAGGATTCCCCCAGCAAATTAGAGAGTGGCCTGATTGCTCCTCCACGCATCCGCCTACCTCCGCGATCAAGAACTGGTTGCTGGTATGTCTATGTCTCTTATTCCCCTTCCCCTGTTTCCTTGGCAAGCCATGGCTCTTTTTATTTTTATTTTTTAATATTAACATCTCCTCTTAGGACATGTCGAGTGAGTTACCCCCTCCCCCCCAGTCACCCATTCCCCCCTGGGGTCTAGATCTATTTCATGAACCATTCCATGAACTCCGATTAACCTGTTTTTTTCCTGCTGATGATAGAGCCGAAAAGGTATGTTTACACAAAATTCCTGCGCCTCTCCGGCCCAATTTGAGTGGCGGAATTCCAGTGGCTGACTTGACCCGTGCGGCATTCCACAGTCAAATGTGATGAAGGACATCCTCAATGTAATGTATGTATGAAACACGGATTCATTCCTCGGCCCTGTTTTGCCGCATCCTTGCTCATCATTCTACTTTTCTTTAGCAATGCACTCGTCTAGGCCACAGCTGCGACTACCGCCCTCGACTGGCTTTTCGCGATGACACCCCTCGCATTATGGGCCGCATGGCCGACGTAAAAACCGATGGAAACATCGTTTGGGATCGTAAGCTAAGCCGCGGTTCTCTGTCTTGTCAGGTTCGCCTTCTAACTCGCGCGTATTGTAGTTTCCTCCCCGCCTCTCTGTGAGGAGAAGGCCGATTATTTCTCCTGCAAGGAGGCTCTTCCCGTCTTCGCCCTCCTCACCTCTGACGAGGACAGGGAAAAGAAGGCTGAGGGCAGCAGCCCTGGCACTTTTCATGTTGTCGTCACTCCGGATAGCTTCTCGAACTTGCCTGAATATTCAGATGATGGCGAGAGGTCACGGTCGAACGGCGCGCCGGAGTCTGTAAGCTCTGTGGCGACGAGTCCCATTAGCGGGATTGTGAAGTCCGAGGGCACTGGTATCATAGGTGAAGATCCCAACGTGGTCATTTTGAAGACCTTTGAAGATACAACGCGCCGATCTTCGTCAACGGGGCGAATGGCGCAGATTTCGCCTACGTCGGAAATCTCGGATCCTTTCTGCTCCCTCTCTCTTTCTCCTATTCTTGACTCTCTCCCTTCTCCTGTTATCTTCGACAATGATCAACCGTCTTTCATTGTTGAGAGTTGCTTAGATCAACATCAACCAAGCCAGGACTCAACACTCTTTGCTCATTTTCGACATGTTGTTTGGAAACAACTTTTTCCCCACGACCGTGGTCAAGATGATTCATTCGGGTTAGAAACTCACGGCTTGACCCTGAGTGTCGACTTTCTCGAGCGCGAGGCGGCTCATTTCCCTCCTGTGAGTATTGTGTTTCATCCTGAATTATTGGTTCCTTGCTCTAATTCGTATGTATAGCTTTCTCATGCCATAATGGCCGTGTCAGCTCTCAGTCTGTCACACAGCGGCACCGGACAGAGTCTCGACGCGTTGCAGTATTACCAGCAGGCATTTCCATCTCTCCAGATGAGTCTCCGCAACAACGATGACCTCGTCTCCGATGGACTATTCCTCACCCATTTCCTCCTTCTGATCTACGAGGTAAGTCTAGCCCAGCGCATTGAAGTATCCTTGTCTTTATCTTTGTCTGACCCAATTCCAGGTCGCTGCAGCCGAACCCCATGGCTCAAATCTCTGGTCCCATCACATCTCCCGCCTCCTTCACATCACTTTCCTCCGCCGCAACCAATATGGACGCGAACCCCACCCATTCATCCTATGGTGGATCTGTCACATCGATCTCTACGCTCTCCTCAGCGGGGCGGGAACCGGAGAATTCGTCCGAGCCATCATTGACCACCAAATGCTCCCGGGATCCGACTGTCTCCTCTACCCATCCGCAACAGAAGGATACAGTGTTATCTACGCCGGTGAGCACGAGAGTCTACCAACCATCATGCGCCTCTACGCCGATACATTCAAATTAACGGCTCGCCTCGGTTTCCTCGCAACTCAACTCCGTCAAGATAAACAATCCCTCCCCTATCCCGAATTCAACCAGCGATCAAAAGAAATCGCCGATCTCCGCCAGTCATTCTCCCGACTCTGGGAAGCTCCCGATGTAACATTCTGGTCCCAACACCAAGAGCTCGGACAAGGACAAGGAGTAGGACTCCCACGCCGCTCCCAAGAAATTCTCCAGCAATCCGCAACCCTTTTCCACGCCAGCCAATTATTTTCATACAGCAGTATGTGGCCCGGCCAACGACTAGAATCCGAATTCAGCCCAGACGGCGAAATCGATCACCACGCGTCTGAAATTCTTCAAATCGCCGAACGAACGACTCACACGCGTCGCGCTGATCGGCATTTCCTCGTTTTCCCCTTGTTCCTCGCTGGCGCGACTGCTTCGGCGAGTGGATTGAAAATGATGGCTATGGAGTTGATGACGGGCATGGAGGATGAGGAGGATGGGATGGGGAGAAACGCGGCGACTACGAGGGCTATCTTACAGACTGTTTATGAGAGACAGCTTGAGAGGCTTATGAGGGTTGGACATACTTTGGATGTGGATTGGGCTGATCTTATGGCTCAGGAGGGGTTGCAGATGGTTAATTTTGGTTTTTAAGATGTGGTTGCGTTGCCTAGGTCGGAAGGGTGTCTTTGGATTTTTGGGATTTATTGGGTGGGAATTGACTCAGGCTATCCGGATCGGCGTTTTGGGGAGGGCATTTGTTGCATGATGTGTACTTTTGTTGTTCTTTTTCCCCCCAGCATGAGCTATGATGTGTGTATGTATAGAAACGAATTATAATGTGCCATGGAACAGAACTTTACCAGTTGAACTTGAACCAGTGGGCCCAAGTAAACAAGGCAAAGTCTATTTAGCGCCCTATACTAACGTACTAACCACCAATCCCATCCTATCACAACAGGCATCAACTATCAACTCGTGCCCTCATCTCATCACACCTGCGGGGTCGACTCGGCCAACTTGGCGCCTAGCACTAGCACTGGCACATCTTCCATCCAACACTCCTCCTTTTCCTCCCCTTTTCACCTTGCTTTTTTACTTTTTACTTTTTACTTTTTCTCTACTCCGTCCATCTCACTCACAGGCCCCCTCTTGGTTTATTTTTATCTCACGATCGCTGCCCGCCTCCCCCTATTCAGCTGTGCACTGTGCACCTCCCCCCCCACTCCACTGTTAGTCTCCGATGCCCCTCACTGAAGAACACAAGTCCGATTCCGATCTGCCACACTGCGCGCTTAGCTCCAAGTGATTGGTACCTGACCTGACCTGACCTGATCTGACGCAGTCGCAGTTACAGCCCAGTTTTGCTCTCTGCATTGTGGTCCATTCTGGTGCATCCTGCAACTTCAACTGTTTCGTCGCTGCCAGTGCCAGGCATCATCATCACCACCATGGACCCCGGCGACAGCCGTGGTATTCACCCGGACGAGGAGCTCTTCCTCAACTCCAACAGACCCAACCCCCAGGCACAGACACAGACACAGGTCGAACCACTCCGAATCAATAAAAGAGATTCAACCTCCCCCGCCTCTGCTTCCAGCCCTCCCCCCCGCACCACTCCCATACCCCGATGACCGTCCTCGTCCGCAGATGCGCAGCTCGAGTTCCAATGATGCCCGTCCAGCCCCCGACAATATCAATAGATATGACAATAGATATGCCTCGCCGCCACCGGCTGGTCCCGGTTCGGGCTCCGTGAGCCCCGCCGATTATCCCCCAGCTTTACGCCCTCGCGATGGACGAGAGCCGAGAGTTGCTACCCTCGCTGAACGAAGAGGCGCCCAACCTCAGCCTCTACCTGAATCGCCCATCGCCGGGCCAGAGAGAGATGCGCTCGCTGCGAGAACGTACCCTCGTCCTCCGGCGGCTCAGTCCGATGGCCCAGTGAACCAGACCCAGCAGACCCAGCCATACGACTATCGTCAACAATACTACCCACCCCCGCAAAGCTCCACACCCAGACCATCATCAAGTCTCCAACCACCACAGCAGTCCGGTGGCGGCGGTGGGGGTGGTATAAACCGCATCAGCTCAACAGCATCAACATCAACAACCCGCGCCCAACGCGGCTCACCCCCACCACCGGAAACTCCCATCGTTGGCCCCGGCCAGCCGGGCTCGGACTCGGATATCGAGTCTCGTTTTGCTGCGGCTGGTATTGCGGGTACGTCGACTTTGTCGGGTATTCAGTCGCAGTCGCAGAATCAGAATGCTGCGGCTCAGCGTCGCGCTAATCAGTATGTTGGTCAACAACCTACTTTTCATCAGGCGCAGGCTCCAGCTCCGGCGAGGCCTTGGACGCCGACTGAACAGCCTGGTTCGCAGCCTCATGGGCCTCCGACCGTTTATCAGGGGGATGAGGTTGTGAGTGGTGGGCAGGGTCAGGCGCACGGTCAGGGTCAGGCACAGGCGCATCCGGGTCAGTATGGGAGTCCGCCTCCAGGTACGCACCCGAGTCAGTTTGGAAGTCCACCGCCGCAGGTTCACCCGGGACAATATGGGAGTCCGCCGCCGGGTACACACCCCAGTCAGTATGGGACTCCACCACCGCAGGCTCACCCGAGTCAGTATGGAAGCCCGCCTCCTCAGGCTCAAGGAGCTCCAGCTGTGCCGCAGCAACAGCAGCAGCCGCCTAGGGCAAATACCTTGGAGCATGACATGGATCGCATGCGCATTAGCGAGGAACCTCCCCCAGCTTACTCGAGTGTTTCTGGAGGCGCTTCAAACGGATATCCAAATGAAAAGCCAGGCGCTGCTGGGGCAGGTGCTTCCACAGCCGGACACCCAGCAACAGCTAATCAACCCCATCCTTCTACCATTGGAGCTGCTGCCGCCGTCACTGCAGCAGCCGCTGTAGGTACATCTGCATCTCCCGCGCCATCTGCTTCAACACAGGACCACCCCGCCTTCGCGAATGATCCTAGACAACAGCAGAACATGGGCCAGTCACCGCACAATTCCGCTCCCGATGGCCAGGGCCATTCTGCGTATTCACAAGCAACCGTGGCACAGGTTGCCTCCCCTGCTCCGAGCGGTCTTCCTCCAGCTTCTCCTCCCCCACTGCCAGAAGGCTGGATTGCGCATATGGATCCAAACTCAGGCCAGTATTACTACATCCATCTTCCAACCCAGTCCACTCAGTGGGAATTCCCGAAGGGTCCTACGCCATTGAACCTCAATGAGACCCCGCTGTCGCCCGTAGGCAGCGTGTACAGCAGTCACCCTCTGACTTCCCCGGGACTATCGGCATTTGGAAAGCCGCTAGCTTCCCCCGGTGCACCCATGACGCCCGGGTTCGAGAGCCTCCAGTCTCCAATGGCGGGATTCTCAGGTCCACCTCCGAGCAGCGGGATGGATCTGTACAAAACTGCACCGACAAACGGAGTCTACTTTGGCCCCTATCTCCGCTACACGAACATGGACCTCGAGCGTGGATTATGGCTGGGCTCTATCCTCCTTGTGACAGACGCAGCCCAACCACCCACAATCCACTGCCACCAAAGTGTCGACCTTTCCCCGAACCCAAAACAACTCAAAGCAATCAACATTGCAGCCCACCAGCGCTGGACCTTTTACAAATACGAAATTGAAATCCAAATGGACGACGCGGGTCCAGCAAAATGGACATACGCCATAACTTCCCACCTTGGCTGTACGCGCTACGAGTTCCTTGTCGCAGGCCGACACGAAACGAACTGGCGCTTCATCTCCACCTCGGGCAACGACTTCTCGCTGAACGTTAATGCGAATGAGCGTGCGAGGCTGGGTGGCGTGGGCTTCATGTGGAAGGATATCATGACAAAACATAATGAAATCGGAGGTTTTCATGCGCAACTTTGTCTGGGTGGACAGATTTATGCGGATCGCATGTGGAAGGAGATCCCTTGTCTCAAGCAGTGGTTGACGATCAGTGGGAAAGAGGCGAGAAAGAATGCGCCTTGGACAGCGGCGAATCAGCAGGATGTTTCGCATGCTTATTTTCATTATTATACCAGTCATTTTGATCAGCCGTATCTGCGGGAGAGCTTTGCGCAGATTCCTTATGTTTGTCAGATTGATGATCATGATATGTATGTTGTTCCGGATTGAATACTTGCCCTGGAGACAAGGCAAGCGAAGTGAACCTTTCTTTGCTAACGTTTATACAGATTCGACGGCTTCGGCTCCTACCCCGAACACATGCAATTCTCAAACATGTTCAAAAACATCGGCCGTGTAGGAATCGAAATGTATCTCCTCTTCCAACACCACACAACCCTCGACATCCTCCGCAACGTAAACAACGACATCGACTTATTCACCATAACCGGAACAGGCTGGCACTTCGTCAAATACCTCGGTCCCGGCGTCGTCGTCGTCGGACCAGACTGCCGCTCCGAGCGAAACCCACATCAAGTCATGGCCGGACCAACCTACCAAGGCCTCTTCCCAAAAATCGCAATGCTCCCACCAAGCGTACAGCATTGTCTCTGGATGATCTCCATGCCACTAATCTACCCACGCCTCGAAACGGCAGAACACATCGCTCAAACCGTTACAACAGGCAAACGCGCCGTGACGGGGACATACAACCTCCTCGGCAAAGTAACAAGTTCCGTCGCGGGCGTCGTCGGCGCGAAAGATTTCGTCGGATCAGGCTTTGACTCCGTCAAACGTGCCGTCGGCAAGAGCGGTCTAATGGGCGGTATTTTGAGCCCATTCGGCGAATTCGATCTCATGGACGAACTCCGCGACCAATGGACGCACGAATCAAAAGATCTAGAAAGAACATATCTAATCCGCACCTTGCAAGGAATCGCGCACCAGAAATCTCTCCGAATGACATTCCTCTCCGGAGCAGTCAATGTCTGCGGCGCAGGTCTAGTCCACGATCCAGCCCAACCATCCGATCACAAAACAATGTATCAACTCATCGCTAGTCCAGTCGTGAATACGCCCCCGCCTTCATACGTTATAAAACTCCTCCACAGCCACGGTAAACCGCTCTACGTGCCGGCGAATGGACACCGCTCCTCCGCCGCGCCGACAGATACGAAGGAGGATATGATGGAGATCTTTCAGACGGATGTTAATGGACAGGCGAGGGAGTATAAGAAACTTATGGGACGGAGGAATTATGTTGCGATTGTCGCTTATGATCCCGATTCTGCGCAGGGTCAGCCGCAGCAGCAGCAGTTTCAGCAGCATCTTGTGCCGGGGGGTAAATTGAGTCTTGCGGCGGACTTTATGGTTCAGGGGGATGGGGCTTATGCTAGTGTTGTTAAGTTTGGGCCGGTTATTGTGCCGAGTTTGGAGCATGGGAAGTAGATGGGGGTGAGCTGGACTGGGAAGAACCTCACCTCTCTTTCTTGGGGGGGTTTTTTTTTCTACTATTCTGCCTTTAAATCGAATGCGTCATTGCTTGGTGCTGGATTTGATGCTTTTCTTCCTTTGTTTGATATTCTTATCTTTTGCTTTCCTTTTATTACCCTTTCTCACGCCTTTTACGTTTATGGTACTACACACGAATTTGTCACGATTCTTGAATTGGATTTTGTTCTTGTTAGCTTCATAGCGTGTGTGCATGCGTGCGTGCGTGCACTCGGGGCGAGCCCCGATCACCTTTTTTGTTATCTATTACCTTAGCTTATTATTGACATATCATATCTTGTCTTCTCATGTGCTATGGTATGGTACTCGTCAAGTTCGGGTAAAATTTGAAGACAGTATGTGATTTTTGAATCTACTTGTTGAACAAATACTACTAGTATATCGCATTTTCGATGATAGGTTCCAGGTCTATTGCAAGGTTTACTACTAAGTATGGGGAGTTGACTGTACACATTGACATTATATTGAGTATTACTAATGAACAGCTTCACCCCGATTTGGATGGAATGTACACAGATCCACAGCATTCCAGTCCAGTCTAGTCCATTCCAGTCCAGTCTGGACTCATTAGGTACAGTAGAAAAAAGCCAGCATGTACACGAAGTCCCGTTGAAGCTACTAGGTACTGTCCATCCATGAACACTCATCAGAATTAGTTTAGTTATAGCTTGGTACAAGATCCAGCAAAGAGAAGACTTACATCGGGCTGGAACTTCGAACTCTCTGTGCCTTAGTTGGAAGACGGGGCCTCTGCCCCCAGGAGGCCAGTGACTTGGTTCGTGACGTCCTCCACGGTGGGACCAAGGCTCAGCGGATCGGAGCTGGGCTCCTGACGCTTGAGAATTGAGCCGACGAGGCCGCTCACTTGGTTTGTGAGGTCTTTGACGGTTGGACCCAGGCTAAGGGGGTCGGAACTGGGCTCCTGGCGTTTTAGGATGGAACCAACGAGGCCGCTCACTTGGTTTGTGAGGTCTTTGACGGTTGGACCCAGGCTAAGGGGGTCGGAACTGGGCTCCTGGCGTTTTAGGATGGAACCAACGAGGCCGCTCACTTGGTTTGTGAGGTCTTCGACAGTTGGACCCAGGCTAAGGGGGTCGGAACTGGGCTCCTGGCGTTTTAGGATGGAACCAACGAGGCCGCTCACTTGATTTGTGAGGTCTTCGACAGTTGGACCCAGGCTAAGGGGGTCGGAGCTGGGCTCCTGACGTTTGAGGATAGAGCCAACGAGGCCGCTCACTTGATTTGTGAGGTCTTCGACGGTTGGACCCAAGCTGAGCGGATCGGAGCTGGGCTCCTGGCGCTTAGCAGGTGCTGGGGCAGCCAGAGAGAGACTTGCCAAAGAGGCGACGAGAATAGGAACGAAACGCATTGTGGGTATTTGATTGATGCGTATATTAAGAACGAAGGTGAGGGATGACGAAGTGAGCGACAATAGAAAAGCCCGAGAATTGGAGAAGAAAATAGACCGAAGAATGTTAACAGGGCGGGCGACCTGGCAGCCCTATTTATCTTCAGTATTCATCGCTGAATATACGGGGTGCTAGTAAAATGAAGACGCCATAATTATCGTAGGTTATCTCATTACTGATCGCCGGCGTAATCAAAAAGAGCTAACTTGGGTGGTATAAAACAGGCCCAACTTCTCATGCCAAACCCCAAGAAAAAGAAAAAAGCCGCCAAGAGACACGTTCCTCATATCTTTCTTCATTCATTCGATCGAGTCCAACGTGATTATAAGCTTTAAGCACGACAAAAAGGGTCTGGCAAGGTGTGGCGGCGGCCCACTCACATTCCGGGGAGATAATGCCACAAGGGGTCCGGTCCCCCTCAAGGGCAGTACTACGAGTAACTAGTCGCTGATGGTTCCTGGCTATTGATGCAGGTTCGCGAATTAAGTTTGCGCTTGGCTGGTATTATGTTCCCCTCGGTTCGAAGTCTGGCGTTGATCATCGCGGTTGATGAGCCTGGTTTGGTATGAGTCGACACATTCGTCCAATGGTGTTGTAAAGCCAAGAAAAGGCGTGTGATAAATTTACGTGACGCCATGCGAAGGGTTATGTGCAAATGCGAGCGAGTTATGAAATGCAATGTGCCCGACAGTATCTCCCCTGAATATTTAGTCGCTCATCCGTACATGTAAAAAACCTCATGACATTTATAGGCTCAGGTCTAACTGCTAAATGCACAGCATGGAGGAGGTAAGTAGTTTGAAAGCCTGGCGCTAGGACGGAGTGAAAACTGGGGCTTTTGATGGGTTCTTCTTGGCGAGGAATTTGTCTTCATTTTGTGAACTCATTTAAGTTTCAGTGAATTTTATGTCAGCAAGAAATAGCTCCGAACTAATGTGGTCGTTGTTCTATTGCTTTCCTATTGCCTCCTTCTCCGGAGTCCCTTTATCGCTAAGTCTTACAAGCGCTAGAATCGGCCTGCTCATTCCCGCCGAGACTCCTATTCTTACTCTACTAGAAGTATAGCTGGTCATGTGTGGGGTAAGTTTGGTGACATTTTAATATTTATCTTTCTTATTTCGTACTATGTATCCTTATACTTCGAAACCGCAAGTCTCAAAATATCGAGTCTTTACGTCATACTAGGTTGAGTGGCGTCCGACTCTTTCTAGATCTGTTTTTGATTGACTAATGTATCACTTCGTTAAAAACTAGCCCCTCTTTTCTCAAATTTCGCTTCCTCGTTAATGCTAAAACTTTGAGCGACTGAAAATGACATCGACTACGCTTAAAGAACTATACTTGGACAATATATCTGCATCGGACGATTGGTAAAAACTAGCAAGTTATATCACATTTTTCAGGATGCTGATCGAGACAGTTTCCAAATCAGATATAGTCTTCTCTGTCGATGGCAGACCCAACTTGAGTATTTTTTATACCAATTATGTCGAGCAGAAGCTCCAAAGTTGATCGATGAATGCCATTGGTCTTGCCCGGAGGCAGCGGAACTGAGTCGACTTTCGGAAAAGATTATTGAGTATTTTTGTTTCCACCACAAGCACACTTTTCAAGTTCGTGGTATATCCGAAACAGAACGGGAAGCCTTTTGCGCAAATCTTCATGCAATCCGTCAAATACGGCACTGTGCTGTGCACCGAGTACCTGTGGGTGCGATCACTATCGCCAGATATGCGAAAATGGTAAGAAATATATTGTCAGTATCGAAACGCCTAGGAGGGACAGGGTTCAAAAATACATATGGCGGTCCAGTACGTTCGCAACCTGAGGAACTTTGGATTAAGAATTTTATTGATAGAATGTGTGTGAAAGCTTAATCAATTTCTTGATACACTCTGGGATGTCAAAGGTCACGGTATCCCACTGGCAGCTTCACAACAGCCACTTCAGCAGCCACAAATTTGCCATTGTAGCTGCTATACTTCAGAAGAGGTTGATAATATAAATATTCGAAACATGGCCAAGCTGCAAAACATTGCTCTCGAAAGGAGATTGGAAAATATTACAAGAATGGCGGAGAACATTGAGGTTTCCTTAGCACAGAAATCAGCGAGGCGAGCCAAGCAATCCCAGCAAAACGAAGAGGCTGACAAGAGAAGGATCGAGCGAGCGCAGCGAAGCCAGCAGGAACGAGACGAAGCGGAACAGAAACGAAATGAAAGAGCGCAGCGAAGCCAGCAGGAACGAGATGAAGCGGAGCAGAAACGAAATGAAAGAGCGCAGCGAAGCCAGCAGGAACGAGACGAAGCGGCGCAGAGACGAAATGAAAGAGCGAAGCAGGGCCAGAAGGAAATTGATGAATTGGGACAGATCGATTGAAACTTAACAGTGATAATTATAAATTTGCGCCATTTTACAGTATGATTCGGTGATAATCTCTCCTCATTTCAACCAAATTCGATCCCAGCTCTCTTGTAGCCGCTTGTGACGGCCCGGAGTGGATGCAATGTGGTCTTCTGATCCCACCAATGAGAACGACTTCCTACACGCTAGAATTAAAGCATTTTGGAGACCTCAAAACTCCTAGGTCCTCCGGAACTAGCTGGTTTACGTGATTAAGCGGCTGTGAGCCTAGCGTGCCTTCTGTATTCTCGATGACTCAAACCTTTGGGAATTCCGATACTATTAACTAGTTACATTAGGGCTAATGTGAACGGTAAGAAGAATATGCCTTTAGTTGCTAGCACTTCATAGTTACGATGACAGGATCTCCCAGTGGATACTGAGCTGCATTACGAACTGCTGGTTCCGCGCTCCCTTTGTACGTGTCGTATAATCCGAACGTATCGGCAAGAAATAGGGCGTTGAAATCGCCCTTTTCGAGGATCTGGGCTAGGTTTGTTCAGTAAGATAGATCACGACGTTTAGTCGCTGATCGATGGGTCGGGCTCTTCCATTGCCCGAAGGAGAGATGGCCGACGGCGAACATGTCAAAGCCATTGAGATAGATTCTTCGTTTTGCTAGTGTGGTTGTTCTAGTGGGCACGGCAAGTTTTGTTGCGGACTTTCTTGAGGAGTGGGTTCGGGTTGCGGATTTGGAGGGTTTCAATATCGGGTATGTGCAGACGCCGGGGACGTTTGAAGATGTTGTTGAGCTTCTGGTGCCAGAGCTGAGAAGACGGAGGCTATACTCGCCGCAGAATGAAGGGGGTAACATGCGTGAGAGAATCTACGGTCCCGGTCTGCGAAGGTTGAGAGATGATCATGTTGGTAGAACGTACCGCCATGAAGTCTACGATGGAAAGTAATAGGCTCGAATCGTGATTATACTATTCATTCATTTAAAGTTATCCTCCGCCTAAATATATCTCATTACTGCTATGATACGTAGCTCACTAATCAAATTGTATGCCTTCCTTCATGCAGTGTGATCCTAACACCTTTCTGCTTTGTCACACATCTTCCCCCAGTCTATTACCCAAAAATATTGATTCAAACTAGTGATCAAAAACAAAGTCCAGCCGCTTATTACCTTGATCAGTTGTTGTTTCCAGGTAGATAGCCTTCTCCTCCGAGTTCATATTTTCCCATTGGCCCTTTTTCCACTGGTTTCGACGGGAGTAGTATGTGTTGGCGAGCGCGTAGGCGACGATAGTGGCAACATTAATGGCAATCAGTTGACTATTCCCGCGGCGATAAAGAGGCTTGTCATCCTCGCGATAAATATTGGAAGATGCGATACCGGAAAGTTGGATGGTGATATTATATAGCGCAGCACTTACTGTTCGCGTTCGAACAGCGTTACTCAAACGAGAGCACCACCCAACATGAGCGGCATGGGGTGATGGCCAACCAAGCAGAACAAATGTTACTGCATAAAGACCCCAGCGTGACAAATCTCCAGCCGAGGTGTAGAGAATAATGAGAAGGGGTAGAGACCATAGCTGAGTCAATAGACCAATCACAGAAATCTTTCTGAATCTTTCCGTTAATTCTGTAACCCAGAGGAGATTGATCGCTGCGAATACAGTCACTGGAATTGACAGTAATGTTGTCTGGAATGTGCCGAATCCAATTGCCTTGAGCGAAAGAGTGAGATAGGTCTTTGGTGGTCCTGTGGGGATCTCGAAAAGAATGCCAATTATATAAATCGGCCAAAGATCATAATCTTTCAAACTCTGCCAAAGCATACTGAGTGAAAGCGCTTGGCGATTGTGCATGTCTCCCTTCGATGGATCGTCTCTGAGAACTCGATTGACAATGATCTTCTCCTCGCGTTCTGTGAAGTAACCCCCGGGATTCCACCAAGTCTTTGTTTGTGTAGGTCCAGGGACGAGAAAGAGAAAGCTCAAAAATCCAATCACAAGACTAATGAGGGCCTCGATCAGGAAAAGCCATCTCCATCCTTCACGGCCATCGACACCCCTCAAGTGTAAGACACCATAAGCAATAAAAGATGCAATCACGCCAGAGATAGAATCCACAAACCAGAACAATGCCAGGCGAAATGGCATTTCTGACTTGGTATAGAAGTAAGACAAATATAGAATAGTATCCGGGATAAAGCCGCCCATGAAAAGTCCGAGCAGGAATCGACATGCGAAAAAGCCAGCTCGGTTTTGCATGAAGAACTGGCCACCTGAGGCTATACTCCAGGCAATTATCTGAAAGGGTATCCATCGGTCGGGGCCAAGTCTTTTGCCAATCATCTGGGATGGAATTTCGGCAATAAGAAACCCAATGCGATACATATTTTGTGCATTGTTGTAATCATTGGTCGTAATATGCAAGTCGTCGAGCAGGTTGTCTGCTGCGGCATTTCCCAGATTGCCACGGTCGAGGTTCAAACCGAAAAACATGACCAAAATCCAGAGTAGAATTTTCCAGTCAGTTTTACGCCTGACGGTTCTTTCTTCTCGATAAGTCCATCTCTCATTTGGGTCGAAGTGGGCAAGATTTTCGTAGTCGGGATGCGGTTGGTAGAACCTTGCGAGTAACGGATCGTCAAAGACACTTCTAACAGTCGCAATACTGTCCAAATCAGAGACTTCCCGGCGTTGGAAAAGAGTTTTGTAAAGAGATTTCTGTTCCTCTTGGTGAGATGGCTCCACGAGGTCGTCGGTGTCAGACGATCCACCTTTGACTACGACATGAGTCGATTTTGTCTCGGTCATCTTTAACTTAGAAAGAATATTAAAAATGGTTGATTTTCTTCCTTGTTTGTAGGGTCCATAATTCAGATATATATGATTTTTTGTTGCATCTCAGCGAAGTCCATAAACATGGGCAATATCTGATGACCAAGTCGTGCTCTTGGCGCTCAATGATACCATTCCCTGCATATGACCTACAATCCTTCCCTGTACATATTCTAAATCCCTCCCAGTTAGAAATTTAGCCTGGCTTGGCACACTATAAGCCAGTCTGGTTGAGCGATCATACCCTTGGTCATCTTTGACGCCAGGTGAATGAAATCATGCTAGTTATCAGTTTCGCCATGTAAGCGCGAGTGGCGTCAACTTTCTATAGCCCAATGACACCCCCGTAGCCTGAGAAATTGATTATACTGATAGCCGAGACTTCTAACTTCAACAGGACTTTCCACCCTATTGGTGGACAAATTCCGGTCCCTGATCTCGGTAGATTGCATGAATTCGGTTAATTTAAAATAAGCATTTTTCTTCGGATGCATGGCAAGCTTAGCACAAGGTAGATTACCCTTGGTATCTAGAGACCTCCTTCGGCTAAGAAGTACTTTATGAAAAAGGTTGTATGTGGTGTGTATTAGGTTCGCTATTACGAAAAGAAATTTATGTCCAGGTGGGCCAGGCAATGCTACCTGAAAGGAAGGTAACCGAGGTCTTATCTTAACTACTTGCGCAGTATTGCAATAATTCATCCTCCGTAGCAAAATATATATCTATTTTTATAAATATTATGACTGGAATTGTTGGACTCTGGCTGGTTCTCTTCAATCATCTTCTATGGAAACCGGGAAAACATAAAGTAGGCACATAGTGAAAATTTCCAGCAACATCTATCTTGCTGAGGGTAACTAAGAGAAGTGGCATGAACTTTTCACGCATTTTAGATCACTTTTCAAGCTCATCAAACGATTTTCCATCCAATAGCAACTACATGAGATTCCAGTGGGCGAATTGATAAGGCTAGAATGTTCCCCAGTAATGCAAGTCGTAGTCGATCCCGCCTGGACGCCAAAGAGGAGCAGGGAGATATACCGGGATTGGAGTAGAGGCTATATGAAGTTAGTCAAAATTGCAAGAATCATGAAAAAAGCCAGAATATCAGAGCTTACTGCCATAGCCTGTGCTCGGTACAGCCCACGACGGGGTGGTTGGGGGTTCCCAATTAGTCGGAGTCGCAGTTACCGTGTAGCTGCTGGTGTATGTATATGGTGACTCTGTCCCTGTCAACTTTTTGATGCCATTGTTGGCGCCGTAGCTCTCATCACCAACTCCAAAGACATTGCTGATTTTATTGATGATCTGAGTACCCGATTCCGTCCATACGGTGAAGTCTTCGACGGTGACGTTGAGGGCAAATGTCAGGTCATTTGCGATGAGGTATAACGGAGGTCGATTTGATCCATTGGCGACCGAGCCTGTTTTGTAACATAAGTGGTTGGCCTTTTTGGGATTCGAGTTCCATGCTCTAATGCAGAGGGACTTACCAGAGAAATTGCGGAAGACGAGGTTGCTTAAAGCCACAGCACCAGTATCCGGTTCAAAGGTATTTTGCCAGTATTGGTTAATATCCAAACCATAAAGGCTAGCAAGGGAGCGGAAGTTAGAGAATGTGATATTTGTCACATATCCAGATCCACCGGGGTATGTCTTGATGAAGGCAATATTATTTCCTTGGATAATGCTTATGTTCCTAGCTTCCTTTTGGGCTGGTCAGTATAGTTCCATGGATTTCATATAATGTAAAACCTACTATGTTGGATATTTCGGCAGAGACGTTCAGACTTCCGATTGAGATACCTGAGCCAGCCTGGTTACAGACCAGGTTCTCTACTAACGCATGGTGTGATGGGCTTTTGATGGAAACGCATTCATCCCTGTTTGTCACCTAGATAGCTTGTGAGCTGCAAAGTCCAGGAAGAGAAAATTTTGATGTCTGAAATTTGGGCCAGAGCGAGATAGTTCAAAGGTGCAGGGAGAACAAACTTCATTGTCATGGATATAGTAGTTCGTTCCAATCGCGTCGATACCATCATAGCTTCCGAGATTCGCACCACGTATAGTCAAATGGTAAACTTCCACATTTAATGCGAAGTTGAGTATAATATGAAATTTGGGGCTGTCGACCAAGATCAAGTCATGGACAGTTGCATTGATTGGAGATACCAGTCTGACAAGTCGTGGGCGCTCTATGCTGTTATTGGGAAGTCATGTTAGCGACAGAACAGAATGGAAGGTGTGCAGATACCAAGCTTACTTATTGGAATTCCTGTAGATATACCCTTGTCCTTGAATGGCCCCAAGTCCCGTAGAGGAATAAAATTCAAAATCAACAGCTGCAAAAGGTAAGCTAATCGTTAGCGCTTTGGAACGGAAATGAATCAAATGCTTCGCATATCTCATACTAACCATTGACAATTACCAAAACATCTAGCAAGAATCGTTGGTCACCTTCTCCATTAATGGTTGAATTGATCAATTCAACACCAGCCGATCCTTGCAAAATCAACTCACGATCAACGGACCAATTGCCACCATACGCGGCAGTCACCAGACCCTCCAACTGAAGAGCCCAATTTGTGCCGTTGCTAAGAACCACGCTCCTGTTGAGAAGATAGTTCCCCTCTGGTATAATCAAACGACTACCAGGATGTTTTGTGACGCATTCTGTGAACGCTTTTTCGACAGAGTTTGATATATCTGTCGAATTGTCTGCAATTGCGCCGTAATGGAGAATATTACATTCGACAGTCTTTTCTTCCAAATTCGTGGTAGGCCCTACTGGTCCAATAAGTTGGCCAAAGGCTACCTTTAAGAGAAGCAATTGTGTCAATAGGCGCATGGTCGCAGAAATAATTTTTAGAGTAGTTGAGCTTGAAAATGTTCATTTGAACTAAATCTACAGTATATCACGGTTATTTTATACCTCTATCCGTGTCATATCTTTCAATGTTATATATTTACGGTTAATATGCGTCATAAATCTATCTGCCACATATAGTTATGATTCTAGGTTGTATTAGCAAAATCCAGACGGCTCAATAATCACGTTTCTCAATATCCAGTAGCTGCGCAGTCTAACAGCAACTCTCAAATTTCCCTAGATGAATGACGAATATTTACGACTTTCCTAGTCATCTGAACTAGTTAAATAAAATACATGTATCTCTCGAATTTATTTTTAAAATTCCCGATGCCCTTGATTGATTTTCCCATTTCGATACACTGTCCTATTGTGTTCAATCACGATAATGCGGGGCCCGAAGGCATCATCTGCACCACCCGCCAGTTCAGAGAGTTTTACCATAATTCAACCGGATTGCGCACTTCCTTAATTGCCCTGTTGGTGGAAATTCATCAAAAGGGTCTTCTTAGCTTGCGTGACTTGTGGAGCTATTTTCTTTAATTTGGAAAAGACCCCAAGCACTCCGTAAGATGTACTGCTTTCCATCCCAAGCTACACTAACCCTTTTTTTCTCGTTGTGAAACCTATGCACAGACTCTAGTCGACATCTAGAAGAAAGAAAGAAAAATGCCGGAACGCAAAAATGTTTTACTCATGATTGCAGATGACTTGGGGAAACAATTAAGCTGCTACGGAGCGAAAGGAATCAAAACGCCAAACATTGACAATCTCGCGTCCCAGGGAACTCGCTTTGACTATGCCTTTGCAAGTACAGCATCCTGCAGCGGTAGTCGCTCTGTTATCTATACGGGCTTACATACCCATCAAAATGGACAATATGGGTTAGCAAGCCATCGTCATCATTTTGTTACTTTTGATCATGTTGAGACTGCTCCGAGACTTTTGAATGCGACTGGATATCGTACTGGTATCATTGGAAAGATTCATGTTGGACCGGAGCCGGTTTATCCTTGGGAGATCAGGAAGGAAAGCGATACTCGCGATGTGGCATTGATTGCGGATCAAGCGCGGTCTTTCTTTGAAGAGGTTGATGAGGATGGTAGACCTTTTTTCCTGACAATTGGTTACCAGGATCCCCATCGTGATCGAACTAGACAAGGATTCGGTAATCATGGCCAGTATGATCCTCGCATCGGAGAAGGAAAGTATGAACCGGATGATGTGGACGTTCCTCCTTTTGTCAATGATACACCCGGAACCAAATTGGAGCTGGCCGAGTATTACAATTCTATCCATCGCCTTGATCAGGGCATTGGACTTGTGCTCGAAGCACTGGACAATTCAAATCTCGCACAGTCAACTCTTGTTATCTTCTTGAGTGACAATGGTCCTCCTTTCATCAACTCAAAGACAACACTATATGATGCTGGGGTCCGGTTACCGCTGATTATCAAACACCCAGAGCGGGAATCAGCTGCAAGCTCTGCTATGGTTTCTTACGTCGATATCCTACCAACAATACTGGATTTCGTGGGCCATCCGGCCACAGAAGACCCCTTCAAGAAACGGATAGGGCAATCGCTTCTGCAAATTATTGGCTCGTCGGCAGATGAGTTTGATATCGGGCGTGAAAGAGTTTTCGGTTCGCACACGTTCCATGAGGTCACAAACTATTGGCCAACGCGATATATTCGCGACAGGCAGTACAAGTACCACAGAAACTTGGCTTGGCGCTTGGATTTCCCATTCGCATCTGATATATATGGATCGCTTTCTTGGGAAGATATACGGAATTCAAACGAGAAAGAAATCAAAATTGGGCAACGGAAACTGAAAGACTACTTTTTCCGTGGACCAGAAGAGCTTTATGATCTTGCGAATGATCCGCTGGAGGTTAAAAACCTGGCAGACGATCCACAGCATCGCCCGCTATTGGATAAATTGAGATCAGATCTGGAGGAGTGGCAGCGAAGAACCGAAGATCCATGGTTATATCGAGACAGCGTTTCTGTCTGGTTCAACCGGTATCATTTCCCATCGGGGTTGAGGTTACCAGATCGTCTGGATTTTGATGCTGCCCGGCCTGGAAACATAGACGTGAAGGCATTCGACGGAAACGTATCTTGGGGGACAGATGTTACTCTGAAGGAGGAAACTACTGGAAATACCTCTTGAACACTTCCGCTCAAGGTGAACTTTGTATTGAAGATCATAGAATGATGATCGAATCCATTGGAATTGTGTCCAGCACGTTTGTAGACCCATAAATTGTGAAGAAAATCATGAAGTACAAGATTTGAGAGTAAATGTCAGAAAAACAATTGATAGTTCAAAGTATCGCAATCTAAACGCGCCCGGCGCCAATGTAAAGCCCGTATAAATTCATGAAATTGTCAGAGGCATATCTCAACCCGTCGGATCTCCCCCAGGAAAGCACAAGCCAATGCGCCAGAAATAATCCCTATGCGCAAAGAACAGTTCCCAAAGCCGATATCTCGCCGGAATCAGCGACCAGCTTCGAGGATAAAGGGGCGCAGTTTCATCAGTAGGTGTGCATTTCGACGACCCCGCTCCTCTCGGTCTCCCGAGAACAACCTGGTGTCCCAAATCTTGGAAAGATTCCTCATTTTCTTCCGAACATGGGTCTCCGTCCCCGTTGGGCACATCTTCGACATCCACGGGGATATTGATATCTTGCCATACATCTTGCAGCGATTCCGGTGAATCAGACCCGGCAATACACCTCGGATCCTGATTACCAACGCACATGTGTATATCTTCGACAGTGGGCGGTAACTCAGGGCGCGAAATAAAGATCTCACCCGCATGTGGCGCATAACCCCATTCGCTCAGAGGCAGTAGAGGTATCGGGTCATTAATATGCGTCATACGGCGGAACTGCTGGTGTTCAGGGTCGTGATTTGAATCGCTATAGTTCCCCTGTCCGAACTGTTTATCGAGGAAATCCGCGAATCCAGCGTTTCCAACCATCGGTTCCCCAAATGTCGTCACTTGCGGATTCCAGCCCATCGCTTGCATCTCTAGTCCTGCTAGCGCGGCTACAGCTCCGCCGAGTGAGTGGCCGACCAGGGTCACTTCATAATCGGGATTGTTTTCAAGCGCATCTGTGATGTGTGGGAGAACTGTTTCGCGAGTATTTCGCCATGCCGACATGAATCCGGCGTGAACTGTGCAGTTCTGACATTTCTCCGGCTGCTTCTCGTCTTTGCCTTCTTCTTCTTCGTCGCCGTTTCCTGGGTATGGCACGTACTCCTGCGGGACGGCGGATAAGTCGATAATCGTATTTGTGATTGAGTATGTCCCACGGAAGGCAACGACAATGCGCTTCGGTCCTGGTGCGTGCGAGAGTGCCACATAGCCGCAGGAATCGGACAGTAGTACACCTGTGCTCCAGGTCTGCCACAACGTCAGTATCACTATCACCGTCAGACTGTCGATGTGCCTCGAAACTCACCGTGATCAGCTCAAGATTCGGAAACTCCTCGCAGTGGCTGAGGCACTTGAATGGCTCCTGCACGCCGGATGTGCCAACGCAATAGGAGATATCTACTAGTCGAGATAACTCCTCTAATGAGTCAAATAGCTCGTTTGAAATATGCTTCGTCTCAGTGTGTGCTAACGAGGTGCCCCATGACGAGAATGCAAGGCAGGCATATATGAACTGCCTCCAGGGAGACATTTTGTCGCAATTGCAGAGGAGGGTTGTCGTGCGACAAGTTCCAAGGAACAGGCTTGGAGTTGGAGAATCCGGGGAAGATTAGTCATTGCGTCATGTGGGGCAGCCACGGGACTATGCAAACGGATGCATTTGAAGGGAAGGCACGAGGACTAGATAGAAATGCAACAGCAACAAACAAAACAAAAGGGAAGGAGGGAAAAGAAAACGACGAATGAATGACTTGTCTTGGTTTTGACCCTGCAACCTGGGAAAAAAGACAAAAAGACAAGGTAGGCACGCATCGGTCTCTGTGCGCCTCTTCAAAGCCTCCTCACGCTTTCCCCCCCGAATGATCAAGGCCAATACCATTAGACCATTCGGAGGCTTATTGACCAGAGAGACTTGTTTGGCACTCTTAACCGATGCTTTGCCCACTATTTGGTTCATTCTTGTCTGATGGCGCCGACTTGACCTCGCCAGCCGTCTGAAACCACTCCACTTATACCATACTATTTGGCTTGTACGAGAAGAAAATGAAGTCCGGGCATGATTCGCTTTGAATTTCATAGAATTGTTTATACTCTAAGGGGCTATTTTGCCATACGCATACACTGTTCAGGTAGACCAGATCACAACACGGCCATCGACACCGCTCGCTGGGATCATTGTTAGTATATTCATGTCTCTCGGAAGTGTGACGGAAAGCCTTACTGCTGAAAGACGACACCTGACCGTTCGACTCCTGGAAGACACGGACGGCATTCACGGTATTCTGGTGGGTGGACTTGAGCTTGGTGTTCGATTGCGCCTGGCCCTTGAGATCCATCTGGCGGAACATGTTCAGTGCCGATTCCTCACGAGCACCGCCGGCGCCATCGCCCTCCTTGTTCTCGAGGGATCCTGCCAACTGCCAGCCACTTTCGTCGCCGCGGAAGCGGAATGGTTCACAGTCCTGAAGTTGGGGTTAGTTTATGGTAATATCAGGGCAATGCGGAGACAAGCTTACATGACCAGCGGCAATAATCTCATTCTCGCCGTTCCAGATAAGGCTGTTAAGAGGCAGGAGACGGGTAGAGATATTCAGCATTGCACGAGGGGGCTGCTCTGGCGCACTCGGGTACACGACGGTGACACTGCTATCGTGACCGGTGAAGGCAAGAGCATTACCACTCGGAGAGAAGCTGACACCCTGAATCCAGCCAGCGGAGTCGTTCAGGAATTCACCACAGATAGTGTTGAAGGGGAGGCGCTCGCCCCAGGCACTGGGCTCCGGGCGGGTATCGATACCCTTGATAAAGCTGGAGAAGACGCGCGCGTGGGAGTCGGTAGAACCAGCAGCAAGCAGCACCGAGTTCGGGTGCCATGCAAGAGTCGTGATGGTACTCCGGATGGGCTTCTTCAAGTGCTTCGAGATCCACCAATCGTTCTCCTCCTCAAAGTAGCAGACGGCGATAACGCGGGCTCCAGAGCCAACGGCGAATTTCTGCTCCGAGGGAGACCAACGAACAAATGTAGCGGCACGGTTGATGCGCAGGAGAACCAGGGTAGGCTTCCAGCCGGAAGGGGTCTGTTCCCAGACATAGGCATTGCGGTCTGTTTATCGAAGGAGATTGCATTAGTTCACGTTCAAATCAATCGATTTTGGTGGTATGGTGCATACCCTGCGAGCAAGTGACAATGCGACCGCTGTTAGGAGCGATATCAACACTCGTCACAGTCTTCTCGTGGCCCTTCAGCTCGTCGCTCAGCGCGAACTTGTTGCCTGATGATTGGTACAGCTCCACATTGTTCTCCCGAGCGACAGCAAGTGTCTGTCTATCGGATGAGAAGGAGTGGTCAGCAATTGGAGCGTGAAAGAGGTGGTGAACTTGAGGAGCAGCCATGATGAAGGTACGACAGGAGGAGCTCTCTACCGTCGATAGATAGATAATGAGGGGGAGGTAGGCGGGCAATCGGGGGGGAAGCTGGGCGCGATGACGCCGCAGGATTGCTGAGGTAATATCATGGGCACGTGACTCGCTGTCTTTTCTCGGGTTCGAAAGACTAACCCCATGCCGCACGTCTAGAGCTTCGATCCTTCCCCTTTTCCTTGCATTTGTCTGTCAGCGTTTTCTCTGAGCGAAGAAACGACGCGCTCTCTATTTCTCTATTACAATATGTCCTCCCAAAATGCGCCATCAAAAGGCGCCGACGCCAAAGCGGCCGGCCATCCCAACCAAACGTGAGCTTTACCCTTCTTTGATAGCCATTGAGCTGGCATGGGTGACTAACAGCCTCTTTAGTCTCTACTGCACCAACCTCCCAGACAAGCTTCGCAAGCACGATCTGCGCTCCTCGCTATACACCCTGTTCTCCACCTACGGTACCGTCCTCGACGTGGTGGCCATGAAGACGAGCAAAATGCGCGGCCAAGCCCACATTGTATTTAAGGATGTTCAAGCTAGCACACAAGCACTACGTGCCCTTCAAGGGTTTGATTTCTTCGGAAAGCAGATGGTACGTTTCTCCATAAATTGGTTCGCAACTTCCTGAGCTCACAATTGTTTCTAGAAAATTGTCTATGCGAAAGGCACGTCAGATGTCCTCGCCAAGCTTCGCGGTACATATGTCGCCCCTGCCACAGAGCAACCTGTTGTTTCGAGCGACCTGCAAAAGTCCATTTTCAGCGGTCCTCCTGGCGCGATTCCCGCGCGGCCAGCGAACGTGAACGGCGAGAACCAGGGAGTAAAGCGCGCACGCGAGGAGGAAAGCGACGAAGGAGAAGCCCCGATGGATGAAGACAGTGATGTTCCAATGGAAGCCTCATCTGATGAGGACTAATGGCGCCCTCTCCAAGGCCATTGGAATTGGCCCGTGGGAAGGGGACCGAAGCTCGCGGGGTCGGATTATTTGCTTGGCGTGTCTGTGCAAATTGCCTCACAATGGCTAGCCCCATCCTGGGACAAGACGAGCTCGCGTGGGACGTGTAGGCTCACACACTGGCCCACCAGTCCGAGCCAGATGAGAAGATACGTCTCTGGGGTTACCGTCCGTGCATCTGCAATCCTTCCCATGGCATCCGCCGTGTTGCACGGGTGAACAAAGAAGGCCGGAGCGCCAGATTCCGGATGATACTACGAGACATGAGCCATTGAACATCATTAAGTCGACCTTTTCGTTTCGTTTTCTGTTGCGAGGGGAGGAGGGGAGGGGATGCCACCTACGCCGAAGCTGATCCCACCCATCACCCCCACATTCTTCAATTGCTTTCTATACGACTCTGGGACAAGGTACCGGTAGACTGCATCTAAACCGATGGGTCCTTGGTTGTCCCAGTGGAGCACAAAGTACAAGACGGGAACTTGGTATGTGGGGGAGAGCAGGATCTCATACTCTATGTGTAGTTTGGGATGGCCATCGGTACGGACCAGGGCTTCCTGCGGTGAAGTATTAAGCGGTATCCCTTTGATGGCAGGAGAAAACTTTGGGGGGCGGACCGGATCCTCCTCCTCATCTAGTGCCGAAGCGTCCTGTGCATCCTGTAGACTCGGATCCACACTTTCAAGTTCAGTGTCCAGGTCGGCTCTGTGGACATCCACCCGTCGCGTTATTTTGAGGCCGATCGCATTCTAGTATATCCAAATACAATTATTATTCACACTCCATGTCAGTTTCCTGTCAAATATGTCGCAAGGTAATTAATTGAGCGCCTCCTGCATGGCAAAAGGTAAAGAATATAAGGCAGGGATACCTGTGTGACAAGTCGAATAGAAGACCAGCCTCCTACTGCTCCTCCCTCTAGACCCTCTAAGCCGGTTGTGCAGGCGCAGGCTCGATCGGCCAACACTCGACATGCGTGCGCGAACTCAAGCGCGGTGAGGAAAGGAAAGGTCGACAAGCCACAAGCCATGACCCACTCTCGCTTCTGTCAGCTGTCCTCCACGCTCTGGACGGATGCAGTCTTGAACGACTCAGATGGAGTTGAAGCTGGGGCTGTTACTGGGGCTGTGAGTGTCCCTTCCCTCTCCAAGGCCACGCGTGCCTGGACGTTCTCGGAATATCAGGATATCAGATCTAGCCGAAATTGGGAAACGGTAGCCGTTGCAGATCCAATGGGCAGAGACGGGAGAGAGGGGACAGACAAGTCGATTGTGTGTTGGGGGTGGATCGGCGATAAATTGGGACGTCACATCCGGTTTCGATGCAGCGGGGGATCCCAGATAATGGAGAGGTCAGAGGTGAGAAAGTATTTGGTACTTGTGGGGAATACGGGTGGGCCATAATGTGGGGAAGTACCCTATACTTCCGGCACTTCAGGTCCCCCCAGCCCGCTTGCGGCTACACTCGAACCCACTGGCCTACCATCTCGAAATCTCACGTCAAGATCGCTCTTCTTTTATTTGATTTGATTTTAATTTTTAATTTTATTTTAATTTTCTTGCAAAGGGGCAGTCCCTGTTCTGCATGCAGCTACAATGGCATGGCCCCAATTCTCTTTCCCCGGCCTCTGTGGCAACTACCAACGCATTCGTCTTGCTTGTGGCCTCAAACACAGAGCATGGGCTGATGCGTCGTTGCTCTCCACTGCACTTATGTATCCTTTGTTTGCCCACATCTTCCCCCGCCCCTAAGCCCGCTCTGACATCCTTCCCCTCTCCTCCCCTCTTAATTTCCTTGTTTTTTGATTTGATTTTTATTTCTTGATTAATTTTGTTTTTTTTGTTTTCTTGTTCTATCATTGTTTATTCCTTGGGGACGAACCAGTTGAGTTGACTGTTTCAAAATTGTCTATACGTCGTCAGGCAACGAGATTGGTTTATTCCGGAGTAGTAGACCTGGGTGCTGGAACACTCCGTTTGGAAGACCCTGGAATATTGTGAATACCTTCCTCTCCCCCAATTGGTTTCTCTTTGACGTTACCTCAACCCTCAACACATCACACATCGTGTACCCCGGTCCAACCGAGCCCCGTGGTCTCCTCCAATCTGAAACCTGAAACACTATACTTCCTCCATCATCTCCGCACGGAGATCCCTTCAGCCGCCAATCGCACCGCGGATTCTCAACACAGCTGTGTTACGAGCTTGGGGCCCGGATCGATCGCGAAGCAATCAAGGCGTGGCCTGACGTCAGTTTATCCAGGATTCGATCTAATCTGGGGCGTACTGCACCGTCACCAGCAGGAGTTATACACTCCCGTCATCTCCGGCTCTATTGACACCAAGTTATATTACGCTGCTGCTGCTCCACCCCATGCTGCGCATGTTTTCCCCTTGAGAGCGTGGGGAAAACTTGATCTCATTTTCAGCCGGTGGCGCCTGCGAAGCCATGGGCAACTCATCCTCCAGCCTTACGAAAGATGAGACTCGCCGTGTAAACCGACTATCAAAACCCTTGACAAAGAAACTCTCCACTCTGAACGCTCCTCAACTTCCTCCTATCGAAACGGATGGTCCGGAACTAGCTTCGGGATTGATTGGATGGCAGAACCCATGGGTTAGTTCAAACATCTCCAAGGATTTTAAAAACAAACCTGCCAGAAAACGAGAGTCCCTTCCTGCTTTGACTGAGTCTAAGTCCGAAACTTCACTGGAATGGAATGTGACGAGGCACTCTGTTGATGTATCTCACCCTCAACCTTCCAAAGCTCAAGATGTTGAGCCTATCTCGCCTCTCTCACCTCGACATGGCTCGCTCTCGGCCAGTCCATCTGTAAGAAGAGCATCATGCCAAACGGAAAGTCTGGCTACCTCATCAAAGCAATCATTGGATTTGGGAAGGGGAAGGCCAAAGCGAGCGAATTCAATCCAGACTCCTCTTCAGAGACATCGAAGTGCGATCTATGGGGATAAGGCTCACGAAGCAACCTCATCCAATACTCATTTCACGGTTGGCAACCAACGCTTCTCGCTGACTCGTCGGCGTTCTCTCCTGACACGACCCGGTATTGCAACTCGACGCTCAACCGCCGCCGTAACACGACGATTTCCGTCACCAATAGGAGAGCCAGAGTGCTCTACTGAAGACTCTTCGGATTCAGATACGCTACAATGGCCACTGCCTCCTCGACATAGAGCTTCACTCCCTGTCTCGTCATCAATGAGACCAACCAGTCCGACAGATCCCCGGTATACCCAACTTGGAGCGTTGAAGCTGGGATCCTTGCGAGTTGTTAATGGCTCTGCCTCCCCGTGCCCAAGTGAGCGAATCCCACTTGGTCAAACACAGGTTGTCGGAGCTGGCGCGGCTCCTCTACATCGCCTCGAAGCTATGCGCTCCAAGGGAGCTCCACTGCAGATTCCTGCCGTTCCAGACCTACAGAAATCCGACGATGTCCCCGGAAGTCCATTCTCATTCGAAAAGTCACCAACCATCACTGTATTGCCTCGACATAAAACCATCTTCCCTATTGAAGCGGAAGACGAGGGCATCGGTATGTGCGACGAGGGCACTGGCCTTAACCAGTCCGAAAAGAACACTGCCACCATCAACCGCAGCACATCCAGGTCTCTCAACAAAACCGATAGCGGCTACAGTTCTGCAACATCCATGCACTCTATTTACCGGAGTCGAACGCGGGCCTCATTCGATTCCCAAACGTCTGGTTCTTGCACTGCGGACAGCACAAAGGGTATTGGTATTACCGGCGACGGTGCTAATGAGCAAACATGCGATCTTCGCAATGAGAAAATCCAGAGACATGCCAGTCTCCAAGAGGTGAAACCGGGCAATTTCTCTCAACTGTATCCCAATTCTACTCGCTGGTACGATTCCAGTGCTCCGTCCAGCCAATCTTCCGGATCAAGAGCACGTCGGTCGACGCTCTGCGCTCCTCGGAATACGGAATACCCGTTCCCTGTACAAACTGGGCCCGGTCCCGGTCCCGGTCCTGCTCCTGCTCCATACGCCTCCTATCAATCATTCTTATCGAGCTCACCATCCTCATTCGTCTCACAAGATGAGCCAACTCTTTCCACGCGAGGCCCTCTTTACGGAGACACGTTCTCTACAAGTACATTGAATGTTCTACATGATCATGATTCGAGCTCGACAGCAACGCTGGAAACACTAATCGGTTGCCAACAACAACAATCTGGCAGTTTAACAAAGACTACCTCCGCTCGCTCCAGGTCCCGAAGCAGAAGCATGCATAGCAAAGGCAGCCGAGCAAGGCGACATGACTCGATCATCGAAATTCCCAAATTACCCACGATTCTTTCTCCGGATCATCTTCAGTCTGAGAATACTGAGGAAGAGATGGAAATGCCTATTCCCACCTCCACCCGCGAGACCTATCGTGGCCGGCCCCGAAGCCGCAGTCAAGACTATCGGCGTCGCAAGTTAACGAAGACGCGTCCTCAACCTGATGTTCATATCACGACCTCCTCTTATGCACTTTAGTAATGTGACGTGAACGAATGGAGTTTTTTTCTCTTTCTTTTTTCTCTCTCTTTTTTTTTGGTACCTTTTGTTGTTTTTGTCCGGTTTTCACTCTTCTTTTGCCTGTCTTGTTTATTTGGGTCTCTGATCTACAAAAGTCCTTTGGCGTTTTTGGTTTTTTTTCTGCTTTTGATCTTCTTTTGGCGCTGGCTTCCGGTCATTTACGGTCATTTAGGTGGAGTCTTATTTGGGTTTGGCCATGGATATGGATATGGATACAGGGATACCCTCGTTTGAACTGAACTTTTCCTACTGTCATCTAACGGCGTTGTATACGGGCGTTGTGGAATTGCAATGAAATTTTATCATTTGAAACAAAAGCCTTCCTCTGATCTTATTAGTTTTTTTTTTTTTTTTTTTTTTTTTTTAAAAAAAAAAAAAGAAGGGTTTCACTCTCATAACTCGATTCTTCTCAGGTTCTCGGTTTCAGTTTCAGTTTTGGCTTGAGCTTGAGCTTTGTTGCATGCAGCTGTAGCTAGTCTAGTCTAGTCTAGTCTCGATCTGCATCGAACCCTGCAGAGGCCGGCCATGTGGCACTCTCACCGGGATTTCTTTCTCCCCCTGCCCTGCCCCATCCACCACATAATGTAAGGAGTTACATACATTACTGCATTTTTTGTCAGATGATGGTGGCTTTGTTCACGCTTTTATCGGGCTTGGCGTTGGTAGATCTTGCAGTTATAGATGTATCACATTATGTCATTGGAGAGAGAATTTGAAGATTCGTCGCTAGTTTTCTACATTTTCGACATTACTCGTGTTTGATGGAATGAGGATCATATAGTATAATCTATTTATGCACTCTTTAGTTGAGTTTAGTTTAGTTGAGTTGAATTTAGTTTATAGTCACTCCACATAGAATACGTATACGAGTACGAAGTACAAAGCCCTGGCTGGAATCGTATTTCAATCACTGCATAATATTCACTTCTTTAGATCTAGATCTTTCGTCTCCAATTAAAATAAACTTCAAATTATTTCAAATATCACATATCACATAAAATAATAATACAGGCTCTATGCAGAAAAATGCAAAACCCAAAGCCGACGCGCCCAAGTCCCGTCCCGATGCAAAGATGTCAAATCAAGCCGATTCGGCTTCGATTCCATTCCATTCCCTCCGGTACCTTTCGATCAGATCAGATCAGGTACCAGACTCGGAGTTACTTGAAGCAAAGTAGTACATAGGCGAGCTTCACAGAATCCGAATCTTCTTCATCTTAGGCGCCGCCTCCTTGGGCACATAAACAGAAAGAATCCCGTTCTTCAAATTAGCGCGCACACCATCTTGATCCACGCGCGTGGGAAAGCTAAATGTGCGCTGGAACTCGCCGATTGACCGCTCCGACGCCCAGAAGTGGAATTCAGGCTGGGTCTTCTGCGTCTGCGTCTGCGTTTGCGTTTGCGTCTGCTGCTTTGTTGTCTCTGCATAAAGCTTTTGCTTCAGTTGCTGTGAGCTGGTGTCGTCATCGGTGTTGAAGTCGGAGTCAGCTTCGTCTGAGTCATCTTCGACGGTTGCTTGAAGCTGGCGTGGAGATGGAGATGGAGATGGAGACGAGGTCTGCTCCTGGCCCTGGTCTTGGCTTTGGGTTTGTTGGTAGTTTCGTTCAGTGCGACCCTTCACGATGAGAGTTTGTGGATCACTGAATTCAATTTCTATGTTGCTCTGGTCTACGCCTGGGAGTTCGCCGTCCAGGTAGTAGCCATTAGAAGCCTCGCGGACATCGAAGGATGGGGTAAAGCTTGGAGTAGCAACTGCGCGGGCGCGGGTGGGGCGCGGCTCGGAGCGGTGGGTCTCGTAATCATCGAGAAGGCGGAAAAGAGGTGAGAAGTCGGAGTGAGGGCGAGAGCGACACTGGAAGAAGGCCATGGTGATTTTGAGTGGTGGGTTGATTTAGAATCAGAAGATAATTGTTCAGAACCAGGAGATGATTGTTTTTGAGTGATGATTCAAATTTGAGCCTACTCTTCCTCTCTTATATACTATGTTCACTATAGTGCTCAGTCAGAATGGCAGAATCCTCTAGAAGCGGGTCGCCCGTTCCACCTACTTCTCCAAGCCTTCACTAAACATCTGGGGAAATCCACGACGAATAAGGTGGCGAGTTCGATCATTCTAGAGGCTTTCTAAGCTCCCTATTATTAGTCATACTAGTAGTACTACAGTACTAAGGTAGGTAGGCTTGAAAGGGCACAGGAACCTTGTATGAATAATCTACCTCCATTGGTCATCTGAGATCTGGTGGAAGTTTCTGGGAAAAGTAAATCGTGCAGAGTTGAGATGTGATTGACTAACAAATCAAGATAATAACGTAATATACATTGAAGGGTGAGGCTAGGCTAGGCTTGTTCTGTCCTGCCGACTCTTCAAATTCTAATTTATCGTACAACACAATTGTTACATTGTCCAACCTCCCCGCTCACTGGCATATTGCCAGTGTAGGTCGGGGCCGTCCGAACAGGTCGATCAGGATATATCTTACACCCGCGGACTTCAGCTATCGCATCTCACTCTCAAGTCCTTGACACATACTCTTGAGAAACCCTCAAACCGGGTGATGTCGGGTACAACACCCAGAGCGTAGAACTCTTACCAGAGACCTAAAAGGAACGGGTTAATTGAGGAACGGGGTGACGGGATAGACAGAAGAGGCAAACCCACGAGAACCCCACGGAGGGGGGGGAAGGGAGTCAGCCACTCAGCTGCTTAGCTGATGTTGCGAATTCCCGGGGAAGCGTACATCTCCAGCTGGCGGTGGCCTTTGCGCAAGAGATATTCGACGGTGCTAAAGTCCTTCTTATTCACCGAGAGATGTTTTTGGAATTCCGCACTGAACCGCTTAGAAGTGAGCCGGGATAAACCGATAATAATGGAGGGGCCACGGGAAAGGATGGTGGTGGTAGGGTAGGGTAGAGTAGGGTCAGGGGCAAAGGGATCAGGAGTACTAGGTAGAAGACATACCGTGCATATCGCTTGAAGTTATTGCGAGAATCCTGCAGAGGGGAGTCAGAAAAGTGTGCAAAGTGTGGGGGAGAAACAACAAAGGGAAGAAACACCCACAGCGGGTTTGTTGCGGATCTCACGCAGACATGATCGGTACAGAGACAGGACCTCCCGTTGGAGACCGGAGAGTCGGGCCATTTGCAGATAGCTTCAGTAAAGATGGGATGTGCATTGGAATCCCCCCCCATCGATTGGGTCGTGGAGCTGGGGGGAGCTCCTCCGTTTTCCGCCGGGGGAACCGATAGCTTTCCGGCCGAGTGGAGGTCCACCATTCACATTCAACTTCGACTTCACTTGGCCCAGAAAGCACATATCTATCTCCTTTCCCACCCATTCCACGAATATTATTATCATCATCATCTTCATATTAACATTACCATTACCATTCTCGCAAATATGTCTACCTTCTCAGTACGATTACTCTCCCCCTCCCTATCAATCCCGAGAACCAACCAAATACTAATGAATCCTCCACAGCGCCTGATTCACTTCCTAGCCAAAGACGGCCAAATTTACTACGGCGACGCCATTCTCCCCAATGGCACCAGTGATATCGCCCATGCCACCCAAGCAAAAGTGATCAAAGGCGACATTTTCAGCCAGTATAGAATCACCGACCAAATCGCAGACATTCGCATGCTCCTATCCCCACTAGCCCGGAAGGACATCGGCACCGTCCGCTGCCTAGGCCTAAACTACGAGCAACACGCAAAGGAATCCAACCTCCCCATCCCCAAGTATCCAATTCTCTTCTTCAAGCCCGTCACAGCAATCGCGGGTCCGACGGATGATATTCCCGTCACCCAGCTCGCGCAGGAAGGCGAGGGTCTAGACTACGAGTGCGAACTTGTCATTGTTATCGGCAAAGAGGCGAAGAATGTTCCCGAGTCCAGGGCTTTGGAGTACGTTCTGGGATACTCTGTTGGAAATGATGTTAGTCACCGTGACTGGCAGATTAAGCGTGGTGGAGGGCAGTGGGGGTTGGGTAAGGGATTTGATGGTTGGGCGCCGTGGGGTCCGGGAATTGTTTCGACGAGCCTTATTACTGATCCTAATGCGTTGCAAATTTCGACTACGCTTAATGGGAGACAGGTTCAATGCTCTTCTACTAAGGATATGATCTTTGGCGTGGCGAAGACTATTGCGTTCTTGTCTCAGGGGACTACCCTGTTGCCGGGTGATTTGATCTTTACGGGAACGTAAGTATCATCCTATCTCATCCTATGCTCTCGATCAAAATGAGGATGCTCGAATTGCTAATGGAAGTACTACTACTAGTCCACAAGGTGTTGGTATGGGCCGCAAGCCTAACCTCTGGCTGAAGGATGGTGATCATGTGGAGGTTTCACTGGAGGGCGTGGGTTCCTGCGCCAACCGGGTGGTTTTTGATAAGCCTACTCCCAAGCTCTAAGTTGTGAAATCCCCCCCCCCCCGGGGGGGCCCACCTGTATATATGATATCTACCATGATGAAATAAATGTTTATGTTTAGATCTAACTTGTATCGTCAATTTGGTCCAATTCCATTGGTGCTCTTCGTGGAGGAAACTAAGCGTAGATAGTAGAAACAGAAAAAAAATAGGCATATCATGAGAGAATCTACTTAGTCTGAGCACCATAACCCTTAACTCTCTCAGCAAAAGCCCAGCTCTGTCCCTCAATCACCTCATTCTCCTTCATATCAATACCCTCCTTGGTAATAACCGCTATCGAGTACTTATCCATACTCCGCGCATCACGGTAATACAGGACCTTGAGACACTGCTTCAACGCATCAATAGCCGCCTCCTTGCTAACCTCCTCTAGGGGCATCTCCTCGGGGAAAAGACGACGCAGAATAGGAACAGCAAGGTGTGCACCGAATCCAGTAGCGAGATGAGGCGCGGAGAAGGTCGTTCCCAACAGATCCGCGGAACTCAGGAACGGCTCACCCTCGCCGTCGTAGCCTGCGACCAAGACGTGGTTCCAGAGCGGGTTGAACTCGGAGCGCCGTTTATAGAAGACTTTCGAAAGGTAGGTGTGTAGGTTCTTGGCATTGAGCATGTTGCCGTGCTGGGAGTAGTTCTCGCGGATATCGATCGATGCGAGGAGGCGGTCGATGTATTGCATGTCGGAGACGTCGCCGCCGAAGCCGACGATGGCGTTCGAGCCGAAGACGCGGAGACGCTTGACGTCTGTGAATCGGGCGAGAGAGCCGTAGGAAGCTAAATGATGGAAGGGAAATTCGATTAGTGCAAGTGCTCTCCGGGAAATGGCCCAAATGGTTAGTTAGGCTCGCCAGCGGGTGAACACACCGAGGTTGTCAGTGGCCAGAACGACACCACCGTTAAACTTGACGCCAAGCACAGAGGTTCCTGTCACGGCTGGAGATGAGGTGTGAGCCTTGGGGCCAGTCGTTTGAAGGTATGAATGGTCGTAGGCGCCGTAGACATCGTCTCTGGGCTGTTCGAACGGGTTAGCCAAATGGGCGGAGTGAGAGGGGAAACAGCTGAACGAACTCGGCCCCATGCTTCCGGAAAGTGGTTCATTGTGTATTGGTGTGAGGGATGATAAGACTCAGGAGAAGGAGACTGAAGAATGAAGAGAAGAACGAGAATGGGGAGATTGAACGATGACGATGAATGGAGCTCCGGCTTGAGCGCGCGCAGGCAGGCGAGCTGACGGAGCTCTCTGCATGACTAATCAGCGGTAGTTGTTAGTTACTACGCGCGCGTTTACAGTAGAGTCTTATTATGTATATAGCCAACTTCTTTCTATATATTGGATCCAAAAATGGGCTGAATCTTTATTGTACTCAATTTCGCATCATCTGGACCCCTTGAGAGATTTGACCAATTGTGGTTGTCTTGTTCTCGAAGAGTTACTCTTTCCGGAGATCTTCGTATTCGCCAGCTCGGGGCAATCATTTTGCCTCCCGTAAGGCCTCCCAAAGGGTGCTCAGCCTCCAAGAAGCTTAATCCGCCTGACGATCATGAGAGAAACCGTGGTCACGATGGAGTAGGGCTCAACGTAAATAGATAGGGTATTTCCCAGCTTGAACATTTCTTTTATTTTCTCTTGTATTATCACTATTCCTATTCCCCATATCCATTCCAGCCAGGATGTCATCAGACTTAACACCGGCACCATTTGCGAACCCACAGCCACAACCACAATCACCCTCGCGCTTATATCGCATCTATCGACCCGCTTTCCATCGGCACTATGAGATCAAATCCTCTGACGGCCAACTCTTATTCTACGGAAATATCTCCACCTTTAGCTTCAAAAAGCCCGAAGTGACCCTACACGCAGGGGCCAGCGATGCCGCGCCCATAGTGGCAGCCTGCAAATTCGTCAAATTCTCCGGCAGTTTCAAACTAGCGCTGGGCGATCCGGACGATGTAAATAACGTCCAATGGGAAGACATGACCCGGGACTCCGCCATGGCCCTACATTCAAGATTTCGATTCGAGATGACAGTCCCCAATAAGACACGGGCTGGATACAACGAGAGAAGGACATTTCTCTGGAAACGAACGCACAACGAGGGGGTGGAAGGGAGCTCGCCCTTGAAAGTGAGTATGCGCAATTTCAAACTAGTTGAGGAGAGTACAGGCCAGGTTGTGGCTGTGTTTAATAGCGAGATTTCTTTCTCTAAGTGCGGTGTACTTGAGGTTAAGGCGGATTATGGAGAGGCTTTTGACATCATGGTCGTGAATTCTTATGTGGGTCTATATGAGAGAGCGAGGCGGCGCAATAATGCTGCCGCTGGTGGTGGTGGTGGTGGTGGTGGCGGAGGAGGCTGATTTAAACTGTATCTGCTATACATGCCGGGCTGTCTCGCTCCCTTGGGATATCATGTATTTCGTACTATATCATTACCATTCTCGCTTTCTTGTGCTCTGCGCCGCAACTGGAAATAGCGTATGCTTTTCGGATCGTGTAGTCAACCATCAACCATTGTCGTAAGGTTGTTCAGTGATCCCATAGAACGGAACCCCAAAAAATCAGTCCCACATAAAAGACAGTGTGGTCAGCGTATCCCCTATCCACCAGTGTGTACCTGAACATTTGGCGGGGCCGAATCACTTTCGCTTGCTTCCAAGGCTGCAGGCATTTCTTTGGCATGCTCGGTAATCTCCGGACGAGTATTTGGATCATAAAGTACAACCGATAAAGGTAGCCGTCACAAACGGCGTTACCTTTCTCACGGGTGACTTCTTTTGTTCATTTGGCGCCCGAGCCAGATACAAATTCAACCGCAGACCTTTGGCCGGAAGCATTCTTCTCCTCTAGTTTCTGACGAGCATCTTGCTGCGCTCTGAGAAGTTCTTCCTTAAACCCCCACTGGGGTAGACTGGAAGGATCCCACAATTCCGTTGATAGAGATGTGTTATATTGCGATTGTTCGTTGAGGCCAGCATGCTCCATCATTTTCTTTAGCAGGCTGGGGTTCTTGAGAGAAGAAGAGCTGGCTAGTTTCGAATTGAAGTGGACGCCTTGTTTCTTGAGGGAGAGAAAGTGCTCGAACTTGGCATTGGCTGCGGGATTCGGAGACCCGGGGGGGAGAAGGTGGGATATCCATATTGGGCACAGGGGGAAGAGTGAGATCTTGGATCAGAGCTCGGGATGTTGAATATGGTGAAGAGCGGCCACCGGAGGGCTGGTCACCTGGTGATTCCGCGCTGTCGAGGGGTGGTGGTGGTGCTGGGCCTGATGCAGGACCGAGAAAGGGGCCACTTGGAGGTTCGCTTTCGGGGATAGGTTGCTGTTTCTGCTGTTGCGCATTCAATCCAGTCTGTTGGGCTATTTTAAACGTGGGTCAGTATGGTAATGCCATTTTGAAGCTCTCGGGCTGGAAGATAGGAATACCTTTGTCTGCTTGGTCGATCTGCGTGGGTGCAATGGGCGGTTCATTTGTAGTCTTCTGCATACACAGTTAGCGATATCTCAATTATGCGACTTGGAAATTCAAACCTTCGATTGGAGGGGTGCTTGTGTATCTTCTTCCTCGCTACTGCTGTCATATGCACCGAGATTGAGCATGATGCTTCTTCAGGACCAACTCTGTCCCTAGGGCTGTTTGCGACCGATATGTAGAGCCGTGATAATTGCGCCGAACTAATCCCCAACGGAAGAAAGGAGATTACCACGACAAATGTGCACAGCGGACCTTGAGGTGAATATGTTCATTGGAAGCTCGGGCTGCCCGCTAAGCACGGCCGCGGCGTTGAAGAGAGCTGGAAATGTTACGTAATCCAGAAAGGCAGCTACAGCACCGCGTCAGACAGCGGACCTGACCTCGTTGCTTCCATTCCATCAACGAATTGACCCACGACCTCCAACCGCCCTCTTTTCCTCTTCAATCTTCTCACGCCTAAATCACTCCAATAAACACTTGCTCCCAAGTTACCGGGATTCCCACCATGGCATCGCTCTTGGATCACTCAGCTGGCGGCCAGACCGTTGGATACTCCTTCTCTCAGTCCGCAGCTGCTCCTGTCAAGCAACATGGATTCTACCCGTACGAAATCCAGCCTTCGAGCTACATATGATGGAACATGAGCTAATGGAACTGCTACAGATACACCGATAACGGCGGCTCGACCCTGGGCATCACAGGATCCGATTTCGCCATTCTTGCTGGTGACACTCGCTCGACATCCGGCTACAATATCAACTCCCGCATGGTTCCGAAAGTGTTCAAGATCGGTGGCGACGAAGAGACCGGCGAGGGAGCTCACATCATTTTGTCCGTTGTCGGCTTCGCCGCGGACGGCAACGCCCTCAAAGAACGATTGGATTCGGTCGTGAAGATGTACAAGTACCAACACGGAAAGCCCATGTCTGTTTCAGCCTGCGCACAGCGTCTGTCAACGATTCTATACGGAAAGCGCTTCTTCCCCTACTATGTGACCGCCATCCTGGCTGGTCTGGATGAGGAAGGCAAGGGAGCTCTGTACAGCTACGACCCCGTGGGCTCTTACGAGAGGGAACAGTGCCGTGCTGCTGGTGCGGCGGCGAGCTTGATCATGCCGTTCCTCGACAACCAAGTGAACTTCAAGAATCAATACATTCCTGGTAGTGGAGAGGGACATGCGCTCGAGGCTAAGAAGGCCGAGCCTCTGCCCCAAGACCACGTCAAGCAACTCGTCCGAGATGCGTTCACGAGTGCTGTCGAGCGCCATATCGAGGTTGGTGATCACTTGCAAATGTTGATTGCGACCAGTGATGGCATTGAGGAAGTTTTCCACCCGCTGAAGAAGGATTAGAGTGGGTGTTTTTGTTTTTACACTAGCCTTCTAATACGAGAATTTACAACCCTTTGGAATGACCAGTTTAAGATAAGACATGTAAAATGAAATTCTTTTCTGTACTTTTTTGTACTGATTGATATCTTGATGTCGTCATACCTTCTCAGGTTCGTAGTAGCTGTGAATATGTATAAAAGAGAAAGAGAAAAAAAGAAACCCCAATCGGGATGCTCCTGAACGCCAATACCATGCCAGGATTTTGTTTTAAAGTCATTGAAATCAGAAACGTTCCTTCATACGAGAAGCAACTGTCCGAAGGTTGCCATAGACCTTGCCCTATTTGAGATATTAGAAAAATGATTCTTTGGCTCTTGGTCCTGCAAGAGCCTAGGAAATCTAGGAAAATGACTTACTGGAGGGCTACCCAGAATCAGGCTAACAATAGCCTCCCGCGCAATGTGAATGTTCTTGAAACCACCAAGAATGTGAATCTTTGCATCAGCAAGAACGACACGAGTTCGGCTGGCGTTTTCGATAGCAAACTTAGTCTTGCCGTCCTTTCCAGCAATACGACCGATCGCACGACCCAGATGCTCCCCGTTAAGCGTCTTCACGTCCTTAATCTCGAAAGTCTCCATGTAGAGATCATCCAAACGAAGCAGAGCGATAGCATCGTCGATATCGAATCCATAAGTGAAGGCGCGGATGAAGTCAGCGCCCTTTTGCAGGGCTCCCGTGTCGGTGGTGAATTTGGAAGTTCGCAGCTCGACGGATCGGCTCTTGATGTTCATGCGCACTTGGAGCTTCAGGTGCTCGACGATAGGAGGGCAGATCTTGGTCCAGTTGGCCTTGAGAGGAGTCATGCGGTGGGGAGGCACGGGGACCTTGCGGTTCTCGATGCGGTATGCGGTGTTGGTATCCTTCGCGGGGGTGAAGACAGGGCGTCCCTCTTCGTCAATGCGCATTTCATTGTCGGCGGTTGAGTCGGCCACGGCGTTGGAAGAGTCCACTTCGGGTGTCGCTTGGGCGTCAATCAAGACTTCATCGTCCTCCATGGCTGTGGGAGTATTAGCGCGATGTGATCTTAAACCAAGACACCCAAGGTATTTATTTCTCACGTACCGACAGCAGGGGCAGAAGGAAGCTCTTGAGCTTCCGCCGATTGGCGAAGAGCAGTTGGGGCAGGCATGATGTCGTTTATGTGGTTGGTGTTGTAGGTTTAAAAAAATGAGTGAGGGTCTGTTATCGTAGAATTTATCAGTGGCCGCCCCTCCGAAAAGAAAAGTGTGGGCTGCCCCGAGAGATTTTTTGGTGCAAACAGAGCAAACAGAGCAAACAGGGGAAACACCCGATGAAATCATGCTCCAGCTAGTTCGAGTTCCAGCCTGCTTCCAATCCACTTTCCAGTCAGAGCTGCGGCCGTCCCAGTTCCAACCTTCTCCCCAATTATTCCCCAGGATGTGATGGGAAAGATGTCCGCTAACATCGGACGTCGGCTGTACTCCCATTTATGGGAGTCAGCAACTCCCTTCTTGGGTCGCATACGCCCACGCATCGCGACAGAAGCATCATCGAGGAAGACCTTCGATTCTTTTTTCGCCGGTCGACGGCTATCAACACCGGCTGCGAAACCCACCTACCTAACAAGACGATTTGCCTCCGGAGGCTTTTTTGTTCTCGGTATCTCTCCTACATCTGCTGCTGCCGAGTCAAGCGCAGCCTGCATCCTTCCATCGAAAAAATTAGCGGCGCAATATGTTTGGAGGCGGACTGTGCACAACACGCCTAACGACCAACCTCGCGGAAAAGAGCCAAAAGAACCAAACGATGACCCCCATAATCACTCTGATGACCATAAACATACGACTATCAACAAGACCGATAACATACCCTCCCAACCCTCCTCTTCATCGCCTCAACCCCCACCTCACTTCGTGCCCTCAAATCGCCACTTAATGGACCGGCTTCCGCACATGCCGCATCTTCATCGCCCGACTAAGGAAGAGCTTTTGGCTGCTGCTACGGGTTTCTGGTCTCGGCTAAAAGTGCGGTTTAAGTGGTTCTCTATCAGAAGCGTACGACCATTCAGTTTAGACGAGATTGCAGCGCTCTTTTCATGGGTTCTCCTGGGTCATATTGTATGGGTCGTGGTGGGAACAACCACCTTTTTCTCTCTTCTCATTCTGGCTATCAATACAGTGTTTGCACAAGGTATGTTCATGGCCTCGAAGATCATCCCTCTCACTACGCAATTTACTAACTGAAGCGTGATGGGTAGAAACGCTGGCCGGTTGGGTAGGTAACTATCTCACTAAATCATCCGGGGCCAAGGTGGTCTTCGAATCTGCTATCGTGCCAAAATGGCGCGGTGGCGTCATCACCTTCAAGAACGTGTTCGTGTCAAGACGACCCGGTCAGGGCACCGGGCATGTTAGCAAGGGCTCTCCGCAGACTGCTGCCGCTGCAGCTGAGGCCGCAGCTCGAGGTGAACCTTTGCCTGAAGAATCAACTGTGGCAGAGGATGAGGATACAAACTACACACAATTCGACCTCTCCATTGAGACTGTCAACGTCACCCTGTCATTTACAAAATGGCTGAATGGGAAGGGTCCACTCCGTGATGTGGAAGTGAAGGGAATTCGCGGAGTTGTCGACCGTCGACAAGTCTACTGGCCGGAAGAGGACCTCGATCCCAAATCCTATCTGCATGACCATAACCCCGGTGATTTCGAGATTGACTCGTTCAAGATGCACGATGTACTAGTCTCAGTCTACCAACCCGATAACTTCCGCCCATTTTCCGTTAGCATCTTCTCTTGCGATCTCCCACAGTTGCGCAAGCAGTGGCTATTCTACGACTTTATGTCGGCCAACATGATGTCCGGATCATTTGATAACTCCCTCTTCACTATTCACCCGCGCCAGACTCACGGCTTCACAGGAGCCCGGTTAGACAATGGCGACGAGGAAGACGGAAAGCCCAGCCCATGGAAGAAACATAGTCGAATTCGCGTGGACGCGCTGAATATCGACCATCTGAACCGTGGCGTGCAAGGCCCCTTTTCATGGATACACGAAGGCACTGTGGACATTGTGGCCGATATAATGTTCCCAGCCGACAACGACGAGAGCCTGGCGAAAGTTATGACCGACTTTTACGATCGCCTCGAAGCAACCGTCACCACCAACCAATTTTCCGAACCGGTGTCGCAGCGCCTACACACTGACCCTGAGACCATGTCTGATGCTGATAAACGATTGTTAGCCATGGACTTGCGTGTCCATCTCAACAATGTCCGGGCCGTGGTTCCTATCTTCACCCGTGACCTTTCCTACATCAACAATGCGCTCATCCGACCCATCGTCGCGTACATCAATTCGAAGCGCACATTTATTCCCATCAATTGTCGGTTGGTCAAGCGCGTTGGCGACTTTGATGGAAGCTGGACTATTTTTGATAGCGCCTTGATGGATGATCTTTCTGCTGCGGTAAGTTACCTTCGGTACCTTCGTGTTCGATTGATCTAGTAAATTACTTCTATTGTGAGAGTTGTGCTAACATATTCGCTAGACCTACGATGCATTCGCTCGTGACGTGATGGACGACCAAGCACGCAAAAGACGATTCAAGAAAGTTGGCTTCTGGTCCCTTCAGCTGGCTGCTCAAGCCCTCTTCATGGGGATGGCGGGCAACATCGCATGATTTGTTATAAATTTCCGGTTGCCTTTTTACCCAAGGGCCATATCCATGTCCATCTTCCTGGCGTTTTGGAGGTTCTGTATCATAGCCTACTTTTTGCATTTTGGCGGAGTCGGCGAGCAAACTTGAATTTTCGATTCCATTTCTCGTTTTTATCTCTCCTCAATTTCTATCGAGATGTATTATAATAGTCCTCACTCATATGACGTGCAGGATAACTATTTGAATTCATATTGATGGGGTCCTGCCAGGGATCTCGTGGTGATGCTCGGGCCGTTTTCTATTGTTACTAGTAGTTAGTAGTTACCTCGTGGGTCCTTCTTTGTCTTAGGACCATGCAAGGTATGTATCTCTTTGTAAACTTTCTTAGTTTAGCTCGTGGAGACCTCGGAGCTTGAAGTAGTTCGTCACGGGTGGTAGCTAGTATACACTACTACTATGTTCATATATGCTCTATATCCATGCCCCTCGTATACCGTGCTGCAATCACACTTCTCCCAGCCACCAAATAGAATCAAATCAAAGAATCACACCAATCAATCCGTATTTAAGACCTTGGCCTAAGTGGATCAAACCAAGCCCTCATTTCCTCGTTTCCGGTTTTACCTGTCACTAGGGATCGTCACCCGTGGCTCCACCGACGAACTCGAGACTAAATGAGACTCACAGGAACCTCACAAACCCCCCCTTTTTTTCTGACCTTCTGCCATTCTCCTCCCCCGCCATCGCTGGGAAGAACAAAGCCTGTTCTCCTCGGCTGAAACAACCCCCCCTTTCTCTTGAACCTTCAGCTTCCGAGGACCCGCCTAGCTCACCTCCCACTTCGCGCCCGCCCCCTGGGTTCCCCCCCAGAGAGAGACCTCCCCGGAGAAAGAGACCCCCCCTCTGATGCTGATCCCTGAATCATGTCGCAGCAGCGAGGCAGCGAGGAAGATTTCTCAAGACAGTCCAGAAACCAGCCTCCCAAACACCCACCACCTCTGAATAGCGGTATTATCCCTCGTGATTACTTGGGATCGCGGTCGGAGGCGGCTGCGCGCCCCGGACCTCCTGGCTCTCGCCATATCTCACCGTCGCCGCTGCATACCAGCTCTCTTCCACAATCACAATCACAATCTTACATTCGCAACGAGTCGCCTATATCCCAGAGCCCACTCTCTCCTCGATCTAGCGCCAACCCGTCTCCTTTCTCCAACCGCTCGCCCATCTCCCGTATAGCCAATGCGCCATTCCCCGTGCCGCCATCGAACCCTCCCCATACCTCCTCCCCATCGCCGGACATCATGACAAGCACGGGACCGTCAGATGTTGCCGCCAGGCCCGGTGACGGTAATATTGCGAAACCGCCTGGCGTGACCGAGCCCGATCGTTCCGCATCGTCCTCTGTGAGCTCCATCCTCTCGGCGTCTGGGGAACGCCCAACTCCTCACCGCGTCATGCCGCGCACCTCCTCGATCGACTCCGCCATCTCCTCCTTGTCCTCCGCGTCTCAAAAGTCCACATTTGACGCGAATTCCCTGAGCCCCACTGACATCGGAAACCTGATTAATGCTGCTGGCTCCGCGGAAGCGGTTATTGTGCACCTCCTCAGGGAAAAGCACCAAGCAGCCTCCCAGAACTCGCAATTGTGGAAATTGGTCGACAAACAACGGACCTTGATCTTGGGCCTGAATAAGGACCTGGAGCGCGCATTCAAGGAGAAGGAAAGATACAAAAATAAGTTTCAGGAGCTCCAGGAGTCCTCTACCCCGCCAGTTCCATCATCCGCCGAGACCTCGGTTCCACGAACTATCTTGCCCAATAATGAGAATTCACCTGCCGGTCAGGTTGAAGCTGCACTGAAGGGCTCGACGGGAAGTCAATCTACTATTGTCCCACGCTCTGGAGATTCGGGATTTGCCGCTTCAAGAGAAGCGTCTTCCCCCATCACCAGTGAGGCGCAAAGAGTTCCCCAGCCAAGTCGCAAACCACCCCCAGCGCCCCTGAATCTTCCTCTTCGATCAGGAGATGCTCGCGCAGAGCTTGCGGGATCCGATTCAGATTCAGATTACGGTGAACCCGGAGAAGCTGAAAGGCTAAGCGACGAGCGCGGAAGGAGGAAGACCCGCGAGGAGGACGATCGGGATCGAGAGGTCGCTTTGGATCAGGATCTGGAAACTGAAATAGCAGCAGCAGGAGGAGCTGCATACGGAGCTGCGGGCTCGAGCAGCTCAAAAGACACTGCTAAATCTGCTAGCCCGGCAACCGCTTCTCGTGACTTCGCAACAAGATCGCCGCCAACTGTTGGCGGTCCTCCACCCATGGGGTCAATTCTGAACTCCCGAATCAACCATCCAAATGGACGCTCGGGAGCCTCCATGCCCAAAAGTCCTGGCCTACCGTTGAGCCCTCGACCAGAAGACCGACCCATCGGTTCACCTCGACCCCGAATGCCTAGAGATATGGCCAGTCCCATGACAGCCGGGTTCAACCATTCCGGTCTTCCTCTTTCCCCCCGAGGAGTCAATTACCCTGCACCCTTCCAACCGGGAGATATTGCACCACAGACTGGAAGACCTGGAGGCCCGATCCCAATGATCGACCCCACGGTGAAAATCGATAGTCCCCGATCTCTTCATTTCCCCGAAAGCACCATATACCAGGGACTGGTGTCTGACGAATATCCTGGCCTCCTCTTGCCGCCCAATGCGCTTCCCGTGATTCAAGTCCGAGTGTCATCTTCGCGACTTCGACCATCCCGAATGAGCTACATGGCCTCCAAACCACTCGATGAAGAGCCAGTTTTCACCCTCAGCGTAATATCCCGGTCTGAGATGTCGGAACTATGGCGAGTTGAAAAGGTGATTGCATCTTTGCCGCAGCTTGATCAGCAAGTCCGCCAACTAGCGACTTTCTCCGGAAAGCTACCTGACCGGTCGATCTTCAGCGGCCATTCTCCCGCGAAGATCGATGCGCGACGAGCTGCGTTGAATTTATATTTTGAGAGCCTTTTGGATACGCCCATGGACGAGAAAGCGGCATTGGTTATTTGCAAATTCTTGACAAGTGATGCCATTGAGCCTCGTGACGATGAGACCAATTTACTCAAGGGCCAAGGCCAATCGACGCCTCCGCCTGACATGCCTCGAGGTCCGGATGGCAAACCCCGAAAGGAGGGCTATTTGACCAAACGTGGCAAGAATTTTGGCGGGTGGAAAGCACGCTATTTCACTCTCCATGGCCCAGAACTGAAATACTTTGAATCTCCGGGTGGTCCACACATGGGTACTATCAAGCTTCATCATGCACAGATTGGAAAACAGTCACAACACTCCAGCAGTCAGAACCAGTCTCCGCCAGGCAGTGAAGAAGACGCAGAAAACCAATACCGCCACGCATTCCTTATCCTCGAGCCGAAGAAGAAGGACTCATCTGCGCTCGTTCGCCATGTTCTTTGTGCTGAAAGTGATGACGATCGTGATAGATGGGTCGATGCGTTGATGGAGTATGTGGAAACCCCTTCTTCAGACAATGACAGTCGTGGAAATGGACATTCAAAGCACCAGTCTCAGATTCAAGGGAAGCAGCAGCCCGGCCAGGGCCAGCCCAAGGGCAACCCCAATAATGAGAACAAGCGCCCCACCGGCAGAGGCGTTGAAAGTCCTGAGCAAGAACCCCGCGGTCCTGTTCAGGGTTTCAGCTTTGATGATGCCGTAGCGGCTGACCCACCTATCCTTGGCTCCTCTCTCGAGCAAGCCCCTCAATCACCTCGCATTCCAGCCGCCCTATCAACAGATTTCCGCGACCTGAACCAAGTCATCGACGCACCGCCACAATCTCCGAAAATAATCTCTGCTCCCACAAACGGTACCATCATCCAGGACGTCGGAGCATGGGGAAACAAACCAAAAACATCAACAAAGGAAAAGAAACGCAGTATCTGGGGTTTCCGCACGAGGTCCTCTTTCGACCTTGCTGCGCAGGTTAATAGCGATGGCACGGCGGCAAACATCGCCCAAGCCGAGAACAAGGAACCTGTCCGGCCCGTCTTTGGTATTCCGTTGGCCGAAGCTGTGGCAGAGTGTCCACCCCACGGTGTAGTGGATGCTCAATTGCCCGCGGTAGTCTATCGCTGCATTGAATATTTGACCGCCAAGGACGCAGCGCTGGAGGAAGGTATTTTCCGACTCAGCGGGTCAAATGTTGTTATTAAGGGCTTGAAGGAACGATTCAATAATGAGGGTGATGTGGACTTTTTGACTGGGGATCAGTATTATGATGTTCATGCTGTTGCTTCTTTGTTCAAGCAATATCTACGCGAACTTCCGACGACTGTTCTTACTCGTGAACTGCACCTGGATTTCCTCCGTGTTCTTGAACTTGACGATAAGCAGAAGAAGATCTATGCATTCAACGCATTGATCCACCGACTACCTCGCCCGAACCTGTGCCTGCTCCGAGCACTGTCGCTATTCCTGATCGAAATTGTCAATAATTCCGACGTGAATAAGATGACTGTTCGGAATGTTGGAATCGTCTTCGCTCCGACGCTCAATATCCCCGCTCCGGTTTTCTCGATGTTCCTCACCGATTTCGAAAGTATTTTCGGTGATGCCGGTGCTACACCCATCCCGTCTGTGGAGTTGACTGTTGACAATAGTCTGTCTGCGGATGATGTTCGCTCTCCGCGCCATCAGATGTTCTCTGATATTCCTACGCCTTCATACAACCAGACCTCGTTTAGAGGCCCGGGAGGCCCGGGCGATGCACAGCATGTACAGCAGGGCAGTGGCGGTTATGCTGACCCGTCCCGAGCTCCTCATCCCAATGACACGGGCTTCATATCTATGCAGCCAAGCTATGATCAGCATCAGCATCAGCAAACTGCCAGATCTGGACCAGGACCGGACATCTACAACCAACATGCAGCTGGGGCTGGGGCTGGGGCTGGGGCCGATGCTCCATTTTCTTCATTGAATGGAATGTTATCTAGTCCCGATGATACCCGTTCAGCCAAGACGAAGAGACGTGAAAGCTCAATGCTATTTATGGAAAACTGTATGTCAACTTGATGGGTTTTCTTTTCTTTCCCCCTCGGAAATTCTTTTACTAACCATTCCCAATACAGACGCACCTGATGATTACACACTTCACCAGGGCAGATAAATGACACATGCATGCAACACTACATGGGCAAAAAATTGCCTCACCACCTTTTTGAACGCACTAGTTTCCTTCGAGCTGTGCCTCTCCATATTCCGAGCTATACTCCCATTGATTTATTCACGATCTGCACGCGGAATGAGATGAATTTCTTTTGTACCCGATTGGCATGGCATGGCAACAAGTCATGAGGGAAATGTTTTTTTTTTAATGATAATGGTAATTAGGATGAGGTTGCAATATGGCTATGTTGACGTTGGAAATCTCTATTTGATTTATCGTTATACCCCCTTTTTCTTTTCTTTTCTTCACTCCTTTTTTTTCTCTCCTGATTTTCTTTTTTGATGAACTTTTTTCTTTCTTTCTTCGATTTACAAGTCTTTTTTTATTTTGGAACTTGAACCTTTTTGAAACTTGAATCTATACCAGTCTTCACACTTCTCAATATTGTTTTGTGTAGGTAGCTACGGCGAAAGAGCTTGACTAAATTACTTACTTTCATGGCATGACGTTTGGATCTTTGAGAACTTGGCCTGGCCATATTGGTTATACTTGATAATTCTGTTCATTTCATGATATGTCACCACATATGCTCTGGTAATTTACAACAACAGCCAGAGCAGCAAGGCGAGCATCCTCAGAACCGTTTCGACTGATCACCCCTCCAAAAACCCATAAGCTCCCCAGTTTCCCTCACCCAATCCGAAGCATTGTCAACCAAAGCCTTAGCCATCCCCTTATTCTTAGACCTCCCATCCGAGAACCCACGGCTGTGACCCATGGCACTTGCGCTGGACTGTTGCGCCGAGGCAGCAGCAGTCACATATTCCGACCCCATACTCGGCAAAACATTCTCACCAGCAGAAAGACTAACGAAAAGCGCAAACGGAACCAACCAAACGCAAAGTCCAAAGTAACTCGCAACTTCCGCGAAAGATGGCATATCTTCGTAATTGACGCTATACGGTTGGCGCCAATTGGAGTCCGCGGCGCGTGAGGGTGCGGGCGGGTTTGAGAAATGGCGGAACCATAGCCAGTGGTTTATCAGTACTAGGATGCATGATAGGATGAAGAGGGGGTCGGATAGTTTCACGATTGGGAAGCGTCGGAGATTGCTGGCGTAGACTAGGTGTGAGGCTATTCCGAGAGCTGAGAGGAAGATGGGAAAGCGGTCGATGAGGACTAGGAGGATTTGGATGGTGATAATGCCGTAGATTAGGCGGGTTAAGAGTTTCCGGGCGAGGACTGTGTGTTCTTCGACTAGTTCGGAGAGGTAGTAGAGGCCCGATGCTGGGGGTGGTGTTAGTTATGTTGTCTACTTATTTGCGGCCCATATGTATACTCGTATACTCGAGGCTGTCGGAAGAATGAACTGAACTGAACTGAACTTACCGATGGCGAGGGTGAGGAAGGAAAAGCCCACAATTACCCCGAGATACCCTACCAGTGGTAGAATCCACATGGTGAAGAAAGGTCGCTTGGAACGGGGTGGTGTGAAGAAGATGAGAAACTGGGGGGGTTGCAGATGAAGAGAGAAGGACACTTTATCGATAATGACGCTTTCGGCGGGAGGAACAATTTCTGCCTGAGGCCACCGCTCCGAATCCCCCCCACTCTTTTCGATTCCGCAAAAAAAAGTCTCGGGAATTTCGAGATCTCCCCCCCCAAACTCCATTACACATCTCAATCAAACAAACACAGAGACACAGCCAAGATGTCGCGCCCCGAAGATATTCTGTAAGATCTACTCGCAATATTCTTCTTATTTTCTCCCAAAAATCAGCGCTAACCAATCAATCCTCGCCAGCCCGCCGGACCTCTTCTACAACGACAATGAATCGCGCAAATATACAACCTCCTCCCGAATCCGGAACATCCAAGCAGACATGACCTACCGAGCCCTAGAACTGCTCGACCTAAAAAGTCCCTCCTTCATTCTCGACGTAGGCTGCGGCAGCGGTCTATCGGGCGAAATCCTCTCTCAAGAAGAGCCGCAAAACGGCGGACCGCACACATGGGTCGGTATGGACATTTCACCCTCCATGCTAGACGTAGCACTGCAGCGCGAAGTCGACGGCGATTTATTCTTGGCAGACATTGGTCAAGGAGTCCCCTTTCGACCTGGATCTTTCGATGCAGCGATCTCGATCTCTGCGATTCAGTGGCTTTGTAATGCCGAGTCGAGCGATGTCAGCCCCGAAGGACGGTTGAAGAGATTCTTTGAGGGCCTTTATGCGAGTCTTCGTCGTGGGGGACGAGCCGTGTGCCAATTCTATCCCAAGAACGATATTCAGCGGGGTATGATTAGTGGTGCGGCGGTTAAGGCTGGGTTTGGAGCTGGTATGCTTGAAGATGATCCCGGGACTAAGAATGGTAAGCTTTACCTGGTTCTTACGGTCGGTGGGGGTGGTCTCAGTGGTGATATTACTGGCGTTGTGAATGGGATGGATGATGTTAATGTTTTGGATGCGAGGAGGAAGGCTGCGGAGGTTAATAATGCTCGTCAGCCGCGGAAGGGTGATCGGGCTTGGATTATGAAGAAGAAGGATCAGCAGGAGAAGAAGGGGAAGGTTGTTAAGCAGAATTCGAAGTATACGGGTCGGAAGAGACGGATTGTTTTTTGATTGCGACGAGTGGGACTGCCCCGGCTCAAACAGTCATGCCCTGTCACTTTCGATACCCTTTTCACCCTTTCACTCTTTCAACTACACACGATACCCCTTCCACAAAATTCAAATTCAAGATTGGGCCCGGCGGTGGCTCTACTTGGAATCTACAATATCATGCCAAGGCCAATTAAAACTTGAAGAATATATGATTTTGATTTATGTGGACCGCTGCCCTTCCTGGGCAGCACACCTCAATTTACATTTACAAGATTACAAAGAGTTGTTCATGAATGCAAAAAAAGTTGTCTATTGCTGTAACTTGCCAAGGGACATCGCGAGTCAAATAGAGAAAGAGGGAGATAATACATAATTGAGGATGGGATCACACCAGTCTACTTCGCTTTTTTAACTCCTGCAGGATCAACTGCAGGGCGCAAGGAGATCAACCGGAGCAACACCCTCAGTCGTAGCGGTAGTGGGTAGGATTGAGGTGGTGGGAGGTGACGATGTCAAATTTACAGAGAAGCCTCCATCTTGTCGAGGACAGCGCGGGTGAACTCGTGAGTGGTAGCCTGACCACCCATGTCGCGGGTTCGTGTCTGTCTGTAGGAATTGTTAGAACTGTTCGCAAAGAAGAGAAAGACAAAAGAATCCTGCAATGCAATGCAAAACTTACCCCTCTCCGATAACATCGTAGACCGCCTTGGAGATGCGGTTGGCGTGGTCATCCAGACCAAGGTGGCGGAGCAGCATGGATCCAGAGAGGATCATGGCGCTGGGGTTAGCCTGGTCCTTACCCTTGATATCCAGACCGACGTGACGGCAACCAGGCTCGAAGACAGCAACGTCACGGCCCATGTTGCAGCCGGGAACAACACCGGGACCACCGACAAGGGCGGCACCAACGTTGGACAGAATGCCACCGTAAAGGTTGGGCATGACCAGCACGTCGAATTGCTGGGGGCGCGAGACAGCCTGCATGGAGGCGTTGTCGACAATCATATCATTCACCTCCAGGGTGGGATAGTTCTCCGCGACCTTGTGGAAGGTGCTGCGGAAGAGACCGTCGGCCAGCTTCATGATGTTGGCCTTGTGGATGCAAGTGACCTTCTTGCGGTTGTTGGCGAGGGCGAAGCTGAAGGCGAACTTGGCAATGCGCTCGGACTTGGCGCGAGTGATGATCTTCAGGGACTCGACGACGCCCTGGACGGACTGGTGCTCCAGACCGGAGTACTCGCCCTCGGTGTTCTCACGGATGATGCACATGTCGACATCCTTGTGGCGGGTGTTGTAGCCGGGGATGTTCTTGATCAGGGAGATCGAGGCGTAGATGTCGAGCTCCTGGCGGAGGGCGACGTTGAAAGACTGGTGGCCCGAGCGCTCGACGGGGGTGTGAAGGATACCCTTCAGACCGAGCTTGTTGCGCTTGAGGGAGGCCAGGGACTCTCTGAACAGCTCCTCCGAGTGCTTGTTGCCGGTGTCGACACCGGAAACATCGACCTGCTCCCACTCGATGGGGACGTTGTCGGCCTTGAAGATGGTCTTGACCGATTCGGCGACTTCGGCACCAATTCCGTCACCTGGAAAACAGCAAATATCAGCAACCATCCACGCAGTTGTACCCCGACAATGGCAATCATTGAGCCGAGCATTTATTGAGTCAATTCAGGAGGAGGAGAGGCGTTGATCGAACATACCGGGAATGAGGGTCACGGTGTACTTGCCACCATACTTAGTGGGCTTGAAGATATCGGACTGGACGCTGGCGAAGGCTGGGTCGCAAAAGATTAGCCACACAAAGAACGAATTCGAATTCAACACGCGAAAGTGTTTTCGGGGATCAATGGCATGACATACATCTCGCAGGAATGGAGCGACCGGCGGTAGTGGCCACGGAGGCGCTGCGAAGCAGGGTCTGAAGAGGTCAGTTACAATCGCGACGCGACAGGGGGAGAGCAACGAAGCGGTCGCCGGGAATGATGGAGGGATAATTCAACATACCCGGGCGGGCTGGGCCGTTCTGGAGAACATTTTCGAGTTCTTTGACAGTGGTCCGTAAGTCCTTGAAGTGGGTGGTTTGGAGGGGAGTTAGGCAGGGGAGGAGAAATGGGGCGGCAGGAAAAACCGGATAGAAAGGGCCCGGAGGGCTCGGCATCGCGCGTCTCTGGTTAGCGCCGGCCCGATCTTATCTACTCAGCATAGCAGTATACTATACTATACTCCGTAACTCCGTAGGCGTATAGTATAGAGTATAATATAGAGTATAGTATATTACAGAGTATACTGTAGAATATTGATTACTACCAGGACTTCTAATACCTATTGACCCCCATTCCTGGCAATTCCAGTCACTCTCCCCTTTCGGCCCGTCCCTATTGAGTCTCTTTTCCGGGCAACACCCGCAGTTGCCTCCACAACACGTGGACCTCCCCTCAAAGAGTTCCCTCCTCAATTAACTCCCCTCCAGGACTTTTGAAACGCCATGTCCAATGCCTTCACTGTCAACACTGTGTATTCACCTTTATTTTCCAATCACAGATGATATCTCAATACGCAGACTCTTAGCCTGAGCAGGTTGTCAAAGCCAGTTCAGGCTTAAACAGTCTTTCACTACAACCCCAACCGCCAAATTTCAATTGCTGGCTCATCATCCCAACTCAGTCCTCAATAGCTCCTTTGAACTACAGTTCACCATGAAGCCTAAAGCTTCAGCTCTGCTATCCCTCGAGGACAATATAAATACCACCTGCCATCCAGCCCATCTACTTCTTCTTCATCGCATCCATCCACAGCAAAGATCACATCTTCGCCCGGCTTTCGATCTATCCATTCTTTCTACTTCGACATAACCAATTCGATTCTTCCCACCGCCTCCATCTCAAGATGAAGTTCTACTCTGTTGCTCTCGCCATTATGGTCGCCTGTTCGACCCAAGCCGTCGCTGCCCGCGGTCTTCAGAAGTGGTGCGGTCACCCCGGTCAGGGCTGCTACATGATGAAGCGCACCGCCGACGTTACTGGCGACGTTAAGCGTTCCGCCGATGCCCTTGCCGAAGCTATGGCTGAGGCTCACCCCGCTGCTCTTCAGAAGTGGTGCGGTCACCCCGGCCAGGGCTGCTATAAGGTTAAGCGTGCTGCTCTCGCTGTTGATGAGGTTAAGCGCTCTGCTGAGGCTCTTGCCGATGCTATGGCTGATCTTGATGATGAGGAGTAGATGGTATGGCCCCACTCCCGGCAATTGACTTGACTCTAATACTAACTGTGTTTTTTGCAGTCAATCCATTCCCAAGTTTCCGCCGGTGCTGGCGATGTCATTCAGTCGGTGATAGTCGGGGGTTTTCCGTTTCCACTGCCCGTGCTTCGATACACGACTTCGCCCGCAGGAACTTGAAGAGAGGTTAGGTGAATACGTGATCTGGCCATGGCGCACGCTCATTTATCTTTTTTTTTCTTGGCTGTGGCAGCCACTATTCTATTGTTTCACTCTGTCTCTGCCCAGGTGTGCAGTGCATTTGTTATGATTTTGACTTTATGTCGATCTACGTGTCTATGAAAATTACAAAATTCATGATCCATGGCTGGTCAATTTGATGCAATTTCTCTCTCAGTAACTGAAAATTAGTCTACCTCTTGTACTTTGACTATAATTGTATAACGTAAATTACTGAATTATTATTGATAGACAGTTGAGTGTGTAGGAAACAGATATAATTGTAAATACACGATTTGTTCCACTGAGATTGTTTCAAACTTCCCGCAGTGAACTTTGAGCCTCATCGGTGAAGGCCTGTGTTTGTTTTACTATAATCTGTAAAATGGTGGGGGCCACTCCTCTATTCTGAGTTGATGTGTCTCCTCACAAAGACATGATGGTGGTATGTTGCGCCACAAACCCAGTCCTGCAGATTAAAGAATGCCCAACTCCGAGTGTGGCTTTGGCCTGCAAGCTGCCACGGGGGTGGTAGCATATAGTAATACTGCTACAGACCCGGCCAGGTTCACCTTCCATCTCGGAAAACAGAGAGATATTCTTCCAAGCCCTAATCAGATGATACGGTAAGAATCGCGCGTTTTGTACTTACACGTAATAATATCCGTCCCTATGTTATATATTGCAAGACAGATAGAAGGGTCTATTAGTACAGTCGGATGTTTCATTCAGATAGGATGGGTGGTAGGCTTGTTTATGATTATGGGCTTTTCGATACCCATTTCATTATTGGTGCTTTCTTCATTGCTCTACATAGTGCTTTTATTGTAACATCTTTTCTCAAAGTTCGAAAATGTATTCATTATGATATTTGGTTTGTGGTACTAGTACCTAATATCTACATAATACCTACCCTAAGGTAGTTAATATAATGATAAGCTTAAACCTCCCTCAAAATCTCAATTCAAATCTTAGAAACCTCGACCTCGACCTCGACCTCAAACATAAACTTCAACGCACAATCGCCCCATCATTCCCAAGGTCCGAGTCATTAATAATTCATAATCGATTCAAGTTCTTTCTCATCCTTCTCATTCACATCCTTCTCACATACCCCCTTCTCCAACATCACATCATCCTTCATGTTCCTCTGGTCTTTCCCAGGCCTACAAGCAACAATAAGATTAACGATAACAGAAATGTTAAACGCAGCATAAAAGAACACTATAGCCCAAAGCCCAACTTTCCTTTCCCTACACTGATCGTTCTTGTACGTATCAGTCCACTTCGGGATGAGCGACATGCCTTCCTGGTATCGACAGGAGGTTTGGAATATAACTGGGAGGAAGTGGAATGACCTTAATAAAGGAGAGAAGAGATAAGAATACGGTTAGTGGGTTTGGTCTGGATGTTGCTTGAGCTCGAGCCGAAAGGGGGAAAGAAAGAAAGAAGGGAAGGGGAAAGGGAAAAGATAAAAGGCACTGACTCGGACAAGAAGAGGAGGGGAGGGGGGGGGAGATACTCACGCTAAACAAATGACATTGAATAACCCCCACACATTCTTCACGATCCATTCAGTCCATGAGGGTGTGTGGGGTGACTTTGAGGGATCGTGTCGGATAGGTGCTACTAAATGAAAGAAGAATGGTTCCTCGGGGTCCTGGAGTATTATATACGTTAGTTAGTAGTTTTAGTTATACTCTTAGCTTCAACTCCAGCTTTAGCTTAGTTGTATCAAGATCAGACCAGACCAGGTCCGACCAGATATAACAACTTGAAACTTGAACCAGCAGGCCCAGAAAATCCACCCCAAACACCCTAGAGCCAAAAAGAAAACGAAAACAAAAATCTAGGAGAGACATACAATCGGCCCACGACCCAACTTCAGCAACCAAAACCATGATATAACACCTATGAAAATAGCAGCCAGATCCTCACCAGCCCAGTAAGACTTCCAGAAAGCAGTCACATACCACAGGGCCGGATCTTGGAGTCGGAATTCCTGGGCCACGAGGTGGATTTGATAGACTGAGTAGAGGATTTGAAGGGTGAAGACGCGATTTGCGAATTTGGAAATGTTTCGGTCGTGAATATATCGTTCACTTTGGGTGTAGATTGTTGGTCCTATGAACCAGTAGAGGAAGAGAGCACTGAAGGGCGGGAAGAATAGCCTTTTAAAATTCAGTTCATAATTCACAGATTAGGTTGGATTGGGTGAGGTGAGGTGGATGGACGGGAGGAATAGGGTGATGGTTAGTACTGACAAGGAGAACATAGTGGAAGGGGAGGGTCTCAGTGGAAATCAGAGTGGTGAAGTTGAGTATGGTTATAAGTATGAGGTGCTGTCTTGGATATGGATTTACAGAATCTGGCGCAGTTAGGTTACGAGGGGCTATATTGACGAATTTTTTGGACCCCACGTCGGATTGACGCACCGCCACATTGTGAATCCTGATGGTTTCAGCATAGCCGAATAATGACATGGGGCCAGAGCCCGGGGGCGGAAGATACTCAGCCCTGGAGACTACTACGTAGTAACTATAATGACTATAATTAGTCCTTTGCGTCGAGCTGGAACAAGCTTGGACAATGCTATTGTCTCCGGCACTATTATTATGGTATTACTCTGAAGAGCCTGAGCTTCCGAAGATCTGATTACAAGTTAATGAAAGTAATGTAGTCGCAAGAATCTCATTCAATCGTTTCGTATTTCAGAGTCCCGGCCAACGGAAGACTCAAGAGGTTCAAGCTGAAGGGGAGACAGAATCAAATAGCCAAGGCCAAGCCGAGCCAATATAAAGGGAGTGGTGAAACTGATTTCGATCTATCCTATACGTTAGCCTTTCAAGGATAGAATATATATTCGTTAATTTATTTACTGTCAATAATTAACTAACCAAAATTTTAAACCCTTCGTCAGGGCTTTTTTGTAACTTAGCCAAACTTTCATGATGTAAGGCTTCAGCTCCGCAAAAAAACTCCCCAACGGGGTTAAAGTCTGAGGGTAAGGCGGCAGGTACAGTAATCTGACCCCTGTAACAGAGCAAAACTATCTAACTTAGTCTGAATATAGAAGGATGCATTTTCTATAATAAGAACGGATTTTAGCTCTGGCTATCTCCTACAGTACTAGAGGAGCTGCTTCAAAAATAGGTTGAAGACTGTATCGGTTAAACCTTTAAAAAGATAAGATAAAAGAATACTATCTTAGGTATATACTGGCAGTATCTCATAGTATTAGCCCTAGTAAACTTAAGATACTTATACTGGTATTACACCTAGTAGTAACTAACTAGTTTACCTACAACCTACCTATTTATCACATCCGGATTTTTTAACAAAGATAAGATAGTACGAAGAAAACTCAGATAGTTTATATTCGTAGAAATCTTATAGTTAAGGATTCTATTCTTTAGCTTTCTGCTGAGCTATCTTTTTAGTCTAGCTAGTCTAAGAAAAAAGCACAGATACCACACGATAACCGTAATATATAAAACTCATTCTATAGAAACTTAGCTATCTCTTTAAGATAAGCTGGGTATCTTAGCAAGATAGTCACAAAGGATATCCAGCATTACAGAACTAATTATTGGTAGTAGGCCAGGAGGGATTTAAGGAGGATCAGGACTGCCGAACAATCGTATTTTCTTACGTATGTTAGTGATAGAACGCTCAGTATACTTTACTAGCTTAGCTATTTAAGATATAGTCAGTCCTTTCTTACTGTTTATCATATGTACAATCATCTTACGCTGCCCAGGGTTCAGATTTCGCACTATCTTGAAATAATTTAGGGGGGTAAATAGTTGCTAAAGTTTGGGGCAGGAATATTAGGACGACGACACCCCGGGGGTTATTATTTTTGGATCAGTGATAATACATAACATTTATTGAGCGAGCCACGTTTGATATCGGGACAACGTAGAATGTAAAGTCTGCTAAATCGAGCTCCTCCGAGGTCACCCTATACATAGCTGAGCATGTACTTTTGCAGGTCGCTGTCTCCGGGGTCCCTATACTCCTCGATGAGAGCTCAGTGCCCATGCTCAGCAGCCATTCTTTCCGATATTTGCTTTCTCTGTTTCTCCACAATCACATCGTAATTATCAACATCTTCGTCGGTGATGATGATGAGGTTAGATCCTTTTTCTTTCCCATTGTCAAAAGATCCAAAATGCCACTGGTTCCACAAATCCCCAAACTTCTTGTCCCATTCACCTGCTTTCGCTTCGTCATAGCGCATAAACGCATTCAAAAATTCAGCTCTTTTTTGGTTGTACGTGTGGTAGGCACCGAGAAATTGAGGGTACTAAATAGTAAGATCATAAATCATATATTAAATTATCAGGAGTCCTTTCTTGGTACTTACGTTCATTGGAATCCAAGCATCAAAAGTGTCCTCTGTAAACTTATTTTTCTTCTGGTCATCATATGCTTTTTTTCGCTTCTTGCTTAGCGGCGACAGCTTCAGCAGCAGCGTTATGATATTGCTCTTTGGCATTGTTAACACGAGCTTCATCAGCCATGGTGGAGAACGCCGGTTGATGATTGGAGGAAGAGTATGGTATGGTATGATAAGAGGTCTTCAAGGATTGAAGGTAGAATGTTTGGTAAATAATACAGGGGGGGAGGGACCACTTTTATAGCTCGAGGTTCTATCTGTTTACCCATGACGTTTGTATAGTTGAGCTATTCCAAAAGGTGGGCCTTGTGCTGTATTGTTCAGTTCATTTGCATGGCTAGCTGAACTTAGCACATCACTTCCAAATTAAGCATTAGTGTGCTCGACTTCGGGATTGCGGGGTGCCCAGGTGCAAGATTAAAAAATGCCTTCTCACACGTAGAGTACCCATGTGCGAATAAGCCACCCCATCAAAAATGCCCCGGCCTCGCCATCTTATGTATGTTCCCATTAAGCAAAATTTGATTGCTCATTTTAAGCAGATTATTGACCAAACACACTAAAGAAACACAATAAAAGTAAACCTATCTTGATGGGGCAAATATGTAAAAGTTAAACGATATACATAGAGGGGCTTGCAGATGATGTCACTGAGCGAACCGAGCCATCACGGCTCCAATGTTAGATACTTACCTGTAAGCAAAATACAAACTCACCAATATCAATCAAGCCAGAATTAGTTGTCCCAAGTTACGCGTCAAGATAAAATATATACCTGGTGAAGAGAGTTCGAGTTGCAAATCTTAACTTGAAAATTGTAGGCTGGAGCAGGTCTGTCGCTGAGTACCACAAGTGGGAGATCAAGAGCCGGGGTAGCTGAAATACCAATGCGTTGTGCGCTTAATACTGGCAATGATTTGACCAGATGGATAAGGTGTGGCTCAGAGCTGATCAGCTGAAAAGGTGGGGTGGTCGCTGGTGTGCATAGTGGGGGGAGCTGAAAACAACACCCACCGCTTTCTTCAGCGTATATCAAGACTTCACGTAGGTGGTCATTATTTTCCTCCTTTTTTTTCTTATCTTCCATTCTCTTCTCTCGAATAATCATCTTACGAAGTACTACATATACGGATTACACCAGTAATCAAAATTAACGCCACAATGCCTGTGAGTATAACCCAATGTTAAACAAACTATTGCTATGGATATCTCCACTAACTATTAAATTAGAACCAATTTGTCCATCTTCCATTTCATTTCCATTTCCATTACCACATGGTCTTACGCAGATTCTACGGCTTTATACTGACTGTCTTCCTCTACTTTAGCTTGTCATCGTCAGCACCCTCGAGCCTGCCTCTCCCCTCGCTGAACCTGGAGATACGTGAGCCTTCTACAAACACCAGATACCAGGGGTCAAATTCTCTAATAAGCCGCATCGATAGAAAGAGTCCTGTTATCAACGCTATCACCGAAGCACTGTCCGGACTTGGTGCTGAATTGCAAAGCGCTGAACATCAGCAATTTTCAGATACCTTCCCTCCCACTTATCTTGTGATGTAAGTTGTATTGCAATTGTTGATTATTTATAAGTAAGATAAGGATCTTGGTTAACTGTAACACTGTTGCACAGTGTGGAAACGTCTGGAGTTGATCAAGAAGAATTTGAGAAAGCACTCCAGCTCGTCTGGCCCGAGGGGCAGCCTTATGGGGATGATGCCATCCCCCCCCGTTGATATTGTTATCGAGTCCAATGACTATTAGTGAATAGTATGAATACACAAGAGCGAATTCTCTTATTCGATTGATATAGTTGGTTCGGGTTCTATAAATGTAGCATCCTGCAGTTCCAATAATGTGGTTTAGATACTATAGTCTGAGCTACTGAGACAACACTAAGTAAACTACTCTCTGAGTGACTACGGAGATTCCTTAGATCCTGCCTATCGTGATTAAAACATGTCTGGTCTAGAATGGTCATCTCCTACCTAAAGTGGCTTATGTATAGTTAATAACATATGTCCCGAGGAGGGGAGTGGGGGTGTAGGTAAGCATAATAGTTAAAATATTATGTGAATAACATGGGTATATTCCAGACTGATACTTGGATAGTAATCATATGATTTACAATACTATAAAATCATATATAAAGACACGGTTTGTTCATCACTAATAATCGTTTCATGAATCAACATGAGAGTATTACCCACTACTATAATAGTTCGCTAATCTACAGTACACCCCCGAAACCAATGAGACTGGCAAGACTTGCCGTATAGTCTAGTGTTTCTTGGCATTAGGGCTTGAGAAACAATAAAAGAGAGAAGATGGCGACACCGATTTCCGGAAATACTGTATGATTTTGACTTTATGTCGATCTACGTATCTTTGAAAATTACAAAATTCATGATCCATGGCTGGTCAATTTGATGCAATTTCTCTCTCAGTAACTTAAAATTAGTCTACCTCTTATACTTTGACTATATGATCGAGTAAAAATAATTGTAAGCGAAGTCGTCAAGAACAAACCCTCCTTCTGGTCATGGTCAGATCAGTGGAAACACCGTTGCGGTTGCCATGTCGAGTTCGAGTTCGAGTTCGAGTAATGCCGACTCCGCTCTTCGAATAACCCATACTGCGACTCCATGGAACTAGTCCGCGGCATCTCCCACCACTCCTGTGCTCCTCTGTATACCGGATCTGTAGACGAGTCGTAGGGCTTTCCGGTCGATGGCTCCACGGCGGTAGTAGGAGTAGTAGTATCCTGCGCTTCCACTGCTTCCACTCCATAACCGGAAGTCATGTAGGGCTCTGCATGTTCGCCATGATATTCCACAAACTCCGCCATTGAGTCGTCGTTCATCTCAAGATCCAGGGATGAAGATGATTGCGGTGTGCTATAGAACTGCCAAGTCTGTATCAACCGCCTTTGCTGGGCAGCATCCGCATTTTTGAATAGTTCGAGCTGGGCCATGGAAAAGGTAGCGGGGTCTAATCCATGGTGACGGAGAACGGCATGGATATCCTGCACCATCAGCGCCATTGAATCTGCTTGGCTGTTTGCTTGCATGTTCGAGGTAGTTGGGGCCGATGAAGCTACGTGCGCTGAATGGTTGTAGTGCTGGGTGATGCTATAGGAGAGGTTCGGTTGGGATATCGGTTGGGGGGGCTACCGGGATAGCTTCGTAATTATCGTTACGAGGAGGGGTTGGAGCAGGGGCCATCGTCATGGACATCTGGCGGTCAAACAACATGGCCAACTCGTCCTGGATCTTGCTGCTGCTTTCCGATGCCGACATTCCGCACTAAAACAAAGACGTTCCTTGTCAGGCGTTGTGTCCCATGGTCACAGGGGTAGAGTCAGAGTAAGTCAGGAGACTACCTGGGTACAATGAGGATTCTCGATAAAAGCAGCCAAAGACTGAGAGATATCCGAGATATGGCCGCAAGAGGGACACTGGTGTAAAATCGAAGAAGACATGGCGGTCAAGTTTGTGTCTTAAAAAAAAAAAAAAAAAGAATACACGATCGATGGTAAAAGGGATATCGTAGAGAGATGAGAATAGATAGATGTAAACAGTACAGAATACCGGAAAACACAGTCCTGCTGTGAATAGATGCAAGTATCTGAATGTGTACTCAAAGCCGGGGGGAGAGATGTGTGCAAGAGCAAACAAGAATGAGTATTTATAAAATCTAAACCCCCCTCCATTGCCCCCCCTCCATCCCCGCTAGATGCCTAAGAAAGTGACCATTTCCCCGTTGGGCCGCGCTTGTCCAATCACCCGGTCACATGACCAGGCAACCCCGTGACGCAAGCTGTCGGCCCCAGCAGCTCTGGCTTTGGCTCTGGCTATCTTCCATCATCGCGTCCTTCTCCTTCCTAGCTCCATTGTTTCCCACTTTCACGCCCGATACACTTTAGGAGCTCTTTCACATTTCATACATTCACGATCATGGTTTGTTTACTCGTTTGGGGTTTGGTTGGAGGTTTGAGCTTTCATAAACTAACAAGGCCGGTAGACGTCAATTGGTACGGGCTACGACCTTTCCAACTCGGTCTTTTCGCCTGATGGCCGCAATTTCCAGGTAAGGAATCGCTATCTTAGGTTCTCCAGCAATGAGCCAGCTCGATGGAAGCTCTTGCAGCTAACGATGGTTCCTTCCCCCAGGTTGAATATGCCGTCAAGGCTGTCGAGAACGGAGGCACAGCTGTCGGCATCCGATGCAAGGACGGTGTTGTGTTGGCAGTGGAAAAGATCATCACTAGCAAGCTCCTGAAGCCCGGTGCCAATAAGAGAATCGCGACGGTGGATCGTCATGTCGGAATTGTAAGCTCGATTCCTCTCCCCCAGCTCTAGAAGAGTCCCCGTCACCAGCTGGAGCCTTACTTATCTTACGAATTCAATCTAACCTGCATTTCCCACACCCAGGTATCCGCCGGCCTCGTCCCTGATGGCCGTCATTTCGTTTCCAGAGCCCGAGACGAAGCTTCCTCCTGGAGAGGCGTCTACAAGGGTCCCATCCCGACCTCCGCACTCGCCAACCGCCTCGGCGGCTACGTACAAGCCTACACACTTTACTCAAGTGTACGACCATTCGGAACAACCGCCATCGTCGCTGGTTGGGATAGCGAGGCAGAACTAGCGGTCGATGGCCAGGTCGGCACGGGTCCATCTTCTGGTTCAGGCGGCAAGGTTGAGGGTGCTAAGGGTGGTGGTCCGGGACTATACATGATTGAGCCTAGTGGACTCTATTGGGTAAGCAGCGCCAGCGCCCCCCCCCCTTTATCACCCAAACCCCGACTATCCCTGCCGGGGGTACGGGTGCTTCTTGATTAATACGATACTGACGAATATGTGTTTAGGGTTATTACGGCGCAGCAACCGGCAAAGGCCGACAAGCCGCCAAAGCCGAATTGGAAAAACTCGACCTAAGCTCGGGTAACCTCTCCCTAGCGGACGGAGTAAAGGAAGCTGCTCGGATCATCTACGTCGCGCACGAGGATAGCAAGGACAAGGAATTCGAGCTCGAGATGTCATGGATCTCCTCGGTTGATGGGCCCACCAAGGGTCGTCATGAGGAGGTTCCTAAGGAATTGCATGAGGAGGCGGAGAAGGCTGCGAAAAGGGCTTTGGAGGGTGAGGATGAGGAGGAGGAAGAGAAGATGGAGGAGTAAGCGTGTAATAGATAGAATCTTGCGCGAATATTTTAATCTGATGAATTCGATTCGATTCGATTCGAGAGAGTACGCTGTTTAATTCACCTAGCCGGTGTACTGTGCAAGCTTGATCATTTGTCAACAAAACTGCTTGGCCAGCCCAGACCAGCCCCAGCCAGGGTTTGTAGATTTTAGATTTTAGTTAATCTTCCCCTCCAACCACTCCCTCCTCTTAACGCCAAGTTCAACAGCCGCACTGCCCCAATCCTCACCATGATTATGCATCCCACTACTAGCCACCAGACCCGCACGCTCAAGACCCTGCTCCTCAGTGAGAACAGTCAAAAGGCCGAAGATTACGGGAACCCCGGAATCAAGCTGCACTCGCATGAGTCCATGACTAACCGCGTCGGCAATATACTCGAAATGCATGGTTGATCCCTTAATCAGTACACCAATGGCAATGATAGCGTCGAAGGCCTTTTGCGGCGTGGCAGTGGTAGTCGGGCTCGACTTTAGGTCCGTGGTGCTGGATGAGAGGAGGTCGGAGGCGCTAATGCCTTGGCCGGCGGAGGCTTGGACTTGGGATGCTGCGTAGAGGCTGAAGGAATGACAATTAATTAACTGTCTTTCTTCTTTGTTTTTCAATGATGAGGGTAAATGGAGCTGGGCTGGGCTGGCGAGCTTAAAACTTACCGCTGCACACCAATAGGCAATTCATAACTACCAGGAACAGTCTCGACAGTGATATTTTCCTCTGTCACACCCGCAGCCAAGAGTTGCTTCTTTGCGCCAGCGACAAGCGCGTCGATGATTTTCTCATTCCATCTGGCGTGCACAATTGCGACGCGCAGACCAGTTCCTATATCAATCGAAAACAGTCAGTAGGTGCGGTGTGGTGCGGTGCGGGGACGAATGACAAATGACGTCTCCCCGCTGAAGGTATCGCGTACCGTCGTGGGTCTGAGCTGCTCCGGGGCCTTTGATGGGTGTCATTGTAGATTGAAGATGAGATTGTGATTGTGATTGTAGATTATGGCGACTGGTTGTGGCTGGATCAGAGCAGAGTGGGTTTATAAAGCACAAGGGAAGGGGGGGGATGAAAACATCCGTCCCGCATTTGGCGGGGAAGGCGGAAACGCGCATGTGGCCGAAGACGGCAAAATAGAGTGGCTACAGTACAGTACTGGGACGACATTTCATCCTTATTCTTTACGCTACTTCGGTACTATAATAAGCTTTGCTTCATCAAGGGGGTTTTCTGGAGAACAAAAAGAAATTTGAATTTGGAATAAGACAGCAAAGCTAAGAAACACCTAAAGATATCAAGATCATCGCAGTCGTTTACTCCAGGAGGAAGGCCTCTTTCTACCATCTTTCTACCCATGTTTATTCGACAGTAACCGACTTGGCCAGGTTACGAGGGAAATCAACGTTGAGACCCTCGCCGACGGCGAGCCAGTAGGAAACCAGCTGCAGGGGAATAACATTCAACAGACCCTGAAGGCAGTCGACGGTCTTGGGGACGGCGATCTTCTCGGTCTGTGCGGCAGAGAACTCGGGGTCGTCGGGGTTGCAGATGACAATGGGACGGCCACCACGAGCAATGACTAAATAAAATGTTAGCTGAGGATTCTCGGAAGATGACTATCTTTCGTAATGGCTTGTACTTACCCTGCTGGTATGCGTTCAGGGACTTGGTGAACAGGTTATCACGGGTGAGAATCATGATGATAGGCAGGTTCTCGTCAACGAGGGCCAGAACACCGTGCTTCAGCTCACCAGACATGACGGCCTCGCAGTGAAGGTATGAGATCTCCTTGATCTTCAGGGCACCCTCCAGCGCAGTGGGGAACTGGGCACCACGGCCCAGGAGCAGCAGACTCTTCTGGTCCTTGAAGAACTTGGCGCACATGTCCTTGATGGAGTCGTTCAGCTTGAGGATCTCACGGAATTGCTCAGAGATCTTGCCAAGACCCTCCATAATCTCCTCACGACGCTGATGCTTGGAGGCTCGGTCTTCGCTAAGAGAAAGAGCGAACATGACCATGGCAACGAATTGCGAGGTATAAGCCTTGGTGGAGGCGACACCGATCTCAGGACCGGCGTTAATGTGGACACCACAGTGGGTCAGGAGGGAAATGGACGATCCAACGACGTTAACCACACCGACGGTGAGGGCACCACGCTCCAAGCAGTAGCGGAGGGCCATCAGAGAGTCGGCAGTCTCACCAGACTGGGAGACGAAGACACAGGTGTCATCACGGAAGACAGGTGCCTGTCGGTCCAGGAAATCCGAGGCCAGCTCGACAGCGATAGGAATCTCAGTCAACTCCTCAAAGACACCACGGACAGCCATGCAAGAGTGGTAGCTAGTACCGCAGGCAATGAAGATGAGACGACGGCAGCGACGGATGGTGGAGATGTACTGGCGAAGACCACCCAGAGTGACCTTCTTGTTGACAGTATCCAGACGACCACGCATGGTGTTGACAATGGACTCGGGCTGCTCGAAAATCTCCTTCTGCATGAAGTGGTCGAACTTACCCTTCATGATCTCCTGCAGCTCCAGCTCAATAGTCTGGATGGTGCGGACGTTGGAGGTACCGTCATTCTTGGTAAGACGGTGGATGTTCAGCTGACCCTCGTGGATGTGAGCAATGTCATCGTCCTCCAGGTAGAGGACCTTCTTGGTGTGCTCGACAATGGCCGAGGGGTCGGAAGACAGGAAAAACTCAGCCGGCTGAGGGATACCGTCATCGGAAAGGAAAGCCCGAGACTGGGAGCGGTGCAGCAGGGACTTGTCAGGAGGAGCCAGAAGGCTGGCAGATGACTTCTTGATAGCAGCGTTCTGGGAGGCCTGCTCCGCAGGAAGAGCACCCTCTTCAGAGAACTCGACATCGACAAAGTCGACCTTCATCTTCTTGGAGGTACGCACACCGATGACCAGCGGGGGAACCCTTGCGGGCAGCGATAACCTCATGGGGGTAGTGGACGGACTTGAGCAGCAGACCGAAAGCACCCTCGAGCTCCTTGATAACAGCCTTGGCCAGGACAGTGAATTCGATGTCGGGGTGTTGATCGTAGAGGTACTTGGCGAGCTTGGCAATGCACTCGGTATCGGTCTCAGTCTCAAAGCGGAAGCCCTTGCTCTCCAGGAGGGCCTTCAATTCCTTGTAGTTGGTGATGATACCGTTGTGGACAACCGCGAACTCCCAGGTGGCGTCAGATCTGTGAGAAATGGCTTGTTGGTAACGATGTGGCTTGGAGGGGAAGAAACAAAGAATTCAATCACATACCGGTGGGGGTGGCAGTTCTGACGGGTAGGTGTGCCGTGGGTAGCCCAACGAGTGTGAGAGATACCAGCGTGGGACTCGAAGCTCTTGGTCATATCGGGCTTGCTCTCGGCAATGAGTTCCCTCAGCTTGGCGACCTTGCCAACCTCCTTGAAAGCTTGGACTTCGTTCTTCTTGTCGCCATCCACGGCCATACCGGCGGAATCGTAGCCGCGGTATTCCAGTCGGGAGAGACCTAGAGGGGAGAAAGACGAACACGTTAGCGGGGAACTGAGATGGCAAAAAAGCCAGCTGTCAAAGAAATCATCACTCACCATTGAGAAGTGTGTCAATGATGAACTGGCGGTCTCGCTCGACCAGGTAGTTGATGTAGCCAAAGATTCCACTGGAATTACAAGTTAGCCATCATCACACCGCAAAAGTGGGGAAAGACAGAGGGGAGAGATTGCCACATACCACATGATGGGCAAAAACAAAGAAGATTAGAAAAGGGGATAATTAGTTGGTAATTGAGTTAAAGGGGGAGGAGAAGTGATGAAGAGAGGAGGAGTTCAACGAGGGAAAGAAGATGAAGGGAGGAGAAGGAGGGGGGGGAGTTTCAGAGAGAAGACACAGCAGAGGCTGAATCGTATTTATAGAGGGGAAAACAGAGAAGGGAGGGGCGATATTATTAGCTCCCCAGTGTCCACAGGGAAGCTGCCGGGCCAATGCACATGTCTCAGGTGGTACTCCATTGGTCTCCAGTGGTACCTCCCATGGAAATACCTTCAGCTCCCCACTTCGGAGTGAGGCTAGTCAGAAAATAGAGAAGTGAATCGAGAAAAAATTGGTGAGAAAAAAATAATAATGGGAACTCCGTACTCCGTATTCCCTCCCTATTCTTTTTTTTTTTTTTTCTTATGTATCATAACAATAACAATAACAATAACAATAACATCAATTGACATGTGGAACCTATCAAGACCCCTCCTTTCCCGCAGGTACAAAGGGAAAACTTGGAATATGTTTCGGATTCCATCACTCTGTGACATAGTAGACCGGTCAAAAAGAAAAATGATCAGGAACCGATCTTCGCCTCCATGGGAACGGCAAATTGATAGTATGTTTATTTTTATGAGAGACATTGACCCATTCCATCCGGCTATTGCCCCCCCCCTCCCCCATAATGGAGGGACCATTGATACTATTTTTGCCCTGCTAAGCCCCCCCTTTCGGAGAAGGCAATGTGTTTCTGCATGGCAAATGTACAAACCTTGTTTTTTTTTTTTTCTTATTTTTTTTTTCCTGTCATTCTTTCTTTCAACATTGCCGACCCATCATGCAGACTAGTGCTAGTACAACAATGAAATCGTAAAAGGGATCTCCAGTCCGAGAGATCCACGTACGGAGGAAGGACAGCAAATTGGACCGACCGCAATGTCTTTTTTTTTCCGTATTTGCATTGTTTGTTGTCGTTTTGTGCCTGAATGCCTGAGGCATTAATGGTACCGGCAAGCTGTCTTAGTCAGATTGACACCTTACTGCCTGAATGCCTCACTGCCTTACTACCTCATTACCTCGTCAAGGCGGTGAACTCCCCACTCCACCTCACCGCCCCCCCTTCAGTCGCGCGCGCTGCCCTGCAAAAACCTTTTGAAGACCGCGCGAATTGCATCCTGCGCGGCTCCTTTGTTACCCCTTTCTCCATTCTCATCTCTTCGTCCCAATTATCGCCGCTTGCAGGGCTGGGACGCTTTTCCCGGTCATATGAGCTTGCAATAACAATCCTGTCGTCAAGGATGCTGTCTGGTGATCGCGCGGTCGTTTCGGGCGTGTAGCCACCTCTCACCATGTCACGCGCCTCGGCCGGCTTCGCAGACTTCTTCCCAACGGCTCCTTCGGTTCTGCAACGTAAGCGCGTCAAGGGAGGACATGACCGGCGAGACAGAAATGTGGATGGCGACCCTACCGACACGACCGCTTTACCGGCGCTCGCCGCATCCTCTATATCCACATCCACCTCTTCGGCCGCTCCGGCCGCTACGACTTCGTCGGAACCTGCTAAGGAGGAAGTGAATGTTCAAACAGATTCAGAGCCAAGCGCGACCAACTCCGAACATGCATTGTCTCAGGAATCTCACCTCGCGGGTCTTCTCCCGGCCTCGGCGACCACCCATCCCCACATTGATACCTTGACACCCCTCACAAATGCAGAATCATCCCCGCCTCGGAAAGCCATTAGCCCGCAGTCGAAAACGGCAGCAGAAATATCGCCAGACTATCATGGCGATCGCTCATTGGAACCCTCCAAATCGTCCATGACCCCAATTCACACCCCGCCCACTCCGCAATCACAAACTCGCCAAGATCATGTGGTCAAAGTATCCAAAGCAATTTACGACCCGGACCTAGATAAACGGGGCTCGAAGGAGCGAAAAAGGAAACCTGAATATTCCGATATCCTCGTCAATGGCCAAGCCAGACCCCCAGACCCGCGCCTCGCCATCGCCAACTACACCCGTGGCTCAGGCTGCAAGCAAAAATCCAAATACCGTCCAGCCCCTTACTACCTCAAACCTTGGCCGTATGATTCATCAACAAGCATTGGACCGGGTCCGCCGATCCAGGTCGTTGTCACTGGCTTCGATCCCCTCACACCAGTCGCTCCGATCAGTGCGCTCTTCTCCAGCTTCGGTGATATAGCGGAGATGAAGAACCGGACAGATCCAATCACGGGCCGATTTCTCGGGATTTGTTCCATCAAATATAAAGATACGACTTCTTTTCGTGGGGCAGGACCAGTCTCAGCCTCGAGTTCCGCAAGGCGGGCATATTTCGAATGCAAGAAGGAACAACGGATTGGCACTAGGAGGATCCGCGTTGAACTAGATCGCGATGGGATTGTCTCCGAGCGCATGGCTTCGAAAACCATCGAGTCGCAGAGGCTAGCTTCCAGAAGCACATCAGCAGCAGTGGATGCCAAGGTCGAATCCCAGGCGAAAAAGAACGAACCGCCACCTACCGCGCCAAAGGGTCCTTCGGGAAAGTCTTCCCTGCGTCCTGGACTTGTTGTGCCAGAAGGACCAAGAGCCACTGTTCGATCTCCAGTGGTACAGCAATCGCTCATCGAAGATACCCCGGTCTTGAGTCAACTTAAACGGGAACCCTACATCTTCATCGCTCACTGCTATGTTCCTGTCCTCGGAACCACGATTCCACACCTTAAGAAACGTCTCAAATTCTTCGACTACAAAGTGATCCGCTGTGACAAAACTGGCTATTACATTATTTTCGACAATTCACGGAGAGGTGAGGAAGAAGCATCACGCTGCTTCCGGCTGTGTCATATGCAGCCACTCTTCACCTACATTATGAACATGGAAAGTCGAGTTTTGGGCAACCCTAACTACGTGCGCAGCCCAAGCCCCGAGCGACTCCGGGCCGAGCAAAAGGCCAAGGCCAAACAAGACCGGGCCCGAAAAGAGGCCGAGTTGGATATTGAAGAAGAGAAAAAGCAGCGTGCATTCGACTTGGACCCCTGTCGAGAAGTCCTTTCCATTATCATCCGTGATCTGAGAGACAAATTGCTCGAAGATGTCAAATCACGGATCGCTGCACCAACATTGTACGATTATCTTGATCCAGAAAAGCATGCTTCAAGGCGAGAGAAGCTGGGAATCTCAGGGCCCGAAGGTACCAAACGTCCCATGTTCCGGATAGGGGCTGGTGATACTACGCTTGGTGGCCAGGACTCTGGGTCTGAAATTTCAAAGTCGCGAGATCAACATCGATCATCTGGAATTAACGTCCTTGATCTTCCGCGCATTCGCAAATCCCATGGCCTGGACCGGGCGGGGACTGCCTTTGTGGATGAGCGAAGGCGACAGCCTCTACGAAAGAGAGAAATCCGCCCCCTTTATCATCGTCTACAACAATTGCATGATGATGAGGATTCCGATGATGATCAGCGCACGCCTCTCACTGGATATACGGAGGAGAGGAGTAGTCGGCCCCCCAAGTCGAGCAAGTTCTGATGACGATTCTGAGACTGACCAAGAAGAGGAATACCAATCCGATGCTTCAAAAAATGTTGCCCCTACGGAAGATACTTCTCTTCCTGATGTCGAGACGCTCTCACCTGGACGCAAAAGGAAGCGATTGACTGACGAACCCGATGTGAGAAAGCGCCAAAGACAAGATGACGAGCTGTTCGGTATGGAGTCAGCGGATGATGCGCTTCCCGGCAAACATCTCGAGGCTGCCCCGTCCATCGATTCCTCACTTGCTCGGGATGAGGCTGCGTCATTTGATTCCCGTGACCAATTGCCACAGGATGAGCTTGCCGACCGGGCGTCTGTTAAGGACATTTTGCTTGATGACGTGTCCGTGGAAGAAGCCACAGCTATCGATATACCAAAGGCGGAGGTGCAGTGGGGAGTATCCCAAGATGAGCCACGCGCCACCGTTGAAGATGACGAGACAATCATCTTAGATTTGGATGGCTGGCAGCACCTGGTGAAAGACGACGAAGATCTCCGTTTCCTCCGACAGATCCTACTCGACCAAACCGCATCCCAGATCGAAAGTCTGGCAGCATGGGCCTGGCGACAGAAGGAGATCAAGGCCCTCAACCACCTCGGCGCAAGCGGTCCGATACACAGTTCGATCGGCATTGCGGGATACTACGTGCCTAACAGCACAGGCGCCGCCAGAACCGAAGGACGGAAAAGAATTCTCAACTCGGAGAAATCAAAATACCTCCCCCACCGCATCAAGGTCCAAAAAGCTCGCGAAGAACGCGAAGCAATGGCCAAAGCCGATGCCAAAGCCGATCCCCAAGCCGCCGCGGCCGAAGCTGCCAGGATCGCGGCAGCAAAGACGATTTCCAAATCGACTTCACGATCAACCCGAGTCAACAATCGCCGACTCATTGCCGATATCAATGCCCAGAAGCAGGCGCTTCCCACGTCGAGTGGTGAAGGCGACGTTCTTCGCTTCAACCAGCTTAAGAAACGGAAGAAGCCTGTTCGATTCGCGCGCTCTGCTATTCATAACTGGGGACTTTACGCGGAGGAGAATATCACGGCAAACGATATGATTATCGAGTATGTTGGTGAAAAGGTTCGACAGCAGGTTGCCGATATGAGAGAACGACGATATCTCAAAAGTGGAATTGGTAGCAGTTATCTGTTCCGAATTGATGAGAATACGGTGATTGATGCTACGAAGCGAGGTGGAATTGCGCGATTCATCAATCATAGCTGCACGCCCAATTGTACCGCCAAGATTATCAAGGTCGATGGCAGTAAACGTATTGTGATTTACGCGCTCAGGGACATCGAGAGAGGTATGTACAGCTATTGCTTATACCACAGACAACAAACAATCTTGGGGAACATTTTACTAATTTGCCTGCCTACAGATGAGGAGCTCACATACGATTACAAGTTCGAAAGGGAGTGGGGTAGTGATGATCGTATCCCGTGTTTATGTGGTTCAACTGGCTGCAAAGGATTCCTCAACTAGGAGGATTGCGATGCATCTTTCATCTCGTGGCGTTCTGGGCTGGGAGGTGGCGTTTTTGATGGTCGGAGCATTCGAGACCTGTATCAATGAAGGTCGGGTCGTGATTTCAAGCGCTACAACAACATGTATAATACCAAAATTTCAGAGCTTCCTTTCTATTTTTGCTTTGCGCATTGGCGCACTGGCCATCTTATCTGTGGTCTGTAGTATATGTGTATTTGAAAGTGCTGGCTGAGCAGCTAATTGGCGTTTCTTCGAGGAATTCAAGAGTGGGGTATCGATTGAGTAGGAGGAGGAGGGGGAGCGGAGGTGCTGCCCTTTTGTTTCGGAAAAAAATTGTTTTCAATGATCGCGTTCAGACTATGGAACCATCAGTATGCTGCAGTAATAGAAAATCCACAAGAGCGGAATTCAATTCAACTCTTGGATTGGAATTCGGCTCGACTTACCCAGGTGACTCGGAAGCAAGAAATTGGCAATACCCTCCTTAATCGCATATGCATGCCCACACGTTCCACAAACCAACTTGCCCTCCATAACCTGAGTCTCCAGCAAAAGGCGATGCAGGTCTTTCAGCGTTTGTTCGTTGGTGAGCGCGTCGCCCTCGGGCTTGGTTTCTGGGAGACTGGGGAATCCCAACTGCACACATACGTTAGCACACACACACTCCGCCAACGCCAATTCGATTTATTGGAGGCAACGTACCTCATTTGCGGTGGTTCGCAGACCCTCCCAATCAATCCGAGGAATGACGTTGCGAATGAATTCGGGTTGAAAATCAACTTCTTGAAGCTCGAGTTCGGCGTCGTGGAAGTGCAGAGGGAATGAGGTGGCGGTGGTCTTGCACTCCTTGACGGCGCAGGTCACGAAATTGGCTGTGATGACCTTCATGATTGTGATTGATCTGGGTAAATGGCGTTGTCTTAATTGTTGGGGTTGATTTGCAGCAGAAAAAAAGACGACGCCCCACGAGACTATAGTGTCATGTGATCCCTTATCGATAAGGTACCCCGCCGGTGACTGCCGCGGAGTATCAGTAGTAGGATAGTATTAAAAAGGAAGAGTCTAGTATGCATGTGCTGCAATTGGAAGAATTATACTCGGTTAAGTAATAAATTTCAATACTTAGCTAAATGGCATCGCAAAATACTCAAATAAATGTTCATATTATTCCATTTGACCTGTCTCCGAGTCATACTATGGTGGGTGATATATTGCTCAAGTTCAAGATGGGTATCTCATTGTGACTCAGCTTTGGGCACAAGGAGTTCCAGTTCCAATAGAAGCCAATTTGACGATTTTTGGGAATCCACAGGTCCATAATTCATGGTGCCTAAGGTCGTGGCTTGACCTGGATCTCCAGCATATCCAGGTCGTCAATATCGTGCTCCTGAAGCGAGGTGTCCGGGTCCAGTCGGTCTCCATCGAAATGAATCAGCAGATCCTGGTCGCTCGCAATCATGTGTTTTTCTCGGAACGCCGATATCAACTTGGACACGAGGGTCTTCGGCCTAGCTTTGATCTTGAGGTCATCCAAGTCAGGACTTCTTAGGATCAACTTCAACAGATGATTTTGATTTTGCTGATCTTCTCCAGGGTTGGGCGAGGCTTCTGAGGGGTTGTTTGTGCTTGTGTTTGTGTTTCCCGCACCAGGGCCAGCCGACGTGGTAGGTCCAGGTCGGCGAAGTAAATCGGTGTTGTCGCTTGTTGCGACAACGTGAATCTGTAGTAGTTCTTGTTCTCCATTCTCTGAGACAGTGTCATCTCCAATACCCAAAATTCCATGAGTGGAGCTGGTAGAGCTCTTCTTGGCTTTCACTCCGAGACTCTTGCATGTTGTAACGTCGAAAAGACGCCTGCCTCGCCATGTGAAGTAAACAGAGGATTGCGCCTCGGTGGGAATATCTTGGCGCCTGCACCATTCCAAGCGCACGTCTCGCAGTCCCTGGGACATTTTGCGATGCACGATCAATGAGTTGGAATTTGGGATTTCAGAGGTAATGAGAATTCGCACGACGGGATCGTCGACTGGGCTGGTCCTGGTCCTGGCCGTCGGCAGAGCCGAAGACTGGCGGTCTTCAGCTGTGTCAGGGCTGCGCTGTGCGTTTGAGGTTTCTTCGGCCTCTTGGTGATCAAGATCAATCGGATCAAGATCAATCGGATGGTCCGGGGCATTCTGAACCGGTTGTCCAACCACGGGCGACTGTCGATTTTGCAGCTCGTCCGGGTGAGGATCTGAGTTCAGTGAGGGTTGACCTGAACGCGCAGGTTGTGTTATTTTTGGCGATTTGTTCTCTTTGACAGCTGGGTTTTCAGGTTCTTTGTGTTGATGTTGAGGAGAAGGTGGTGTCTCTTGTTCTCTGGACTCGGGATGAGCGGGGGCCTGAACAGATTCCTTCACGCCCACTTCTTCCTCAGGCTCTTCAGAAGTTCGACACCTCTTTGAATATCTGACTTCCCCTGTAGTCGCTTCATCAGATGCATCCGGTGAGCTCTTTGTCTTTCTGTGAGCTGCTTCGTTGGCCGCGATTATGTCCGAGTATGTCTGACCAGAGCGGCGGTAGAAGTCAGGGTTGGTGTTTTGAGAAGCCCATTCAGGCTTCTTAAAAAGACCTTTCATTTCTGCCAGAAGGTGTCATGCAAGACACCGTTTGTTACGGCTCTGACATGGAGAAACAAGAGATAAGATCATTGACAAAGGAGAGTAGTAGTCAATTGGGAACTCAACCAGGTCGGCCTCAGGCAGCAACCGCGTTTGCTATTTCTCTCCGCGGATCCACGTGACGTCGTACCTCCAACGCCGGGCGGGCACCCTTCAATCTCGCCAATCTTCAATCTCCAAGCTCCTTCAAGCCAATTGCCCCCTCATCGCGTCGCGCAACCCGGTCCTCCAACATTTAAAAGCCACAGCCAGCTCGGCACGCTCACAACGACATCATGGAGAACGGCTCTTCCTCGGAAGGAAAGGACCCATCCGCCTTCCTGAGTGAGATCATCGGCGCCCCAGTCATTGTGAAGCTAAACTCCGGCGTCGTCTACAAGGGTAATATACTCTTCCCGCTGCTGGTGGAAACTTTGATTCTAACTTCTTTCTAGGCGAACTGCAGTCGGTTGACGGTTATATGAACATCGCTCTCGAAAAGACCGAAGAGTTCGTGAACGGGAAGCTTCGTCGCAATTACGGCGATGCCTTTGTGCGGGGAAACAATGGTTTGTTTGATTCCTCTCCTCCTTGCATTCGTCGTTATATATGGCTTGACTGACTTGTAATCCAATCCAGTGCTCTACATTTCCGCAAGCTGAACAACCATCGGATGTCCTCGCGTTTCTGCGGCCCTTGTGTACACTATATCCCGAGGTCTCGGGGTCTCAGGAACCGACACTCGGTATTCGATTCGATTCTCGATTCCTCTTCTTCTGCCGGACCAAAGCTTTTTCTCACGATACCACCGACGTTGCTTGAGTTGGAACCGGCTCTCCAAACTCGACTCATACAGCATGTCACCTCTGATCTTCCTTGATTTTGGCGTTTTTTGTCCCGAGCATAGCACAATGAATATGACCGGGTGTGGTCAAGCCTTTTTCTTCTACGTGCCTCGAGGCTCACCTCCTGGGTGCCCTGGGTGCCTCGATTGCAATGATGAAAGCGGAAAGCCGAACCATAACTCTTACGAATCGAATGACTTTGAGACGCCCCTAGTTTGGCCTCGTTTGCGATTCTCGTCCAATCTTGACCCCTGCAACTCTAATATCAAAGTAGAAATGCAATTTTTCTCAGATCTTGCGGCCTGATTTCATCTCGTATGTGTAATCTCCCAAATAATATCGTTGCGGCAGAATTGTTCAGGTGAGGGGCAAAAGTCGGTTAGGTAAGCCTTGGATGCCCCCCACCACGTGGAGATGATCTTTTTTCCATCTCACGGCGGCAAGGAGATATTGAGATATACAGAAGTATCTCTTGGGAAAAAAGGCAAAAGGAAACACCTCGGGAACAAGCCAGCCCTCCAGTGAATCACAGACTAAATCACAGGCCTACCACAAACATGTTGCAGGCCATCAAATACAACCAGGGCCACCTGGAGATCCTGGATCAATTGCAATTGCCATTCGTTGAAAAATACATACCTATCCAGAACAGTGAGGATGGCTGGGAGGCAATCAAATCGATGAAGGTGCGAGGTGCCCCGGCCATTGCCATTGTCGCAATGCTTGCGCTCTGCTCTGAATTGTACGCTCTTGGCACCGCGGGAAATATCCCTACTGCGCCGGCCGATGCTCAGGATTATATCAACAAGAAGCTGGCTTACTTGCTAACGAGTCGACCCACCGCCGTTAACCTGAGCGATGCGGCTCGCAAATTGGAAGTCCTCACGGCGGAAGCTGCAGCTCGGCCTGGCAGTACTGGACAGGATGTTACGAAGGCATTCATCGGTGCTGCGGAAGAGATGCTCGGCAAAGATCTTCAAGACAACCAGCAGATCGGCTACAACGGTGCTGAGTGGATTATGAAACATGCTGCGAAACCAGACATCCCGAACGTGGCCGTTTTGACACACTGCAACACTGGGTAAGTAAAGTACCTCTTGCATACTGATTACTCTTCCACTACGACCGGTGCTAACCAAAAGTTTCAGCTCTCTTGCCACCTCGGGCTACGGTACAGCTCTAGGCGTGATCCGGTCACTATCATCGCAAAACGTCCTACGACACGCGTACTGCACAGAGACAAGGCCTTATAATCAAGGTTCCCGGCTAACGGCGTTCGAACTTGTGCATGACAATATCCCAGCTACCTTAATTACGGATTCCATGGCTGCAGCCCTACTCGCAAACACCAGTGTAGGTGTGAATGCCATTGTTGTGGGCGCAGACCGAGTCGCCGCGAATGGAGACACCGCCAACAAAATTGGTACCTATGGCCTCGCAGTTCTAGCAAAACATCACGGCGTGAAATTCCTCGTCGCAGCCCCTCTCACAACCATCGACTTGGCGACAAAGTCCGGCGAGGACATCGTGATTGAACAACGCCCATCCAACGAAGTGACCAGTATCAAGGGACCCCGTCAGCAGGATGTTGCCAGCGGTAGTGCGGCCCTGGACCTGGAAACTGTCTGCACCGCTGCGCCGGGAATTAACGTCTGGAACCCTGCTTTTGATATCACGCCTGCGAATTTGATCGATGGAATCATCACTGAGAAGGGCGTTGTTGAAAAGGGAGCCGACGGACAATTCGATATGGATGTGCTGTTCAACTAACGACTCTGGGTTGAACTGATGTCGTCTCCTTTGTTTTCTTTTTCTCCCGGGCCTTGGCCTTTTGTGTCTGGATTTGAACGCGACATGTCTTGGTCCTGGCCCCCGTCCGGAATTCCTGCAAGAAGTTCCTCGACTTTACTCTCGATAGCGGTAAGGTGCTGCTCTAGCGCGGACGCCGTCATTTCTCCTCTATATGCTGTCAGACGAGAGTATTGTTGAGGTGATTATTTTAGATAACATACTTTGCAAGTTCTGCTAGTGTCTGTAATTCATTGATTGTCAGTATTAGTACTTTCTTGGTGGGGCTGATTACTAGTATCGCTATATCCCCGCAATAAAAAGACATATGGTACCCCAGACTCGGGAGTAACCCTCTTACTACTTACCTGCGATATATCAAGGTCATTTTCATTGATACCTGACATTGTAAAGCGGAGCGATGCACAAAAAAGAGCAATGAGTAGGTAAGGGAGTGTGTTTGATATAATTCTAAATTATTAGTGACACGAGGGAAATGTGTTAGAGAGGACCGTTGACTATGAAGTGAAAGTGGAGTGTAATTCAAAAATAACGTGACAGTCCCACATGCCCGGCGTTTCTATTCTTCCGCTGTACCCAATCAGGGCCTTGGATTGGCTATACTACCTTGGTAGTAAAGAGCTTGAACATCAATCTTTGATGTGCCGAAACATCCTTCTCGGCCTAAATGATGTATCATGTCATTAAAACTTGTATGTGGTGACGAAGGACTAGTTAGAGCCGTCACAATAAGGCTGAATTGCAAAGCTAGTTTAGATATATGCGTAGAATGTCAACTTAGTTGAAAAGGTATACATCAACGCCATTCATCACCATGCATAATGTACTCCACAATATGTAAAAGAGACGAAGCAGTGGGGGTAGATGAAGTTGAATGTGAGCCTTTGGACTTACGTACCTTTGTATTTATTTCAGCACTCTCGACAATAAAGTACCTTAAGCTTTTGAAAGAGACTTGGATGCACTAATTCACTAGCATATTAATATGAGCCAAAGATCCCACCAGGAACCACTTATCTGTAAGATATTTCGATTGCTTATAGAGCCGTTCCTTTTTGCTTGGTCAATGTTACTTTCTGCAAGGATATCTTGTTCCTACGAGAAATGGCCATGCCATGCTATCAGATACGACAAAAACATTATCGGTATAGCGTAAGTATAGCGCAGTCCTAGTACGTCAACATGTGTCTTCTAAAGTTAGTCCTGGTATACAGAACCTCTATCCAGTAAAATTTGATAATGTTTTCCGGCGCTAAGGCCAAAAGCCATTCAATATGAGCAGACTAACTGTTCGTGAGGGGTTCTGCGCGGCAGAAATACCATGCAGCTCTGGCGCCAAATATCCACGGTATAATATACTTATTGGGTCCTAACGCAGGCATGTGGTGCTAGGGCAGGGATCATGAAGCACGCTAGCGCACCATCAAGTCGAGCTAGATGGGGGCCGTAACAGGACTATCGCAGTCTTCTACTCCGAGATTCCCATCATTAGAATATAATTTTAGGTGATTTGCAGCATATAAATATTGGGAAAAGTTATCTAGCGTGGATATCGGAACCGATTTTTATTACCATCGCAGCTAGGGTATGGATTTAGGAGCCCATGCCTAAGCGCCGATAAATCGGCGCTTTCCACGCTAGGTTAAACTAGTGCACATGGCAAGGCAGACTCGAAATCGGCTTGCAGATGGTAGAATGCATTTCTTAGCTCGTGGATGCCGCGCCCGGGGGTCCCACTTCAGAGCCTGGTGAGTTTCTTATAAGCCGGACCAGGCCGTAGGTGCCGCTCGTGAAATACTATCAAGTTGAACCAGATCAAATGTCGTACAGAATGAGAGTCCCGTCATCCAATTTCAATTTCACCTTCTCTCCGGGCCCCTGCCCGAAAGAATATTCACCCCTTCACCTTCCCAAAGCAGCAGCCTCTTCGGGTCCAGAACCGATGCCTCAACGCCCTCGTCTACTCCATCTGGATCATCTCCGCCAGCTTCCTCTAATCTTTACAGTCAAACCCCTCTTGGTGGCATCTTTGGTGAGCCATTGCCTAGTAGCACGAGAAACTTCACCTCCTCGCATCTCCCGAATAGCAATACCTTCGGGTCCAGCACTAACGTCCGAACGTCTGCATCGGTCTCGGCTATATCGTCGCCACCGGGCTTCTCTGAGAATACTACTAGTCAAGCTACTTCTGGTAGCATCTTTGATGGCCCGCATACTACCGGTGGGAGAATCTTCGCCCCTTCACCTTCCCAAAGAAGCAGTCTCTTTGGGTCCAGCGCCAATGCCCGAACGTCCTCTGCCATCCCAGGAAGATCGTCGTCTTCCGGTCCTTCTGATAATTTAGTCAAACCCCAGTTACTAGTACCGTTGATAGACCATAGACGAGCGGAACAAAAGTCTCCAGCCCTTCGCCGCACCTGAACAGCGTCTTCTTAGGGACCAGACTCGATGTGAGACTGCACACAACTGCCCCAAACAGAGTCAGGTCATCCACACCGGCTTTATCTAACAATACTAGCCAAACGGAGTCCGGTAGTATCTTTGGTGGATCATCCAGTGCCGGCACGATATTCTTCACTCCTCCAGTTGCCCCAAGCGGCAGCATCTTCGGTTCCAGCTTCGATGCCCAAACTTCATCCCATTCTCCTGACCAACATAGTCAAACTGCATCATCTAGCATCTTCGGCACACCCCAAACGAGTGGAGCGAGATACTTCACGCCCCCGCCTCCGCTGAGCAGGAGTCCAAATGTCGGAACGTCCACAACTGTCCCAACTAGATCAGACACACCAGGTTCCAGTCAGACTGCATCTGGTAGTATCGTTAGTGGGCCAGCCAGCACCGAAATGAGATTTTTCACACCTCAACCGAGCAGAAGTCCTGATATCGAAACGTCCTACTTAGACCGGACCAGATCGTCATCACTGGGCCTTTCTCACCATGACTATCAAGCTCAACGCACTTCCCTCTTTAGTGGACCACCTAATAGTGGTAAACCCTCCTCGAACACTGGTCTCTTCACAGGTGCAGGCCCCTCGGAGCCCAGTATAGCTCCTCGGACTCCGAATCCGCGACCCAGCGTTCCCAAGTCGTAATATGCCACGAGATGCGCCAGCTTTACCCTTTCAGACTGCTATACACACAGAACTATCTAGCTTCAGACTACAAGATGGAGGCCTTGATGCAGAAACAGTTAGTGTGAACGGACATCCTACAAGCCATGCAACAATCAGGCCCGAGATACGGATTCTTCGGTTATATCGCCCGTGGACGAATATGTGCAGAGTTCGAATATGATTGAAGATGATCTCTTCTCTCCGGACCCTATCGATGATCAAAATTTCCAGATGAATTTCACTGCTGTCCAAGTACAGATCCGAGAGCTTTCGCGCGCGATTTCTGGGTGTACATTGTCCCAAGACCCAGAGTCTAGGTTACATGAAATTCATCTCAATGCCAAAAAGCTTAGTGAGTACAAGGATCAGGAAACACGCATTGTTGGATTCATAGGTAAAACCGGAGCTGGTTGGTGCTCTCCTTTTCATATCCCGACGGGGACAGGTCTGATCGTTGAATAGGCAAAAGCTCTGTCATAAATTCTATAGTCAACCAGAGAGGTCTCGCACGCTCGGTAATTATTCCCTTTCATCTATTTAGGGTGGCCACATATCTCTAACACGTTTGATGGAGAGTGGTTCTGGGAGCGCATGTACTTCCGTCCCTACGGAGTATCGATACATCGATGAAAAGCATCCACGTGCCTATACTATAGAAGCTGAGTTCATGGGCGAGAACGAAGTCAATGGTCTCCTCGAAGAGCTTCTGCAAAGCATTCGACGAGCTGCAATTCCGACTGACCGAAATATTGTCGCGGGGGAAAGCTGGGCAGAGTATGAAGCTTTGGGCAAAAGGTCGCATGAAACCCTCCAGGCAATTCAGCAACTGGCCAGATTTAACAATTGAGTTTTTCGCGCGACCCGGAGCGGAAACGGAAATCGAGATTCTACAAGGATTGAAAGCGCTGGCCTTGGATCGATTGACATTCCGGCCCGGAGGATCGAGCTCACTACAATATACTGTCGTCGCAGATGACTTGGAGAGCTGTAAAGATACACTGGACAGTTTGACAGATAGCCTCGAGGACAGCAATACCCCTGCTTTGTGGCCTTTCATCAAGTTGATCAGGTTTGTGGCACCATTACGGCAAAAGAAATAAAAAAATTCTAACAGACTGCAGGGTATTCCTCGAGCTGCCAGTGCTGAAGAATGGGCTGGTGCTTGCGGACCTACCAGGTAATATTCTCTGTGTGTCCCTCTAATATGATGTAGCTCACTGTTGGTAGGATTACACGATATGAACCATGCGAGGGTACGCGCTACGGAACAGTATCTTTCCAGAACCTGCGATGAAGTGTTTATTGTAACTGGAATACTTCGATGTGTTTCAAATCAATCGATCTTCAAAATTATAGAGAAGGCCGGGGAAAGCAAACGTATACGGGTGGTTTGCACAAGGGCAGATGTAAGTCCTCCCCCCCCTTGCTGATAAAATCAGAAATTTGTTAACTTTTATTAATAGGAAGTCTCACCGGGAGAGTCTGCTCGCGGCAGTGGTCCTCTTGTCAAACGCATGAAGAGTATGAACGCAGACATCAATAAGCTGGAGAGCAAGTTCAGGCATATCGGGGGCCAAACGCAGGAAGCACAGGGCCAGAGAATGGCGGATCGTGCTCTTCTAGATTCTTTGTAGTAAGGAATGAAACTACCTTGATATTCAATATCTAACTGATGATTTCACAGAGACAGGATACAAAAGCTTCACTACGAGTGCGTGCTATACATTATTCAAACTGATATCTATATGCCTAGGATTCTAATTTTCATAACCAGGCGACGAGCGCTCCTTATGAACCAACGAAACGACTCAACAAAGAGATACCTTGTATAAGCAATCAACAATAACCAAGAGAATAAAGTGAAAGATATCAAAATATTCTGCGTTGGCAATGAGCTTTATGGAAATCCGCCACACAGAATGTCAGAGGAATACCGGAATCTCAGCGGAGTTCGAGAGCTTCGTTCATATTGTCGATCTGTCCCAGCAGAGGGAAGGATGGATCCCGCTTTGGTTTTCATCGAGGAACAAGTACCTGCTCTGCTAGATTCAATTCGTCAGTGGACTCTGATAGGTCGTGATTCTGTGACACCCGCAAGAGCCTGTGAGCTCCGAAGCGTATTGGAACAAGCAGAGCAAATACTACGCCAGGTATGTCTGATCACTTTGCTGATCTATTTAAAAATTCTGTGTCGTAAGGAAATTGACGATGAGCAGAGCTTTACTTCAAGCCGGGGGGGGGGGGGGCATCTCGCTCTCATGCAGAGTGAATTGCACTCTTAATTTGATACTCAAGTTATGCATCAGCTTCGTGAGCTCATTTCAATCATCGCTAGCTAGTGTTTCAGCGTCTCTAATATGTGAGTAGACTTTTCGTCTCAGAGAGAGCTAATGGAAAAGTTTGTTGAAGTGAGCCAAGAATGGAAAATCGTATGTTCAACTGGAAACTAGTGACTCGACTGCATGCTGAAACCCGTGTCCTCAAGTTGCATTCGGCAAGTTATGCCGCATTCTGCCTGAAGAATTACAACCATCAGGTCTCCAGCCAGAAGCCTCGTTGCTGGAACAACGAATTGATGGAGCAAGAGCACGGCCTGCGTTAGATCCAAGATGGGAGGCTCTCAGAGATTGGTTGATATTTCGAATGGATACGTTGCACAGTGACATCTCGACGTCTTTTCGGACTATCTCTGACACACTCCGAGGCAAGGCCCTCCCTCACCAAGCCCCATATGATTCACACTTGTCCCTAGTAAGTGGCTTGTTTTGCTAACGTGCAATACTCTCCAGATCACTCCCCGGTTGCTCCTAGGGCAATTGAATATCTCTTCTCTCCTCCAAGCCACCGAAAGGGATACATCATCCATATTTTCAAAAATACCCTCGCGCAATTAATCGCAGATCATGCTCATTTGGCCTGCAAAGGAGTCACCGAATGCCTTCATACGCAAACAAGCAGCTTAGGGCTGCTAACAATAATTGGAATCGCAGCACAGATCCAACGACTAGCCTGCGCTTGTTTGTTTACAATGCAGCAGAACTTTTGTACTGCTGTTCATATCCATTTGGCTGCGTCACTACCAAGTTCTGGTCGGGTCAAGAACTTTGCAATGGCACCTTCATGGATCGAAGAATACCGGGTTTACTGGGCCCTGTGGCATTTGCGTCAATACTCTGACCTCCGAATCTTGCACGAAGGAACGCTCACTCTGTAAATGGCTCAGAGAGACAAATCTCAAGGCTTGTCTAGGTTTGATCATAAGGCTCGAATAACGACCAAATAGAAGTATTCTATTCACTCCTTTTCCGTTGCAGCAGTGTAACCTGATCCACAGGCGACTAACTCGCTACTTGCCGGCACTAATTGAGTTCCCCTCAGAAGAAGATAGTCCGACAAATTGGTATGCTGGTTCCATAACCAAAGTATTTATGAAGACTGATTGGTTGAAGAGTAAAGTTCTATAGATCAAGGATAATCTGCCCAATCCCTCGCGAGACGCAACTGAGCATTGCAGTATTTTTCTCGTTATCGAGGAGTCCGGTACCTCGGTGTTCAATTTGACCACTGCGCACGCCAACCCGACAAGTGCCGCAGTTCCCGGCTTCGCATGTGGATGGTATATCAAAACCTGACTCTCGCAGTGCGTCCAAGAGACTTTCACCCGATGCTACTTCCACCATTATCTCTGAATCGGCTAGTTGAGCCATAAAAGGATCACCCGTGCTATTCGTCTGGAATGATTCAAAGTGGATATTCTCTCGTGGAAGACCAATCTTGCTAGCGGTATTACGGACGTCTTTCATCAGCCTTTCTCCTGAGCAGCAGTACACGTGTGCATTACTGTCCGCCTTTTGCAGAACTGCCGAGACGTCAAATGGCTTATCCATTTTCTTTGAGTATATTGTCACGTTAGTCCCCAAGGCATCGAGGTAAGACTTGAAAGGTGCTTCATCTGGCGATCTGACCACGTAATGAAGGTGGTATGCTTGACCGCTTTGCTGCAATGTGAGACTAGCCGTAAGTAAGCCCGTAATTCCGATGCCACCGGCAATGAGGATATGGCGGTCAGCCTCTTTAGCAAGAGGAAATGTAGCTGCGAAGTCACTGATTGTCACCACATCGCCTTTCTTGAGATTCTCATGTATATAGAGGGAGCCCCCGCGGCTTGTCTGACGCTCGAGAGCTACTCCCAGAGTGAACCGATTCTGGTTTCCTTCAACCACCGAATAGGCACGGATGAGACGTCCACCCAGTTTCAATCGGACATGCGTGCCTGGCTGTACTGCTTCTGGCGAGGCGTTCGGTCGCACAGCCTGAAAAGTGAATGACACCACTGCAGGAGTTTCGTAGTTCCTCCCTACTAGCCGATAATCAGACCACATATTCATCGCCATTGAACTGTCTCCTAGTAGTCGTTGCTCCTGGTTCTCAAATTTCTTACTCAGTCGATTTTTAAAAATGTTGCGAACCTCTTCGCCTAAATATCCAAGCGTCGCCAGTTCATTCATGACTTCAAAGTTTGCTTTTTCATGATACAGGTAATGTTGAACTCGAGCCACCGTCCACTGAAGGCAAGGGCGCTCTAGGAGCTCAATCTCGTCGCCCGCCTGTATAGATCCTTCTCGGAGGATGCGGTAGTACCAGCCGGTCCGGAACCGCTCCTGTGTCAAACGCGACATGTTTTTCTCCTCAAACCGATGATTAAGCTTGAAACATGGCTGTCGGGGTAAACTGACTTGTGCGATCACCGCACCAATACGGACAACATCTCCAATGCACGTATTGCGTTCATTTGCTTCGTGAGCCACTAAATTTTCGCCAAAACCACCGACATGAAATAGATGGGCGCTTCCGGGTAGCTCCTGGCGCCAGACATCATAATGCTGGGAACAATATTGGAGGAGTGCTTTATCGCGCCCACCGTGAAATTCATAGACATGCTCATCACCTCGGCAGCCCAGCTTGTCCACTAAGACCGAGCCGTAGCGTACTGACTTAAAAATGGCAGATTGGACAGGAAGACCAAATACCGGCTTCGCCTTTCCAGTGCGCACTTCAAGTAGCTGATCTCTCTGCCAGGGCTGTTCTAAGCCGGCAATGATAACCTTCTCGGCCATGGATGGGTCGCAGGGGGCTGTGAGTAGATCGAGCACAGATTCTGACCTATTTAAATACAAAATCAATTTGAGTCATTGATCATTTTCGAGGACAGCGAAAGTCCAGAAAGAAATATATGAAGCGGATCTTCGGCTGTGACGGGAGCCGCCGACATCCGCTGGGCTGGCCAGTGGCATGCTTTTTCAATGTTTCGCGAGTGAAGGGCTTCCGGACAAGGCCCGCTTTCAGATGTTTCATGATCCCGGGTGTGTTACGCGCCACTTTGACGCCATTAATCTCAAAGAAAAACCACTTATCTGCAACTGGTGTGAAGTAGCCTTGCTACACCAAATGGCATTCCAGCGCCTGTGCTTTTGATGTGCATCATGTGCGGAGTCGCCGCCGTTGCCCAAATCCGATGCAAGACATTTAGAAATAATACTTAGCTAATTAAGATTTACCGAACAAAACTCCCAAAGGACGTGGCCAAGTAAACTCAAGTGTTCGATGCCATACAAGCACTAATTTGAATGATATCGCTGACTATGTGGTATTTAATGCTTAATCGCTGCCAAAGACCTGCAAAATTGAGAGCTTTCGCCAATACGTTGCTAACGTTTATCTCTGGGCTAGATGCGCTGTATCATATGCTGGCTGCACGCTATGTTAAATGAGACAGACGGCAAAACATCGGATTGAGCAGTTGGCTCATAAAGTTGAGGACCTAGAGGCCAAGAAAGAAAGTTTGATTAGTAAAACTTACGTACTTTATGGCCATGAAGTATTGTGGAAGCGTGCTTGGAAAGACCTGTCTATCTATTTTCTAACCTCCGCTGAACACTATGTTTCCGAAACCCTACAGCTAGGACTCATCTTAGTACATCAAGTAGACGATTTTATCTTCCCCATGCCATTTCTTCATGTGTTTTGAGGCGCCCGGGTCGGAATTTGTGCATGGCTTTCCATCAGTGTGCACCTGCTCAACAATCATTGTTGACGAGCTGCGTTAGGTTGCCATAGCGGTAACCTCTGTAACAGGGCACCCGATTATGGGAAGAACCCTAGTATTTCCGTTCCTGCCATTAGAAGTCACCTCCCATTCTCTGAACGTGGTGTAAGGAACCTCACCTCCCCTGCAGGATAGAGTGCTACTATCTCCGGCACTACTAGGAGCCGTAGGGTTGGTGTAGACATAACCAGAGTATGTCCTATCGCTGATGCTGAACGTTGTATCAAAAGATAAGCTATTGGGTATAGCAGACTATGTAGTTGAAGTTGGTGAAGCATTGCCAGCGTTTTTATGATATTTATTTGAACAAGGATGAAATATTGGTTTCAGTAGCTGGGATCTAATTGAGATTGTAGAAGGTGAGCCTAGATGGAAAAGGGTCTATGATTGTTAATGACTCAGCTGCGATATGAAATTGACTAATGGACGAACCGCTAGGGCTGATTGATGTGGATGTCTCCGTAATCATGGTGGATATAGTCGTATGTGTGGGCTGTGGCTTTTGACAAGTTCTGCGTTTTCTAAGATTTCGCTTTATGTTGGATGAGAGCTCTAGGTGCTTCTAGGTGAGAGAGTTGAAAGAAAAGTCGTATATATGTTGACCCTCCGTACCCGGCTTCAAGCGGTACTTTTCTGCAAGCTAATCGAAAGCACCCCTGAGATCGTGTTCCTGCCTGGTCTGTTCGTTCTTATCAGCATCATTTTCGATATTCCCAAATTGAGCGTTGATCCTGTTCCAGAGCTGTATAGCAGTTTTTCTAGCTTTGCCGAACATTTGCTTTTCTATATAATCATCTATCCAATCTTTGTATTTTGTTGCAAGACCCGTCTTAGGCATGAGATCTATATTTTCTGCATGATTCTTCTTGCTGTATTCATCTACGTAAATATTTGTATGTGTCAGTATAGGGCTAAAGGATAAATATGTAAAGACAAACTTATAATGCGGAGTAGATCTTATTGTTCGAGACATCCATGTGTTCCAAACATCTTCCATAGCCCAGACATCACGGGACATTGCAATATCTGCTAGGAAATTCATCATGGTTTTGAGCTTCTTCCTTCCACTACCGTTGTCAATTGTAGGCACTGTAACGCTATTTGATTTCCCTTTTCCCCTGAACTTTCCGTCCTGAAACTTATTCACTGTCCTATATCAGTTGTTGAACGTTTCACTATCTCTAATCTTAGGAAGTTAGTATCTGAAACCTCCAATGAGGAAATAGATTTTACCAGTCCCTTTAGTTGATCATTCACTTCTTGGGTCATGCCGACAAAGTCTCAGGCCTCTTTATTTGTAATTCCTCGCTGAATCAAACCGAAATTTCAGGGTGGTCATCATAGCCCGGATTAAAAAAATACTTTGTTGAATTCCTCACACGTAAGGCCTCCATTCCCAATACCTGCATTGGTCCAAAACTCTTTAATCCAATTGTGCTCCCCTGAAAAGAAACTTGATGTCAGTCAAGAGCTATGTATAAGTCAACTTGGTGAGTATCTTACAAACGTGTTTATTTGTTGGGTTCTGTTGGGATATCTCTCTTTCCATTGCAGCAGCCTCCGTGGCCTTTCCAGCATTTTTGAGCGCCGTCAATGAAGAGCCTCGAGCAGATGTCAACGAAGATATGATCTTATCGCTAACTGAAGTTACAGTCGGCACGCAGCCGCCAGTGGTCTTACTTAGCCAACGGGGCATATGAGATTGGTAGCGTCCAGATCTCCAGCAATTGCCTTGTCCAGAAACTGGCCGCCACCAGACCAGTAGGTTGTCGCCGGGGTCGGTACTGGATACTTAGACACCGATAGCAAAGCTTAAGGGCTGGGAACCACCATTATGTTTTTTAAGATTACGTTTGCGGGGATCTGGGTTGGAAGGATTGAAAACCCCAACCGTACTTAGGCTGTCTGCCTATATGCAAGGCTTACAGCCTTGATAGGGGTCTATACTATCGGGGGAGTTAGTATAGGATAGGAACGAAGCCGGGCACACGTCCCCCTCGGATTTTCTTGTAATATTTTTAGTTATAGCCCTTGCAGTGTAACCCATGGTTGGCATATAAATTAACCTTACATATAATGTAGTTCTGATATAAGCCGTATTAGTGGTTACAGTGTAATATTCGATACAGTTTGTAGCTGTCTTGAGCTCAGAATACTCTGGCTCTGATGGTTAAGGATTCTCTCTATACTGACCAAAGTTGTACCTACCTGTATACTGCTCTAGAGGACAAGAGTTCCTACTGTAACTCTTATATCCGCTGCTATAGCCGAGGAGGCTACAGCTACTACCATAGCCGAAAATACTATATCTACCACTATAGCCAGATGTGCTATATCTACTATCGTAGCCAAAGTCTCTACAGTAATATCTACTATAGCCTTTATAGCCTGCAGTGGTTATAGGAGTTATACTGCCACTGCTATAGGTGACCAACAGGATAGTAATGCTAAGAGTCAAAATTAAGATTGTAGGTTATGGCTGGAGAGTGACTGGATAGCTTATCAAGAAAAAGAGTAGTGTAACTATCCTGTCAGTGGATATTAAAGCTGGTAAGTCTGAAGAGTCTGAAGATGATAAATTATTAGTTCTAGTTGGAGATCTGGTAGGAGATGTTAGGTCTGGATATATCTCTTCGGGAGTTGGCAAGGGGCTTAGAGGGAATATTGCTTCTCTCGGAGCTAAGGTATAAACTGAAGGAGGCAGTTTGATACTTTGTGTTACTTGAATTGTTGCAGGGTTGGTATCTGTTGATTTAACAGTGATAGGCTAGATATTAATATACTCTGTAACGAAAGCTTTGACTGTGAGGACCTTTATCTTAGCAGAGACGAACTTACCACTAATACTGTAGAGGAACGAGGTTATCCAATTTGGCTATAGAATCATAGTATATAAGTTAATAGGGTATATAAAGAGGAAAAATAAAAGTATATGGAGATTTAGAGGCGATGGCTGGCGACTGCTCTTGCCAGAGAGACAGAGAGATAGGTATAGAGTAAATCACTACTATTACCTCTATTACTTTCTCCTTTACTATTACTATACTGCTCAAGGTTAACAGCCTAATCAGAAGTAGACCTGTGCAACCCATGGGCATGCCCTGACTGCCCATAAGTAGGGCAAAAAGTATTATCATGTGATTTGTATAAAATATAAAGAACTAGGTTCTATTTAACTGTATTATAGCTGTATTTACCCTACAGAAATTTTATACTAAATTTTTAGGTATATTAATGACTAGGTTTACTAGGATAGATAGAATTAAATATAGTCAAATTTAAAAAGCTTTAGAGACTATAGATAATTCAGAGTACCTATAACCTACTATTAGACATCGCTATAACCCATTTTGGTTTGATATCAACCCAAAACCCAACCCAGTGGGTTATAGATGGGTAAATTATTTCGACCTATTTCGACCTATTTTTACATAATCTTTTTATAATTTTTATGTAGTGTATTTGAATACCAATCCTATATCTTTTTTTCTAGAAGGATTTAGATCTTAATATTTTGTAATTAGCTTTATCTAGCATTAATTATTATATATCTATATTTTAGGACTAGTATATATAGTAATAAAAAAGTTATTAAAAATAAGACTTTTTATAAAGATATATATATTACCTAGTAGGGTATACCACTATCTTTACTATATAGCTCTGTAGTTTATTTTATTTTTAAATATACTACTTTTAGGCCTTTTAATATATAATATATATTTTTTAAATATAGAATAGTAATAATATTAAATAAGAATTTTAAAATACCTATATATAAGGCCTAAAAACAGTACTAATATATACTATATTTAAAAGCTTGGTATATTTACCTTATTTATACTGAAATAAGAACCTACTAGGTTCCTAAGTAGGTTTTACCAAAACCTATTATAGGCTATGGTATTTAACCTAAAACCTATTTTGGGTTAGGTTGGGTTAGGCTAGGTCCGGGTTATAGTAGATTCTGGTGATACCTAGTTTAAATCCTATACTACTTTATTCTTTTGC